AAGGCGGAGCGCGCCGGCACCTCAGGTGCGCTCGAGGAAGACACGGGCAGCTACCGCGAGTTCGCCGCCCCCTTCATGGTCCAGCTCAAGGAGAACCTCCACCGCGTGTTCCAGCAATACTGGCGTACGCCCGTCTACATCTACTCCAAGACGGCGCTCTGCACCCTGGTCGCCCTCTTCATCGGTTTCATCTTCTTCGACGCGCCTAACTCCATTATGGGTCTCCAGAACCAGATGTTTGCCATCTTCAACATTATGACCATTTTTGGTCAGATTGTGCAGCAGTCCATGCCCCAGTTTGTCATCCAACGTGATCTCTACGAGGCGCGCGAGCGACCCTCCAAGGTGTACTCTTGGAAGGTCTTCATGCTGTCCCAGATCATCGTCGAGCTGCCCTGGAATGCCCTGATGGCCGTGCTGATGTACTTTTGCTGGTACTACCCCGTGGGCCTGTACAACAACGCCGTCCCGACCGACGCCGTTGCCGAGCGTGGTGCCCTGACCTTCCTCTTTCTGCTCATGTTCATGCTCTTCACCGGTACCTTCTCGACCTTTATCATCGCCGGCTTCGAGACCGCCGAGGGTGGCGCGCAGATTGCCAACGTCATGTTCATGATGTGCCTCATCTTCTGCGGTGTGCTCGCCTCGCCCGACGACATGCCTCGCTTCTGGATCTTCATGTACCGCGTGTCCCCCTTCACCTACCTCATTTCCGGCATGCTCTCTGCCGCCGTGGCCAACACGGACGTAGTGTGCGCCGACAACGAGTTCCTCCCCATCACCGCCCCGGACAACACCACGTGCAGCGAGTACCTGGACCTCTGGATCAACGGCGCCAACGGCCAGCCCGGCGCCGGCGGCTATCTCCGCAACCCAGGTGCCGAGTCCAAATGCGAGCTGTGCCCTCTGGGCACGACGAACCAGTTCCTGGCCGGCGTCCGCGCCAACTACGACGACCGCTGGAGGAACTTTGGTATCCTCTGGGTGTACATCTTTGCCAACATCGTCTTCGCCCTCTTTGTCTACTGGTGGGTGCGCATGCCCAAGAAGGCCAAGACCGCCAAGAAGGACAAGAAGGAGACGGCCACCACCGTGCAGTCCCACGTCTCCGACGAGAAGACGGCGGCGGCGCGGCAGGCTTCGGCTGGATCCGACGAGCCCGTGAAGGAGGTGAAATGAGCGATACACTCTTCTGCCATATGTTACATACATACACAGCAAAAAGTCACATACCATCTTACGATATTTTCCCACATATTTTCTTTTTACTCATGGTTCTGGAGTTTTCATCCCCCTCACCCAGTGTTTGGGAAGTCGTGGCTCGTTAGATGATGCCCCCTCCCAATGTCTCTTGTTTTCTTGGCCTCCTCGTGTTAGACGGGAGTTGCTACTTGATGGGTCCATATCTCTATAGAGAATAATAAAGTTAGACAATCCAACTTGAGGCTCACTACAAGTGCAACCTTCCCTGTGTCGAATTCAGTAGATGACGTCCGCTGACTGACGCTCCCGTGACAGAGATCTCGTTCCAACTTGCGAGACATGTCTCCCCCTATCTGCGGGCACTATTAGAAGTAGTTCAAGTTCGGCCACTGCAGGCAGCCGCCTGCATGCATCCCGTTCCTTGCTTTCCCACCATCCACGCCCACATGGCAGATTGCCAAATGCCCATGCAGGCAGGCAGGCAAGCAGGCAGGAATGTGCAGGATTCAGCCTGGCCGACACGCCACCGCCGCCAGTCGTAGGCGTGTCTCTCACGCGTTCCATAACGCGGGGTACTACGCGTTGACATTGAGGCGGCACAACATTTGCGCCTGGCGTAATCCAGATCCAGATCCTGTTTGATGGATTGATGGATTGGCAGGTTCTTGTTGAGGGGTTTCGTGAAAGCCTGAGCGCCATGTGGTGGCGCCGCTGGGCGTTGGGGGCTTCAGCTGGGAAAGTGCCCTGCGTCCTGCAGCAGGGGTTTTAAGGGTTCCTGTGCGTGCCTGGACGGATGGACGTGTGATGATCACACCAATGGGCGGGCGATAGGAAGGGCAGTCAGTATGTACCAGACGCATCGACCATGTCTGTAGCGAGATTCAGTCGTTAGAGTGCACATGTAGCGAGTTGGCAGGCCTCTACTGCGCTGTCCGTATTGCGCTGTCCGAGCTTCACAGCGTTGCACACTGCAAACACCAGCTACGACCATATACCCAAGTCCACTATTGGCGTCGATGCATCGCGCGGGAGATGCACGCTGCGAACAAGTGGTCCGGAGCGTTGTTAGTATCACTCTATCAGATAGAGTTTCCTAAGCTTGTGCTGTGGAGGGATCGAACGACCTACTACTAATCATTAGTCCGGGATGGATGGAGATAAAATCCCCATCAATCACCGATCTCCAAGATGCTTGCTTCAAGCTTGACCGGTCGGTCCACCGTCTGCGCAATGGAAGCGTGCGGCCCAGCTGCAGGTTGTTCGGTATATCTACGTATGAGCGCGCATGTAGGGAGATAACCCGTTGTATCCGTACTCTGGAGTCTGGCCATCGTTGCTCGTGCACAATCCTGGTCCGTATTATGAGCGAACACTCTGAACAGCGATCGACTGATTGCTCGACCCAGCAAAGTGGTCACCGTTGATGGCGTCCGTCGGGGCGGGAACGACAGGGATGCAGTTTGTGCCTCTGCGCTTGTACCGTGGGTCCGAAGTTACTTGGTGTGCTCCACGAACGCGCCGGACGCGTCTGTAAACAAGGAAACAGATTGTCCTCTGTTCGGTGCTCTTGTTTCACGGCAAATCGTGTCTCAGAGTGCGCAAGTGGTATAACAGTTACGGCAGTGATGCTGATGCTGATGACATGTTACACGTAGTACCACTCCTGCGTCAGCGTTGGAATGTCGCCCGCCCTGTCCTCTGAGTCGCGACTGCCGGCTCAGGGGCCGCCACCAACGGGAAACCCAACAGGGTTTAGCTCCAGGCACATGACTGTGATTGGTTCGCGGAAACACACCAGCGAGCCGTAGCGGCTTCCAGGGGGTGGCTATAGCAGGGACTCAATTGATGGTAATCTTCCAGCACGACTCTTGAGAAACTGGTTTCTCGGAAACATGAGGGGTTCAAAGGAGGAAGGTGAGCAACGTCTGTGGTTCCGGTTTGTGTGGATGAATGCTGCATCCATCAACCAGCCCGAGCCATTCGTGTTGCGAGCAATGGCCACCTTTGCTCGAGTCAAGAAGGGGTTGTACACAGTCGCTGTTTGGATTATATCACGTCACGTTGTCTAGAAAAAGCCCCGAGTCTCAGAGACACTGTCTTACTTGAGGATGAGAGATGATGATGAACTGCCACAAACTCAAACACCATGCTCCAGCCGCGGAAAAAGGTGTCACCTCGCAGCACTCTGTTTTCGAGACTGATGTGTCCGTTGAATACTCGTACTCCAGTGTGTGCTACATATTACAGCAGGATCAGCTTGATGGGCTTCATCCACATTACTTCGCTACCGCAAAGGGAGTTCTCTACATGAAAGATAGGCTGCTCTGCTCAATCAAGTCCGCCAATGAAGACACAGATCATGTCAGTATCAGTGACCGGATTATATCAGTCGCATCTAAGACCCCTTTCGTCACGGTCATCAAGAAAGAGCCGCGATCCATATCAAGATCGGAAGGCTGCGCTCTAGATAGGCACAAAAAGAGAAAAAAGTGCCTTGGTAATCAAATGATAAAACCTCGCTTTGACGGCATTGGGAAATGCATGCATGCGGCAGCAATTAATCCCAGCATAAGATACATACATAGGTTGCGTCCCTGACATGACGGCGCCTAGCTGCATCATGTAAGGAACACCCTCTCTAAAGGCTGTGAAGTGTGTGAGATGTCAGCTCCGTTCGTTGGCGAGATGCTGAGATGATGAGGCAAAAGTCTTTGCTTTTGGTGTAATTTGGACTCGTTTCTTTTGGCTCGTGCCAGCCGACGAAGGCATGCGACAGGCATGATACGCGAGACTACAACAGGCTCCGTGCCTCCAACTTGGATCGCAAGCGTATCTAATGCACTACCTATCATGACTTGCCAAAACACTACGTACCGAGGGGAGAACAAAAAGGCGCCAACTAACTTACTACGTATCTCATGGATGTAATAACATGAGGCATGCCGACAGGAACCTGTTTGCTAAGGATCCCGATAGAAAATTCGGGGTGTAATTGCAGCAGATGTGACTGGATGGTATGTCACGCTACACTAGCGCCCCCCTTTGGGTGCCGACTGGGCCTATAGCACCTCAGCGCAACGGATACAGTGGCTTCCTTTTACAGTACGTACAGTACAGCATCCAATGTCCAGTCCAGTCCCCGCGCGTTTTCAACTATCTCCATGTCGCGTGTGTGTGTGAGTGGGATCGGGGACATGGAGCCAGGGGTCACGGTCGCGCTTTCCTGTTGGAAGTTTGGAACGGAGGCCGTTGGGAGTAAAGGAAGGCAGGCGGCTTGGCTTGGCTGGGCTAGGCGCAGCCCACATTGCCCAATCTCTTTCCCACCCCCTGCCCTCCGTCTGCTAATTTATTAAGCTGGGGCTCCAAAGTGCCTGGATTTGCAAACAATTCATTGACAGTCCTTTCGTACCAACCGCTAGGTCCAGCCTCATACGGCTTAATAGTGGAGTGGGTTAAAGCGCTGTCACTGCCATTTCCATCACGCCAGTCTCCTCCAGTCGTCTTGCAGACCGTTTCTCACTCGCTCCAATCCTGACCATCCTCGCATTCCCTCACCAACCTCGACCACTCACTCTCTTTGGATACAATTGTACAACTGCGCTTGGATCTGTCGCGCCCTTGTTTCGACCAGCCCCGACGTCGAGTAATAAGGTACCTAGCCATCAAACCCAGGACGCCAACAGCCGCCGATCGATACGGTCACCGTCTCCACGCCGGCTCCGCGAAATTAATCCTTGGTCTGAGACAGGCAACAGAAAAATCAGAACCTCTGCGGTTCTCTTGAGACAGCAATCAAGTCAGCGCCCCAGCTTGTCTCTCGCTGTCCCCAATCTCGACCTTTTGGCTTGAACCCCTTTCGCGAGCTGCTGTCCCGCAGCGACCAATTTGCCGAGCTCTTCTCGCCCTCAGTGCAGCAACACCGGTCTATTCTCGAATCCTCACGCAACCACATTCGAACGCCTTGCCCCTGAGCAAAACCACAACGCGACCTCTTCGCCCTGCTTCTTCCCGACAGTCGACCGCAACGACTCGTGCTCCAGTGCTGAGGCCACTACAGGAGCGAATTGCTGGCAACATTGCTCGCGACTGATAAAGCTTTCGCCCTGGACAACCCAGACTGATCAATTCTTTACAACGCTGCGGCAGCCCGGAATCGAGCATTCACAGCCCATGGAAGCAGAATAACGCCGACACCACGTCCCGATCACGACATTCGCACATCTCTCCACCCAAACTTCGATATGAACCGTCTCAGGGGTCGGAAGAAGGCCAAGGACGAGGCCCCGCCTCGTCCCTCGGTCGAGTCAGAATCCTCTGGCCCTTTCAAAATGTTCGGTCGCTCCAAGAAACCAGTCGAAGAAAATACGCCACAGGTCGACCTAGCCAGTGCCCTCCCACCAACCGACGACTTTCGTACCAGTCTGCTCATGACGGGCCTTTCAGCTCGGTTCTCCATGCTGCGTGAACAAGACGACCCGTCTAGTAAGCTCGGAAAAGCGAGCGATGATAGCGTGCTGCAGCCCAAGCGACAATCGAGGATGGACTTTGGCCTGAGCACCGGTCTTGACGACATTGCCGAAGACAGCTCGTTCCGCAGCCCCCCTTTTGCTCGAATGGACTCCTACCAGTCAGACGACGCGGCTTCCTTGTCTGGCAGCATCATGAACCGCGCGAAGCCCACGGAGGGAAACAACTTGTTCGGCGGGCGACAAAAGATATATAAAATCTCGGCAACGGGGGGCAACGGGCGAACACTCTACGATGACGACGTGGCACAGTCGTCGTTTCAGCGTTGGAGACAGACAGAGAAGGAGCGCAACTCGTTAGAGAACGAGCGCGCAGGGGACACACAGGAATCCGGCTCCCTACGACCAGATTCGCCTCAGGACTTCAGCCGACGCAGGGAGACCAGCTCAACAATGTCCTCGATTCCCTCAGCCGCCCGCGACTCGACAGCTGCCACATCGATCGCCTCTCAGCCCGCATCGTCTGCCAAAGACTGGCAGGCCTCGTCAGCAACACCCACAGGCCTTCCCGAACGCAGCGTGACTCGGACTAGGCGACTTTATGAGCAGAGTCTGGCAGAGGGGATGCAAGATCAGCAGTCCTCGGCACTGTCGCGCATTGACACACTGTCAAAGGGCCGCTTCAGCCCGCGAACTCCCGACCTTGCTAGCAATGCTTCATCGCCTTCAGGCTTCACGGCTTTTGATCGCAACAGCGACCGACGACCCATGATTTCGAAGGCCAGTGCCCCCAATCTCCGGTCTTTCAGCCCACCAAACTCGGTCTCCGCGCACCCTTCGCCTGCCGAGAGCACATCACGTTTCCCGACCATTGACGCCAAAACAACAGCTGCTTCGCCACCCCTGAGTCCCCCTATCAGTGAGACGGAGGAGCACCCAACTCTGTCCATTGGCGCTAATGACCGGGGGAAGGCTACTGCTCTAGGCTTCCTCAACCGACCCGCAGGCCAATATGACGAGAACCGCTACGCCCAGCGCCAGCGCCAGCTCCAGCAGGGTCGCGAGACGCCCACCTCTCGGCATAGGACCGAATCTACCGGCTCGCAGCCCACCAGTCGTTCTCGCTCGTCGTCGTCAGTGAACCGCTCCCACGTCGAACAAAGCGACTCGGCTGCCAAGCCCAGGCTCACGATCCGCGAGGAGGTTTCCTCGCCGACCTTCCTCAATGTTGGTGACGACGATGATGATGTGCCAGCACCCACCCGGCCCGCTCCTGGATTCCAGCAGAATACGCCTCAGGTGAAGGTGGAACGCCCAGCGGACCAGGATCACCCTGCTTTCCGCCAGTCCCCAGTTCCAACCCCTCTGACGATATCAAGGAGGACCTCTGTCGAAGCCCTCAACAAGCCCGATGATTCACCCGAGGACTCTCCGACATTGGGCCCTGGTCCAGCGGGCCTGAGCGGCATGGTCCGACAACACCTGCGAAACGTCAGCACTGCGTCGTCAGTCTACGACAACCGCCCGCAAGATGATGATGATGCCGCGGTTGCGCAAGCCCAGGACAGCCGGAACACTCACAGCGCCATTGATCTGGCGGTTGACTCAAACCCCTGGGGCTCGGATAGCAACCAGTGGGAGCAGGCAGAAGAGCCTAGCCAGGCTCCGAAGCAGGACACTCCCGCGTCGCACCCAGTCGCAGACGAGGAGCTCACGCGAGGTCGGAACTCTGAGGCGGTCGGCAAAGGCCGAGAGACCGACGAGTTTGCGCGCAACCTTGCTGACGGCGCCAAGAGGGTTCGCGAACGATTGACCACCTACGTCGAATCCGATCACAGCCGATCCACGTCTCCTGTGGCATCGCCCGTGGACAACTCGGATCTTCCTCCCCCTCGGACTGGCGCATTCAGTGCCTTACGCTCCAAGTCGAGGGGATCGGTCCGTGAGCCGAATGGAGAGCGTGAGCGAAGTCGCTCCGCGGCTCGCAAGGTGCTGGGCTTGGGATCATCCAGCTCGCACGCGCCAATGCCCACCAGGCCGTCGGTTGACGACGGTCCACGTCGAGAGGAATCGTATGGGTCATCCGGAGAAAAGTCGCCAACTGACAAGGACGAGGGCGCCCACGCAGGCCTGAAGGCTTTCCGACAGGCCCGCCGCGAATTGCAGAGGATGAAGGAGCTCGAAACGAAGCAGCGACGCCAGGCCGCACCGACACATGCGCCCCCGCCTCCTCCCCCGGCGATGCGATCGTCTCTGCCTTCTCAGGACCGGGGGCCCCCTCCCGTCACCTACAACCGTGCCCCCAGTGGTGACGGCGACTCGCGGCCTGGTTCAGTTGGTGCATCCGAGCGTGATCGAAGTGGCTCCGAGGCCAGCAACACTGGTGGTGCCTCTGCTTATCGCCCTCGTCTGCGAACTACCTCGTCAGCTTACGACGAGTCCCGCGCACCTAGTGACATGAGGAGCCCTCAGGGCACGTCACCTTACTCAAGATCACACTTGCCAATGGCATCGTCCACGCCAAACCTGGCACTGGGGAGCACTGGCGCACCTCCGCCCCTACCTCCCATCAATCCTCGTCGGAAGGGCATGGGAAGCCCGCTCCCCCACGATGAGAGTGGCACGAAGACCCCCATGAGCCCCGGCGGTCAGGGACGGTCATCATCTCGGACCAGGATGGTGTCCGACGACGACATGGGACCGGGACAGTTCAGGCAGCGCCTGCGCAAGGTTCCCAGCGAAGCGAATGGCGTGGCGGCCCCTTCGTACCGAAACCGCACAAGCCCTTCCTACGAGAATGGGCCGCGGATGCCATCGCAGCCACGCACGGCTAGCAGCAACGCCCCAGGCGGCATGTTTTGATCAAAGTCTTCTTTTCTTCTCTGTCATTTATTCTTCATACTGCATATTTCTTTCATCGTCATCATCAGGGCACACGAGCAATGACCAAGATACCTCTGCACCTTTTCGGATGCTTCTTGTTGATCCGGCCGTGATCACGTTTCTCTACAATTTTTGGAAAAGAGAAAAATAAGCGATAGGTCATTCCATTTTCCATGTTGGCGGTCGCGGAGCGGCTCGTGCAGGCGCGCACGACAGAAGAGAGAGAGAGTCAGGCTGGGCCTCGACTCGTGAGCATTGTAGCCCATCAAGGCGAGCTCGTGGTAGCCCGTCAGCATTGTGGAAGGTGTCTGTGGAGTTTCAGGGCGACGGTTCGATATACATATAAGACCACCATATACAAAGTGAAATTAAGCAGCTAAGTTAAGATCAACAAACATTCCAATGCAGCTGGTCTTGAGTGAGTCCGAGCCGTGAGGCGGGTTGGGATGTAATTATGCCTGCAGGGTCTCTCCGCATTTGATGATTGGAATCTCTTTCCCCGCGTTCTCGTGACAACCGACGTGTGGCCTCAACAACTCGACAATAACAAAATCTACGCTCAGTTCGGACCACCAACATGGCCTTTATAAGAACATATAAAACTACCGACTTTGAGGCGACAGCTCACATTGTAAGTATCTGCCACTCTCATATTACGCGCGAGGTATGAGTCGCTGATTCGAAGCCCTTTCTGAAAAGTGTCGAGCCACACTCGCGCCCTCACTACGACCATCTCAAGATGCCTGCAGGATGGCTCCCTATATCTGGACACACCAGTACACACATCTATCACCAACCACCTGTTTCGTGCTCGACGACGGCACCGGCCGCGCGGTAGGCTACTGCATCGGTTGCCCCGACATTACGACCTTTATCGAGGCATATCCGCGCTACGTCAAGGACATCCTCGAGACGAGAGATGAGGTCGGGCCCGCGCCACCCCCCGGGGACCTGCAACCCTTCACGACGGGCGACGGGCAGGTCAACGAGGCGTGCCTGCGACAGCTGGCGTACGATCCACAGTGCCTCCTGAAGCGGGAGAACGCGGACCTGATCGACGAGCAGGGCTACTGGGGCACAATGCACATTGACCTGCTGGACGAGTGGCAGGGCAAGGGGTGGGGACGGAAGCTGATCGAGGCGTTTGTGGCGAGCGTGAGGGCGCAGAAGAAGGCGGAGAGCAAGGGTGTCTTTATTGGCATTGCGCCCGAGAATGACAAGGTCGTGGCGTTTTATGAGAAGATGGGGTTCCAGAGGGTGGACGGGGTAGGGTTGAGGATGGTGCGAGATATCTAGGGGGGAGGACGTCGTCGACATCTATCAGTGGGTGAGTAGTAGACAAGATGCTTTGTGGTACATGGCCAATGTCAATTACTGCGGATTGAAATGATGCAATGTACATGGAAGAAACTCAATTGGCTGACAAGAAGTCGCTTTCGCTGAAAAGAACGCTGGGTATCAACACGCAAATGGACTTGGCCCTTGGCTGCGCCGTTGTGCATGCTTGAACGGCCGAACTCCAATAACGTCCCGCCTGTCTCCCACACGACGTCTCTCTCTCTCTCTCCATGCCTTTCGTCATAGTTCCAAGCGCAGACCCATCCAAGGGCACCCGTTGTAAAGGTGATTTGTTCGAGCACAGGCGGTGTGTTGCCATGGTACTTCAGTCATCATGAGTGACTGGGGGAGTTGGTATGTTTTGTCTTGGTCTTGGTCGATGAGTGCGACAGGCCATCCACACCTGCCTCCATACCGGAGTGTAGCTTGTTCCCGTCGTGAGACGACGCCACAGGCGTTCGTGGACGTGATGCTGGCCGGTTGGGGGGCGCGGTAGAGGCGTTCATCTAGCTCGAGGGGCAGTCGTTGCACTGGCTGTGGCCACAGCCGGAGCAGGTGGTGCTGATGACAATCATGCCACCGCACTTGCAGCAGTACTCGGCGCGGGCGTGCATTTTGTGATGTTCTTTGTATGGGTTGTGGTGTGTGTGGGTGTAAGTGGCGTGTATAAGTCGTCGACGACAGATGGAGCCAAGGTCAGGTGAGAGACAAGCTGAGATGTAGTCTTGTTGAGAGTCGAAGAGACAAATCGCCCAATCTGTCGCCCACGGGGAAGAGTGCACTTCTTATACGCCTGGCCATCGCCCAGCTCCAGCTCATCCGGGGCCAGCCTCCCAGGACGCCTTGCCCGCCCGTCTAATCCCTCATTTGCCATCCATCCCTCCAGAGTGGGATCTTCGCTGCGCCCGCCGCCCAAGAGCAGAGTCATCTGCGGGGGAGGCGCGATGGGAAAATGGAAACACCACTTAGAGTTAGACGTGAAGCCTACGGATGAGGAACGGGTCGAGGCTGGACTCCATAGATAACGCGGGTAGGCTAGGGAAAAGGACGAATAGGTTTGCAAGTGGTAATATGCTGGGGTCATCGCGTGTGGGCGCAGGACCCTTAGACTCGCACGGCATGACGCATTTCCGTCTGTCAGGCTGCTCTGGAGGTGGGGGAGCAAGGCCAGACGGGCGGTTCACAGCAGCGACAGCATTCGCACCGGGCGACAGTCATTGGTCGGCTGGTTCACGATGCTGCGCAGGACCGCCGGTAGCGTCTGGGGAAGGGGGACGAGAGCCCGGAGGCCTGGGGTAATAAGCAGCGTTGGCAGTTACTCAATCTGCGGCCTGTTTCGGGTGGATTGAGAAGTCGGCCCCCTTAGATTGTGTTAAAATTAGGCTAGATTGGATTGGATTGACTAGATTGACTAGATTGAGTTATTGTCTGACTTAGCAGAGGCTTCTTACTGAATTATAGTTATCAGGCTCTGAGGCACTCGACTCATTTAAAAATCTCGTCATTGATGAGGCCTTGGTCGCGCCTTGGCCCTTGAGGGCATCTCGGCAGCCGCAGGGGGCAGCCTCGAGGCTCGGCGGCCAATAGGTAGCCGCCCGGGGCCTGGTGGGTGGGGCTAGGTCAAGGTAGGTGGGTCAAGGCCCGGGCAGCCCAAGGTGGGTCACGTGGAGACCCACCTTCCGATCCAATAGCTACCCTATACTCGCAATAAAACACCAAAAATACTACGAATTATCACTAAATACACGCTATAAAGGGTATTGAAAAAATATTTAATAGCTACCTACTTGGATTGACTTTAACTCAATCTACTTCCGCGTGGATTGAGGGGATTGAATAAGGCAAAAATAGCCGGATTGGATTGAGTGGAAGACTGATTGAGTAGGTCTAGATTGAGTAACTGCCAACGCTGGTAATAAGTTGCTTAGTCTTGCACGGATTGGCTCGGATAGCGCGTCGGAAGAGGGGGAATTGGTACATAGGCAATGCTCGGTTCGCTGGATTATCAAAGGCCCGCGGGTGGGAGACCAGACCAGCCCAGACCAGCCCAGCCAAACCGCCATCCAGCCATTGATCCTCCAGCGGGAAATGGTACACCTGAATCGAGGCTCGATACCTCCTCACTCTCAATCCTCACGGAACATGGGTCAAGACGGATAGTGAGTGAGTTGCAGTCGACTCACCAGATTGGGATGGATCGTTGGCGATACGTACGACGTGCGTGTGTTAGCAGGCAAACGAGACGGGTGCTTGCTTACTGCAATATGTTCGTGCAGAGATGAGCATGCGATTTTCCACAATGAGATGTGATTGCAATGCATTTCCAGCATCGAATGAGACTCAACCCAGCTCAACGCCATCACGGGCAAACCTCGCCTCCCCCTGGCTACCTTACCACACCAAGGTACGGATGGTGCTACTGTGGCCAAGACAGCGCCAACCCAACCTTCTCGACTGATGTCACTGCAAGGCTGCGGGGCGCCTGTGGGAAACTCACAAAGACAGATCGGCGCAAGTCAGTCGAGCGCGACGTCGGCCGGCCACAGAGCCCTGTGCTTGATTCATTCCCTACATGTGCCGTGGCAGAGGGCTTGAAGGATATGTGTGCTGATGCAATGTCTCCGCTCGGGTCGTCACCACGCTACGAGAGTTGATGGACGGGCCGCTGATCGTCCGTCGCTCCCCTCGCCGCCGTGTCGACGGCTCGATGCATCTCATTACGAACCGAGCAAAGGCCTTTTGGGCTGTCCTCCGATGCTGCACGCCCGGCAGGCATCAATCGATGAAGCGCGAGGCTGGCCGACTGCCTGGTGTGAAGTAAGGGACGGCAAGGTTGAAGGCGGTGAGGCTGCTGCTGGGCTGGGTCGCATGCATTGGCAATGCACGCATGTAACGCTGTAACGCCGTCCAGGGCTCCAGGCTGTGATACACCACCCCCCGATCTTGGACAAGAGAAGCATTCGCCGGGCTGGCTTACACGCTCGCATCCAGCCTCCAAAGAGGGTGTTGGGGTGCGGGGAACGGCATGACTCCAGCGGCCTCTAGCAGGCCATACAGGGCGTCTCGTTGGAGGAGGCCTGCGAGGTGGAATGCAGCCTCTTTAAGGTTTGCTGGATTCGTTGGCTCGAGTCACGCCGTTTGGCCTTGAGGCTTGCATGCGTGCATGCAGCCATCCAGACGTCGAGGCAAACGCTCTTCTTGCTTGCTTTCTTTTTCGCCGTGCTTGCTGAGATGGCTCAAGGATCAACATAACGTCCCACGAAAACTCGAGAGGAAGTAAACACGCCAACAATGTCGTCACGGCTGGCTGAACCAGGAAGGAGAATGCACAATCACCAAAGCTGCCCAATGAGACGTCGGGGATGAGCTGGAAAAGGGATGCGCCGTCGCCACCCACGTCGATTCGGACGGAATGGTCTGAGCGTCTGACTCGGTCGACTGCCGCTGGCCGGCTGAGGCTGAAGAAGCAACGAGACTGCCATCTGTTGTGTAGGTGTGTGTGTTCGCACCCGCGCATGCGCTTCACTCCTGAAGCTGTAATAACTGCTTGTAGCTTGTGCATCGTCCGGAGTTGCTTCAGAATGCAGTACATATTGGACTGCTTCCGTTGATTCGGGGCTGCGGCTGCGGTGCGGCAGCAGAAATCACTCGCCTCCATCAGTTCCATCATAGGAGCGGAGCCAGATGTTCACTTACGGCAATGAGACGCGCTTTGAGAGGATCCATTCCATCAAGTCCCTTGATCTTGGACAAGAGAAGACGAAGCCCCCGATTCTCACCATTCAATGTGGATGAAGAAGCGGGTCGGCCAAGGTGAAGTACAAGTAAAGGTAATTAATTAAGGGGGGAAGCAGAGACGGTCGGAGTCCTTGCTGCTGGTGACACTTCCATTCCTCGCCTCTTCTCGACTCTGATTCTTAAGCAGCATTATCTCGCAAATACGGCATTGCTTTTCGCTGCATTGCCTTCTTTCCTATCGTTTTTTTTTGGATGGCTCGCTGCTTCACTGGGAGAGAAAGAGAGAGTCGACGTACGGATACGTGTGCGCTAGCGCCTGCAGTAGCTGCAGCTCCGACAGGGATCTGGTGGCTGCAGGCCCCACTGACGTCTGGGATCTCCACTCTACATGTGGCCCCCGGCCAATGGGATCATCGGGAAACGAGCAGAAAAAAAAAATGCACAAGATGCTCTCGTGCTTGCTGCCGATTCCTGCGCGGGTCGCTCGAGCTCTTGCCTGATATCCCTGGCTCCAAAAAAAATAATCCAACGGCTGAGCAGCCTCTCCGGGACCCCTACAGCAGTTTACCTTCCAGCGAGGCCCCTTGGTTGACGGCAGACCGCCCTCTTGTCATTCCAGTTGCCCCCCGACTGCGCCCGAAGCATCATCACTCAACTCCCCTTCATTGTCCAGCCTGTCCATCCCCCTTGGTCCCTTTTCTCATCCACGGCATCGTATATCATCGCAGGTGATAGACTAGTAGTACCGTGCAATCATCTTGTCGCGGCTGGGAACTACCTATCTAGTCGCACGCCACCACACATCCCGAGAACGTGGCCGCGCATCAACAGAACACACGATCCCCAACTTCCATAATCCCCGTCGTTCCTCCTTCTATCCAGACACTTCGTCCCTCGCATCCTCACAATGCCGTACAATACTCGTCGCAAATCGTTGTCGCTGCCCAGCCTTGGGATCCATGTTCCCACGAGCAATGCGGCGCGCGCCTCCATGTCATCGTCTACAAAGTCCAGCAGTCGACCCTCGACGTCCTCGACATCGCCCTCGTCGCGGCCCTCGATATCGCAGCCAGATACCCCCGACTCGCCTCCCAGCAAGCGCATCAAGCGATCCCACGACGAGGATTCCGTCGCCGTGGTGGACACAACGCCTCCCGCGTCGCCGACTCCTGCGACCAGCGTCGAGATGGCCGACCCCGAACCGGTGCGAAGAAAGGTCGACTTGGAGGGCATCAACGACGACATTGTCGAGGCCGTCATCACGCAGCTCCAAAACACCGACAACCAGCCCCATCTCATCAAAGACCTGGCACTCATGCTCGCGTTGACGCTTAGATCCGTCCAAAAGTGAGCCGCTCCCCTCAGAGTGGCGCGAGTCAGTGCGCTAACCACATTATAGTTCCGCCAACCCGTGCGCTATCATCTCATCACGATTGGCTTCGTACATGAAGCGCCCTTGCTGGACGGCGCTGGCACCGTGCCCCTTGGCCAAGGAGCTCGAGACAGTCCACCCTCGTCGCACATACTACTTCCTTACCACTCTCCCGCGTCAGCCGTTGCCCGAGTCAGGCGTCATACCGCCAGCCGTCACTCTCGCCAGTGCCGTTGCGGATCTCACGCCTTCCGTGTCGTTGACAGACGACTCCGGCTCCGACTCGTACGAGGATCGTCGCCGTCAGTTGAGTCCGTCTCCTGAACTCGACTTGCCATACTGCGACTTTGATCTCCTGGACGACATGCCCGATACGCCCATGGGCTCGCTGCCCAAGCCGGCCTCCCCCCCCCGCGATCTCAGGTCCCTGCCGCACGACCTACCTCCGCTGGAGAAGGACGAGCGCGAGTTCACACAGACGGCGGACACCTTGCTGAAGCGCAAGTTCAACGAGCCCCCCTCGACCTCGCAGGAGCTGGCCACTGCCGAGTACGGGTATCGCGACGAGCTGTGGTTCGGCGACAGCAACACCACAGCCTTCCTCACAAGTCCAGCCATGAGACCCAGTGCCGGGTCAAGCAGTCGCAAAGACGAGGAAGCCGACAATTGGCTCCGCATGCACAAGCTCTTTGAGCTAGATCAGACGGCTGGCGCCGAGAGTATCGAGATCGATGAGCTTGACGGCCTCCTGGAGGGGTGTTGAGTGTTTACTGCTTCTTGCGCATATTGTACGACATCAAAATCACGTTTGGCGCATTTGGAGTTTGTGAGATGACAGGTACTCACTACACGTACCGGTATACCTGTGGAGGCGACATGATTTTACTTGATTCGACGACTGATTTTGCTGGTTGAACGATTTGATTTGATTGAGGGAATCTCTTGTATATGTAGATTGACGGTCTCTGCGCGATGGCAACGTTCTGGCGTTCAGGAAAGGATGGATTGACTCTTTGCGTGGAAGCAACAAGACTCTGAAGATTTCTCATAAAATGGAAATGCCACTCATTACAGACTTTACTCGTACAATGATACATACATACGCTGTGCATGATGGCCACGTTGCCCGCCTAGGGAGCCGCGTCCTTCACCCTCAGCTCGACCCAGACCAGCGTCCCGAATTGCAGCCACTTGGGTCTCTCGATCTTGACAATTTCGAGGCCGGGCGTCTTTTGCGCGGCCTCCTCCACCAGCCCCTGGATATCCCTGTTCCACCAACAGCCGTACTTGGCAAAATGTTTGTCGGCATCCTTGTCCAGCAACCCATTCAGGATGCCGAACCACCCCTTGCCATGCTCGAGAAGTATAATCTTGCCCGTGTTGGGTTTCACGGCGGACGCCAGGTTCGACAGCACAGCCACCGGGTCTGACACGGAGCAGAGGCCAAACGTCTGCACCACCGTGTCGTACTTGTCCCCCCGCGCCGTGGCGGGGAGTGGCTTGTGCGCATCCGAGTTGATCAGGCGCAGGTGCCCGTCGAGAAACGACAGCTGTCCGCCCGTGCGGTCCGGCATCGTCGCGGCCCCCACGACCGGCGCCGAGTCCTTCATGGGCGGCACGGCCCTGACAAGCCGTCGCCGCGCGACGTCGAGCATGTCAGCCGAGATGTCCAGCCCCGTGAAGGACGTGACGCCCTTGGCGACAATGTTGGGCCGGCCCGCAGCGTACTGCGACAGCGCGAACCAGTCGTAGTACTCCAGGTTCCGGCCGCCGCCCATGGCGAGCTCGAGGACGTTGCCCCTGGCCTCGGCCGCGAGCCTCTTGCGCAGGGCGCGGATGCCCATCCACCACTCGGGAAAGTCGAGCTCCTTGTCAAAGTTGTCGGCATTGTCGCCCGTCAGCGCAGGGGGCCGGCCCGTCGGTATGGAGTGCTCGACGCACGGGCAGCCCGAGGCCTTGACGGAGGCGGCGACTGTGCCGACAATGTAGAAGCCCAGGGCGCCGGCGAGGAGGACAGCGCCGGACAGAGGCAGCCAGTGGGTTTTCCAGATGGACGCCACGGTCTGGGGTTCGGGGGGGTCGACATGGTCTCGTACGTTTGGCTCGCGGGGCTTGATGCTCGATCTTGATCCATATGGGTTAGTCTGGGTAGCTATAGATGGTAGCTGGGTCCGTACGGCTTGTAGGGTATCGCTCGTGATGGTTTCGAGGCCTTGGTCTTGGTCTTAGGCAACGCACCGCGTGCGCTGGAGCTGGCGAGACGCTGCCATTGCGGACGATGGGGGAGGGCCAGCCTCGTCTGGAAGAGGCCTCTTGCTGAGCATATCATGAGTGGTCGAGGTGCATTCTGTCGTGCAGCGAAATTTCCAGGGTGGTCGAGGAAGAGCTTGCTTGAGCCGTGATCGAAAGTCACCATCTGGTGGGCCCCTGCCGCGTTTTCAGCATGGGGGACTCGGACGGAAAGATGTGGGGCACTCTCCTGCCTTCCAGCATCGCGTCCCGCACGTACATCGTGATCTTCGTACCCTGCACCAAGGTGATGCATCATCAATAGGACTCCATCGTGGCTCATACTATCCAGAATCCACCACTTAGCATATACATTCTATAGAGAGCCAATATGTCGAGTCATGGAGACCTCCAGGAGATGCTGCGCATGTTCACCACGCGCAAGGTGTCCATGCTAGGCGCAATGAAGCACGTTCAAGCTCTACAAGCCAAGAACATCAAAAGGTATTGTCGTGATCCGCACCCAGGCACGCCACGTTTACTCATATCTCTAGCATTGATCAACTGGCATCAGCCCCATTGAATGACCTGGCGTCAACACTGTCTGACGCCAAACTCGCAAAGAGTATACAGATGGCTTGCAAATCGCACAGCAAGAAGCGTCCTGCTGATGCAGCCTCAACCTCCTCACCACCTTCCGCCAAGAAGGCAAAGATCGAGCCGACAAAGCGAGATCTGGATCTGGGTCGTATGTCACCCGATGAACTAGAAGCAGCTCTCGCCCTGCCCCTGACGGAAGACGAGGATGTCATACGCAGCACGACCATAGTCACCAACAGGGCGCCGCTACTGCTGGCTTTCGCCATCGAGTTGATGAGGGTGACCATGCCAGAGCAACCGCTCAGCAGCAGGCTGAGCCTGGCACAGGCGATTGTGAGCGCGAACTCGAGATCCAAGGCGGTCAGCCTGGGGCTGGAGAAGACGAAAGAAGGCGCCGACGTCTCTGAAGGGCAGCCCAAAGTCAGCGTGATGGGTCGACAGGTCCCTGTACTCAAGAGAGGGGGCTACACATGGAGCGGCGGGCCGTCCACGACAAAGGCCTCTTCCTCGACAGCAGCGCCCGAGGCCTCGCCACAAGGATGGAAAGCGAGCCAGAAGCTATCGTCACGGGGCTCAACGTTTGTTGCGCATGCCATCTCGATCGATTCGCCAACTCGCCGGTCAGACTACATGACGACTCTGATGAGTCAACATCCTTCCTTGGAAAGCGCTACGCACAACGCCTGGGCCATCCGTACAAGCTACGGAGCCTCACCCCTGGTTCAAGAGGCGTCCTTTGACGACGGAGAGACGGGGGCTGGCAAATTTCTACTGCAAGTCATGCGAGAGTCAAAGGTCACAAACGCGCTCGTCGTCATGACGAGGTGGTATGGAGGTGTCATGCTGGGGCCCGACCGGTGGCGGCTGATGAGGGAGGTGACGAATGACGCTATGAGCGCGACGCAGCGGAGAGTCGGCAACCTGGACGGCGGCGAGGCAGTCTGGGCTCTTGACGTCGAGGACACCAAGCCGGTCGACTCTACAATTGGCATGGCGATTCACAGACCCGAGGGGGCCAGGAACTACATTCTGAGATCGTTTCAGGGGGTCAGCGAAGGCGAGGAGAACAAGAAGAAGACGGTGGCAGCGGCCAACGACGAAAGGCAAGAGAACCTGGGCCGATTGCTGGGAGCTTTGCGAATGCTTTTCGAGAGCTGGAAGGATGTCGTGGGCCGGCGAGAGCTGGATGGCAAAGCCTGGAGCTGGTATGTCAATATCAGGCCCGAGGTTGAAGCTGGGCCAGGGGGTTGGGGTGCCAAGGGCAAGGTCGATCTCAGCAAGATCCTGAACCTGAGAAGAAAGGCTCCAGAGTAAGTTGCTGGGAGGTGATGAATGAGTGTTAGAGAGAGTATCGGCAGTATCAATATGAAGGACCCTTCTCTTATCTTATCGAGGACCCCTCTTTGTTTGCCTGGCCCCCGACGCGAGAATACGCGATATTACCCCACACTGCGCTCGGGCTGAGCACTACCCACGCGATGCTTGTTTGGTCAACAAACATTCTTTGCACAGCAACCCTTTGATCAAACTTTCTCCAATATCCATTGTCTGCAACCGTCAGTAGGCTGAGGCACTTCCTTTTTCCAAGCCCCGATAGATTTGATTCCGACGAGTACGACGCCACGATAACGACGACTTTGACGAGACATACTCGAATCGCTTTTGGCGGGCCAACGCGATCTAGTAACGTCACCAAGATTGTAAGGTCTGAGACACTGCCATCAGGTCAAAGCGCAGCGCCCTTTCAGTACGACGAGTCCCACAGGGACAGCAGCACCATCTCCCAGTTTCTTTCGGCTCACAGTCCGCCGAGAGCCACCGTCGCCATGGAAAATTACCAGAAGCTGGAAAAGGTCGGTGAGGGTATGTGACGCTGCAGCCTTGATTCGCCATGCGTCACCCATCCTGACAGTCCACAGGTACCTACGGTGTTGTCTACAAGGCTCGAGACCTGTCCAATGGCGGTGCCATTGTGGCCCTGAAGAAGATCCGACTCGAGGCCGAAGACGAAGGTGTCCCCAGCACGGCCATCCGCGAGATCTCGCTGCTCAAGGAGATGAAGGACGACAACGTGCTGCGCCTACTCAACATTGTACACGCCGATGGTCACAAGCTCTACCTCGTCCTCGAGTTCCTCGAGCTCGATCTGAAGAAGTTCATGGAGTCCCTTCCCGTCTCCGAGGGCGGACGCGGCAAGTCTCTGCCCGACGGCGTGAGCCGCCGCGTGCAGGCCATGGGCATGGGCGACGCCGTTGTGCGCAAGTTCATGATGCATCTCTGCCTGGGACTGCGCTACTGCCACTCGCACCGCGTGCTGCACCGCGATCTCAAGCCGCAGAACCTCCTCATCGACGCCGACGGCAACCTGAAGCTGGGCGATTTCGGTCTGGCGAGGGCGTTTGGCGTCCCGCTCCGTACGTACACGCACGAGGTCGTCACGCTATGGTACCGCGCGCCCGAGATCTTGCTGGGCGGGCGACAGTACTCGACCGGTGTCGACATGTGGTCGGTGGGCTGCATCTTTGCCGAGATGTGCACCCGAAAGCCCCTTTTCCCTGGTGACTCTGAGATTGACGAGATCTTCAAGATCTTCCGGTACGTGCTGGCAACGAGGTTCGAGAGAGAGGAAACTGCCGCTGACAAGACTTACAGTGTTCTCGGAACGCCCTACGAAGACGTCTGGCCCGGCGTCACGTCGTACCCCGACTACAAGGCGACATTTCCCAAGTGGCGCCGCGACTACGGCGCTGCGCTCTGCCACAACCTAGATGACAGAGGTCTCGACTTGCTGGAGATGATGCTCGTGTATGATCCTGCGGGTCGCATCTCCGCCAAGTCGGCCGTCAACCACCCCTACTTTGAGGGGTACTGGGACGAGGAGAAGCTGACAAACGGAGACACGCACTAGATGGGCGTGCCTCAGCCGTGGGAAGACATGCAGCCTCAGCGTCGGCCATTCTTGTCACACAGGGTATTGTAAAGAGCGAAGGCGTAATCTGCGCTGGTACTAACAGGGCGAAAGCTGCCTACAGAGAGAGGCAGACAGAGAGGACCAGACACGAGGCACAATGATATCCGCATGTATTCAGTCCCTTTGTTACGGAAATATGTATAGACAGGACGCACGCATTCAGGGGTTCAGGGATAGGGCGGCAGCCCGCAACGCGCAATCCAAATGAAAATTTCACAGCATTCTTTCCGTTGTCATGACAATAAGGTTAGAGAAAGGACAGCACGTTACTGCTCCATGCCATGGCCCAGAGTGCATGGCGGCGCGTCTAGTGAGCGGACAGGCCTGGCTGCTTCCGCGCCTTGACACGCAGGAAGACGAATATTCGGGGCACGACTGATTGGACACAACAGCCGCGCACACAAATAGAACACTATAGTTTCATGAGACGCGGCTCTTGACGATACCGTGAGGCTGGGGCGGCTGCTGCCACCGGCGCTTAGGAAACCAGATCCAGTCCGTTAAGCGCCCGTACAGGAAAGCAGCCGCTCACACCTAATTATGACTACGTGCGACGAGCGAGCGGTTGATTCCTGCCAACGATGTTTCGCCTGCAAGGGGAAATCTGTCAGAGCGAGGTTGCGCAAGTCAAACAGCACGTGTTGTCTGTTCCACAAGATTCGGTTCCTACAGCAGGCCGCTGCTTCATCTCGCGCTGCACAGCCCCAGCGGACCTGGGCGTAGCCAGCCCGCGAGGTCTCTGGATTGCGTGATCCCGTGAGCCGCAGCGGTCTTCTGCAGAAAGCTCTCGCAAAGGAACAAGTATCGACAAGGACGTCATTGTTGAATGAGCCTCTTCACATTGAGTTCTGCGGATTGACGGTGATGATGCGGACAGAGGCTCCGCGCGACTCCGGTAAGAGGCCGGCCTGTGGCTGAGTTTTGGAGTGTGGCTGAGGTCCAGTCATTATCGGCAGCAGCTCCGTACAGCACGTGAGAGGAGGACACGCACCACTTGTAGCCCCCTGTAGCCCCTGCGTTGGTCAAGCCACAATTCGGCAGATGATGTTCCACGCAGCTGGATTGGTCACTTTCCTGCCGTGTGGCTCGTGTTTCAGCTGCCCTGCGCACTGGCATGAAGAAGGTACGTACATGTCACTTGGCAACAGGACACGAGCGCGCCGCTCGCATGATCATGGTCATCTAATCAATGTTGGCTCAAGGCATCGAGTGCATGATTTTTGCCCAACCATGGGCTCAAGAGAGCGGTCAATGAGACCGTCATGAGTGCCTACAGATTCAGCAGGTTGGGCTGCCTTCTTGTGGACCGACCAGCCATGCATGACGGGCAGCAAATGCCAGCGTGTTCCCCCTCGCAGAAGAGATGCGTAATACGTACCCTACAGTGCATCTTGACCGCCGGCTCAGGAGACAGATCCGGCCTGCAGACATCTATCTGTAGGGGGTGGAGGGGCAGCCACAACGGTTGGCGCGGAGGAAGCCGCCATCTTTTGGAATGCGATTGCGCGTGGCTTTGGGACTAGCACACGGAGACTAGCATGAGAGCCTAGAGGTTCTGTGCTCCCTTTCCCTGCCATACGACGCCGCCCAATACATGCGTGCTTTGGGCTGGTATGCCCGAGCCGTGATTAGTGTCCATTCCTCGAGGTGGAGGCCATGATGAGGGCTCGATAGTCTGTGGTCGGGCAGGATATAGCAGTCAAACAAGTCTTGAGACATTGTGTAATTAGTAGGCGGTTCACCGTCGATGAGTGGTGAGGCGGCGAAGTCGCCGTCAGCAAGGGGGACCGAGGAACCGAGAAGCAATTCCAAGTGACGGTGCGAGCGAGCGGTATGCGAGTGCTGGCTGGTGTCGTGGGACTGTTGATCGGTACCTCACTAGTAGACTAGCCGATCTGTCTTTGCGCGGCGCGCGTTTGCAATGTCCCTCTCCACGCGAAGAAGGTCGAGGTCAGACGCCACAGTCTTGACGTGCTCCGGTAGCGTGGCGCGCCTCGAGTCACGGTGCGGACAGCGTGCAGACTGATGTTTCGCTCTGATCCGAGAAGGGCAGTTGGCAGGCCGTGGGCCTTGGGACGGCTCCCTGCGTGGGAGTGGATTGACGCGTGCTGGTTACGAGTAGTACACGTACAACGCTCTTGCAAGTAATCAAAGTATGGTAAGCAGGCGCCTGCTTCGATACACGACCGGCGGTCGGCGCCAAAATGCAAAACACAGACAGGAAAAGCAGCAGATGGCTACTGAGGCAGAGTGATTGGGTGAGAGTGGCAGCGCGACAGGCAAGCAGCAGATCTGCCTGTCTGCAGGAGGAGACTGCTCCACGTCTGAGAGACTGTTTCATGTTGCGGCTGCTGTGGCCCAATCAGACCAGGCGGTTAGCGTCCAGTCCTCCCGCCCGCCAGCTGCAGTGGGGTCTGGTGCGACTGGACGCCGCCTGGGGAAGGCTTAGGCCCCCTCGAGCAGCTGGAACCTCCCTGACAGCGGCCAGCAGCCACTCATGACACAGGCACGGCGGTCGCTCGAGATGGCCACGTCCAGTCTCTGGGAAGCGAGACGACGTGTTCATGCGTTGGAACCGCGCAGAGCAAACAGGATGAGAGGGTTGGTACGGATGGAACATTTTTGTTGGACCGCAGGCATCGCTGGCGAACATGTGAGGGTCTCCACGGGTTTCCGATGTCTGGTATTAAATGTATCAGGTGCCCGTCACCGTCCACCTGCCTGCTTGCCTGCCTGCCTGCCTGCCTGCCCTCCTGAGTCTCAACGCTACTTCGTGACCAGAGACATCCAGTCCGGACGTCCCCTACACCCTCACCACCCCCTTCCTCGTGCGTTGGAATTTTCGCTGGGCGATTTCCCCCCTTCCTTCTTTTCCCTTTTCGACTCTTCACCAGCGACTCTTTCCAAGGGCGGGCACCTTCACCCAGTTTCTTTTCTCACTCTCTCGTTCGCAACTCGCAAGCAGTTCCGCACAGGTCGACTGACTGACTGCCCTTTGCCATCCCGTTGCCACACGCGGAGATCCTGACCGGGGATATCCTCACCCTTTCTCAGCAACACCGACGACTATCACATACCTCTGCGAGGTTCAGACGACCGTGGAGACCTGCCAAGCGGACATTGGACATCGTCATCGCTGTATCCGCCCTTTATTACCTACGATTGCCTTTCTTTGACCCTCATTATTCAATCATCTGAACTATTCAATTCCTGCATCTCGACAACGCCCTTTGACAGGACGCATCGTTACGCCTCTCTTTTTGGATAATAAGGACCGCCTGTCTGTCTGCTACTTGTCTGGTTGATCCAAACCTCACCAGCGATTCACGCCTCTGCGACCCAACAAACAACACGCTCACGACCACGGAAACCTTAGTTGTACTCGCTTCTCTTGATCGGAATATCAAGACGCCAGTACCACCCCAAGTCAAACGCTGCCTTGGCCCTCGGCTTCCGACAGCGCACCGCACCGCACCAGCACCAGCCACACAGCTGAGCCACCTCGCCAGATCAACTGCCTACGCAAGCCGTCTTTCCTAATCCGGCCATCATCGGCAAGATCCCTGCCACCCTCCACCGGCGACACCCCATCGACCCGCATTCTCTCAGCTCAGGCCTCGACCTAGAATTGCAGCGGACACCCGAAGTGTGGGATTCTGGACGTCCAAGACTCCAAAGGACCCCTGACAATCGAATTCCAGCGCACTCCGCCTCGTGGTCGACTAGGGAGTACGTACTAGTCAGTCCAGACAACTAGTAGTACCTGACAGAACCGTCACTTGACCGCCCACGTCCAGTCACTGTTGTTCACCATCCGCTGCCACATGTACAGCTCCTGTCCTGCTGTTCAGTCGACTTTTCCTCCATACTTCAACCCTTTCCTGTTCACGGGTGTTTTGGTTGCCTTCACCTAGAGACATCCCCTCTCTTTGCCGATCAAGAACAATCTTCAGCTATACCCACACTCTCACTCACTCTTACTCTCGCTCACCCACACAACAACACACCATGGCATCAAGACATCTCACCATGGACGAGCTCAACCAGACGGCTCTCGAGCATTTTGTCTACCAGCCGGTCAACAATGACATGATTGCTTTCCTGGCTCATGCCGCCCAGAACGTCATCTCATGCGATCCTACAACCTACTCTCGCTCCAAGAATCCCCCGACTCCCCCCAGGACACCAGAAGCCGATGCCGAAGACCAGCTCGACAAGTCTCTTCCTTCTGTGGAAGACTTTATCCGCCAGCTCGTCGTCTCATCCAACGTCCAGGTTCCCACTCTCATGGCCAGCCTCGTCTACCTCACTCGTCTCAAGGCTCGCCTTCAGCCCCAGGCGCGAGGTATCCGATGCACCACCCACCGCATCTTCCTCGCCTCTCTCATCCTGGCTGCCAAGTATCTGAACGACTCCTCGCCAAAGAACAAGCACTGGGCAAAGTACTCGCACATCTCCACCCAGTACTACAACTTCGGCTTTGATCGCACCGAAGTGAACACCATGGAGAAGCAGCTTCTCTTCCTTCTCGAGTGGGACCTGCGCATCCACGAGGAGCACCTATACGCTGAGCTCGACTACTTTCTGGAGCCTCTTCGTGAGAAGATCCTGGACCGCCATCAGCGCAAGATGCAGGAGCGCGAGGACAAACTGCGTCAAAAGGAAATGAGCTCTGCAGCCCGTCGCTACCCCAGCCCAGCCTCCTCAAGGGAGGGTTCCCGCTCCCGCTCCCGCCATGCAGCAAGGGAGCACACTCGCGCCACCAGTAGCGGCTCAACCCCCGGCCTCATCTACAGCAGCTCGGCGAGCTCATACGCTTCGTCCACCTCCAGTCGCCAGCAGTCACGCGCGACCACGCCTCTGGACTACGCTGAGCCCGACGCTTACGCCATGATGGCTGCCCAAGGCAGTCTCTGCGAGTCGCCAGTTCACGTCTACGTCGAGGAGAACAGCAAACGCCACCGAAGCAACTCCGGTGGTCGTCTGCCCTACGAGATTTCCGAGCAAGAGTACCAGCAACTGCAGGACGACGGCTCGGCCAAGAAGAGACAGAAGCGTGGTGTTCTTGGTCGTTGGTTTGGCGCCACAGCCGTGCGATAGATGTATCTTCTCATCAGCAGCATATCGGGCGTTCACTGCACTTTTCTCTCTCATTATTCTTTCTACATTCAGCATCTCTCTGGAGTTTGGGGTCGGTTTCATTATTGGCGTTCTCAGGGACTACTATTATGACGAGGCACAGTACGAGTACGCAAAGGAGTCAGGTATAAAAACGAAATGGGTATTGGTATGATGAATATGCACCTCCATCGGGAAGATGCGAGTAATTCGCGGCTAGAGGGGACACAGGCTTACGATACCTACACCCCGCGGCAACGGGGTGTGTTTGATTAGATACTGTTTGTCTAGGAAATGACCGCAGTAGAGACACTGCAATTTCCCGGTCACTTGCATTGTTTGCCCTGCAGAACTGTCATGCGTGTCGCGTAATTCGTGAGACAAAGTGTCCCCTTGCCAACCCATCCAGCAGGGCATGTTCCAATCTTGAGCACGTTGCGGTCAACTTGCGTAATTGGCTGTTCTCACTCAATGGAGGCTCGACGAACGGGTAGGCACATTGTAATACGATACGATGCCTACCCGTTTTGCAACGTGTTCGCGTGTAATGGGCCACGAGACGGTGGAGGCGGCACACTGGCGAGCGAGCAAGCACATGGGCAGGTTTGTCTTGCACCGCATGTCATCGCGTGTGAGATGACCACCGCAGATGTGATTCCAAAAGTACACTGCACGTCTCACGAGAAGCGTGATGTACTGAATCATATCCTTCATTTACTTCGTGTAGCTGTAGTAAAGATGCGTGTATGTCTATGTACCCTCAACGCCTGCGCGCTCAAACACATTCTTTTCAGTTCACCCCTCATCCGCCGTCTAGTACACCTCGAGCACGTAGCGTCCTTGCTCCTTGAGCTTCTCAATCTCCTTGACGGGATCGACCTTCTTGGCACCGGCGGCCTTGGCATCCAGGGCGATGGCCTCCTGGAGCACGGCGGTGACGTCCGGGACGGGCCACGTGGGACCGCAGAGATAGAAGCTTCCTTCCTCCTTGATGTAGGCCTGCACGATATCGCGGACCGTCTGGCGCATACGATCCTGGATATAGATCTTCTGCGGCTGGTCACGAGAGAAGGCGGCGCCAATGAGCGTGACGACGCCCGAGGCGAGGTACGCCTCCCACTCCTCGCCGTAGAGGTACTCCTCGCGCTGGTGACGGGAGCCAAGGTACAGAAGAATTGAACCAATCTCCTTGCCCTGCGCCTTTTGCATGGCCCGGTACTGGACAAAGGCACGGAAGGGGGCGAGGCCGGTACCGAGACCGGCCATGATGAGGGGCGCTTTGTCGTTGGTGGGCAGCTTCATGACCGATGGCTTGACCGAGGCCGTGACGGGCGTGCCGGGCGTGAGTCTGCTAAGGTAGTGACTGGCGTGGCCATAGCGGGTGCGGCCCTTGGGGTCGACCCAGTCGACGACGACGATCATGAGGGCGACGGAGGTCGGGGTGACGGCCTGCGCCGACGCAATGGAGTACTCGCGACGCTTCAGCGGGCTGACAATCTTGAGCAGATCGTGGAAGCTGGGGCGGGCCGAGGTGAACTCCTCGAGGATGTCGACGTAGGTGGACGTGTCGACCTCGCTGCGACGCTTGAACTCGTCGGCGCCCTCGGCGCCGGCGAGCTGCTCGAGCTTCTTCTTCTGGGCCTCATCCGTGGCGTACTCGGCCAGGCCCTCGTAGAAACGCTTGGGCGGCTTGCCGAGAATGTCGACGTTCTGGCGCAGGGCCTGGAAGACGGTGCGCGACTCGAGCCGGTTGACGTCCTCGCGGCTGGGGACCTGGACAATGTCGGTGGCGTTGAGACCGTAGGACTCGATAAAGGCGAGGACCTGGGGCTCGTCGTTTTCGGCGTGGATGCCCAGCGCCTCGCCAATCTTGTAGTTGAGACCCGAGTCACCAAGGTCGAACTCAATGTGGAAGATGTTGCGGTCGTACTCCTGGGGAGTGAGGCGGCGGTTCTCCTTGACCGTGATGGTGCCTGTCTTGACGTTGAGATCGGGGCGGAGGGTGGTGCGTGTCCCGTAGGCCTCCTTGAAGACTAGACCCTTGGCGACGGCCTGCCAATCGCTGAGCTCAAGAGCCTCCTCGACCTCCTCCTTCTGGTAGGCGACGAAGCTGTTGGCCTGGATGGTGGAGGGCAGTTGAGGGTCGGTGTACTCAGCGTCGACCTCGGCCCACGTAGGGGAGACCTCGACCTTGCGGACGCACTGGTTGAGCGCATCGATGCACTCTTCATGCGTGGGTGGGTGTCCCTCGACACGGTTGAGCTTGGAGAACTCCTCGGATGAGACCTCGGGGCGTGCAATCCGGAGGAAGGCAAGCTCGAAGAGCAGCTTCGTGGACTGGGGTTCCTTCTCGAACGCGGGCGAGTACGAGATATCGAGCACGTGAAGCTGGGCGGCCTTCTCGTGGAGGGCCTTGAGGAACCAAGCAGGCAGACGCTTCTGAATCTCATCCTCCTTGAAGTTGGCGAGCTTCAGGATCACCGATCCATTCTCGGCCAGACCCTTTGTGACATCGACAGACTTGAGGATGCGGTCGTCAGAGACAACCACAACCTCGGCGGCGTCAACACCGTACGGCGCCTCCAGAGCTTTGCTGGAGGCGCGCAGGTCGGTGCGGACAATGCCGCCCTGAGTGAGGTTATCGTACGACTCGTAGACGTACACATTGCTGCGGGACTCCTTGGCGAGGGCAGTGCCAACTGCCGCGGCTGAGTTGAGGGTGGCGGAGTCATCCACGTCCCAGAAGGTGTACTCGCTGGCCTGGATGAGCGAGGGCAGCTTCTTGCTCTCGCCACCATTGTCAAAGATCTTGTGCAGGGTGTCGACGATGCCCTGAGGAGTGATGGCCTGAGAAGGCGTGTACTTGATATCGAGAACCTCGGGCTGCTCGGCGAACTTGTCGGAGAAGGCGACAGTGGTCAGCACATCACCGTACAGAGCCGACTGGACGGCCTCGTCGTTGACAGCGGTATCGTTCTGGACCTGGCCGAGAACGGCAATGGTGCGGGCCGAGGCAGGGATGGCCTTGAGGAAGGCCTCCTCGATAAAGGGCCTGTACACGCGGACGTTGATCACGCCGGCCTTGGCGCCATCGGCTGAGATCTTCTTGAGGACCTGCTTGGCGGTCTGGCCCTCCACGCTGCCAAAGGTCACGAGGACCACATCGGGGGTCTCGTGGCCATGGTACTCAAAGGGCTCGTAGATGGTGCCCAGCTCATCGTTGAAGAGCTTGAGCAGCTCGACGACCTTGCCAGCGGTGTCCAGGCGCTTGTTCAGCTTGCCCACCTCGGCGAAGAGCTTGTTGTACAGGTCGGCCACGCCGGACTGGCTGAGCGCATCGACGACACGGAGAGTCTCGCGAGCGACACGAACGCCATCGTACACGTGCAAGGTCGGGATGAGGGACGCCAGCAGGGTCGAGAAGATGGACATGTGCTGGGCCTCGTAGGTGGAGGTGCTGGAGACGAGGCCAAGACCCAGATCCTCGGCGAGGCGCAGAGGGGTGTCGTAGTCGGTCACGATGCCCTCGCTGGCCGAGTAGTCGGCGGCCGCGACATGGGCGACAAGGGGGCTCGATACACCGTACAGGAGGGAGAGCTGGTCGAGGCTGTTGCGAAGCTGCTGCAGGCTGCCCGAGGCGGCGACGAGAGACTGGGGGATGTGACGCTTGGTCACGTCAAAGTCCGGCGAGAAGATATATCCCAGGGCGAGGGCACCAGCACCGGTCCTGCTCTGGAGGGGGAGGACATCGGTGACGGCGTCGTGGATGTTCTTGTCGCCCGCGGCAGCCCAGTGCTTGAGGGAGGCGTCCAAGTCAAAGGTCTCGGGGGAGTAGGAGAAGATCTTGTCGGACAGCTGGTAGGCGATCTGCTGCACGAGCAGCTGAGCTGTCACGTAGGTTGGGCCAGATACGGAAGCGAGAGGCACCTGCTGGCCAAAGGGCAGGCTGGTGGCCTGCTTCTGAAAGCCGGGCATCTTGGATCACTTCACTTGCTGACGGGTGTATATGCCCCTTTGTCGTGAATGAGATCAGGGAGGAAGATGATGAGGAAGGGGAGGATAGTAGAAAGAGGATGGAGAGCACCGTTCCTATCCACCACGTCTGGCTCTGGTTGTATCACCGGCTCGAGACATTTTTGCCGGGCGGTGGCATTCCCAGCAGTCTCTGATGCCATCCATGGCTGCCAGTAATTAATGGGCATTGCGTGCTCGACAACGGTCAGTCCGGTTGGCGGATGGGGAAAATGTGGTTGATGGGCCATGTCTCGATGGCGGACGGCCCTGGATCACGCAATGGTGGGGCTACTGCCGTTTGCGGTTTAGCCCGCACCTGACGTGCACTCAAAAAACTCGGTCTTCGGGATCTCTCCAGGCAGGTCTGGCAGGCCACAGCGTGCGGCTGCCGATGGCCACAGGGTCCTCCGAGGGCCACTGTAGCCTGTACGCTGTCAGACCGTCCACTGTAGCGTCCGATTGCCGGCATGATGGAATTCTCACTTTCGGATCGTCGGCCAGGCAATCCCAACCGACTTCCGTGCCATTACTAGCACTAGACTACGTACTTAATAAAAAGACTAGTTTTAATAATCATCAATTATTACTCAGCATTGAATACAGGTAAGGTAGCGACAGGTTGGATGTTGGGTTCCGTGATGGGCTTCTCGCTTCAATAGGGCCAACGCGCTGTTCATGCCTTCTCAAGTTATCGATGAACACTACCACCAGCTGCCACTGCTTGTGCGTTCTCTTTATAACGAGGAACAGACTACATGAGCGTGCATTTTAGAATGGTTGGGACCATCAACGATCTTAATAAAGGCAGCTAAGCTAATCAGACCAGCGTTTATAAACAAGCCCCTTTTGTGTGTTCATCCAACGTTGCCACTTTGGCGGCTAATTATGCAGCCTCAACTACTCTGGACATAAATTCAAGTGCAAGGTTGTCGGCAAGGCCATCGCTCATGTTCAAGGCTTTCTACATTCTGATGGCAAAATCAGGGCGAGTTGGTGAACACAGCATAGTTGCACTCGGGTCAGGACAAACGAGCACGGCAATGTAGAATCGTCATTTATAGTAGTAAATACCAAGACCATGATATCATTTGCACGCTCAGAAACAACCACATTATTCCCAATGTTACACATTCCCACCCCTTTAGGCGTGGTGAGCACCGTCAGCGTCGGCACGGGGACCCATGGTCTCGTCAACCAGACCTTCGGGGTCGACGACCTTGCTCAGCTTGGCCACGATCTTGGAGCCAAAAAGATCACCAGACACGTTGATGGCCGTGCGGAAACGGTCAAGCAGCCAGTCAATGGCGACAATGACGGCGTACATGCCCGTGACCTCGACGTTGACCGAGTTGGCAATCATGATGACGAGGACAAGCGACGACGAGGGAATAGGTGTCGTACCGATGGAGGCAAGGGTGGCGAGCACGACGATGATGACGTAGTCGACGCCCTGGAGCACCTTGCCCTGGGTGGCAGCGAGGAAGACAACGGCCATGGGGAAGTAGATGGCGGTGCCGTCCATGTTGATCAGGCAGCCGAGCGGGCAGGTGAACTTGTAGACGGTGATGGGGATCTTCTGGGCGTGGGCGCACCGCAGAGTGACGGGGAGCGTCGCCGCAGACGAGGCAGAACCCCAGGCAGTGATCCAGGCGGGCGCGATCCGGAGCCAGTAGGTGTATGGGTTCTGGCGAGTGACCGCGAAGAAGATGATTGGCAGGATCACAAAGATGTGAATAGCCATGGTGCCCAGGGTACCACCGATCAGCATACCGAGGTTGGCGCCAATCTCGGCAATGGAGAGCTTCATCAAGTTGGACAGGACGAGGAAGAAGACACCAATGGGCGCGACCTTGATGAGGAAGGTGATGATGCGCATAATCATGCTCTCCAGCTCGACAACCAGCTTGTAGATCAGCGACTCCTTGGACTTGATGAGGTAGCCAATGACGCAGGCCATGATGAGAATGGCGAGGAGCTCGTCATTGGACAGTGAGTAGAAGACGTTCTGGGTGACGAAGGAACGGAAAAGCGTCTTCACCACAATGTGAGGTGGGTTCGCATCACCGCTGGCAGCCTTCTCATCGGCGGTAGCCTTGTCGGCGTCGCTGATGTTGAGCGAGTCGTCGCTGACTTCGATGAAGCGCGGGCCCCAGACGAAAGCGGTCATGATGCAGGACATGACAATGGAGAGGAAGGTCGTGAGGACGTAGTAGCCAATGGTCCACCTCGCGAGCCTGCTGCCACTGCCGTCGGCCATATCACGGAGACGGGAGACGGCGAGGATCATGGCGCAGATGATGAGGGGGAGAACTGGGGGCATTCGTTAGTCACTGATGGCGACGGCATAGTACTTGGACAAGCGAAGCTACTCACCGACAGCTTTAAGTGCACGCAACCAGAGGTCACCTGGGATGTTGAGGATCTCGACAGCCGGAGTAGGGACTTTGTCGACTTGCGTCGACACGATCAGACCAATGGCCAGAGCCAACAGCGCGGCGGAGACAATCTGCAAGGCCGAGCCAGGTGTTTTGAACGCCTTCAAGATCCGGCGGCCCATTGGCTGCTTTTCCTCCACGGTCTCAGGGTACTCCTCCGTGGGAGAACCCCGAGAGTCGACAGAGGAAGGCTCCTCGGCGGTAGCACCCTTCACATCGTGGTCGATCACGGTGCCCTGGGGCTGGTTCTCCGTGATGTTCTCGTTCTTGTCTGATGCGTTCATGGTGGGCGGCAGCGACCTGGATCCGAGAGACGGGCCTGGCAAAAGTCGTGTGCGAAGTAGGAGCGCAAGGAGGGGGAAGAGACGCGGCCTGGCCAGAGCGGCTGCGCTTCTCGACTTTATACGGCTACCACAGGCATAGAGAGGGGATCAGGACTGGAACTGCCAGGGTTCGTGGCGACAGACCAACAACAAGAAGACCCATACTGGTCCTGATAACAGCAAGTCAACCACCCAATGAATCGCCAAACAGTCCTTTCCCGCTGACCTGCCTGGTCTGCCCGCTGCTCCAAGCCACCAAGAGCTGATCTGGGGCAGTCTTGCCCAACAGGGAAGGTTGCCAGGTTCATCTTACACATTCGAATGCTCATGCAGCAAAGGATTGACAAGGATTTGCGAGCGCAAGAGTCTCGAGCGTGTGGGGATATCCGATAAGCGCGACCCTAGACCACTAGAAGGCTTGGCTGCAGCTTCTATGCAGACGAGCGCTGATAGCGATGAATGTGATGCCCTTGGCAGTCGGTCGAGGGCCGAGCTGCTGCACCTCCTCACGTCTTCCATCTCAGCGGTCAGCTTCACACTGTGAGTACAAGCAGGGGCGACGAGAGCGGCGGGAGGACTCTGCAACACCTATTCCTGGCTATACTTGTGCGCGTGTGTGCGGGAGTGAGGCAGAACGGGCTTCTGCAGGAATCAAGATTCAAGAGTGATATTGGCGGATGCCTTGTAGTGCCAAGAGCCAAGAGAATGGGGCGCTCCATCGAACCAGGGCTTTCCTCCGCCCTTATCTGCCGCCCCCAGTCACACTGTCGTGCACGGTCCACGAAACGGACTGCACGTCGAGGCACACAACGTGGCGGACAAGCTGACTTGGTGCATGGCGATCGCCTCCATCGACTCGGTGACTGGCTGCTGTGAAAAGTCGTCGTGGTCGTGGCTGCGTGACTGCGCTGATTGACATCCCTAATGTAGCCCTAGTGCGGCACCACCGAGGATGGCGATATGTAGTCGAGCAGTACCGCATGCAACCCCGAGGTTATCGTTAACCTTAATCTTGGCCGCAAAACGGATCAAAGCGCCGCAAGGCGGCAAGAAACGGTGGGCGTGGACCCCAACCCCCTAACGCTGAGCAGACACAAGAAAGCCGACTCGAGCGCGGGCGCTTGGACCATGTGGTGTCTGTCTTCTTATGTCCACCACGTGAGCCGCAGCCAGCCGCTACACCACCTTAATTCCCCAATGACCCTCTTTTTCTTCCGTTCGGCTGAGGGAGGACTGGACCGCCCGCATGTTCCAACAGTTGTTCGAGAATGCATGGCACACAAATGGTGGCATGGCACATGTGATCCCCCCTCGCTGACCGCTGGCTTTGTCGAACGCGAGCAAGCTGCAAAGTGCAAACCAGTGTGGCAGACGCAAGCTGGATGCATCAGTGGGCGAATGCTCATTCAATCTCCTTCTCTGCTTTCCCAGTGCACCGCGACCCCTTTTCGTCTCAAACCACGAAATGTAGCGCGATTCTTTCGGAGGCAACCCTCCATGTTGCCAGGCGCGCCCTGGAGTGGAGCAAACGTTGACGAGGGGCGAATATGTCGCTAACGTTAGTCGATGCTGATTACCACGCCCAGTAACGTAATTATTAGGGGGCATCATCGCATGCATGTTCATCTTGGCTACATGAACACGAGCGAATCAGCTTTCGTCGCACTAGCAGTGACTGCTTCTGGAAAGATGCTTCGAAGACCTTTGCCACAGTTAACGGTCAGCCCCGAATGTTGAAGTGGGAGATAAGCTCTTTTGCCTTGTCCGTGAGGGTTGCCTCCAGGCTGTCGTGAGGCGACTGTAGGCGTGATACGTACATTGGTTGTCAGTGGTGGTGAATGCACGTGATAGGCACTGAAATCACCCAGCCAGAGCTTCGGATCCTAATTATCGTTCTGGTGCGCCCTTTTCGCACTTTCATCATGATGGCTGGCCGGCTGGCCGGCTCTGCTCTTACGTATGGGAATGGTCTGGTGGTCCCTTGGCGACGCCGGGATCAACCATTGCACGCAACGCGCTCCATCGCGACTTGCTTGCACCAGCAGCACCATGAGAAGCTTTCAGGGCAAGTGCTCGTGTCGTTGAGCTTGGAACCTTGCGCACAGAGTAATATCAGCTCATGTCCCTTCTTTGGCCGTGACGCCTTCGATTGCCAATCACTCAGGCTGGAACACGTGTTCATCGCGGTCAATGCCATCATGCCACCGACATGATCTTGGCTACCCCAGTCTTGGCTTCAATCCAGACATAATTATACCGTAATGGTATCATGCCCCCATGGGCCATGGCTCATGACCCATAGCGCGTCGCCTGCAATTTCTGGGGTGAGGAGAGTCAGGATTCAGGAGACTGAAATGGTGACATTCGGCGGCATACGTATTACGTACTCCGTAGTGGATTGTTCATTCCGTTCTGGGTCTATGTCGCTTCCCCCGGTCGTGGTTGGTAATGGTACGGCCTCGCATGTGCGTTGTCGTGGCTATGTTGGAAGCCGCCTCAGGAACTCTAGACTAGAATTGAGAAGCAAGGTCAGCAGCACTTGTAGAGTATCATGGAGAAGAGCTCCATAAGCGGACGCGGAACTTCACCCTGACCGGCTATCTCGGGAGGCCTCATGTCAATCGTGTGGCTGATAGCAGGAACTGGAGCTTGCAGGACGCCGGCAACTGGCAGTCTGGCATCGACTGAGGCCGATTGCACGAGGCTTGTTGTAGGCTCTAGTCTAGTTGTTGTGAGGAACTTCCCAACACGTGAGCCATAGATTTCTAGGATTCGGAGGTGGAGGAACACTCCGGGCTCTAGGGTGGCTCTTTCCTGTTGCATATCAGGCGGGAAAGGCGACTTCGACGAGTACTAGGTACTAGTACCTTACCTAGTAGTACAGGTACTTACGTACCTGGTAAGGAGTTGTTGAAGGTACGATCAGAGACATGGAGGCATTTGCCCAGTCTCCAGTCGATACTAGGTAGCATGTGTGTGAGACACAGATATTGCCAACTGCCAACGCACAAGAAAGCAGCGATGGGTTAGTAAGTAGTAAGGTAAGGTGGTAGTCGCAGCATAAGTTCGTAACGAAGATGATGAGATTTCACATCTCGAGGCACCGACTCGCTTCCGCACCTGGCCTTTCATCTGATCAAACTAGTACGCTGTTCACAACGCGAGACTGAAGTGGCATTGTGTTATTTGAGCGCCGACAGTAGGTAGAGGGAGATCAATGAACCTCGCGGCTCGCGCAGTGCGAACAAGCATCCCCAAGGAGACCCACCTTTCTCCAGCGGAAGTTTAGCTTGGGCCAACCAAGAGGGCCCGACGTGCTCCCTTGCAAGCTTCATCGCCATTCGCTTTCTTCATTGTTCAATTCTCGTTCTTCTGACTTCGCTCTTTTCTTTTGACAATCAAACCTGCCCGCCAGTCAAGACGAGCCGGGCGAATCCAATCGCTGTCATGACCAACCCCGACAGCGCAGCTTCTGCTGCGCAGAATGGCAAACGCCGTGCCGAAGACGACCCATCTCAAGATGACCTTCCGCAACCCTACAACGCGCAGCAACTCCAACCTGCCAAACGCCGCGCCCTATCTCCCTCCGAGCAGCCTCGCAAGCAGAAGCGACCTGGCGCACGCGCTCGCATCTCCGAATCGCAGCGCGAGGCGTATCGGCAACGTCAAGCCCAGCGTGAGCGCGAGACCGAAGAACTAGCGCGAGCACAACGCGAACAAAGCGCTCGCCGAGGCGGTTTGCACGACGTCGTGAGAGAGCATTACAACAATGTACCCCAGCGCGGACGAGAATGGCGGACAACGGACAGCAAAATCAAGGGACTGCGTGTCTTCAACAATTGGATCAAGAGTTGCATTATCCAGCGATATTCGCCTGACGAGGACCACACCCCCGGGTCGCGCGAGCAAGGGCGCTCTTCCGGCAGGGAGCTCTGCGTCTTGGACATTGGTTGTGGCAAAGGTGGTGATCTCAACAAGTGGCAAGCTGCGCCTCAGCCGATCCAGCTTTACGTCGGTCTTGATCCAGCAGACGTCTCCATCGCTCAAGCCAGGGAACGGTATAACCAGCTCAGGTCCCGCGGCGGCCGCGGCGGGCGTCGAGGGCGCCTTTTCGATGGGCGATTCCATGTGAAGGATTGCTATGGTGAATCGATCGAGGATCTCCAAATCATCCAGCACATGGGCTTCGACCCGTCACCAATGAACCACCGTGGTTTCGACGTGGTGACCATGATGTTTTCCATGCACTACGCTTTTGAATCCGAGGAGCGCGCGCGGACTATGCTACGCAATGTTGCTGGAGCATTGAAAAAGGGCGGGCGTTTCATTGGATGTATTCCCAATTCTGATGTTCTTGGCCAGCATGTCCGAGAGTTCAACAAGAAACAAGCAGCCAAAAGGGCGGGTGCGAGTGGCGAGGAGAAGAAGGACGCTGAAAAGAGCAACGGGGATGATGGTCAGCCGTTGATTGCCGAGTCACCTCCCCCGTCAGATGATGGCCAGCCCCTTATCGCTGAATCGCCCCCTGGCTCTCCCCTCGCACAGCCTCTTATTGTTGCGACCCCGGAGCCAGAAGAACCGTCCGTCGAGATCAACAACCACGCGCAAGGCGACAAGACACCAGAGCCCATGGAGCCCGGAGCCGAAGTCGCTACAGGAGCGTCTGAGCCCCAGGCACCCAAGGAGGATGGCAAAGCTGATGACAAGGAGGAAGGTGAAGTGGCAGTTGAACCGAGCGCGGAATGGGGCAACTCCATCTATCGAGTCCGCTTCCCCGGCAAGACGCCCGAGGACGGCATTTTCCGCCCGCCCTTTGGCTGGAAGTACAGCTTCTTCCTCGACGAGGCCGTCGAAGAGGTGCCTGAATACGTTGTGCCGTGGGAGGCTTTCCGTGCCCTGGCCGATGACTTCAACCTCGAGCTGCAGTTTCATCGTACGTTCAGGGATATCTACGAGGCAGAGAAAGATGACCGGGAAATGGGCCCTCTGAGCGAGAGGATGGGCGTTCGTGAGAGAGGCGGCGGTAGATTGTTGGTGTCGGACGAGGAGATGGAGGCGGCGAGTTTCTATATTGGCTTCTGCTTCTACAAGGTCTAGGGTCCAAGCCTGACAGGAGGGATTTGCAATTATTGTTTCTTGATATCCCATTTACTATCCATGTGACTAATGCGCAAACGACGGTAAGGATGGAGTTGGGTATCGTGGGTATCCGGGCTCGCTGACTGCAGCGTTTCAAAATGAATGACGACTCCTGATCCATGAATGGTTTCTCTCCCCAAGAATAGACAGCCCGAAGCAAAAGGACGCATTACAAAGGATTGTGACAAAGGTAAAAGCAGTCATGCTGGTAAGAATGGGAGAAAAAAAGGAGAGAGGCAATCATCATGCCGAGTTGGTCGATCGTCGCCAGATCATCAACGCGGCAACGCCTGCACACGCTGTGGCACCAAGAGCCATGTACAGGCTCGTCCGGTCCGTGGCGTCTTCCTCGGTTTTGGGGAACGCACTGCTCGGGTTGGTTGCCGCGTCTGCCAACGCCACAAAGAGCTCACTGATGCTGTTCCAGGTCACGCTGACGTGCAGTGGGTGGCTCATGTTGAGCGAGGCTGTGTACTCGTCGGGCTGCAGCTCGCTGCGTTGAGTTGTTTTGTCCTTGTCTGCCTTGAGGCCGGTGTAGATGGATGGCAGCTCATCCAGATGCGGGTGCTTGGCGCGCATCTCGACAATGTGCGAAAAGGAGTCGGGGTCGGACGAGTCGTATGCGTAACAGAGAAGGTCGCACGCATCCAGCTTGGTCTTGTTCTCCAGAATCGCTGGCTCGAGCTCGCCGAGCTCCTCGAGGATGAGGTATACTTGACGGCCCCCGGGAAGTTCAACGCTGTTCACGGCGCGGCGTGGCTTGATGGTAGGATAGTGTAAGGGCTCATACGGTCGGTTGAGGAAGGCATTGAGCAAGGATGATTTGCCTGAGCCGGGAGCGCCCAGGACGTAGCACATGACCACGTTTCGCTCCACGCGTCCGGGACGCCTCCGCCTCTTGCGAGATTTTGTGATCTTGAGCGCCGCGGTCAGAGACTCCTTTGGGTTCGGCGGCTCGAATCCGAGATAGGCCAGGTATTCAATAGTGGTCTTTGGCTCGAGGAAGGTTGTCATGCTCCACTGGGCCAGCCAACCTTGCAAGGTCACATGGCCAGCGTCGTTGCGGACTGTAGATGACGGGAAGAGCGATTCGACCCAGAAAAGCGGCAGACCAGTGGTTGGCGCAAAGAGAGCACGCAGTTCATCATCGCTAAGACCTCCATCATTATCCTTGTCAAAGAGCAGGAAAAGGTCGACGAAGAACCGGTAACCAGCGGGGCTCAATTCTGCTGATGAAAACTCGGGAACGTCGAGCTTGGGATGCAGGAACTTCTCGTCGAGGCTCAAGCTGTTGGTGTAATGGTACTTGCGAAGGATGATCCATATGGTCTCGTGTCGGCCCTTCTCGGCATAGATCTTGTTGAGCTGCAAGAATCCAGCCTGGTCGATCCCAGGCTCTGTGGCGGAGGGAGGCGACATTTTCGAGATCGAGGTCTTGATGTTCGCCAGGTCGTCATCGGTCAATGGTTTGTCGAAGCACTTTGACTGAAAGGCACGCATTTCCTCGTCATTGAGGTAGCCATCCTGGTCCTTATCACACAGATAGAATATCCTTTTCAAAGCCGCCACACAGGCAGGCTTGAGTACCCCCTCTTTGTAGTCGTATAGTGGTGCGATGGGATGCGTGACGGCCTTTTGGCAGAGAAAGAACACTTCGTTGACGTTGCGATGTTCGCGGGCGCTTGTTCGTATGCAAGAGTCGATCTCTCGGAACTCTGCCATCACCGGCATCATCTCTTCCTCCACAACCTGGGGCGTGGGGCCTTGGCCTACGAGATCGGACTTGTTGGCGCAGAGGACGACCGGCACATTGACGCCCAGAGACCTGAAGTACGGCATCCAGAAGAGAGCGACGCGCTCATAGCTGTAGTGGTCGGCGTATATCAGGAGGATGATGTTGCATTTTCGTATTTCCTTGCGCAAGGTCGTGCGATCTTGCGGGCGCGCCGACGTGTCGACGATGATGGTGGTGACACTCTCGGGAGTGCCTATGCTCGGTGGGATGGTGATCTGGGGGAGGACGGGTTGGATCTTGTTGGTCATGAACTGGTCCTTGACGAGAGACGCAATGAGGCTGGACTTCCCCGTGGATTCATCGCCGCACACACAGATACGCACTATTGATTGTGAGCACGCCCGAATCCGATGACGCGGGTTCGTGAGGGGACGGGGGTTGATCAAGGTAAGGCGCAGGGGGCTCGTAGATGCGTGTTTCGGAAAACGTACCAGTCGCCATGATCGCAATGAATCGCGAGGAGCTTCAAACACAATTACAGAATACTCATCTCTGAGAAATCCTGCGTCCTATGCGGTCACGTTGTGGCCCCGCGGTTGTCAGGCGCGTACTGAAGCTGAGGAGATAGCTGGGCAGGTCATTGAGGCCGTCTCGACAGGTTAGTTACCTATGCGCAGCTCAGGCTACGAGTCCAGTGGACCCCCACACGCCAGCCCACACGCCAGCTGTCGTGATTCCCTTATGTAAGCAGCCATGTGGCAGAGAACACGCCTAATGTCGAGTGGTGAACCCAAAATACGGACATGAGCAAGTGAATTGATTGTAGCTTGTATAATAGCGCTATTCTTTTTCCTCGTCCTCGAGGCTTTGGGGTAAGTTCCGTGGTCGTACCAGAGTCCCGGGGGGCGTTCCGATCGCCCACCACTGACAAGTCCAATACGTAATGGCACTGCATCGATTCAAAGCCTGGGATCAATTGACCCCGCTGCGGCGAATACGTATTTCAGATAAGAAACTTTCATGTGGCTTGGGATGCACGTTGTCTGCTTCCAGCGTTATTTTCGGTGGATGGATGGGTGGGCAGGAACGAACCGGTAGAATTGGAACCTGGAGTTACCCCACAAGATGTTCACCCTACCAGGTACCTTAGCCTGACCCCAGGCTGCGAAGCACCAGTTGCGACTGCGGCCCCAGCCTCGAGTTGGATCCTCAACCGAACATCCCAGCCTTTCCTTGCCTTCCTCTCACACACCTGGCAACGTCGTCCTTCTGAGCGCGACGATCACATGAGTCCTGGTTGTCTCTGTGTGCGCCGACAGCGAACCCTTTCGACGATTTGACACACGCAGGCGCAAACGCCATCGGGACCGCGCGAGTCGACCTTCAGGCCGTACCACGTCATTTGTCCCGTAGACAACCACCGCCACCATGTTGTAAGTTTGCTAGGTCAACAATAAGAGACGTCAGGCTGACTGAGAACCTCACAGCGTCCTTCCGCCCCCGCCGCGGTACCCCATCAATGGCGCATACGGCAATGGAATCAACATGGTTCCCGTCATCGAGACGAACAACACCTTGTCTCACCCTGACGGCCCCGACAGCCAATTCCTTGTCGGCGAAGGCACCTACATGCTCAAAGAAGACTTGCATCTCGCGACACCACCGCCGCATCCGTCGGAGGCCCCGATTGTGAACCCGAATCCGCTGGCGACAAATCCCCAGCCCGCGACGACGGGCACGAAAGTGTCATTGATAAATCTCGATGCGCGGCCAACGCCGCCAGTGTTCTTCAAATCACCATTCCAGATGAATGGGCTAGCGGCAAGCATACAGGAAGCTGGCAAAGAGGTCAGATCGTCCACTGAGGGCGGGATGAGTAGCGAGGATGGGAGAGGGACTTCGATGAGCGATGGCCCTGGCACGTCGTTGTATCGTGCATCAGTCCCAGCCTTTGGCGAGGCAAACCCTCTGCTTGCCCAGGCACCCACCAAGGATGTGAACAAGAGAAAGAAGCCCAAGAATAACATGACTAAGAGCAATTCCTCCTTCATTTCTCGCGTCATTGTCAACGAGAGCCTGTCGAAGAAGCTCACTGATCGGCCGAGCGATGGACTCTACGCCTTTGCCAATATCAACAGAGCTTTCCAATGGCTGGATCTGTCCAGTCCGAAAAAGGTAGGCCGCACTCGAGCAGCGAGACCTCGCCGGGAACTTATCTAACTTTACCCAGGAAGACTACTTGACCAAGATCCTGTTCACAAAGGCGCACTGTCTCTGCCACGATGTCAACCACGTCTCCAAGGGTAGCTCTCATATGGACGTCATCATGGGCTTCTCGACTGGGGAGATCATCTGGTGGGAGCCCATCTCACAGCGGTACACGCGTTTGAACAAGAACGGTGCGATCAACAACACACCGGTATCCCAGATCACATGGATTCCAGGGTCAGAGAGTCTGTTCCTTGCTGCCCACATGGATGGTGCGCTGGTGGTATACGACAAGGAAAAGGAAGACAGTCCCTTCATTCCAGAGGACGTCGCCCCAGCGCTAAATGGCAGCGAGACTGGCGATGCAGTCAACTCTCACGGCAAGAACAACATCCAGGTGCAGAAGTCTGTGCTGTCGAAGAATCAGAAGACGAACCCTGTGGCGCTTTGGAAGTTGTCAAACCACCGCGTCAATGCGTTTGCATTTTCTCCAGATCGGACACATCTGGCTTGCGTAAGCGAAGACGGAACACTCAGAATCATCAACTACCTGGAAGAGAAGTAAGCATTCCAGGTTTACATCGGATGACATGTAGTCGCTGACGATGCAAAGGCTCCTTGACATCTTTTATTCCTACTACGGTGGCTTGAGCTGCGTGTGCTGGTCGCCGGACGGCAAGTACATTGTCACTGGTGGGCAAGACGACATGCTTTCCATCTTCTCCATGAGCGACTCGGCCCTGGTTGCTCGCTTGCAAGGCCACGAGTCCTGGCTAGCAGCTGTTGCGTTCGACCCGTGGCGATGTGACGAGCGCAACTATCGCTTTGGCAGCGTAGGGGAGGACGGGAGACTATGCCTCTGGGACTTCAGCGTCGGCATGTTGCACAGGCCTCGCGCGGTAAGTGTGATTGACAGTGCCGCAGAATGCATGCTAACACGAGCAGCTCTCCACGCAACCGCGCGCCTCGGTCACGGCTCGCCTGGCCACGCTGGATACAGTAGATTCGGCGCAGACCACAGGAAGTCAAGAGTCCAACGGCAGCAACATTGAGGACGACGGCTTTTCGCACCCTGTCGAGCCTCGAGCGAACATCCCAATGCTGCCACCCGTTCTGGTGAATAAGCCCGCTCAAATCCAATCGCAGGAACCAGCACTAACGAACAATGTCTAGAACAAGCAGATTGATAAGGACCCGAGCCAGTGGCTGGCATTCACCGAGGACGCCATTATCACGAGCTCCAAGACTGGCCATCTCAAGACCTGGAATCGGCCCGGTGTGAAGGTTGAAGCGCCAGGCGCGGCAAAGGCATGATCGGGGCCACCAGCCTCTATCTGCCTTGTACGCGTATTGCAGCCTTGTGGCTTTTCGACCTGTACTTTTTGTGGCGCCATGGATTCGCTATCATTACAGCGTGCACTCGGGCATGTCTTTTGTGTTGGGCGTTGTCTTTCACAGCCCTTGGGGCCGGTCTAGATCCAGAGAGATTGCGCCTATCATGTCACTACGTACATACCTTTGCCGTTTGTTATCTGGGGGCAAAAGGCTCAAGCAGCCACGTTGAGCTGATAGCGCAGACTTGGTCTGGCTCATCCGTAGAGACGACAATAATACGGAAATGGCCACAATGCCATGGAGCTCTCGTAGCCAAGCTTTTCTCGTGACAATCATGGCGGTGAGGCCCACGGGCCACGGGGCCCATATTCTCGGCATCGATGCGGCTCTTTGGTGGGTCTAATCTGAAGCCTGAGATGACTCCTGACTCCTGAGAGATAGGCCTCCTTTGTGAATAGGACCCTGTAGGAGCCCCACCATGTGAAAGTCGAGATTTGTCTTTAGTTTGTGTAAGTTTACGATGTCTGTATTATGCTACATTTCTCGAGGTGCAGCATCGCAGCATCGGACCACGATGAGCATCGGGTAGGCTACTGGAATCTCCCAAACGCACGCCTCAGTGTTACCAGTTTCGCTGCTGTATGACCCACTGGTGGTAAGACACTCACACAACCCAGCGGACACCGGAGCTATCGCCGAGCATGAGAGCCGGCGTCCTGCCGCGGTGGTCCGGTGGATTAGCCGCCTTGTCGGCACGACGGAAAGGCGTAATTAAGGCTTGACAGCCCTTGTCACCACGTCCGTGCCGGCGTCCCCATCGGAAGACGACCGGCAGAGATAGGCTTGGAGCCTTGGGCCACGGCTAGTCCTATTACGGGGCTGTCTGTCACAACTCACCATGGAAGGAAAAGCAAAAAAAAAAAAAAAAAAGAAGAAGAAAAAAAAGGCTGAGATGGCCAGGGCTGGGCTGCATTTGGAACGATAAAGACGCGGCTGTTCAAACATCCACGGTGGATGGAGGACTGCTAAAAAGAGAAAGGTCCTGGAAGCCTTGGCCGAAGAAAAGGACGCATCGATCCGGCGGGAATTGGCCTCCGGGCATTGTAATAAGCCACCGGATCATCAACACGTGCTGCGCGCGCTGCGCGCGTAACGAGGAATTTTCCCGGCCCCCTGCCTGGAAGATAAGGAGGACCACACAAATAGTAATACTCCGTACACCTTGATAAAGTGGTCTGGTGCAAGGTCGGTGAAGATATCCCGATGGCGTCCGAGTGTAGCGCCGTAGTAGGCCCAATGTTTTGGTGTTCAGGGTCCAAGCCAGCAGTGCCTGTGCGCAGGTGGGTGGGCCAAGGACATGAATGAGCAGTCACAGCTCAGGCACGGTGTTAACGAGGCAGCTGTCTTGTTGTTGTTGATGCATCATGCCACAAGCCCGCAGGCTTGTTCAGCTGCCAACAATGAATGCCGGGGGGTTCGTGGCACTGGTGAATGCTTCGATATCTTGCTCCCACTTGTCGGTTGAAGGTAAAAAATATAAGTACCTACCTACGGGTGACTGGCTGAGGACAATACATACGAGTTTCTGGCCTCTGCCAGCAAGGTGTCGCACCCGTGTTGAGGAGCCCGTATCAATAATATGCCTTTATCTTCATTATAAAAGTCAAGGGTGGTTATTGAAGAATTGAGACAGGAGTCACAGAACCCCTGCCAGGCCGTACATCACGGCGGCGGAGTGGGTACTTGCCGGCCATGCAAGCCATCTGACATGGGCGGGAATAAAAGTTGGCGCGATGACGACGGCGATTCGACAGTGAACATTGCGCTGGAACAAGGGACAAGGGACTGGAGTCGCGCGGCCATCGTGAGTGGTATTGATTTGTAGGCTTAGACAGCCGTGTTCAATAGAGGCAGCAAATGGCAACATTTCCAGTCGCGTCGAGAGACCGTGAGGTAATATTAATTGTAGTTTTTCAAGATGATGAAACGATTCTTTAGATCCCTGCCTGATAAGGAACTCAGACCGATGGCGTATGTGCGCCCCACTTCAGGCCAACCAGCAGTACCTTATCATCACATCAGTAGTATCTGGCGAGTGATGCTTTGGAGGAGCGACTGGACAAGGCCCGAATGACGGAAAAGCAGAGAAATGGAAGTACGTAGTCGCATCAAACAGGCCTCTGCAGTAAAAATCGAACACGCGCGTTGCCGCGACGTTGGATGGCAAGGCGTGCAGGTACCAAGTACGTACCGCACAATCGGGCGCAGATAAGGATGCACACAACGCGGATCCGCGAGCTGAGACCGGACCTTATTGCAATGACATGAGTCGGGCCTGCCTGCGCAGCGCAGTGCTGGGAGCCCAGCGGGCTTTCTGAGCCCCCACGAGTCAGCCACTGGCAGTGCGGCTGTTGGCAGTGGACGACGGATACGGCTACTGGACCCTCCTACGGCACCCCCATTCACGACGACCCATCCGTCCGTCTCGGGTCAGACCGTCAAAAGATTCAAGCGAAGCATGGAATGCGCAATCGAGCCAAAGTGGGCTCCGTCCCTCACTCTGTCATTCGAAAGTTTCGGCGCTCTCTAACCCGTCCGGTGGTGGAGATGGACTCCTTCTTCCCTCTCTCATTCCCTTCCTCGTTTTCTCCCATCCAGTCGCCATCATCAGCATTCACAAGTGCTGATTCACCATCAACCCGAGCCTAGCAAGCAGCGGCGGTACGCAAGACACTGCCCGACTTGGCTCGCACCCTCACGATGCCCTCATTCAATCCCTTCTCTTCCATGTCGGGGCGCGGGGCTGCCGCGCTCTTCGACGTCCGCCTGGAAAATGACTTTATCGTGTTCAGAGGCGGCGAGGAAGAGTCCAACGGCCAGATTGTCAAGGGCACCGTTGTCCTGTGCCTGACAACACCACTCAAGATGGAAGACGTCCGCCTGCGTTTGACCGGCACCATGCACATGAAGTGAGCCTTCCAACACCCCTCCTCCACCACACTCGCGCGCTGCGATGTCGGAGGCACAGATCCCAACTAACCTGTTGTCCGCAGCGCATCCGGGTCCTCCAGCCAGAAGAACGATCGTCTCAAGACGATCTGCGAGAAGCGATGGGAGCCATTCATTGGCGTGCACGGCAAAAGCATGATTTTACCCGCCGGCAACTACGAATACCCATTCGAGTATCTGCTGCCTGGCGACACGGCCGAGAGCGTCGAAGGTATCCCCGAGGCTTCCATCACCTATCGTCTCAAGGCCACCGTCGGCCGCGGCAAGCTCGCCTACGACCTCCATGCATACAAGCACCTGCGCATCATCCGCACACTCGATCCAAGCGCACTCGAATTCCACCACGCCATGAGCGTGGAGAACATCTGGCCCAATAAGGTCGACTATTCAATCTCGATACCCCAAAAGGCCGTCGTGTTCGGAGGCATTATTGACTTGACCATGCGCCTCACGCCCCTTCTCAAGGGTCTGGAAATGGGCAGGATAAACATCAAGCTCGTCGAGATTCGGGAAACGACGGTCACGGGCGCCACAGGGATGAGCGTGCGCGAGCACAAGGTTGAGCGCGACGTCTCAAAGTGGGACATGGAGGTGGACCGCGCGACGCACTGGGTGGACATGATTGAAGACACTGGCCAGGACGGTTGGGTCGTTACCAAGGCATTGGACCTACCTCGCAGGCTGCGCCAGTGCGTGCAAGATACCAACGTCCACGGCATCAAGATCCGCCACAAGCTCAAGCTGACGATTGCCCTCAAGAACCCCGATGGGCACGTTTCCGAGCTGCGCGCTACGCTCCCCGTGGCCATCTTCATCTCGCCAAACGCGCCCCTCAACGAGCAGGGCGACGTGATCAACCCCGAGACAGCGCAGGCCGATGGGGAAGAGGAGCGCTGCCCTCCACCCAGCTACCATGAGCACAAGCTCGACCAGCTCTACGACGACGACATGACCGGGTTCCGAACGCCGGCTGGCGCCATGTCGGGCGTGAACAGCCCCTTTTACGTGCATTCGAGGGCCGGCTCCAGCGAAAACCTGTCCAACCTCATGCAGAGCGGGGGCGCCATCCCCCCGGCGGACCTGTCCTCGCGACTGATGAACGTTTCGGACGACCCAACACTGCGAAATACCGTCTTCAACTCGACGATAGGACGGAGGTCCGAGCCCAGTTCGAACAACCTTACGCGACAGAACAGCGGCGACGACACGCCCAGTTCGGGCCGCGACTCGCCCGAGCACATTGACCTGAACGAGTTCGCTCCAACGACGCGCGTGCCCAGCTACCACACAGCGGTCCAGACGAGGCCGCCGAACGAGTCTGCTCCGACGTACCAGACGGCTCTCACGCAGCCGCGTACGCCGCCTGCGACCGACAATCAATATGAGTATATGCCGAGCATCACCACGCGTGCCGAGGGCGAAGAGGCGGCCAGCAATCATAGGTCCAACGCTATCTCTGGTTAGGACCCTGATTCCCAGGATTGATTTCATTGCGTTGGTTGGGCACGGTGGCTTTTGTTACATGGGAACCCTTTTCATTGCGTGGGATTGACCAGTATTCACTACTGTTTTGGCGTTAAGCATTTGTTACAGGCACAGACTGCATTGCTCTTTGGTTACGTAGACTGGCACGATAATTTTACACCGTGCGCTGGCAGCACGGGGACAGCGACCGTTGGATATGGATGGGCATAGATGGTTTGGAAGATTGGATCACATTATGTGTCCTTCTGTATGATACCCGCACGAGAGCATCAGGCATAACTTGGAATTCAGTAGACCCTCCCTTTGCCAGCACTTGTGCCCCCAACTTTGAAAGTATCTTGTATTTCCGTCAATCATGTACGGTACGTAGTGACGATGATTATCGGGGAGGGTCACCGCGGATCATCGTGGGACTAGCGTCAGCACAGCCATGATTTCGGCTCGGAGCTAAGCGGAAAAGTATAGCACAAATGTTAGCCAAGTGGCCTGCCCAAGGGCGCAGATGCTAACAGAACCGCTAAGCCACATGATCTGCACCTTGAAAGCCCTTTACGTCACTGGTGGCCATGTTGACGATGGCGGCAAAAGGGAGGCACCAAGTGAACATTTCCGTTGCGATCAGTAATCGCCGGTCACTTACCCGCTCAGGACGGCCAAAAGCGAAGGTATAAAGATCCATGGTCTGGCGATCTTGGCAACAGTTCTGTCTTTTCATGCCCAAACCCGAATAATTCCATCCTTACGACACCAAGCGGCTCATTTACAGCAACTGCTGGCTTTACACAGTAATCTTAATCGTAATAGTAAGTGAGTTCTTTTCTCTGCTGCTCAGGCAGCCCTCGACCACCAAGTCTACACAGGAACACACAGCTGGGGACAATTGCTGCCAAGACCCCTCCCTCAAGCTCCCGTCGACAAATAGGCCATCAGACCGCTTCCCGATGCCCCGCGACGAAAGCGGCATGCCCCAAGTCGCATCATCGAACTGCGTCTGCCGTACGACCTTCATATCGTTCTTCCTGGCGCGAGCTGATTGTGTATCACTTCGATCACGCACTCTGGCAACTTGGATGTCTTGTCTGACCAGCGGCTAACCGTCTTATCCTGGCAGTCTAAGCTCGACCTTCAATTACACCACCACCACCATCCCGAACCAGGACGATCACCACGAGTCTACGACACTCCAGATCAATCAGCAACCGCAAAGATGTCGACCGCTACCTCGCCCACCACCACCAACCTGCCCAGCCGGAGTGCGACAAACGCCAGCACTCTGAACGATGAGGCCGTTCCCGAAATCGACCCCTCCAACGTAAGTAGCCGCCCTGTCCGACTCCGCGACACAACCTAACATGATGCAGACAGCCGGTCTCCTCGCCGAGCGTCTGCAGGCATGGAAACATGCCGTCGGTTACCTCGAGGACTACGTGGGCGCCATGGAGAAGATCCACGGCAAGCACGCCAAGGAATACGAGCGCGCCCTGAAGACCATCTCGAACCCCCTCAAGGAGGGCCATCACTTCGACCAGAGTCTCGGCGGCCTCGCTGGGTTCTTCGAAAACCTGCGCTCCAACACGCAGGCCCTGATTAACACGAACCTCGAGACGGAGAAGAGCCTCAAGGGCTCCGTGCTGCCCATCCTCGAGCGACTCCACAAGGAGATCAAGCACAAGGCCAAGGAGCTGTCGGGCGGTGCGCAGAAGGGTTCCAAGGACGTCGAGAAGTCGAGGAATATTACCCAGAAGCATATTGAGCTGCTGGGCCAGCACACGGCCTCGTACGACTCGGCTGGTGGCAAGCTCTCCGGCGCCGACGACCCCTATGTCATCCACCGTGGCGTCCTGCACAGGTTGAGCAACCAGGTCCTGGCCGAGAACAACCACCACAACGACCTCATCGCCGTGCAGAACAATTTCGCCGAATTCGAGGCGCATGTCGTGCAGGTCATCCAGCAGGCCATGGAGGCCTTCACTCAGCTCACCGGCGGCCAGGCCGACAAGACCCGTGCCCTGCACAACGACATGCTGGCCAACATCCAGCGTGTGCCCCCCGAGTTTGAGTGGGCCAACTTCACCGTGCGCAATGCCGAGCGCCTCGCGCAGCCCAACGAGGCGCCTCGCTCCGTCGACACCATTAGCTTCCCTAACATGGACCACCCTTCGACCAAGGCGCTCATCGAGGGCTCCCTCGAGCGCAAGTCGCGCAACAAGCTGTCGTGGGGCATGGCGACGGGCTATTACGTCGTGACCCCGTCCAAGTTCCTGCACGAGTTCAAGGACTCGGACAACACCCGGGAGGATCCCAAGCCGGAGCTCTCCATCTACCTCCCCGACGCCGTCATCGGCACCCCCTCTGGCGAAAAATTCAACGTCAAGGGCAAGGACAAGAGCAAGACCATGAGCAGCCGCCTCACCGGCTCCTCCGAGCTCAACTTCAAGGCGCACACAGCGGCCGACGCCCAGAAGTGGTTCCAGGTCATCTCTGGCGTGGCGGGCGCCACCGGACCCGCCCAGTCCGACTCGCCCGTCTCCCCCTCGGGATCGACGCCTACTTCGCCCCTGGCGGGTGACCAGAAGACGCACTCCTTCCCTAGCGAGAAGTATGAGATGAACTCGCCTGTCGAGCCGGCGGCAGCAGGGCAAGGAGACCACCAGGCCCAGGAGGCAGGCGTTTCGGGTGAAGCTGCGCCCGCGCCGGCGGCTCAGCCTGCTCCCGCTGCCACGAACCCCAAGACGGATGCTGCTTGAGTTGTCCATGTGCGAATTGTCGTTGTTTTGGAAGCAGGGTAGGTCAAGAATGTGCCTAGGAGTTCTGAAGAGGGGTTTACTGAGACTGGGAGTGTGAAGGGTGTTGATCGGTCGCACACGCTAATTACTACCAATGTTACACACAATAGTCACGGCCAGACACATGTTTACTTTTTCCAAGAGCAATTTATATCAACATCTGGCAAAGAGGATTTTGGCTCACACACCTAGCCACACAATTGTCTCTCACATTTTGTGGGAGCTCTGTACCTGTTTCACCCCTTCTGGCCAGCCAACTAACTTCTCCTCAGGGCTGCCGCCTTTGTTGCTAGTGATGAGTGTTAGGCGAAGCTCTCGCCAAATGATGAGTTTTCTGGGGTCTACACCGGCACCTGGCCGTAGAAACGCGACATGCGTTGGCACCGAGCAGTAGTACTCAACTGCAAGCCTTGGACATGCAGTGACAGCGAGCATGTCAGCCTTGCGGGGCTCATGTCTGAGCTGTGGACTTGGGATAGACAGTTGCACGCTGGCCAACTCGGTAAGGATGGTACGAGAGATGGCTATGGAGGGAATGGAAGCTCGGCTCTCTTCTGAGTCATTTCTCGGCTCTGCATAGGAAATCTCTGGTCCGTGTGATTCGCGTGGAAAGGTTGGCGGACGAACATTGGCCCTCGACTTACAACGAAACGGCAATCTTGGAAAGGGACGTAATTGCTGGCAGATGCAAAGGTATAGTCTTTTCCAGTAATTGCAAAGTGTCCGGCCGCCTGGGTATATAACACGCAAACGTGCTGAATCCTGACTGCAGAAATACACACAAAGATTCGAGTCATCCTGCCCGCCAAGTGCCAGCGTGGGCTTTCGCCTCGTGCTCTGCCTTCTCTTGCCAACACCTGCTTGGGTCGCCTCTCGTGGCCAACAGCCAGTCGATGGGTGTCTTCCAACACCGAACTTGGCGGGGAGAAGGGCGCGGGGAGTGCTCCTCGCGATCAGCCTGCTGCTGCTGCCTGACCTCACCCAACCTTCAACAATCGACAGCGCGCCCAGCGGTGTGAGACAAGGCCTCCCAACGAGGTCCGCAAGGCTCGATGATTGACTGAAAAGGCAAAACGCAACCAAGCAATGAGGCGTAGTTCTATTCTTGAGGGACGCCCGTCGAGTAGCAGAACGTCAGTAGACGCCCAGCTGCAGTTGGCACCCCCCATGCGGACCGCCGCCTTGCAGCCAGAGGTTCGCCCGTGGTGCGCGCAAGCTCTCTCTCAGCCCTAAGGACGGGACGGGACACCGGGGGATACAGCCATCTCAGCCTCATTTTATAGGTGCCGTCTGTGTATAAGAGCCATGTGTCGTTCTGTGAAACTCTTTCTGGGGAGAAGTTAGACGCCCGTCCCGGACCTGGAGGTTAAGTGCACAGTGCTCTACAGAATTCAAAAGCAGCAGCATCAAGGACCAAGAGGATTCCGGACTCACTTACCCAGGATATTGATCAATCTTGACAAGGCAGACCCTGCATCACCTTCGGTTGGAAAAAAGATCATCCCGTGGAACACAGAACACAATGGTCAAGCCGTGGAACCAGTACAAGGACGACATCACCCACTTGTACATACACGAGCGTCGCACGTTGAAGGAGGTGCGGGAGATCATGAGCCAGAAACATGGTTTCAATGCGTCGTGCGTCTTTCTCCCCTCGTACAGACTTCTGTGCTCTCCCAATTTTTTTTTTTTTTCTTTCCCGTCCAGGGCAGACGCTGACTGAAGACCAAGCATCCGTTCCTATCGTCAACGCTTCGACCAGTGGGACCTGCAAAAGTACAAGTGCAAGAGACGAACGGCGCGTCGGCAGCAGCAAGGCCAACAACCGCCACACGATCGAAGGCAGTCGTCGGGGAGCGCGTCACCACCATGGCCGTCGCCTCCTCAGACACCACCGACCTATACCCAGCACGAAGGCCCTCCTCCTCACCTGAGCTTCCCTACGTCGGCGTACTATTCTCCGCGCCTCGAGGCGTTCGATGGCTTTCACAACGTCGATGAGCGTCGAGCCGTACACCTGGAGCGGTATGCCGGATGCCGCAACGACCAGGAGGCGCCGACGCTGACCACGTTTGCGCACAGGTTTGATGACTTGCCGCAAGCATACACCTCGACCGATTATGGATTCTTTCCAGACATCCAGTCCAACCAAGGAGTGCTCGGGCGACCTTTCTGAGTGTACGTGGATCGGAAGGAATTTCAGTGACGAGTCATGAGAACATGTAGTATAGGAAGTAATGAGTGAATGCAATTTTTCATACGAGTACAAACTACTTCAGTAACGGGCATTGCTGGCGGCCAGTGTCACAGCACTGATCTACTGTGCCTGTCGCCAGGACCGTTCTACACAAGCGGGGAATCTGATGTCGTGATTGCAACTCACAGGGACGGGACGTATTGTCAAAGCCTGAATCAAACTGGTCAGCGCGAGCTCATGAGCAAACGGCAAAAACAGTTAGAATGGAGGAATGTGTGTCAGGGTAAAATGCCCGGTCAAGGGCGGTCTCATCAAAGTATTTTGCTATGAAGACCGTCGTGATATAAATTTATAGCATCATGTGAAGAAGAGTGAAGAAAAAAAGACGGAATCGTGACTTACCAGACGAGGTTTAGATGTAACGAGACAAGCAACAAGTGTCGACGCTGTCTTTGGTCAATTAGCAACTGGGCTATCGACGAACGCAACAGTACGGTGAAGGAGGTCGGGAGTCAGAAAGTATGCGGAACACGTTGTCGTCGTCGCCGAGGCTCAGACATATGCTTGTCTTTTTATTCGCATTCATCACAAGATGTGATTGTGTAGAGTCTCAGAGACTTACGGTGAAGGTTGTGAAAAACTAAGAGCTGGTCAGTACATGCTATGCCATCTTCGCCAAAGAAACGATGTGAAGGTCACAAAAATCAGTTATGCATGAATGGTATTAAGTAGGTTGTGTCTGCATCGGGAAGCCCGGATAAGACTCGTCATCTAAAGGGTTCATCATGTAAGGGGAAGTAGAAAAGAGATGTCGTGACTTACCAGAATCGTGACATCAAGACGCGCGGCGACGAGATGGCTCAACACGCAAGGTTATTCAACAAGGCACTGTAGACAGTCGCATTAGCCGCTGTCGACGCCAACATGGCCAGCAACCGACGATCGATAGTCCAGATCAGTGGGCGAGGTTTTCTAGGCCTGCCGCAAAGTGGCTTGTCTGCTCATTCGTTTCTCAGAGCCCAGTGCCAATTCATCAGGTGGACAATATTCGATCGTTGCAGAGATGGGGCCGCGACAGTAATGCGTACCTTGCCTGTTCAAGAGTCTGAAACAAAGAGGTCAGCGACAGCTTCGTCATATGGTGTGTAGCAAATTGGTATTGGAAGGGTGTAGTCAGAAATAGCCTTTAGTTGTCGTCAAAGATATCAGACGGTAATTTCCAGCGTGTAAAACACGAAATGATCATCATACAAGTTGTGCGAGCGTGAAGAGCAAGGCGGAACGTACCATTTGACATTAGCTATGCGCGCAGCATTGCAATGAGTTGAACAATTGACCGCTTGGCAATTGTTGTCTACTGTACACGGGTTAGCTTACGGTTCCAAGCTAAGGCTGAAAATGAGCGACGTGTTGAAGCAGTCTTTCAGACTGACGTGACAAAACTGGTTTCATTCCCGAAGGTCAAAGACTCTAGTTTGCGGTTTGTATCTGTCATCAGGAAGAGGGATAGAGAGGGAAAGTCCATGTTGTCGCGACGAAGAAACTTACCGAAAAAGGTTGTTGGTTTGCGAGGTGTAGCTGATGATGAAGAAGAGCTTTCGCCAGAAAAAAGTTGAAGAAATTGTAGGTGGGCGTTGTGGGGATCGTGCATTGGGCTGATGACTAAGGGCCATGCAGAGCACGTGACAGCGTGTGTTGGCCGCGCATGGAGCTTGGTCGGTGACGAATGACGACGAGAGCGGCGCGTGTATTAGATGTGCGCGATCAAGAAAACCGGCCTCTCTCGAAATCTTTGTAACATGCCTGAAATAGCAGAAGGTATGCCTGCAGTCTGAATGATTTAGTGGATGCTCATTGTGTTCAGTTGCTAGGATCGTCCATTTCCTCAAAGCCAAGCTTGTCGGCAAACGTATCTCAACCGCGACAGCTTTGGACGATGCCAACGTCTTTGGTAAAGTTGGCACGACCGGTGCAGATGTGCAGAAGGCGCTTACCGGTAGAACTGTTCGTCTGAAAACAATGAGGCTCGCACACACACACTGACACCTTCAAGGTGATGTCCGCTGGGAGTCAGGGGAAATATTTCTGGTGAGCAGGAGATGCAGTTCTAACCAGCGGGCATACTGACCACGGAAAGGATAACGCTCGATAAACCGCCGCACCTAGTGATGCATTTTGGAATGACAGGTGATTCCCTTGAACGTCCAAAGACTTTCTGACCTAACCTACCTCCAGGCTGGGTCCACATCCAAGGAGAAAAGACAGCATACACAAATTACTACAAAAAGATGAAGGACACGGAGCTCGAAGACTGGCCACCCAGATTCTGGAAGTTTCATCTGGAGACAGACACAAAACCTCCAGTCAAAGTCGCCTACACAGATGCACGTCGCTTCGGGCGAGTTCGCCTGGTCGATTGCCCCGGAGAAGACATCAGACAGTACTCCCCGCTTGTCGAGAATGGGCCGGACCCAGTCAACGATCTCGACGTTTTCACCGAGCAATACTTGCGAGACAAGATGCGCGCGCGGAGGGTACCGGTGAAAGCCTTGCTGCTGGACCAGACCACCATTAGTGGGATTGGCAACTGGGTAGCTGACGAGGCACTCTATCAGGCGAAGCAACACCCGGAGCAATATTGCAATACGTTCAACAATGAGGAGATCAAGACTCTCTTCGACTCAATCCGATATGTGTGTCAAACGGCCGTCGATCACCTTGGAGATTCGGATGCCTTTCCCGAAGACTGGCTTTTCAACCACAGATGGGGTAAAGGATCAAAGGAGAAAGCTTCTCAGCATCCCAACGGGGAGAAGTTGGCGTTCATCACGGTCGGCGGCAGGACCAGCTGCTACGCTCCTGAAAGACAAAAGAAAACCGGCAAAGTGGACCCCAAAGCTGAGGACACAAATGGCGATGGTGAAGCATCAAAACCGTCGGGGAAGCGGTCGCGGAAAAGACCGCAGGTCAAACTTGAAGACGGAGAAGAGGGGGATGGTGCCGATGTGAACACTGAGCTTGGGCCACCTGCCAAGAAGAGCAGGAAAACATCCCCATCTGAAGCTGGCGATCCCATTGGAAAGCCGTCACCGAAAGGATCGAAAATCAAGTCAGAAGCTGCAGATGGGGCAGGTACTGCACCGCCGTCATCGCGACGCAAGCCGAACACGACAACAGGCGCAACCTCGATCAACATGGTTCCAGAACCACAGCGTGGTGCGGTTGGGCGCAGAAAGTCCGCAAGGCTTCGGCAGTGAGGCAAAGCGGGGCACCATCTTACGTGGACTGGGCTTTTAGATTTATTAGACAGTTGACGCATCGTGACGGCTTTCAGGCTGCTTTGTCACGTTGCGTCGGCCAGCTGGGCTGTGTGGTGTAGTCTCGCAGTAGACGTGGTGGTCACAGTTGCGTGGTCGATGATGAATATGGACATGTCTCCTCAAACTCCCACATGTTCTTTGAGTGGAAGACAGCACCTAATGTGGCTCAGTAGGTATACTCCTACTAGGAGCTCGAGTATCTGAGCTGGCACCTTATAGTACCTACGCTCCATGCAAGTGTCGGTCGTAGTCGAGCCCATTCGACTACACTGGGTAACTAGTAAGACAGTACAGTGAAATGAGTGTTCAAATTGGCCATGACATAAGTACATAACCTGTATCCCGTGCCGCCCATGCTCCCTATGCTTTCGTAATCATAAACAAATAACTGTATACACGGCACAATGTGCTGCTTGCGCATGCTATGCTGGTCTAATAACTCCGTAGATGCCAAGCCGCCCTGTGCGATTCCTCTCGCGATACCACCTGAAAGTGCCCATTGTAAACCTGCCTAATCGCAAAAACTCATTGGTCGCCGAGGACCGACTCTATCAAGTCGTGGGTATAGTGAGATGCCTAATAGCTCCGAATATGCGATGATGATGCCTGTAATCTGACCCTCCGTTCCCATGACGCCGCCCGCTTCTGAATAAAGACAAGTACAGTAGAAAAGTTTCGTCGTGGAAGGCAACCTGTGCCGACAAACGAAGAAAGAAATAGTGAAGATGTCTTCACATCTCACACTGGAGGCCGACGGCGTAACGATGCCCATCGGCTCCCAGTGAGAGAGGAACGATGGAGAGCACATTGGTGAAAGGCTGTCCGTTTTTCTTGTAGTTGTGCACTTGGAGTTGAATTTCCCGATTACCGCGGACGGCTTGTGACATGCGTTTGATGGCAGCCCTGTCGACAACACATGATGAGGCAGTTGGTGAGGTCTGCAAAAAGCGGCAATTGCGGCCCAGAACTTCGTTCATTGAGTAGCCAGTCATCTCGCAGAATGATGGCGATGCATAGACGATGGGCGTGTCGGGTTGTTCGAGGTCGCACAGCGTAAGAGATACTGAGCAGTCGACAGCACCGAAGTCAATGTCGGGATCAGGCCGACAACGAAGTTGTAGCTGATCACCTGTCAGTCCATGCATCGTGTAGTGGCACTGGGGACGTACAAGAATGCTGATTATGTCAAATCCGCTAGAACAATACAGTCCTGGGAAGATGAGAGGGTCAGGCCGCGTATTGAAGGCTTTGGGTGTGAGCCCAGATCGATCTGCCACGCCTCCATCAGGAAATGAGTGCTAGGGTTGTTGTGAGTATAATGCGAATGGCAGATATGACTGAAGTCAAGGATGCGGACATACTGTCAGGGCTTGAGCCTCCCATGGGTTCATGACAGGAAGTGGTGCCCGAGACGCCATGGTCGTTGTGGGCGAAGTCGATGATGGCTGTTCTTCACGTCCCGGTACTTGTCGTAGTTGTTGAAGGCGAGGAGAATCTGAGGCAGAATGAGAAAGCAGCATCCCCATGTGTAGTCTCGCGAAACTGAGGTGCCAGCTCGCTTGTTTTTGATACGGCAATGGTATCCTACATCGAGATCCGATAGATGAGCAGCCCGTCACTGTACCGTGGGCAGCGGGCTGTGGTGATGACACAATGCGCACTGACAGGAGCAGAAATCCCCGGTAGAACAGGGTCGTTTGGGCGGACTCAAGGCCGAGAACGTCGTAGACGTCGGGCAGTTATGGGAAACCGATTCAGACATGGTGAATCTACCGCAGCGATGCGGCTGCGGTGAGATCGCCCTCCGCCATGGAGATGATCGCAGGCGTCAGGTGTAGTTTGCCAGGATCGGTGCGCAGGAGGCGTTCGTGTCCGCGTTAAGCCCCGCCGCCGCGGAGGCCCAGAACCACTAACAGTAACGATCATCGAATCGGCAGTGGCTGGCGATGGCGTTTAGATGGGATTCGATTCAGGATCGATGCGCTGTGGTTTGCGCGATGGGCACGTAAAAGTCTCCGCCGCTCCGACGTGACTAGCCTTGGCGCCTTGGCGAGCCGATCCCGCCAACCAAAAGAAGCCACTGGTAATCGCCCCATATTTCTCAGGGTCTTACAAGTTAATCATACCAAACAAGTTCGCTTTCGTAATCGTCGATCACGGCTTCATGCTGATGTGACACGGATCAGTCAATCATTTCGACGGGCATTTTCAAGCAGAGGATGGACGTGAGATCATAGTACTGTAAACAGCGTATCCGTATTCAGTGACGACGATTGACTTCGTACTCAAAACGAAACTTAAAACAAAGCATTCTTACGATTGACGCACGCCAACGCTCATAGGGGTTGCACACTTTCATGTGAAGGCCCGAGAAGCAGGACTGGTGCCGGGTAGGTGATTCGCATCGCTAGGCTCAACTGATTTCAATACGTATCGGCGACAACCAGTCATGGACTCATGAGAGATTGGTATCCTGATCTACGCAGGTCAAAATGGGGAATAATCCCCTGTGCGTTAATAGTGACTAGATGGGCTATATCATGCTGGATTTATGTACCTACTTCAACTCATGCAAGGTGTACTCGTGGTGGTCTGCTGTCAAATACGCCTGCCCCGCAATTATGATCTGCGAGGTGAATATCCAAGTTCACGCGTAGCGACGCGTCTTCCATCGAAAAGGTAGCGTGAACAAGGCACCACTTGGACTCGAATCTCAGTACCGGAAGCCACAGCAATGCCTCCACGACGCCTTGTCAACCGTGTGGGCAGTGATGTCCATACAGTACGCTCGAAACCCGAACCAGTCGACTACGAGCCACCATCGTTCCCTCTCAGCGCACACGCCATCAACAACATCCAGAAGTTGAGCATTGGACGCGATGTTTCGGAATTTTCGTCCGCATACAAGGATCAAGTCAAGGAGGCCCTGCGAAATCTGGGTCACAGTGTCTACGACATGAACGACAGAGTCAAGCAGCAGCAGAGTGCTCTCGCCAAGATGCAGGCCGACCGCGCGAAACACGGGACAGAGAAATCGGACGCCGAGGAGGAACTAGAACAACACATAACGGCGCTTCAGTCGGAAGTTGACGAGCTGACCCAGCGGTCAGAGTCCGCCGTGAGGACATGCATAGACCGGAATAATGCCATTGAGGACGATAAGGCCATTCTTGGGGACCTGTACACCCAGAGCCACGCCAACTTCCAACAGCGTCGGCACAGAGGAGACGAGGATGATTCGGAAGCGCCCGCCGAGAGTGTGCTGACGGCTCTGCAAGAACAGCGCGCGGAGAAGAACAACCACTGGGCCTCTCTGGACAACAGGCGAAAGTATGCGCAGCACAATGACTACATTGCCTTTAAGAAGCTGTGGCACGACGGAGCCGTGGGGGACGATGGTCCGCCGTTAGCCGACTCGTCCAAGTGGTTCAAGCCCGACGGAGCGCCTGTAATGGTGGCGCCGGGGGCCTCTCGAGGACCGGCCGACGACGAGTCCGATGAGGATATCGCCGTCGCCCGCGAGGTCGTCAGCCTGAACTGTCCCCTGACCCTCCGGCCACTGAAAGAGCCCTACAGCAACACCAAATGCAAACACACTTTTGAAAAGGATGCCATCAAGGATTACCTGCGCAATGCTTCGGGCCAGGTGCAGTGTCCGCAAACCGGGTGCGCCGAGGTAAGTTTGGTGGCCTCCAGGATTCAAGACCAAGTATCTGACGATGTCTGCAGATCTTCAGCTGGCAAACCTTCCGCGATGACTTCTACCTCGACCAAGCTGTCCTCCGTAGGATACAACGGGCAAAGCAGGCAAAGGACAATGATGAGATGGATGACGACTCCGACGAACATTAGTAACCATATCCGAACGACCAACGGACTGAAATAAGCCCCGTCGACTGCGTCTGCACATCTGAGCCACGTCCGCTTAGCAGCAGCCCCGTCTGATATGGATATACAGCGTGGGTAAGACGACAGCGGAAGACGGAATTGCAGTTGACTGACGATGATCCGGTAGATGAATCTGATCACAAGGACCGGCTTCGCTGGCACTGCATGGTCTGGGATATGGTTTGGCGCCGAAGCACCTACACGGACGGACCATCGAAACTGTCGAGAATGGACCTCGCAGGAGTGCGCTGATCCTGGGACGCATTGGTGGGTTCACTGGACGCTGCTGCGTTCGCGCCGGACAATGGGCTGAAGGATGATGCTGCGAGCGTGATGCTCAGGAGGGCTTCGTTTATAGGTCCTGTTGGTGGCGCTGGCTCATAGGCGATCGACACGGAACGCCTCTCAGCCTTCTCACCAAATGTTGCAGGCCCATCCTCGGACGGCAAGCGCCAGAATCACCAGATATGTTGTACAGATTTTACATTAGGTAACCATATACATAGGTGCAACATCCATCCCCAACGCATTTGTACAAGACTGTGCATGTCATGACTCTTCCGCATCTCTCCTCACAGCAAAGAAGTAGTTGCCCACCTTCTCGCTCCCCTTGACCTCGCGCCACCCTACGCCTGGGATATACACCACTCCCATGACCCTTGGACTATGCCATCCCTTGCCTGCAAAGTACCGCCTCAGTTCGTGCTCGTTGATGTACTTGTTCCAGTCGTGCGTGCCCGGTGGCACGATCCGGAGAAGGTCCTCTGCCACCAAATTCGTCGTGAGCCAGCTCATCCACGTCCTGGCGATTGTGCTCATGACCAGCCAGCCGCCAGGCCGGACAAAAGGCTTGACTTTGTCGAGGAACGCAGCTGGTTGGTCAATGTGCTCAATGACCTCGAACACTGAAACAACGTCGTAGCCCTTTTCAGGGATGGGCAGCTCCTCGATGGACTTTTGTTGGTAGGACAGCTTGGATGCAAGCATGGGATCTTTCTTGGCGTGCGCTTTTGCTATGGCCAGCACAGACGGGGTGGGATCAATGGCGGTGACGCTCGACGTGGAAGGCAAGCGGGCCGCGCTCTCTGCGAAGATACCACCGCCGCAGCCAATGTCGAGATATGTCAGTGAGGGCGGGCGGGCCTCGGGTTGCGACGCGAGGCAGGCATTGATGAAGTCGTGCCGAAGAGGGTTCATGAGATGGAGAAGACGCGAGGAGCCGTGAGGGTCCCACCACTCGGAGGCGAGCGCGTTGAAGTGGGAGACTTCGTCTGGGTTGACAGAGGAATGCCATCGTTGGGCAGGCAGTTGTGGCGATGCGGTTCGAGCGAGGAAGGGCGGTCGTATTGTCCGGGGTGCAGCGCGTAGAAGTGTGCGCAGGCCCGTGGCCGCGGTCGGTCGTGTAGGCGCCATTGAGGCGGTCGACGCGTGGGTTCGAGCTCGGGCAGCTTTGACTACCTGGTCATGAGGTATCGCGACGTGGGACGTAAGTTACTATGGGTGATGGAAGTTTGTCTTGGGCACGGGATTTGCACAAGCGGAATTCGCCGTAGGTGCACGAGGTACAACCTTGGCTTCTGGTCCACGTCCTGGGAATGTAAATTTCTAAAACCCTAAAGAAGAATCGAGGGTGAAGATAAAGCTGCTTTTGTTGTAATTTGCAATTGAGCTCTTCAACCTCAGCTGTTGGGGGACGAATTTTGTCCAAGCCAGTGACCGAAGGCTACAAGAGCTGCTGGCTACCCTGTAAGCTGTCCAACATCGATGGGCATTAGTCAGAAGAACTCAATTTCGGCGCAGTTGCATGTCGTATGAAGCATTTTTTATCGTAAATTATGTATTCTTTGATTGAGCTTGTAGAATGTAGTGCGTGCTTCAGGCTGCCTGCTTAAACCTCTCGCGACTCATTACCGAGTGGCCGAACCGAGGAGCAAAGAATCACGAGCAAATGCGACACCGGATACCGTACATGTCGGGGTGGGATTCGGGGCCGCGCGCGGCTAAGGACTGGACCCTTGCCGCAAATGTCTGCGGGCTTATGAGCATCATGACTAGCGACACGCATCCTCGGTGCATTACTCAATCAATCCATCTTGCTGACAATACTCCGTCTCCATCCTTGCTAATCGTTCCCTAAGCACTCATCAATTGCCTCTGCCGTACATCTACCTTCATTATTTTCAATTCCAAGGAGAGAGACCTACAAGGCGTGACTGACCACAATCGAAATTCGCTGTCCTTCCCCGACTGCCCCTCCAACAACTCGATCACCACCGCGGGGTTTCCCACCACCATCCAATCCATCTCCAAAAAGTGAACCGTCGCACTGCAGCAGAAAACAACCATGCCTTCCGACACGATACCCCTCAGTCAATTCGACGACATCCCCTCCTGCATCGAGTCCTTTGCGGCCGGCCAGTTCCTCGTCGTCCTCGACGACCCCTCGCGCGAGAACGAAGCCGACCTGATCATCGCCGCCCAGGACGTCACGACCGAGCAGATGGGCTTCATGGTGCGCCACTCGTCCGGCCTCATCTGCGCGCCCATCACCGCCGCGCGCACCGAGCGCCTGCAGCTCCCCCAGATGGTCGCCCTCGCCCAGTCCCAGGACCCCAAGGGCACCGCCTACACCGTCAGCGTCGACGCCGCCGACGAGAGCGTCACCACGGGCATCAGCGCCCACGACAGGGCCATCGTGTGCCGCGTGCTGGCCGACGACAACTCCACGCCCTCGGATCTCAGACGGCCGGGCCACGTCTTCCCTCTCCTCGCAAAGGCCGGCGGCATCAGGGCGCGGAGGGGCCACACCGAGGCGGCCACGGAGTTCTGTCGGTTGGCGGGCAAGGCCGAGGCCGGTGTCATATGCGAGCTCGTGAGCGATGGCGAGCCGGTTCCCGGGCGGGCGGAGCACACTGGGCCCGGGATGCTACGTGGTGAGGAGTGCGTGGCCTTTGCCCGGAAATGGGGCTTGAAGGTGTGCACGATTGCCGACCTCGTCGACCACGTTGAGAAGACGGAGGGGAAATTGCAAATAAATGGCCAGTAGAGGCAAATAAAGACCACGATCAACTGACAGGATACCACTGTTTTGTATAGGAAAGCCGGGTTTGGTTTATAGAAAGGATATTTATCACGATACCTCTACTCACCATTCATAGATTCGTACGCCACCACATCTACCTGGACACTGAGCCACTGATAAAAATCTACATGCGTGTGTATCCGGCTTAGCCTTATTCCCCCAAACTTTCCTTCCAATGGCTGTCTTGCTCATTTACGTCGTCTCTTTCGAGTGACTCTGCGGCGACTGTGTGCAGCCGGAGCCGCCATACAGAGTAAGCGTCGTAGCAGGGCATCTTCTTCCCTTGCCCTGTGTCTCTCGTCAATCCGTCTTTCGGGGCTCATGCCGGCCCTGCGGACACTGCGCGGATTGACCATTGCGCGTTCGGCCTGGTCTCTCAGATGGCCAATGCTTTCCGGGGAGAGCACGGGCGGTTTTGCCTGCGGTGCTGTCCACAGCGGCGGACTCGGGGGACCCTGGTGGAAGACAGCGTGCCCCGAGCGCACATGCGCAACAGCACTAGAGCTGTGCGGAAACAGGTGTTCTCCGGAGACTGTAGAGTACTACGCCATAAAGTCTTCCTCCAGGGTCTTGATGCTCCTGTTGATGTCGAGACCTGCTGTCCGCTTGACGAGCTCATTGGCTTGCCTCATGCTCTCGGGCTCGAAGACGGGCGGGGGCGGGTTCGAGCGCACCTGCACGGGCACGTCGCCCAGGATGCCGTCCACCCTGAGCGTCCCCGTGACGGCGCCACCGGGGCTGGGCCGCAGGTTCGGAGGCGGCGCGCTGCTGTTGAGCTCTCGGATGAACGCATTGGCCTTTTCGCAGCCATCGAGAAGCCACTTGAGGCAGAGCGTGACCCTCTCCTTGGCAAAGGGGTTATTGTCGTCGTACGCGCACGAGTTGAGCAATGGGACGAGGCCGTCGCGGTCGACAATCTGTAGCTGCACCTTGGGGTTCCCCGGGCTGCTCAGACCAACGGGAGGCTGGAGCAGCGTCGCCAGGATGGTAAAGATCTGGCCTTTGATACCCTTCCATGAGAACTGATGCGCGGCTTCCTGCAGGGGGGGCGGCGGAGGCGAAGGGGAGCGAACGTCTGGCTGCGCGTAGGGGCGCTCGACCATGGGATCACCCCCCGCAGCAGCAGCATGTTTCTTTGGTAGCTCGACCAGGGGTTTCTTGGGCACAGCCGCCTCGAGACCCTTGAGGATGACCAGCAGGTCGTAGACGGCATCCCACTCAATGAGCTCTTCTCGGGTGTCCTGCATCTCGGCCACCGTGGTGAGGAAGTCCAGGTACTGCGCCAAGCCATCCTTGGCACGGTCCATGTCCCAGCTGTCGACGGGGAATTCGCCAGCGTCGCATTTGCCCTGCCGAATCTCCGCCTGCAGATGCATGAGCGCCGCGCACTCGGGCACCAGGCGGGCCCGGAAGACGCTGAACAGGTAATGCACGACCTTGACGTCCTTGGACTCGGGGTCCTTGGGCGCCTGCGCCGCGGGGCTGTTGACGCGGGCCCGGAACATGTGGTTGATGAGGCGCAGCAGGACCGTCTGCCCGGGCGAGATGATGTCCTTGGGGATCTTGAGCACGTTCCACGCGTACGGTATCAGGGCGCTGTGGTGGATAGCCTCGACAATCTGCGTGGTGACCTGGAAGATGAGCGAGGCTTCATCCTTCTCCCACACGGCGATGAACACCAGCAGCTCGCGCAGCAGGTTCTTCCCGCAGTCCAGGGCCAGGAACATGCGACAGCGGGTCTTTTGTAGATTCTCACCTGCCTCCGTGAGACCCGACCCTGCATTGTCCAGTATGCACGACTTGACGATCATGTGCAGTGCCTCGATTTGCTTCGGGTCGAGAATGTTGGGGATCTCTGTCAGAAGACCTGTCAATGGGCCTTCGGCATATGACATGTCGTCATCGTCCTCTTCCTCATCCATCATGTCCTCCACGTACTCGGTCGCGTAGTCTGGGTCATCGTGGTGGTGGTGATGATGATGATGGTGATGGTGCGGGTGATGGTGATGGTGGTGATGATGATGATGGTCGTGGTCGTGATCATGGCTGTGGTGGTGATCAGGGTGACCATGGTGATGTACGCAGTCAGGATGATGCTCGTCGTGGTCCGGATCACTGTCGTCATCATGGCTGTGGTCGCACTCTTCGTCGTCCTCAAGCTCGTCATGGCTGTGACAGGTGTGACAATCCGCACGTGCCTCGTGATCCGAGTAGTCGGCCTCAGCCACCACCGAGCCAGGCGATTCGTCTTCATGATACGAGTTGGCGTATCGGTGGACGAGGTTCTCCTTGCAGTGCTCCAGGCGGGCCTTGGCCACATCGATGCTCGTCATGGGAATCACGTATTGCTCGTAGTTCATGTCGCGAGCCTTGAGCCACCAGGTGTCAATCTCCCTCGACACCCTGCCATACTGGCGATCCTGCTCCAACCTGTCGGTCTCCTCCGGATTCCACACCGGGCTGAACTTCTCATCCGTCTGGCTACCGGTGGTGAGGGCCTTGGTTGGGGGCCGCAGCGTGGCCGGCACGTTGTCTGGGGACTTGAGCTCGCCGTTGTCGTCGAGGAAGTGGTTGCCCAGGAGGTCCCACGCCGTTTCGCACATCTCCGTGTTGCGATCCAGCCAGTTCTGGACCTGGGAGCGCGCCACCTCTGGGCGGAATCCCGTGCCGTCGTTCAGGCCATCATCAGACTCGGCGTAAGGGCTATCGTCGTCGAACAGCACGCGGAACCAAAAGGCCATCTTGTTGCGGTCGTGCTTCGCCGTCCAGTTGTGCGCCTGCTGCAGGGACGTCACCAGCAGCTTCTTGTAGTGTTCGGTGATATCGGTCAACTTCTGCCGCTGGCTGTCATCCAGAATCTCTCCGTCATAGCCCTTGCTCGTGACATTAACACACAGCACAATGGTTTTGTACACCATTTGGTCGAACCGCACCGCACCACAGATATCTTGAGGCACTTGCGGGTCGGCGTTGACGAGCAAGTTTCGGGCAATGTGCATCAGTTTGATCAGCATGGTCAGATCCTCTTTGATGCTCGCATGATTCTTGACGATGAACTGCGTGCTCTCCTGCGGCGTGACGCCCTTGTCAGGGTCGCTGAGGCTGGCCAGGGGGCCGACTGACCGAGTGGTCAGGCTGGGGATGGCGGAGGCGAAGATTTTGGTGAGCAAGATCCATATAGGCACATTCCTTGCCAAAGCTTCCCTGTTGATGGAGTCAGCCACTTGAGTCCAGCTCGGTTCATAAGATGGGGGGCATGCATACCTAGATTTTCGACATGTATGAGTCTTCTCCAACGCTTTGCCCACCAACGAATTCACCCTCGCTGTAGTCTGTGGCCCCATGGCCGGGGCCTGAACGTAATGGCCTTCTAGGCATATCAGAGCAGCATGGAAACACCGCTCCTCTATGGTCTCTCCAGAGTTTGCAGCATCTTGGCCCGACGTGCCCAGCGGAGGAACCGCACCAAACTCGGGTAGCCTGGTCACGGCGTGCTCGGGGTCCATGTTGCCCTCGACGCACACCGAACGATATGCTCACGAGTGGTCGTGCGCGTACTCTTAGGAAGCGTGGGTGACTTGAAGCGATTGAAACGGGAGTCTGTGAGCGAGCGAGCTGAGTTTGATGTTCCCACCGTCGATGGCGGGGCAGGTAGGGTTGAGGTTTGTAAGCTGCTGCGGCTGGACTTTGGCGAGGTTTCTTTACTGTCGTGTGGGGAACGCTCTCAAGCAGAGCTGTATAGAGACGCTGATCCTGATGGTGGACTTTTCATGTCCTTGGATCGAGTAACGCGAGTACGTGAGTGAGGCGTCCTTGATGATATGGCAGAGATCTCGGCGGCGCAACAAATGTGTCGTCGGCCTTATCGATAAGGATTTGATCAGCCACATTTGCACAATGCACCAGCCACTAGCGTTACGCTTATGACGTCCTCCCATCAACATCGATCATACATTGAGTTTGACACCATGAATGAATGGACGACTTCCCCTGAGGACTGGACTGAAGACTCAACAGCACACCGCATTCGACAATGACTAGCCTTCTAAATCCCCCGGACATTGCAACAACCATGCTCCTTCATGGCTTAGCCAATGATCGTGCCGTGTCAAGGGCGCGTGTGCGTGATAAGAATGCCCCTCTATTCGTCGCGCGCCATTTCAAATCGCGGGCCTCTCATGGTGGGGTAATGAGTCGGGTCCTCCAAGATCTTCATGGCGCCGCATCTCACCCTTTTTTTTCACACTCCGATCTGGTCAGGAACGTCCATTGATAAGAGCATAAATACCACCAGGATATAAAGCATTGGACGGGAAGCTCTCCAACCAAGCAGCAGGACGGACATCTTTCCCCTGACCTCCACGACCAGTCATCATGGCCGTCGACCTACCCTCTACCTTTGATAGTAAGACGAGGCATCACCCATAAATCAAGATTCTATGCTGACCAGTCTCTCCCGTTCAGAGCCCGTGCATATCGGCTTCATTGGCGGCACTGGACTGTCCCAGCTGGACGGCTTCAAGACCGTTGCCGCGCTGAAGCCCATCACCCCCTGGGGCGCCCCGTCATCGCCCATCTTCATCCTGAGCCACAATGGGTTCAACATTGCCTTCCTCGCCCGCCACGGCGTGCACCACCAGCTGGCACCGCACGAGGTGCCGAACCGCGCCAACATGGCGGCCCTGCGCCACATTGGCGTCCGCTGCGTGGTGGCCTTCACCGCCGTGGGGTCCCTGCAGGAGGAGATCAAGCCCATGGACTTTGTCCTGCCGGACCAGGCCATTGACCGCACAAAGGGGATCCGTCCCTTTACGTTTTTCGAAAAAGGCGTCGTCGGCCACGTGGGGTTCGCTGACCCCTTTGATGGCGGCCTCGCGCAGGTCATCAAGACGTGTGCCGAGAGCCTCGAGGGCGATGGTGTCGTCTTGCACGACAAGGGCACCGTCGTATGCATCGGTACGTGCGCATTGCATCATGAGACATGCTGGGACTATCCACGCTCCCGTCTACTTGTCTCTTCTTCTGTCGTTGGAGACGGACTGGCTGACTGACACATCGAACAGAGGGACCCCAGTTCTCGACACGTGCCGAGTCCAACATGTACCGCGCGTGGGGTGGCTCTGTTATTAACATGTCCGCCCTCCCCGAGGCCAAGCTGGCTCGCGAGGCGGAACTTGCCTACCAGAGCATTTGCATGGCCACCGACTACGACTGCTGGCACTCGTCCGAGGACGTCAACGTGGAGCTGGTCATCAAGTACATGAAGGCCAACAGCCAGAATGCCAAGCGCCTCGTCGGCGCCGTCATGGAGCGCCTCTCGCAGGTCGAGCACAGCGACCTTGTGGCGGCGAAGCACTGGGTTGGGTATGCGCAAGGGGGTATTCAGTTCATGACCAAGTCCGAGGGTCGCGACGAAGAGGCCATGAAGCGCATCGAATACCTGTATCCTGACATCTGGAAGTCGTGAGAGACGAGACCCGATAGTAGATGATAGATGATAGAGAGAGAAATACAAAGACATCTAGACCCTTGAGGCGGGATAGACCTGGCTCATCGCTGACGAGTCTAGAACCGTTCAAGATGCTCCACAGGCCTCGACAGGTAGATCTAACTTAGTGCTTGGGCGAATATCACTCTCACGTGGGAGCATCTTGTCCGCCTGCCCCTCCATCTAGGAGTTCGTGACGATAGGCCGGACTAGGATAGCCTCGCGGCCGGTAGAGCCACACCTTCTGGCGTGTGGCAGCGTGACAGATGGAATCGCAAGTTCACAACCTGCCTGCCACACCACGCCATGCTTCGTGTTGCGCCGACCCCTTGCCTTGGGTCCTCCCCATGCACATCCCAGGCGGAGCGCCCTACGAGCCTAACGATCCCTTTAGCTCACGTACACATGGCAACTTGGCAAGTTGAAGATACCAAAGGAGATCCTGACTCGAGGTACGCAACTCCATTGACTTCGGATGGCTCTGGGTCAGTAAAGCCGTGTCATTCCCCGCTGACGTGCCCCGTAACGCCATGGGAGTCATCCCAGTAGTCGTTTGCGGATGGACCCTCCGCCTTTCCATGTGCGAGCAACGTCTGGTCTTTCAGTCGCAGGCCAGCCCTCTCCTCTGCTTCTGGCTGATGACTTCGCAATGCAACACTGCGGCGCGACAATGGCCAATGGGTGTGTGTGGATTCGTCTTTGGTGATGCCTGTCAGCCCGCATCCAAATAGTGCATGCAGCTGCGCGAAAAGAGAAGACTGCCACCCTCGCCACACCATCGAATCGCCCAGGGGTCGGGCAATTGCCAATGGAAAGGCAGACTTCCACACTGAGAATGCCTGTGGTCCGTATTTGACGGTTGTGGAATCCCTGCAGGGCTGAGGAAGCTTGGTCGACTGTGCATTGGAGCTGAGGGTGTTGCGGTCCGACCATGACACAGCGAGTCGCGCCGTAGAAATATGTACAGCAAGTATAATTATTAAATGCCATTGAATGCTGTTATCAAGCGGTAGGCTCAAATAGGGATAACAGAATGTGACGTGTCATCTCGTGCTGCCTCTTCGGTTTGACGTCTGCTGTAGTTATGCAGCACGGATACTCCGTAAGTGAATGTGAAAAGCCAACACGAGCTGCCGATTTCATCTCGTTGGTGAGAAAGGGTAATGCTGACGGCGATTTTCTTTCCTTGTTGGATCTCGGACGATGGGAGCCTCGTCACTGCTCGGCATGTGAACGGTGCGCCCTTTTGTCTCAACACGCGGCCACGGTCCTACGCAGCCGTGATGTATGGACAATTTTGAGTATCAGTGCTCGTACGCACTATTGCACTGTGGCGAAGAACTATGAGAATTCTGAGAGCATTTTTTCAGACGCCTTCCTCTCCACATGGCGCATCCTGCATGCTCCTGTGCTTCCATGCCAGTACCTAGCAGCGTAGCATCGTACGGAGTCCAGTACTACGTACTTTGTGCTCATTGCAGCACGGCAGTGGTGCGTGGGCATGCAAGCAAACAGGATTTGCAACGACTCACCGTACGGCGCCTGCAGGTCAACAAAACGGCGCGCGCGAGAGAAAAGGCGCTGTGAAGGTGCATGCGGGCGAGAGCTGAACATGTGGCCACGAAGGCATGGCCATGGAGAATTAGGCAATCGCTGGGTCTTGGGGTCCGCTCGTCACTCTCCACGACGTGTCGTCCCTTTGCCTTTGTGACGACTTGGCTTACGCCACGATACCTATCCTTATGTGTCATCTGCTCGAGCAGCGAGCGTATCATCGAGCGAGCATCTAGATCACCGAGCGGAACACTCCGAGTCAATCACCGACGGAAAGCTGCTTCTCCGCAATAGTCGGCGCTACGTACTGCATGATCCATACATGTGCATCGGCGAGCATAACAGGGGGTAACAGGTAGTTGCAGTCTGCGGGTCCGGGTCCAGAGTCCCCGACGGACAAACTGAAACGTGAACTGCACCGTGCCTTGTCGGCGGGGACGGCGAAAAAGCTTGTCGTCGTTCTCAGCCGCCTTTCGTAACGCCCGAGTCGAGTTGAGTACGTAGCTCTGCTAGAAACATTGCGTTGCCATTTGTGAGAGGAGTAATTAAAAAAAATATGAATGGTGTGGTGACCCCTTGGGTGATGGAAAGGATCGACCGACACAGACCCAATGGATTGAAGGCTGAAGCCGATCAGGAACTTGCGTTCGTAAGTTGCCCAGGGCCGGCCCGTGTGGATGTGGGCCCGTTCAAAGCTCGGTTTTTTTTTTTTCAAGGACCAGGGCCCGGGGGAAGCGGTTGGACGACTGTGGAGATTTGTTGTTGTTGACGTGTTGTTCACTGTCTGTCTCGAAGGCGTTGGCGAGAAACATCATCCAGAGGCGCGCCCAACAACCAACCATGTACATACACTCATCAGTGACCTTTGGCGGCCGACTGGATGCTGAAAATTGAAATGTCGCGCGGCTCCGCAGTAAAACTGGCACCTGCAGTGCGCACGTAAACGCAATGCGTGCGTGGAGAAAGGTCAAGGTCAAGGAGGCAAAATTGAGTTCCCCCCACGCCTCTTTCTGTTTCGTCACTCGTGTAGAATGCACGCGCACAGAGCGCGTTTGAAAGGAGGGAAAAAAAGCCATACGTTGAGGAAGAAGACGAAGAAGATTCGAAGGCTACGTCAGTACGTAGTAAGATAAGGTACCTAGGCCATCTGGATCTCCATCGCCCGCTGCTGGCCCGCGCGGGCGGGAGTTGCACATCCGCGAAAGGAGCACCGATATTAGGGCCACCCACCTGTGCTATCAAATGACTGGACGGATGAGCAAGGACGGATTGCCGAATATTGATTGCATTATTATGGATCTGAACAAAGTTGAAAGGCCCGGTAGCGTTCGGGTCCCTCTTGCTCCAAAGAAAACCTCAAAAGTGAAATCTACTCGTGACAACCGTCACGATGCGTAGCATTATTACTACATCGCTGCAGTCAACACGCCATTCAACCAAGTAGCCTGAAGGCGGATCATCGCCGTGAGCGGGCCAGTCTGCAGACGCGTCGTGCTTGGCTGGCGTCTTATTAGTCCGTCGCTACCAGCGAATTCGAGCGTGCATGGTGCCTTATTAAGTAGCCAGCTCGGAACGACGTCAGCTCGCGGCTGGAAAATCTATCCTAGCATGAGATTTGCATTGCATCTTCGTAAAAGAAGAGGCGAACGGGACAACCCGCTGATCATTTAATTAGTCCCCTCGATCCGACCCGCGTTGTCGATTTGGACAGGTCTTCGCTGACGTTGACAACAAGGTTCATTAGCAGCACAAGTGCCAGCCGGCCAGGAGACGTGTGTAAGCGACAGTCTTGTCAGCCTCGGACACGATCGTACTTGTCTTGTTGGTTCTGTTGGTTCTCAGTCGGTTAATTCCATGAGGCGTCAACTCGCGCTGGCGGAGTGACGACCAACAAACAATATTGGCGTCAACGATAGATTAAACACACATGTGTGCAGCATGTGCGCCGCATGTTGGTCGCTGCACAGACTTGGACGCAACGTTGAACATGCGAGCCACGGCATGACCTCCATATCTGGCGCGCGACACGCAACGCGAGGCTCGAGCACTCGTTAGTAACGGCGGACTGTAGTGATCAGCCATTAGTACGCAGTAGCTTCATTGTTCTTAGGGTCTTCGGGTGGCTTGGAGCTATCAATAGAATAACGACACAATTAGGTGAGGTCTCATGTTGCTGATGCACTACATGTAGTCTAGTGCGCCCGCTGGGCTAGAAAAGGCACTGTGCTAGCTAGTATACTGTATAATACCCCATATCGTACGCATCGTCAGCAGATTTCAGACTCGGTGCCTTTGCCCAGCCCTCTGTCCAGTGCCAATGTCCGCCCCCGTACGTAGCGCGCAGGCAGCAGCAACCGCTATCAGGGGCTCCGGAGTCCGGTCATTAGTCTCGACTGCTGGCCCCCGGACGCACCTCATAAAGACAAGCGCGTGCGTAGGCGCCTGTCTGTGCCTTAGCGTTGGCGTTGGGGTTTCAGATGATCGGGGAACCGTACGCACCTATTCGCTGCAATGTCAGTTTCTCACTCCATGCTCCATCAAGCTTGCGATTGATCCCATGATGAGGCTTTCGGTGACCCGTCACCCTTGTTGCCCAACACCCTCCCATTTCCTTGTCCTTGTCCATGCCTACTGCTAGCATGACTTGCATGTGCGTGGTGCTAGTGTCAAAAAAGGCGGGCCAGCCAACCCCTCTTCCCGTGCGGCCCATCCCTCGCCGTCCGCGAAGCCCTTTTGGCCCCCTCCAACAGGGGGGTGGGGCGGGTCTGCACAACGTACAATACGGTGCAGCAATGGAGAGCTGGACGAGTCCATCCTGGAGCGGATCGATGCATATCTTCGCATCCCAGAGACTGTCTCGTAGCTGCGAAATTTTTCACTCCGTCCAATTCTAGTCCAAAATAAGATGGATGAACGACACACGGGCAGGCTACAATACCAGTGCTAGGTTTTATTGAGAAGGGATCGTTATAAACACAATCTGATCCAGCTGTTTGTGGATGGAGCCTGGACCGCCGAGCCTCGAGCAGTGAGAAACGAGGAAACAACCAACAGGCGTCGTTTATAGTTGAGTATCCACCTGCAACAGGGTCGCCTGTGGTCGGATGGATATCTGTGATTGCAGCACTCCAGCCTAATAAAGCGAACATGCAGCCTATAGGCAGTTCGGTTCTCTCTGTACTTATTCCAGGGTTCGCTCCCATCAGGTACGTACCATGCAGTGCGCGGGTGTACGGTGGGTGTCCGCCGACTGGGACACTCCAATTTCATCATGGCTGCCATCCTCGGTTAGGACCTGGGCGCACTTGCCGTCCAGTCGTCTCTTGACTCTCCTCACTTCTCTCTATCGACGAGCCGTACTCCCCTCTTATCATACCGGAGGCCCATATGTTCTACTAGGGACCTGGCTCTCGTTTGCACCTTCCGCGGCTTCAATTGTTGACTCTGTCGCTTTGCTGGTCTGCTGCGCTGCTCCGAACAAAGGCCAGCACAGCACTGAGCTGCCTCACGCCTGTCCGCGCGCCGTGATCTCCCTCCTGTGGAGCGACAAAGACGACCCCGGCCAATCCCTCCAGCTCCGGTTGCAAGCTGCGCATGCATTTTTCCCCATATCGACAACTCGCACGCCGTACACCTTGTCTGCGTTACTCTGCACTTTAACAGCGCGTGATTCACCGGTCCGTGGTGAAGGTAAAACGGTAATCTTCCCGGAGGTATAAAGCCCCAGTTTGGCCGACCTCTGGAACGCTGGAATTTCCCCCCTCAACACCCAAAAGATCTTCGCAGCACCCTGCCTTTGCGCATTCAGTTCGACCGAACACACACGGACGATCAATTGACTGCCTCAACCTGCCATCCACATTTCCAAAGTCGGACAATGGCTGTCTTCTCCTTGCCGAGTCATGGCGAGGTCCTGGACATTGGCGGCAGTACGATGCGTGATGCCTGTGCCCAGATGATGTACCAGACCTTCGGGCCTACACGCGACCACAACAAGAGGTTATTCGGATTGGACGAGTCTCTGTACGATGGGACCGGATCGCTGTACTGGGCTGACATCATGTCCAAAGCCGAGTTTTACCAGACAAACGATGAAGTAGTTCTGTTGAAGCAAAATGGTCTGAGTATCATCCAGCGCCTTCCCGAAGGCGTCACCATGATCGATCTTGGAGCCGGGTAAGTGATGGAGGCGCCTGGTGGATCTGATCGCGCTGACCCTTGACGTTCAGAGACACTCGGAAGGTTCGCCACTTCCTCGCCGGATTCGAGAAGGTTAGCAAGTCCGCGACGTACCTCGGCCTCGACATCTCGAAAGAGTCATTGGACCACAACATCGAATACCTGGCGTCAATGGCCCGCGGCCATGCTGAGCCGATTGTCACCGTGGCCGGGCTGTGGGGTACCTTTGACGATTGCCTCGACCGTGTCAAACAAATACACGGCCCAAGGTTGTTCTTGTCTCTTGGCTCGGTCTTGTGTAACGACGAGTGGCTGGAAGCGATGAAGAAGATCAAGCAATGGGCATCTATCTTGCGTCCAGATGATATGCTCCTTGTCGGCATGGACGCGCATCTGGCGCCAGTGCATCGTCAGAAAATCAAGGTGGCGTACCACACACACCCCAGGCTGTGGGACGCTTTCTTCAGTCATGGTTTCAGAATGATGAACGAGTATGCTGGTGAGGAATGGTTCCGTGACGAGGATTGGGAGCGGCACGTCGACATCGAATGTGACGGAGTTGACCAGTCGACACCGTCAACGTCAACACGGCATCGCTTTTACTTTTGCGCAAAGCGTGACATCGTCCTCGGGACATCTGGAGGAATAATCCACGAGGGGGAGGAGATGGACTGGTTTGATTCGCACAAGTGGCGTCAGTCGGCAGTCGAAACCATGTTCAGCAAGGCTGGACTTGTCGTCACTCAGGTGTGGCAGGCGCCCAATTCGGAGTTCCGTGAGTTCATGACCAGATCCGAATCATTCACCGGTGACAACGTTAACAACCGATAGGACAATACCTAGTGAGACAGCCTAATGAGGCTGATCCACGAAGCGACGCCGACAGTGGGGTGTCGGGCATCAACTGAAGAGGTCGATATGGGATCGACCACCAAAAGCCACGTGAAGAGGGTGTCGTTGTTGCGTGGCGCTGGCAGCAGATCAAAGTAGACTGCTACAATTTGCGAACTCATCTTGCGCACGGCGTTGAGGCTTTGCTTTGGGTTCCTTTCATCTGCTTTCTTCAAGTCAAGCATAGCGTCATTGGCTCGCGTTCCTTGATCTCAGCAACTAGGCGTTCCCACCACGGGTCTCTGTCCGATATGGACGCTGGCAGACTGCGTGTGTTCAGAGGCAGGGCAGGCTCAACATTGTCGATCCACCTTCGGATCCTCCTGAGTGCGTTATACAAAGGCGGCACCGTCTGTGTGAGCAATCGCATTAGAATGTCAGATAAAACAGTAATAACAGGGGTTCTACATACACTTCGCGTTGAGGAAGCGATAACACCAGCGAACCATTCAGCTGCGACCTCACGGTGTCGGTTCTCGGTAGCTAGTAGCCCGAGATAGAAGACGGGAAACAAGGGCGCCTGAGCACTAAAGAATTTGCCATGCGTGGGTAGGATATGCACACAATTAGCCAATTCTGTCAGTGTCATCAGAACGTCTGGATGGTCTCTCGGCAACCTGCAGGGTCGTTAGTGTTTCGAGTTGATGTGGACTTGATCGCAGAGGACCACTGACCTGAGCAGCCGGCATTGGGCGTAGACTTTGGCTCCAAGCCTGTAAGCTTCGGCCGAAACAAAGGTCATTTCTGCCGGAGTCTGGATAACTTCTCGTCCAAGTGCAAAGTGGCTGTCGACCCAGTCCTTGGTTGGGGGCCCTTCCTTGGCCTCATCCCATGTCAAGCAGTTGGGGGCCCATTGACGCATATCCTTAAGACAATTTATGATATTTTCAACCTGGAGCATGTTGCCCCCGCTTGCATCGCTCTGGGACATGGCACCCGACCAAAGCGTGATCTGTCGCATCAGTTCGAGCAAGCGCCTGCACATTCCCACACCACCTTGGATTTGGTGCCTGTCTTTGATGTTGCCGTATCTCAGCCATCTGAAGCGGCTAGAGGCTTTGCTTCCATCGTACGTCGAGTACTGGAGCGCAGGCTCATAAGGGAGCATGGTCTCAGCTGTGATGATGCCGCGGGCAACGAGTTTGCACTGCGCAGCGCGTAATGACGACATCTGTACGTTCTCCGGATTATAGTAGCCGGCGTGAGGATTGTGGCGCTCAAGTAGCTGTTCGCAGCAGTACAGGGCATCCAGCCAAGGACAGTGGTCACGCATCTTGCGACGACGTTCAGGAAGGTTGGTCTAATACACGATTAGCTGGATGACGTTGGAAGCGCCAGTAGGGTTGCGCTCACATCCTGGATGACCAAAGCGATCAGGGTCGTGAGCGTGCAGTCCAATTGGGCGGAAGAGAGGAGTTGTCCAGAGTTGTACTGTTCGAACGATGCGTCAATGCCCTTGTTCGCTTCTTCCAAGAGATAGTTGGCAAGCCCAAGGCTACGCCGTGACGGTATCATGTCGATAATGTGGACGGCTGGAATGCTCATAAATGCGTGATAAACGTAGCGGTTTTGTCCCAAGAGTAGAAAGTCCTCCTGCCATACATTGTCGGCACCACGAATACTGCGTCCTGGTAACCAGTTGCGACAGTCTGTTTTGTTAGCGAAGCAACTTCCCCGTCCAGCTAGAATGAACTTACAGAAAGCGAAGAACACTAGCTCATCAGGACTGCCGCGCTCGAGCATCCTCCTCGTCATGGGATTTGTGCTGACTTGAATGAGGCCAAGGGAGCGCTGCACACTCTTCCTAAGATTTTCGCCATTTGCAGCTTCTGCGGAGGACATTCCGTTCCTCGACAAAGCGAGAGCAGCTGCGTCGCGGTGATCTTGCTCCAGCTGTCGCAGTGTGTCATCAGATCTCGTGCAGGCTTCAGCATGGTCAAGCTCTTCCACTTCAGAGCCATCAGAATCTGACGAGTTTGCCTCATGAATTGTGGAACTTGCACGACGTCTGCTGGTATCGATGCCCCAGGACTTGTGCCGAACGATGGGGCCTGCAACCTCCTGACTGGAGGACCCAGCAGGAAGTCGAGGATTCTCATACTTGATGTACCCATGTTGTCGGCTCTTGGTGAGCCTGAAGCGGGGATTGAGTTTGAAGCTTCCGAATGTGCCCCGGCAACTTCTGAACGGGTTCTCGAGCTTCCTTGGCGGGAGCGTGCCCAGTACTTGGTGATTGGATGCAGTGTCATTCACAGCCAACGGGGCTTCAGCGACTGATGGTGCCGTTTGCACCATGTCTGTATGCACTACACGGTGGTTGTGCACATTTGGCTGAGAGTACATCGCATTGCCATTGTCAGAGCCTGAAGCGGCAGTAAGCAGGTGAATCCACGCATCGCAATTCTATCACGACTCACCAATGCTGGAACCGGGTAGAGACATGGAGAATCCATTGGCGGGTGTAAACGACATGTGCGAACCCGATGGCGATGCTTCCGTGGAAAGCACACCCAAAGACGATTGGCTAAGCATATCGATTCCACCGAAGGCATGCGTCGACGCTTCAAAAGGTGAGGCAAGAGCGAGATGACCATTGTTGTGGCCCGGGTTGGGTTTTATCAACGACTGGTGGTAGAACATGTCGCCGTTGTGTATGTGCGTTGCTTCGTGCGCTCCAGGCCAATTCACCTGGATTTCGCCGTGGTGCAGTGACTGTACCCAGGCCTCGTCGCTCGTGGTGAAAGGCGTCGGGTTGTGTCCTACATGATGTCCCGCATGCTGTGCAAGCTGAGGGCCGCCGAAAGTCAGAGATTGGTGGGCTGAATGACTCGAACCTAGAGGCCGCTGGAACGGCTGCGACAGCTTTTGGCGCTTCGCAGGACGGTTCGAGTCGTCTTGCGCCTGTCTGATCATGTGAGAGAGACTGGCGACAAGGGAGCGTTGATGCTATACCCCCTTATTGCCGGCTACTGCTAGTACGTAATTCTTGCTCCCTGCATAGACGGCGGATAGGGCCCGGAACTGAGCACATGCAGGGCTCAGGGCAACAGCCCAGGGCCTTTGAATGATAGTCCTTGAACGGACGAACGCGTGTTGAAGCCGAAGCACGCGTTGCCGTAGATCGAACCAGGCCGTCAGGCTGTTCGCCAGTGCCCTGGTCTGCCGAGCGACTGGAGTCAGAGATTAGCCAGTGTAAAGTGAGCGTGGCCAGGTCGAGGTTGGGTGAGTAAAGAGACGACAACTTCGGAATGTTTTGTCAAGTAGGGAAGAGATGACAAGGGACTGCTGCAGTGTGATACGCAGGTGGGCAGACTGGTAATAAGCGGGCAGCGACAACCGAGCACACCCTGCAGCGTTGCTGGTTCTGGACGTGGGTAACGCGCTGCCGTCGCTGGCAGAGGGGTTGCAGAAGAACAGCAGGAACGATCGGGTGCAGAGCCACGAAAGAGAAGGGAGGTTTGGAGGCTGTGACCGGATTTTGAGATGGCTCCTGTATTGTGTAACAAGAAGGATCGTGGAAGTGATTCGGGTTGAAATGAGGGGGGATCCCCTTATGATAGTGGCATTGAGCCTACGGGGATAGCAATTAGTAGTTCGGCCCTAGAACAAGCGGCCTGCAACTACCCAGTGCCTCTTTTGGATGGCACAAAGTGCCTGAGCCCAGTGTCACTCAAAGCGTGCTCAGTAATCCCAATGATCAAAAGCCAGGGTGAGTGCTTCGGGGGGCGGGGGAGGGCAAAGGTCGTCGGGAAAGAGCAAGGGCACCGTCAGTCCGGCCACACCAAATGAGAAGGGCAACGGCTAGTCAGTCGACCGGTCAGACCGTCAGAGGTGCTTGTCAATCGTCGAATGAAAATGTGGACATGCGTACTTGGGCAGGGGAGAGGCCTGCATGGCCGATATCCAATTGGGATGAACGCGCGCGACAACATGCGTTGCGACCATGTAGATACAGTAAAGGAAGAATAGAACAGTACGTACATACAGTAGGAGATGCGAGCAGAGACGGGTGCGTGCGTTGCGGCTACCAGCAGCTGTGATTGCTTGTTTGCCTGTGCGTCCAGATACTGAACGCGGCTGCCGCGTCTCTTCACCGGTTCGTTGTCAATATCGACAGATCCAAGACCGACTGGAGCGAAACCCGTCTCGTGTGGATGAACAGAGGCGAAAGGTACTCTTGAGCGAGGAGTGAGTGAGTGGGCTGATCGCTGTTTGTTGGAGCTGTTCTTGTCGCTTCAGTCTTGATGTTGTTGAGTGTAGGATAAAGCAGCACAATCAAGAGAAACTTTGGATGTTAGGCGATGTGCGGTGAACGCACGCGAGAGTCCGACAAATTTCGCGCAGATGCTCTGGCATTCTAGTAGATCTATCGCAATGCTCTTGGCTACCATTGCTTTTGCGGTCGACCCTTTCACCCTTGTTATTTGTCTCAGTTGCTCGGCATTCGTCCAAACAATACTTGGCTTCAGCTCATTTCCAACCACTGCGAAGTGAAATTCTTCTGCAAGATGAGCCCAGGTGGTTGGTTCAGCTTGACACGACTTCCCCACGGTGGCGCCAGATCTGCATTCCCGTGACCTGGAATGTCCCGCTCGCCGACCAGCCCACGGTGCCAGGGGTAGTGGGCCCTGTCGGGGACCATCAGCAGCCTCACGATCGCCGCGAATTTGGGGAGGGGCTTGCGATCGCGAAGGCGAAATGCACTCAATACTTATTACTTGCTACAAGCCTCAAAAGCGCAGGTCTTGCGACCTAATAAGCTAGGCTGTTGGTGTGACGAGGAACCATGAAACGTACCTTTCAAAACACGTTGAGTGAGGCAGAGGGTGGCGACCGGCGCCCATCGTAGCTTCTTCCACTGCAGTCCAGTCGCTCATCAATTGAAGAGTCGATGCTTACCTGGTAGTTGCTCACCGTACATAATAGTATTTCACGGCGGTGGATGGAGGGGTCACGGCCGAGGTCCCGTAGATACGTGTTTGCAGATTATTAAACAATGCCGCTGCAAATTCGAGTCCCCTTGATCAGTTGATAATAAGCCTGCTGCACAGTCTGGTTCCCACGGGCCACGGTACGGCTTATCGCGGGATGGCTGGCGGGATGAGCCTTGCGGCAGCGATACACTACGGGTACGTGCTTGTTGGTCACGTCCACTATTACGATGATCAGCTGTAAATCTGGAGCTCTGATCTCCAGCATGACTCATAGTACCAAGAAAGGATCGACACTGTGCGGTAACACTGTCTTGCCAGGCCCTCGACTCTGCTCACGGTCGGGCAGACATGTTGTCGTCTCTTCTCTCACCGACATTTGGCATCGTCGTCTCTTGTCTCGTGTCTATAGCCCTAACTTTGAAGCCGGCTGTCGCGAGGTCGATGACACGGTCTCGTAGGACGTTGACGCTGCCAACCGCACTATAGTAGTCGTCCGGGGCTGCATCGGCCGACCCTGACCTCAACAGCCATCGCGACTTTGTGAAGGTCGAAAACTGATAGTCAAACAGCGTGTGTGGCGTGTGACGGACAGTTTATGGTGTGCTTTCTTCTGGTTCATTGCATTGGCTGATGCTCCGGAGCCATCCCACACTGAGGACTCCGAATTTCTAGTACTGTTGAGCAAGTCTGTTTTACTGCCACGTTGGTGCCATCTGCGTGTCACTGACAAGATACAGGTCGCACAGGCTGTCATTTAGTGGAACGCTGAGGGCCCATCAGCTATGAGCAGCATGTCTGATCCGCACAAGCCTTTCGCGGGGCCTCTGCCACCATTGCCATCAGCATCAACCTCTCTCCCGAGTATCCACTATGTCGAAGGTCCCTTTTACTCGGCTCTTCACCAGGCGTGGGACACCACAGCTACTACGTCGAGTAAGTCTCCCTTTAGCGATGAGCTTCGCGCAGCCCTCGACAAGGCCGAGGAGAAGACCAAAGTCAATCTGCCTGGTCGATCAAGATCCTATCACGACGAGCAGCTTAACAAAATGGAAGAGGTGGGCGAATACATACTGTGGACATCCCTGGTACTGGAGAGGCTCACAGCCGAGTTTGTCGAAGGACGATATCTCGCGGACACCATTGATGAGCTTCGTAAACGCTTATGGGAAGATGACTTATCGACAATGACTGTCAATGCGAGCGTAAGCAAGTTGAGGTGAGCCGCCTCCCATTCAGAGTCGACCTGTGGAATTACTCACTCAGGGACTAGGAAAATGAAAGAAGAGACACAGCGCCACGCAGAGGAGATGAAACGAATATGGCTGCCATCAAACTACGGGCCTCCGATTGAGACGGAACGCACGCAACTGAAATTCCGGCAAAGTGCATACTCTTATCACAACAAAGATCCTCGCTCTCACCGAGACTCCATGATGAGTGGAACATCAACTGCTGGGCCGGGCACGCACGAGTCACCCGCTGATCTAGGGGACTCGGACGGAACCAGCGAAACAGACAGTGAGACTGAAGATTGGTTCAACAAGACCATCGAGACGCAACTCAACAAGCGTGGCAAGGGCGAGTGGAGATGCGTGAGGGGCCTCAAATGTAAACAGGGCGGCGTTGTCGATGGAGTTGTGAGGGTCTTTGAGCGTCACTCTGAGTTCAAGTGAGTCCCAAGCACTGACAGGCACTGTCAAGCACGAGGCATGGTAGGCTAAGCTGACATTGCAAATAGAACACACTGTCGGAAACACAGCAAGCCCTTCCGGTGCGAACTACCAAATTGTCCGAAGTTCCCTAACGGACGAAAATTTGGCCGGAAAGACGGCTTGGAGAGGCATCAGAAGACTCTGCACAGGCAAGACATAGGGAAGCAGGCTCGCCGCCAAACCACAACGAGCAGCTCCAGTGTCGCATCACCAATGGCTCCCGGACCGCCCAGTGGCACATTCTACCTCGCAACAGAAATGGAAGGCATACAAAGGTGACCGGCTGGCGCCAGAGGGTCGTCGTCAGTGCCGACAGCGTGAATGTATAGTGGCGCCTACTGCAGTGCCCTATGGGTCGTCCTCTTTGTTAGCATCGGGGCACCTGGGAGTGCCCTAGACCCCTACGCGTCCACCCACCTTTGGGTTTCATATCGATTTTGGCGGTGACTATGTTTCTGTTGGCGGATCCTACACTCGATTGGTTGCATATGGCGTTTGCTTGGAAATCGACATGGCATGGTGCTCATAATCACGTACCTTACTTAGGCAGACATGGATCGGAACGAATTGTTTCATTGGTTTATCCTGCCTTAGATGGCAAGAATGAGGTGCTTCTTACTACTTAGGTAGTACCTACCTTAATTAAGGCACCTGACTTGGTTACTCTCACCATCTACAAAACACCTACTACTAATCGTTTTTCCCACACACCTGGTAGATTCCACGGGGTGAGCGCAGGGATCCAGCCCCCATGCATTTGTCCATTAACTGCCCCATTCAGCACTCGACTCAGGGTCACATCACGAACGTCGCATGCGACACACAAAAGCAAACCCTTCCCCCACGCACACCGCCAGGAGTCCAGGACGTACATGTTCGAGACAAAATTTCCGGGCGAGCGTAGGAGCAGATTCATGCGTTGGCCCTTGCAGACCGCCCAATATACGATGGGACAAATCACCAGAGAGGGTGTCGCCTTGGCTCCTTATCGTACGCATACGGTTCTTACGGTCTTGCCCCATCCTAGTTGCGACGAAGACCCGCACGGTCAGCGCGGAGCCGCGGACGGCGGACCCCTGCGGCCCTGCCTCTCGTCACAACCGAGCAAAGCTTTGAAAGCCAGCATAGTATGCAGCACCACTACCATGAGCACATGCATTCGGCTGGGTGCATGTTTGCTGCCAGCCTTCCATCACCGGTCAATGGAGCCTTGCGTGCTGTCGAGATCTAGCTCGGTCAAAAGAAGTCCGTGGCTCCTGTCATTGGATCTCCACCCTGGTGGATGCCAATCATCCGGAAAGACGTCCATGCACAGTATTAGAGTGCCGCTGGATCTCTGGCTTGAGAACGTGAGCTTGTGTGTGAAGTATTGGATGGACATGGTTTTCACGAGCGAGGCAAGTAATTCGGAAGCGCATAGTCTGTCCCGGTGTCGGCCCGTCCCGACAGATTCAACGTCTTCCCGAGGTCAGGTCCTATGAAGGAAAAGTCACAGAAATCGCCAACGGGCTTCCTTAGACCGGTTACTCCCGTGGAAGCGAGTCCATGGTGCGTCGCACAAGATCCGTCATTGTGCGTCAGCTGCATTCGGAGCGGCCAAAAATACTCAACACTCAATATATCTGCAGTATGTTGTGCTACAGTTCAAAGGGGGGCTGCGGCAGCATGCAGATACCCTGGTCTCGCGTGGCCTTGCGACTACATGTACGTACCTCTCAACATGCGGCAGTCCAGCCCTCTTAATTACTATAGTACTATCCGCAACACCCCCACACTAAGAGTTCTTGAGCCTTGCGTTGTTCATGAACGAGATGCAGGAGGACGAGGTCACGACTTGCCAGCTTCTCCGCTTGAGTACATGACGGATACAGCCACCTGTAAGCTGGGTCTTCCTCACAAAGATCCGGCTTCACAGCGCCCTGAATGCCTATGTCGTTCTAGCCTTGAGGATGTGTACCAATGGACAGCAAGGGTCTTTATAATTAACGTAGCCTCGCGCATCCCCTCCTTCCCAGGTGAGAATCAGTTGGTTCGACTGTAGGCTTTAGGTTAGAGGTTCGGCTACGTGCAGTGGTAATATGCAGTGGCGCCGGCAATACCAGCAATGTCAGACTGCCGCGCTTCCGCAGACAGATGCGAGGGTGTGCGAAGAAGTGTCGACAACTGGACAAGACTTCTTCATCGAGGTTATCTCTGATCAAGCCACATCCAGGGTCCCTCTCCACTGCAGCTCGAATCGTGGGCTTGATTCAACTGTGTGTGCCCTTTGCACGCATAATGCACGTGTCCGCAAGTAGGTGCGGTCAGGAGACATGGAGGCTAAGGCGCCCTCAAGGACCAGAACCACCAGGTGGGAGGCTCTGATTGTCCTTGTCGTCGGCATCTTACCTCTGGACGCAGCATGTCGCATCGGAGCACTCGGGCGACCTGGAAATGGGAACGACGGAGGAAAGGAGAGAAGAGACAACATTATTATGGTGGGGCGGCGCGACAGAGATTTGGGGACTTGCACCGGGACCCCTGGCAAGAAAGCTGATAGGCTCTGGGGGCGCTCGTGGGGGTGAACGCAGAAAACGGGACTTGTCTCCTTGTTCAACACTTTGGGCTTCGAGCTGTCAGAAGCAAGAAGGCAAAGTCGATCATTCGGAACCTCCCCATGCGTTTCAGGTGGCATTGAAGCAGACAGCGAAGCAATTTGATAACCAACGAAAGCAAAGCTCACCATACACCACGGTCGGCGATCAGCAAACATCCGTCAGTCGTTTGATGCTCTCTTGCCCAGCTCCCGCCATTCCAACCGCACGTATATACTTAGTCTAATAGAAGATCAATGAAAGTAGCGATTCTCGAAGCGAGGATGTCGCTTCTTGACGCAGTGGCCCGAAAAACGTCGCATTGCGCAGAAATGGGTTGCGGCACGCGGGTTTGTCGATGTCAGGATTGGGTCTGACCCTACGCAGGAACTGGTGTAGTTGCTTTTGTCAACTAGCCGTTTCGGAAGAAGGTTGGCTAATGATGAGGTCACGAAACTTGACGAAATAACATGTATTAACTAGGTAATAGGCGACCTATGCATGGACATGGATGGGCCAGGTGTCCTAGCGTTCGTTGCTTTTCCGCGAAGAAGGCTGCTCACTTATTACTTCTGGGCGGGGCGCATGCCTCGAAACGATGGCGCGCAAACGTCCCAAAGGCCATGATCGCGGTCTGGCGATGCCGCAGAGAGTCAACTTGTCGATGGCATATGGGCTCGGCATTTCTTAGTACCTTACTTTACCTTATTGTATTGACTTGACCAGCTCACCCGTAGCAAGTCGCTCCTTCACTAACGTTACCCTACTAAGGTACTTTAAAGTTCGAGGGGTGATTGCCATCCAGTCCCCACACTTCCTTCCCTCCGCATCTGCAGCCACGCATGATCTCAGATTCTCAGTCGAATCCGTGATTGTTTCATTAGTGGTCGGCTCCTCTGGAGTTGGTTGTTTGCCCCAAGTGATCCGCGCACCAATCGGCCAAAGCTCACATTTGTTGTTGATCTCCCCTGGAAATCCGAGTCCCAGGATCCCCTGTGCCGTTACTGGCATTGCTCCAGGCTAGACCCTCTGTCGATTCTTACTCCACACTCGAGTCGAGTCTCATCACGCCTGGGTGAAGATCGCATTCCCCTTCCTCGCCCTCGCAGGCAATTAATTACTTACGTTCACGAGTGTTTGGGTCCAAGGATTGAAATCCTTCACTCACTATGGCCAAACAAGTAGGCACCTAAGCTATGGCACAAGACAGACAGAATCAATCGCTTCAAATCCGGGACTGATCCGACTGATCAATCCCATCCGTGCCTAATTTGCGAGTGATGACGACTTGGATGGCCTTGGCCGTATCGAGTCACCGCCTTTCCTCAAAGTATGCATTTCGGGACAAGCGTGACCGCCGCGCCGGGCGTGGAGGGTGAGGCGACTGGAAGTTCCGCTGGCCCCCTTTTTTTCCTTTTCGTTTCTTCTCGTTTTTGGCTGCTGAGACAACATGGACATGACAATCGCCCTGCTGTTACCCGATCTGCCAATTCCCGAAGTCGGGTGACCACAGACGGCGCTTACCGATGCCTGCGCTGTCGTGGCGCGCTCTTGTCGTTCTGAATCTCCTGCCAGCGCAGCGACGGTCAGCCAGATTGGCTTGCGCTGGCCCAAAGCTGGGGATCTAAAATCAGTTACCTGCCGACATGTACATACCTACTTAATTAGTAACCAGGTGCCTGCCTGGAGAGGACCCATCGCTACTACCTACAATCTATTTTCCTGGTTACACCCCCCTCTCAGGCGGACCCCTTGCTCTCTTCCTTCCAACTAGTATGTCGTCCACGTATAAAGGCAAGTGACACCCATCGACGAAGCTACCTTAGATTGCCATTAGATCTCACTCAAGCTTTTGGATCTTTCTGCATCATCGCTTGGGTCACACGACTGCCACTTCACTTATTCCAATTGGCACAAGAGTTCCACGAAACTTTGCTTCCCCAAGTAGGCTCAGACACTTGACAGCCAGCCCGCCCTGCGCCCTCGACTGTGTCCTGCACACGCTACTATGACAGTCAACAACCCCATCAGCCAGGGGGATGCCCGCCGTGGCACTCAGGAACCCTCCTCAGTTCTCATCGTGGGAGCTGGCAATTTCGGTGCCTCTGCTGCTCTGCACTTTGCTAAGCAGGGCACGCCAGTGACCTTGGTTGACACTGCCCACTACCCCAACCCCAGGGCCGCCTCCCATGACATCAACAAGATTGTCCGCGGTGACTACCCGGACACGCTCTACATGGAGATGCTCCGCAAAGCCATGCCATTGTGGCGGAAGGATAAGCTCTACAGCCCGTGGTATCACGAGGTCGGCATGCTGAGGGCAGACCCATCGGATTTCGGGGACAGGAGCATGCAGGCTTACCGGGAGGTTGGCATTGCGAACGACTCGCGCTACATGACTGTGGAGGAAGTCCGGGAGCGCTGGGAGGCGTACTCGACCTCCAACTTTGACGGCCTGAGCAAAGTCTTGTACAACCCAACGGTTGGCTTTGCCGAGGCTGACAAGGCACTTGGTGCGGTCGTGCAGGCGGCCATCGACGCAGGCACCCACTATGAGATTGGCGAAATGTCATCCCTGGCACTGGGGCCCACGGGAGAATGCAGGGGCATCCATCTGAAGGATGGCCGCACTCTGTATGCCAGTCAGATCCTCATGGCCACAGGCGCGAGGACACCTGCCCTCCTAGCGCAGAGTGCTCCGGGAAACAAGTATCTGCACATTGGTGACCGCCTGGTGGCCACAGGCGCCGTCAGCTTCCACGCCAAACTTCACGGCGCGCAGAAGGACAAGTTTGCAGCTGTCCCGGTGCTCAAGAACTGCATGCCGCAGGTGAAGGGTACGTACTGCACCGTGCCTGGCACTTGTCGAGCGCTTGCTTCATGATACTGACCGTCCGTGTACAGGTGAGGGCATGTCTATCCTCCCAGACGGGACAATCAAGTTCAACTGCGACATGTGCTTCACAAACTATCAGACATTGTCTGCCACGGGTGAGAAGATGTCTCTGGTTCCAGAGAGCAACTTCTTCAACACGTGGACGGACCGGAAGTTCCTCGACTTCTTCGAGAGACGTGCGCGCATGACCATCAACGGGCTCTACGGAGACGAGGTCAAGCATGTCCCCATTGATGCGTACCGGATGTGCTGGTAAGTTGCCCGCGATTGCTTGCTGCTTTCCGCGGGACGCATGACACTGACTCGGTTCCCAGGGATGCTTCCACGCCGACTCATGATTTCCTCATCACGGCGCACCCTCACTCCCAAAATCTCTACATCGCCACCGGCGGCTCCTTCCACGGTTGGAAGTTCCTGCCCGTCATCGGGGACTACATCGTCCAGCTAATGGAGGGTACCTTGAGCGCTGAGCTCACCGATCGCTGGGCTTGGGACAAGAAGGGCGGTGATGGCCACTCTGCGAACCCCACGTACCAGGTCGCGGGCGACTTACAGGACTGGACTGATGACATTGAGTATGCGTAGGACCCCATGACAGATTACCACCATGGGATGGAGGGGAGGCGGAGGCAGAGCAGCATGCAGGTCGTCGACTCCACCGCCTGGCTACGTCGTGCGCACTTGGCATCTAGCATTTACAGCATCGGCACGGGAAGTTTTGTCTACTGGGGGCGGTAGTGTATTGTCTATCGCCTCGATCACTCACTTTTTGGAGTTTGGGTTGTCTTTGTCTTTCTTCACTCGAGGCATTTTAGCATCATCTGGTGGGTATTAGCAGTCTCCTTTCCCATTTCAGATCCTGGTCACAGGCTATAGAATCAACAGTATGCACTTTCCATGCTTCTGGTGCCCCTGTGCCTTGGTTGATGGCTATAGACAATCAAAGAACCGGCTAGGCCTGCACAGATGTGATGACGACGACATGCCTATGCATTGCCCAGGTGATGATTAGTACAATCCTACATTTTGCTAGGCACAAACAACATGTGCGTATACGTAGGACGCCTTTCCCTGCTGTACAGCAGCCCCGCGGCTCGCGACTCACGGCTCGTGATGGTGAGATCGATCTGTGCCCGTACCCAGTACCCATGCACACGCTGCCGATCCCCGACTTGGGACCGTGGGCCCGTGGGGTGGCCCGTGGCCGATGAAGTGAACAAGGCACGAGTATCGGAGTATGTACATAAGTACATCCATGGATTTGAGTTTCTTGGTTAACTTTAGAGCTGCTGGACTGGGCAGAGCCATGACTCGGCGTCCTGCGTGCGTCCTCGCAAGGTTGGTCCCCCCAAAGAACAAGCGTTGGAGACCTGGCGGTGAAGGAACACGAAGACTGACTGCCCGGAGACGAGTCGGAACGGGTAAGACGGGTCCGGTCCGGATTCCCGTTCGTCACATGAGTAAATGGTAAGTGGGAAAGTGGGGGAGGGGGGATGATCGTGCCCAGGCGTGCTTGAACTTTTGACTCTTTTGAGGCCAGCTACGTGGATAGCAGACAGCACAGGCAATGCTCTCTGCTACCTGGGGAGGTAGCCATGGTTCATCACCGACCAGGGCAAAAGCGAACTCAATGATACGTTCCCAGTGCCGCCCTGGCCAGGTCAAATTTGTGGTTGCGGAATTTGCTCCTAAGTACCATAAGACGACAGGGGTGGGCGATGTTTGGTGCACAGTGCGCAGGCCTGACGTCGCTTGTGCAAGCTAAGACGCTGCTAAGTTAATCATTACGCCTTGACGTTATCAACATAAGCAGCGACCATTCCCCAGAAGTCGAGCGTGCCCTCGAGTCAAAATTTATGACTACAACATATTGGAGGGCAAAAGGGCTGCCTCTATCGAAGCGTTGTTATCTCGCGCCCAGCACTCCCTCCAGACCTACGATGTACGTAGTGGATGAATATTTCCAGTGACATGTACGCCCACGACCTACCCTGTGCTGTCCGCGTCCGCATCCTCCCACACACATGCAAGCTGCACTTGCGTGTAGCAGGTTTCGCTGCACTGACCCGTATATATCTTCCGGTGTGTCGATTGCAGTGCTAATTTTCTACACATGGCCCGGATAGATTTGCATTTACGGTGGTTGGACGTGGTGATAGTTCAATAGTTGCCAAAAGCAAGGATGTGTATTGTCAAGCCACGTCCAATGCAACTCCAGCGCAAAGTCGAAGACACCGGAGGAAATAACCCACCCATAACGATGAGAGGTAACGTGCGCATCACCTCCATGATACACATCCCACGCTGCTTCTCAAGTACTACCCAATACCTGACCACCTTGATCAGTATATGGGCGCCCAGCCCATGCCTCGAGATCATCGGGAGCCGCCGGCAGTTACCTCTCACGGCCACGAGAAGAGAGTCTGGTAAGGCATGCCACTCCTCCGATTGCTTTGTGGTTGCCCCATGGCTGATCGTCGTTCAGATGGCTTACATTTTGTGGAATGATCTCCGTGGTGCTCTCTGCCTGTTTGGAATGATATGTACGCCTTCTAGGAACACCCGCTTCTCGAGGGCGAGGGGACCCCCCATTGCCCACAATTGCCGCTAGACTCATCCTCTTAGGAGAAGTATAGAAGCACGGCAACTTACACCTCCGGCTGTCTGCTGTCCTGGCCATGCCCAGATCTCCTGCAGTCACGCACTTGGCAACCTTCTTGAGAGGCTTGCAGCACAAGGTTCAGCTATTGTGAATACTGCGTGTCGGTCGATCCCGCGCCGAGACACGTCTTGCCGCGATAGCAGTCACAGTCTGCAACAAATATCTGGCTGCGTTGTGCATCGAGCTGCTCAACCTACCCCGCTGATCTCAAGGTCCGGCGGGCGAGAACAACATTCCATGTGAAAGGGTCTGCTGTGAACGTACAGCGCGTACCAACACACAGAGTCTAAAGTCGTGCTGACTACTCGTTCCAACAAGTGTACCGACACAACCATCGTCTTTGTGGTCATTAGCTCTTCAGGGTTGTGGCGAAAGTTCGACCACCGAGAGGAGCCGGAAATTCGGTCTGGACTAGAGGCATCCAAGAATCCAAGCTCACATTGAATCCCACACCAATGTCATTGAGAGCCTCGAACCAGAGCCTTGAAGACACCATGTTCTCCAAGGCGCAGAGCCAGCTGAGAGAGACATGCCATGACATGACGCGAGCAGTCGATGCCCGTTGGGACGAAATGTCGAGTCTAGAAATCCTTAGCAAGTCTTTAAAGAAGTCACCGCAACGCGATGCTGGCGTGCAATGAGGTGAAGGTCATTGATCAAGTTATCGTGAGCTTGCCCACTACTAGGATGTCAGTAAGTACGGATGAGAGCAATGCTCAAGCTTCGCACCGTAGGAGCCTGTATACGCTGCTGACTAAGCCGAAGTAGGTGCCAGTGGCCAGCTGCCAGACAGAGGCGCGTCACAGCACCGGAGCCTTGTGGCTCCACTCAAGGGATTGCAGCCAATCGTTTCTTCACTATGCCCTAGCTTTAGCTGTGGCTCAGGCGTCACTTCCCACCTCCGATTCCACTGCCTTCGCATTTGATCGACTCTGATGCCATCATCAACATTCGACTTTTCGTACGAACGCAATCTCTCCGACCCTTCGAGTACTGCAGATCGGCAGCGGAAGTAATACTCACTCCCATTCGAAGGAGAATTCGTCCCGCGAGCTGCTCCAAGGCGGAACTTTTACGTACTCGATCGGATCTAGGTCAACATAAAGCGATCACCACGCGACAGCAGCAATCATGGGCTCCGACCCTCAATACGCCAAGTGGCCCTTGCTGCCGCTGTCGCAGCATGTCTTCACTCTCAGCAATGGCTACGCCACTAGCAAGGCGCAAGAGGCTGCCGCCAAGGCACTTCAGAATGCCATTACTGAGGACAAGATGGCACCCTTCTACCGCTACTTGGCGCACCCTACGACCGGTGTTTTTAACAGCGTCGGAGAGGGCAACTCTAGTGCTCCAGGGCGTCCCTTGAGCAGGAGGACTAGCCTGGTGGGCATGGTGGCCTCGAAGCCGTCAGCCACTATGGTGAACCTTCCGTGGGATGAGGCGTTGTACAACCGGCTGGTGCAGGACAACGAGAAGGAGCTGGCGGAGATCCAGAAAGAGGAAGAAGAAGCCGTGGAGCAGGCCGGAGACACAGAAGTGACAGCAGCTAAAGGCAAGCGTGCCGAGTTCTGGGCCCGAGTTGGTGACAAGGTAGGGAGTCACAGCGATCTCAGCATGTGCGAGCCGAATGCTGACACCAAGCCAGGACAAAGCGATCGCTGCTTATGAGAGTGTTTTCGAAGGAACGGGCATCCTCGGTGCCAAGATCGATCTCGTCCTGGCCATAATACGGATGGGCCTCTTCTATGGCGACAAGCCTCTCGTCAAGAGGCACGTCGAGCGTGCCAAGACTCTCGTCGAAAGTGGTGGTGACTGGGACCGTCGAAACCGCCTCAAGGCCTACGAGGGCCTTCACCTCCTCACTGTTCGCTCGTACAACCTCGCCGCCCCATTGCTCCTCGACTCGCTCTCCACATTCACCAGTTACGAGCTCTGCACGTACTCGAATCTGGTGATCTACTCCGTCCTGGCGGGCTCCGTGTCTCTCAAGCGTGTGGACTTCAAGTCTAAGGTAGTTGATGCCCCCGAGATCAAGGCCATTCTTGGCGATGGAGAGGACAGGTTGCTCGCACTCAGCGGCGCCCTTAGTGCAGGGCCGGGCGCGGACGACACCGCTGGCAAAGATGCCCCCAAGGCTGCCACGGCCGGCGTTGTGAACCTGACGACTCTTGGCAGTAGCACCGACCAGCCCGAGGCGGAGATGGCGATTGACTTCAGCCCTCTTGCGCTCCTCGTCAGCAGCCTGTACACCGGCAACTACAAGACTTTCTTCCAGTCACTCGCATCAGTTGAGGAGCAGTTCCTGACGCAGGACCGCTACCTGTCGGAGCACAAGAATTGGTTTGTGCGCGAGATGCGCCTCCGTGCGTACCAGCAGCTTTTGCAGAGCTATCGCGTTGTCGGCCTGGACACCATGGCGGTCGACTTTGGCGTGACCGTCGACTTCCTCGACCGGTAAGTGGACCTTACGTGAGCTTCCCTTCAAGATCATGCTGACCAAATTCAAAGGGATCTAGCCAAGTTCATCGCCGGCGGCCGCATTCCATGCACAATCGACCGCGTCTCGGGCAAGGGTGTTATTGAGACCAACCGACCTGACGACAAGAACAAGCAGTACCAGGACGTCGTGCGCCAGGGTGACCAGCTGATCACCAAGCTACAAAAGTACGGTCAGGCTGTGCGGTTGAGGGGCAGCGAGAGGGCGTAGGGGATATATCTACACTTGAGCTAGACATGGAGCCCAGTTTACTCCGTATGACGTGAGATGAATAGACTTGAGCCGAGACAAGCTCGCACCGCGCATGGCAATACATTTCATGGATCGTATCATTCGCACACAGGGGAACGAAATAAGCACCAACGTCTTTTTACTTTTTCATTTTACTCCCAAAGGGCGTAGTCTACCGGTACTTGTCCATGAACTCATCGTGGAACTTGACGATCCTGCCGGTCCACTCTGTCCCGGGTGCCAGGAAAGTTGTTCTGAAGTGCAGCGACCCATCCTTCTGACCAAAGCCCGAGCCGGGCACGACGCAGATACCCGTCGCCTCTAGCAGGCGCATGCAGTAGAACTCATCGGGTGATCGACCCTCGGCCGCGGCGGCCTCGCCAGCCTTGGGCGGGACGTTGATGGTGGGGAAGAGGTACATGGACCCCTGGGGCTCGCCGCACTCGACGCCTTCCATCTCGGAGAAGGCCTTGTGCAGGGCGTTGGCGCGCTGGCGCAGCCCCTCAAAGATGCCGCTGTGCTCCTTGTCGTACAGCTCGAACGAGGGGTCGCCTTGGCGGGGCGGGTTGACCATCATCTCGACAAAGCACTGGCCGATGACGGGGGCGCAGAGCATGATGGAGACGAACTTGTAGATGTTGGCCTCGACCTCGGGGTCGAAACCGCAGAGCTCAAAGTAGCCGCCGCGGTGGCCGCACTCGCCGACCATGCCCTTGGAGATGGAGTGGAGCGAGGCGAGCTCGACGCCGTCGTATTGGCCCGGCTTCTCCTGCTGCATCCTGCGCAGCACAGCTTTGAAGCTGTGGAACTTGCCCACAAAGACGTTGGTCTGGTACACCTCGTCAGCCATCACGACCAGGTTCTCCTTGGCGGCGAAGTCGAGGATCTGGCGGATATCCTCCTCGGGAAGGGAGGCTCCTGTGGGGTTGCCGGGGTTGATGATGACAATGGCGCGGACGTCAGTCCCGTCCGCCTTGGCCTTCTCGTAGGCGGAGCGAACCGCGTTGATGTCGGTGCCCCAGTTCTTGGCCTCGTCGAGGTAGTACGGCACGCAGGTGGCATCGAGGACAGAGAGCGTCGCCGTGTAGAGAGGGTACTGGGGAATGGGGACCAGGATACCGGTGTTGGGGGAGGCGCAGATGGTGTGTAGGAGGGTGTTGACACCAGACGAAGCACCGGCCGACAGGTAGATGTTGGCCGGGTTGGCGGGAAAGCCGTCGCGCCCTGGTTCGCTAGTTAGACAAACCATCTCCGACGCCGAGGGTTACTCACTCTCGAGGAACTTGGCAATGCTCTCCTTGATCGCGGGGACACCATTGCTCGCGCTGTAGGCGCCCACGGAGCCGACGTGCTTCAGCAACCACTTGGCCCTGTCGACGACATCGGACTTGTAGCCCAGCCCGTTGAGGAGGACCTCCTCCTTCTCGAGCAGCTGGGGGTTCTCTAGGATACTGGCCACCTGGCGGAAGAAGGTAATGGGCTTCTGATCCAGCTGCTGGGGATTGCCAATGTTGGCGTTGATCACATCGTCAAAGGGGAGGCTCTGGGCCTCGCCCTTTGCGACAAGGGCCTTGAACTCCTCCGACTTGACGGCCAGCTCACCGCGAACGGCGTACTTGGCCGCGCGCACGTGCGGGTTGATGTTGTCGACCGTCAATCTCGTCATGGTGGGCGTTGTTGAAAATTGTCGGTGATGGTGGGGTTCGAGGAGTTGGCGCTGTTGACAATGTCGCTTTGGCGGGGCGGCGAGGGGTCGTCGTCCTAGGACAGTTTCTGGTGTAAGCTAAGGTAAGCCTCTAAGGTACTTGAACGGTGCCCTCTTCCAGGTTTAGTGATGGGTGGTCAACAGAAGTCTGGAGCCCGAGATGTGAACGAGGAGCGAGAGAATAGCGCTGCTTCGAAAGGATGCCGGGAAATTGATGGCTTTTGTGGTAATGGTCAAGTCAAAAGGAGAGTCGCCTGGCTGTTATCCAGGGCGCTGTGGGGTGAAGACTGGAGTCGGGAAGATCAGGAGGCACCTTGTTTCGTAATAAATCGCTCTCTCCTGCATATATAAGTGCAAGACCTGTGTATGATTGGCGATCATGCACACGAAGAGTCATAGAAAGAGGATCGCGCCTTCAAGCTCGCCCTCTCCAACTTTTGCCTTGTGAGGGTGTCATGGCATGGACATCCCACCTTCGGCTTCATCCGAGATCGGACTGGGTCCGGCGGTCGCCACCAGTCGTAGGCACGCGGGAGAAGCCAGACGGGATGTCAACCAGGGGAAAGGAGAGGTGATAAAGCAGGCTTGCTCGGCAGAGCGATGCAGAAGCAAAGCGACTGCTTTGATGTTACACGATTCTGTGACTATACGCGAAGGTGGAAGGCTCCGGTCTTCCACGGCCCCACGGTGGGTAGGTAGGTAGGAGTAGTAGATGATGATAATGACTTACTGACGAATCTCGAGGCGAAATCATTGAGACGACCCGAGCTCAGGCTCGTGGTTCCTCTGGCGCCTCGCGCCACGGTCTGAAGATTGCGCGCGGTCATTGTGTCCTCGTTGTCGGCGAGTTGAGAGCTGTAAAGCAGAGACGCGCCCACGCGGTTCTCGCTGCCAGATGCTTCTCAACGATCGCACCAGAAGTCAGCGACAGGAGGCTCACAGGCACTTTGAAGCGTGCTATGAGAATCGGCCACGAACAGACCTCAACAAGCCGACACAAATTCGTCGGTAGACGTTGAATGATTGAGACGTTGGGGGCACTCGCGTACGCGCCCCTGCTGCGCTCGTAATAGGTCTTATCTCCAGTCGTTGACCGCCGCCACACAGCGGCCTCTTATTAAGTTCTTAACTCCAGGTAGTGCAGGTACCTGCCGCTACCACATAGACACACAATCAGCCTCATATAATAACAAGTCTCCCGCTCATCCTCAGCCTGCAACATATGATTGGAAAATGCATCGTCGGTTGAGCGAAACGGAAATAATATTGCATATATTTCCATGCTAACCCAAATGCGCTGTTGCTCCATTCTCTTGGTTCATGAGGTGGGTCAAGCCCACCAGGTACCGTAGCCGGACTTTCCTTTCGCCGAACCCTGACAGGACGAACCGACCTCACCTTGAAATTTACCCGTGACGACACGAGTCACATCCATCACGACCAACCCGCAGCCCTTCGCTCACCATGGCCAAGGCAAAGAAGTCTCGCATCATCCTGGCGCGGCTGGTATCCATGGCACAGACGGGTTACTTCTACACATTCAAGCGCCCGCGTGCGGCAAAGCCTCTCGGTCTCATGAAGTACGATCCCATCGGTATGATCAATCCCCCAGACCCTCGGCGACTCATTCCTGTTTGGCTGACCATTGGTAGTGCGCAAAAAGGTCCTCTTCTTGGAAACGAAAAACCGATCGAAATAAAAGATGTCTCCGAAGCACGAAATGGCATCATTGACGAGCTGGCGACCCTCACGCGATCGAACGGAGCCATTATAATGGGAAGAGGAACTTGTGTATTACTATGATTGAAATGTTTGGAGTTTGGGAATAGCACAGCGCACACCGCGCATGTACATATGTTTGTACAAAATTTGGCGCCCACGAATACAACAACATCGCAGACCTCGATTCTTCTCCTTCATCATGCTCACCTACTCGGTACTTTGAGCCTGCCACACAGCAACAAAAATGTTAGCAAAATTCTTGGGACGCGCCGAATCGCGTCGTCGAAAAGGATAAAGAGATGCCCCCACCGCAGCAAATGTTCTTGATATCATGGGTGTCTGATAGAGATGTGACAGTCGGTATGGATACTTTACTCCGCTAGGTTGCGCTGCAGACATTGGCCAAGGACATTGAGACGTCGACTCTTGGGATCCTTTGCAATTGGTGGTTGCTGATGGACGGGAAAGGAAGCCAGGTCCCCAGGCGATACCTCTTGCGAACCTTTCCTGAATCGCTTGCCGATGTCGTGGATGTTGTGACCTTCGATCGAAAGACTTCGTTTGCCTGGCAACCCGAAATGCTTGGACTTTTGCTCCTGCGCAAAGTCTTTCAAAGCTGGTAAGTCTCGGCCCTGTCCGGTCTGCTCAGCTGACAAAAAGCCATCACGAATCATGTCAATCTGCGCCTTCGAAACGATGGCAGGGTTCTCTGCGACTACCAGTCGGTTGTACTGGGTCTGGTTGAGATTGGCTCGGACGCCGTTGTTGTCTAGACGCTTGTCATTCTCGCCCGACTGCACGCTCCGCGTCCGGCGGAGGATGGATCGAGGCTTGACTGGTTGTCGCCTTTGCCGCTGCTCCTGCTCTACAGCGGGAGCGCACGAAGGCTGTGTGAGAAGGACAGGGGTGTTTACCCTGACTTGCTTTGCAAACTTCTCGACATCCAAGTCATCAGCTGACTGTTTCTCTGGACCAGGGACTGGAAGCGTTTGCTCCGCTTTCACGCTGCACATCTCCTTAGGCTCAGCGTCATTTCCTCTGGGATGGCCATGGCCTTCAGCTGGAGCTGGTGCTGCTTGAGATGCGTTGCCTTTCAAAGCAGCCAGCTGAGATACTATCCAGGTCTTCTCCGTGGACAAGTAACTGGATGTGGAAGCGATGATTTGGTTCATGCGCGCGACGGCCCCGAGCTTGGCTGCGGCTTCTTCGACTCTTGGAACGCGTGTATTGGCCAGCGATCGCAGATGGGCGCGTAGCGCATCAACGTGATGGATGTCTTTCGCCCACTTGTCCTTCAAGGGTCCGGCCTCGGAAGCTTCTTTCTCGAGCCTGGCGATACTTGTGGTCAGGCGCATGACACGCCCCCTCTCCTCACTCAGCTGCTCCAGGACCCCGGCCTTGTCCCAGGATTGCTGCGCGTTGTCAGCCAATCCATCGATGCGAGCTCTGATGGTTTCGAGTGCTGATGTGCCCTTGTTGTACATTTGCGTGGTCCAGCGTCTCTCTTTCTCCAAGGCCACGTCCACGGCCTTACCAAACTCAATGGCTACCGTCTCGGCGGTTCTGCCACTCGCGTCCGCTGCAGCCGCGCGTGCGATCTTGGCTGAGTAGTCCTCGATGAGGATTTGAAGCTCGCGCTCGCGGCTATTGAGCTTCTCGTAACGCGCGACGAATGCTTCATGCTGCTCATGCTCGCGGGATAAGTGCTCGTGCTTCAAGGTCTCTAGCTCGTCACACTTGTTCTGATCGAGCTTGTTGATGATGTCCTTAAAGCCTTGCTCGCTTCCGGCTGTGGCTGTTTCGATGCGGCCCAAAGACTCCTCCATCCGTTCCACGGCGTCAACCTGACCGAAAGCGCTGAGCTGCTCGTGCAGGCAGGCATCGAGGACCTCGGCAATTTGTTGGCCCCATTTCTCTGGAAGGCCTCGGTCCGTGATATTCCTCTTCAGTGCGGACTCAAGACTGCTCATGTTAGCTCTATTCCGTGCATGGCTATTGGCGTGTCAAGTGCGCGCACCGATATGTCATTTTGTCCTCTGTGCTGTTGAACAGCAATTCAAGGGCTTCCTGGTTTGGAATGTCCTTTACGGCAGTAATCAATGCACTAGTAGTGTCGTTGATACTATAGTCAAGGTCAGCATCGGACGTGTCGACAGGCAAGAATCTTTACAGGTCAACTATCTTATCCCAACCCTTTGAGACCTTGTCAAGATCAGCATTGCAAAAAGCGTCAGCCAAACGCGCTAGCTGTGTCGCCATTGTCTGGCGCACGTCCCTTTCTCTGTGCTCTGCAGCGTCGAACTGGTTCTGCAGATAGGCAGCGTTTTGCTTTTCCTGTTGGAAGAGCTTGCGTTGTTCATCCAGCTCCTCTCTGAGATGGGCGATCTGGCATCCCTCTGAGTTGTCGTCAGCAGTCTAAAAATACGATCAAGATCTGGGTTTGTCATGCTCACTGAGGTGTGCTTCTTTCTCAAGCTCCGCCAGTCGCTGCTGGACGAGAATTCGCATCTCCTCGCGCTTCTGCCGGCTCAACTGCAGTGCCTCGTCTACGGCAGCGGTCTTCTCATTGCGCTCTAACTCTGCCCTTTCCAGCTCAATTTTCAGCCGTTTGCAGTGCTCATTTGAGCGTGTATAGAGATCTTGCTGTTCCTTGATTGCTTCATTAATCTTGGTCTTGCAAATCTTGTACTTTTCGCCCAACTCGGCAGTGCGTACTTGGGAAGCAGACAACTGTTCGCGAAGCTTCCTGATTTCAGCAGACATTGCCTGTTCCTGCTTAGATGACTCATTGCGCTTGACTTGGAGCTCCTCAAGCTGATCTTTGAGCCCTCTTGAAAGAGACTCTTGGTTGACAAGTGCGGCATGCGCTTCCAGTAGAGATTCGTCTCTTTGCATCAGGATTTCCTCAAGCTTCCCGATGTGCTCTACTGCTTGATTCTTCTCGTCTTCGCAGATCTGTATACAGACGTTCCAGTGCTCGGCCATCTTTCCCATCATGTCCTCTTTGGGGCGGGATTGTCTCATCAAATAAGGCTTGGATATTGCAGATCGCTTTCGTGAGACGTTGCTGTTCCGAGAACCCGTGCGAGTCTCAACGTCACGTCCTGATCGGGCATTTCGAGGTGCATGATGGGTGTGACGAGTTGCAGGATGGCTTTTACGTTCAATAGATGAGCGTTGACGGGTTTGAGCGGGAGTTTGGTGAACTGGTACTTCAAGGTCTCCACAGACGCTTGGGGGTGAAGTCTGACAATGACTGCTGCTCGCAGAACGCATGTGACGTGATAGGCCGGATTGGTGAGTGTTCTCGCTCGTCCCATCGCGTCTACTTTCCTGCGAGGGGCGATGTACCTTGTGTGTTGTTGTACCTGGTTCTCGATGGTGTTTGAGCGAGTATACCACCTCGTCCTTGCACCGAGACTCTTGCGATCTGCCATAGATGTGGCTGTCCGGCAACACCGCTACTCTTGGGCTCAAGTCCAACATGCTGCTCTGAAGGCTGCTGACATTGGCCACAGGTGTGACGGTGGAGTGGCGAATGGATGAGCGTACTCCTTCCATGATATCGTCTGCCCGTTTGGTGAAATGCGGGGAGCTGAAAGCTGTCAAGAGAGGCGATGTTTTCCCAGCGTCGACCCCTTTCTTGGGCGATAGCGCTGCGGCGTTGCAGTGCTGGCTTCTGACCGATCCACGAGGGGAGCTTGTCAACAAGTCAAAACGCATCTCTGGCAGATCCAGTGTGCCATCATGTTCCCAAGAATGCTGTGGGCTATTGTTCTCAGGAGACACTGCTCTCTTCTGCTCATCATCTTGATGGGGGGATTTGTCTGGCTCTTGTTGTTCTTGGGTTTGTTGAGTCAAATCAATTCGAGGTTTCGGCGCAGTGCCGCAGTATTGACCTTCCTTTGGAGGCGCTTTTCTTGCAAACATGAAGCTATCTGCTGCGTCCACCTCGGACATGAGGCCTTCATGAGAAAGGAGAGCTCTCTTAATGACGGGTGTTCGCTTGGTGTCGTTGGGTGTTGCTCTGGCTACAGCTTGGCTCGGCAAGTCCCCCAGCTCTCCGTGATCAACGTCGCCGAAGGAGGCAAAGTCGAAGGGCGGTTCATGCCGGTAACCGGCTGGCGATTGAGGAGGCATACCGGACGAGGCCTGTTGCTCAGGATTCCTGAACCTGATTCTGTGCGGACGTTCCCAGGTTACTTTACGGGAGAGGAGCAAAAGTGTTGGGCTCAGAATGATGCAGAGCAGATGATGATAAAAAAGAGATGCTCTCTTGAGGGAACTACGGACTACCTTACCAAACTCTTCTTTCTAGCTGGACGGGGCAGGAACCATGGCCGTCATCGCATTCCTTCCCTCTAGTGAGGCAGAAGGCAGGAGCGACGGTTCTAATCCCACAGATGTTCAATCAGGCATATGAGTAAGGTAGAAAATCGGAGAGTGAACATTCGAGTAATTGGAGAGTGAATCGGCATACGAGCTCGTGGAGATTCCCCGGTTTGCCCTGGGGTGCTATTTTGACTTTCTGCATGTGTTGTAACTTGTCCCCCCACTGAAGCCTGGTGTCGCTTGCACTTCAGTCATCTCGAGCGCACACCGCTGTTCGAGACTCAGACTACAAACAGGTGGTTCCCAAGTCCCAATGCGAAGAAAGCTTCTATCCGCGTGCTTGGGCGTCAATTTAGGCTTCAAAGTTAAGTACCTGGTATAAGTGAATGTTGACTGTCTGCTTGCCGCCCCCGATCTACGCCTGGTCTTGGCACATCTCATGACACACGCAGCAGCCCTTGGCAATGAACCCTTGGCCAGTTTACAAGACCAGAAAGTCTCAAGTGCCAGCCCTCCACCCGGCAGAGGCATAAGGGGTGACCCAATACTGTGGATGGCCCCGTCACACTGCACGGCGTCAAGTCGCGCAGCATCTGAGCGCTTACATCTGATTGGCTGCGTGCCTGACGCCCTGGGCGCTTCCATTTGGCCAGAAGCCAATCATCCCGTCGTGACCGACGTCTCGCTTCGTGACTTGACTTATCTTTGCCCCAGGACTGGATATGGTGGGCGGTAAAGACGATTGAATTGGCCTTCAGAGTTTGCGGGGCGCGTATGGGACTTGTGACTTCAGATTGGGTATATACCAGAAGGTCAGAACGACACCAGTTCGTATCTTTCAAGTACTCTACAACATCGCTGGTATCGATACAGACGCACTTTTTTCCTTTGGGTCTCCCCGAACTCCTCGCTGCATTAATTCCGAACATTTGCTACATACAAGACAGAAATGTTCATTCCCAGAGAGATCGATGAGAATGGAGGTCAGCTGGCTCCCGGTGTTGGCTCAGGCACGGAGGCTGGCGCCTCGGGAGACTCTGGAAGCTATGGCATCTCGACGGGCGGACTGATCGCCATTGTGGTCGTGGTCGTCGTTGTGGCTATCGTTGGAGGTGAGTGTCATCGGGAAATGCATGGCTGTACGGCATAGCTGATTCGCATAGCCACCATGGGCGCCCTGTTCTTCATCGCGAAGAAGCGTGAGTGGACTATGAGGGAGACCTTGCGACGCTCGGCCCGTAAAGTCAAGACTGCCCTCACACCTCGGCGCGCCGAGTTTCCATCACACCTCAAGGACACCCATGCCTCATCATCGCGTCGACGACAGCACACGCGGCTCGACGACGTCCCACCAACACCCAGGCTGCGACCCGAAGATTTGGAGAAAGGCAGGACCAAGACTATCATCGAAAGCAGAGGGCGCAAGTGAGATGTTTTGCTTGGCTCGACAACATGGCAGACTGGCCGTAGGCTGTGCCTATGTGCCCTTGGGGGTGGTTGATCCATCCCGTACATCTCCTTGATAATTCTCGTCCTGACGCGGCGCTTGCGGCTTCGGGATACTGTAAAGTTCAAACGCCATGGAAATGCAAAGTATTTACATCTTTCTGAATGTGTTGGAGCTGGCGCTTCTCCTCTGACCCTTGGGCTTGTGAGAGCGTGGCGCTTCTTCTGACTGGGCGTCATTCTTCTTTGTGTGCGGCGTAAATGTGACCTGCTTGTCGCCAACGACCTCGCCCCTCCTGATCTTTTCTTTCCCAGCCTTGTGCTCTCGCGAACCCAGTGCCGTGTCTTTCGTTCGTCCTCCCCGATTCTGGGTGGACGACACGCGCATGACCACGTCGTCGTCGCGACGTTTCGGCTGGCCTGTGATTTCATCCTCGCTCTCGGAAGAGGCGTCATCATCGGAGGACTGAGCCTGATAGCGCGAGGGCGCGCCAGAATCGGCACCTGACCTGTCCACCACAGTGCTCGGGTTGAGGACCTGGAATTCGCGACTCTTCTCGTCGACCTGGAACTCCTCGTCCTCGAACATCTTGTTGAAACGGTCGTCGCCAAGGATACCAGCATTGGTGTCGACCTTGTCTCTGTTCTCCTGCTTTTTGAGGATCTTGTCGACAACCTTCTGGTTGACCTTGACCTTTTTGTTGCCACGGATGCGGCTGGCGCGCTCCTTTTCGATCTTCTCCTTGGCACGCTTGGCCCTGTCCTCCTCGAACATGTATGGGTTCGCGATGAGCTTGGCTTGGTCGTAGAGCTTGGTATCCACAAAGTAACCGTGCATGTAGGGGCGCAAGAGATTGGACTTGCCGACGAGATGGCCCAAACTGAGCTGTTTCAACTCGGGCACGGTGAGGAACTTGAAGTTGTCATATGTCTCTGTGCGTGTCTCCTCGGCCATCTCCTCGACCAGGTTGTCCAGGAATGTGCACCATTTGGGCGCAGCACCCAGCTGAGGCACGAAGAAGGCGTGCTGCTGCTTGCCCTCGTTGGCTGTGAGGATCATGCCGCTATCCCGGCACCAGGCAACATCGTTGATATCGACCACTGGTTCGACCGAAGTCCAAGGCTCGCCATCTGCCTCGTCCCAGATCTTGATAATGCGCTTGTCCGATGACAGCACCTTCTTTTCCTGGGAGGATGTGGTCATGTGGATCAGCTTCTTGACGGGAAAGCCGTACCCATGATCCTTTCTGAGCAGCGGAGTCGGGCGTCGCATATCAAAAATCTGCATCATGCCAGTGGATGATCCGGTCGCCAGGGAAAGGCCGCTCGAGCTGAAGTCCAACGCAGTGATCTCTCCCTCTTGCCCAGCCAGGACGGCCACCCGAGATTTGGACCGAGGATCCCAGAACTCGACGGAACCCAGCGATGTGCCAAAGGCCAGCAGGTTGTGGGATTCCTCCGCGATAGCTGCCGTGTTCACGCTGCCGACTCCGATGCCACCTTGTAAACCACCGCCGGTCAGTTCGTCGTCGCCGCCCACATCGACTTGATACGATCGCATAAACCTTCCCATTTCCAAATTCAAGCGGAAAACCTCGCCCTTGCCGTCGGAGTCGAGGCCCACAGAAGGGACAAGAGCCTCAGTCGAGAGACGATCGTAGACAATGCCACGTCCATAGCGAGGAAGTCGGACTTCGTAGTGACAGCCCATGGGTGTATGAAATTCGAGACGACGATCGATCTGGAGGTGAATCGACTTGGAATAGTCGTTGGACAGCAACTCGAAGGAGTGGTTGAGTGAGTTGGTATGGCGAGCGAAGGACAGGGACAGTTGATCGAGGTTATGGACATGGATCTGCGGCTTGTATGTGCCAGTGCTCATGATCCATTCGCCATCTGCGCTGACGCGAACGCAGCTGCTGGCCTCCTCAAACTCAAAGTCCTGTAGTAGCTCGACGCGATTCTGGTATTCGGGATCATTCTTCAAGCTGCGCTTCCTTCGCCTGGCAAGCCAGTCTGGGAGGGGCCGCGCGGTAGAAGCACCAGATACGGTGTACACGGGGACTTGCCCCGGATTGGCGAGCTTCATCGTCTCTGCAGTTTGCCCAGGTGCGAGGCGATTCGGGACAATGGCGTGAGAGAAAGCTGGTACCCAGGCAGGTAGGCAGGCAGGCACAGGCAGGCAGGCAGAAAAAAAGTCAAGGGAAAAAGGACCCCACCAGCTTATCGATAAGTGATGCGACAAGAGGCCAGCGCGCGACTAATTGGCGTTACTGGATTGACTCCACTGTTCCTCCACTAACTCCAGTCAACTCAACCACTGGCAGCGTCAGCGCGCCTGCTCCACGCCCAGTTAAACCTCCCAAAGGGCTCCCAGTCGCAGCTGCGCCGTGACGACGTTCCCTCTGCTTCGGAATGGTTGCCGTGTCCATACAGCCGAGCGCGACCTGCTCTTAAGCCAGCCCAGCTCCAATAACCATCATCCCTTCGTTCGGTGGCTTTCCACTACCTCACAGTCTCGACTGCACCTGTGGACATCCAGCATTACCTCTACGTCCTCGCACATTGTCCCTGTCTCCTTGGACACACGGAAACCCCGAAGCTATTATATATCACGATACGGGCCTTGTTTCTTAGCCTCGTCCACGAACCAGCGCATACGCGGGCCCCTGTAGCGCGTCGCCCGGCGTGTTTATTCGCAGCTTTGGAGCGGGCTCTAGCATTGACCTGGCTCGTCCTATTGTCGATCTGACGTGCGGTCAACTCGTGGAGATGGAGACCAGTGAGACGCAGCGGGCTATATCAAAAGAAAAAAGCGCTACAATTTTGCGGGCTGTCCGCTCATATCTGTGAGAGGGGAAGGCGTCGTGCTCATCTGTTTCAGTGGCCGGCAGAAGAAAGCGTCCCAAATTCGCAAATTCCCGGACACTAGCTGGTCGCGCAGTGGCGTCGATGAAGGGACTTCGACATGGAGACTGGCGAATTTGGGACCAATACCCTGTTGGTTGTAAGTAGCGCCATCGTCAACTCAATTACCTCGAGCTAACGCCCGTGAACAGAGCAACATCTCGTCTGTGGCATACCGAATCTACGAACCTTTGCCTGAACATCACCAAACGTTCCCTACAGCGGCCATTGACGTCGAATGCACCCTCCGAGACGATGGACATCTTGTCTTCTACGATGCCACTCGGCGAGCAATATGGCAGTTCGGGATAGAGCAGAAGGATGGCACAAGCAGCGCGCCTGCTGAGCCACCTCGCACGCTCAAAACAGCGGGATTCACGCTGATCTTGACCGAAGAGGCCATTTTCGAGCCATCAAAGCTCCAGAGAACGAGGTCCCATGCCCCTTCGAGCATCAACACTCCCGTCAGCGCGTCATCAACGGGCGCTACACAAGATCACACTGCACGCGCCACCAACCTGAGTCTATCACAGGGGCTTCAGGCAGGAGGGCATGAACAAGATGCAAAATTGGGGGACCTGATGGATGTCGATGCGAAGCCTCCACAGACGACAGTCAGGATGGCATATGAGCTTTTCATCGCAGCCATTTTATTATCAATATCGACTAGGTTCTGTCCCGCGATAGGTGCGGTACCTCTGAATTACCGCACTGTGCTACTGCCTTCGACAAGCGATCAAGGAGCCCGCGAGACTGACACAAAAGACTTGCCAAAAGGGTCTTCAATACTGGGCACTTTTAGTGCATATTTGACGACACAAGGTTCACTCATCATCAGCTTGCAGCTGTCTCTCTGCAATGGCTTGCTGTCTCTTGATAACGTGTTCGCCTCCACATATGGACAGACGATACTAGCAGCACCCTTCGGCATACAGGCAACAAACCCGCTATCCGCCGTTGCTGACCCAGGCACTGTGAGTCTGGCTCAAACACCGGCAACACAGGCCTTGAGTGTCCGAGGATTACCAGATGTCGATGAGCGCAAATGGAAACAAAATTGCATCAAAACATTGCAATCACGCGGCATTCCATCTGCTGCAATCGAAGGGTGCACCTGGGTCAGCATCAGTGTATCACGACGGCGGGTATGTGACACGAGGAGTGAACCTCGACGACACAGGGATGGCTCCATCATGGCTTTCATACCATGGCCAGGTCCTCTTTGTTTTCGTCAGAAAACGCTCGAGACGTCAACGGGAACTCGGCTCGCGAACGATACACTGAATGGACATGAGGAAAGCCACGATCCTCTTGGCAATGCTAGACGGTGGCTCTCTTGCGCCAGTGAACGAGATGGACAGATCGCGAAACGTAAAGCCATGAGGGCCGTACCAGCCTCAGGTGACAATGAGCATGCGCCGCAGCCAGGACCACCCCCGGTGGCTCCCACACCAGCTGCTCTGGCTCGCCCAGGTACCACAGTCGCCAGTGCCATGTACCCCACGCCCCCCGACGGTGTACAGCCGCCAAGTGACGTCGCTCCAATGCTCGATAGTCTGGTCTCGAGTCCCAAGAACCATGTCTCCTCGACAGCAGCTGCTGACTTGGACGGAATGAGCATCGATGGGCTCGGTACAGAGACTGACATATGGGGACAATCGGAATTTAGCCGAGAGCGGAGTGACAGTAACGTCTTGAGTGACCAAGATAACATGCTCATTGGGGGTGATATCTTTGGCGATAATGACGTTACTGAAGATGACTTCCGTTTCTTCGATGAGCAACCCGATGAGATGGACCTTGGCATTGCTGATTACGCGCCAACGAGCGACATCAGCCCTCCGAAGAACAGCATCTCTAAGACCAGCACCCCCAAAGCCGTGCACGAGACTCCTGCAAGCACCCCAATGTCCACGAATCCACCGCTGCAGGACGCCGATGTCTTTAAGAAGCCGGAGCTGAAGCACGCTAGAAGCTACATGAGCCCAGCGACGTCCCAGACCGTCTCCGGCAAGTTAGTGTCCTCACCAAAGCGCGAAGGAAGTCCTTTCAGTCCCGAGGCAGTTTTCAAGCGCGTGCGTGGGTCATTGGAACCACCAAGAGAGACCTCCGCTGCGATGCCACCACCTGGCCGTCGACGTGGCAGTATATTCGACAAGGTGGACATCGGGCCAGCGCTTCCCCTTATCAATAAAAAGTATGAGAAGGGTGGCATCTTCTCATTTGACCCGGGAGTCGCTCTGACCAAGAACCATGCACACCACGTCGGCTCGTTGCCCGAAACCGACTATTTGCGAAGGCACAGTCGACGCAATCGAAAGCTGAAAGAGTTGCCTACCCAAGCACCAGCAGCACACATGAGCCCCTTCAACAAGCAAGATGGCGGATCAGCCAGCGACGAAGATGCCAGCAGCGCGCAATCCGAGGAGGACGACACAAGTTACACATCGGACGAGGCTTTTTCACCCTCCAAGGCGACATTTAGGCGAGGGGCCCAGGAGGACGACGTTGCCTCCCAAGTGACGTCTCTGCGAGACGCTGAGGCCCTCGAAGAATCTGAGCAACACCTGGTGGTGGAGTTGCCGCGTCTTTCGAAGCCGGGCCCTGACGAGCTGCCTCTGGCGCGAATCTTTGCCGACCCTGAGCCAATGGGAACGCAACTGTCCTTGACGGACGAGACACTCGTAGCTGTCGCTCAGGTCTTGACGGAACAGGCGTCCACTGGCTTCGTGGACATTGGTGGCATGCGCGCGTCCGAAAGCCACCTCGCGCTGGCCACAAGTCATCGAAGGACACTGGCAGGTCGGATGCGCGAGTCCCTGGAGGCTTTACACGAAACAGCACCCGCATGCTTCACGGGTTGGACTCGCAACAGCCTCAAAGGTCTTCTTGACTTGCCAGACGTGCCACTCGGTGGACAAGCAATGCGGATGGGGATGAGCAATCGCAATCAAGCGGCTAGCGGACAGGAAGGCAACGTGGCGGCACAGCTGAGGCCCAGTAGTCTCTATCCCATCCCTTACCATCGCCTTGAAGTCCGCAGGGCGGAGACGAGTCTGTCCGTGCTGCCGACAGCGGTATCGTTTTGGGATAGTCTAGGGCTCGCACCAGCTTCTGGGAGTAAAGAGGTGCAGACCTTATGCATGTTTCCTCGGTGGACAGGCATGCAAGATAACGTGCGCTCGTTTCTGGAGAGTATGGGGGGCATATACGAGCTTCTCAAGCTTGGCAGCTTTGTCAGGCTCACATTGTCGGATGATATGGAGCCTGGCATGATGCCATTCGAGGTTGACCGGATATCTACGTCGCCAGACGCGAGCGTGTCCGGGCATGGCTCGGCTCTTCTCGACAGCATGAACGCTCTGCAGTCTGCCTTGGCTGCTTTGCCTGCATCGGAGGTCAACATCGCCGTGCTCATGGTGTACTCCCCTGGCAACCCGACGTCCATTGTCGAAGCATGCTTAGCGTTTCAGCAGTTTACTGAGTTGTACGCAAAGCAGGCGGCGACAAGGGAAGGCGGACCACCCGGGTTGACTTTGCAGCTGGTGTCCATCGATTTAGTCTCATCTGCGACCACGCTCGTCGTTCCGTCATCCAGTGCGTTGGTCAAGCTATGTCTTGAGCTGTACGATCGATGCGCCGCCGTGGGAGGACCATCGCCTGCGCCGGCTATCGTACTCGAGCAACCATTACCTCGAGTGATTGATTTCAAGCTCACGTCGAATCCTTCTGCCTCTTTGATACACGAAAATTCATGTTTTCACGTCAGCTACGCCTGCAGCCAGGATGAGCGATGGGTGTCGGCAGCATGGACTGACGACAGGGGTACCCAACAATCAACTGCTGCCTACTGTCTAGGTCGCAAGGGACGCCCGTTGTCCACAACAATGCACGAGGTTGCACATGAGATATGGGAAACCACCTTGGACATGATTGCGTTTCGCAAGGTTCACTGGCGGCTCATCATCACCAAAGTCGGCAACATGGACAATGCCGAAATCGACTTCTGGTCTGATCTTATGAGGACAGAAAGCAGGGCGCATGTTGCGGTGATCCTCATGACGGTCGACACCAATCCCAGTCTACAGATTGTTCCCCCCAGTGTTCAAGTGGCCGCGTCCAGCGCGGGATTCTACACGACCCCTGTTTCGACTCCTCAGAGCATCATGGTCTCGCCTGAGCAGTCCTCAGCCCAGGCGGCGCCGCCCACGCCAACCGCAACAGACGGTAACACGGATCCCGAGGCGGACGCCATACTTTTGGATTTGACGGACCAAACATTCGGTGCCGTTGTCGGCCATCGGCTCAACGTCTCGCAGACGCCGTTGGAACTCCAACCATCCCTGGTAAGCGGGTTTCTCATCAAGAAGACCAGCAAGGAGGTGGAGGAACCTCCTGTCGTGATGGAGGTCAATCTCGTGCATACAGAGGGGACGGGTCGACCTTACGAACCACTGCTGCGGGAGATGCTGAACAATTTCCGCGGCCTGAACACGTTGGCGCGATCCAGAGGCGTTGTGGACAAGGCTACGGACGTACGGCCATGGCACGTTGCTGCGGCGGAGAAGGCTGTTCGAGCATTGTATATGCTACTGTAAATCTGGTACCATTGGTATGGGTTGGCATTGATCCGGAGCACGATTAGAGCAGCCCAGGACGGTGCGGTTTTTTGGGGGGGGGGGCGTTGAGCATTCATCACGGACATGCATATGTGGTATGCGAGCATAGCAACATGATTTTGAAGAAGTAGCTCGAAGAAGTAGCATTGAATACGAAGCTATGAGTCTATGCAGTTCAAGCTGCCTTGCAGTAGACAACGGTCGCCAGATAATCATCAGGTGAATCGTAGACGAGGTTCAATGGACACTCTTTCTTTTCAGTGTCCGGCGGTGGATGGCAGATATAGGGTAGGTAGACCAAAGGCAAAAAATCGCAGCTATGACGCATATGCTTCTACAGATTTAGTCACTTTCAAAGTCGCGAGCAACAACTTCGCCACTCTTATAGCGCTCTCAAGTTCGTTTTCTTTCCTCACCTCACCTGTCGCTTTGTAGTTTGAAACTTGTGTCGCTGCAGGCTATCGTCAAGTTGTTCTTTGAGTCACATTTTGAGTCATCCTTGAACGTCAAACTCAAATCGTTACCAGGGTCGACGAAATGGAGTCAATACGCGACTCACCACCAACACCTCGCCCATGAAGTATTGCCCCTCCCATAAACGATTGAAGGAATTCGCTCGCGAAGAGCCACCCATCTCCTCTCGGTGAGATCTTTCAGCAACAAGCATGGACTCATTGAGCACGTCGCTCGCAAACGCCTCCATGAGGACAAGCCTCAACGATCTTCCAGAGGATCTCATACTGGACATCATCACACACCTCCCCCACGCCTCCCACATCGCCAACCTCAGTCAAACATCGAGATACGCTCACAGCATCGTGGAACGTGCCGGGTGGAAGAAGTTCAGCCGGCAGAGCTTTCCCTCGTTGGCTCTCGACGGCACGTCAGCATTCCCGGGGAGGGTATTGGCCGATCGACTCACGTATTTGGATATGTGCTGGGAGAAACGAGCCTTTGTCTTCCACTCATACAAAGAATTAGCGCCACCGCGGTCTGGCAGGCGTTGGAAGGGCAAACAGACTGTAGGGTTCTACCCGGTGATAGGTGGTGGCCTAGTTGGCCAAGGCGACGAGCTGGTTGCCTGGGGTGCTGGGGAGGATCTCGTCACGAGGTACACACCCTGTGGTCTCTCTAGTCCGCATCAATGGAGCCGACTCGAGGGGAAGAGTATAGGCCAATCGGCTGGGTTTGGCGATATCACAGCGCTGTCCGTGCTAGACAGGGGCTCAGGGCCCGAAGCTCTCGTGGGCAGGGCGAACGGGCAGATGAGACTTATTACAGTGGCTGGAGAGGACTTTGGACAGCTGGGGCAGCAGCTTCTGCCCCATGAGCAGACTGTCGAGTCGCATCATGAGGAGATCTCTCGGATGAAGATTGGATCACCAGCCCAAGTGGCAATCTCCGCGACGCAGTGGCACCCCAAAAACAACCTGATCGCGAGCTGTCAAGGCTCGAGCCTCACACTGTACGACCTGAGCGATCATGATTCCGAGTATATCCAGTCCGTGGCGCATTATGACATGGCAACCGGCGGTCCGGACGACGAGCTCTCGCTCCTGAAGAGCGCAAAGTTCCTTGGCAAGAACAGCATTGCCTGCGCACTCGGCAACACACGGAAACCTTTGCGCTTCGGGACCATCACGCCCTCAGGGCTTGTGTTTCCCACCACGTCCGAAACCCCAGACACGCGACCTTGGGATATTTTCGGCTCCTTGGATGCCGAGGGCAAGACTGCTGTTCGCGCCATCGAAACAGTCGGCAACGGGACGAGCGAGTCGCTTCTGCTGAGTGCCTGGGACGACGGGACATTTCGCCTAACAGATCGACGCACACCCTCCTCCTACGTGATGATGTATCGCGATCGATGCTGGCAGACGTACGACAGCGCAAGCTCGCTCCTCGTGTATGGGACGCAGCGTTTCGTCGCCGGCGGCAAGTCGGCCGCCAACGTGCGTATCTACGATTTCCGCAACCCGAAGCCGTATCACTACGCGGATGCCCTGCCTTGCATCGACAAGTGTCCGCCCCCGATCCCGCCTTACGACCACTCGCCCGGCTACACGGCGCGCGCACGCTGCTCGGGATCGCACAAGTGCACGTACCATTTTCAGAGTCGTCGAGATGTTTACCGTTCTGATGTCACTCTTTACATGGGCGACTCCAGCGTCGGAAACGTCTACGCTCTGGCCAAGACATCGGATATCGCTTCGTCGTTCTTTGTCGGTACCCAGGGCGCAGTGACTGAAGTCGGCCTGAGACTGGCTGAGGACGTGACGGCCAAGGACCTCATGTCAAAGAACGCCCCGGACGGTTGGAGGGTGGGAAAGCCTTCTGGGACGATAGCCATGTCAGAAGATGGCATGGGCGCATGCGTCAGGTCGGAGTGGAGGATGGAGACGCAGGGCTTCCTCGGCCTGAAGAAGCAGAATAGACGTGCGAGGAAACGGGATTACACTAGACGTTTAGACTCTGCATATTACGACTAACGACATGGGCATAGAATAGAGGGGACACAAAATGGTTATAAGTATATATGGTTCTTGCACTTACGCTCTTCTATTCAAAAAAGACCAAATGGACGTCCTCTACAGCTTCGACTCGGGCACGATCAGGCCGAGCCTTTCTTGAAGTGCGGCCTCCGCCTCCTTCTCGATGCGCTTCACGAGGTCGTTGCACGAGGGAATGTCGTGAATCAACCCGATCACCTGGCCCGTCGTCCAGACGCCAAACTCGGGGTCACCGTTGACAAACACCTCCTTGCCCCTCTTACCGCTCACGAGCGGCGCAATCTCCTCAAACTTGCCCGTCGGGCTCTCCTGCTCAATCTTGAGCGCCTCCTCGGCAACCTTGTTCTTGTAGAGACGGCTCGTGTTGCGCCAGCGACGGAGGAGGAGCGTCGTGTCGGTCTCCTGGGCCTTGACAATCTCGTTCTTGACGTTCTGGTGAATGGGCGCCTCAATCGTGCACATGAAGCGCGTGCCCATGTTGATGCCGCAGGCGCCCAGGCAGAGCGCGGCCGCGAGGCCCCAGCCGTCGGCGAACCCGCCGCTCGCAATGAACGGCACGCCGAGGGTCTGGCGGGCGCGCGAGAGCAGGATGAAGTTTGTGATGTCCGACTCGCCGACGTGGCCGGCGCACTCGAAGCCGTCGATGCTGAGAAAGTCGACACCCAGCTTGACGGCCGACTGGGCGTGGCGAATGGTGGTGCACTTGTGGAGGATGGTGACGCCGGCCTTCTTGAGCTGGGCGATGACGGGGCCGGGGCTGTTGCCGGCCGTCTCGACAATGTTGATGCCCTCGTCGATGACGGCCTGGGCGAAGGCGCCGTAGTCCGGGGGCACCATGGCGGGGAGGAGGGTGATGTTGACGGCAAAGGGCTTCTTGGTGAGCGTGCGGCAGCGCTGAATCTCGGCGCGCAGGGCGGCGGGCGTGGGGAAGATGAGGGCCGTGATGATACCGAGACCACCCGCGTTCGAGACGGCGGAGGCGAGGTCGGCGGTGCCGACGTGCATCATGCCGCCTTGCACGACGGGTACTGTTGAGGACGAATGTCAGGACGGGGCTCGTTCATCGTAGCAAAGGTCAGGTTGGCTTACCGCGGATGCCCAAGCGCTTCGTGAGTTCTGTCGATAAAGGCATGATGGGCGGCGTGCGTCTCTCTCTCTAGAGTCTGGTGGAATGAAGGGAGGTGAGAAGGAGCGCTCGCTGCGTCGCTGCGTCAGATGTTGCTGTCGAAGGGAAGGGACGTCAAAATATAAAAGAAGCCAGAATGGAAAGAAGGTGTCAGGTTTCGGCTGACTATCTGACGGAATGGAAGGAGCAGCCATGCCGAGGTTGATGTCGCGTCACTTTCCCCACGTCGGCTCGGCCCCGCAATTCCCTTTACAGTGCGTTTCCCCACGCCGTTAGGGGGGGGGCCACTGGGGAGCCATAGGGGATCTGTCCACCTTCTCACATGCAATTCGTGACCACGAGCCGCTGTCAGCCGACTCAACATGATAGATGGGGCCAGTCGTCAAAGGAATATATTCATGTAGATGCAGCAAAGTGTAGCAGCGGACCATTCTCTCACTTGAGTGCCTTGCACGGGACTTTGCATCTGATTTTGGTGTCGGGCCTGGGCACAGCAAGTGGCCGTCTACTGAATCTTGTACGAGGTGGCTGTACGTAGGCGAGATCCGCAACTCCGGTACACCTGGTCAGTCTTTGTGGTAGTATTGTATATGAATTTTAGCCGAGCCTATAATGCTCAGCGCAAGTCCCAACGGTGGAAATCTTGAGCTCTTCTCAAGACACGACACCTAGCTCACCACTCGGTACCCCCAAACGGTACAACGCCATGCAAAAGCCAGTGCCCTCCAAGCTCCAAAGGGCTCTTCCCAAATCGAGGGCCACACGTACATACTCGCTCTCCGTAAGGGAAACACGACCGTCCCCAATTCAAACTCAATGCATTCCCGTCTCGGGTGCCAGCCTACCGAGCGGTGTGCGCTCTCGCGGCTTCTCAATCAGATCAGCGTAGCCATCTAGACTCAAGCCCATGACCTTGACCATGTCAAATATGTGCGTGCCTTTGAAGGTCTCTGCCCAGAGTCGCACGACGGCAGCAGCCAGCTGTCGCAGCTTGGCGTTGTCGCTGTTCGCCATCTCCATGTGGCCCCCAGTGTTCCCAGGGCCGGACAGTGATGGATCAACAGGCACGGCGAATTCGGTCTCGTCAAGCATGCGGCGGACGGTGTCGAGCAAGTTCTTCTCCTCGGGAGATGCCTGCGGGTCCGAGGGGCCGATCGAGGCGAGGGTGAGCAGCCAGTTAGCGAGCAGAATGGCGCACTCAAAGTTGCACACTGGTGTCTGTTAGCTTCGTAGAATTAGCTAGTGGCCATAGAACTTACGCGAGTTCTGTATGCTCCATTCAGAGGACTTTGTGCGCGCAATGTACGCCACGCCGGCTTTGACCAGCCTTGACAGCGCGTGAACAGCTTGGTACACAGCACGGTGTAGACGGAGGCTCCTCATGAGGAGAGGTGTCGCGCTCAATCTTGACGCAATGAGCGCCCAGTCCCTCGACTCCAGAGCCCGGCCCGGTGGAAGGTCAATGTACAGCCTGATATAAGCCAGGCGAAGCAAAGCGGACGCATTGTAAGCCAGCGAGCCGCCTGGTATCGATTCCGTCCCGCCAAAGTGCCCAGACTCGGCCGACCGTAGCTGATGCCGGTGCTCAAAGCTGGTCTGCCAGACGCGCAGAGCCTGTGCAACTTCCTCAACATCATCGGGCTTCAATGTGCGGTGCATGTCGTACGGCGATCCAGCCGAAAAGGATGTTTGCTTGAGCAGGTAGACGTGTTGAAGCAGCGCATGGATCAAGACGTAGTTGCCCAGCGACGATAATTGCGACGGCACACCCTCATTCGTGCGGCCAAAAAGGCGAGAGAAAGCCTCGTGCACTGTGATTTCGGCAATGGGTGTCGACTGTCGAAGCTCTTGCCACTGCCACGCAGTCTCTGCCCGCCAAAGACGAGATCTCAGGGGCAAGTACAAGTTGAGTTCAGATGTCAACAACAGAGGTGGCATGTTGTACGCTGTACTGCACAGGTTGAAGAAGCAAAAGGCGATGAGTTTCGTCCTAGTCGCTCCCTCAAGTCGCACCCATGCTTCCCAGTCTGACATGGCTGCTTGGCTTGTCTCGACCCTCAGTCCCTCCTCCCGAATGAGGACAGCTAGGTTGCTCTGCATTGATAGAGATTCATGTAGAATGGTCTTGGCGCCCCAGAGACCAACGGCAAACAGCAGCAGAACCGCTTGGATGGTTTCAAGTCGTGCTTGCGGTGTGTTCGGAGAACTTATCGTCGTTAGTGCCGGGATGTTGAACCAAGCCAGGGAGGGTACTTACTAGGGTTCCCGATGCGTGTCCTGGGTCATTGGTCGCTCAGATTGCGCCGAAGCAAAGGAGTGTCTGTATGTCATACTCGGCGACGGCCTTGTTGAATGTGGACTGTACGCCGCGGGTGTTGGCAAGAGGGCATTCATGTCCGAGCTGTGCCGCCGTCTGATTTGCTCGTTGGCCACTGCTTTGGCCGCATACCAGAGTGCATAGCCTCGAGTACTCTCAAATCGATACTGCGCGCCGACAGCCGCAATGGCCATCAGCAGCTCTGGCGCCATATCCACCGGCGAGAGCGTCGGCAAATGAAGAAATGGCAGATGCTCGTGGAATCCAGTAATGTAACCCTCCAGGAACCGTGTCAAGGTATGCCGGGACGGAAACACAAAGTCATTCGGTAGGACCGACGAGAACTCGTCCAGCCGGTTCTTGATCGTGTTGTGATCTGTGATGGATATTCGTAGAGGGGGCGCCCGCCCGCCTTCGTCGTACCGCGTACTATCATGAGGTTCCTTATGATCAGGGGCGAGCGAGGCGTATCTCGAAGAATACTGACCACCCGTCTTGGATGGCCCCCGGCTCGCAGACGACCGTGGGAAAAGCCCAAATTGCTGGTCCGGCTCAAAGTGAGGAGGGAGGAAGTGTGGCGCTGCTCCAAAATCGTCCATCAACATGTTGTAGTCATCATTAAGCCCTTGATGAGACAGTCCATAGCCCGACGAGAGAGCATGGTGCTCTTCCCTTGAGCGGTCTCCGTAGTGTCCGAGACCGTCGACGAAACTCTTGTTGCTTGCGTGACTGCTGTGATGACGATCTCCTAATATGGGAGGAATCGTGTTGACTTCGCTTGCCAGGGCAGCATCGGACAAAAGGTCAAGATTGCAAGCTGCTGATCTCGGAGCTGACCTTGCATCCTGTGACAATGAGGATCCACCAACAGGAGCTAAATGACTGGTGTGATACTGCGGCGGTGGGGGCTGTTGGCGGTCTTGTACGTGCAGTTGAGGCTGTTGATGTGGAGGTAACTGCTGCTGCTGCTGAGGGTGTTGGTGTTGCGGTAGTGGTTGAGGAGGCGAGAGTTGCGGTTGCTGAGCCAGGGGACGGTGCATTCCCATGTGGCCATGCTCGAGGCTCTGGCTGTCCGACGATAACGAGGACTGATGCGTGGCGCCGGAGAGCTTGCGCGATCGCCCATTGTCCTTGCTGTTGTCGTTGAGGTGGACGAGCTTTTCGTGCCGTACGAGCAAGTCACTGATGTCCATGTAAGCATAATTCAGGTCAAGAACATGAAGAGGCGTAAGGGGTGAGTAGTGAAAGAGAAAGGTCTCTACCCTAAATCAGCCGGTCGTAAGGTGGGAGTAGCACGACACACCGTGCAAGGCGGGGAAGAGGTCGTATTCAAGGGCTGGGGCGCGATGTGGTTCCCATGAGAGGCGGTAAGAGAATGGCTAATGATAGCCAAAGAGAATAGTAAACTCACCGGCGTCCAAAGGTCTTGCCACAGCGGTCCCAGTTACACCGGAAGGGCTTTTCTTTTGTATGTGTCCTCTCGTGTCGTTGCACATGCTCGACTCGTCTGGAGAGGTCAGTTTCTGAACGCCACAATCTGACTGGGACTGGAGGCCAACGAACCTGAAACATTTGTTACAGTACTGACACGGAAGGTTCTTTGGTTTCTGCCCTCGGTTCTCACCAGAATCCGAGGTAGCAGCCAGAGCGGCACCTGTGCCTCCAGTTGGATGCGGAGGCGACCCCTCGAGAGACTGGGCGGACAGCATGGTTGGGTGCAGAAGGCTCTCGCGGCCAAGTCGATCAGATCCAAACAGGTCTTTTGTGTTTCGGTCAGTCTGTGTCCGTGTCTGTGGGCGGCGCATCCAAAGGCAAGTTGGGGAGCGGGGAAGACCGAGCGGGTAATTCTAGTCGTGGACGAGGAAAATCGAGGCCGGCTATTATGTCCCCTGCGGAGAGCCCACGAGCCTCATTGTGGTCGTCCTGAATCTGACTGGGGGGCGAGAAGAACGACTGAGCGGCAAAATGGGATATAGCGAGGGAAATAGCGGCCTTGGTGAGCCAATGCATCCCCAAGATGAACTGGCTTGTGAAGCCGACAGTGGGTTCATGGTCCGAGGTGCATGGAGAGGCTAGAAAGGATCGGATGGGAACGATGGCATCCAAAGAATACTACGACCCGACAGGCAATGTAGAGAGAGCGCTGATAGGCAGATAGGAATGTCTAGTTTTGAGAGAAATCGAGGTACGTAAGGAACATTGTGCCACGGGTTTGATGATCTTCGTGATCCGAGAGAGAATGTGATAAAAAGGTGTCGCGTGAGAGGAGAGCGCCCCACGGGGCTACTTGGGCTGGAGCCTCAAGCAATGGGGGAGAATCCGGGGAAGAACGAAGCAGGGAAGCGGATCGACGACATAGCCAGCGGAACATACGTACTTTGTGCAGTGTGAAGTGTGGCCGCGCAAATCGCGACAACAGTACCCTGCTGCAGAGGGCTGGCGACGGATGGTCTTTCGCAGTCGATGTACCTGGGCTGACTCTTGCTTTCAGATGAGGGGTCGGCTGCGACGAGTGTGAGCAATATGTAGGAGGACAAATGCGATTAGTCGTGTGCGGGCGCGTGGAGGACGACAGAGGCGCGCGCGTCCATCCCAGGCGTGTTCCGACTGTTGTTGGGTAAGGCAGGCAGGCAGGCAGGTAAGGTTGTGGAGGGAGAGATGAGGAGAGGAGAAGCGGGGAAAGCAAACACTAAAGTAAATACCTTGCGCCGGCGCCCTTTCAACGGACCGAACGTGAGACTCGAGAAGCCGGGCGATCGCGAAGGCCTTGCTGCCCCGTCCTAGAGGCGCGATCAACAATTCGCAGCCCAGATCTGCCCATAGGAGGGTATACTCGAGCAGGCAGAGATACGTGCGCGCGCACCAGGCTCACAGCGAAATCCGGGAAGAATATGGAACGGAGAAATCTGCTGCTGAAACCCAATGCTCAGCTGCTACTGAAGTGGTGTCAGAGCTCGTGAGTGGCTCCAGCTCCAGTCCGTCGCCAGAAAGCAAGGTGCAACACGGACAACTGATTGGCACATGCGGCCCGGACGGGGCTGGACTGGAGGTGCGCGAAAAGGAATGAATGGTGGGGAGGACTGGAAGCCCAACTGAGAACTGAAGTCATCATTTGAGCGCCTTCGAGTTGCGCATTCTGATGTGGGGGGCCAGCGCCTTACTCATCTTTCCCCCCATGGGGCAGCTCCTGGCTGGCCCCTTCCTTCCCTCCAATCCCTCCAAGCCTCCAATCCCTCCAAAGCCGCTCCACTCTGGGGTCACACTCTCCGCATTGGAGAGATGATGATTCTTATTAATATGCAGCTAGCTCAGTGAGCTGAAATCAATTTTGGTGCAGGATGCTTCCTCATGCCCAACATGTGCATTCTCTCATCCCTTGCACTCCAGATACGCGCGAGCAGACAAACAACCCAAGGCCATGTTGTTTCGCGCAGCAGGGCTTCTGCCATCCGCTGCAGCCCCCCATGTGTGGATACGTCATGGGTTGAAGCGCATGAATTCCCTCCCTCTGCCTCCAGTCACGGACCCATATGGACCCCAATACCCGCCGGATTGTGCGACCCATACGCCAGGCTCCAATCTCCTCCTGGAATAATCACAGCGAATTTCTCTCTCTTCGGACAAGTCCCGATTGTTGAGGGGAGTGCAAGACCTCGGGGAGAACGAAGTAGGGCGACCCCAATCTCCTCCAATCACCCCGCATGCCTGCGCCTGTCGCCCCGCTACCCTCGGCTCAGAAAGCCTACCCTAGAGCAGCACCAGACAAATAAGCTCCTACGTATATTACGTCCTACTTATCCTCATGCACTCGTTGATGTCGACATGAATGAGAAGCACTGAGACCGAAAACTATGAAGAAGACTAATTGGAGGGTTGAAGTCCACTTTTACATGAAGGTGCTGTCGGCCGCGTAGCTCAACAACTAGCCCAACACCAATCAACCATCCAGCGAGTAGCCTACTTCCTCCCCCGAACCCATCTTCACTAATCTCTCCCTCATCGCCTCGGCACGCTCCCTTTCATAGCCGTCCAACTTGCCCAGATCACACTTTTGGACCCATTCCCCAACGCCATGCTGCAGCACGTTCCTGGCCCGCAACGTGCTCCCCTTCACGTGCCCCACCGACCCGTGCAGCGTCATTCTCTCCTTGGTGCTGTCGTAAGCGCCCCTGTGCAGGATATTATTGTTGTAAAACGCGACATCACCCGGCTCGAGCGTGACAACAATCTGGCCTGGGACGTTCTTCTCAAACGGCGAAGCAGTGCGCTCCGTGTCGGTCCGCGCGCGCAGATGGGACCCGGGCACGAGGATCAGAGATGCGTCCTCGTACAGCGCAAAGTTGTACTGTGCGTGGAACGCCGGTTCCTTGAGCCGGGCCATCTCCTCGTCCGCCGTGGCCGTGGCGGGGATGTCGTCCCGGTGCCAGCGTAGCTCGAAATCCTCCTCAGGCCGGACGAGCATGTTGAAGAGCTCCATGACCAGGTCCACGTCTCGGCAGCCGAGCAGCTCCCGCACGACGCCGAGTATCTCCTCCGAAAAGTACACCTTGGCGAACTCGTCAGCGCCGGGGAGAGAGGGGTTCATGAGGTGCTGGACGCCCCAGATTCCCTTCTCGCCGGGCGTTGATGGCCATGGGGGAAACTGCTTGCCAAAGGTCCGGATGTGGGGCCATTGGCCGCTTCGCGCGAGCTGCGTGGCGTGCGAGGCGATGGTCTGAAGGTGGGAGACCTGTTCCGCGCTGAACAGCGATTTGATCAGGACGAAGCCGTCGCGGTTCAGGGCGTCGAGGTGCGGTGTTGATGACATTCTGTGCTTGTGTATGTGTGGTTGAATGTTTGTTGACGGGACGAGGACAGAGTGAGGGGACGTACGTGGGGACTTGGGTGTTATTTCAGCTCGAGGAGGCTGAGGTAACGTATCACCAAACGGCAGAGAAGCCGATGGCTATCCCCTCCCATCCGGGGTCATATGAGTGATGCAGATCCAAGACGCTAGACACACATTTCACGGTATTATGGCTCGACTAATCCGTACACACAATATCGGGCCATCGCACAACGAATCCCCTCACTGTCTTCTGCACGTCCAGATCACCCGGGTCGTTCTCGAACAGAGGCTTCTCCAGCTTCCTCTCCTCGACCTGCTCGACTAGAAATCCGTCCTCCCTCGCAATGTCGAAAAACTTCATGTCCAGCTCCCTCTTCCACGGGCGATAGCTCGTGAAGAACACATACGCTTTCGCCGAGCGGGTCTTCTTTAGACACTCGCGGATCGTCTTGACCAGATCCGGATGCTCCTTGTGGCGGAAGAGCAGGTCTGCCAGGATGAGCACGTCGAAGCCACCCTCTGGTATCTCGGCAAGCAGTGTCGTGGGGTCTGCGCCCCAGATAAAGCCTTTTGCCACGATGGTGCTCGCAATGTGTCCAACCGGTTCGAAAGTAGCATCGCATTCGTCAATGTTCTTCTGCATATTCTGGACGAGGTCAATGTCCGGGTAGTCCGTCATGACCGCCCTCTGGGCTCCTAGTACGCTTGCTGTAAGACACGGCAGACCTGCTGCAGCACCCAGCTCGAGAATAGTCTTGCCTTTGACACGGGTCGGGTCATCCTCAAAGTAGTCGGATATGATCTTGGCGCCGTTCCAGAGTACGTGAGCTTCCGTGGGCGAGGCGCCCACGAGGTGTAATGTGATGGCCTTGCCCGTGCGGAGGGTGTAGACTTGTTGAGTCGGCGGTGGCGTAGGAGGGAGGTAGCCTTCCGGTTCATCCATCAGACCGCCGGTATTGTAGTCGTCGTCTTCCATACTGGTACACTGAGCTGGGGCTGAGCTTGTTCGTGTGGGATGATGCGCCTTGACCAAGACCCACTGAGAGTATGATGGTGAAAGTGTAGTGCTTGTGTAGAAATTCTCTGAGTATTGCGTCCCGATGTAAAGGAGACCTTATTTTACACCCACGCTGGCGTATTATACGTGCGCTTCCACTCGCCTGTGCGTCGTCGTGCGATGCCCTGTTGATGATGGTGCCTGAGGTCAAAGTTTGCACTGTCGTTGCGGCACTCGCCTCCACCCACGGCACAGTGTGTGAGGGAGCTTGATTTCACTGTCCCAGACTTTGACGACGGGGAACAAGTGGCCGTTCATCGACTCAACCAAACCTCTCCTTGGCCAGTTGCTTGAGCATATTGACCGTGCCCTCCTCTCGTTCTCTCCATTTCCTCCGCTTCTCCTCCATCTCCTCCTGGCGCGCCCTGTCCATCTCCTCGCGTCGAATCTCGCGCTCGCTCTTCTTCCTCTCCTGCTCCTTCTTCATCCGTTTGTACTCGTCAACGCCATCATCGCCCATGACCTCCCGCTCGTTCGCCTCCATGGCGCCCGGTGAGCGGTCGCGGAACTCGCGCATCTTGGCGTTGACGGCGGCGCGGTTCTCGAGCTTGCGCTCCCGGGTGCCTGCGTCCGCGCGGGGTGCGATGTTATCTAGACGCTCCTTTTGCAGTGCGCGATCGGCTTTCCTGGCCGACTGCAACGCGGAGCGCGAGTTTGCGCGGTCTACCTCCAGCAACTCGTCTCTGTGCTCGAGGTCTTGCAGGGACGGCGCGCCCGGACCGACGCGTCCAGCAGGCGGAGGCACCGGACCATAGTCATCCCCGCTGTCTCCTTGATCGTCCTCGCGTGCAGGCTGGTGTGATACCTGGTTTGGCGATATTACCCTGGTGTCCTCTTGAGCTTCACTCATTCGAGGTTGGCGTGATTCGGCGCTGATGCGGGCGAACATCTCGGGATCATACCAGCCCTCTGCCAGCTCCCCTCGGTTCCATTTGCCGACGAAACTCTTCCACCGTCCCTTGATCTCTCTCTCGTCAATGTCCTCAAGCTCAATCTGTTTCTGCACGCTGAGATAATACCCAAACAATGACCTGAACACGGGTAATTCTGTCTTGGAAAGCTGCCGCGCGGAGAAGGGGAGCTGCGCGGCTGCGTGAGGCCGACGATGTGGTGATCTAGAGCGCCGTCGTGATGAGCCGGGGCTTTGGGAGCGCCTCCCACGTTGTCGACGCGTCGAAGAGCGCGTCGTGTCCTGGTGAGAGGAACGCTCATCGCGGTGGCGGTGCGCGCGTGCATCATCTCTAGAAGCCATCTTGATCAAGCTTAAGCAGGTGAAGAGGATGTGACGGGGTTGAGGTGAGGTTAGGAGATGCACTGGTTGCCTACTACAGAGAAAAGATCGCTAAAATCACACAGTGTTTCTGAATACCAAAGAACACACTGTGTATCCACCTGCATGATCTCAGGCTCAGGCCGCGGCTCTGTTGTTACCTTAGTCTTGAAGATGCGGCGCGATTCACAGGGAAAATTGAACTGTAGTGTAGAATAAGTTTCTGATCAAGGATATATGTACTAGTTGTTTTTAATTAACCTAGAAGTTCAAGCATGTGCCGCTAAAGTATGTATATGTTTCAAGCCAATTTATCAACCACCGGTCATCACATCATTAAGCACCTTTTACACACGCCGAGGCCACCGCCGCACCAATAAGTGAGCTTTCCTTTGCTGGCACCAGCTCGATTGTCCCGGCTTGCGAGGACCCGTTGGCCAGCACGAGATCGTTGGCAAAGCGCTGGCAGTTGCCCAGGTAGTTTGGGTATTGCTCGATCACGCTGCCGTTGAACGCAACCATGGTCTTGCCAAGTTGGAGATCTGACGCGGCAGCAGTCCGCTCGGGCGACGCAACAGGGAGACTCTCGACGTAGGCCTTGTGGCTTTCTAATCGAATGTCCCACAGGGTGTAGACGCACGTCGCGACAAGGGCACTCGAGCGGATGGACACGTATGAGGCTAGTGCACGCAAACCGAAGAGATCCGAAGTCGTGGGCTGGTGTGATGCCGGATGTCGTTCGGCGAAAACTTGCTTCGCGTGTGATAGATCGCTGGACTCATCGCTGATGACTGTTAGCACAAGATCTCTGACGCCTCGACAGGATACATACCTCTCCACGATGGACAGCGTCTCCGTACTCAAGGAATAAGGCGTCGTGAGCGATGCTGGCACCACTCCACCAAAAAGACCTGTGGTCTCGATGGCCTCGATCAGGGCAAAGCGCGCAATCTCACCGAGATACATGCCGCTTGAGAGATGCTCCACGGGCTGGAAATCTGGTCGCGGGTGGCCATCCAGTAGTTGGCGGTCCCACCTCGTGATGGGCAGAATGTCCTTCCCAAACATGCCCAACTCCGTATTCACAATGACATGGCTCGCTCGATCGAACCAGCCAACGGGCCGTGTGCCAAACTTTTGTCGACCAATGAGTGTGGTGGGGAGGTAGACGGCAACGTTCAGACCTGTCCCTAGAATAAGACCGAAGCGCGTCGATGGGTGTGTATACGCCTGCGAGAGCAGACACGCGCTCGAGTCGTTGATGATGGCCTCAACTTCGACGTCCAGCCTCTGCTGCTTGCAAGCCGCTGCGACAATCTCGCCCAGGTCCTGGCCGATGAGGCCCTTGTTCGCCATGAATCCCTTGCCCATAGCCTGAAGCTTGCCGGCGCCTAACGATGTTTGCCTGCTGTGGGTCAATATGTGGCTTGAGCAGTAGGAACAAAAATGGCAGCACATACTCGATAGGAAAGCTCCAGGCCAGCGCCATAGGTAGAGGCTGATCAGGGCTGTGCTCCCGCTTCATGTCCGTCGACACGGTTTCCACTATCCTCGCCGCCATCCAGTCAAAGAAAGCCACCCCCTCCAGGTCCTTGATGGGCTTGTCGATCCTAAAGTTTCGAAACCGAAGAATCTTGCTCTCTTGTTGTCCAGTCTCACCTGGGCCGAGTTCCACTACCGCCACGCGCAATGTTGAGCCACCAACATCAAGCGCGAGATACTGGCCAGCCTCTTTACCGGTAGGTAGCTGATGGCTATACGACGGCAGCATACACTCCAGGTCGGACTGTAAGCGCTCCAGGAATTGCTTCTTCAGCTCCGTCGAGAGTCGCGTGAGGCCATCTCCGCTGATGGGGCCCAACAGCGCGGCCTCTGCCTCCTTGAGAAACTCATCCAGGGTCTTCGTCGATAGTCGATGACCCGCAGCGCCGATATGTCCCTTTTTGCCCTCTTCAAACGCCAGTGGGCTCACCCAGTAGGCCAATATGGCTTGAATCAGTGACTTGCCCCGTAGCAGGCTCTTCACTATGGCAGCCAGGACGACTTTCCGAAACGACGCCATGGCAGAAACGAGTGGCTGCAGGTTGGCGGACAGAGTTGGTAGTGTTGATATGGTAAAGGGTGGAGGGGCAACGCAGTCGAGCGTGGCGGGAGTAAAGGGCCAACTTCAAGTCGCGGGACAGGATAGGGAAGTAAATAGTATCAAAGCCAGATCGATCGGCTTACGGCATACTCCAACAACCGACACGCAGAGGAGGTCCGAGCAAGGGTGTTACAACAACAGAAGCTCTGAATGGCGCTGTAGCATGGGAGAAGGCCTGATGGTCGCAGTTGGCTGTATGCCTCTCGCTGTTTCTTCGGTCGTAAATGAACAGTAGTCTCTCTAGGGGTGTGGTTGACCGCAACGGTGTAAAAGACGAGAGGAGAGAGGGAGAGAAAACATCCGCGAACGCACGTCCCAACGACACGGTACAACAGAGTCTCCCTGATCCAAGGTAGCAGGTAGGATATGGCGTTTGGAGACGAGGCTCAACGGTGTAGGATGGGCGCTTGACGGATCCACGGGTACGAAACGTCTCTCCACCTTGGGTAGGAACCTCGACAAGTGCAAAGATCAGCTTCTATACGAGGTCCTTGAGGAGAATGAAACATGCCCCGGATGCAGCGACAGCACAGCAAAGACACAGCGCAGCCTTCGCCAGGGCGGCTCGCCAGTCGATGGAAGCAGGTAGGCTAAGTTAGGTAGTATAGAGCAAAGGCAGGCCACTGCCGGGGCGCGATCTGGACGCGAATCAGGCAGTTGGCGGTCTGAGCCGACGTTACAGACTGGCTGGCGTGCGGTGGAAGCGCGCACAGCATGGAGTATCCGTGCGCGTAGACTCGTTGGTCCAGGGGTCCTCGTGGCGGTGATGCTAGCGTCGTTGAGATTCGATCCAGCTTAACGTCGCACGCGGTCTGCTGAGAGGTGGACTTCAGGGGACGACGCATGCGGCATCACCCAGGACACCCGCATGTAAGGAAGGAAAACGGAAAAGTGCGCTCAGACATGGTGTCCATGGCTGTGGGCAATGGCTCCAGCCACTGCAGCCCAGGGAGCCATGCTGCTACAAGCGCTGGTCTTTGACGCGCTGTGGTGGTCGAGAAGGTGGACAGCGACTGGAGGAATCAGACGCGCAAAGGGGACTGAAGGCCGGCAGAGAGCGAGACGGACTGGAGCGTGAGAAGTGGAGGCTGCGGTTGTAACGTTGCGAGATGGTGGTGGCAAGCGGAGGCGCACGCAACGCGGCGGGCAGCCTGGGCGGCTGGGCCCTGCCTGAGGCGGGAAGGGTGGGGCTGTGCTAATGACAGTGATGACTGGACCCCGCCGAGCATCAATTAAATGTTAGTGCAATGGCGGCCTATTGTGTCTGCTTTATGATCCTTAATTATTATTCTGCCGCCAGACGAGATCACTCACCAACATGAGATACCTTACTCTTGCGCACTTGGCCAAAATCGCCAATCTCAAGCAGAAGCATCCAAGTGATCAGCCGGTTGGACTAGTGTCTGTGCTACCGCCGATAGGGTTACATCTCATGCCCGTTATCGTACATGTAGACAACTGCTTGCTTCACCACCATAAACCGTGCTCAGCCTCTGCCAGGATTTGGTCCAGGACGACTTATCAAAGGATCGAAACATGATGTATAAATCAGGCAAGTCCCTTCTAACACAGTCTCGACTTTTTCGTTTAAGTGCATCTCTATATCTCGTTCCACTTGTCCAACAAGCGTCGCAATCCAAGTTGAGTCTGGTATCTTGCGACAAGGTGCTCTTGTGCCAGCCACGTGGGATCCTAATTTGCTACAGCCACGGCTGCTCAGGGCCACGAAGGAACATTTTCTGAAAAATCCTTCCCATCATCATCGTAGTAAATCACTCTCGTTGCTGTGGAACGACGTCTCACCGAAGCTGGGTCTGACCAGAATCGGAACTTCCGGATCCTGTCGTCACGGTGAGGCTCTTCGATGCTCGAGTCCGACTTGAGATCTCACCTATCTAATGCCTACCAGAACCAATCGTATCATTCGCAAGAATCACCTGACGGAGAATTGTAGAATTGCAACAGACAACATGTTACTTTGCGGTTCCCAGGGGATCCCGCAAGGTGGACCATCCTCCAACGTCAGTGCAGTTACGTTCCATCCCGCCCCCATCATCTCCCCCATCCCCTTTCCGAATCTGGCTCGTCCACTATGTGAACGCACCACTCCGTGGTCAACGTTGGCGCTGTCATACCAGGGCGTACATTGGCGAAGCGATTCAAGGATTCTTGACGAGTCGTCTCGACTCGTTGCGCGAGTGACTGATAGTACACGCACCAGAAGAGGCAAAATGGGTTATGGGGGGTTCGATCATGGGGCCCTCTGCTATCAAATCCGTCCATTCCGTGACGTATATGCTTGCAAGTCCACGTCTTATTATACCCAGCGCCTCGCTCTTCTCTCTACTATCTTTCTGGCCTCTCCCTCGATCTTTCAAGCATCTCATCCAGACAACAAGTGACGTTTATCCCTATTATATACCCCTTCTTCCTCTTCCCTTGCTTGCATATCACACTAGTCCTCTTCAGGACACAAGGACAAGCCTCTCTTCAAGACCACCGCCGCCACCATGAGACTTATCATCCGTGACGATGCCGAGGCGTCGAGTGCCTACGTCGCACAGTATGTCGTCGACCGTATCAAGGCGTTCAACCCGTCTCCGCAGAACCCCTTCGTGCTGGGCTTGCCCACTGGTTCAAGCCCTCTCATCGTCTACCGCATGCTCGTGGAGAAGTACAAGGCTGGTCATGTATGTTTGCCGATCCTCGCCCCTGTGCAACCACGCATGTTCTGACAACCGCATGTAGATCTCCTTTGAGAATGTCGTCACCTTCAACATGGACGAGTACGTAGGGATCCCTCGCGACCATCCCGAGTCGTACCACTCCTTCATGTGGAAGCACTTTTTCTCCCACGTCAACATCCACCCGTCCAACGTGCATATCCTCAACGGCAACGCCCCGAACCTCGAGGCGGAATGCATTGCCTACGAGGAGGCCATCAGGGCCGTCGGTGGCATCGACCTCTTCCTTGCTGGTATCGGCGAGGACGGCCACATTGCCTTCAACGAGCCCGGCTCGAGCTTGGCCAGCCGCACGAGGGTGAAGACCCTGGCCTATGACACAATTCTGGCCAACTCAAGGTTCTTCGACAACGATGTCAACAAGGTACCTCGCATGGCCTTGACCGTTGGCGTGCAGACGGTGCTCGAGGCGCGCGAGGTGGTCGTCATCATCCTCGGCCAACGCAAGTCGCTGGCGCTGCAGAGGTGTATCGAGCAAGGGGTAAACCACATGTGGACACTGTCGAGCCTACAGCTGCACCCCCATCCCATGATTGTCGTGGATGAGGATGCGACCGCAGAGCTGCAAGTCAAGACCGTCAAGGTAGAATTCCACCCCAACACCCCACCCTTCGCGCAAATGTGTTCGGTCTTGCTGACTTCTTCACGTAGTACTTCAAAAGCATCGAAAAGGTGGCGCTCGAGCAAGGTTTCGAGCAGATCCTGCCTTCCAAGGTGCGCACCGGCAACGCTGCCAGCGTCCCGAAGACCCATGTGGATGAAGTCTCGTCGCCCACAATCTTGGCACCACAGCCCACAACGTCGCGCTTGCTTCGCGCGACGCCGGCGACCGAGTACCCCGTGCGGTCTGTTTCACCAGAGCTTGTGCCCGACAGGATGGCATCGAGGATACCAGAGCCGGCGCTGAACAACCGGCTGACACCCAACCCTGATGAGCAGGTGTTGAGGCCGGCGGGCATTGCTGCTTAGGAGTCGAAGGAGTAGGAGGATACTGTCCATAGCGCACATCAGTCGTTGGAACATGCTTAAAAATAGAAATTGTCAGCATACTTTTTGTTCATGTCAGTCGTGGAAAATTGCCTACAAGACTCCAACATTCTCAGGCTCTTGCGAGCGAGAGTGGCACGCATCGCAGAACGAAGCAGTGAATAAATCTGCAGTTAGAGATTCACCAGAAACCAACTAGGCTGCCATCTTTGCCGGGGTATAATCAGTATACAACACAATGGCTCCATTCACGCCATTCTCGAAATCAACGCTGATGCGTGTATGGTACATGTGCAGTCCATATTTCTCTCTCCATACGGCACCAAGACAATAACTGAACTCGGAATCATTCGACAACAAAGTATCGCTTTGTCTTGCTCTGCACCTGCTGCGCCTTGACCTCAGGCGGTACAATGGTATGGTGAACGACGTGAGGTCGGTACACCGCGTCAACCGGTGGCATCCTACGAGACATTAGCACCTGCAGGATGATGCATGTAGCACCGAACGACTTACCAATCGTCCACGCTCAGAGGGAAGTACTCGTAGAGGGGGTCTTCTTCCTCGGGTGGACTGCTTCCTGGTGCCAGCCCGGGTACGGCTTGGATCTTGCCTGCATGCGGGCTTGGTAGCTCGGCGCTCGAGCGGTTCGGGCTTCTCTCGTCGTCAGAGAGGGACAAGTTGATAGGTGCCGAGGTACTGTTCCGTGCCGCTTTCATCGCTTGTGCTGCATTAGGGCCCTGCTTGAAAGAGCTCGCTGAGTCCCTTGACCAGCCAGGGACGGGCGGTTTCGCCACTGTGGGTGAGATAGCCATACGTTTCGCGGGATGCGAGCCCTGACTAGGCTGTGTGAAAGGCTGTGGCGTCACCCATTCGTTGCTCTGCCGTGCCTTTTGGTCAGTATTGGACTGGGAAGGCAGGTTTCCTGCATAACTCACCGGCACCGCTCCCAAGGACTGTGGCTTCTGTAGGCTTGCCTGGAAGGCATCTCTCTCAGTCTTGATCATCTGATCGGCGGAGCCCGCGGTGTTCCTCCTCTCGAGTCTCTTATCACCCGTCAGAGGAACATCCTTGCGACTGTCAAAGTTCCTCGGGCTTCGCCCACGCACAATCACGGGACCTGACCTGATCTCCGCGATGGTGATGGTCTCGCCCGCCTTTGTATTCCCCAAAAGGCTGATTTGGACCACGTAGTGCTGCTGCAGGCCTTTGCGTCGTCCATTGTTCGCCGTCGCGTGCTTGAACTGGAGACGCTTCCAAGAAACAGGCAGGGCCACTCGGTTGGCGTCCAGCTCCTGGCCAGATGCCAAGTCGAGCGAAAGACTGGGTGGTGGTCCGGCCACTTTCGACTCTTCTGGCGCTTGAGGATTGGAACTCTTCCAAGGGATCGAGATGATTTCTGTCGGTTTGCCTTCGATAGATTCAACGGCCGTGATAGTCGCTGACAAGTCCATCAACGGTATTTGCCGGCCCTTTTCGTCAATCATATGTGAAATAATTCGTGGCAATGTGATCTGCCCCGTGCATTGCCACAAGTTCCGGCGATAGCATGTCAATTCCAGAGGCCGACCCGTACTCTCAGCTCCAAACACGTCCTCGGCGACAAAGAACATGCCGTATAATTCGGCAGACATGTTCGTCTCGCCAATGTTGCCCACCTCGTCAAGTACTGTTGCTGATACTGTGGGTTCGGAGAAGCCCAAGAGCTTGTTGTCGAGCTCCTGCGGGGAAGCTTCATCGTTGACGTTGGCTGGGTTGGGGGGCGGTTCAAAGGCTCTTGCCGCCGAGTATTGGAAGGGATCTTCAAAGGTGGTTGCAAAGTTGTCAAAGTCGTATGATGGAGTGAAGGGTATGTGCGGAAGAGCGCCGCTCTCTCTGTTTTATTCATTCAGCAACGGCTGTCGAGCCAGCGCGGCTTGAGTTCTTGACTTTTCGACTTACAGTAAAGCGTCCTCAAAGATAGCATCCTCGAAATGCATGCCGTTGAGATCGGGCTGGTGGGTCATCATGTGGTGCTGATGGTGGTGCATCCCGTCAGGAGCGCCAGACGACATGGGCGGCATGGAGTTGAAGGCTGCCATGGCATCGTAGCGGTCGCGTGTGAGCGACGTTCTCCCCCTGCCCTGCTGATGCTTGAACCGCGTCGCTGGAGAATGGCTACTTGTCGCAGTCGAGAGGCTCTAGAGTGTGATGTGCAGCTGTGGAGCTGAGAGTGACAATGCTTGGGCCTGGGCAAGCCACTTCACCTCACCACACGTGCTGCCGACAAGGCCGCGCAGGGAGAGTGTCGTCGCTGGCGGAATGGCAGTTGGCACAAATGACAGAGGAAGTCAAATTATGTATACGTAGGTCGACAAGCGCAAGTGTCTCGTGCGGTGGAACGTGAACGTGGGCTGGAGGAGTGTGAGCCAGATCAATTGCGACAGATGAGTCGAAGAATGAATGGAAGGACTGGGCTGGAGTCTGGAGAAGCCTCGTGAGCTCGGTCCAGCCGTCCAGGTGGTGAGCAGGGACATGAACCCTCCACGGGCCACGGCCGATGCTGAGACTAGCCTGATGGGGGGAGTGCCATGACTGGGCACTAATAAGTACTGGTTCTGGCCTAGAATGGAGGACTGGAGTCGATTGGCCGCTCCAGCACGAGGCGGGGGATAGATTAGCGGGGGAGAGGGAAACAGCGCCACCAAACAGCCCGAAACTACAGGGGTTTCTCACAGGCCTTTTGGATAGTATCGTAGGCAAGCTGGAGGAGATTGCTCAGCGGGCGACAAGTCTCTTCAGCACACTAATTAGTCACCTAGTAGTGCTAGCGCTTCCGATGTCCATGTCCATGTCGCCAGACGAGACATGCACGTCCGGTTCGCGCTCCATCCCGTCCCGCTCCAAGTTCCAACTCCAGTCTCCAAGCCCCAAACCGAACGAGAAGGATCACCTTGGCAGCCTCTTCGAGAAAGACGCCGGTCAGCTGGCCCGTTTCAAGCCAGACGGCTTTGTCACACTGCAACGGCAGCTCGCCCTGTCGACCCCACAGTCCTCCACTACGATAGCACCTAGGCGCATTAGTCGCCCGTCTGTGCTTCTGAAGAAGTGTCTCCAGCCCACGACACTACAATCATCTCATGACCTAAGTAGGCGACCGAAAGATGCGATCGTGAGTCCATAGCAAGGTTCCTAGTGAAGCGGGCGGCCGACTGTCTGCAACCTCTGCAGACGAGGTGTTTCCTTTTGTCCGCGGTTTGCGCTGTCGATCAGGGTCGTGGTAGTGTCAGTGGGGTTGCATTTTGAGAAACACGTTATCCATATCAGGCGTTTGTCTGGGCCGTCCCCAATCAGATACCTCTAGATCCTTCGCTTTGTGTCCTTCTTCGAATCATGTGGCTCGGAAGAGATAAGCTGCGCGGCAATGCGTCTTATCTGAGTAGACCCAGTATTCCGTGATGACTTTGGTGATAAAAAGATAAAGCAGCTGCGGTTTGTTATCTGAGGCACACTAGCCGACTAATGCCTGGTACGTAGTACGTAGTGTTTGAAACAGACACATCCGAGTGTGACAATACGCCCTAATACAACGTAATTCAGCTAGTTTGGTGGCGTCTGCAGGTGCATACAAGCACACATTAATGCATGGGACGCTACTGTTCTAGATGATTACCGAGAGCATTCATGCCGTCTATGCTCCTACCGTAGTCTAACGTTAACTCTGCTCATGTTTCCTCCCGGAACGGGGTGCATATGCGCGCGTGTGACGATCGCTGCTAGACAACTTCCCAACTCGTCGATCTCCTTCATGTCATGATGCGGGTCCCAAACTTCCACACTTCGTCGACTGCGAGCTGGCTGGAGCCATCAACACTCTCTTCGGAGAATATGACAAGATCTGCGTCGGCACCAGGCTCAAGAGACCCCTTGACGCCCTCGAGCCCCAGCATGGCCGCTGGCGTCGAGGTCACCGCCTTCAGAGCCAACGGGATACTCGAGCCGGTCCAGCGCAGGAAGTTATTCACACATTCAATCAGAGTGATGGAGCTGCAAGTCTTGTCTTAGCCGGTGTTTTTCTCTCGCTTCAGGGTTCGGGCACTTACCTTCCTGCGATGGTGTCAGAGTTCTCTAGCATCAGCGTGGATCCCTTCTTTACGATGTTGCACATTTTCTCGCCGTTGGTCCACGGATACGCCCCGTCAGGCAGGCCAACGAGATGCATTGCATCTGTGACCAGAATGAAGCCATCGGGATGGGCATTGAAAGCGATTTTGATTGTGGTCGGGTGCAGGTGGATGCCGTCCGAGATGATGCCAAAAAAGGGCCTCTCCTGGCTCTCGGCAATGCCCAACACACCAAAGATTCCAGGGTTGCGGTGGTGAAGTGGCCGCATGGCATTGAACAGGTGTGTGATCATGGTAGCGCCCTTGCCCACAGCGGCCGAGGCGTCCTCATAGGTAGCTTCTGAATGGCCGATGGAGTAGATGATGCCCTTTGACCTGAGCTCGGGGATGAGGCTCATCATCTGGCCTCTCTCAGGTGCGGCCGTGACCATTTTGACAGGTATCACACCGTCCTCACCGCTGGCGTTGAGGTTCTCCGCCCCGTAGCATTCTTCCAGGTCGGCAAAGGTGTGCGCCTCCCTCATCACGTCTACATTGTGGACGCCATTCTTGGAGGGGCTGAGAAAGGGGCCCTCGCAGTGCGCACCCAGCGATTCAGCTCCGTCCTCAGCCACGCGGTTGCGTCCTGACGGCCCCAGATGCGGTAATGCCTGCCTCGAGTGTCAGAATAGTCCCATAGTACGCGTCGCGCGAAGGTGAGCATACCTTTTGGTAAAGCTCCGGGCGCTGACTCGTGATTGTGGGGAGGTACGACGTCACACCCGTCTGTACCAGCAAGCGGTTGACTTCTTTGACCTTTTTGCCATACTGGCTCATGTCATCCAGCAAGGTGGAAAAGTTGAAGCCAAAGGCACCGTTGAGCTGGCACTCAATCATGCCTGGCGCAACAATGCGACCACCCAGGTTGATTGTCTTGTCGGGTAGCACCAGCTCATCGTAGAAAGATGCTTGGCTGTGAATAACCTTTCCCGAGACAGAGCTGACCCAAAGATCCTCATCAACCAGCTTGTCGCCTCTCAAAAGACGGCAGTTGGTGAATTTAGTGAGGCCGTTCTGTGGCCGGGTTGGTGGCGAGAGAGCAATCGGCATTGTTGAGGGTGGGACTGCTGCCAGGGCAGATAGATCTTTGGGGATGATTTGATATGAGATGTTTGGGCTGGTAGGACTGCACGCCCGACTGAGGTTCTGTTGTCACTCCATAGCAAGAACAAGAGCGACACCAAGAGACGCAGCAGCAAGAACTGCGGTACTAGTAGGATTTCTTGGTCTCTACGGCGGATGATGATGGCAACAGCTTGGCCCACGTTGGCTCGCAAAGGAGCCGGCATAACCTTATTGGGCGATGGAGGGTTGAGCTGGCTGGTGCCATGGGAGCCTCCAAAACTGACATCGAGAACAATTCCACGCGCGGAGTTGACATGTTCGGCGCACCCTCACACGCGGCGATGAGGCAGGTTAGCAGCCTGACAACAGGAACCCACACGGCTGGAGGCGAGAAGCGAACACAACGTGTGTAACATGACAGAGCGGTTGCTCAGGCTTGGTCGGTACCACTCGAGCCAGATCCGCTGACTGGACATCTTCGCGAATGATCAGGAGGACTCACATGCCAGTGTGCACAGTCGGCCCCAAAATTCCCACATGTAACGTTGGAACAGGACGTCAGAACTGGAAGGGACTAATGGGACTGGCTGGTTCCACCTTTGTGCCTTCCCTCCCTGGCAATTACTCGCAGGGGTCCAGTCGGCGCCAATCAGAACTGCGAGCCGCACCTAGCCGACACCCACACCGCCTTCCATATTCGTCCGCGGCCAGCAGCGAAGCCCAGGCAAACACTGTGCAAACGAGCGGATAGATAGGCGGCACTCGCAGTGATTAGGCCTTACCCGCACGGTCTTCCCTACGGCGGGACTGGAGCCTGGCACGGACGCTCCAGTCGACTCGAGTCGAGACGACATGGACACCTGGTCGTCGAGGCGCATAGCGACATGATCCAACATTACGCTGAAGCTCTCATCGTTACCTCAATTCGCGCATCTTGCCAGGCTCCTGCTGCTGTCATTCACGCATGCGCACGACTCCAGACCCAGGATACCAGCTACTTCCGAGCTGAGCCCATCTGCTCAGGGATCTTGTAGCCCCTGCCTGGGTAGCAGCTGGCGACTACTATGCCTGTGATAACGTGACCACACCATTCACGGCGTCGCTATCGCTTCAGTTGGCCCCCAAGACCGCGCGTGCCAACATGGCTATCAATAATGATGCCAATCATGTCGATTTGGACCCACTGTGGCAGGATGCGGACTGGTACGTAGAAGAATACAGTTCATGATTCTCTAGGATGATGGCTCCGAGGGGGCTTTCACCGCTGAACCTGTTTGGCTACTGCCCAAAAAAACCTCCTAGCTCACTCTAGGGGACGATGCTTGATCTGGAACTAGAGAGTCACAACGGACCGCAGCTGACAGAGCAATGGTGCAGGGCTATAGGGCAGTCCCTCATCATGGGATGGGACGGCACTGAAGTGACCCCGCAGATCAGGAGCTTGATCGAAGATCATCATCTTGGCTCCATCATCCTGACCGCGAAGAACCTGAAATGTGAGTCTTCTCTTAGTGTCTTGTTGATCGCTGCGACCAACGCTGACTGTCGACACAGCGGCGCACCAGACCGCAAAGCTGGTCCAGGAGCTGCAGACCATTGCAAAGAATGCTGGACACCCCTATCCGCTGCTCATTGCGTTGGATCAGGAGAATGGCGGTGTCAACAGTCTGTTCGACGAGGACTATGTCTGCCAGTTCCCCAGTGCCATGGGCGTCGCGGCCACGGGACACCCTGAACTAGCCTACGAGGTGACCAAGGCGACAGCTACCGAGATATCGGCGTGTGGTGTGAACCTCATGTTAGGTCCCGTTCTAGATGTCCTCAACAATGCGCGCTACCAGCCTCTAGGCGTGAGGGCAACGGGCGATGATCCCCAAGAGGTGTCTCAATACTGCCTCTCAGCCCTTAAGGGCATCAAAGACGCAGGAATGGCGTCGTGTGGCAAACACTTCCCTTCCTACGGAAATCTGGACTTTCTGGGCTCTAACCTCGATGTGCCTATCATCACACAAACTCTAGAAGAGCTGAACCTCAGTGCGCTTATCCCCTTTCGGAATGCCATTGCTTCGGGGAAGCTAGATGCCATGTTTGTCGGTGGCTGCGGCATCTCCAACCCATCGATGAACGTGAGCCACGCATGCCTGTCAGATCAGGTCGTCGATGATCTCTTGCGCAACGAGCTTGGCTTCAAGGGCGTCGCCATCTCAGAATGCCTGGAGATGGAGGCTCTCAGCCACGAGCTTGGCGTGCAGAACGGAGTATGCATGGCTATGGAAGCCGGCTGCGACCTGATTCTCCTGTGCCGAGCATACGATGTGCAATTGGAAGCACTCAAGGGACTCAAACTTGGCGTGGAGAATGGCATCATTACCAGGAACAGACTCTTGACATCAGTCCGAAGAGTCTTGCACCTCAAGTCTATTTGCACATCCTGGTCCAAAGCGCTCCAGCCACCCGGTGTTTCGCTCCTCTCGCAACTGCACCCGTCTCATCTGGCGCTTTCCCGGCGCGCCTACGATGACTCTATTACGGTCATCAGGGACAAAGAGAAGCTTCTACCACTGTCGGCGAGTATGCATCCTTCCGAGGAGCTGCTGCTGCTTACCCCACTGGTGAAGCCGTTACCAGCTTCGTCTCTAACGAAAAGTTTACTTGAATCCAAGGTCAATGGCCAAGCAGCTCGGCCTACAAACCATGACACCTGGGTGCACAGAGACCGCGACAGGGGATCAATCATGAGCGGCGAGGGCGTTTTCCGCGAATTTGGGAAGGAGTTGGCTCGCTCAAGGAATGGAAAGCTTCTGCACACCAGCTATACAGCAAACGGTGTGAGACCAGGTAGGACAGCGAATCTATCATGCCAACCACTGTGCTAACGATTTCAGTACACGAGAATCTGATCAACAGGGCATCCTGCATCGTCATAGTCACGGCCGATGCCAACAGGAATCTGTACCAAGCTGGCTTCACAAAGCACGTCGACATGATGTGTTCCATGCTTCGCAGCCGCGGGCAGAAGAAGCAGCTAATCGTGGTGGCCGTCAGCTCGCCCTACGATTTTGCGATGGACAAGTCGATAGGCACGTATATTTGCACATTTGACTTTACTGAAACAGCCATGCATGCTCTGGTCCGGGCTTTGGTTGGGGATATCACCCCCTCCGGCAGTCTTCCGGGCACACTCCGCAAAAGCAAAAAGGTCCTCAAGGCAAGGCAGCATTGGCTTGTAGAGGAATACATCCCCGGTCGAGATGGAGCTGGCCTAGAGGCTCTGCTCAGAGCGGTACACCGCGCCAGCACGCCCGACTTGCCGTTCCTCAAGGCGACAACCGCTGGGACCTTTACCTTGCATAACTCCAATATCGCAGAGGCGCATTATGTGGTGCGAAACAGCAGCACACAGGCTTTATACGGCTTCGTGGCCACGTACTTTGTTTCGGGCACTGGCATGATTGGTGCTCTCATTGTCGATCCCACCAAACGCAACGTCTCCATCGGCCGGTCCCTGCTCCGTCGCGCCATCAAGAAGCTCAAGCAGAAGCAAGGAATCAAGAAGATCCAAATCGGCATGTCATTCCCCGGCGTTTTTCTGGGCATTCCGTGCGATGGGGGCGTCAACACCACCAAGGAATGGTTCGGCAACGGAGGATGGGATATCTCCTTCTCCCGCCGCCTCACCAACATGATCATCTCCGACCTCGGAAACTGGACCGTGCCTGAGGGCTTGCTCCAGAGTATCCAGCGCGCGAACATTAGCTTCGATCTCATCCACGGCCTGGACAATGCGGAAAGCGTCCTGAACCATGTCCGTGCGCACGCGAACCCTGAGTTGCTGGAGCTGTACCGCGCGGCGCTGACGGAGAAGACGAACTGCGGCATCGTCCGCGCAAAGGACTCGACTGGCATGCTGCTCGGTACCATCATCATATGCCGCCAGCGCAGTCCGCTTGCGCAGCACATTCCACCTCTCGTTTCACGATCGGACGACATTGGTGGTTTGCTCGCGCCCATTGCACCGCCAAGCTCCTTGTCGACGTTGGCGCTCCAGGGGTTGGCGTTGATGGGCGTGCGCCAGATAAAAAGCCACAAGGCCTCGAGTATGGTGCTTAGCTGGGTACTTTCTCACTTATTGATCCGTATCGATCATCCATCCGTACTGACTCTGTAGCAGGCTGTCGACGAAACATGTGAGCCGCTGCAGGCCATGGGGTTTGATATTTTGCAATCATTCGAAGAGATAAGCAACTCTCCAGATAATGTACGTCACCTTTCCAGTACCAAATTATTTCGGCAACTGACTATCAGCAGTTCCCTGATGCATAGCGCCCCGTGATAGGGGATGAACGCAGCAAGCGTGGTCGAATATATGCCTAGTTGGGGCAGATGGTTATCTACAGTCATCATCAAATGCATGAACAAATAACCAATCTATAATAATTTTTGATGTCTAAGCATTGTCCAACTACCCTTGGAGTTATATCCTCTCTAAATCGACTCAATCGAGACAGGCGGGTCGCCGTTCAAATCCCGCCCCTTCTCGCTAACAGAGACATCGCCCTTCAGGAGCGATGTATCCTTGATCTTTCCATCATCTCCGATGACAAGCTCGCCCAGAACATTACCATCATAATCCACGGCTGTCGTCTTGTCGCCAGCCTGGACCTCGTAAAGTGCTACCTCCACGTCTTTGCTGTACTCGTATACAGCGCCACTCTCCTTCCTGTTGCCAAGCACCAGGATGGTACCCTCGCGTACGTAGAGTGGCAACGTACCGAACGCATGCTTCTCCCTGAACCAGCCGGGGCCGGTCTTGACCTCGCCGGTAAAATACGATGTCCACCGGCCCTTGGGGAGGTAGAACTCGACCTCACCAGACTCCTCGAACACAGGCGCGGCTAAGATCTGCGAACCGACCATAAATTGACGGTCGACAAACCACGCCGTGGGGTCCTCGGGGAACTCAAGTGCCAACGTGCGTAGCGACAGAGGAATGCCGCCTTCCCGGGACTCCATGCCCTGGGCGTAGAAGTACGGCATCAGCCTCGTCTTCAAGGCCGTCCACTTGGCCAGCGTCCTTGAACAGCCCTCCTCCGTCTTGTCGTCATTGTCGACCGTCCACGGCACGCGATAGGAGCTGCTGCCATGCAGACGGCTGTGACTGCACAAAAGACCCATGGCCACCCAGCGCTTGTAGACCCATGGAGGGGGCGAGCCCTCGAAGCCGCCAATGTCGCAGCTCCAGTATGAGAAGCCGCTGAGGCCCATAGACAGGCCACCACGAATAGACTCGGCGAGGGCCTCGGGCGTGGACTCGCAGTCACCACCCCAGACGAGCGGGAAGCGTTGGGCTCCGGCGCAAGCAGCTCTGGCAAAGAGGACGGCCTCGTCATTGCCATAGCGCTTCTGCAGGGCCTCGTATACGAGCTGATTGTACTGGAAGGCGTAGTAGTTGTGCATTTTGTGAGGATCGACCGTCTTATCGTGCCATTGCACATCCAGAGTCGGGATGCGCTCACCGAAATCTGTCTTGAGCGCATCTACGCCCTGGTCGAACAGGCCATTGAGGCACTCTGTGTACCATGCCCTGGCCTCGGGGTTGGTCACGTCGACCAGACCCATGCCCGCCTGCCATAGATCCCACTGCCAGATGTCGCCGTTCTTGCGCTTGAGGAGGTAGCCCTTTTCCGCGGCGTACTTGAAAGCAGCGCCATGCTCGGCAATGTACGGGTTGATCCACACGCAGACCTTCTTGCATAGGCCTTGCTCCTTCAGGCGGGCGATCTGTCCCTTGGGGTCAGGGAAGCGCTCCGAGTCAAAGACAAAGTCGGTCCATGTGAAGGCCTTCATCCAGAAGCAGTCGAAATGAAATACGTCAACTGGAGAGTTGCGTTTCTTCATTCCTTCGAGGAAGGACGTCACGGTGGACTCGTCGTAGTTTGTGGTGAAGCTCGTGGTGAGCCAGAGACCATGACTCCATCCCGGCACCTTTCCAGGCTTGCCGGTCAGGATAGAGTACTTTTTCAGGACCTCCTTGGGGGTAGGGCCGTAGATCACATACCACTTGAGCCGTTGCCCCTCAACTGAATGCTGAACCCTGGAGGTGCGTTCGCTGCCGATGGCGAGATCCACGCGCCCAGGATTGTCGATGAAGACACCGTAGCCACGGTTGCTCATCCAGAATGAGACATTCTTATAAGCCTGATCACTCGAGGTACCACCGTCCGCGTTCCAGAGGGAGACGGATTGGCCGACCTTGTTCCATGCTGTAAAGCGCTCGCCCAGACCGTGAACCGACTCACCCACGGAGAGACCCGTCTGGAAGAACATGTAGTGTTTGAAGTCTCGCATGTCGCCCGTCTGCATAGGTGTCGAGGGCCCCGGCGAGTAGGCAAAGCCGACGCTACGGCCTCCCAGTGTTGTGAGGGTCTTGGCGCCGTCCGTGCTGTGGAACTTGAGGCCGAACCGGTGAGGCTCAGACTCGAGGGTGACCGCGAGGGAACCAGAAGCCAAGGTTGTGGCATTCTTGTCGTTCTTTGAGATTTTGCCCTCTACTGAAGGCTTCCCATCGGGGTAGAGGTCAAAATGAGGGCCATGGTTCTGGGCGCCACGCCAATGGGCAGCCTCGAGCGAAATCACGCCGTCAAATTCGGCTCTGACGTCCTATTTGATGTGAGTTGATTTGATTTGCCCGCGATTCATGTGCTTACCAAAGTGACGGTTGGCATGTTTAGAGTGTTGCCGCGAGAACGAATCTGGCCGACGGGACAGAGGAGACTCAGGCCCCGCTCGCCATCAAGAGGCGTGATGTTGTAGATTTCCTCCGCATACTCTGTCCGAACGCCCTCGGCCGGCAGCCACATGCCATCGCGAAGCTTGACCATGTTGAGATCTCGTGGGCGGCCTAGACGTCTAGCTCGTTGTTTGTGTCCGGTTGCGAGGTCCAGGTTGGATGTTGAGCAGAGAAGAAAAGTTGTCCTGGCCCCAGCTTAGAACTCTGACGTTTCGTAGCCGCGACTAACTTGATCCTTCGCTCGACGGTGAATTAGCCTGAGCTCAAGCGATGCGCGACCCATCCGTATGGTGGACCCTGAATACAACATATCAGAACACGTCAAGTTTTCTGCCCCTCATCGTCAACCCCACGTCCATCTCTCAGAGGATGGACCAGCTGGAAGCAGGCCATGATCATACCATGGGTCATCGGACGCTCAGGTTGGGGCCGATCCGCTGCTGCCGTCACACGCCCAGAAGATGAACAGCCTGAACTACCATCGCCAACGATTTCTCCGTCTTGCTTTATCCGAGCCCCATCTTGTGGGACGAAGGCTCGAAGCAGCGAGCATGGCGCGACTTGGAGATATGATGCAGATGCGGGAAAATATAAGCACGAGATGCGGGATTCCCAGCTCGCCATAGGCATCTCCCCAGTCCTTGCTCCACCCCCGTATTTACCCCCCTGTTTCCCGCATCTTCCCCTCAAAAGTCAAAGGCATTCGGTGTGTGTTGACCCGATGGTGCCCCCACTGCGAAACTGTCGATTCAAATGCTCGAGGAACGCATACTCTCCTACACCTCATGGTTCTCTTTTGCCTATCCGTGGCGAGTCTCAACAGCTAATCATCGATTGCTCTGGTCTGTGTGTACCAGAATGGGGTCCCATTGGTCCTCAATGATAGTAATGCCGTGATGCTCGCGAATCACTGAGCAATGGCTCACTTGATGTTGTTCCCCCGGGCGAAACACTTGCTTGCCCAGTAATAAACTAGTTCCCCAGATTGTCGGCGTGCCGGGATCTCCAATCAATCCAGCATAGGCTGCATAGCTTTTGCCTGATACCACCCTGGTCCGTGGTCAGGTTGACGGCGCATCGCTCCGTGATTGCGATCTGCAAGTTTATTCGGCCTGCTGAATTCAAGCTTGCCAACGGAGTATGTAGTTCCATTGAGCCAGACCGCCGCGCCGGGTATTCTTGTCGGTCTTGGGACCTAGCCCTCTATATGGAGAGGGCGCCCGCCAGATGTAGCCTGGCCCTTTGCCATTCCCGTGAAGCAAGATAGCTGCGAACTCTTCCATCTCAGCACGCGCCCAAGATATCGCCATGCTGAGAGTCTTGACACTTGGGGTCGTGGCCGCTCTAGCGGTGGCCACCCAAGCTGCCGACTGCACACCCGTGTACAAAAACCCCAACGCCACCGTGGACGACAGGGTCTCGGACTTGCTCAAGCGGATGAGTGTCGAGGAAAAGACTGCTCAGCTGATTCAGGGCGACATCCGCGACTATCTCGACGTTGACAATGACGGTGACTTTAACCAGACGGGCCTGGAGTGGGTCATGTCGACTCGCGCCCACGCAATCTGGACTGGCCTGTACATCATGCCCGAGGAGCTGAAGAATGGTGCCAAGATTGCCCAGGACTATGCCGTCAACGAGACGGAACATGGTGAGTATACCGTCTCCCGTGGTGTTGAAGCGATCTAAACCAGGGCAGGAATCCCGACTTATATCCAGGGCGAGGGTCTCCACGGTTTCCTCGCCGTCAACGCCACCATCTTCAACTCCCCGATCGGCATTGGCTGCTCGTTCAATCCAGAGCTTGTCGAAAAGATGGCAAGGGTCATTGCTACCGAGGCCAAGTCGCTTGGCGTGAACCAACTCTTCGCGCCTGTCGTAGACTTGGCCCGCGAGCAGCGATTCGGCCGTGTCGAAGAGACCTTTGGCGAAGATGCCTTCCTGTAAGTCATCTCAGTTTCCACGTGGCGTCTGGATGAGACTAACCATGCAATGTAGTGCTGGAGAGCTCGGCCACGCGTACACAAAGGGTCTCCAGGATGAAGGCGTCTGCGCTCAGGTCAAGCATTTTGTAAGCTTTCCACCCACAGATACCCAGCTGCGCTTCTGACCCTGAAAAAAGGCTGCTTTCGGTACGCCTGAACAGGGCATCAACACCGCCCCCGTGCGTGGCGGCGAGAGAGAGCTGCGCAGTCTCTACTTGCCGCCTCTTAAGCGCGCCATCATAGACGGCGGCACCTGGTCCATCATGTCATCGTACAACTCGTACGATAGTGTCCCTACCGTTGCGGACCATCACCTGTTGACAGAGATCCTGCGCGACGAGTGGGGTTACGAATACTACGTGATCTCGGATGCTGGCGGCACCGCTCGCTTGATCGACCCTTTCCAGATCTGCGCCGAGGCCGACGATGAGTGCGTCGCTATGCAGGCGCTGCCCGCCGGTAACGACGTAGAGATGGGTGGCGGCCGGTACAGCTTCGAGACGATCCCTGACCTCATTGATTCTGGCGAGCTCGATATGGAGATCCTCGACCTTGCCGTCTCGCGCGTACTGCGGTCCAAGTTCGCGCAGGGGTTGTTCGAGCACCCATGGACGGGTGTTTCCGACGATGACATCTATGACTATCTCAACACGGACGAACACAAGGAGCTCGCCCAGCAACTGGATGCAGAAAGCATCGTCGTCCTCGAGAACCACGACAACGTTTTGCCACTGAAGAAGGACGCCAATGTGGCGGTGATCGGGCCCATGGCTCATGGCTATGTCAATGTGAGTGAAGTGAGAAAGAATCCCATGAGCGCGGCCGTAGCTGACATGCAATCCATAGTACGGCGACTATGTCATCTACAAATCGCAGTATAGGGGTGTCACGCCTTTCGACGGCATCGAGGCAGCCAGTGAGGGTACTGTCACCTTCACGCAAGGCTGTGAGCGTTGGTCCAACGATGACTCTGGTTTCGACGAAGCCATCGCCGCTGCTGAGGATGCCGATGTCGCCGTGGTCGTTGTTGGTACGTGGTCTCGAGACCAGAACGAGCTCTGGGCTGGTCTGAACGCCACGACGGGCGAATCCGTCGACGTGCACAGCCTGAACCTTGTCGGTGCCATGCCGCGTCTCGTCAAGGCCATCATCGACACTGGGAAACCCACAATTGTTGTCTACAGCTCTGGCAAGCCCATCACCGAGCCTTGGATCTCAGATGAGGCCGCGGCCCTGGTGCAACAGTTTTACCAGTCCGAGATGGGCGGCCACGCGTTGGCGAGCATCCTATACGGCGACGTCAATCCGTCGGGCAAGCTCTCCATCAGCTTCGCACACGACGTTGGCGCTCTGCCCATCTACTATGACCATCTCAACTCGGCACGGACCTACCCAAACCCGGGTAAGGTCTATGAGAACGGCACCATTGAATGGGGTAGGAGTTATGTCCTCCTCGACCCAACCGCACTCTACACATTCGGATACGGCCAGTCGTACAGCACCTTTGAGTTTGACAATATCAAGGCATCGTCTGAGACCGCGTCTGCTGACGATACGATCACGGTGTCGGTCGAAGTGAGCAACACGTCCAAGCGTGACGGTGCCGAGGTCGTCCAGCTCTACGTCAGAGATGTCCTGGCTAGCATCGATGTGCCTCGCTACAGCCTCAAGGGCTTCAAGAAGGTTAACATCAAGGCGGGCGAGACGGAGACTGTCGAGATTGATCTCAAGGTCCACGACTGGGGATTGTGGAACCGCAAGATGGAGTACGTTGTCGAAAAGGGCGACTTTGAAATTCTCGTGGGTAATTCCAGCGAGAATTTCTACGGAAACGTCACAGTTACCGTAGCTTGAACGTCGCGAACGACGATGAAAGAAAGATTCGATGTTTAATTAACAAAGTGTCTCACCTGTGAAGCTTTACGTGAAGTGATTAGTAATCGTTCTCAACCTGGCTCGGTACCGGAACATGTCAGCACCGAATGGGCTGCCATGATTGGTTGCAGCTCTCCCAGTGCTGTCATGGTAGATGCGTAAGGCGGGCAGCCTCGTTCTGCCGCTTTTGCTCTGCTCGCGTCCCGAGGCGCCCTCTTGCAACTCTAGCATGCATGACCGATCTCTCTGCTGTAGCACAATTCTGCGGCGCCCTGACAAGCCCATGCTTTCCTCTTCATCCAAGACATATGCGTAGGCTCGCTGTCCCTTTTTTTGAGTTGATTTCCCGTGTGGCCCTCTCCTAGGCTTCCTCAACGAACCGCCTCGCGGGCGCCAGAATTGCACGACACGATCCCCGTCGGCGACCGAGTCGCCTTCGCGCCCGCCATGGCGTCGCAACAGGTTCTCTTCGCGGAGACGATTGCCGGAATGAAGAAGGCTTTCAAAAGAAGGGCTTACGGTATGTTTAAATGCCATTCAGCTGTCTGTACGGGGTAGGGCGCTGACCATGTTTGTTCTCCCAGACTCTGATTCGGACTCTGAGATCGAGGGCTACGGCAATCGCGGCCACAAGCTACAGAGGCGAGCGAGGTTTTCCAACAAAGGACGACTAGTCCCAGCAGAAGGACCCGATGGTTACAATGAGGCAAGTCACGGCTGTCAATGCGTCCAACCGCCCAGTGCGCTAACGGAAACCGCAGTCCATCGAATACGCAGGTGTCCGGCGTTCCATCATACATCGAAATCCCCCCCTCGTCGACCAAGATGGCTACGAAGTCGACAGCGCAGACGACGACGATCGAATTGAAGAAGCGATGGCTTCCGCTGCCGAGCTCGACCCGTATTCGGATGTGCGAATCGAGAGTCAGTGACATGAGCCCTGCCGACGAAGACATACTGGCTAACCTACCAAGACATTCTGGCGCCTCTAACCTCAGCGTCCGACCTTGCCGTTCATCCAACACTTTCGAAACCCTTTGTCGCGCAAACCTTGACCCACCTAGTCGAGCAAAGCAGCACTCTGATGCGCAGAGAAAACAAATCGCTGTGGGAGGTACGCCACTTGTGGACAGCATTGCTAGGCGATCGCATATGGGCTCCTTGCGAGGTGATGATAGGGCCGGACGATGTCGAATTATACAATAAGGACCACGTGGTGCAGCAATTACTCGGCTTGTCCAAGGCTCGACCCAACGGTACAGGCCATGGTACAGACAGCGATAAAGGCAAAGGGAAGGAGCCTGCGCCTGGAGATGGACCTGCGGCCCACGATCCCGCAGCAGCCCACGCAGACACGTCAATGACTGACGCGGATGACAACTCCGAGGTCAGACTCGCCGTGAACGACAAACCGCGAGGCGAAATCGACGGCGATCCTGCCCAGTCGACGAATCAGCATCTTTCCAACGGCAGTGCAGAAGCGCCTCGACATGCCCACGAAGAAAGAAATCAAGCGAACCCCGATGCAGAGCCCAGTGAGGAGCAAGATGCGCCGGATATGTCGTCCTACATACATCCCATCTTCGCCTGCCCGGAAGGGGTACAATCAGACCGCGATCTGGGCGTGCCTCAAGATGAAGCGGACAACCTTCGACGGCTCCTAGCGATGTTTGTGCAGAAACAGGAGGAGGTGTGTCGCGGTTCACAAAGACTACATGATGGCCTCACCCGAGCGCATCGCCTCCGCAAAGACGTCCTCCACTGGTCCAAGGCAGAGGCTCACTGCGGGTCGAACAGGGACATGTCAGATGGCGAGGACTGGTACGACAAGGAGGAATGGGGCTTGACGGAGGATCTGAAGAAGGGACAGGATGACGAGGAAGAGGACACAACAACAACAGCGAAGAAGACAAGGGCGCGCAGGCAATAGGACGAATTGCCGAAGCGCCCTTGGTTGAGGATACCCCTGACGACTATAATGACCAAGGCGCGGGGCCGTGTATACAGGTGACAAGGGTCGATTCGAACATATTGCGGTTATTACATGTTGCCAGCGCTCGGAGTTATGGCGTTCACTTGGGAGGAAGATTTGGTTCAGGCGCAGTCCCCTCGAAGAACATTCGATGACAGGGCAGATAGGATAGCGCATGAAAACTACTCTTGTATTACATGTAGACGAATAATGGATGCCCCATGAATCGCCTCACGGGCTGCCTGGGACCTTGCTCGTCGATAATTCTATTTTCTGGGTGCGAAATAAATGTGCGTGGCGGTAAAAGCACAGCGCGGTATTAACCGGCTGTCCTCCATCTTTAATGAAGCACAACTGCACAAGTACCTCATCTTCCCGGCTGATCAACAAATGACTTCACATGCCACACCCGCCGCCCCGCATCTGCCACCGTGCTCAGGGCTGCACTCAATCTTGACACTTCAAGGCACAGTCTCGTCCTACCACGCAACACCCGACTTTATTACCATTGATCCATATCCTTGAAGGACATCTTGCATCATGGCAGCCACACTTCAAGATCTCGCCCGCTATGTTGACCCAACCAAGCCGAGCTTTCTTCGTACGTGCTGGCACGCTTGCTGAGCTCGTAACAGCTGGAGCTAACCTCGCCAGTCTCGGCTGCGTCAATTGCCTTCAACCCAACTTTCTGGAAGTAAGTGACCCATCCAGGCCCGTACGGTGAGCCGAGCTAACGTCCAGCAGCATTGTCGCCCGTCAAGGTGCGCCTCTTGGCACCGCTTCGACGCGACCACGGCTAATGCATTGACTTGATAGAGTACAACAACAAGCTTCTCACGAACCTGTTCGGCGGACGCTCCCGCACAGCCTGCTACGCTCTCGCCGCGACCATCTTCTCGCTCGGCCTCTTCCGCGACTTCCTCTACAAGACCGCCATTAGCGAGCAGCCCACGCACCCACTGCTACTGAGCGTCTACTCCCAAGCCGCGGCCTACACCCTCATCGCCCTCGGAAACACGTTTGTCATCTCGTCGACATGGCGCCTCGGCATCACCGGCACCTTTTTGGGCGATTACTTTGGCATCCTCATGGACGAGATGGTCACCGGGTTCCCTTTCAACGTCGTCGGTGCGCCCATGTACTGGGGCTCCACGATGAGCTTCCTGGGCACCGCGCTTCTCTTTGCCAAGCCAGCCGGCCTCGCGCTGACATGCTGGGTGTTCCTCGTGTACGTCGTGGCCCTGCGCTTCGAGGACCCGTTCACGTCCGAAATCTACGCCAAGCGCGAGCGCGAGAGGGCGGCCACCAAGTCGGGCAAGAAGCAGAAATAAAGGGCGTCGGCTCGCGTAGGGCGACCTCGGTGCTGGGCTCCAAGCCGGCGACAACGTGAATTTTCAACAGTGCATTCGAAGCCACCTGCAAGCGACATTCAGCAAGGAGTTCTTTGATATGAGAAAGGCTAAAGCCCGTTCAACAGGCTGTGAGGATTGTGAATGTTTCAGAATAAAAGGGGTAGTGGTAGCGAGATAGATGCGAGCTGTGTACAATAGGACATCTCGCCGGTAGGTAGATAAAGGTTGGATCATCGTGAATCCCATGATCTTTCCCATCTCCGTCGGCTCAGCACTACGTCATAAGTCCCTCCTTCGGCAGCTGATAGCAGCGTCAACATTGTGGAAGCTCAACATTGGGACATGTGCAGCACTGCCATGCTCTGAGACTCATTCTTGCCAGCTTACTCCAAATATGAGCAGCAAGTATTTTTTCTAATCATGGACGTCGCCAGCATCTGAACCACACAAAGTCAGTGAGCAGCGTCGTCCACAGCTCAGCCAAGATCCACCGTGACTGGCCCCGCGTCTTCCCCCCCACTACCGGCCACTAAAGGAGACACACTCATGAGCTTGTGACCAGAGCTTCTCTCGCGACACGCACGAACTTCATTTTCACTTCTGCGTACGGTCTCCCTGTCAAAGTCGGAAAGCGAGGAGCTCAACTGCATCGCGGAGCTTACACGAAAGTCAACCGCCCTACGTTGTCAAGCATCAAGGCTTTTGACTCTACATATCGCCATCGCGACATCTTGCGACAGCTCTGGCTCTAGGGGACGTACGCGAGGACCTGTGGGTAGCTGCGCTCATTTTCTCCTCATATCCAGCTCTAGCACAGCGCGTTCAAGATGAGCATGTTTCAGCAGGTACGTGGGATCATCTCTTGAGGCGGCCCAACCGCAGTCAGCAGTGAGCTGCGAGCATCAATGGCTTATCAGCCGGGAGCTCCGCGAATCGCGAGAACGAGGGCGTTCCATTCGCTAGATAAACGTATCTAACATGCAGTAGAAAAAGCCGTATTCGGCGGTCACTGTGACAATCGAGAACCTCACTGCCGAGTCTTACGATGAGGAGGACTTTAGTGGTATTCCGGAGCTCGTCGAGGTCATCAAGCTCCAGTCCACGGGCCCCTCCGAGGCTGCTCGCGCGATACGAAAGAAGCTCAAGTACGGGAGTGTGCATCGCCAAATCCGCGCCCTCGTCATTCTTGACGGGCTCATCCAGAACGCGGGCCCACGGTTCCAGCGCGCCTTTGCTGACGAGCCGCTCCTCGAGCGTCTTCGCGTCTGCGGTACATCGGATCTCTCCGATCCAGACGTGCGGAAGAAGTGCCGCGAGCTGTTCAGAGAATGGTCCGCTTTCAAAGACACTCCTGGTCTCCAGAAGATTGCTGCGCTCCACAGGGTGCGCCACCCACAATCCCTCGCGCAGAACGGGAACTGACATTTTCAGGAACTACCCAAGAAAAAGGTTGCGGTCACCCAGGAGCGCTCCAAGGTCATCCGCGAGACGGAGGCGAATCCTTTCGGTGATGAAGAGGAAGAGGCCGCACGCGAAGCCGCCCAGCAGAAAGCTTCTGCCAGTGGCCCTTCCCACAAGCCCTCGTCGAGCACCGCCTCTGCCGTAGCGATGCAGAAGGCCGGCGCTGGGTCGTCTTTCTTCAGCTCGTCAAAGGACAAGAAGAAGGACAAGTCCAAGGGCAAGAGGAAGCCTTTCAATCTCGAGGCCGAGAAGCCCCAGATGAAAGCCGTCATTGCCGATGCCTCCATCTCCTCGACGAATCTGCTCAACACCCTCCAAACGATCAACCGCGAGACGGAGCGGATATCAGACAATCCCTCCGCGGTGGAGAAGTTTGAGGCCTGCAAGCAACTGCGCCGACGCGTTCTGCGATATGTCGGTGGCCCGGTCCAGAGTGCACAAAGCTTAGCTGACATGAACAGATTCATCATGTCGAGGACGAGCATTTCCTCGGCAGCTTGCTGAACGCCAACGATGCCCTTGTACACGCGCTCATGTCCTTTGAGCAGATGGACAACGCGATCGACGCCGATAGCGACTCGGACGACGAGCTCGCCGAGCAGGCACATTTGTATCGAAGTATGTCAGACTTGCTCTCCACCAGGACGCCGTCGCTGACCGTGCTACCGTAGTGGCGACCATGAACAAGAAAGAAGACTCGGGATCTCCTACTTCAGCTCAGCCTCCTGACCTGGGAAATCTATCCATCTCAACCAATGCGCATGCCCCGCCCGTGCCCTCGACGTCGACGAAGCCGAACGCGCCACCGCCTCCCAAGCCGCCTCGCCCTGCAGCTGTGCCCGACGCCGACTCGGAGCCTGAGGACGAAAATGATCCATTTGGCGATAAGAATGTCGTGGAGACTCCTGCCTTTGAACAGGGCGAGCCTAGGTGGTGATATCTGAGATGAGAGGACGGGAGCAGATTGTCTGGTGGGTTGGCCGCAATTTCGTGCGCACCTGCACGGCGAACTATGTTCTTCTCATCATCTCAGGGTTATTCAAGGCGCATGGTGCGAGCTTTCGAGGGGAGCATGCAGGGGACGCTTCTCACCTCCAATCTACAATTGACAGTCTTTGTGTATATACCAACCTTCAGGTTGTTCCCGCGCAGATTATACAGATTCTATGGACATGATTACCCAGCGGGGAAGAGATAATGGACGCAATGATCGCGGCTTGTCTGTAGCAGTGAATCCTACTACGTATATACCATACATTGGGAGGTCATTGCGCACTGAGAAGGCCTCTGCTGGCGGGTACTCCCGTGGTTGACCGGCTTTCTTCCTGAAAGATGGTTAATGAGGATTGACCTGCACAGATGGAAACCACATCAGTGATCATTCGTCTTGATCATGAGACGCTGGTTGGTATTTTCCTCCGCCATCAAATAACATGACGTCAGAATCCACGTATACCAAATGCGACAACGCACGGCGATGCTCGAGAAGCAGCATGCCCATGACTTTGTCCAGGATGCATCCAGGGCCACGTACACGTACAGTGCTGCATCTATTTGCGACAACATTCCACATGAGCACAACAAGGCTGCGGCGGTCTTGCTGCGGGGGCGCCTGATTTGGACACGACCTCGAGCGGAAGAAGCGACGGGGAAGTCATGGACGCGGCGGTAAGGCTGCGCTGCACGTTCCCAATCCGACGGCAACCTGAATGCAAGAATGCGTCAAGAGGCCCAACAATTCAGATCCCGGCTTCCAGAAAGCTTCCAAAGGAAGTGTGGGTGGGTGGACGGGCGTCAACGGGATCGCCGAGGGGGGAAACGGTGACCTTCCAGAAGGCTTCCATCGTGACAGGATTGGCTGGCGCAACGAGAGGGCGCTTGTCTCGATGCGAATGTCAATAAGCGGCCTGAATAGGAAGCGAGCATGCGGAGGGAGATGGAGACATGCATCTCATCTCATGTCATCTGCCAACATGTAACTTAGATTCCTTACTAGCGCTGGGCACGACCGCGTGGTCGGACCACTGTGGGGGGGAATTGACAATAGTAAAAGCCGGAGAAGAGCTGCGATGCGGGAGCTATTGTTCATGTCTTGGCCATGCCCAAACCGCCAGCTTGTGTTCGATGCGGGCGTCCCAGGAGTTAGGACTCAGGACCCACGACCCTTGCGGAAATCATTCGCTCGAAAGCTGGTCGAGTATCCGCAGTGCATACTTCAGTGTACGGACTTCTGAGTACGTTACGCATTATTCCTCAAAGACTCTCGGTGTTGAGAAAGGAGTTTGGCTTGAATATTGCCCGTTCAGATTATCTGCCATTCGAGTCCTGTCGCGAGCTATCACTAGCCTATAGGGCGGTCTCTGTGGCACATTTCATTATGACCAAGGCGGATACACTGTTGTAAGCGAGCGAGACATTGCATCCATTAAGTCCCATCACGGTGAGCATCCAGCTGCAGATGGCCTTATCAGTCATGCGGACGCAAACATGCATGTGTTTCTGTCGCGCTCCCCGAGAAGCTCAAGTCGTCGATTAAATCAGCCCCCGTCCTGACATGGTCAGCCGCCTCGGCTCCTGCGACGCGGTTACAAGCTGCAACGGTATCTAGGTCGTGACATGGCACATACAGCCGGGAGCCGCTTGCAGAGCCAGACAATCCATTGTATAGGCTCTTGCTTTCTATTGAGGAGGCAGGCGGCGGCACGAGCGTTTGGTTGACCAGAATCACGCTCACGAGCGACGAGGCTGATATGCTGGTGGTCCGTGAGAAGGCCTGCAGGGTGGGTGATTTGTCGAGTACCTTTGTTGGTCGATGGAGCCGAACGGCTGGTACCGAATGCTAGCTAGGTGGGCTTCATTCCATCATGAGTTCTAGCTAGGAAGCACTGTTAGGCCCCTCCATAGCAGCACGACATCTTTCTGTTTGAACTTTGAGATTGCCAGGAAGACGCGCGAGATAGTCACCAAGTCGGGCAGCAGACAGTCCATGAGACATGTCACAACCCCGGAGAGAACAACTGAGCGAGGTGCATGCCAGATCGCCAGGAACGCGCGCGAAGAAAGATGGAGCACTCAGGCTCATCATCGATGCGTACAGTGCGTATCTCGGCACCTGGCTAGGTGGTGCCTCAGGGGCCCCTGTCCACGCGAGTCGAGCACGTCCCCCGGACCGCCCAGCCGCTAGAAGGTGAATCGAAGGGCGGCAGAACAATATCAATCACCAATCTCGTCAGGCCAACCGGTCACAAGGGCAGATGGCGCACAGACAAAATGTGTATCGAAGCGCGGTCGGTCGGTGACAAGTGAATAGAGTCGAGGGTCTAGGAGCGTCACAGGCTGACGAGGTGGGTCACCTAAAAGGATGAGCCACTGGGATTCCATTCCAGAAGATCCAGAAGGCTTCTGGAAGCCTGCCCTTTTGGCGGTTGGAGCCATAAAATATCCCCGGCGCAAGAAGGCCCACACGCACAAAGACGGCGTGAACGAATCCCTGCATGTTGATCTTCCCTGACACCAGACCTGAGCTTCTGAGCATTCGAGTGATGGGTGCCCTCATCGGTGCCAGCGCAAGCATTCAGTCTGGAGTGAAGGCATTTGGTGCGTACGCTTATCGAGTCTGACGACATGGGAATAATTAGCAAGACGCACTCCACAGGCGCGAGCATGGTTGAAGTATCTGGTACAGTGCGAGCTCATGTGTTGCGGTCTGTGCTTTGGCGATCTACGACATCTCAACTTCACCGCATATATGTACGTACAACGACACAACAGCCAGGACCCAACATGATTCCAGTCGTTCTGAAAGAGCGGTAGAGAGAATATCCAACGCCCGTCGCCAACTTTGCCAACAGTTGCTTTACAATGCGCTGGGAGCGGAGGACGATGACTCAACATGGGCCTTGAATTGCTGTTCTCCTAGGGCTCCTTTTCACCACTCTTACAGATGTAGCAGCTTGCTGGCGAACATGCCATATATACTCTGGAAACAATGTATCCTAGAGCCTACATCGGGGTCACGGGAATGCCTCATGCAAGGCCCCAAGACCCAACGGCCAAACGTGCAGCAATGCATATATTGGGCTGCCTCTAAAACAGAGCGTCCCACGCCGAACGCTCAGAGTCCAGGGCGTCAATATCTGTTTCAAGCTGCCGTTCACCGTAAGATGCTGCGCGCCTATAACCCCACGTCATGGCAGCCGCGTTGCGTTGGGTGACGTGCTAATTTCGTACGAAAACGCGACAGCCTGTCCGAGGGGCAAGAAGGGACGGAACCTCCAAAGGTTGCTTCCAAGCAAATGTAGGGCCAGCACAGATCCAAGTGAGAACACTCCCAGTCTTCAAGGTGGTATCTATTTCCATCGTCCACAAGGGAGGGTTCACTCGACAATGAAGCACTGGGCGCGTACTTGTCTGAGTGTCAGCGGAGCCACAGGTCCAGTCGTGCGTGGGTCGAAGCGTTTATTACGCACTGTCCTGCTGCACCGTGCGAGGTACTTCCACCCGCATCTGTCGTCTTCACGTTTGCTCACCTTGATCTCCCCTAGCATCGCACGACCAACAACTACATTGTCAACAAGGACGAGAGGGTCGCTTTCTCGCATGGTGCTGTTCTCACCCAGGCTAGCCTTGCCCTCCATCTTAGACAGCCAACAAGCCTCCCGCTATCCGGGGGCTTGGAGCCGGCTACTATAACTTTGCGCCTCCCTCCTCCCAGACCCGTTTGCGATCAGAACATTCCCTCTCGACTATCTATCCCCTACCACGAGCACCAGCTTCCAGACCGCAGTCAGTCTAGCACGGACGCCACGCCACTATACCGCACGGCATCCCACACACATTTGTTCCTCTCATCAAATCCTACTTGCCTTGCCTCCAGGCTCCAGTCATTCTCCTTAGCAACAGCATCCTACCTGCAGCTGCAGTGTACGTGCTTGTACCGCTATAAGGAAGCAAAATCTCCGAGCCAGGCGCCTCCGTCATCTCTCCCTCACTAGTCGGGCCCGCCAACCGCCTCGAGTCCCGCTACCACGCTACTGCTCCAGGCTGTTAGCACAGGACTCCGCTCCCCGAAAGCCAAGCTCCATCCAGCATCAAACCTTCAAAAAAGTTTCTACGTGCAGAGAAGCTACCCAGTTTTTGAGGACAACTGCGCTACCACAACGAGGCGCGTCGGATCCAAGCTGTTCTCGGCTGTCGCGACCTGAGAATTGTCTAATTTCCCAGACCTGCTCAATCAAGGTAAGTCGAGAAGCTTTCGCGTACAGAACACAGTCATACCCGCCCACCGCTCTGTCCGCTGCCCGGCAAATCCCCCCCTGTCGGGTCCATCTTGGGCGAACCCTGGCGCTGCTTCCAGGGGGTGCAGTTTTTTCCCCCTTTGATCTGCCCTGTCATCGCTGGACTTGAGGCTCCAGCATAAAAAAGAAGTTGGTCCCGACGTCCAGTCCCTCGTCGCGCGAGGGCGGCCGTTGGTTCCGAACTTTTCTGCATATTCTGCACATCGTTTTGCCTTTTTCTGCATTGTATTTTGATCGAATTACTCTCATCCATATCTTTCTGCTGTGTTCGCATCATTTGGCATTCCGTGATCCTTCGCGACGCGGCTAACATCGACACGAAGATCACCCCAGCTATTCGAAACACATAATCCTCTCCGATCGAGACTCGACCAACCGAGAATTCGCGTTACGGATCAAATACCAGTGTAGCCAGCGGATCAGGCAGAGGAACAGACTCACTCTTGTTGAGCACGCAACCCGCATCACAAACCTTCGACCGGTCAACGAGGAGACCTGCCTGCGACATCCTCAGCGCACGCGACCCAGCGAACAACGGACCGATCTCTACGGCAGGCATCAAGAGCACCGTCAAAGTGGCTTTACTTGTGAGATCTGTGGTGCCGGCGGACATCATGCACAACGGGGATTTCCTCGACGGCAGAAGGAACTTTTCAGGAAACTTTGGCGATCAACAGCATAACCACTACGCGCTTGGTAGAGCCGAGTCCGAGATGGAACGGTCGGTGTCTCCCCATGGGTCAGAGCACTCGCAATTCTCGCAGCTGTCACGATCCTATGCGTCGCCTAGTCTGGCTGGCCAAATGGGGTTGCCGAACAACATGCCTTCGCCTCTCAGCTCGATGCAAATGCGAGGCTACACGGAGATACCCATGGGGATGCCAGGCGTACACAACATACCTATTCCCATGCATAGTACACCACCTCCTCAGCAGGAGGCATCGACTGCGCCCTCGGCGGCGCGCCAGGCTCAACCGGCTGCAGCCAAACAGTATGCTTGCAGCTCATGCAGCAAACCTTTTGCGAGACGAAGCGATCTTGCTCGACATGGTAGGCTGACTTGCAGCCCTTGAGATGAACAGAAGCTAACGTGAGAACAGAGCGCATACACAGCGGAGACAGGCCTCACGTCTGCGACTACCCCGACTGTGGGAAACCCTTCATCCAAAGGTCAGCCTTAACTGTCCATCAGCGTACACACACGGGCGAGAAACCGCATTGCTGCGAAGTTTGTGCCAAAGTAAGCACTCTATTACGTGTTGTTTCTGCTTCGAATGCTGACCAAACCCAGCGCTTCAGTGACAGTAGCTCGCTAGCAAGACATCGCCGAACGCATTCGGGCATGCGCCCTTTCAAGTGCCCTTTCGCAGATTGCCAAAAGACCTTTACTCGGAGGACCACCTTGACCCGCCACCAGCAGCAGCACACTGGAACTGTGGAAGAGGCCGCGGCAGCCACCGCGGCAGCACTAGCTGCCACTGCGAACCGTACGGGTATGTCGCAGGTCCGTCACGATAGCGAAGCATTATCGAATCACGGCTCGCCCATGTCAACGCCCTCGCCTGGCAACCGGACCATGTCCATGTCCCCCAGCGTTGATGGCATGCACCGCCACAACAGCGAAGTTCAATATCTGCAGAATGGATCCCTTCCGGTACACATGCGTGTTGGCAGTCCCGTGTCGACCTCGGCCGGTGCCTACAGTAACAACGGGGGCATGCGACCAACCTCCCATCCCACAGGGTACGGACCTCCCTCGACCTTGGAGCCGAGCGTGGAACACCAGCAACACTCTGGCTCACCGAGCGGCGCAAACAGCCCTCACATGAGCAATGTGGGATGGCAGTCACCTGCGCACATGGCATCTCCCCAGTCCCAGCACAGCAACAGCTATGTGTACACGGATGCACCCGAAGGATACCCCCCGAATCCAGCGAACATGGGACAGATGTACTACGCTGGGCAGATGCGGCGACACGACGACAATCAGTCGATGGTGCCAATGACCTAGGAGGAGCACCGAGGCCCACACGCACACTGAGCGACGTGGCTGTGGGTGAACTCCTACCTGTTTGATACCCTGTATTCTCTCCTGCATTGGCTCGTTTTAGAGCGTGTGAGTTTTGACGTCGAGCTGCTTCACCTCGACATGGCGTTCATTCATTCATTAAACGGCAAAAGGGGGCACATTCAGTCAGGCCGCATTGGCATGGAGCCTTTGTTTCCACTCACCTGGCTTCTTTCCACTTGTTATTTCCTTCTCGAATATGTCACATTATGGAATGGGTTCCTGGACTCGAACTTAGAATGGTCACCTGCGCGACTAGGTCACCAATTAAAAACGATAAACAACCAGAGGGAAGGGAGCACAGCAACACCAGGTGCCCGGACGCTGGCAGCAAATTTGCCAGGCACAATCCAAGGGAAAGGGGTGGCGAGGCGTTCTGATCATTATTGAGTGAAACAATAACGCTTACAGCGTGCATAGAGTACAACAGAGCAATCTACCAAATTTTTCAAAACGCGCCATGCTATGCATGGAACAAAATATGACATGATCGTGTTCGCGTGGGTTACTGATAGGCAGCCCAGTCCTAAGAGATCTGACATGGAACTATCAACCATGCTGGTCCATGCCTAGTTAGCCGCTTATCGATTTCAGGTATAGTCTCGATGCACCTGTTGGTCATGTCAAGATCTGCCGCTAGAGACGCCCGTCGTGGTGTCCTGCGTCCATTCCTGATGTCACTTCTTTGGGTCAACCCTCGAGAAACAGACCATCACACTGATGAAGAGGGGTTCCGGTAATTACCACGGCAGCAGTTGCTCGCCAAGCATCGCCTGCTTTGGACTATCATGAGGTAGCGATACAGATCTGCATGCAGTCATGCATGCAGACAAATGTCAGCGTGTTGGAGTCCAGGGCCGTTATTTTTCGGGGTCGACGAATGTTTTGTTGTAATGTACGGACAGGCCCAGCTCTTGTCCGATGAATTATACCTACTACTTACTTACTCACAGTGGTTACCTCCACTTTGACGGAATTTTTGCTCCTACAGGCTACAGTAGGTCCCCCATTTCCCTCCCGGCAGCTAATAAAAGCACAGCGTGCTGCATGAGCACACTGTTGAATAATCGATGTTTACATATCAATTATTCGACCCTGCTTCTGCCACGAAAAAAATGCTTCCTGCTCCCACTCTCACGGAGGCCATTGGGCAGAACCTTTGGATAGTAATCTTCTCAGGCTGCCAAAGCTGTTTGCAGACCATGGCTGTCCCCATCTTCGTTTCGCATTGGCCTCTGTGTCCCCCCTTTGACAGGCATGCGGTCATGGCAGTGGATGCGCCAGTTCGGATGAGGCTTGCTCCTTGCCTCAAGCGCGACGCCCCCAGCAGCGATAGGAATATTTATTAGTAGCTTGGTTCCTCTCTGGGGCGAGCCAAGCCGGTCGGGAGTTACTATAATAACGACAGTTGTTTGCAACCGCTCCTGTCCTTTCTTCATGTCCGCCAGGTTGTGATACCTCAACCCCCCTCCCCATCACCGGTCGCCTCACTTGGTGCCCCTGCGCTACTCTCGGTCGGAAGCTTGAGTACGGGAACATGGCGGTGCCGTCAGCGACGGAGCGCATGCTTGTCCGGATCGAAGTGCACATTGATACGCTGTGCCCATGGTGCTACGTACAGAAGAAGTGCCTCGATGTCGTGCTGGAGAGGTTTCAGGAAAGGCATCCTGGAATGGAGTTTGAGGTGCTATGGAGGCCTTTCTACCTTTACCCATTGCTGCAAGGAGGTACGTTCGGACGACTGCTTGCTCCCTCGCAGTCATGTAGTGGGACACGGCGTATCGTTCCAAGGGGCTGACCGACTCAGGATGCAGCAAAAAGGAACTATATAATAGCACGAAAGGCGCCAACAGCTTTGGTGCGAATAGCCAGCGGATCCAGACCGTGGCCGGTAGCTACGGCATCGACATCTGCCTCATGGGTCGCACGGGCCCTTCGCGCAACTCGCACAAGCTCATTGCGTTGGCGCTCCAGCAACGAGGGCCGTCAGCGCAGTCGCGCGTAGTCGAGGCCCTGTTTCTAGGTCATTTTGGAGGCGAAGAGGACATCACCGACGACGAGTGGCTCGTCACGGTGGGCACAACGCACGGTGGGCTGCAAGCGAGCGATGTGAGGAGGGCGTTGAAGAGCGAAGAGGCGGGCGAAGAGATCGACAACGAAGCACAGGCTGTGAGACTTGAGCGAGACGTCCGGGCTGTGCCCTGCGTAACAGTACAGGGCAAGTATCGTGTCGGCGGGTACCAGGAAGAAGCTGTCTTTGACAAGCTTTTTGAGAGTATCTGGGCCAATGGTGGAAGTTGACGACAAAAGGTCGCCTCCTATCCTTGCTCGATCTCCTGGTTTGCACAGCACAACCAGGACAGCAACGGTGTGGGATTATGATTGGATGAGTTCACGATAATGCGTACCTTACGAAGCCAGATAGAAAGGGGTCCATATCATGCACACGCTAATAGCAATTGAGTCCAATGATGTTTTTTTTGTGTTTCGCGTCGCCGCGGCTCGTTCTCTTGTACGGGTCTCGCAAGACCGTATGCGATGCAGATTGTGTGTATCGATGATGCAAGTGTCCCCAACGCCCTCATGGAGTGTAACCCAAGTCGCCAATCTCAACCCCGTCGTGCGTGTCTGCCTGCCTTCCTTGGCTGATGAGGCCCGAGAAAGATGATCGCACCCGTAAACGCCGATGCTAATTAGTTCAAAACACGCTATTATGATCCGCACAGCTCCCACCAACCAACGCCCTGCCTCAACCCAGTCTGCCGGTGTTGTAGTCCTTCATCAAATGCGCCATGTGCACGTTGGTGGTCTTGCCAACGCGCTTGCCTGCCCTCTTCTTCTGCACCTTTGGTTTGGCTGACGCAGCCGCGGCCAAGCGGGGGTCTTCGCTGGTAGGCTTCTGACCGACGCTGACGAGCTTGCGGTGCATGTCGTCAATGCTCGGAATCGGTGTGCGATGCCACATTGTCACGAATTCTGGGTTGACATGGTGGTGCAGCGAGGGATCGTCCAGCCAGATGGCGCGCGGCAGATTGTCCTTCTTGGTGCGGAAGACCAGGATCTTGTGTATCCTTTCCAATTCTTCCAACGCCTGATCGCACTTTGGCCAACCGTCCTTGAGATCCCTGACTGATAGACCTGAAGCATCTCTCTTCTTCTGCAGATGCGCTAGCAGCGACTGCTTGTCCTTCACGCCGGGTATGATGGGCAGGTAGGTGTACGTGCCCGTCCTCCACGTCTGCTCGCTCACTTTCGGGTCGGCCTTCCACTCGACGCGCGGATGCTTCCGTAGCCCTGCCATCAGATCCTCTTTATGCTGCTCCGAGAAGCGTCCCAGGCTCAGGAACCCCTCGAGCTCTTCCGCGGTCATCGTCGTGCCCTTGTCTTTGAGCTTCTCCACTGCGTAGGCCATGTTCGTCCGGACCTCTGTGCCCGTCCCCGTGGCTTCCGGCTGCGAGTACACCTGCGCATATTTGGACTTCGCTTTGGGTGTGGTGTTGGTGTCTGATGCGGCGGACGGCGATGGCGACGGAGGTGCCAACGAAGACGCTGCGCTGGCTTTGGCAGGTGCGGCGACTGTCGGATTCGAGATCTTGGAGGCAGCAGATGCGAGCGAGCCCGCAAAGGCGCTCTGCTGCTTGTCCAGGTACGACGGCATCGTGACGCGAAGGACAGGTGACGTTCCCTAGGGTTGAGGATGTAGGATTGGAAGGTGAGGGTGTGAGTGTCAGAGCGAGGCTTTGTCTGACTGAGCTCGGTTCCGTGAGTCAACTGTGGCTTGTGCTGTGGCGCACACTTTCAGATGCTACCTACTTGTACCACCTTGTCAATTACCTAGAGGAATTATAGCCTAACCTAGAGCATCGCTCTGTCCCCCATCGCTACATCGCCCAAATAATTATGAACCTCCGTTCAAGGGCGCGGGCCCAAGATAAAGATCTCATATAATGGCCATTTTCTTCGCAATCTGCATGGCATTTGCTGGTATTACGGCGTCCACCTTCCATCATGGTCAATGTGTTGATGGCAGAGTTGGTCAACGTGGCCTGTCCACCCACGTCCATGTCCCCAACATCCAAGGCCACTCAACAATCATTCTCGCAACATGCACTCTTTGCTTCTGAACGTGATCAATGCTCACTAGAAAGGCCGACAGCTTAATTACAAGTTCCTTGCGTTGTATAAAAGCTATAGAGTTTAATCGAAGAGGACGCTGCTGTCGTTATCATCGCCTTCTTTCCCAACCGAATGCTCCTTTATGACCGAAAATAATCATGGTTCTTCCGTGACTCTAGAAGCAGGCTCACAAAGCTCCAAACGCTCATCTTTATCGTCCCTGAATTCATCGCTCTATCGTCTTGGTCCACCACACCTCCACCCCGCACGCTCGATCGCAGCGCAGCTTACGACTGCTGAGCCTGCTGCTGCTGCATGTAGTTGTAGGCGAAGTAGGCACCAACACCACCGATGAGGATGGCGGCGTAGACGCCAATGCCAGTGCCGACCTGATCGCTCTTGGAGTTGGAAGCCGAGGCGTTGGTGGCGGGGCTCTTGGGGGCAGGGTCGCCGGGCTGTTGCCTTTTGTCAGTGTTGTCGCAAGAAGAGATGCTTCCTGGGTGTACATACCGCACGCTTCAGAGTACCGACGAGAAGCGCATCCAGGGTCTCGCGAGCCTCGTCACTGTGGCCAACATCCTCGAATGCCTCGGTGGCATCCTGTCCAGCAACGTCGAGCATCACCTCCTCACCACCGCTTCGGAAACGTTAGCGCTAGTCTGTAAAACTTGGGGGCCCATGTCGTACGGGTGCTCGTCCACGAATTTACCGCAGTCGTAGACCTTGTCGTGCACAACAAGGTACATGTCCTTCTTGGTGTTGTGCTCAGCAACATCCTGGTAGGTGAATTCCTTAGACATCTTGGGCGATTTTGTCTGTTGAGGAGGCGGCGACTCGGTGTTTCGACGTCTGTCGCTGAAGGGAGCTTGGTTGGGATATCGTGGCTGTTCTGTAGGGGAGGTGGAGAGTGGGAGTGATCCTCGGCGGTCTGGTTTGAAATTCGGGATTTCGCTCTTTGTCGTAGATCCAAGGGGTCCTTTCTCGCACGCCGCAGAATTCGAGCGGCCCTGTGTGGATATTCTCTCACACCATTGACTAGCCCCTTTCACTCCAAATTATCCGCTGCTCAAGTCGCAAGACTAACAGAATCAATACTCGCTAATTAACAGCTATTAGTATTCTCGATCTGCTCTACGCGCGCTGGCTCTACTCATCCTGTGCCACCCTACCTCTGTTTCACCGAGGTGACTTGTTAGCTAGCTAGATGTCGCTCGACATAACGGTAGACTTCACCCTGTGAATGTAGTCAGTAAAAAAACGCCGAACTCCGTTCAAGGACAGGATATCATCCTCCACGAGACACTTTCCGTGGTGAGGGGTGCCAATTTCGGAGCGTTATGTGACGGGCAGTTCGTGGTACCATTTCTCGCGCCATGTTTTGCGAGCGGCATCCGTCTGTCCCCCAAGGCACGGCCAGGCGGCCGGCCTACTAATCACTCAATCGCCATTTGGCCAATAGGCTAACGCGAAATTACAGAAGACAATCCGTGATTGGGCCTATTACGGGGAAATGGTTATCCCTAGGATCCGCTGGCAGATAATAACAATCCCGATGCCTCGTGCAATTTAACTCAATACCGGGGCGTCACGGACGTGAAGTACCTAATCACAGCCCATCACAAAACGACGGATCTATCATGATAGTACTCCGTAGTAGTTATCCCGTAAGTCCAATGGCCCAAGCTGCCGAGTCAGATCGATTGCCATTGCAATGGAACCAATCGCAGTATTACCACTTGGGTTACCTTTGCACACCGTTTTGGGGGCTAGGCATGCACGGTTCGCTCGCCGAGGTGTAATTGCTCCAGTGCTGCCATTGCGACGAGCATGCAACGCTCGCTTCTACATGTGAACCCCGCTCAAGGGCAGAAGAATGTACGCTCTTATGTGTAACCCCGCCGGCGACAATCTACCTCTTCGAGCTACCCCCGCCGAGATCTTGGCCTAGACGGTAGCCGGTGACCTTGTCCCACTCAATTTTCTGCCTCGTCACAGGCAATTGTCTCCTCAATCCCTTGAAAGCGCCCTCGCTCAAGCTGACAAAGCCTTTGTTCAGCTCTTCCTGGTATTTGCGCTCAGCCGACGAGATCTCCTTGGCTATTCCAGCGCCAGTGCCGGAAGATATGCTCGCATGAACCGGTTTGTTGGTGATAAGGCGCACATTGCCGTCTTCATAGTAGTGCACATCGACCTTGACCGAACCCTCGAGGCTGCCCGATGAAGGATCATATATGTACAGAGATCGCCAGCGCCCGTTCCTGTTACCGATTAGTGACAAAGATCCAGAGGAAGGGTCAAGACAGGCTCACCAAAAGTTGTTGGGGCTGTACTTGTTTGCAACAATGACGACAGCCACTTTGGAGTCGGATTCGATAGGGTAAACACCAAAGGCAGCGTTTGGGTAGTGTTCATTCACATACGTGCCAACGCTCTTCAAGGTCGACTTCCTGAGACACAGTGTAAGCTAGCTGTGGTGATCGCAGACACAAGACGTCCTTACACAAGATCGGCTTGAGCACCCTCCAAGACATGGCTCTGAACATTGCTTGCAGCCTAAGCTCCGTCAGACAAAATGAACTTGAAATTTGTGGCGATGGCCGTACCTGAGTTGTGTGGTCGAAATCAAAGCTCGAAGAGCTCTCCACGTCGAAGTAGCGTCCACCTCCCAGGGAATTGTGTGAGCTGATAACGACCTACGAGATCCTCATCAGCACGTGAACTGAAGCCAGCAATTTTCAAGGTTCCTCACGGGCTGGCTGCTGCCTGGCAGCTTCACCGTAGCGAATTGCTCCTCATTATACTTCTCGAAAGCGGGTGCGAGCTGGTCCACGATTTCCGGTTCGTTTTGCGTCAAGATTTTGATGTCTGGGCGAGTTTGTAAGTTTCGTACTGCCGATTGGAAAGCGCCATTGGATCCATACCCGTGACAACGTCGTTCAGCTAAAGGAGCTGTCAGTATGTCGCGACCAGAGCCTCCAGAGCCTAGAGGCACTTACCTCACCCGGAGGTGCGCCTTCGATAAAAGCGGACACTTCCTCAAGATGTGACATGGCGGCTGTCTCTCAGTTGCAGGGCGCACAAAGGCCGATGAGGAACGAAGTCAGGTGTGCTTCAAGTTGCGATGTTGATGGGTCGAGTCGTTCGAGTCTGTGGAGCTCGGTCAAGGGGCGGGGCACCTCAGATCTGACGTGCGTGGGGTAGAGTTGGAGCATCGTTACCAGGTGGTTACCATGGATTGCTACCTGCGAAAACATATCTCAAGTACGAAAACAAGGAGCCATTGAACTGTAAGAGAGAAAATAAGGTCCATACTGGCGCATTTACTGCGTAGTTGTCTGCTCTTACGTTCGAACATGGATCTGGCGAGAGGGTGCTGAGTCATTCCTAGAAGAGTCACCTGACTTCGCGATGGCGTCGCGTACTACACTTCAGACACGACCAGGCGCGACCTGAGATCGGATGGAAATAGCACAAGCCAGCGACAGATCAGATGCCCTTCGTTCAATTCTCATCCGACAAACCGATATCTGTTCAATCGTAAATTTCTGACGGAAGACACGCCAAAGAACCCGATGACAGACTCACTGAACTGCCTATTTACCGACGCGCCGATACTGACGCGTCTCGTCCATGGCAATGACTAGCTCCGACAATGCCATCCTGAAGTCATTGAATGACGCCCAGCGCCGAGCAGTTACTTCCAAGGCTTCCACAGTCGCAATCCTGGCCGGACCAGGAAGTGGAAAGACACATACCCTGACCTCACGCGTCGTTTGGCTCATTCGAGAGGTCGGCTATCAACCATGCGACATCATCGTGGCAACGTTTACGGTGAAGGCAGCGCGAGAAATGAGAGAAAGAATTGGCAAGCTTTTAGGAGAAGATGTCGAGAAGAAAATTGTCCTCGGCACCTTCCACTCCATCTCAAGACGATACCTCTCTGCCTATGGAAAACGAATTGGCCTCGATTCAAACTTCAGCATCGCCGATGATGGCGATTCGAAAGGGATCATCAAACGAATCTGCGAGAGACACAAGCTTACTGTTGAGCCCTCATACGCGAAATCGTGGATCAGCAAACGGAAGGCTAAGGGTAGCCAACCAACGACGTCGCAGAAGGGCAAGAAGGCCGACCACCCCGATCTCCTCAAAGGTTACGAGGAGTACCAGGAACATTTACAACGCTCAAACTTGCTCGACTACGATGACTTGCTTGTGAAATGCGTAGAGTTGTTGCAGAAGCACTCCTCATGTGTTTCCAATGTGCAGTCAGTGTTGATCGATGAATATCAAGACACCAACGGCATCCAATATGAGCTTATGAAACTCTTTGCTCAGAAACAGGGCCGTATCACCGTTGTCGGCGACCCCGACCAGAGCATCTATGGCTGGCGATCAGCCGAAGTTCGTAACCTGTACCGTTTACTCCGAGAGTTCCCCGGCACAGACGAGGTGTCACTAGAAGAGAACTACCGCTCATCGCAGTCTATCCTGGACATCTCACTCAGGGTCATTCAGGAGGACAAGAGGCGCTACCAGAAGGTCCTGACACCGGTGCATGCCAAGGGTGCACGTCCAGTGTTGAGGAAACTCACAAGCTCCTCCAACGAGGGGGAGTGGATAGTCTCGGAAATCAAGCGCACAATGCTCATGTTTGGCGGAATGCTCAAGTATGAAGATGTAGCCATTCTGTTGCGCTCCGCTGCTCTGTCAAGGCACGTCGAGTCTGCGCTGGGCAAGGCTGGTATATCCTACAGAATGATCGGAGGCCATAAGTTCTACGAAAGAAAAGAGATCAAAGTGCTCATCGACTACCTCCGCGTCGTTTACCAACCTGAGAACAATGATGCGGTAGCGCGCATTATCAACGTCCCACGTCGGGGAATAGGGGAGGCTACCGTCAAATCCCTGCTCGCGGAAGCTGAGTCGGAGAAGATGAGTGTATGGACTGTCATATTAAAGCACTGCAGAGGCGACCGAAAAGCGACTACCAACATCAGAGCCAAGATGGAGCAGAGGCTCAGCAGCGAATTGATGCGTATCATCAATGGCCTACAGCAGAAAGCTGCGGACATCACCGCCAGCAGCTCATTCAGTCTCGTGGATCTGATTGAACAGCTTATCTCGCAGCTGAATTACAAAAAGTACCTTGAAGACGAGTACGCCAACGACCACGAAACCCGCTGGGCAAACGTACGGGAGTTTGTCAACCTGGTGTCCGAATATTTGCAAGATTCGAAGAATACAGAAGATGATGAGCTGCCTGAGGTGGACGAGGTCGAGCAGTCGAGACAAGACACCATGCTGGGCAAGTTCCTCGCGAATGTTTCGCTGGCTTCTGACGCACAAAGAGGCAGCGGCGAGCAGGACCAATCTTCCATGATCACCATCTCGACCATTCACGCCGCCAAAGGCCTCGAGTGGCCCATTGTTTTTGTGCCATCTGTGTACACAGGTTCAATGCCTCATTCCCGCTCTGAAGATATTGACGAGGAGAGACGGCTGCTATATGTGGCAATGACACGCGCACAAGCGTTGCTCTACCTCAGCTGCCCCTTGTACGGCCCACAAGGCTTCAGCAACAAAGTTGAGCTCTCTGATTTTGTCGCGCCCTTTGCCGAGGTGGCATTTGCGTCAAAGGGCCCGTCAATCGACGAACCGGTGATACAAACGATTGGCAAGATCTTGGATCGGGATCCTCCCCAGTCCAAGGTCATTTTCGAGAAGCTCCCGCCCATGACCTCGGTCGAAGACGACAGGTTTCCCGAAAATCCTTTCGATCCCAAGAATTCGGATGAGATAGGTGACGCACGCGTGCCACGCGGAGTAAAACGACAGCGCACAGGCCCCTCAGAGAACAGCAAAGCATATGTTGATGGACATCAGTGGGACCGAGAGTACGCAACCACGATGGAGCAATCCTCAGCATTCACAATGTCTTCACTCCCGGGCTTTGTGTCGGTCGGCCAGCACCAGCATACGATAGCGGCTGCGAACAAGGCCAAAGAGCAGGCGGCTGCCCACAAGCCCACCATTACAAAGGGCACAAACCGCCGTCCGGCTGATCAGAAAAGTCTCCTCAACTATGTCAATCAAGGTCCGAGACCGCAGCAAGCTGCCCCGAGTGCAGCAGATCGATCTGCGTTCTCATCCTACAGCCGCTATCAAGCTGCAGCATCCAAATTCGCAGCCCGAACTGCTTCAGAGCCAGCTAACACGAACTCGACGCTTCCGCAGCACAAGCTCCCCGTTGGCAATCAACTTGCGAGACCGTCTGGCCCGCAGCCGGATAACGAAAATCGGAAGCGTTATGCTTGTTTCTCAAGCTCGCCCACCAAGCCAGCATCACCGGACAAGGCCAAGCAAGAAGTGCCGCAGGACGACCCGATACCACTCGCGCGGCCAGCGACAAGCTTCCATGCTACGACCTTTACGGCTGTACGCTCGCAACCAGGAGGTGTACGACGGCCGGTCGGCATGGGTCCGGCACCGAGCATGGATCGCCTTCGGAAGCCTTTCAAGCCCCTCACGATTAATAGACCTTCGGGCCCTGATAGGCCATAACGCACAGCGATGTGTGTTGCCACCATTTCAGGAGACGTGGTGAAGTTGTGGCAACAGGTCATGCGTTATTGTCATGGAATATGACTGTTAAGCATAACGCCTCATGGTGAAGAGATTGGCAAAGAAGATTTCACCTGGTTAACTATAAAGTTGCCAGGCAATGCGTGCGAAATAAAAGAATTAGTTTGATCTTGCCATCAGTCCAACACACATTCACAGTCGCTTTACTTCGCAATTACCGCAGCCATGAACGCCTTTGGCAGACGCCTCCCCACCCTCGCACCGAGTGCTATCGGGCGCAACGTATTTTACTCCACGAGAGCAGGCACCCCTGGCTCAGCGTTCAATTGGTGGCGTGGAATGACGCCCCAAACGCGACGACTCGCCCTCGCCGGAGTTGCGACCACTGTGGTCGTTGACAGCGTACTCTTGTATGAGTACGGGCCAAAGTGGTTCGGTGGTACGAATGAGAGGGACGCTTGAAGGACGTCGATTCGCCCCTGGAACACAGGATGGTTTGTATGTACGGGTGTAGACGAATGTCTTGGTCGATACGTTTGTACTCATAGAAGGTCTGAAGCGGCGAGGATATTGGCAGGACGAATGGATCACAACCATACTGATTTGCTCATTCCGCGACCCCCCATGTGTCTGGCTCCCAATTCCGCTGCCGACCCTCCTCTTCTCTGGAATCAAACAGCTGACCAGAGTTGCCAGGGCACCTGCCCAAATGGCGATGCAGCCCGCTGCCGCCCTCCCCGTCCCGCTCATAAGCAGCCAATCCGCCCAAGCATCACCGACACCGCCAAGCCATGACGTTGCAGCGCATTTCTAGCAAGTGCTTCCGCGCGAGTAATCGAATGGAAGCTATAACTCCCCTTGCACAATGGATGATAGATTGACTTGACCTGGTGGAAACCCCTCCCTTCTATAAGCTGGGGCATCTATAGACCGACGAGGCTCGTCCCAGCACGAGGTCCCAGCCGGGGTTGCATCAATGTACATCTGAGGGTTGCAGAACAGGATCGTAACCTGCTTTGATTGCTGCTGATATGGATCGGGGATGGAGCAATATGACGGAGACGGGTATGAGTGAACGGCAACCGGCTCAGGCGTAAGTGTCCTGCCCCTCTGCGAGCATGAGATAAAGACCATATGAGGCTCGTGTATCCCCTCTCTTCCATTCCTGCCGCTGCTGTGCTTCTATACATTGAAAGTGTTGCAAGCATAGCTTCTTCAGGTGGCTTGTACTTGAACTTGTCCGACGATGCTCGCCTCGCTACTCTTCCTCGTCCTTGCGGCTGCCGTTGCTGCTGCCGCAGGACCACGTATCAAGACACGGGCTGATGGCGACAAATACCTCATTGGCGTAGGAAAAGCAGACATAACTGGACCGGTTGTTGAGATTGGGTTTGCGGGCTACGCCGACCTCGCTCAGAAGGGAACCGGGCTGCGACAGCGCCTGTACAGTCGCGCCTTCATCGTTGGAGACATCAACAACTCCGATGACAGGTTCGTGTATCTCGTCCTGGATGTGCAGTCTGGCGATACGGCGATGCGATACGGCATCCTGGAGGCGCTCGAAGAACTTGGTGATGACTATGCCATGTATGGCCAGCACAACGTTGCCGTGACTGGGACACATAGCCATGCTGGGCCGGGTGCGTGGTTCAACTACTTGCTGCCGCAGATCACAACCTTTGGGTTCGACAAACAGAGCTACCAAGCAATCGTCGACGGCGCGATTCTGTCCATCCAACGAGCGCAAGAGAGTCTGCAAGAGGTAAAGATGTCAGCGCCGACACTGCGAGGCAGGTGGTTAATAAGTTTGATCAGGGCTACCTCGATGTAGCGACAGCTGATGTCGTCAATGGCGCAATCAACAGGTCTCTCTTCGCATACCTGAACAACCCCGAAGACGAGCGCAACCGGTACGCGGACAGCGTCGACACCAAGATGACTGTTATGAGATTCCAACGAGCGTCCGACAATAAGGACATAGGCGTGCTGACCTGGCACGCCGTCCATGCCACATCGATGCTTGGTAACAACACGCATGCTGCTGGCGACAACAAGGGTCTCGCGTCGTGGATGCTGGAACGGGACATGAGTGGGAACGACAATGCGGCAGACGACTTTGTGGCGGCGTTCAGCCAAGCAAACCATGCGGATACTTCACCGAATGTGCTGGGAGCATTTTGCGACGATGGATCCGGAATGGAGTGTGATTTCGAGCGAAGCACATGTGCCGATGGAACAGTTGAAGCCTGTCACGGGCGTGGACCAAAGTTCGAGGCGCTAGACCTCGGGGTTTCTAGCTGCTACGAGATAGCAACTCGACTGGCGTCTGCAGCCAAGGAGGCCTACGTGAGTATCAGCAAACATTGCATTGCAGGGGTCGCCTGTTAATCACCAGCAGGACTCCTTTGGCCCGTCTTCGACCCCCATCGTTGGTTCCAGTGTCAAGTCTTTCCACTTCTTCCACAACATGAGCTTTTGGGACTTTACGCTGCCCGATGGAAAAGCAGCGCAAACCTGTCCTGCAGCACTGGGCTACTCCTTTGCTGCAGGCACCTCTGACTGGCCTGGCTTGTTCGACTTTTCGCAAGGTGACTCGGGAGATCCCGATGCCAATCCTTTGTGGGCTGTTGTCAAGAACCTCCTGCGTGAGCCCAGTCCCGAGCAAGAGGCATGCCAGGGCGAGAAGCCAGTGCTGCTTGATATCGGGGAGATGTTCACTCCCTACGCGTGGGGTCCCAACATTGTCGACATTCAAGCCTTCCGAGTTGGCCAATTCGTCATTGTGACGAGTCCCAGTGAGGTCGGGACAATGGCAGGCCGCCGATGGCGCGAGGCCGTGGCTGCTGAAGCTGAACAGTTTCTGGACGAGGAGCCAATCGTCGTGCTGACAAGCCCTGCGAACACATATGCGCACTACTTGACCACGCCGGAGGAATACGACGTCCAGAGGTACGAGGGCGCGTCGACACTCTACGGTCGCCATTCTCTGGATGCCTACATCAACCTGACCGTGAGCAACCTCCAGTATCTGACCCCGGACGCAACAGAGCGTCCTGCGCCAGGCCCTCCCGCCCCGGACAACCGTGAAAGGGCTCTGTCGTTCATCACTGGTGTAGTCACGGACGGCGCGCCAATTGGCCAGGCATTCGGCAGCGTTCGTTCGCAGCCGGCATCTTCCTATGATCTGGGCGACGTTGTCAAGGCCACCTTCCAAGGGGCTAACCCGCGCAACAATCTTCGGCTTGAGGGTACTTTCGTGGCCGTGGAGCGCCTGGATGGGGACACTTGGACGCAAGTGCGCGATGATGCTGATTGGTTCCTCGTGTATACGTGGAGGAGGACGAACTTTGTCCTAGGATACAGTGAAGTGGACGTAACGTGGGAAACGGGTGGTAATGCAGAGCCAGGCACATACAGGTTCAAGTACTATGGCGATGCAAAGAGCCTTCTGGGGAAGATAACGGCTTTCCAGGGCACAAGCAAGAGCTTTGAGTTGAGCTAGGGAAGCGCCTCAATGCTTCGACGCGAGGAGCTCTGGCAGATAGTTAGTCATCCCACAAGCGCACGGTTAACGAACAAGTCGATAATATGCGACTTTGAGGAGAAATGCACCGTGCACACCGCATGGCAGAACTTGTATGCATGTAACATGCGCACGACACCACAGGTCCTGCAATGACTGGTCATGTACTTGGCCGACCGGTTCATGCGGCAGTCCTCTTTTGTGAATCGTTTTTGACGCACAGAGAACGACGGTCGCCAATGTACCTAGCCGATTCTGACAGCCTGCTTGATCCGCGGGTCAACCTACCACACAAAGCTGATTGCTTGTATTGCGTAGGCGGGCGCTTCGCTCAGGAGTGCGGCATAGTGCAACGACAACGACGATAGGTCTGCGGTGTGTCACACGCTCTCGTCCGCTGTGCTTATACCTTCAATGTACGGCTAAGCTGATGCCGCCGGGTACAAACATGATGCCGCCATTTCGTCGAAGTACAGAAAGCCAGAGAGAGAGAGAGAGAAGGACTCTTGCATGCGGGCGCTTCACTTGTACCCTTGTGCCCCCTTGAGCGGGACCATTGGTGGACCAAGCAGCCAAGAGACTCGCTTTATGCACCCGATTACATGCTGCAGGAGTGAGAGGTAGCCCTGTGGTCTCGGCGATGCAACGTCGATGGCTTTGGCTCGCCAGGACTGTCTAATTTGCCGCGTCGACGACCTCACGGCATGTTGAAGGCACAGACAGAGCAGGTGCACTTGGCGATGTGCTCAACTGTGAGGAAGTACACGCTTCGAGCCTAGAACCTGTCGCGGCTTAGAATGTTCATACTGTATGCAGAAAGGGCGCGGGACGAGCCGTGCCTGTTGCGGAGAAAGGCCATAACAAGGGCCTCATTGAGTCTAGTTGTGGGAGCAGACAGACTGGGTTGGCCCAAAGTTGGTTGGTTACTGCTGGAGCTTGTCGATGATCGTTTCTTCAACAAGGGCGCAAGAGATGCCAGAGACGTCCGGAAGCGTCATTGCCTCTCAGTCGTGTCCCTCACACCATGAGGGTGTTCACACGGCAAAGAGGCGGTCATCGGGTGTCATAATAAGCTGCGATACGTGTGTCATGCGCTCACCAGGGTGCGTGCGCACTGACGGATGGCACTGCATTTGGATAAGTACTGCAGCTGTGTTCACCAGCTGGCGCGAGCTTGGTATGCGGTTGGCCTGGTGGACAGGGCTGTCATATGTCCTCTTGCTGCTGCTTGATTAGGCGTGGGTGGCTCGGGAGGTCGTCTCCGGACAAGGTCGAGCAATCCTGACCGGGCTGACCTATGTACCATGCGGCATTTCTCTCCGACCAGAATGCAGTTGCTGAGCGTCGCGACCAACAGCGCATGTCATAGAGGGTGGGGACAGTTGTCGAGAGAGGGCCTGGGGTCCAAAGAGGCGGGCTCGGGTCGGACCACAGTTGCAGCACGCGGCTTCGGCACGGCAGCGATGTCTGACAGCTTGTCCCGCAGGTGAGAGCGTTATGATACGACAGGGGCGAGGCTGTAGTTCTGGTACTTGTTGACGTGGAGTTGGTTGAGGATGGCGGGAGATTTACGCCGCTGTAGCCCAGAAGAGTGGGGCGGGCAGGTACCACCTGTAAGGCGCATACCTTCTTCTGGCACAAATATTTGACTCCCAAATATCGAATCACCAGCGAGCAGTATTTATTCATATTGGACGATCCCATGGGACTCATTGTCTCGGTTTATCATTGATTATACACGCCCCCATCGTCAGACCATCTTCAAGAGCTGGCAGGAGCCTGTGCAGAGATTAGAGCGGCTAGTCGTCGGTTTACTCACGCATGGTGGCCCAGGTTATCAAATCAACCCCCACGAACTAATACGCCGTGGTTACCAGATCCACGCTCGTTTGCACCAATGTGTGCGTCGCTCTGTTTGTGCCCTTATGGGGAGGGAAAGCTTCATGTCAGTGCGTCTCCCTGCGTTGGCACAAGCTAACTGAGCCTTGCATGGCTATTGCTCTTCAGCCTCCCTTGTTGGGGCAGCATGCCCTTCCTTTGCTTTCTTGTTAGCATGAACGAATACCTTATCTGCTTGCTCATGTGTGCTTTGCTTTTGCCCAAGTTGGTTGAATATAGGTATTAAGAACCTGCTGCCAAGAAGCTTCACCAAGACATCTTATCACTTGCTGACTACTCCGTATTCAATTTTGCGTAGGAAGCCGCCGAAACTCGTAGCAAGTCCGCCCACAATGTGAATTGAGTGACGCTGGGTGGGTGACCTGCATCTGCGTGGGCCCGTCTCGCCAAGCCAGCAAGGGTATATGCAGCATGCTCTGATCGCGCGCCGGTGAGCGCACACCCCGGTCAGGCGTCCTGAACAGGCTGAACTTCTCAACTTCTGCCAGTCTTCTGGATCTTGACCCCAGGCACTCCAGTGACCAGTCATCTCCGGGAAATCTAGCGTTGCTTCAGGTCTTCAGGAGGACTCATCTATGCGCCTGTCCGTTGCCGTTGACGAAGGCTCATGACCAGGCACGTGCCTGGCCTACCGGACTGCTACTTGCGCCTCGAATCCGGGGTAATACACATCCACCGGCGGCTCGCCTCTAGGAGTCACGATGTGATCCACACACGAACATTTTGTACTTGGACGTACGTACGGCTAGCTTACCATTGTACGTATGTACGGACCAGAGGTGCGGTCGGCATCTTGACATAATGGATGGACAACCGAGGGGCGCTTAACTGACCGGCCGACTAGTTTAGCTCTGTCTGGCCCCTCCCACACCTCCTCTCTACCAGCAGAAGCAACGGGAATCCATCCCACTGGTCGATTCTATCGTCATTTCACTTATTAATCCCGCCTGGGTCTTTTCTTTTCCCAGAGAGGCTGCGCTCCAACAAGTGAGAGAGGGAAACAAACGGTCCCATGAGCAAGCCCTAGTTTAGTCCAGTCCAGAAGGAAGGGCGGTTTGACCTCCATGCTTCACCTTGCTGTGTCGACATACATTTGTGATGGACACCCGCCATTCTCCCTGTCCTGTCCCCATGCTGGCCTATGCACCTCCGTCCCGCCTCGATCCTCTCTAGCTGGTCTATGTGACATCCCACTCTCAACCTTCTTGTCCCGTACACTGCCATTCTGTACTACAAACGAGCTCTCACGGCTAACACGAGCCTCCACCGACCACGGCGAGACTGCTGCGGTGGCCATTGATCAGTAGCCATCCGCAACCGCAACCGCAACCGCGGGCAAGTCCTTTCTGTTCTGTGCTTCATCAGGTCAGAACAGTCCAACGGGGACATCGCAAGACCACACCCCAACCGAACACCAACCCAGCTAGCTGGGGCCGTTTCACAGTCTGCAATCCGCCTTCCGAAGTCTGCCTCTTCCTCTGGGCGGCTTATTTCTTTCCCACGTCTCACACATTGGCCAGTCGGGACCCAAGGTATCTGCTCGCTCCCGCTGTTGTTGTTGCACGTCAAGTCGATCTTGGTTCGCTTCCAACATATAAGAAGAAGCCATCTGGCCAAGATCCCAGGTTCTTCTTCTCACACTCAGACTGCCATCACTGCCAGAACTTTCGCAGGCGCCTAGGTGTTTTTCTTCTCAAAACTGAGCTGCTTCTGCTGCCTGTCATTGTCCCCCCCGGAATAACCTTTGTCGCCAACATGTCCGCCGCATACAATGCTTCCTCTTTGACCTGGCAAGAGCGCCTCGAAGGTGCGTCTGCGACCATTGTTCACTTGACGTCCTAATCGCTGACCATGGTTTCCGCAGAATGCTGTCGTCTGGCTCAGATGAGCAAACCACACTTTGAGATGTTCTCGGACCGTCGTGGTGAGCCTGCCCTCTTCCACGACACAAAGTTGAGGATGAACCTGTCACTGACGTGTGATCTAGGAGGCCGGACCGCGTGGTCGAGCAAGGTGACAATTGACGGACATTGTCTGGAAGCCAGATACTGGTATGATGGCAATTACTTGAACAATGCCAAGGAAGATGTCGCCGAAGTAGCCTATAATTGGCTCATGAAAACCTGATGATATTGGGGGATCGCGACCCCTCGGGGTGGGTGAGAGGCCGGGAACTGCTTGGGCGTGGAGCTGGCCGCTCTTCGCAATGGCAAAATGAGCGTCCCTTTTCCCCGTCGGATTTTCTTTGGCTTCAGCGTGGTTTGGTATTCTTTCGGACTGGATGCGGGTACAGACGAGGTCAGGGCCGAGGCTCGGATGCAAGGCTAGCTATCTCTCCTGCATAGCTTGATGGGAGTTGTCTTCGTTCTCCAGTCTCCACTGGCAAGGGCATCCTTGCCAGACGGACGGCATCGAGCCACATGTTTCATGGCTGCACGATCGCGCTTGCACGTTGTCGGTAGACCAGCTAGTCTCTCGTTTGCATGTGCGATCGGTTTGGTGCAAAGGCGCGATCGGCTAGGAGTTACACGTCTCTTTGAATAATACGGATCAGGTCAGTATGCAAGGTTCATCACACCGGTCTTGTTGGTCACTGCACGTGGGAATTGTCAGCAAAAGTAAGGATGCGGCGATGAGCTGTGCGAGCTTCTGTCAAAAGTGAGGTGTGCCTGAAGCGTTGATGCTGTGTGTCAATGCACATGAGGACACGCCCATCATGGCGTTTGAAGCCCAATTGATTGGGGCATGTTGCAATGCCGCAGCTCAAGTGATCTCGTTGTTGAAAACGCTGTAAGAGTTAAACGAGTCTTGACTCGGTGAGACATCAGACTGTATTTGGATTATGTAAGCCAAATCGGCGCTGAGCGGCGATAGGTTTCGCCGGTCGCCGGGGGAAGCTCGAAATTTCGTTGCGGCGTACCGCGACGCTCGCGTGCAGATCACAGGAAGGGGAAACGCACGCCCAACCTTTGGCCACTACACCCCGAAGCCTTTGTGGAGGCCTTTCGAAATGTTTGCGACAAGACGAGCTTGGGGCGCAGGCAGGGCGCTAGCCGTTCGATCGAGACCTGCGCCATCTCAGAGCACGACGTTCCTCTCCTCAATACCGTCGAGACGATGCTATGCAGACGAGAAAGCTAGCGTAGCACCCGAATCCTCCCAGCAGCCAAAGCGAGGAGAGATTTCCGCGTCGGGCCCCCTTCCCGATGAATCTGCATCCCCAATTGATGCGTTGGGCGACGAGAAGCTGTACGAAATACTCTACGGCGGACGCATAGCGCCCAAGGATGGAGAGCCGGGGTTGACAGAGGCTCAAGAGGAGAGTCTATACAACACGGGCAGGATACCGGTCCCTGAGGAAGCCGAAGCCATCGCTGCCTCTGCCGAGCTGGAGGCGCAGGCTCTTCCGGAGGCACAGCAGCAGCTCACCCACAAGTTTGCGCTGCCCGCCAGGCCATACGCGCCCGATCACCACCACAAGAAACGCTACCATCCCGTCATCGACCTGCTGGTCCGCATGATCATGAAGGATGGAAAGCTCAGCGTTGCACAGAGGGTATGCTAGGGACTGCCGTACCCGCAAGGAGACGACCTGGACTAACTGTGCTAGCACCTGGCCACGGCCATGAACGTACTACGAACGTCGCCAGCGCCCATCTACAGCCCCAAGTTTCCCCTCCTGCCGGGCACGCCCCCCGCGTCGCATCTACCGCTGAACCCCGTTCTGTACCTCACCGTGGCAGTGGACTCGGTGGCGCCGCTCTTGGTCATCAAGCAGATTGCCGGTGCCGCCGGTGGTGGCCGCGCCCTCGAGGTTCCCCAGCCAACCTCCATCCGACTGCGCAGACGATTAGCGTTCCAGTGGATCCTCAGCGCTGTCGAAAAGAGACCGTCCAAGGGGTCTGGGCGCAAGCAGTTTGGCCACCGGTTGGCTGAGGAGATTGTCGCGGTGGTGGAGGGGCGCTCGGGAGTGTGGGACAAGAGGAAAGCCGTGCACAAGCAAGGTACAGTGGCCCGTGTCAACGTTGGCGCGAAGGGTAACAGGCGCAAGTGAGGACGTACTTTGGTGTAAGTATCCAGGGGGGGAAGCTGTGCGTCCGGTTCTCGAGTCGGGTCCCGGGCGGCTTGTCAGTGTACGAGCAAGCCCTTTGTATTGATTTGTATTATCTGATTGTACACATTTACGGCACTTGGTTGTTGCTGCATGGAAATAGAATATATCCGTCTGCGTTTTGGTGGATACGCACATGTGAAAGGCAACTTAAGCAGACAGGCACTGCAGATGCCGTGTTACCCACCGAGAGACCAATGAGTGAAAGAAAAAGGTGAACGTGATGGGAGCCTCTCATAATCAGGTCCATCAGCCATGCTTGAGACGGCACGTATTGAGGCCCGGGCCAACACCAAGGCCAAGGGAAGCCAACGGCCAGAATCTCTCTATCGACAGGGCGAGCGATGGCGCAGAATTAAGGTCACAATTAAGGTCTGGATTAAGGTCCAGAATCATCTGTGGCCTGGGGGAATTGGCTGGGCCTCCGGCTGCGCACTGGGGCCGTTTTCAGCGTTGCCGCCCCACCTTTTCCGTCCAGGCTGCTCCAGTCCCTCCCTCCCGGCCCTCCCTCTCCAGTGACCACTGACCACCAGTCCCTCCCTCATCCCGCCCACCATCCTCCCACCTCCAAGCTAAGCCAGGCCTCCGACATGTATCTTCTCCCCACATTCTACGAGGCACACGAGGGTCTGACCTGGGACATCTCCTTCACTGTCTTGCAAGACGAGATCTGGTGAGAGTGTGAGAGATCTGCAGCAGAACTGCACATCAACCCAGTGCCAATCTCCTGACCGAATCCGCATCCTTACGCTAGATCCCCTCGAGCTCGAACTATCCCACCCTCTTCCACGTCAGACCACGCACGTTTCGACTAGCCCGGAGACCATCCGAAGCAAGTTCTAAACAGCTGGCCCTTACCAGGTACCATCGAAGCATATCTCGCCGCTGCTCTCCTTCCGTTGCCTGCAACTGGCAAACTTTCGATCCCACTGAAAGTCGATCTTTCTGTCGCGAACAAAAACCAAGAGGACGGGCGAATCCATTCATCACCGCTTGCGCACGCACGCAGACACACGTCCACCACCTTTTCCCAAGTTCTTCCTTGGCAATTGAAGCCCATCCAGCGTCGCCCAACATGAACCGAAGCAAGAGCTCGTCAAGACCATCCTCCATGTCGCACGATGCTCGCCCGATGAGCATCGACGCCATGCTCGACATGGAGCGTCGAGAGGTCCTGGCGCTCCTCGAGAACAGTTCGCAGACGAATTCTTCGCCCGAAATTGAGCGTCGCTCTGCATCCCCATACCAGACGCCGAGGTCGCCCGTGCGAAGCATGCTGGACATTGACGAGGAACCGAGTACGTCGAGCCGACCCACGAGCCCACACCGACAAGCCCCCGTGCGAAGCATGCTCGATACCGGGGCGCCTCTACATAGGACTGGCAGCAACACCACGCCCAACTCGCCCGTGCTGACGAGCGACGCGGGGGCAAAGGTCAGAAGCCCGAGTCAGTCATCCTACAATCGAGGTAAGTCGGAAGGAGCCTACAAGGCAGCAGGGCTAGACTCACGACGCTCAGGCAGCGCAAACCATAACGACCCCGCCTCTGGATATCAGTTCTCGGGCATTTACAATACACTGGGAGGCGCGCATCAGCAACAGATGCCCCTGCGGGCTGGCCAAGGCAGCGGGTTTGGGCAGTCAAGGTCTGGGTCGCTGGCGGAAGCCCTGCGCAGCAGCGACCTGAGCAGCCTGCAGCTACCTGGCGAATCGGGTCGCAGCTCTTCTCGCGGTGGCATCCCGAGCCGGTTAGGAGGAGGAGGAGGAGGAGGTCGTCAGAATAAGTCAAAATCGCCCAGCAACCGCCTCAGCAGTCGCTCCCGATCGCCAGCGACGTTCTCCCAAGCGCTGCCTCCAGGCAAAGGATACCTCAACGATGGGCAGGTGTTCGACATGAACAATGCATACAGGCGCCTGTCCGATGCCAACCTCGTGTACTCTTCTGGGAGCTTGGCGCAGCTGCCCATGCGGAAACAGTCTGTGGACCCAGGCGAGGGCAGGCTGGTGAAGGACTACCTCGGTCCCGATGGCGAGCATCTAGGCTCTAGTGAGGAAGATGAGCCATACTCGACCGATGATGAGTCCCGTGGGCGAAAGAAGGAGCCTAGGGCGCTGAATCCGGACGCCAAGGGGGAGAAGCATCTGAGCGAGTCGCGCTCACGGTCCGGCGGCCGCAAAACGCTCAGTCTGTTGGCAGCGGCTGAGGCCGAGCGTGAGTCTCAACGTGCCGCGAGGCTTGTGTGACCAACTAACTAACGTGGACTCTAGGCACACACGTAGCTGGACAGTACCAGTATCGCTCACTGATCCCCGATCCCGAGATCAAAGTGACCAATGCATCTGGCGACACGGTCAAGCCTGGGAAGCATAGTGTCCATCCGCACACGAGCTTTGACCACACGCCAGGATCAGCGACGGCGTCTGTCATGGATTCAGATGAAGAAGCCGACTTTGACGAGATCAGGAGGGCACAGAAACTGTCATTCACAATGACGAACATCATCTCCAACGCCGAGGCCCACCGTGCGGTTCGAATCATCTACCGTGGCGAGTACAATCGGATCGCGCAGACGGCGGACGAGGAGTCTCGCCGGCTGCGAAAGTACATGGTGGCGACTGACCTGAGTGACGAGTCGACGCATGCTCTCGAATGGGCCATTGGCACGGTGCTCCGCGACGGGGACACGCTGATCGCCATCTACTGCGTGGACGAAGAGACCGGCATCCCGGGAGGCGATGGGGTCTCGGACGACTCGAAGACAACACGTGAGCAAGCTGCTGCTGTGAACACGATCACGAGCTCCAAGTCGGCCCCTGGCGGTCTGCTGTTCAGGGGGGAGTCGACAGCGAACACACCGGGCGCCTCTCCTGCGCCCTCAACCAGGGGCGAGAACAAGGCTGAGGAGGATCGTCACCGAGCGGCCAAGGACATTACGGACCGGGTGCTGCGGCTGTTGCGCAAGACGCAGCTGCAGGTACGGGTAGTGGTGGAGGTGATGCACTGCAAGAATCCCAAGCACCTCATCACAGAGGTCATTGACCTGGTCGACCCTACGCTCGTCGTGATAGGAAGCCGAGGACGTAGCGCACTCAAGGGGTACGTCCATTCTTCTCTGCTCCACGCTGTGTGGTTGCTAACCTGTCGACAGTGTGATTTTGGGGTCATTCTCCAACTACCTGGTGACCAAGAGCTCCGTGCCGGTCATGGTGGCGAGGAAGAGGCTCCGCAAGCAGAGCAAGTATAAGCGGACAGCCGTGCGACAGGTCAACAATCTGCACAACCCGGCGGCTCGCAGTCTGGCGAATGCCAAGATTGACTGATGCGGCCAGGCGTGTCCAAGGAGGTTCGATGGGCGTTTTGTGGTTAGATGTTACTTTGAAAGCGTCATTGTCATACATGGTGTATACGATCGGTTCACTTTGTTGGAATGGTCATCCTCGAGCTCCCTCGCACATGTGAATTGGTGTATTCGTCATAATCGCTTTAAACCCTTGTCCAGAGGGGGGGCAGCTCGCTCACGTGTCGCGTCCATGGTCGTCGAGATCTTGGGCCAATACTGCGTACTTGGCTTCCTCAAGTGTAGTGCATATAGGCTACGAGCGACGCGATGGCATTTTATTTGAACATGACCAGTGGCTGTTATTATTACTATCGGGCGGGGTATCGACGGGAGGTCCCTGGATTGTTGTCCCTCCAGTCAAGGGATTTGGGGGGGGCGCAGTGCTCCATGTCGCTCACTGACCGACTCCAGTCTCGACGCGATGATTGGAGACGTTCAGTCCACCCGGATGGATGCCAGTTCATCATGCCATGATACGACAACAAGCTGCCTTTCTCTGTTCCACAGTGAAAGTGAAACCAACTCACTCAGTCGCTGCGAGGCTGTGTTGTCAGGGTATCGCAGTGGATCTACCCCAGGTCAACAACTGTGTGATGATTGATCTTTTCCAGCCTCTCCATTTCCTCCCACCCCCAAAAGCGGCCCGTTGTCCAGACCACCGTCACGTTCACGTTGATTCGCTCTCACTGGTGTCCTTATCCAAACAAAGACTCCTGTAGCCGTGCTTAGCCCTTTTCGACTCCAGTCCCCGTCCAGTCCTCGCTCACTTGTCCTTGAGTACGTGCGTACTTACGTACGTAGAAGGGATGAATTCCCTCTTCACCGTCAACAACAACGTCTCCCTCTCACTCATCAGCGTCACCGTCACACCGAGCACGTTTCTCGCCAGTCTCATCGTCGTCATTGTCCTCGTGGCAGCCCTTTACATCCCTCGATCACTGCCAGGGATCCCAAATTGGCTCCTGTCATTCCCCCAGAGACTTTGCTCGCTGGCGACAAGCGACACATCGCCAGCAGCAGCAGCAGCAGCAGCGACACTGAGAGACAAGGCGTTGCCGGCGCCACCATATGGATGCGACGACGCCTACTATTACGGCCAAGACCCCTACTGCGATAGTCGCCTCATCTTGCAAGATCAATCACTAGTTCTTGCGCGCCCAGACCTAGTCCACTACACGCTCAACAAGCACACAAAGTCCAAGAAGAAACACAGTCTCGCATCATCACACTCGTCATCAGCATCGCCCGCACCACTTCTCCACCATGAACAGTCCTCCCGGCGACACAGACTCCCTGCGGGACTTCAACCGTCGCTCCCCAAGCCCCTCCCACTCCCTCAGCGACCTCTCGAGCGACGGCCACTTCGACGACGAGAAGAGTCTCCGCCCAGCACCACACCACCACCTGTCCGTCTCCGAGATCGAATCAACAGGTGGATTCTCACCACCGGCGTGGCGCCGGAACCACGACAGCGGCGCTCGCAGCAGCAACGAGCTCTGGACAGGGCCAGGTGAGCACCGCCCGCCCATGCTGCTTGACCTGTCCAATGGATTCGAGGTGCAGGATCACGCTGAGCACAGCGACCGGGCGTTGGCGCGCGCTGCGGCCGTGAGACTGCCCAGGGCAAGTCAGAGTCCTGCGATGACCAGACAATCATCTCCAGAGATCTCTAGATCAGATCCGAGAGAGGTGCCGGCATCGGCAGAAACAAACAATGAGACCTGTACGTTGGCGCCACGTGGATTGACTTTCACGTGAATTGAATAGAGTTGGGACTAACCTCTCCGTGCAAAGACATGCGTTTCGCCTGGCGGGCAGAGGTGACACAACGCACTGGACCCATCGACACACTCGTCAACATGGTCCGAACGCCATACCGCGCCGCCACGCGGACAAGGGTATCAACGGTGACCTCGATCTTCGTCGCCATCCTCAGCATAATGTTCCTCAAGATCGTCCTCTCCCCCGTCAAGTCCCGACCGGCTGGCGACCTCGTCAAGATCGCGGGGATCGCTCGCTCCTTTGAGCCCCTCATCTACTACTCGGAGCACGCCAACGTCCAGGCACAGGGCCTGCTGTCCACGAGCATGGCCGTCGTGGATCTGAGCGAGTCGATGCGCAGGAGCACCATGGACTACGCGCCCAGACTGGTGGTCACACTGGACAGTTTGAGTGAAGATCTCAGGATGCTCGCCGTCGAGGTGACCAGGTTCTTGACCACGGTCGACAGCGACATGGACGGGTGAGTTTTGCTCATTCTGCTTCCCCCTCTGCCTAGGACGGCGTCCCGAGGCTACCTGAGCTGACACGTCGTCCAGAATACTAAGTGTCATGGACTGGTCCAAGATGCACCTCAGCCGGTTCCAGAGCAACAAACACCAAGGCCTGCTGTCGTCCGCCTACGACAACGTCTACGACGCTCTGTCGTCCGCGCACATCCTCGAAGACGACGCAGGCCACCAGACCTCGGCGGGCGCCGTCACAACATACATCTTTGGATTCCCCGAGGCGAAGCGCGAGCAGCGGCTCATCCAGCACATGTTTGACGAGTTCATCACCGTGCTCGACGAGTCCATCACCAGCGAGCTGGAGCAGTCCCTCAGCCTGTTCCAGCTCTACGACGCCGTCGACAAGAACATGGCCAACGTCGGCCGCACCGTCGCCCAGGAGTCCAGCACGCAGGACCACCTCCACAATGACGCCCTGTCCGGCCTGTGGGCGCGCATCCTCGGCCCCAACGCGGCCGACATTTCAAAGTACGAGAAGAACCACCGTCTCCTGACCAATGTGCGCGCCAGCACAAACCAGAACCGCGCCCTGCTGGAACACCACAAGACCCAGCTCCTGAGCCTCCAGCAGTCGCTGAACCGACTACGGGGCCAGCTGGTGTCGCCCAGGATGAGAGGCGCCAACCAAACTGTCCTCACCTTGGAAGACCAGATACAGGGCATAGACGATGTGAACAGGTATCTCACCGACATCAGGCTGAAGCAGAAGTCGAGGGTCATGGAGAACTTGTATGCGAGAATGCCGAGCCAGGCGACTCACATGGGATGGGATGTCCATGAGGTCGCAGGGGGAGGGGGGCCGAACTAACCAACTAGACTAGATCTCAGGTCCCAGGCAATTTATTGAAATATTTGTACAGATCGTGGGTCTTTGGGCTGGTGTAGCCTGGGAATACTCTGGGGACTTATTAGCTGCGATACCATACATTCAACTGGACAATCACACTTCAAACAACAAAATGCTTGGAATAAATGCCTCTCGTATTGACGCGTAGCTCATAAAAATACGACTGCACCAAGTAGTCTGTAAAATGCAAGGTCATTCTGGGGAGGGGGGTATCGACCTAGTACAGGCAACGTTCACAAATTCCATCTGCCCACAACGCCATCCGGGTGGTTTGATTCGCGCGTGCTTCGTCATCGTCGCGTCCACCAAATGAATCATTCAACTTTTCCACCGTCTTTCCTGTGAAAGAGAAGTCGCAAAGAAGTCTACCCGCGCAAAAGACCGGAGGTTTGGCCGGTAAAGCAGAAGACACCAGCCAGAGGTCACTGTAAGTAAGAGCGGTAGATACTCTACCTCGTAACCGTAACAAAGGAAATTCATATCATGCTGAGGAGATCACATCACAAGACGTGTTTAAGCCTTGGTCTCCTCCTCCTTCTTGGGCTCATCAGTGCTCTGCGACTTGATGTACTCATCGTACACAGCCAGAGCCTCGTCGACCTTGGCCTTGAGGGCAGCCTCGTCCTCAGCACTAGAAATTATTAGCAAGATGCATTACATGCGGGTATGCGCTTGTACTCACAGGTTGATCAGCTCGTTGTTGTCCATCTCGAGAAGCATGCCCGTGATCTTGCCAGCAAGCTCGGCGTTGATGGCCGAGATCTTGGGGAACAGCATCTCACCGAGGATTTGCTTCTGCTGGGCGGGCTGGGCGGCAGCAAGCTGGGCCTGCAGAGCAGCAGTAGGGCTCATGTCCGAGCCACGGCCAGCGGCCTGCTGACCAGCCTGGTTGGGGAAGTTTCCGTTGCGGCCGGCGTTGGCGTTAGCACCACGGCCAGCACCGCCCTGCTGGCGGTTGTTGGGAGGGAAGCCAGACATGCCGGGACCACCCATACCACCTGCGCCAGGAGGACCACCAGGCATGCCACCACGGCCACCCTGGGGTCCACCGCGGCCACCGGCCATGGCGGCCTGTTGAGCCTGCATGGCGGCCATGAACTGAGGAGTGCCGGGCTGTCCGTACTGAGGAGGGAACTGGCCAGGCATGGGGTACATGTTAGGGGGCATCTGCTGAGGAACGCCGCCGCGACCACCCTGAGGGTAGCCAGGGAACTGTCCTGGGCGACCACCCTGCTGGGGCATCATGCCTGGCTGGGGGAATGGCATGCCACGGCCACCCTGCTGAGGCATGAAACCGGGCTGCTGGCCAGGAGCGTAGAAGACAGGGGGCTGCATGTACTGGTTGGGCATGCCGGCGGCGGCAGCAGCGTGTTGCATGCGGAGCTGGTTGCGAGCCTGGATACTAGCCTCAAGCTGGTTCTTGCGGACATCCTTGCGCTGCGCCAAAGCGACGTACAGAGGCTTGCCGTTGAACATGCGCTGGTTCATCTCGGCCACAGCCTTCGTGGCGTCGTCGGGGTTGCTGAAGCAAACGAAGCCGAAGCCCTTGCTCTTACCGAGCTTCTTGTCGCCCTTCTTCTCAGCCTTCTTGTCCTCCTTGGCACTGTCGTCAGTCTCTTCAGTGTCCTTCTTCTCCTCTTCCTTCTCCTCTTCCTCCTTCTTCTCGTCGTCCTGGTCCTCCTTGTCCTTGTTCTCGTCCTCGGGACCCTCGCCTTCAGCGAAAGTCTCCCTCATCACCTTGGCGGAGGTGATCGGGCCGAATTCGGAGAACATGGAGCGCAGCTTGTCGTCGTCGACATCATCGTCGAGGTTCTTGATGTAAAGGTTGACGCCCTGGTACTTACTAGCCTTCTCAAGGCGAGCAGCCTCGTACGACTTGCGAAGCTCCTCCTCGCGCTCGTGCTTCTTCTGAGCGCGGCCAACGTAGAGGTCTTGGCCCAGGAAATCCTTGCCATTGAGCTCATCGACGGCCTTGTTGGCAGCCTCGTGGGTGGTGAAGTTAACGAAACCAAAGCCACGGCTCTTGCCCTCTGGGTCGCGAGCCAGGGACGACGAGGTGACGTCGCCGTACTTCTCGAACAGCTCACGGAACTGGTCATCAGTAGCCTCAGTGTTGATGTTCTTGACATAGATGTTGGTGAAGTTGGCCTTCATCTCCTCGAACTTGGACTGGCGGTCCTTCTTGGGAATGTGAGGGCCGACGAAGACCTTCTTCTCGTTGAGCAGCATGCCGTTAACGTGCTTGATAGCCTGCTGAGCGGCCTCGTCGGTCTCGTAGTGAACGAAACCGTAGCCCTTGGAGTTGCCGTGCTCGTCCTGGGCAACCTTGCAGCTCAGGATGTTGCCAAAGGCGGCGAACGTGTCGTGCAGAGCCTTGTTGTCAATAGCGACATCGAGGTTCTTGATGAAGACGTTGCCCTGGCCTGTCTTGCGCAGGGCGGGGTCACGCTGAGACCACATGATGCGGCAGGGGCGTCCCTTGATCAGAGTGTAGTTGAGCTCCTCGAGAGCCTTCTCGCCGTCGGGGGTCGAGTTGTAGTTGACGTAGGCGTAGCCGAGAGAGCGACGGGTGACAGCATCGCGGCACACACGGATCGAGGCAACAGCGCCAATCTGGGAGAAGAGCTCGAACAGCATGGCCTCGGTGACGGAGGGGTCGAGCTCGCCAACGTACAGAGAGGCCGAGTTCTGGGGGTGGGGAGCAGCCGAGCCGGGGGTAGGAGCGGACGCATCGTCAGTGGCAGAGACGCTGGTGTCGATGGCAGGAGCAGCCTTATCGCCGCTGCTGTTGATCGAGGTGTTGTTCATGTTCTCGGTGAGCTGGTCAACAGCGCCGGAGGTAGAGGTTGCGGCCATTTTGGACTTGGGAATGACTAGATATACAGGGTCAGCCTGATGGAACATTTGAAAAGGAAACAGACAGGCGCCAGATGTGCTGAGGGGGCGTGCCGCCGCGGGTTGGCGGGGTGGTTTGCAAGACATACCAGAGTCAACAGTGTCAAGGACGAGAAGAGGTTTTCCTGTAAACGGACTGACAACGACGCGATGCAGACCGAGGGGGGGGGCAGAGGTAATGACTTCGAGGACCGACGTAAGGGTGGCTCGAAGGGTTGTTCTTTGTCGACGTGGGTGTTGTCGTTGGTTGGTCAGTCGAGGACTGGGGGGGTAAGGCAGACAAAGCCTTGGAGTTTTTTGTGATTTTTCAAGTTTTTTTGAGGTTTTTTGAAACAATCAAGTGAGCAACCAGGAGAGACAAGTGCAAGAACTGTCCCTCGAAATCAACTCGACTTTTTTTTGTGTTTTGACGTGCGGCGTTGATAAGAGTGGGTGGTGAGGGAGGAGAGAGCCTGGGTGGAGGGGAAATTTCGTGTGATATGGGCACATTTTTTTCCTCAGCGGTGGAAGCTGCCATTGGCAGCCCACCTTCGCAAGTCCCGCCGCGACGATTGAGCACACGCAGGTGGGACCTGGCTCACCTTGAGTCGGAAGGTTCACCTTGGAGGGGTCTAGTACATCTGATTGGCTCTTCGCCGGGCAGGGTCTGGGGAGAGTGCGTTCACCGACAGACAGGACCCCTCGATCGGTTAAAAAGAACACGCCATTGGTTGCTTTTTCACCGCTGAGGACTGTAGATTTAACAGCGCGTCAGAAGCGTGCTTTTGCATTCACAAGCGCCCTTGATCGGCCTGAATTCAAAGACATCTAAGTGCATGCAGTCACTGCTTTTAGCAGCACATGTACTACCCGGGAAGGTCTTCTCAAGTAGCTTATCTCTAGTGATCCGGGCGTCAGGCACCACAGATGCAACTGCGTCGTACTCGACTCGCGATTGCCATTTGGGCTCACCGCCCCATGAAAAACCAGGACCGGAAGATCACAGCGATAACGAACCATCTAGATCCTACAGATTGACCGTGGCAAAGACGCTTTGGAATCATCAAGGGATGTATCTGGTAGGAACCTGGCTCTTCGGGTACGGTACTGATAGTGGACTTTGCACATACAGAAATAGCCTGGACGTAGAAGCAGGTCGAAACTCTGGTGAGCCATGAACTTACCCGGTACCAAACACCACTGTGGCATTTGTCATTCCTTTTTTCGCTTCTAGAGGCGGGCTCCAGTCGCCAGCAGTTATTACGGCTGCGCTGCAAAAACAAGCATTAATGATGGCGCATAGATTGTTCTCCTTGGTCGTTTATGTTGTACTCGGGCTCGTCAATCTTTTGCTGACTAACAGCCTTCACGTGTTAATTTGAAATGCACGCGCTGCCCGGTATCAGTATTATTCAAGACTGTCAAAGAAACTTCAAAGTTTAGTTGAAGTCGAGAAAAATACAAATAGTCGCTATCAAGTTGCCGCCTACTTTTATCATGTACTAGAGTGTCTCGATAATAAGAGCAGACGCGCGAGGCAGTAGATGATCATGAAAGACCTGTGCAGTATCTCTGGTACCTGGGTTTTTGTGCTATCGCACGCCTGACCTCATAGCCCCACCAGACATAGCGGCCCTGAGCAGTGCTACCTGGTACTTATTAGGCATCTAGTCCTACGAATAACCCGACTGGAGCTGTCGTACCTATGCGCTACGCATACCACACAGTATGTTGCAAGGCACCCTCACCTCCATCGCCTCGTCACAGAACAGCAAGGTGTCGTAACCATGTTTTCGACATTCACGGGAAATTCGCGTCGACCGCGCAACGTCAACCTGAGCGGTGCCGCCGGCAACCCTTTCACTAATACATCATGGACTCCTGCCGCGGCATCGAATGCTACCAAGACCGTAACGAACGCGCAAGCCGACCGAGAGAGGCGACAGATAGAGCGCCGCAAGCTCAAAGCTGCGAAGGACGTGCAAAGAGTGTGGAGGGGCCATGTTGCAAGATGTCGGCTTGCTGACAGTCGAAGAACGGTGTTCGATAACCTCCCTGCGTATAGCGACCAGACCGACAGCGACCGCCTTACCCACTCGATGATCCTTCTTCTATCATTCTTCAGCATACGAAGGCCAGATGACCTCGACCGGCTCTTCAGGCTGGCCAGCGCACTTTCCAGCCTCAATATTGGTCAGGGCGGGCAAGCTCCGCAAGATGCTCACCGACTGCTCCGATTCTTACGGATTCTACTGGCAGGCATAAAGAAAAGCTGTGAGGGTTCTGGGACTCAAAAAGGCTCAGATCTCGAACGGCTTGCCGGGCTTTTGCGACTGGCGGCCCGCTTGTTCAGCTCGCTTCCTCAAGCCCCAACCACTTTGGCGAACGACTACTATGATACGCTTGTCCCAGTCCTTCACACGCTCCTGGGCACTCACCCAGACTCAGATATGCTGCTGCGTGACATGGTTGTCCTTCCGCTGCAAATAGCAGACTCATCGACAGTTGGTAAGTGATGCCCATACGCCTGGCTATACTTGGAGATTCTAACAACCCTGCAGCCGATCATCAAACGTGTATTTACTCAAGCCTGGCATACCGACTCTTGAGTCAGCCTAGCTCGCATACGTTTCAGTCACAATTACCGCAAATCGCACAAACTCTGAACGTCTCAAGACTTTGCTCCACCGTCTCCAGTACGTACGGGTCTGCCACGCTTCCCGAAAACGGACGACTGTGGCTCTTGGCTCATTTGATCGAATTGCTGGACTGTACTCCTGAAGATAAGAAAGTGGTGATCCTAGGGGCTCTGCAGCTTCAGCTATCAGCGCTGTCCGAGGTGGTGAAGGAAGGGTCATTTCCCGATCCATATATCCACACTCGGATATGTTCGCTGGTTGACCAAAGGGGAATTGATCAGCTTGTCAAAGACATATCGTCTGAGGCATCGTCATCAACCGGCACACAGGAGTCTGCCGCACCATTTGCGGCCTACACGTTAACCTTGCTCTCGAGCTTCCCATCGCAGGCGGATGATATTCGCATGCGTCTGCTACTGTCAACGCCCGACCACAATCGGAACGACTCTTCGTCCTCTATTGTGAAGTATTTTTGGCGAGAGGTGTGTGGGACACGGCTCTTCACTGAGGTACAGCACGGCGCAGAGACTTCTCTCAAAGTCATGCACCAGTTGTCTCAGCAGGACATGTCAAAAGACGATCAACATGGCTGGACATCCCTGCTCATGTTCCTGGGTCTCTACATATTCGTGCTCCGGATTAGCGATGATGACGACTTCTTCAGCCAGATCCAAGCCTCACCATTTCAAGACGCGCAGCCACTATCACAGGCCAGGAAAAGCAGCTTAGGCTTGAACGACTTGCTGTCACTGACCACCTTCCTCAAAAACGCCAGCTACGTTCTACACTATCACGCCCATAGGTTGCAGTCGTCGCGGTCAAGCCAAAGCCATAACACTCCGGTGACAGGAGTGGTAGATCTTGATGAGCTCAGGGCGCTTGTGACAACAGCGGTCAAGATGCTCTACGAGAGGGATTCCCGGAAGCAGTTCTTGCCCCAAGGGCACTGGCTCATGCCAACACAACTCCCACCGGGCGAACTCAGAGCGGCCGTGATCATGGAGGACCAACGTCAAGCTGCCGAGGATGCAAGCTCTGATGAGGACGAAGATTCCGGGTGGGAGGCAGATCTTGAGAGTCGCGTTCTCACGAACCCTTATGCACGTGCTGAACGCATGCGGCTTGAAAGACGCCGGAAAGCGAGGGACCACCGTCTTGCGGAATCGGGCCCCAAGCTGGAGGTTCTGCGACACATCCCCTTTGTCGTTCCTTTCGACACCCGCGTCGAGATCTTCCGCGAATTCATTCGCAATGACATAGCGTCAAGACATCAAGTAGACGCTCGTGGTTTTGACATCGGAGGCTTCCAGGCTAAGCACGACGCTTCGATCAGACGAGGGAGCCTGTTTGAGGACGCTTTTGAAAGCTTTTATCCCATAGGCGATGGGCTCAAGGACTTGATTCGAATCACGTTTGTCGACCAGTTCGGGGAGCCTGAGCCAGGAATCGATGGCGGTGGCGTCACAAAGGAGTTTCTGACGAGCGTGACTATGGAAGCATTCGAGCGGGGAAACATGTTTGTTTCCAACGAGAAAGGATTATTGTATCCAGACCCCACGGCTGTTGATGTGCTGCGTCATAGCATGAAGCAGCATGATCTACCGGCAGACTCCCAGGCCCAGGTGCTCAAGAAGATGCTGCAACGATATGAGTTCCTGGGTCGGATTATCGGCAAATGCCTGTATGAGGGCATCCTGGTCGACCTCATTTTCGCGGGATTCTTCCTTCTCCAGTGGCCTTCCTCAGGGGAAAAGAGCACTTACAAGGGGAGTGTGAATGATTTGAAAGACATGGACGAGGACCTTTACAGGGGACTCATGCGTCTCAAAAACTATTCGGGGGACTTTTCGGAGCTGGACACCAACTTCACCATTGAAGACCAAATAACACCCAAAGGAGAGGCGACTCAGACAGTCACAAGGAACCTCATCCCCAACGGCGATCAAACCAGTGTCACCATGGACAACCGCTTGTTGTACATCTCCTACGTGGCACGCCATCGCCTCGTTGCCCAGGGTGCAGCGCAGACCGCAGCTTTCCTACGCGGACTTCGCCAGATCATCAAGCCGCATTGGTTGTCCATGTTCAACCAAGTCGAGTTGCAGCGTCTCGTGGGCGGCGATTCCACGGAGATTGACGTCGAGGATCTGCGCCGGAACACGTACTGTAGCGGCGTGTACGAGATCGGCGACGATGGGCTGGAGCACCCTACAGTGGCGCTCTTCTGGAAGGTACTCAAGGAAGACTTTACGGATGCGCAACGACGAGACGTACTAAAGTACGTGACCTCGACGCCGAGAGCTCCATTGCTGGGATTCTCGCAGCTGGTGCCCAGATTCAGCATCAGAGACGCTGGCACGGATGAGACAAGACTTCCCAGTGCGAGTACCTGCGTGAATCTGTTGAAGCTTCCCAGATACAAGACAAGGAAGGTGTTGCGAGAGAAACTGTTGTATGCGGTTTCCTCCGGGGCAGGGTTTGACTTAAGCTAAGCATTAATACCATGAGTGAGTGACCCCTGACGGGCCATCGCCAAGCACGGAGCATACAGATCATACGCAACGATAATGTATAAAGTCAGTGTACAATGTTTGCCAGCGAGTCCCATGTACAGTTCTTATGGTCCTGGTCCCCTCAATTGAAGTTGCCGGAGAGCTTTGACCCCACGGTAGAACGTCATCTGATACGGACGCACCCCTAACACTCGATTATTGACGTTGCATCGCCGCAGATCGTGCGAGGACTCGCACGGCGGGCTGATCCTACCCGAGGCCCGAGTTAACCCCTCCATGGCGATCATGATCAACATCGACTCCAGATACAATAGATACCCCAGAAACCCCCCATGTCAAGATGTGACGTTGTGATACTCGGCCCTTGTTGACGCAAGGTGAGCCAAAGTCTACAAAGATGACTGGCAGCCAGGTCATGGGCTCTGAGACACCACGGCCCGGTCATCCCTTGCGTACCTTGCTTAGTTGAACAAGACCACATGCACGCTACCATGCTGCCTCTCGTCTCGCTTGGGCTCTGCGGCCTCGCTCTGGCTCAAGACTGCCCGGACTACGTCGATTATGCCGCTGAGCGACATCCGCCCTTCTCTTCAGGTATCTATGAGTACCCGTACCAGCGGCCCGCCGGAGAGTGCCATACTCACAAGGTCGACGAGGTTGAGGAGATTATTGGAAAAGGCATGAACGACACAATCGCGGATCGTGACCTCCACAGGCTGTTTGAGAACACATGGCCGAAAACCCTGGATACCACCGTCAAATGGACTGGTTTCGCCAAAGAGGACGCGGACGAATAGGTAGGAACCGCATCCAGATATAGATCCGCGGTCAGACTGACCGATCTCGAAGCTTGCGTTCATCATCACTGGCGATATTGATGCCATGTGGATGCGAGACTCGTCCAACCAACTCCAGTCCTACAAGTTGCTGCTGCCGAACGACCAAATCGCCAGGCTCTTCCGTGGTGCCATCAACCTCCAAGGTCGCTACATGCGCCAGAGCCCCCATTGCAATGCGTTCCAACCCCCTCCCGAGTCTGGCATTCCTCCGACGTTGGACAATGCGGAAGGCGATGTGGTTTCCCCCCCTTATGACCCCGAGTTTGTCTTTGAGTGCAAGTACGAGATCGACTCGCTCGCCGCGTTCTTCCAGCTCAGCTGGGACTACTACGAAGCAACCGACGACGCGGACTTCTTTCGCAAATTCGGCTGGAAAGACGCGGTTCGGACTATTCTCGATACCGCCAACGACATGAAGCAGGGCACATATGCGGACGATGGCCGGGTCCTGCCGTCTCCGTATACCTGGCAGCGCAAGGCGACAAGTGCCTCGGAGACTGTGGCCAACCACGGCACTGGTGCGCCCGTCAAGGGCAACATTGGTCTCGTGCGAAGCTTCTTCCGGCCGTCGGACGATTCCTGCATCTATCAGTACTTCATTCCAGGCAACATGATGTTTGCTCGCTATGTTAAAGCTGCGGCTGAGATCATGAACACCATTGACGAGGGTATGGCCAAGGAGATGAGGGGCGTGGCAGAGGGCATAGAGCAAGGTATCCAGGAGCATGCCGTTGTCAAGCATCCCAAGTTTGGCGATGTCTACGCTTTCGAGATTGACGGGTTCGGCTCGTTCAACCTTATGGTGAGGCATGGCATTCCAAGCCCAAGGAAGCGAGGTCCTGACGCCTTTCTAGGATGACGCCAACCTTCCATCGCTGCTCAGCATCCCTCATCTAGGATACTTGCCTGTTGATGACCCCGTGTACCAGAACACGCGCGCCTTTGTCCTCAGCAATATGAATCCATACTACGCATACGGTCCGTCATCAATGCCACAGGTGGTCCACACCTTGGGCCTGGCAATGGATGGCCAATGGGTGTCATCACGCAAATTCTCACCACTGAGGATGACGAGGAGATTTCGAGTAGTATTCGTATGCTTATGGATTCAACGAGTGGGTTGGGCCTGATGCATGAAACTGTGAATAGCCACGATGATTCACAATGGACACGGCCGTGGTTTGCGTGGGCGAATGGATTATTTGGGCAGATGATACTCGATCTGGCGGACAGGGAACCCGATTTGTTGAAAGCAAGCTTTCACAAGTGAGCGAAATCGATAGTCTTGACTTGCTTCCAAACGACGAAAAGACCATTTCGAAGATAGCGTAGGGTAGGTAGTCTAGCCAGATCTCGTCGTCGGCATTCCACACTTTACACCGATACGAGTAAGTCGTTTGGGCGATTGGCTCCTACATCGTAGGTAGCCATAGGTACGAAGCCAGACATCAATGGACATTGCTTGAGCCGGCGCTTGCCTAATTGTTCCCCACGGCCCGTTCAGACATTGACTTGCCGATGACATGATGCCTTCAGTAGATCGCAGCGAGCGGCTGGAGTCGGCTATACAATCCCGTGGCACGTGCACATTCGGCTGTGAACTCCCAGTATAAAGTGGTGGACCAATCACAATCCTGATATTGTCAAGCCGCATCCACCCGGCCTTCATGATGCACTCTTTGACATTCAGCTCGGCCTAATTAGTCTTTGTCCTCTTGTGCACCAGGTGACTGCCACTCATACGGAACGCTCGCCGAGTCTCTCGAGGCATTGATCATGTCGGCTCCCTCAAGATGTGTTCAGCGCACCAGTCGCGCCTTGCCTGCGCGTCTCGCGACAAAGCGCGCTGGTAATGTCGTCACCAGATCTGCCACCATCTCGACTTCAAAGCGGAACATACAGACCGCTCGAACCGTCGCTAGCATTCCACGACATTTCAGCCGCCGAGAATTCTGCACGACAAGGAGACTTCGGAGCGATGAAGACGACAGCATTGACCCCGCCACGGTCGAGCGCGAATCTGATGAGGTGGACGTCTGCATTGTCGGTGGCGGGCCTGCCGGGCTCAGTGCAGCCATTCGGCTGAAGCAGCTCGCGAACGAGGCCGGCAACGAGGATTTTAGGGTTCTCGTGCTGGAGAAGGCGGGCGACATGGGCGCACACATTGTCTCGGGCGCCGTGATACAGCCCTCGAGCATCAACGAGCTGATCCCAGACTGGCTGGACGAGGGCAACCCGAACCGATTCGAGCATGCGACACCAGCAGGGTCGGACAGGATGCGATTCCTGACCAAGACGTCGGCAATCCCTATCCCTTCACCCCCTCAGATGAGCAACCACGGAAACTACATTGTGAGCTTGAACCAGTTTGTCAAATGGCTAGGCGAGAGGGCAGAGGAAATCGGCGTCGAAGTATACCCTGGATTTGCGGCGGCCGAGGTTCTCTACGACACGGACGGCTCCGTCAAGGGCGTGGCGACGAATGATCTCGGTATTGCACGGAACGGCAAGCCCAAGGATACCTTTGAGCGTGGCATGGAGTTCCACGCCAAGGTCACCATGTTTGGCGAGGGCTGCCACGGCAGTCTGAGCAAGCAGGTCATCAAGAAGTTTGACTTGCGGAGCGACAGCCAACATCAGACATACGGCTTGGGAATCAAGGAGGTGTGGGAGGTGGACCCGGCCAAGTTTGAAAAGGGCTCGATTGTCCACTCCATGGGCTATCCTCTATCCAAGGACGTGTACGGCGGTTCGTGGATGTACCACTTTGGCGACAACCTGGTGTCGCTGGGTCTGGTCGTGTCGCTGGACTACCAGAACCCGTGGATGTCACCGTACCAGGAGTTCCAAAAGCTCAAGATGCATCCCCTGTTCCGCAATGTCCTGGAAGGAGGCAAGTGCATCTCGTATGGTGCTCGCGCTCTGATTGAGGGCGGCTTCCAGTCGATCCCAAAGGTGGCCTTCCCCGGTGGCGCCTTGATCGGTGACTCGGCTGGCTTCGTCAACGTTCCCAAGGTCAAAGGCACCCACAATGCCATGAAGTCCGGCATGTTGGCCGCCGAGGCAGCCTGGACCGCCATCGGCAAGAGCGAGGAGGGCACCGTCTTCCTGTACGATTACGAAGACAAGCTGCGCAAATCGCCCATCTGGTCTGAACTCAAAGAGGTCCGCAACATGCGTCCGTCATTCCACAACCCACTTGGCCTCTACGGCGGGATCCTGTACTCTGGTCTTGAGGCGTACCTCCTCAAGGGCAGGACGCCGTGGACCTTGAAGCACAAGACGCCGGACCACGCTTCCACCAAGCCAGCCGATCAGTTCCCCAAGATTGAATACGAAAAGCCCGACGGCAAGATTACCTTTGACATCTTGACCAGCGTCTCGCGGACAGGCACCAACCATGAGGAGGACCAACCCGTGCATCTGCAGGTCAAGGACTGGGACAAGCACAAGGACGAGACATACCCTCCCTACCAAGGGTTGGAGAACCGTTTCTGCCCTGCCGGCGTCTACGAATACGTCGAGGATCCTTCCAAGAAGCATGGCGTTCGATTCCAGATCAACGCCCAGAAGTAAGTCCGCAACCTTGCCTGGGATTGACCACGAAACTAACGCGGCCAACAGCTGCATTCACTGCAAGACGTGCGATATCAAGGCGCCCCATCAAGATATCAATTGGCAGGTGCCACAGGGCGGGGAGGGACCCAAGTACTACATGACATAGGACTATATGTCATACCAGTTCTTTGTGTGTATACCCAGAATCTGTAAAGAATCCGGTTGGCATTGCATGTAGGGGAATGACAAGGCCGCCACTCCAGGTTCTTTACCTCGTATAGACGTCTGCGTGATTGTATGTATGTCTACTCAGTACGTACGGGGCCAAACAGAGGCAACACAGCCCAGCGAAGGGCAATAAATGGCGTTCATGTTCATGAGTCACAGTAGCGCGCAATGTCTCACAGTTGGCTCACGGTTCGTACGGACCACGTGAGTCTTGTCGGAAGAGTCTTTTGAGATTCATCCCTTCCCTTGATGGAGGACAATCGTTCAACACTTGTGCAAAAATCGAGTTCAAGATCAATAGACCATTTGCGGCTCCGGGGAGCCTCGTTCTAACTCCCCGAGGCACGCCTCGGCTTGCCCAATTGGAACAAGTCGGGATCGCCAGCTAGCGCGAGCGAGCAGATATTGTTAGTGCAGTACATTGATAAGAAGCAGCGGGTACACGGTGATGCTTCCTTCATTATTTTTTTTTTTCAGAACTCTTAAGCAAAGTCTCTGGCCCTGAGGGTAAGTAAAAAATGATAATGGTCTGTAGGGAAAGCACCCACGCGTATCGCCTGCGCACGTAACGTTGCTAACTACTATGCTTTCGCCTTCGTTTTTTGATGCATTTGGGATGTCCAGGTTCATACTTGCCTGTGATAATGATAATGATAAAAGCCGCGGCTCGGATCCGTGCTCTGGGCCTCTGGCTCCAGTCGTTAGTGAACGGCTGGGCACCCCGGCCATCCTGGTGGTGGGTCGGTACGTGATGCATCTCAGCCACTCAGCAGCCGGAAGCGGTCAAGCTTGGGGCCGCTATGAAATTACGCGTGCCAGTTGGCCAAAACGTTCATGACTCACACAGTGATGAGGGTGTCAAGCTTTTGTCCGGTTTGACCCTACACAACTCTGGTCTGGCATGTTCGACATTTGTCAGTCTGGAGGACCATCTGGCATCAACAACGTCAAGGACCGTGACACTTGTCGCATGGACTCGTTGCGTGTGAAGGACATGACCTTGGGAGTCGTTGCCCAGTCTTTCCAGGCGGGGCGGCAAGGCGACTAGACCTTGTAATTAATCCGATGTGACGCGCAGGTAGGAAATGAGATGGCAGGGAAGACCACAGACCGCTTTCATGCCTCTTGTTGAACGACCTTATCAAGCGCACATGAAGAGGCCTCGACGGGATGGGTATCGTTGTGCGACAGACCTTGATACCTAAGCAAGGAAGACGCGACAGTGAAATGCAAGGCAACGAGGTGACTGCTGAAGCGCGCAAGAATTACGTGTTTCACGGCGCGACTTTTTCGTGTTGGTCAAGGGATGTGAGGGTGTCGTCCGTGTGTCAGGACCGGGGCAGTGCGAGCGCGTCCTCGAGAAAAAACGGGCCAACAAGACCCGTCAAGACCGAGACCGGTCATCGCTGTCCCTGGTCAGCCTGCATCCGAGCTCTTCTGCAACCTCGACTATTTTTTCCTCCAAAGTGTTCACTCTTCCACTTCACATCTTCGTCTCTTTCAGTTTGTCCTTGTCACACTCTGCCTCCTTTGTCTGTCAAGCACGCCTTGGCTCAAGCTCAGTCGAACGCTCATTGCCTTTGTGTGCTATGTGGCCCAGGATCAGTCGCACACGGGTAAAATCAATCGCATCGCAAGCGCACACTGTCGCGATCATCGCGCTGACAGCCAGGTCGGCCCGTCAATGACGAACGAACAAGCAGCAGAAGCAGTGGGTTGAGGGCTTGATGGAGGGCTTTGACAGCCCCCCTTTGTGTGCTGCACTTTGCGAGTTGCAACGTGTTGCAAGGGAACATCCTGCAACCACCTGCGCTACTTCAGGGGCTGCGGTGGGGATCAAATCGATGAAATTGCTGCGTAGACGTGGTGTGATTGGTCTCAAAATTTTTAGCGCGGCCCTTATCCTGCAGCGCCGTCCACCACAGGCGTCGCCCCAACCTGTGCGGTTGCCTGGGGTGTCTTTGTTTGCCCCTGTGCAGGCCGCGATTATAAAGAGTCGGCCTTCCCCCCTCCGGACCGCCACGTCTGTGTGGTTGCTCTGCCTGTTTGTCCCGATTAGCCGTCTCGTACCTGCCCCCCCAGCCAGGTATTCTTTCGGCACAACTTTATTCCTTCTCCACCCCACTCACCTCATTCACATTCTCACGAAACGTCATCCAACCCCACCACATTGGATCGCTTCCTTCCACCCTGCCACTGTCAACCGACTTTCTTCCAACTAAACACCCGTGCCTCACAATCCACGTGTGGCATACGTGTGCGATTGCTCATTTGAGAAAAAGTGTCGACGCATTTCTCCCATCGCGAACCACCGGGTCGAGCGAACTGAAAACGTTCCCTTTCCGAATTCGCAACATTTGAGTCGCAACCGATTTTCGACGTTACAAAAGTTCGATCATCACGATCAAATCGTTGCGCTCCGTAGCCGAAGCCCCGTGAGATATCTGTGAAGTGAAGAGAGCGATATTGGCAAGAGATCCATCCAGGTCGTCCTCGAACGAATCTCTCACGCGCGAACGCTTTTGCCATCGCCACCACCCGCTTCATTTACCGACGTGGTCACCTCACCACTACCTTGTTGTTGTGTGCGCTGGGTTCCGTCGTCGGACTCATCTCATCACCCACTTGAGCATCACGTTGTAGGGGAGACATTCACTTGTTTATCTCCCGCAAACTGGTAGGTGGCTTCCTCACCCTGGACAGCACCCCGATCATCCTGCCCGCGTCGCACCCATCAGCGGGCAGTCGCTTTGGCTTGTGGCAGTTTATCTACACGACGCTTGCACTAGTGGTGCGAACCCAGGCTGACGGTACATCTCATTTAGATCTGCTCAACGCCCACACAGATACTTCTGTAGCGTTTCCTGGATCTTCCCATCACCATCATGGAAGGCATTCAGACGCACCCCTCGAACGCCGCGCAGGCCAAGGCGTTCACGGCGCCCGGCTCGCTCTCCTTCCCGGGAGCCCAGAACGAGACGGCGCCAAACGGCGAGAACGGGCAAAAGCCAGTTCCTCAAGGCCAGCAGGTTGCGAACGGAAATGGGGTGACTCCCGCCACTCCTGCCGCCACGCCTGCTGCCAACCAAGGCCCCAGTGGCATTACACCTACCTTGCAGTATGTATACCACTGAGTACTCTTGATTTGCTCAGTGAGGCTTATGACGCTTTAAGAAATATCGTGGCCACTGTCAATCTTGATTGTCGTTTGGACCTCAAGACGATTGCACTGCACGCGAGGAACGCAGAGTACAACCCAAAGGTACTGTGTGCTGCTTATGTTCACAATGCAACATTTGCTAACACATTGTCAAGCGTTTCGCCGCTGTTATCATGCGCATTCGCGAACCCAAGACAACGGCCCTGATCTTCGCCTCCGGCAAGATGGTTGTCACTGGTGCAAAGTCCGAGGACGACTCCAAGCTGGCGTCGCGCAAGTACGCGCGTATCATTCAGAAGCTGGGCTTCAACGCCAAGTTTACGGACTTCAAGATCCAGAACATTGTCGGCTCGTGTGACATCAAGTTCCCCATTCGCTTGGAGGGACTGGCATCCCGCCATCACAACTTCAGTTCTTACGAACCTGAGCTGTTCCCTGGTCTTATTTACCGCATGATCAAGCCGAAGATTGTGCTTCTCATCTTCGTCAGCGGCAAAATCGTCCTCACAGGTGCCAAAGTTCGCGAGGAGATCTACCAAGCGTTTGAGATGATCTACCCCGTGTTGCAAGGTACGTTGGCTCTACTGGGTGGCGCCGGAATGGTGGCTAACTTTCTACTAGATTTCCGCAAAGTCTAATCAAGACGCACTGGGTCGCTCGCGCGACTCGTTGTGTCAAGAGGTCATTCTCATGATGCCATGGCTTTCTCGACCTTGAATTCTCCGATGCCACAGTAGCACGGAGGTTCAATATTCGATTGTACACTTTTGCTTTTCGTCTTTTGGCATTGCACCGGCGTTTGGAGGGGAGGGGAGGGATATTGTTTTTTTCTTTTTTGCAACGACTTGGCATGGGCCAACAACAAGACTACTACTCCCACGACACACATGATAGATTGCTGGGCTTTCGGTAATGGCGAGTACAGCTCATCAGCACTGAGAATCCCATTTGATACTTTTCGAAAGAAAAGCTTGGGCGTGCGGAAGCTGAGAATGAGACATGACCATGGACGGAGCGGCTATAGCTGCTTCACTCCAAAGGCATAAAAAAGGAGCGATGGGGAGGATGGCATCTGGCTTGTTGAAGATGCTGTTGGTGTCGTCAGTCACCAGATGGATGGTAATCATGCAAAGTCCCACATCCGCATGGCAGTACGACAGCTTCGCATACATCAAGTTACATATTATGCTTAATATTGGCACCTCCAGATCGTGATTAGACCCTTGCACGATGTATACACGAATGTACTGCTTCTTATGTTTGCTGACTTCGGAACATAGCCGGAGAGGGGATTGGCATTTCTGGGGTGCCAAGCTTCAACCCATTTCTTGCAAGTCCGATCATCGGGCCAAGAATAAATTATTCACCAACCTCCACGTAGGAACCACGCAGTCCTTTGCATGCGTTGCCTTGTTGCTGTGCGAAATTGAAGATGCAGCAGACCCCCGACTCCATCCTTATCATAGGCTCAGGCCTCATGGGCCTGACGACGGCCTGGACACTGACCAAGCGTGCTCGGTTCGCCAACACCACCATCACAATCGTAGACCACTCGCGAGGGACGTCTTTTCCGCCCGAGGACGCAGCGAGCGTCGATACGTCCAGAATCATCCGCGCCGACTATGCGGACCCGGACTACGCATCCTTTGCGGCGGAGGCGCAAGCACAATGGCGCCAGCCAGGCGACGACAAAGTCGGTGGCCAGGGCCGATACAGCGAGAGCGGCATGGTGGTCATGGCCGAAGACATTGATGGGCGCGAAAAGGACAAGAAGACGGGCATGGAGTATGTCAAGGCCTCGTGGGAGAATGTGGCGTCCATCGCAGAGCGACAAGGTCACAGCAACAAGGTGCGCACGATCGAAGGCAGGGAGAACCTGAAGAAGATTGTGGGGACAGATGGAAACCCCGGCACCTGGGGCTACGTGAATCAGATGAGCGGCTGGGCTGATAACGCCGCGGGGATGCGTTGGCTGTACGAGCAGGTTCGCAGGACGAATCGTGTCAAGTTCGTCGACGCAGAGGTCAAGGAGCTGGTGACCGAGGGCAAAAAGGTTGTCGGCGCACGGGTGCAGGACGGCAGCGTGCTCCGGGGAGATATTGTCTACCTCGCTGCGGGCGCGTGGAGCGGCGCGCTGATCGATCTCAGGGGGCGATGTGAAGCCACTGGCCACGTCCTCGGATACATTGACATCACGCAAGAGGAGCAGGAGATTATGGACACGAAGCCGATCATGATCAACTTTGCAACGGGTCACTTTGTGATTCCCGCCAAGCACAGACTCCTCAAGGTGGCGCGGCACGGCTTTGGGTATCTTAACCCTGTGGTCTGCCCCAATGCCCTACCTCTGTCGCCAGAGGACGAGAGGAAGCCGATTGTGGCCTCGATCCCCAGGACAGCACGGGATCATGGCGGCGAGGGTTTCCCCGCCGAGGCAGACGCCGACCTCCGCAAGGCGTTGACGAACATGTGTCCCCTCAAGGGACTGGAGACGCGGCCCTGGGCAAAGCAGAAGATCTGCTGGTACTCGGACACGCGCGACGCGGACTGGCTGGTGGACTGGCACCCCAACTGGGAGAACCTGTTCGTCGTGACGGGCGACAGCGGGCACGGGTTCAAGTTCCTGCCCGTTATTGGCGACAAGCTTGTCGACGTGCTGGAGGGCAAAGGCGGGAACTTTGCCAACAAGTGGCGCTGGAAGGAGGTGGTCAATGATGTGTGTGGGCGAGTCGATGAGAATGGTGTATTTCAGGGGCTGTTGACGTGGGACGGGAGTCGTGGTGGTAAGCCCGGAATGATCCTGGCAGAGGAGTTCAAGAAGGGTGGCAAAGCAAAGCTGTAGATATTTTCTCAATCAATCCAATAGAGTAGATATATCATCCAGTATAGACACCCGGGGCAGTTGATGCAGCTCTATCCGTACAAGGTAGCCATTTCACATGTCTGTTCGATGACCTCTATGCATATAACGAGGGATATGTGCTTATGCAATCGATCTATAGCGCAGCATCGATTGTTCGGAAGCTCTACTATGTACATGCGATTGAGGCTTCCTCCGGTTAAACAAAGCTTCCACATCAACCACTATGATACCCCCGTGACATTGGTCCAACATGTCATCCGAAAAGGACCTCAAAGAGTTTCCCGACGTCGCCGCCAAGCTCCAGAAACCGAGCAAGCAATCCGCCTTTGACAAGCAGAAAGCTGACGCCGAAGCCAAACGACAACGCGAAGCCGCCGAGACCGAAGCCGTGTACAAAGACTTTATCAAGACATTCAGTCGCGATGAGGAAGACGGCCACAACGTATCTGGAGGCAGGGACAGAGACTCTCGCTCGTTTGGGGCGCTTCCAGGACGCGGTGGCGGTGGCGCGCCCAAGCGACATTTCGGTGCCTCGGGCTTGAAGAGCGGGCCGGGCAGCCTGGGTCCTGCTCCAGGAGGATTTGGCAAGAAGCGCTCATTCCAGGACTTTGAGCGCGGCACGAGGAAGGCTTTCGCTGGTAGCGACGAGGACGACGAGGACGAGAGGGCAGAGGAGAAGGCTATTGCGCGACCGACGCTGCGCCTGACCAACCTGCCACCGGGCACGTCGCCTTCCGTGATAAAGGCGCTCGTACAGGGCCACCTCACAGTCGAGGATGTGAAGATTCAGTCATCGAGCGGACATGGAAGCCTCGAGCGGAAGAGCGCAGCCGCCATCGTAACGTTGTCGCAGGATACACCTGGAGTACAGATCGAGGCCGCCGTCAGCGCGCTGCAGAATCGCTACTTGGGATACGGCCATTACCTGTCTTTGCATCGGCATCTGTCATCGGCAGTGGCGGGGGTTGCTGGCAGTGGTGCGACGGCTGCCTCGAATGCTGATAGCCGACCGTTTGGCGCGAAGCACGTCGAGCAACCCGCGAGCGCGAACGACGCGAGGCCACAACCTGGCTTCCAAAGAGGGTTTGCACCACCGACAAGCTACAACCAGCCAATGGGTGGCGTCAGTCGAGCAGGAATATTGCACGTCCCTGTCAAGCCCCCAAACGACGTCCGGACACTGCAGCTCATCAACCTGGTGATAGAGCGAGTACTCGAACATGGGCCGGAATACGAGGCACTACTCATGTCACGTCTTGAGGTCCAGAGAGAGGAGCGATGGGCATGGCTTTGGGATGCAAGAAGTGCCGGTGGAGTATGGTACCGCTGGCGCTTATGGGAGGTGATCACGGGTGCCAAGAACGGGCGCTCTCAAGGTCGCTTTGTCCCCCTTTTCGAAGGAGGGCATGCGTGGAAGACACCCGAGAAGCGGCTGCCATTTGAATACACGACCCGGTTGGAGGAGATTGTATCTGACTCTGACTACAACTCTGATGATGAAGAGGACACAGACGGCGAAGGGCAGGATGCAGAGCAGACATTCCTGAACCCGCTGGAGAAGGCTAAGCTCACACACCTTCTGGCGCGGCTACCCACCAGTCTCACAAAGCTTCGGAAAGGCGACATTGCCCGAGTCGCCGCGTTTGCACTCATGCACGCCAGTCGCGGCTGTGATGAGGTGGTGGACATGATCGTCAGCAACATCGAAAAGCCATTCGCCTTGACCGCCGCGAATCCACACCGTCCGGCCGACACCAAAGAGAAGGCTGACGAAACCGGACCCGGCGAGGTCACAGACAACAGCGCTGCCAACCTCATTGGCCTCTACGTTGTGAGCGACATTCTATCGGCCTCTTCTACGAGCGGCGTGCGCCACGCCTGGCGCTTCCGACAACTCTTCGAGGCCGCTCTACGGGATAGGAACGTCTTTGAGCGGCTGGGGTGCATGGCAGAAAAGCACGGCTGGGGCCGTATGCGCGCGGACAAGTGGCAGCGCAGTGTGAACCTGGTGTTGAACCTCTGGGAAGGTGCTTGCATGTTCCCTGCGGAGAGCCAGGAGATGTTTGTTAAGACCTTTGCGAAGCCGCCGAGTCTACAGGTGGTGGAGGAGAAGATGGAAGACGACGAGACGGAGAAGAAGGGCAAGTGGAAGACAGTCAAGATCTCTTCACAGAACGAACGAGCCACAGAGGATCATGGCGCGAAGGGATCAATACCGGAAGACGACGACATCGCTGGCGAGCCTATCGAAGACGATGATGTCGCGGGCGAACCCATGGACGAAGACGACATTGCGGGCGAACCCATCGATGAAGACGATGTGGAAGGAGAGCCGATTCTAGATGAAGATGTCGAGGGTGAGCCAATAGGAGAGGACGAGGTGATGGGCGACCATCAGCCGCCGCAGGAGCAGCCCACGGGTGAGAAGGGTGTCCGCAAGAAGCCCAGGATGCGGGCAGTGGACATGTTTGCCGACTCGGACGGGTCTGGAGGCGAAAAGCCCTGAGTTATCATGCTTGAGAGGCGAAAATCCCACGCTTGGCTGAGTGCAATGGTGCATGTCGGCAGGGTTCACGAGCATACTAAACGTCAGCTCGAGAGCACGCATCTGCAGCGCGCCAATACAGCATCATGCAAACGCACGCCGCCCCTCTGTTGTACTGGTGGGGCGAGGCGAGGGAAATCTCTGTGAGCCATCACGAGGTGGACGGTCGGTCTGTCTCCAGCACGGGACCCTCTCGATGTGGTCAAGTTGTTGCGACTGCAGAGATTCAGGGGCTCGCTCACCAGCCGCCCGAGGCACACATGGCTCACTCCCTGAACTGAAGGGAGCCAAGACCCATTGGCCGCAAGCAAATAAATAAGCATCACGATCCCGTACGACGAGATAGAAATACATACAATGAAGGGTTCCCCTCACACGGCGGACGTTAGCGGACGTTGTCGCAGCTGTAGTTTGTCAAGTGGTAGACTGCTCAGAGGCCCAGCCAGGGAGGGCGCTCGTTTTGGGCCAATAGAAACTTGCTCAATACCACCTCAGCCTGGTCACGGTGTCCAGGGTGCTCCTCTCCTCTCTCATCCTCTCCTCTCAACTGGAAGCCACCCACAAAACAAATTGAATCCTATCCTTGTGAGCGGTCTGATCGATGCCAAAAGGGCTGGCTTGTTGTTTCTGACGGTCCTTGCCGCTGTGATGTGGCCTGTGTGATTGCAAATCCGGTCTCCTCATGGCCATGCTCCTTGGTCCGCCACAGGCGATGACCGCACTCATGGAGGCGAAAGTGACAGCATTGTGTAGTGAGCGTCTCGCATGCACCAGCTGGACTGTATTAGATTTGAGAAAAGGTTTTGTAGAAGTACCAGCTGTCTTGAGCACCTCGATATATCTCATTGGGCGTCCGTCGTCGCCTGAGTCTGAAGCGATCTAGCCCTGAGGGGAAACCAAGTCTCCCGCATCATCTGCTAGCACACTAACAGCAACACACCCCGGGACAGCCCGCAAATGTTAGCGACGGGGCGGGCCCATCCCACATGCAAGTACTGCCGACTGCATCCGACTTCACCTGCGCCAACGTGGGGCACTTTAACGGACTCGCCAAGGCGATGGATGCACTCTCATTCACATTCGCGCCGACCTGGTTCAACCTTTATCATCATCATCATCCGTGCAAAAAAATCATTCATGTCCTGCCCGCTGACCGAGCCAACACAGCGGTTCTCTCGTCGTCGAAATCTCGTCACGCCGCCCGTCCGTTGCGACGACATACGCTAAGCGATCCGCGCCCGCCGTTTCAGCCCGCGCGACTGGGGACTTTGAAGTCTGGTGAAATCTCCACTTGCGGTGGTCTCTGTTTCTTGCGCCATTCAACTTGCGGCCCCTGCTCGTGTGCGAGCGACAGTCACATGGGAGGCTAAGCGTGAGAACAACTCCTACAATCAGAGTGAGAAGGAGAGTGAGAGAGGGTTCGCAGGGTGCAGGCATCGCTGCGTGACCGACCGACCTTCAGCCAGGGCGCTTACTCTATCTTATGGTACCTTGACTTTGCGCCGCTGTCTCACCTCGATATCTCATCATGCCTCTCATCAACGGACAAAAGATGGCCTGGTAATCTCACCTCCTCTACCTTGCGCTCTTCAGTCGCATTTGTTTGTCTTGTACTGACCCCACATGCCACAGCGAGCCATGCATCCGCGGCCATCGTTCGACAAAGTGTACTCACGCCAATGAGCGGCTCATGGTACCGGTGCGGAAACCCGGTCGTCCATTGTCATCTTGCCCGCATCCAAGCTCCAAACCATGTGCGTGCAGCGGTCAGGTCACAGCTGCGATACCGAGAAAGCAGAAATGCAGCTGTGGGGAAGGGAGCACCACGACGCCGACGACGACAGCAACAACCGCGCCGGCGACAGAGGCCAGGCTCGAGGAGGAGAGCACATCGCCCACCAGCAGCGGCAACGGTGGAGGCTATCGAGTATCTAAATCGAGACGGGCGAGTGCCGCCGTGAGGAACTTCAACCCAAGCGGTATGGAAAAGATGGACGCGGCGGGCCAGCTCAACCTTGTGTCTGCGGGAGGTTCACAACAGATGACACCAATGACCAGTGCGCCAGGGACACCTTTGGGTGCGTTGCCCATGCAGCAATACTTCGACATGTCAGGACTGGAGACGAATGGCTATTCGGCAGCCTACACCGTGCATCCTCAACGGATGATGCCTGTACCTGCAAATGGCACACCGCCCACAACAAACGGCTCGGCCATGTCCAAGGCCCCAGCAGCAAAGGGGAGTTGCTGCGGAGGGTCGAAGGAGGAGCCAGTGGAGAGCGAGAGTCCCGCGCCGACGCCGTCCACGACATCGAGTTCATCGCCCCGGATCAAGAGCAACGGAGACAAAGCAGGGTCTACCAAAGGCTGTTGTTCCTCTAAAGCGACGCCTGCGGCACAAACGCCCGCTGCAATACCAATGGCACAAACGCCCATGGGCCATCCGGGCATCATCATGCCTACTTTCCCGCAGGCAATAGGCATGCCAAACGGCATGTATCCCTTCTTTGCGCACCCCGGGATATTCACCTATCCACCTCAGTATGGCACGTTCGGGCATCCACTACAGCCTGACCAGTGGCGGCAGATGATGGCGCATGGCTTCGTCGGGCAGCCCATGGCAGTGAATGGTTTCACCATGCCGGCACAGCCCGGCACCGCGCCAGTCCCATACCCTCAAAACACAAATGTCGCCCAGACACACCAGCAAGACGCGACACCCAGCGTCCCGGGAACATCCCATCACTGCTCATGTGGTTCGGACTGCAGCTGTATCGGATGCGCAGCTCATCCGTACAACGAAGCCACTCAGGAATACGTCCGCTCCGCTTGGTCCACCATGCTCAACGAGCAGCAACAGCAGCCGCAGCAACAACAACAAGTGCAGTCCAACGGCCACACACCCCAGAACGAAGCAAACCAGAACGACAATAACGGCACCGGGCCACATACACCCTCCGACGCCGCCTCAGCTCTGAGCGCCGAGGAGCAAACGCTCTCCGCGGATGACTTTTTCTTCGTGAGCTACCCGTTCGGTGATCCGTGTGCAGGTGATGGCACGAGCTGTGCCTGTGTCGAGGACTGCCAGTGCATGCCGCCCTTGCCCTGGTCACCCATAGAACTGCCGAGTGCGTCTCCAGAGCCCCCGCCAGCAGCATCCTGAAAGTACTAAGGGGAAGGGCGTGACGCTACTGTCGCCCTCAGAGTATTGTTGAAGAGGGCATCGTGAATATAGCTGCAACCTCCGCCTCCATATAGTAATCAAGCTGAGCACATATGACTTCCGGGTCTTGGTATATGCCAAACAATTCAACTCAAAGAATTACATGCGTGTCAATTGTAGTTGGACTACTTGCGCAGAGAGAGACAGAGGGTGGCGCTGCTGCCTTAAAGTGCTTTGTCGCGTGCCGGTGGGGCCCACGGCTCAAAGTTCCGCTACCTCGTCGTCCGGCTTGCGGCACCTACTAGGCGCGTAGCTGTACCTCCTAGTCACGTGTCTGCGCGTCCGCTCGCCTGGTCCCGACCCGCGTCGATCAACACGGGTGGCATGCGCGACGCCGCATTCTGCCGCCACCCAACACCATCTTGACAGTCTCTTCATGACTCTGAAGATAGAAATTCACTACCTTCAGACCAACGCAAGTGCAAGCAACGGCTGCCACAATGGGCGACGCACCCGAAAGCCTGTTCAGCGAGTGCGCCATCGCCTTCTATACATGTTCTTTGCTAGCACCTAAACAGGCGGTAGAGGTAGGCAGAGCAGCATCCAAACCCCTGCGTGAACCAAGCTTACAATGTCCAGCTTTCCATACCACTCCGCGAGAATGGCGCTACAGTCCTCGATCCAACATCCGATGGTTCTATACCGCTCGAGCAATGCACCCACATTGTCTCCAATACCGTCGACTTCCCGCAGTTCGCAGAGTCGCAGGCGATGATGATCCCGGTCGTCACCACACAATGGATCGCGGCTTCGTTGGCACGCCGAAAGCAAGCCAGTCCACGGCCTTACTCACCGGACCCACGCATGATTTTCCGCGATTTCATGATCACATGCGCCGATCTCCCCACGATGGACAAGGAAAGCATCTGTGGGGCGGCCATGGCGTTGGGCGGCCAGGAGAGTAAGGAGGCTTCTCGGCTGACGACGCACATCTGCTCTCTCTACATGGACCACCCCAAGATTGAGGCGGCACTGAAAAAGGGGTGGAAGGGCAAAATTGTGCTTCCACACTACTTTGACGACTGCTTCAAGTTGGGGAAGCGAATAGACGAGGGGCCATATACCCTGCCTGATCCCGAAATCCTCAAGAAGACCAAGGACGAGCACATTGACTTTCCGCAGACGGACAATCTTGACAACGCAGTCGAGGCACATCCTACTTACCTCCCACTGCCCCCCGACTCCGACGTCGTCCGCCAATTGACCGTGTTCCAGGATCGCAAGATCATGCTCTCGAACGACCTCAACATCACCTCCCGGCTGCTCAAGGCGGTCTGTGACATTATCAACCTCGGAGGCGGTAGGGTAGTGGAGACCGTCGAGGACTGCGACTGGTATATAGGACAGTACAGAGACGGCAAAGACTATGTCGAGGCGGCGCAACGATGCAAAGAGGTCGGCAATCTGTCATGGCTCTATTCCTTGATCGTGCGGAACGACTACTCGTCGCCTATGCGCCGCCTGATGCACTATCCGATCCCAAGGGACGGAATTGAAGGGTTCAGAGATCTCAAGATCACGGTCTCCAACTATGGTGGTGAAGCCCGCCTATATCTCGAGAACCTCATCAAAGCGTGCGGAGCCGAGTTCACCAAGACGATGAAGCAGGACAATACACATCTTATCACAGCGCGAAACACCAGCGTCAAATGCAAGGCAGCACCAGAATGGGGCGTCGATGTGGTGAACCATCTTTGGATCGAGGAGAGCTACGCCAAGTGCGAGAAGACACCGATTACCGTGCCGAAATATACCCACTTCCCACCGCGGACTAACCTGGGCGAAGTTATTGGCCAGACCCCTATCAACGAGCGCCGTTTGCGGGAACTGTACTACCCGGGGGGGGAGGAGATGATGTCCCCTGGGACAAAGAGAAAGCGCAAGATCCTCGACGATGCCGCAGACAACGCCCTGGGCATGGCTGAAGGGCCCTCCACTGGCAGTGCTAGTAAAGACCTTAAAAAGGCCACCAGACCCTCAAAGACTCCCAAGGATGTTGCTACGCCCGTGCGTAAGAAGCGGGCTAACTCCGCCTCGGAGAAGGAAAACGAGACGCCAGAAATCGGTTCGACAGGGGGGCGGAGCGCCAAAGCCAAAGCGAGAGACAAGCTACAAACGATTGCACCTGATATCGCGCTCTATGAGAAGGAGAAGAAGCGCGCAGGGAAGCAGGGTACGCCGTTTGGTGGGAAACGCGCCACCGATCAGTACGAAAAGTCGAAGGAGCTAGAAAAGCAACAGTGTTCATCTCATGAGCCTGGAGAAGACGATGAGGAAGAGCGGAAACGCCCAGCAAAGAAAGCTCGGCCGTCGCTGCCAGACGTGGAGATGCGCATTGTGCTCACGGGCTTTCAGCGATGGGTCGGGTCACAGATCAAAGAGGACCAGGATAGGGTGAGTACATGTCGCTTGAGGCTGTTGCTTCATGCTAACAAGTTGCAGCGCAAACTCCGAGATATGGGTATCCAGATTGTCCAGGAGAACCAGGCCTGCGACTACCTCGCCGCGCCCCACGTGTTACGGACGGTCAAATTCCTCACAGCTCTCGCCCGTGGCCCGACTGTCATCAACAGCGCCTTTATTGAGGAGGCCCTCGAAACAGGGAACTTGCCCGACCCCAAGAACTTTATCCTCAAGGACGCCAAGTACGAGAAGGAGCACAAGGTCAAGCTTGACCAGTCTGTCATCCGAGCCAAGGCGAACAAAGGCCGGCTCCTCAGGGGCGTGCCCGTGTACTGCACCGACAGCATAAGCCACGGCCCCGAGACGTATCAGACGATTGCACAAGCCAACGGGGCGATATGGCTTGTCTACCGAGCGCGCAGCGGGACAACCATCAAGCCCACAACGGCCGAGGAGGATGGTGGCGCGCCGCCGGATCCAGTGTATCTGCTCAGCACGGCCAACCCGGCCGAGAGACAGCTGTGGCCTCGGTTCCGCGAGATGGCCAAAAAGGGCAACATGGAGCCGAGGATCGTGGCGCCCCAGTGGTTGCTCGACGTGGCCATGGCGCAGGAGAACCGGTTTGACGACCAGTTCCTCGTGGAGAAGTACTACGCCGACGACCTGAAATGAATCTTGTCCAGCCAGGGCCAGCGCCTTGGAGTACTTGATAGCCGCATGTATATATATGTCCAGTAGCAATGTCACATGAAGCATCCAACGCGCTCAGAAGAATTTGACACCGAGCGAATCGTCCTGACCGAATATCTGCGCGCGTCCGCGTTTGACGAGGTGGTTGAGCGCTTTGAGAAGCACCTCGCCGTCCATGCCGTGAAATTCGGTGCCGAGCGTGGCCTCGCCCTCTGTGATCTCGTAGAGGGTCAGGACATGACCCTTTTGGGCCGTGTCCTCCACCCACTTCTCGAGCTTGCGGGCCCAGTCCTCTGGCTTGCGCCAGTAGACAAAGACCTCGTTACCGACCCACTCGACGCGACCGTCCTTGCGCATGTGCTCGAGCAGCTCGCGGGCGTCGGGCTCGGCGAAGCGCCTGTCGAGCTTCTTGTTGTGAAAGACGGGGTGGGTGGGCGAGAGGCGGAAGAGGCGGTGGTGGCGGGCGTAGGCGAGGACGAGGGCGGACCACTTTTCGAGCTGGGCGTGGTGGGTTTGGAGGTTGGGCTGGCGGGTGAAGAAGGCGGGGAAGGAGTAGTCCTTTGGGAAGGGGAATGTGTCCCCTGCTTCGGTCTGGATGGCGGTGGACATGATTGTGAGGTGCGCGTGGTGATGTTTGGGCAAGGTAGGGTGAATGAATGGAGGGGAGTGGAAGCATGACGTGGGGTTGGTTTGGCTGGAGGGACGAACACGTCGCGTGGTGGGGTTCTAGGGAGGAGGGTCGGATTGGGTTACCCTATTGACTTACACTATAGAAGGCAGTGACTGGAACAAATGAGGCACGTGTTGCAAAATTCACCCGAACATCATTCCAGGAGCTGTTGACAGGGCAGTGAGTGTTACGGTGGGATATTAGATCAACAACTGCCAAGTGGCTCAACCACCAATGCATACACGCACCTTCGTCGTTGCAGCCTTACGCAAATCGCTGCCTTTGCCGTAGAATTTAATTCTATAACAAATAAATCTATTCATTATGATCTAGCGATATTGTGCTGTGTGCAATTAGTGGTTGAGCCACTTGGCAGTTGTTGATCTAATATCCCACCGTACAGTGTTGCCGAGATACTCCCTCTTGAATTCTACACGCTTTGGCGCTTTGAAATCGCTATGAGCGTGTTTCTGAGATGATTTTGCCGTTTCGTGCCCCTGAGAAACACACCACCCCCAGAGGCATGACACTGGAATAATCATCGGCAACATGAGTCGACATGACCCCATTTCGAACCCATCTCCTTTGATTCGTCTTGATACCGCGCCTTATCTATCGCCAGCGCTCGCAATCTGTCCTGGTGAACGGGCGACAGCCTCTACTTGGCCCCACATATCTCGAGGTTGCTTTCTCCGCGGCCTGATAGAGCGCCCTGATTGGCTGGCGTGTAAGACCAGGTGCTCTTATCGAGGTCGCCTCGCGCTCAACCCACGGAAGTGCTCTGACAATGCAACCGTCCGTGGGAAGATAGGAGATGCATGTTTGAATCTGAGGATGGGTGTCTCTGGCTGCTGTACTTGCGCAGCATGCGGCGTGTGGAGGGAACAGTGATCCTAGACATGCGGAACATCTGAGGGTCCAGGGGATGTCTGTCCTCCTTCTCCCCTTTGCAAGAACTTGATCGAAGCACATTTTCGCTCCGCTGCTGAAAGTTGAACCTGCTTCCACTGGCAAGAGAGCGTCATGGCCGCCCAACGGAAGAAGCTGGTGGTCGTCGGACTGGGCATGGTTGGCATTGCCTTCATGTAAGTTCTCGCTCGTGACGCGGAGACAAACATCAAGCGATGCTGATGCCGTACCAAGAGAAAAAGTGCTCAAATACGACGCGAGGACGCGCGAGTACGACATCACAGTACTCGGCGAGGAATCACATCTGGCGTACAACCGCGTGGGCCTCACGAGTTTCTTCGGCCACCGCAAAGTGGAAAACTTGTACCTCAATCCGGCCGAATGGTATACACAAGCACCCGAGGGGGCACTCGGCTACCATATCAACTCCAAAGTCGTCGACATTGACTCTGCCGCGAGGACAGTGACTTGTGAGAATGGCAACGTCGTGGCCTACGATGTCCTGGTCCTGGCAACGGGCTCCGACGCCATTCTACCGAGACACACGCCCGGTCACGACGCCACGGGCGTCTTTGTCTACCGCACAATCGAAGACTTGCAACGTCTCATTGAGTTTGCCGGCACAAAAAAGGACTCTGTGGGCGCGGTGGTGGGCGGCGGCCTGCTGGGTCTCGAGGCGGCCAAGGCGATGATGGATCTCGAGTGCTACAGTCAGGTGAAGCTCGTCGAGCGGAACAGATGGGTTCTCAGTCGTCAGCTGGACAGTGACGCAGGGACCATGGTCGTGCAGCAGATCCGTAACCTGGGACTCGACGTCCTGCTCAGCAAAAGGGTCGCCAGCATCAAGACGGACGAATCGAATAGCGTGACTGGGGTCGTCTTTGAAGATGGTGACGAGATGGACTGCTCAACCATCTGCTTCGCCATTGGTGTGCGGGCGAGAGACGAGCTCGCCGTCAAGGCTGGCCTCGCCTGCGCCGAACGTGGCGGTGGCATCCTCGTCAAGGACGACCTCAGCACGAGCGCGCCGGACGTCTACGCCATTGGCGAATGTGCCAGCTGGCAAAACCAGACGTTTGGACTCATCGCCCCAGGCGTGGAGATGGCAGACGTCTTGGCGTTCAACTTGACGCAGGCTAGGCTACACTCACCGAGGACATTCAAGCGCCCGGACCTGAGCACCAAGCTGAAGCTCCTGGGCGTCGACGTAGCCAGCTTCGGCGAGTACTTTGCGGACCGCGACGGGCCCCGATACCTCCCAGCCAAGTACACTCGCGCTCTCAAGGCCACAGCCAACGGGGATGGTGCCGGCAAGCAGCCCCCGGACGCCATGGTCAAGTCTCTGACCTACAAGGACCCCTTTCAGAATGTGTACAAAAAGTACATCTTCACCATAGACGGCAAACATTTACTCGGTGGGATGATGATTGGCGATACATCTGACTACGTCAAACTCGTACCCATGGTGAAGAACCAGAAGGAGCTCGAAGTAGCCCCCAGCGAACTCATCCTCGGGGCCAAAAGGGACGGCGATGGTGACGAGGACCTCGACGACGACACGCAGATCTGCTCCTGCCACAACGTCACAAAGGGCGACGTCGTCCACGCTGTCAAGGACGGGACATGCACCGACTTGACCGGCATCAAGACATGCACCAAGGCCGGCACGGGCTGCGGAGGATGCATGCCTCTCGTCACGACCATCTTCAACAAGGCCATGCTGTCCATGGGCAACGAGGTCAAGAACCACCTCTGCCCGCACTTTCACTACGCCCGCGCCGATCTCTACCACATCATCATGGTCAAGCGCCTGACCACGTTCCAGGAGGTGATGCGCGCGGCCGGCCACGACCCGGACAGCCTCGGGTGCGAGCTGTGCAAGCCGACGGTGGGCAGCATGTTCGCCTCGCTCTGGAACCGCCACGTCATGGACAAGCCCACGCACGGCCTGCAGGACACCAACGATCGCTTCCTGGGCAACATTCAGCGCAACGGCACGTACTCTGTCGTCCCGCGCGTGTCGGGCGGCGAGATCACGCCGGACAAGCTCGTCGCCATTGGCGCCGTGGCCAAAAAGTACAACCTCTACACCAAGATCACGGGGGGCCAGCGCATCGACATGTTTGGCGCCAAGAAGCAGGACCTCCTGGATATCTGGGGCCAGCTCGTCGTCGCCGGCATGGAGTCCGGCCACGCTTACGCAAAGTCGCTGCGCACCGTCAAGAGCTGCGTCGGGACGACGTGGTGCCGCTTCGGCATCGGTGACAGCGTGGGCATGGCCGTCCGCCTCGAGGAGCGCTACAAGAGCATACGCGCGCCGCACAAGATCAAGGGTGGTGTCAGTGGCTGCGTGCGCGAGTGCGCCGAGGCGCAGAACAAGGACTTTGGCCTCATCGCCACGGAGAAAGGGTTCAACATCTTTGTCGCCGGCAACGGGGGCGCGAAGCCTAGACACGCGGAGCTCCTCGCCAAGGACGTGCCGCCGTCCGAGGTGGTGCCCATCCTGGACAGGTACCTCATGTTCTACATCCGAACGGCCGACAAGCTCCAGCGCACGGCACGGTGGCTGGAGAACCTGCCGGGGGGCCTCCAGTATCTCAAGGAGGTCGTCCTCGAGGACAAGCTCGGCATCTGCGCGTCCCTCGAGGCGCAGATGCAGGAACTCGTCGACAGCTTCTTTGACGAGTGGGCCGAGGCCATCAAGACACCCGCCATGGCGGCCAAGTTCAAGCAGTTCCAGAACACAACCGAGACCGTCGACAACATGGAGGTGGAGCAGGACCGCGGGCAGGCCCGTCCCGTCTTCTGGGCCAAGGACGCCGCCGCCGAGGACTTTCAGGGGTTGCGCGCGCGCTGGTCCACCACGACGTGGCAGCCCGTCATCGAGGCGTCGTACTTTGACGGCGCGGACGAGAGCCCCAATGGCATCTCGGCCACCATCAAGCGCGGCGACACGCAGCTGGCCCTGTGGCGCTTCCGGGGCCGGTACTATGCCACGCAGCAAATGTGCCCCCACAAGCGCGCCTTTGTCCTCTCCGACGGCCTCCTCGGCCAGGCGCCACGCGACGATGAAAGCGTCGGCGACGCGCAGCCTGCTCAGGCGGGACCTACGAAGTCGCCCTGGGTATCGTGCCCTCACCACAAGCGCAACTTTGACCTGTCGAGTGGCGCCTGCAAGACGGACGAGAGCCTCTCCATTGCGACCTTTGAAGTGCAGGTGCGCGACGACGGCTTGGTGTATCTCGATCTGCCCCCCGTGGCGGAGCTGGACGCCGCGCTGGGCACCAGGAAGTGGATGGTCAAAAAGGGCGAGGCGGGCGAGTCGCCGTTTGCGCAGCTGGATCGCAAGATTCAGTTCAAGGGGATCAGAGGCAAGAAGCCGTCTGCCATGCCGCACGCAGCCACCAGTATGCAGCGTCCGGTGGCACTCATGGCCGGTGGTGGTGGTGGTGGTGGTTGCGGCAGCGCACCGGACTGGTAGTAGTAGTAGTAGTAGTAGTAGTAGTAGTAGTAGTAGTAGTAGTAGTAGTAGTAGTAGTAGTAGTAAGCTGAATGGGAGAAGGATTTCAAGACAGTGAATGGACGTCGTGTGATGTGTGTGCGTGTGTTTGCGGCTGTATCACCCCATCCGTGCTGCAGCTTCCGTTATATGTCAAGCTGTGTAACATGAGCAGTCAAGTCTCCCAAGGAGGAGGGGTAGTTAGTGGCTTGTTCGTAGTCTGTACAGACAGTGGTTACTGTCTGTCCTGCAGGAATCAAGGCAGCAGGAGTGCGAGGTCTGGCGACAGCCTCTGACGCAGGGAGCCGCGTGAATGGGGGCGCATCGCAGGAGACGACAAACGTCTGGCGGGATGGCCTCGTCACCGCGTACATCTACATGTACTTATCTGAGTGAGCGTGGACGTGTCCGTGGGCGTATAGTCACGAGTTTTGTTGTCTTTGCAGATACTATGCAGCCGACAGTTTACTGTGCGACGTGCTCGTCCATGTCTGTGCGTGTATACATACAAATGTGTATGTAGGGAGGGACATTAGTAAACATGTGCACGACTTGCAGCTTCTCACGCTCTTGTGTGAACTTGGCGCTGCCATGAAAACGAACGTTCCGGTACCTGTCGTCGGGGGGGTTCTCCTCGCCCTGATACTCGCAAGTGCAAGCAGACACAGCGCTGGCTCGCGCCGACACAACGCAAGCTCGCAAGCAGGCACTGGAAGTGTTTCTTTGCTCTGGCGCGTTGGACAACTACCGAGAGGGCAGACGTTGGCGATAGTCAACGCCATCTTCTCGTCTCGTCTTGAAAGTTCTTCAAACTTTTACAGATCCACGCACATCGTTGGGCTGAAATGATGAAAGTCGAACGTGGGTATTGTGGCGATTTCCATGGCATAGAGCAAGTCCATTGTGGTCTCACTCAGGAGTTCAGCAGGGTCTGGAGAGCGTGTCGCTATTGCCAAGTGGAATGCCACCCGTGTTTTCAATGGGCGTGGCCGGCCTCCTTCATTCAGCCCCTTTCCCCTCCAAAGGTACAGAGGTAGCCCACGTGTTGAGCCGCAATCGACAAGTATTTGCTGGTATTAATTATTAGTTGTCCAATGAAGAAGAAAAGAGGCTCTGCTACGTACTCCGATAAGAATGGGTAACTGTGCCCAACCGAACAGCTTGCGGCTTTCGTTGGGCATCACTGACAAGTTCCCGAAGCGTGGCACCAGCCAGTCGCGTGCAGACGAAGCAGGCAAACTCGGGTTCTTGGTGGGATCTTTGCGTCGCAGATCCTATTCAGGGACTTTGGAGTCTGGATCAGTGGGTTCCGTCGAACCCCTAGGTCCTTTACTATGTATGTTCGAGAAGCCACGGTTACCCATGATCGTCGTCGCGATGCCAATGACCGACTCATGCCGAGCTTGTATGACCTCGAGGAGTACTTGTGATCACAGTGCTCGAGGAGTTGTGCGTACGGTCGACGGTCGACTGGAGAGTGTTTGGTCAGTCGTGTAGGTACTGTATGATCTTGCACACCGCTGCAGGGTTCAGCACGCATCCATCAACTGTCAGTGGTGGTGCATGGGCCCGGCTCGGCAGCACGATCACGACTGGAGCTGATTCGTGGATGGCAGGCTGCTTTTGCTTTTTCTGACGGGAATCTATCTGCGAGCCTTGCCATTGTTGGCACTCCGTAATAATTATTAAGGTAGACAGACACGTGCAGTCAGTCAACTGAGACATGGCCGTTGCGTGGGCTCTTTACATCCCTCAACTATTGACTACCCTGTAGATATGATCGTCCATCCAGCTGAGACAGTCACATCAGCCAACGGTTCGCACCTAAACGAGGGCACTTTGCGAGCAATGTGTTAGCTTCTCGTACTTCACTATCCGTAAGGTACTTAGGTATGTACGTACGCAAGTTGGCTCAATGCTAGGCACAGAATGGAACAAAGACAGGCGCTCCAACCCACATGCAGTCAAGCCATTGTCAGTTGGCGAGAACGACAGTGAGGCTGTCAATGTTGCATCCTGTCATGCTGTCCCTGTCCCTGTCAAAAGACCCCAACTCAGAATCCCTCAGCAAGAGACGCTGGCCGAAATGTGACACAGTCACACAGCCGTCATCGTCGGCCATCAATGATCAACACGAATCGACTCGCGCAGTGTGGTTCATCAGCGCTTAGGCGGCGGCATCATCGCCAGAGGAATACAAACAAGCCATCCATGGCTGAGACTGGCTCCAATCCTCGGACATGTCCGTCTGCAAAGCATCTACGGGCCGTACGGAGTTGTAGACGGATTGCCATTGTAACCGCCAATACCTTCACTATGCAACCATACGTACAAGCAACATGACTCGCGCGTTGAGACAAGCGACGGTCGCTGTACATCCTTTGATGTATTTAATCCGGCAACTGGTCGATCTCCCAGTGGTTCAATACTACATGTCACTTGTACCTAGGTAACCAGCCGGGAAATGCTTTTCCCTCCCAGCCCTCTCATTAATACCAGCAACAAACTGACTGAAATTCACTAGATGAACATTCGGGTGATCCGTGTCAATCTGCTTCATGGTCCGTCCCGCTTCCCATGCCATCCGTTATTAGCGCTCAACTCCACAGCAAATTTCCAGTCGTCGGCCCTGAAGTTGGGACCACACGATACGTAATTCGAGAAATTATGTACGTAGCACATTTCTGCCACGCAGACGAGACGCAGAAAGGGTCGTGGGCGTGCATGAGGTCCGCATCCTCCCTAGTACACATCCTCCGTTCGTACAGTCCCGCTACGTATGCACATATCAAAATGTGGGAGGCCTGGCACGATTGTGTCATTGTTGACAGCCACTGTGTCGCGCAGACTGAAAACTGCGCTGCCCAGCGGTGACTAATACCTGCAATAGCTGCCAGCCCACACAGCCAGCGGTTGCCAATGCCCTCAAGCGGTGACGCCAGGCGTGAGGCGACTGGACTGGACCGCTGGGCTGGTGTCATGGGACGCGAATTCCAAATCTTGCAAGATGCTGATCGGTTGTTTCACATTATTGCTCGCTAAGAAGGGAGAATCGCTTCATCGACAGGATCGCAAGACCCCATGCGGAAAAATGAATACAACAATTACAAATATTGTTCGGAGACAAAGGGCACGACAGGTAACAGGGCCGGGGCTTCGCGTGCTGGAACCCACTGAAGCATCCACTAGAGCAGGACAGGGATGACATGAGTCTCAAGTACACTGTTACCTCCGTCCTTATTACTGCTTGATTTTTTTTAGCCACTTGTGAGGTCCAGCCGCCGGGACCCAGAACCAAGGCGTCGGATTCTTGTTATTTATACATGTAGTACGTACCTGCCTGGGCTGACCAGGTAGGGCCTGTCAACGCCCGTTGACAAGACAATTGTAATCGACTATTGGTCGTTGGTCCATTCCTTCTGTTTGAACTCATGCTGCTGCCTGGTAGTGAGCAGGCGAACGAACAACAAGTCAACAAATCAACCGTCACTCATCAGCTGAATCGTCAAAGACACTATTGATGAACAATGGCTGTACGATTGTATCAGATCAAACACGTGATGATAATTAGCCTGTGGCTCTGACGTAGCGCAGCAACAGCCACCTACTGAACAGTGCGTCTCTTCTTCCCTTGCCCGGCACCGAACTGTTCCCACCGTTCATCTCGACAATACGAGTGCCCATGCCGATTATCACCTTCGCAGTTCAAGTCCGCTCGCTCCCGACGCCGACGAACATGCCACGCCTCACGCCCCATGTAGCGAGATCGCCCTGTCAACGTTTGTTTCTAATAACTTTCTAGAACGTGTGCTGGTGCGTACGGGGAAAATACGTAGCGTCGCAAGTGTCAGGACCCTGTTGGGTATGCATGTACGGGCACGAAACGGGCAATAAGAGCAAGCTATACAGCCTGTTATGATATGGGCATGCCAGGCCTGAGACGCGGTCATATGCAACCGATGAAATTGACACCTGCAATGGCACGCTGCGACGTAACCATTGCATGGCTTGAATCCAAACTCCACGTCAATGCGTAGTATCAATGTTGGAACAATCATCATCCAAGGACCTGGGCGTACAGCGGCAACAAGAGTACCTTACGTATGACTCGAGCCGATACCCAGATACAACGGGCCTGGGGTATCTCCGCACGGGCGTTTCGGAAAAGGCCAGCCATTGTCTCTCGTGAAAGCAAATTATTTAGCTCATAGCGACGTGGTGTTGAGTGGACAATTAGATAGAGACCATCGAATAAACCTCGTGCCAGCCCATGGACCCCTATATCAAATAAACAAGACGTACAGTGATTCTCGGGCCAAATGGTCGTTAGCTACGGCATGTCGCGGTTGGATCTTGAATAGAGTTCAAACGGTGTCGACGGACCGGAGCGTTGCTTTCTGGAATGCGGGCCGGCAGCCAGCAGCCACGATTCACTTTTGTATCGGAATCACTTTCCTAGCGAGGTGCAGCATTGCGGCCGCATAGAGAGACTATTCGCGTATCGTGACCATGTCACAGGGCATGCTTTGACCGCTTCATGTCAATAATGAGGCTGTTGTTTTTGTTACGTACAGTCGCAGATGCGAAAGATGACGGTAAAGGTCCGATTTCGTCGTTGGTGAGGATGCGGGAGCGCGCGTGGTTGGTTGGTGGGTAAAAAATTAGTGGCAGCCTCATCAATAACCGATTGGACAAATGGTGGCATCAATGTGAAACGACACTTTGTCGTGGCCCTTGACCTTGAAATTGCCTACCCTACCACTTGCATGCGGAGCAATTCGACCGCGCAATGGATGCCATAATAATAATAACTTAGATCCCTTTTGACTCTTTGCGTGAGCGGTGATTGATAAGCATTGTATCTACACACAAGCCTCTCGTGATGGGATGGCCGTGTTCAAGGCCGATGCCACGGCGGTGAGCGATGGTGTTCATTCAATGCGCTGAATCGAAAGGCTAACAAGTGGAGGACTGTCATGCCTCGGTGCCAGCTCTGCAGCCATGAACATAGGATTAGATCACCAGACCCGTAGACAGGAAAATCCGTCAATGCACCATGGTGCGTAGCTCATGGCGAAGAGTTGACCGCTGCTTTGCTCGTGTCCGGTCTGATGCTACGGAGTACGTACTACGTACGTTGGCTTTGACGGCTGTGGCGCACCCCGTCAATGCCATTCATGGTGGTGCCCAATGCCCCCGCCCTTCCCTGCCTGATCAACAGCGCCAGGTAAAGGCAAACTACGTAGTATGGTCATTACTAGCTGCCGCTGGTGGCAGCTAGAGGCAGGTGCGAGCATTGCATTGTCCTTGAGTCAAACGATGCACATACGGGGAGGGGAGCCAGCAAGAACGCCCCTGAGACACATGGAGATGCGCTCACGTGACAAGGACCTGGTCCTTCCATGAGGTACCTACCGTTCTACCTTAGCAGGTATCGCCGATAGCCTGCCAACAACAGGCCGGTGCAGTCTTCCTTCCTTGTGTTCTCACCACCACCTCCAATCAGATAGTCATGAGTCAGCCAGCCAGCCAGCCAGCCAGCCATTGAGCAGCTGTTGGTGGGCAAGTATTTTTTCAAGCTGGCGAAAACACGATGGCTGTGGAATCTGATGATTGTTCAATGGTCTCGTCAGACTTTGACTGCTGAAGCCAGGCCGTCGGCTGGCTGGAAGTGGCCGCCTTTCCGCTCCCCCCCCCGCACCGATCCGTCCATGTTCAATTGCGGCGGATTCACGACTCGCGCAGGGGTCAGCGGCCACGGCCTAGCATGCTCATTCAGGCTTGGTTCGGCTTTGCTTTGGCTTGGCCTGGGTCTGGTCCGGTCTGGGACTCTGGGTCGTCGGACGACGTCTGGCTGAGCTCTCCAACAAGGCATCCCTGTGCGTACTACACCACCAATAACGAACATCTCCACACGAGGCGCGCTTCCTCCACTGCGCTCGCCTGTTGACCGCACCATTCAGCCGTGCGTGGCATTGGCACCGTCTTTATTATTGTCCTTACCGTCTTTTTTAGCTCCGGCGCCGACTTTTTCACCATCTCGAACTCGGAGTCAAGGTGACATTCGTGGTCGGGACGGCAAAAGCAACAGAGACTCGTCCTGTCCGTACTCTCTCGCTCGCGGTACCCTTCCAAGTAAGGTAGTCGTTCGGTCAGACGCTACACGGGCGTCACAGGTATTTAGGCGGGCTCCAAAAGCTCAGCTCTGGCGTACGTACCGGTACATACGTACATGCGTGTGTGTGCGCACATGGGCGCGCACGGACAGCAACGTCGGGAGCTCCACTGTGGGCAGCTTTCTCGGACGCGCGCGCTGGGTCTGGGCACGTACGTACCGTACAAGTACGTACCTGACCTGGCCTGAGGCTGTTCGCTGCTGCTGACGCTGTTTTGCTGTTCTGCTCTGCCCAGCCCAGCCGCGGAGTCTCCTCATTGTCGCAAAGTGCAAAGCCTTCGCAATCACGGCTCACGTCGCAAGAGACCAACAACAACAAGGCAGCGTGACCGTACCAGGGGCAATCCTATTATCGCAGAGCATCAGGGTTGACCGACGCTCGGCACCAGCGACCGCGCCATCTCATTCTCTCTGTCAGACAAGCGCCCCATTCACCGGGGTCTAGTGACTCCAGTCCTCGCACGCCCGCCGCCAGCGGACCAGGCAGGCCATTTTTTATCTCAGTCCCAGGCACAGATCGCGCTCGCACGTTTCTTGGCGCTCGAGGAGCTTATTTCGTGGCATTCGCTCACCACCTCCTCCATACTGTACTGCCTGTCAACCCGACAGCTGGTCGGCCATCACCCAGTCACCTCACCCCCCGGGCCCAATGTCATCATAGCCTCGTCTTGCTCCGACATTAGGTCGCCCGAGTCGCGTCTGATCCTTGCTCGGAGGGTCCATCTATCACACTTACTCACCCTCCCTGAATTTTGCCCGTCAACTCTGCTACAACTGGCCGACGCTTCCCTCACTGTGCCGTCTTGTACTATAGCTCCCGAGCCTCACGCCCGCCATCGCGGAACCTCCATGGCCACCGCCTCTCTTGTGGACCCTGCCTCGTTTTCCACCAAGACAACCTTCTTCTTGTTCTCTTCCCGGTATGACTCCGTGCTCAGTGCTTGTACATATATAGTACCAAGTACCGTGCCGGCGTGTCGCACATCATGGACCCTGGACCTCCCGACTCCAAGCGACAGCGCATCAGCCCATGGTCATCTGCCTCGCATCAAGGCAACGTTCTACCGCGACCTCATAGTACCACCAACCCTCTCCCTCCCGTCCGAACCACCGCGAGCCATCACCACCCGAGTACGGCCTACCCGCCATACTCTCCTCACCGTCCCGTCGATCATCATCACCAACCACCGCCGCCACCACCACCACCACAGCAGCAGCAGCAGCAGCAGCAGCATCAACAACAACGGCAACAGGCGCAAGCACCGCCACCGCTACAGCCTCACTCTTCTGCGCCGCCCACACCTCTTCACCACCCTTCTGCCGGCGCGCCGCCCTTGCACTCCGAGTCCACAGAGCGGCGCAAACATGACCAAGAGCCTTATGCTCCAATGAACGAACACTACCAACATCAGCATCACGCACACCAGCACCAGTCGCACCATCCTCCTGCCTCGCCGGCGCGTAACGCCTACCATCCCTACCCGCCACGCGAGCCAGCAAGCGTGAAGCGCGAACATCCCGCTGAGGATCCTCATCGACCAAACTCGACGGGCCATGCGCCGGAGGGATTAGCGCACCCGTCGCATCCTGCCTCTGGTCACCATCCTTCGCTGCCACCGCCTGCCAACTATCCCGATAGCCAGCCCAGGCATCTGAGCTATGACAACGGCTCGTCGATGCCTCCAACACCTGGCGGCTACCGACCACCACAACCGCCGCCGCCGCCGCCGCCGGCATCCTATGGGCCCCCGAGCGCGACGCCCATCCCGACCCAGGGGGGCTACGAATCCCAGAACCAGTACCCATACGAACCCGCTGTCTACAACGTAGCGTACTCCGTGCCGTCGAAGAAGAAGAATACACGGGCCTCGCAAGCATGCGACCAATGTCGCACACTCAAGGCAAAGTGCGATGAAACAAAGCCATGTAAGACATGCAGAGACAAGGGACTGGAGTGCAAATACCGAGACCCGATGCCGAAGGCGTAAGTATTGCCCATATCAATCATGTTTGGTGACGATGGGGTTGACCGGAAACAGCACCGATAAGGCACAGGCCGATCTATTAGACGGGATGAACGCCATCAAAAACACCTTGACGGCGCTTGCCGAGCAGTTTAGCAGCTTCCAAAACCACATGGTCAAGGTAGAGACCAAGGTCGACACGAACTTCACACAAGGCGCTGTGCCCCCACTGTTCAAAGCCTCGTCCACGAATGACGAAGGCATCAAGACCAGACCTCACTCGCCGAGCCTGCCGAATGGAGGTTCTGCGTACTATCCCCAGGACTACCCCAGCAATGGGACCATGGGGCCCGAGCAGGCCGCCGCTATGAGAATGATGGCAGAAGATGTGGGCGAGACTGAGCCAGGACCTCCGGTCCCACCTGGCGAGCCTGCCATTCCCATCAACCACACTACGCTCGCTGGACTTCTACTTGAGTGGCCATCCATTCGAGACCTGACCAAGGTTCACGTTGAGCGAGAAGGCATCAAATACGTTAGCGAATACCCCATCGCCCTCGAGCAACAGCGAGGTCCGCTGATTGTCTATGGCCGCGGTGAAGACTCCCATGCGCAGCGGTACAGCCGCGAGCCCACCGAGAGTGGTGCTGCTGACGTTCCCGATGATGCGTCGGACGCGGCGTCTCCCTCCGACTCGGCTGACTTTGGCTATCTGGGTGGCTTGCAATCCCCTGAGCCCGTCGAGTACAGGGGAGGCGTACTCCGGGCCGATGGCAATCCTGACTTTTCAGAAAGTAAGGTCTGGTCATATATCGCGAGCTTCAAAGCGAACATACTCAACATGCACCCTATTCTGGACCTGGACATGGTGGACCACAAAGTCATTCACTTTCTGGCATCGCTACCGCCTGCACAGCCGCGGTCGACAAAGCCCCATGCTGCGAAACCATCCTTTGCGATTTCCACCCACCCTCAGACCCCTGCTGAATCCACGGGATCCAAGAGAAAGAGGACACCGGAACCGGACGGCCCAGATGAGCCGCCGACGCCGGCACCGGGGCGATCTGGAAAGCCTAAGAGGTCTATCCAGAACGCCCTTGTCCTAACCATCTTGGCCCTAGGGAAGATTTGCCAGCACCGGGACTCTATTCCTGATGCTGTGGTTTCCTCACAAGCCGAGCCGGGAACATCTGCCAGTCCCATGGTTCGCAACGGCATCCCACAGTCTCCGACCTTCTCGTCGCCTCCAGGCTACTCCTCACAACCGCACTCTTCCACCAGGCCTTCACCGAGAGATCATATCGACCGGACCACTCACAGCAGGCGCGGTTCCTTCCATGGCACTTCGATTCCTCGGTCGGCTGGATACAACCTGAAGAAGAACTACGACATGATCCCAGGCTTGGAATATTTCGCCTATGCCTCTGATATTTTGGGGAACTTCAACGGTGCCTATAACAGCATGGATGAGGTCTACGCCAACATTTTCGCCGGTCTCTACTATGGGCAGTTGAATCGGCCATTGGAAAGCTTTTCCTTCATTCACCGTGCTGGGCACAAATTGCAGGTGATCATGCGCCCGTAAGTACCATTGCGCCGCACCTAGCAAGATAGAATTAACGTCATCTTTAGGAGCTTCGACAAGCTGCGCGGTTTCAAGCAGCGTAGCGAGCTGATCACTCAGTCCCGATACAATCGTCTCGCTCTGGCCTTCTGGACATGTTTGCAACTCGAGGCCGACCTCATCGCCGAGCTTCCCATGCCGCCCTCTGGACTGCTCTCGTACGAAGAAGACATGCCCCACCCGAACATGAGCCTTGTCAGGGGGTATGACCAGTATATTCTTGACAGCTATTTGGGCCAGCTGTATCTCCGGACACATCTGAACAGCATCCATCGCATGTTCTACGCACCTGAAGACCCCCAGAAGCCTACGCAGGACAAGTTCAAAAAGGTGGCCATGGTAGCAGAAGCAGTGTCTAGCATGCACTGGGTCTCACCAAATTTCGCATTCAGCGAAGACGATCCACCAGCGACCGATATTCTTGCGGCGCGTCTCCGGGCCAAGTACTGGGGCGCGCGAATGATCACGTACCGACCTTTCATCCGCCAGATCCTTCATTTCACGCACGCACTTCGGCAACACCCCTCAAGTCCTAATCCGTTGATGTTCCCCGAAGTTCTGCAGGGGACCACTGTCCCGGCGATCGACCCTGAGGCCAAGTCGGTGAGCGACATTGACCCTGCCTTGATCGATCTGGCCAGCAAGGGCATAAAGGCCTTGGTGGAGAGTACGCGGGCCTTCCACAACCTTGATGGTGGCCGGCCTATCATCACCAACGTGTTCGGCACTGCACACGCGCAGTGGGGCAACCTCCTGGTCCTCTCCGCGGCGTTCAGGGAGCCAGTGCTGCAGCAGTTCATCAACGAAGACCTCCTCAAGGTTCTGTTTGAGCGGACCATAGGCTTCTTGAGACAGTCGGCCACAAACTCGAGTTCCCTGCGCAGCGACCTGCACATTCTGGAAGGGCTGCGCCGTGAGCTCTTCTACATCCCCGAACCTCACACGAGCTCGAGCTTCTCCTCGAGCCATGCGAGCATGCACACGCCCACCATGGGCAACATACCATACGCAGTCAACTACGCCACGCAGCCAGCTCGACCGCCACATTTGGATGGACACTGAGCGCTTTGCGCCAGCGGCAAGCTCTGCAATCTACACACACTCACACTCACACACTCACCCACATATACGGCGTTACGACTCGATGCTTTTCTCCACGTCCTTTTTCTCTCTTTGTTTTTCTTGGATACTCACAGGCTCTCTTCTCATCATTGGGTCATTTTCTCATCATCATTGGGTGGTCTACTGAATTTCACTGGGATACCTGTATACACCACATGTGCCGGACGTTGAAAACGCGGAGGAGATACCACTATGCCACAATCGGCGGCGACGGGGGATGGGTGGGGGGGGGGGCGCAGGCATGATGCTGATATCCGTCTTGCCCACCCTCATTATTTTCTAGGTAACATTTTGCATTAGCGAGGCTTTCTCTCTTGGATACAGGTCACGGCTCTCGTCTTCTACATAGAGCATGTTGTGGACACATCAGACTGCGACGGAGGTGGTTGGGCAACGCGTGTGCCACGCGGCAATAATCAGCAATAATACCCCTGTCTTCAAATTGCCCGTGAACGCCATCCAAACGCTTGAAGAACGGCTCTGATCTTTTACACTCGATTAATAGAATAGTCCAATGCATTGCATTTCTCTATAGTCTCTACGTCAACATATCTCGCCGGTCTAATACCGCAATGCCCTATGCCAGAAACCAAAACAACAGAAATACAAAACAACAAAAAGGAGACGCTTTTGTGGATTAGGCCCAGGTCTTCTTGAACTTGGTATCAAACTCCTCCCTCAGCTTGCCGAACGCCTGCAGGACCTTGAGCAGACCGCCGCCCTCCTGCTGCCAGGCTGGGCGATCCTGGTTCTTGCGCTCCGCGTCGAGGCCAGTGGCATCCGTAGCCGCGTCCGTGTTGTCGTCCTCCTCCTCCAGATCATCGTCCCAGTCGTCCTGGAGCTTGGCCTTGACCTTCTTCACCTGGGCGTTCTTCTGGCTCTTCTCCCGGTCGTCCTCCATCTGCAGCTGCTTCGTCTCGTCAATGTTCTCTCCCACCTGTTGGAGATCGATCATGTCTTCGCCCGTGTCCTCGCCGCGAATGATGCCCTCCAAGCTCTTGATGATGGCAGCCAGAGTAAATGTGAAGTCCTTGAGGTGGTACCACACTTCACTTCGCTTGATGTGGTTCTCCTCGATCAGGAGCTCCATGCTGCCATGCTTGAAGAAGTCGTACAAATAGGCGTTCAGCTTGAGAGGGGTGTCGTGCGGCCAAATGGGCAGATATGGAATGACAGACTTCTCGAGGAAGACATCACCACGGGCCGTAGCACAGAGCTCGGGGATGGAATCGATCCCATCGTCGTGACCCGAAAGGGCGATGAATGGAGATCTGATCGAGGGCTTCGCGCCGCCAAAGACGTTGCCGACCGAGGATTTCTCCTCACCAACCGCCGTCTTGGTGAAGGGGAGAACACGATCAGGCTTGTCTTGTAGCTGGTGACTGATGTAGGATCGGACGTAGTCTTTGTAGGTGGCGAGTGTGTCCGCATTGTGGTCCATGAGCAGCTTCTCCGCCTGCTCGGGCAGACGAGGGAGGAAGATGAGGGACGACGACTTGCCGTGAGCGGCAGAAAAGTCCTCTGTCTTCCTGACTTGAAGGCGGTTGAACACGTGGCTGAGAACCAACATCATCTCGAGCATCACCTTGTCCGGGTTCTTGTCAATGTCGGCGCACAGACGATGGAAGTATCCACCCTTGAGCAGTGCGTGGAAAGCGAACGCAGCGTGCTCGGTGAAGTGCAGGTGGCCAATCATGTTGGCAAAGTTGAGAGGTGCGCCAGTCTCGGACAGCAGCTTCTGTCTACGGAGGTACTCGATGGAGAAGCGCAGGTGGTGCTTCAGAGACTCCTCGGCCTCGGGACCGCCGAGATAGAGATGGGTCTGGGATAGCAGCGACTTGACGGCATCCACAGCATACTCAGAGTTCTTAGTTCCGTCGAGCAGCGTGCAGAGACGCAGGATCAAAGAAGTCGTGACTGGCAACTGGCCCTTGAGATCAGGCAAGCGAGAAGACATGATTTCGTACACGCGTTCCCTGGGAATGCCGTTGAAGACGACGTTACCCAACAGGTCGAAGCCACGACGACCAGCACGACCGGAAGCTTGGCGGTAGTTTTGCGCAGTGAGGGCGGTCGAGTCACCTGTGAAGATGACGGTCTTACAGGGCATGTTGATACCGAGGGCGAGGGTGCCTGTGGCGACAGCCAAACGCAGGAAGCCCTTGCGGAACAGAATTTCGACACTGCAAACAGGGTCAGCTCGAGAAAGCGAACATACACAGACCACAGGTGCTTACGTTTGACGGTATCTCCTGTTGAGACCATCGTGATGGATACCAATACCGCGGTGCAGGGCGTCGGTCAACCAGGGACTCAGCTTTTCCCACTCCAGCTTCCGGAGCATCTCATCAAACTCAGAGCGCTGCAACCTTGAGTGATCTGCGAAGCTGTACTGCTCCAGGGGCGCGTTGGGGTCAAAGCTCTCCCACTTGCTGACCTCGGCGTTGGCCTCGTTCTTGATGATCGCAAGCTTATCCATGCGGTTGGCATCACCGTCTTCTCCCTTGACGCGCTTTGAGGGGACTTCATCCTTGCCCTTAGCAGGGTCCTTGGTCGACCTTTCCTTGTTCTTGACCCATTCCTCGTATTTCCTCATGGTGCTCTTCCACTCACTGCTCGTCTCCTTGTAGGCATTCTCCTTGGCTAGCAACTCCTTGAGGACCTGCTCACCAGCTCTCTCACAAGTGCCACGGTCGTAGTTGAAGGCCAGTGCGGGCAAAGCGTTCTGCTGGTGCAGATCGTAGGCCAGGGAGAAGAGACTGTCGATGTGGGAGGTGATCTTCCGGCTATCTGGGTTGCCAGTGTCAAACTTGCTCCGCAATTTTTCGAAGTCGAGGACGCCCTCTTCCATGCCCTTGCGAAGTGCTGCCTTCAGCTGGTCTTCCCACTTGATCACATCCGACTTCGCAATGACGTCGGGGAAGGTCTCCTTGGGGCTCTTGATGCCCAATGCTTTGAGTGTTTTGGAAGGCAGGAGTTCCTTCAATTGGTTGTAGAGCGTGAAGCAATCGCGAGACTCAAAGCTCATGTCGCCCAAAGCGCCACGATTGCGGTCGTTCATAGCAACAAGAGGGTGCAAAAAGCGCAGATCCTCAGACTTGGTATTGCCCTCATCGAGACCCGGAACAGGCAATCTCTGGGACTTCTTGAGTCCCTTGAAGTCGACTTCATCGTTTGAAGGCTCGTAAATGAACTTTCGCAACTCGGAGTATCGGACCTTGTGAACGACCAAGTCCATCTTGTATCCCTTCTTCGACTGGGATAGTGCGAGCCAGTCCTTGAACTCCTCGGGGTTGCCCACGGTAGCAGACAAGGCGATGATGGGGCAAGGGGCCTGGAGAAGAAGCTGCTCCCAGATCACACCGTCCTCAGCCTGTCCGATACTGTGGACTTCATCGAAAATGATACGCTTGACTCTCTTCGACCATGGATTGGTGCCAATAGCGTTGTTAGGGTTCAGTAGCATGATTTGAAGAATTTCCGGAACCGTTACGAGAATTTGACATCCAGTCGGGTTGTGGACGCGGGCATCCTTGGTGTAGATGGCCCATACAGATTTGGCGCCCTTTGCGTCGTACTTCTTGGAGAATTGTGCATTGATCTCAGCGGCGATCTGGTTGACCAGGGCTTTGGTGGGCGCGACGTAGACGATGACACCATCGTCACTTTCCTCGAGAACCTGCTTCATAGCGTAGAAAGATATGAAAGTTTTACCGGCAGATGTGGGCGCGATAACAAGGAGGGAGCGCTTGGCATCAATGGAATCCAGAACCTCGCGTTGCCAGGCATCGGGATCGAAGCGCACACGATCGTCAGGCTGAGGGTAGAAGCGACGGTCCATGTAAGGTCCGCCAAACTCCAGCTGAAGATCTTGGTAGTCCTTGACGATTTCCTTGACGGGCTTGAAAGCCTTGAAGTCGAATTTGAAGGAGAGGTCCTGCGGCTGGGAACCCATGTTCAATGGCAGCTGGGGCATGCCGGTGACGTCGATGAGCTTGGTGATGTTGGCGTTGACGGCCGGTGTCGAAGGACGTTTGGTGCATTGCTGCAGCCAGTTGAAGATCATGGCCATCAAGTAGAAGCCCTTTGGCCCATCGCTTATGCGTACACGGATGTCGCGCCAGATCTTGCCCAGAATGTGGCACATGTAGAGCTCGATTTCGGAGCCAAGAGCAGCTGCATCATCCTTGGATGACTTGTCGTATGCGAACTTGTCCGCCTTGAGGTATCGGCTGATGAGATCCGGGTCGTTCTCAAACTCTGCGCACATCTCGGACCAATGATGAACGACAGTAGTTTTCCTCGCCTCGGCCTTTCGCTTCTGGACGTCTTGGACAGCAGCAAGTGCCGCAGCCCTACCACCTTTCTGAGGAGGACCGCCCTTCTTGCCACCTTTCTTGCCGCCACCCTTGGGGCCATTCTGGGTACCGTTGGCCTTGGGCTTCTCCTGCTTGCCCGCAGGCGTGGCCTTTTTGGGATTTGCCACGATGGTCTCCGGATCGATGAGCTTGCCGCGTGAGTTCGTCAAACTTGCTGAATACGCCACCATGTCACGCTCCATTCTCTGGTTTCGCCTCATCGCCTTGGGGTCAACCTTGGCAGGCTCCCTCTTCACCACTACAGGGATGCGCTTAGAGTTGTGCCAAGAAGCAAGATCTTCGAAAACGACCTTTGCGGTGTCGTCACGTTGCTCGGGCGCCGCTTCAAGGCTGATACCTTTGAGAAAAGGGTCGAAGACAGGGTTGCTGAATGCAGTTGCAACTGGCGCATCGATCTGAAGGGTTGAGAGGTCCAGAGACTCAGATGTAGCAGGAGCAGCACCTGCTTTGTCCCCCAAAGCAGCCTTAATCAAAACCATACCTAGCTCAACGACCTTGGGAGGAAAGGACTCAGACTTGCGGAGGCGCTGAACAAAGTCATAGAAGATGCGACCGTCGATCAAGTCGAACATGTCCCACTCCAGATCTTCATCGTCATCGTCTGCTTCCGGGATCAGGTCGTGCTCTTCTTCGATCATCAAGTGTGCAGCCTCGCCAAATTCTCTCAGAAAGCCTCTATCCTCCTTCTCCTGAGCGGTAGCAGGTGTCTTGGGCTCGGGACAGAGGCGGTCTTGTAGGCTGCTTGTCTCCAACATAGCTGTGTGAAGCAGGAGGGCCCTGATGCGTTCGTCCACTTCGGCTTGGTCCTCGTCCTCGGTCGACTCTCGAATCGCCTGGCAAATGGCAACGGAGACACTAGCACGGAGTGATGAGGTAGCCTCCTCCAGAGGCGAAGAGTCGAACTCTTCCTCTAGGTTGTCAAAGGACACCTGGCCGGCCTCTGAAATTTGGAACAAATCGGGTACGTCCGGGTCGTACTCAAAGTCTTTCATACCACCCTCGGTGCCACTGATGAGAGGGGCGAATATCTTTGAGCTCTTCCACTCTACGGCGTTCATCACGGCAACGTTCTTGTTGCGCGAGATGAACTCGTGAATGAAATGCCGCAGAAGGGAGGCATTCTCTTCCGAAGCATCCTCGCCGTCATGGCACAGCGCAAAGTGAATGGCGCGGCTGCGCATGTATTCGAGGAAGTCGCTGTCTTCGAAATCCTCAAATTCTAGAACCGAAGGCCGGACGCTATCCGATGCCTCTGGTACAGACCTCGCCAGGTGGCGAATGAGGATGCTTCGAGTAAGCTGATATTTCCAGGCGTTCGCCGGAGAGCAACCATCGGGGACGCAGAGATGGTTGTACTCGCTGAAAAAGAGAATGTCGAAATTGCAACCACGCTTGGCGAGGTTGCTGAGGAATTGCTCCACAGCGAAGATGGCATGGAGTAGCTGGAATCCATCTACACATGTTAAATGACTATGAATGCATGAGGGGTGATGTGAGTGACAACTTACTGTTGTAGTCGACTTTGGAATCTGTCAAGCAGTGCCTGATGAGAGACTCTCCGTGAACAACGAAAAGCTCACGTCCGGCAAACTCTCCAACAATGTCGAGCGTGTCAGGTCGCAGGTTAGCGTACCAGTTCAGGAGCTGCTGGCGCTCCTGAACGTTTGAGGAAGCCATGATGGCGGTGTCGATCTGGGATAGCACTGGCGTCTGTCTTGGCGCCAGGTGCTATTGTGCGTAGAAGAGAATAGTTGACCTAAATGTGTGGGAAGATCGATGTATCATTCAGCGACATTAGGCACCGAGGGGTAAATGTTGACCTGGTTCGTGCGACTTTGGCGTGACCTGTCGGAGGTTTCAAAGATTGAAAAGGAGAGAAAGATGGCGCAGAGCGTAACCTCTTGCGCTGCAAGACTAGAGGGAAGTAGGAGTCGAAGCTGAAGCGAGAGTTTGTCGTACACAGCGCAGTTTGGGTTCGGGTTGCTCGCGTTTGGGGGCAAATCCACAGCTGGGCTGTATTTGGGGGAGAGGGTGTTTGCTTTTATAAACGGCTGTACAAGATCAAGGCTCGATCAGAGCGTGTGTTTTCACAGCGAGCCTCTAAGGTTCGATAGGCAGGTCGGTCCAGCGAGCTTCCGGCGTAGTTGATTTGAGTGTCTCTGAAGAGCAAGTCAGAGGGAGATGAGGGAGGCAAATATCATCAACATGCAGAAAAAAAGTAGCCTGGAGAGTTTTCGCGAGTGCGCCCGACCGCTCGGTGGTGCTAAAGGCGGGCCGGGATTGCAAACGCCCCCGGCTTATTGGCTAGAGCCAACAAAGGTCAGTGACTCAGTGGGTTGATGTCAACGTCTACAGGTGAAGGCGAGCGCTGTGCGTCACTCTTAGCGTGGTAGGAGCAGTGTCTGGTATTGGGGGATGTGACGCATAGATGCATGTGACGCTGGAGGGGCAAGCAGGCCCAGCTCCCCCTGGACAACCGCGGTCGCTTTGAACTGACAGCGCGCTCCCAAGATATTGAAGCTTGGTTGGAAGTTGTCCCCGAACATGCATCACTTCGCATAGCTTCCCAGTTTGATTTGTGGCCGTGAGCTTGGGCAGTTGCGAAATTATTTGATGTCGGACGGACAAGGCATAGTGGGGTATCTGAGGAGGGGGAGGGGCAAAGGGTACCTCACCTGGCCAAAATTACGTGGAGCACTTCGCGCGATAGTTTCTTGCGAGGGGTGACGCGCTTGCAACTTCAAAGAGACACAAGCAGCGTGGATGATCGGGATTTCTTTGGTCATTGAGATCAGTTCAACCACGGACTATCTGAGCATGCCCAAAGCCACCATCCTAAGTGAAAACCTACGAGGACCTAACTGCCCGACCATCAGTCACAAACCGCATCCCGCCCCTCCTTCGGTATCAACAAATCCAAGGCAACCGGAACGCCAACGCAATGCAGAAGACCCAACCCACTCTCGCCAAAGCTGAGCTCGCCGTTCACAGCACACCAGCAGTAAGGCTCTCTAACATGCCGTTTGTCTGACAGGCGATTTGCGCAGTCTCCACTTCCTTCTTCACCCGGCGATGCAGTGTCCGGAACGTATCGTGCAGTTCTGCCGACCCACCGACAAACTCGGCATACAGATCGAGCAGATGCAGGCCGACCTCCACGCATACGCTGACATAGCGAGGGTCACAGATGTGGCCACATACCCATTTGAGAACAGGCTCGACGCTCTGCTCATCTCGATTCTCCAGCGCGTTCTTGACGGCACTTCGGTGACGCAACGCGAGAAGGAGAGTCAGCACGTTGAGTGGCGCATAATCCGGAGCTTGTCGATCGAGGACCTGATCCAATGCAATAGCATATCTGCCGTGTCGAAGGTCGTTTTGCCAAGGACGCTCCTTCTTCTTGTGCGTGCGTGGTTCGTTCGCAATGACAACATCGGCTCCCTCGCCAACAAGGTCGAGCCGGTTCGCCGCAGCAACCCGCCTCTTGCGCTTTGTGTTCTTCGCATCATGTGCATCGATGGAACCGGCAATGAGAGCAGCCATCTCCTTCTCGCGCTCTCGGTCCTTGGCGGCCTCGGCGCCTGTCTTGCGGGTACGGACACTGAGCACGCCGGACTGCATAGCCACCGCGAGATGGCGATCATCGGAGTCGGAGGAGTCGGTGGTGGGTATCACATTAACGGAGAGAACAGGGGACTGGTACTTTGTGCTGTAGACCACGTTCCAGCCAGTTGTCTCGAAGACCTTGACGTGACCTTCCAAACCGCCCGTCACGAGCCTACGGCCGCCTGATGCGAGGCTCAAAGAGGTGACAGTCTTTTGGTGATTGGCGATCTGGTGAAGGGGGCGGGCTGCGACGATATCGAGCACACTGACAGTGTTCTCAGCTGCCGCAAGCACAGTCGTGCCGGATGGCATGGAGATGACATCCTCGACGGGTGCGGCATGCTTGAACGTCATCACGGCCGTATTGTTCCCTGTCCTGGGGTCCCATAATTTGACTGTCGAGTCGTAACTTCCAGAGACGATCATGTTAGACATTGTGCCAGGCATGAAGTTGGCGCATCGAACGTAGTCATTATGGCCCACAAAGGTCGTCGTAGGATCGCTGCTGGGTAGGTCCCAGAGTCGAACGGTCCGATCATCACTTGCGCTCAACAGGGTTGTGGGGTTTGTAGGCGAGAACTTGGTCGACCACGTCGGTTGCTTGTGCTGCGCCCAGGTCCTCAGGATGGCACGCGAGTTGATGTCAAACACCTGGATTTTGCCCGTGTCGTCACCCGCCACCATCACTCGGCCGTCCTTCCTGAGCTCGCCGCTGTGCGCGACATCGCTGAATCGCGTTATGGTCTTCAAAAGCTTGCGTGTCTTGTTCGAGAAGAGTTGGACACGGGTGCCCGTCGTGACGGCGAAACAATCGCTGTTGTAGGAGATGTGCGTGACCGGATAACTCGTCGGCGATGGCACGAGCAGCTGGTTCTTGAACGTCTTCCAGTAGCGCTGCTCGGCGGTCATGGGCGTTGGCCCAGAGGCCAACTTGACTTGGGCCAGAGGCCCGACCTGTGCTGCCATTGTCTGTAATTGAGGAAGCAGCGATTCGCGGCGTGACAATAGGCTGCAGTGGTTGTGGTGGTGGCCTCGCCCGTTGGATTTGAGAACTTTTTTCCCGGGTCGGCGATAAGATAAGGTCGCGCGCCATGCCGAATTAGTGCTAGCCCGCCATTCAGGCACATCCCTCCAAGTCGAGACACCGACACAGCGACATCAGCACTGTGAACGTTCTCAATTTCCTTCCAGAACTATCAGTCGTTCCCAAACTCATCAATTGCAACCTGCACCGGGTCTGTGGAAACGATCATCAGCTGTCGTACGCTACATCCCGTTGCTCGGTGAATCTAGGTCCGTTCGTGAACCTGTTATGAGTATAAGTAGCATCCATCTGAGACCTCTCTGCCGATCTGGGCCATTCACGCGCGATCCCTGCGGCCCAGTCGATGTGACCTTTCGCACCTGACGTCGGTTCCAACCACTTTAATCCATCGTGATCCATCGTGATCCTTTACTGACCTACACTGAGAGCACCCCAGAAGCTAACAGCAATATCTATACCATGTGGATTGAACGGCTCCATTCACTGACGAGGGGACTGCTATCCTTGCAGAATGTATTTGGGGGCGTGCCCACGGCATCGCGAGAACAGCCTAAGCCAGATCAAGACAGAGCCGCAGCGGTCAAAGAAGTGTTCAAGGAATCATGGCAAGGGTACTACCAACATGCGTTCCCTCACGACAGTCTGCGGCCAATCTCAATGTCATACGTTGACAACAGAAACGGATGGGGAGTGACAGCGATTGATGCACTCTCAACAGCCATTGTCATGGGCGAGTCAGAGACCGTCGAGCAGATCCTAGAGCTTGTTCCCACCGTTGACTTCACCACGACCAAAAAGGAGAAAGAAATGGTGTCCGTTTTTGAAACAAACATCCGCTACATAGGCGGGTTGCTTTCAGGTGACATTACCACGCCCTGGACGTGCCACCTTCTCTGACAAGCAGTAGCGTATGATCTTCTGACTGGCCCCATGAAAGACACGATTAAGGATTCAGAGGCGGTTGAGTGTCTTCTGCAACAGGCTCAAACACTTGCAGACAGCTTGATCATCGCCTTCGACACGCCCACGGGCATTCCAGAGGGGGATATTGTTCTCAACCCCAAGCCTGCGCAACTCCCCAAAGGTCAGAATACGATCGCAGGTTTTGGAACACTCGTCCTTGAATGGACTCATCTGAGCGACCTCACCGGGGACGGGAAATACGCCAATCTGACGCAGCACGCTCAAGCATACCTCCTCGATCCAATGGGCGTGCTTGGAGGTTTCCCTGGGCTGCTGGGGAAACAGGTCAGTACCGAGACTGGGGAGTTCCTGGATAGCAGCGGCAGTTGGGGCGCGAGCCGGGACAGCTTCTACGAATATCTCATCAAGATGTACCTGTATGATCCTGTCGCGTTTTCACTGTACCGAGACCGATGGGTGCTGGCAGCCGACTCAACCATGGAGTACCTGGCGTCGCACCCATCGTCACGGCAAGAGCTGACTTTTCTCTCCGATTTTGAGGGCAACGAGACGTTCCCTCGCTCAGGACACTGTATGTGCCACATTGGTGGCCCCGTACAGATGAACAGATTGCTAACCACATGATTAGTGGCCAGCTTTGCTGGAGGTAACTTTATACTTGGAGGCATCGTTCTTGGCCAACGCAAATACGTTGACTTTGGCCTCGCACTTACTGATTCTCACCACGAGACATACCGTGGTACCGCCACAGGAATCGGCCCGGAAGGATTCCGTTGGATTGACAGCGATCACCCAGACGGAGATGTTCCGAAGGACAAGGTCAAGTTTTACGAGGAGAATGGCTTCTGGCCCACATCATCAAGCTACGTCCTTCGACCAGAAACCATGGAGAGCATCTATCAAGCATATCGTGTCACGGGCGACACCAAGTATCAAGACCTTGCCTGGGAAGCCTTTGGTAATATCAAGAAAGTTTGCCGCGCCGGCGTCGGCTACTCCAGCATCAGAGACGTGAACGCCGCAATGGGCGGGGGCTTCACGGACTTCGAGGAAAGCTTCTGGATGGCGGAGACACTCAAATATCTCTACCTGATCTTTGGTCCCGAGTCGGAGGTGCAGATCCAGGCGGATGGGGCCAACACGTTCGTATTCAACACCGAGGCGCATCCTCTCAGAGTCAGAAACAGGTCCTAATGAGTATACTATCGTGCCGTATCCCAATATTGTTGGAAGGCAATCTGCTTGCGTCACGTCTTTAGATTGCCCTCAATCCAGCCGCCGGTCAACAAAAAGCTCCGCTTTGGTGATAAATCTAGTTGCAAGTTTTTGGAAAGGATTGAAACTTTCGGCAACCTTCCAGGCTTGACGAGGCTTATGAGGGGGCGCGGTGAACTGGCAGCTGATGTTCGATACCTCTCGCCAACTGACCTCCTGGGACCTCTGAATTTCAGTGCTGCGTTTCTGCGTTGATGGAGGCCCTACACAAATATTTTAGACAGATGACTGGAGCATAGGAAGGGACTTGGAGTCGTGCATACAACAAGACTGCGTTGACTCGGATATTTGGTACATGGCCTGACTCTGGACTGATGATGAATGCACTGCACTGCAGTGTTCGTGTTCAACCTTGGAGGCTATTACGTTCTTTGAATTTCGTTCCAATATCTGGTCGTGTTTACAAAGGTAATTGCCCTGGTCTTCCCGCCGCCAGCAGTCACATTTGTCTGTACTACTCGGAAGATTCCATCAACAAAAGACTCGGAGTCATGCTGTGTTTCATATTCCATTCGCATCCTGCCATCTCGAGGGAAGGTTCACCAGTTACTCGTATGCCCTATCGTCAGCAAAGGGCATGTATGGAACCTCGTTTGAAACCCACCGAGCCAGCTTCAGATCTTGATACACGAGATTTGCATGCCGAAATACAGAGGCATCACTTCCAATGAGCACCAGTTTTTCGTGAATAATGAATTCATTTCTCGAGTCACAACGGTGAGTGTCAATCCATCACCCACGCAGAACTCTGAAGCCTCGCGCCAACCCTTCATTTACGAATGCCAAAATTGAATCCCACGACTGAAGACAAATCAGCAAACTACATACTTATATTCAGAATGCATATGCTGCCAAAGGCTGCGTCTTTCCAGTCTGGTTGGGGTGACTGTCAGAAAAGTGTCTAGACTAGTAACATGCAGTCTTCACATCGAAGACAACTGCCAATCTCCCACACTTCCGCGTAGCATTTCAAGCTCGCCGGAAACGCAGAGCAACGCATGACTTCCCGATATAGGACCGGCTACCTTCACACTTTCAGCATCGAGGCGCTTCTTCCAGGAATGGAGGTCAAGAGCCAGAGCTGAGCCACGTCTGCATGCATCCGAGTCTTGGATAGATGCCAACTTACTCGCGCCGGGCATCATTGAATTTCAAGTAGTTTCTAAAGCCTCAGGGGCAATGGCTCGCGTGACGCCTGGCATCATCCATCAGGTCTTGGCATTACGAGTCATGATCTGCGCCCCGAAGTGACTGACCGGGACAACAACCCGGATCAACAATGTGGCCAGATGCTTACAGCAGACATCTCAGCGCGCTACACCAAAGCCATGCTCTAAGGTACCTTACCTATCTGTAGCACGCTAAAGTCGACAGCAGTTGAATTTCCGTAATCTTGACTCGCTCGGCCAACACTTCCGAGATACCAGCACGGCTAATCCCTCACCCCCTTTTCAATGGCACAGGTTGGTCAAGCCCTGCGCGAGATGCTTTTTTTTAGGCAGGCCAATCGTCTTTCGTGAGACTCATACCACCTGAAGGCTGAAGCCGCGCAGGAGATTAGACAGCGGAAGCTACAGTAGCGCAATGGATCCTAATGCGTCTCTCCGGAGCTTTTTTGCATATCTAGCCTCAGCCCACTGCCCCTTTGTGGGGTTCAAGGAGTCTAGTTCAGGAGACACTTATGCTGGATGTGGAAGATGCATGATCTTGCCGGCGCGCGCATCTGAGCGAGTTCAATAGAAGTGGTACCTGGATTGAGTTGTGAGCAGGGATGCTTGCGTTTGCGGGAGTGCGATGGTGTTGTGTGGTGTGTATTTGGGCTTTTTTGAGGGTTGCGAGGCGCAACCCGAGAGGGCATGCAAGCCAACTTTGAATTCGTCACCTAGGAATGTGTTTATTAGGCATTTGAATCCAGCCTAGAAGTTACTGTGTGTATTAATTAAAAATAAGTCCTGTGGTGTGAGGTGGACGGAATAACAATCCGAACCAAACAGTGTGCTCGTTGAGCTTAGGGTAGGGTAGGTAGGTTAGGTTGGTATTGAGTTCCAAGGTTTGCTGGCAATTGTCAGCGTCGCGCCTACCAATTCCGCGCATGCTTCCTCGTGACCTGTCGATCATCATGATCAATCAAGAAGTCCCTCAATTTCTGCCAACGAACAACATCCCAGTTCACCATGGTGCGTACAGCTCTAAGCCCAGACTCTCACTGCCACGCAATTGTCACTCCATTGACTTTAGGCGATTCGCCCGAAGCCTATAATAGCCCGAGGATCAATAATGCTTCGCCAGCGTTGCAACGCAGCCCCTCCTCGAAGACTAGCAGACGCGGCTCATCGTCCACAACTTGTTCTGCTTCCTGCTCCCAACGTCAGTTGCGGCGCTGAATCCTCCGTAGTGAGCTGATTTTCTGATTGAAGAACCGGTCTCGCAAGCTATGGTGTTTACAACAAACCTAAACCACCATTCACGCACTCGGGAGGCTGGGTCTTGTCGACGATGGTTTGGCTGAAACGTCAGCCCCGGTAACAGTCGATGGAGCATCATGCACTCTCAACGCCAGCTTTTCGCTTTCTCAGGAGTCAGTGGTGCTCTCAGCTCTACGGAGTAATTATACAATACCCACAACTGTTCCTCAAGGAGCCAAGGTCAAAACTCACCGCCGTCGACGGCTTCGCTGAGTCATTCTGTTATTTACACAGAGGGGCTCTTCGATCGCATTGCGTCTCCATAAACACCCGACTCGCGCCGCAGGCACTAAAAATGCTACCGAATCCGGACTCCGATCACCCTGCCTTTCAGACATGTGTTCTGCATGAAATCCCTGAGACGTGGACCGTTCTTAGCTGCATGTCGCAACCCATGGAAGGGCGCTGAGGCTCAGGCCTGGACTGGACTGGTCACTGAACGTAGCTTTCTCTCGAATCTCCTCCATCCAGCATCGGGGGTAAGAGGCTCTCTGCTATGTGCGCCAATTATTAGTGGACACTGGACGCCTGGTATTGGAACAGCTAATTAGACCCCCAACCGCGCAAGTCTAGCATCGGACGGATGGCTAACGTTAGGCGAATGATCGGGACCCCGTCGACGATGTCAAAAGTGACCATCACCATCCTTCGCCGTGCCGCTGACAAGGGCTGTGCTAAGCATGCTGTGCAACCCTGTCTGACACCGAACATCACTGCCACAAGAGCCAATTCAAGCGATCTTGGGGCACCGCCTCTTGGACAAACACCATACGCACTGCCCCGGACACACGGGTGGCCGACCACTGTGCCAATGTCTGGCCGATGGTCGCATCGATGCACTCTTTCGCCGTCTGCGGAGCTGCCTGACATGCACACATGTGCCCAGCAAACCTGCTGCCAACAAGGCACTCCAGCCACACGGAGCATGAATTCTTGAGCCTGGCGATGAACCTTGACCATGTTGTGTTGCTTCACTCTATCAGCACTTATCGGCCTGGGTACACCGTTCCAGCTAATGTTCTCGCCATTCTTGTTCAGATGGACGAGGATCGGAGCATTCTGCAACAATTACTGGCCAGTACGTCTAGATCAGACCGCGCGTCGAGTCGAGGCGAGGCGTTTTGATAATTGAGACGCGCGAGGGACTAGCTCAGGCGGCGGCCAACCTGCGGCAGTCAGGGTTCAGCAGATCATCACCGGTATGTGGATCCTTCCGAGTCGTCCCATGGTCGAGTCGACGTCTGGGGTTGCAGTCCGACCGCTTCCGCTTATATAATAATGCTTAACATCAAGCTTGTTGGCGGTCTGGATTGGAAGCGTCTTGCATGGTATGAGGCTATGAGCTGAGTAGTGTCGGTCGAATTTCACCTTGCTTTGGCCGAGTCGCGTTTCTGATGCGAAACAGCCCTGCGTCTGCCAGAGGTGAATCCTCAAGCAAGACAATGATGCGAATTCCTGGCATGACTGCAACAGGATGCAAAGTGGTCGTCGTGTCAGTGGACGCGTTTGTTGAGTGGACACTGCTCTCCAGCAGGACCCAGATTGCCAGGGTATCCTTGTCACATCGTCGGCGCCGGTGCCTCGCCATGGGGAATGCTCCAGTTCTACCGCGAGTAATGCGCTCGACTACACTTGTGACAGTTGGCCGCCATTCCACCTCCGAAACGTTAGCCAGTCGGAAGTTTGAGCAGCTGCTGGCCGGCAGGTGGTGATACACAACATGGACCCTTCCGGCTTTGGCAGTACGTACGTACTTTGCCCATCAGCATCACGTCTCTGTGGCGGTCACAGCGATACCAAGATTCAAGGCAGACTTGACGGACCAAGAGAGACAGACTGGAGGTGAAAGCTGCCGACTCGTAGCCGCATCACGTCCTGGCTCGTTTCATCCGAAGCTCGACTGTGATGGATGATGGATGGGCAGCGTCCATACAGCACACCCTCGCGGGCGTCTGCATCAGTCGCCCCGTCAGCCCACAATCCCCTCGGAGTCTGGACAAGCTAGACTCGGGAGTTTGATGTCGTTTCTGAATTGCCTCTAGTCTCCATGGTCCTCTCTCTCACGACATTGCGTAGTTCGCACAAATGACAGCCATCCCTGGTCAAGCCTCTCCGCTCGTTGTTTCTTGCCGCATCGTTCTAGCTCCGTATCAGTCGTCGATCTTCCTCATATCCATGCATCCCTGTATCCCTGTTCAGGGCACGAAAGACCGATATACAATTATAGCACCTCATCCTCATTCGGAAGTCCCAAACGCTTGTGTTAGCGACGCAGCTCAAGTGGACCAATCGTGAACACTGGTGTTCGACGAACTCGGCTGTAAAACTATTCTGTATCCTTATTTGTTCTTATTATTTATCCATTCGCTACACTCCTGTTCAAGGCGTTTCGAGCGCAAACAGTTCTGAAGCAAATAGTTGCGTTTGCAGCACTGCCCGCATCCAAGACCACCCATCACCAACATCAACCGACTGCACCACTCTCTGCTGGCAGGATCCAGGAGCCGAATTTTGCTGCTACTTCATCATCGAAGCTACTATCCATCAGTCAATCTTTTCGTACTCCTGATATACCCATATCACGTCTGGTCTTGTTCGCCCAACTCCTTTGATCGAGGCGGAAGACGAAGTTTGTCGACAGTTCAGCCAAAGCCTTTCCGAGAAATAAAGATGGATTTGTCGTTGTTGCTCAATGCAACAGAACTAGACGCGGAGAGACATGGCAACGCACCACCATGCTCTGCAACACGCAACAGCCCCGAACATGACCCCAACCCCTGGCGGCAACATCACGAGGGCCGATGGCGCAGGCCGTTGTCGAAATCGAGCGGCAGTGCCTCATTGCCCATGGTACAGTTTAAGGAGCTCGACCTGAATCGACGCGGGAGTCTGCGTAGCGAAGAGGATGAGCACTGCGCTGCCAGCTTATATCGCGGTCAGCATCGAGTTTCGGACAGCTTGAGCAGCTTAACCTCGTACGAATCATCCCAGGCGGGTACGCATTCGCGCAACTCGTCCGTGACGACGCTTGGTGACGAGCATTGCGTGTCGACATCCTCAGAGGCTTCGATCGACTCGAAGCTCGCCACGGTCGATGAAGAAGGATTTACACATCGAACAGCCTTGATGGCAGCATCGCCATTGCCGAGAGGGGTTGATGTGCGATACACAGGTGGATATGGGCCACTCGAGGCTCCAAGAGGAGGGATTACGCACCGAAGGCAATACTCAGAGGCCAACACAGTCAAGATGGCTATGCAAATGGGAGCACCAAGGTGGCAAAGACTCGAGAGCAACGAAAGGTACGTGATTTTCCGAAAAACAGTGTGGGTCTCCGGCGCCCTTCTGCTGGTCTTTTGGCTTCTTCACTTGCCTTCCCCTTTCCTCTTGTTTACTCCTTGTGCACCCGAACTCCTCCTGCCTTGCCCTCGCAACTCGAGTTTCTTTTCACCAAACCCTCTACAAAGATCACAACACGTCAATATCGCTCCACACTCCTGGCTCCTCTCTGCCCTGCCCTGGTGCTTTGCAACACTCCTGTGAAGGCACAGCGTCTCATTGCTAGGAGCTCTCGAGTGAGTTTGGTTTGCATGCCTACTTTCTTCTCATTCACCGCTCGACAGGAATGTGTGGCACTCATGGGTATCTTTGGGCGCATCGCCTCTGAATCACAAGTGTGAACCAGTCGACGCTATCGACAAGAGGCCTGGACTGAAATCAGACGGTTCAGGACCCGTCTGCTGCCTGAGGCGATACCCAGCGAGAGTGACCTCGAGGTGAAATGGCTCGGACCATTGCTCCGGCCACTATGCCTCAGGTACATCAGCTCAAAGTTGATAGCGCAGCTCCATGTCTTCTAAGATCTGTTGCTCCTCGTGCAACCTCAGCTTTTCCTCACCTTCTGCCACTCCTCTTTCACTACTTATCAAATACGTTACATTGCCTCGATCAAGAACGTAGATCTATCTGATCTCACCCTTGGATTCTATTCTTTTCTTCTCGCAACTTCTCACATTGTTTCTCAACCCATCATCCACTGTCAAGATCTGGGGCCATCCGATTCATCAGCCTAATCAGTGCCAAGCTTGCTAACACCGGCATAGCCCACGCGACCTGGCTTCAACACATCCAGTGCATCAAAGGGCGCTTTCAGCATCGTATCTGCCAATTTCAACGCGCAGCCCGTTGGTAACGAGCCGTTATAGTCCGTACGAATCGCAACATAAATCACCCACGATGGCTGGTCGTGCTCGCACGCGCTGTGAGTGAACCGCTCGCCACCACATCAACAAGGAATGGACCGCTAACGCTCACGATGCAGACCAGTCAGGACGAAGTCGTTCTTCCCGGTCACCACCTCCACCCGACGTGCCTCAAGCCAAGTCGCCGGCAACGCTGTCAAGCCCCCAATCAACTTCTCCCACCCCGACTGGTGACGACTCGGAATGGGAAGAAGATGAGCAAAATGGTGCAGAGGAAGAAGAACAGGAGGAACAGGACGCCGATGGCGAGTCTGATAATCCTGCTGTTACCGCACCGGTCAAGCCAGCTAGGGCGCGCAATGTCCAACGCCTGCGCGACGGTCCATGCTATTTTGTGGCCGACTGCCAGGAGGACGTTCAGATGCGCAAGTGCGTCTCGCACTACTTTGGACGTAACAAGCGATGCACCCGCATGCTGCCTCATCGCGAGTGGCTGTATGCGTGTCGCCGTCACTACCAGCGCACGCGCTACCGCCAGGCGTCAACATACCCCTTGATGCAGGCTGATATTCTGCGACAGCAGGTTGCCCGTTTCCACACCTGGTCTGAGGCCAACCGCACCTCGGGTCGTGGCCTCGTCATTACCGGCTGGACGCTCGCATTGCAGAAGAAAGAGCAGGACATGGTTGACAGCCACTCCCCTGAATCGATGGTGCCACAATGGCTCGCAGCACGACGCGGCCGCGGCCTCACTACCAACGACCTATATCAAATCATTGAGCGAGTCACGCATGAGCTTCAGGAACGTCACTATGAACACATTCCTCTTTTCGAGTTCTTACCCGAGTATGACGAGAGTAGGGCGCAGCCTGGCGAGATTCCGCCCAACACCCGCGACAAGAAGCGCGGCGAACCCAAGCGCAAACAGAAGAAGCGTCAAGGTCTGAAGCGGGCCTACGATGCAAGAGTCGGCGCAGGTAGTAGTACTCCAAGGCGGGATTTGCAAGACCAAATGGATCTCAACCCACTGCCGTACGTCGCCCAGCAGCAGCAGCAGACTGGTGCTCATGCCAACCTCGCTACCGCTCAGGGGTTCAGTCCCTACCAGCAAGCTGTTCAAACTCGCGCTGCTGGTCAGTTCTATGAGCAGCGACCCATCGAACCTACAGTACACCCTTCTCATGCTACCCAAGATGAGCGTTACGAACACGTTTACCTGCATCGCCGAGAATCCCGCGGGCCTTTCTACGATGAGCAGTACGGATCCAACGCCAACGGGCTTCACCTCGCGCCGTTGCGCGAACAGCATGAGTACCACGAGTACTCAGCCTTTCCCCGGGATACTCGTCCACAAGCCTCCCGCAGCCTGAGCTTCCAGGGGTCTTCCAACGCTGACCTTCGCTACATGCAGCATACACCAGCGAGCGTGTACACCTCCGCCCACGATGTCGAGCTTCGCCGCCAACAAGCGCCTCACATGGCGCCAACGGCCCCTGGTCTGGCGCGGCATGGCATGTCTTCCGACTACGCTGTCTCGTCCTAGAACCACGATCAGCGCTGCACAGAGCACGATGCCTATGTTTCTCGTCCCCTCAGTACCCATGAAGAGGCTCCTGAGTATGCCATGCCGCCCCAGGGTGCCCAGGAGCCGTGGCCCAGCGCTTCTATCCGCCCCAATCGCCAGCCCGAGTCTTATGAGACATTTCAAGATATGCTGAACGACGGACAAAGCGAAGAGGAAGCCACGCATTGCGCGCCTGACTACAATTCTGCCGTGTCTAGTAGGTCGACTCACCATTCCGCTCAGAGCTCTCAGTACCACACTGGCGCGAGCTCCATCTCTTCACACAGCGACAGCGTCGATCAGGTGGCCGGGTACAGGCAGCGGTCATACGGCCAGCCTCCAACAATCTCCTACGGAGGATGTATGGACCATCATGACCCAAGTCAGATCCGAGACTATCGGGGGTTCGGCTTATACCCCGGTACCAACGTCTCGGAGTCCAGTGTTGCCGCGCAGAACTTGGTTGACATCAGCCACGCTCAGCTTGACCCATGGGAGGCAGACTCCACCAAGCGACACTTGGCTCGCCATGAGCACTCCAATCGTGCGGACTGGCTTGGTCGTGACCCTTTCGTCATGTCCCCTAGTCAGCAGCGCAGTAACAACGCTCACCTGCCCACGTTGGCTGACATTGTCCACCGCCGAGGGGACGTCAAGGAGGAACCAAATTCGGACGGGGACGATGATCAGTACTGCCAGCAGTACGAAACCGGCCCCTTCCATCATCATAAGTAGCTCCCCCCAGGACACTTCTACAAAAGCGCCAACATCACTACGAATTCCACGCTGCAGCTCTCGCTGCAAGCTGGCACTACCTGGACTGCCGTTCCTTCGACTCCAACACACGAGAATCTCTTCCGCCATTGATTTCTTCTTCTTCTTAATTCACCAAGGGGGTTTCTGCTATTCGGGGCGGCTCTTATCAGGACTCTGCCAATGTTGATGATATCACTTTACACGCGCATCTTCTTTTTCTTTTCTTTTGTTTTCATTGCATATTAAGGTGGAAGAAGCTCTCGACGATACCCGCACATGCCGAGACAGGAGGCATCACATACAGCAAATACACGAGTGCTGAACGAGGGACTCAATCACGCAACAAAGGGCGTGGTATCAATGCGAACGACGGTTTTTGTACAGCAGCCCAAGGAGGAGCCGAACAGGCGTTTTTGCGGTAAAACAGTACGTACCCCTCTGATAACGAGGGAAAGCCTCCTTTTCTTCTTTTTTTTTTTTCGGAACACGGTCCTCGGCCAGGACGCATGGACTTTTGAAAAGTCTCTTGATCCGGGAGATTTTGGGTTAGCCTGGGCGGGCAGATTCTTGGAGAAGGCGACAGAGGTCTCGCTGGGCATATCTCGCAGATACGTTGCATTTTGGTGGCGAGGAGGGCAACATTAAAATTGGCGTCGCATATGGAAGGAAGGCTGCTTGGGCGACGATCACCACGTGGATTGAACATGGACAGTGGATTTAGGTCTCCGTGATAGACGATCAGTCGGCCCCAGGTACGCCTTATACCAAGGACCGTTGAAGAGAACGTGATGATTCGAGACTAGCTTGTCGCCTTCGTAACGTGCTATCCTGTGCTCATTCATCGTTTCTAAACATAATAGCGCCACCGGTCCAGTCCTGCAACTCGCCGACGTTCGCCCTGCCAACCTCTCGGAAGCCATGCTTCTTGTAGTATTCCTCAACCGTCTCCAGAGCAATCAGCCATGCAGCATTTCCCTCTTGGTCTACCCTCTCGAGCCCGTCTCGCAGCAGCATGGTGCCTAGTCCCTTGCTTTGCACAGTTGGGTCAACAGCCAGCGTTGAGAGGTACCACGCTTTCTCGCGCCGTGGGGTGTTGATCAGAGCAGGCTCGACCGTTGCAAAGGCGCGAACAAATGTGTCACCGGCATACTTGTCCAGGTCCTTGATAGGAAACAGCCAGTCCCTGATAGAGAACCACGTCGAGATCAAGGGGGCAATCCAAGCATCTAGGCAAGAGGGGTTAGTAGATAACCGTGAACGTCCAACTCCAGTCTTACAAGGTGACACCCAACGCTCCCAAAATGACATGGCTGCCTTTGGCCTCTTCCACCAGGTGAGCCCCACGATTCGGCCATCGTCGTTGCCTGCGACCACGCGCAGATCATAGTTCAGAGACCAGTAACGAGACGCATAGAGTCGAGAGATCTGGGCCCGAATGACGTGGGGGTGCGTGTGGCGGTTCGGGAAGAGAATGTCGAAAAGATCATCCTTGCGAAAAGCTGAAAGGAAGACCTCGACCGCGTGAGGCAGGTCCGCGCGACAACCCGGACGTATGCTGAATGTTTGTGTCGTGGCCATGGCTGGCGTTGAAGCGTGTCGCTGGCCCAACTGGTGAGGATGAGATGCTCTTGTGCGGACGATCTGACCCCAGGCCGCCGGCCGATTTGCAAAGAGTCGACGTACAAAAATGGGCTTTAGTGGTGAGTGATAGTGATGGAGGAGGTGGTCCTGGATTATATTCAATCCGCATGGGAGGCTCCGATCCGGCGGGTGACTCTTCCCCGTCAAGGGCGCGCCTTGTGCAGGGCTCCAGGTGGGTCATGGACTCATGCTCATGTGTGCAGGTTTGGACTTTGGCCGGTTTTGATAGCAGAGCTTTGAGCATTTTCCATCGATGATGGTATTGACCTTTCTATTAGCATTGGCTATGAGCCAGATGCAGCGCGCAATCTTCAAGTGCGCACGGGACGAGCTCTCGAAGCATGTTGCCTCGGGGTCCCCTGCTCGATGCCTCGTGGAAGAGGCATGTTCATGCAATTGAGGGTGCGGACGTACGCGACCAGTACTGTGACATCCCCGTCACTGCTGGACGATTCAGACGCTGCGCAGGGTCCTGCGCCTCGTGGTGAGTTGCAGAAAACAAGTAGGTGGTAGCTTTGGTGTTGCGAGACATGCTGGCTAAAGTATTATCAGGTACCACTGCATGCGATCTACGGAGTGCCGCGCGGACAAAAGCCACCGCGACAAGCTAATAAGGTAATCGCGGCGGGGGACCAACAACACTTGCTTGGTTGCGCTTTCTACTTTCCGTACTCCGTACTTTCCGCCATACCTTAGGTAGGTGTCTTGCACCCCAAATCATCATCGCTGCCCCTCCAGTCCATCCAACCTCTCACAACAGTAACCCAACGTGGCGCCACAAACTGGCCATCTCGGGACCCTTCGACGAGTACAGCACACGTCAGGTGCACTCTTGTGGTGAGGGTCTCCGAGTTACAGCACCAAGCAAGTAAACCTGAACAACGCCAGGCTGCCAAGGCCGCGTCTCCAACTACCGTGTTATTTCGTGGACCAGAACCATGTGAGTGACTTCGGCCCTGCATCTGCATGTATATTGGTGGCTTGTGCTTCACCTATCGCTCACGCGAAGCCGACCCACAAGTCGGCTCTCACAAGTCCTCCCCCAACACTACTCCCGGCATGGCGACTAGGGTGGAGTCGTGATCACCTTGTGCCCTCACTGCTGCTGCCTGGACAAATGCTGATCTTGTGTGCGTGTGCCTCAGCAAGACCAAGACTTCAATCGATAGGGTCACCGACAAAGGGATACCGACTAAAAAAAAAAAGTCCATCAGAATTGGACTCGCCTGCTTCAGTCGCGGAAAGGGCCGTTTCAGGGGGTAGAGCCGCCAGCAACAGCAGCGACGGCCAGTATTGACCCCCCAGGTGGCTGTCTTCCATCCATCACCATTGAGGCGTGGCAGAAGCGCTCGAAGTTGTGTCGGGCACCGCGCTCTGAGCCAAATATTCTGGGTGAGGCTCTCCTCATACATGGGGGCCACTGCCCGAACACGTCTTGACGTAGGGCCGACGCGCCCAAAGCCGTAATGGTGACTGCGTTTCAGTCCAGCCCCGGAGGTTCGTCCGAATCGCCCATGGAGAGGCCGCCGGAGCGTGCTCATCGAGCGTGCGAAAAATGCACGCGTACCAAGAAGAAGTGCGACAAGGCGCTGCCAGAATGCAGTCGCTGTCAAAGACTTGCCTCGGAATGCAGCTACGACTACGTATTCACCGCTCCTACCACGGCTATTGTCGACCCAGGAACTCATGGCTCGGGAGGGAGCCCCCATGACCACATGGCGGGCACGCCGCGCTTCAACATCTTTGACACCGATCTAGAGCTGCCGTCGGCCATGATCATGAGCCTGTTCAACGCCAAGGGCTTCTCCTGGCACGAGGCTGTGGCGCTTTACTTCCGGACGACAAACCTGTGGCTGTCTGCTGTCCATGAACAGCGCTTCCGCCAGAAGTTGGAAAGGCTGGATAGGAACGGCTTACCCCGGGAGCCTGAGATGGCGTTGCTCGTCGTGTGCATGCACCTCGTCACGCAGCACGCGGACTCGGGCCGCCCCGTCATGCCGGATGGAAAGGAGATGCTGAGCCTACCGGCCTATGTGGTGGCCAAGCGAGTCTTCAGTATACTCCGTGGCCTGGGCGCTCCGAGCATTGAGATTGTGCAGTCGGCAACCTTACTGTGTCTCTACGAGTTTGGCCACGGCGACTTCCCAAGAGCCTACGTTACGGTAGGAGATGCTTATACGACGGCGGCTTCCATGGGGATTCGACCAGGGAAATATCGAGAGGCAGAGAGGGACTGGGCCGTACCGCCGGAAGATGAAGAGAAATGGGACTTGTACTGGGCAATGCTCATTGTCGATCGGTGAGTCTGCGGGGCCCTTGACGTGCACGAAATTCAACAGCAGACTGACCACCAACAGCCTCATACGATTTGAAAGGCGCTTGATGTGGAAGGAGTTCCATGTCCCATCCCCCGTTGAGGATGACCTGTTGCCAACCACCAACCATGTTTGGAATGAACAAACAAGAAGTCCAGCCCGGATCGTGCAGCGACATCCGGCTGGCATATCCCCGTCAGTCCCGTTAGGTGCTTTCCAGCGCAACTGCCAATGTGCCATACTGTCGACCCGCGCTTTGGTTTGGCAGACCGAAACGTATCACTCGGGGAGACCACCGAGTGTCGCATCCTTTGCCGAACTGGACGTCGCTACCAGATCGCTCGTAGAGGCTATGGTCCTGCAAGCCTCTACCTGGGGCGAATACTACGAGTGCTTTGCTACGTGTACATGGTAAGTTAGGCAGTTAAAGGAATCCCCCTTTTCCACCCAAGCAAACGAACTGACACCGGAGCAGCCTCCTCCTACTACTATACTGCTCCTATCTCTGCACCATCCGTCCCGCCGAGATACACACAAACACCAACAACCTAGAGGTTCTCAAAGCCATTGCCGGCATTAATTTCACTATCCGCATCATCGCCGACACCACCCGCGATCTCAACCAGCATCTTGCGCGCCAACCCGAGATGCTGGCAACCTGCTCCCCCGTCACGCCCTATTCGGCCTATCACAGCCTTGCCGCGCTGAGCAACTTTGAGCACGTCATCTGGGAGGCGGACACGAGGTTCCATGATATCTACAGCACCCTTCACTTCTTCGCAAAGAGGTGGGGTGTAGCAGGTGGGTGCCCGTTACAGACTCTCATCTCACCAAAGACATTTCTAACAACTGATAGGACAACTCGTGAAGCGCATTGAGGAGTTTTTGGGAAGAAAGGACGAGGAGGAGGCCCCTTTGCTTGACTTTTCGTTCCTATCGAGGACGTGATCCTTGATGACCTGCGGCTACGAAGAAGTTGGACATCGTATGTTAGCCTGCTGAGAAAGCTATTTACCAGGGCAGTTGAATAGAATAGCGACTACAAGTCACGAGGCATTGTACCCATGCGTGATTTGACTGATTGTTGTGATCACTTTCCAAGATTGTCATGCTATACACTCCGATATGGACTGTGAGGTCTCTCTTCTGCAGGTATCCAACGCTTATAGCAATCTTATCAACACCGCTGGCCCAGTGAACTGGAAACACCAAACACCAAACACAACAAGCCGGTCGGGAACCAAACGTACCAAGAAGCCAACCGTCAAAGAGTTCATTTACGCAAAAAGAGTGCACAAAGTGCTATATACGATCCACTTTGAGACGTTCCAAACACAACAAAGTGGGGGGTCATCAAGGTGAGTTGCCAACGACCAGCACAAGGAGCATGCCGTTGAGCAGACAAGCGGCTATAAACGTGCTCCAGATCATGATGCGATGCGACACGGTGAGGGGATCTCGTCGGTAGATGGTGGCGGCCAAGCCAGAGCAGGCACTCAGCAGACTGCAGGCCACGCCGACAGTGACGCCCGCATCGACCTCGACACGGAGCCTGTGCCGTCCGGTGAGGATCAAAAGACCAGATATGGCCAATAATATGAACGACCCGATGAAGCAGCCAACAGTGACCCAAAAGAGAACGTTTTCCCTATAACGGACAATCTTCTGGTCGCCGATGCTGGGGAATGAATAGTGTGCCGCGTAGCCCTGGTTGGGGAAGTCGCTGGAGCTTGCGTAGCCCTCCTCATCCGAATCGGCAGATGCAGCCGAGAAGTATCCGTGTGTAGCTGTACCGGGCCTAGACGTCTGTGGCCTAGAGGATGGCTCGCCCAACAGTGGTTGCCGTTCGCCTTCCCGTTTGATCTTGAACCACTGTTGTACTTTGGAGAATGGCATGGCGAGGATGGCCTGCACATATCCCAATCCTGCGAAAGATGTGTCCTCGTCTGGGTTGATGTAGATGGCATAGTCGTTCTCCGGTCCCTCGCACTCGCTCCCGTCATCGTACTCGTTCCAATACGTGACCTGTGGCCTGGAGCGTGGCGCCTCCTCCTTGGCGGCTTCTGGGAGGGGCTCGAAACTGTGCGGCTGCGCGCTTGTTGACGGTCGGCTGGCATTGTTCTCGGAAGCCGTCGAAGGGGAGCTTGGTTCACTTAGGGCGGGTGTCGAATTGCGGAGCGTGGCGAGAATGTCATCGAGGCGCGTCTGTAGAGGCTCAAAGTTTCGGCGTGTGAAGCTGGACGGTTTGCCCGCAATGTAGTCGTTGAACCGGGCCGAGAGTGTTGTCGACCGAGTCCATTTCTACCACCGTTGTCAGTCCGGGCTGCCCTGCGTTTCGGATACGCGAGTAGCTCACCTTGTACTTCTTGATGATCTTGCGGAAGGCGATGATCTGGGCGTTGGCGAACCGTGACAGGGCCGAGATCTCGTCGCCCAATTCGAATAGTCGTCGCTCGTATTTGATGACCGTTCTTTGCTGCTTCGAGAGGGTACTGTCTCTAGGATTCTCGGGACATTTGCCAATCCACTTGTCAATCTTGCGAGATAGCATGTCTGCCTCGGCGGTTAGCTCAACTCGGCTGCTGGGGGGAGAGGGAAGCCGCGGAAGCAATCTGGCCTGACAACATACCCAGTCTCCGAGCCACCTCGCCCGCTTTGCTCTTGACAAATAGATCCACACGGTCATGCTGTTTGCATAGTTCGAGAAATAGCCCGTCTTCGAAGGCGCGGAGGGACTTGTCGGGCTGTCCGGGTATTGCGATGGCGGTGGCTTGGTCTCGCGTCGTGTGGATTTTGATTGCGCGCTTCAGAGAGTTGTAGTCGAGGTTGTCTAGAACATGTCAGCAACAGTACAGAGAGAAGAAGTCAAAGCCATCTCTAGAGATGATGGTTCGCCTTACACATGCTCCATTTAGGAACCGACTCCTTCTCCAACTGTTCCCCAAACTTCATGGTAGCGGTTGGGCAATCAGCTGCAAGGATGACGGCGAATGAAATGGCCCAATGCTCGTCTGCTTCAGTACGAACCAATGGTCGGTGTGTGCTGGTGCAGGTACGGTTGCCGCCGACCTATTGCTTTTGCAGCTCCGCGGAGCGAGCGCAGCAAAGTAGCGACTTGCGATGGACGGAGATGGAGGAGGTCGACTGGCAATCAAGAGGTAGTTGCGGGGCACACGAGCGACACGCTACCTTGGACGTGGAAGGAGATGGGCGTGGCGTGGGTTATCAATGTCTCAATTGAACAATGTACCGGGCGGAGAGGGAATGTCACTGCTCGGGATTGACTTGTTGTTTGAGGAGCAAGGTTCAGCGACGGCGGCCAGTGTTCGAGACGGATGAATCCAATCGCCCAGTCCAGTCGTCGCAGTGAGAATGACGTCTTGTGGTTCGTTCTGCAGTGAGAAGAGAGCAGCAGCCAGGGCAGGGCGGGAAATGCAGCGCAGGTTCATCAACAATTGAGAACTTGATAAGGCAAGGTAGTACAAATACTGCCACTGGACTAGAGCAAGCTTGAAAGCACTGGGTGCAGGTGATTGACAATGTACTATGGTTTGCTCGTACAGCCACCACCTTGACCAGGATCCGTAGGTGTTGACACTTTAGACTTTAGAGTCGCAGACGGAGGGCTGGAGGCGGATCCCCGCTTGGCCGGCGTTATCGGTAAGGGAACTTGGGGAAACAAAGACACCCGGAATTGACGGGTGCGGACTGAGGACTGGATCCGACCGAGAAGAGGTGAGACGTTGTTGAGATCAGTAATAAGACCGTACGATGGGAAGGAGAACAAGAGAAAAAAAACTTTGATATTCGTCTAGAGAGCGTGCGCGCCTTTGGCGAAGAATTGAGCGACAACCACTGCCGTTGGCTTGCGCGACGAAAGAGAAAAAAAAACTGTAATACCACCGACAGACGGTGATTCTGGCGTGCAGCGTGCAGCGTGCAGCGTGCTGCTGCACGAATGCTGCTGCGCCCAAGTGGAGTGGCTGAGGCGGGACTGAAGCCAGCCAGCCTTCTGGAGACTGGACCCTGGAAGCCAGCCAAGCTCCAGTCGGAGAGAATTGCACCAAGTTGATTGAATAACACAGTTAACACTGGCAGGCGGGTGGGCACTGGGCAACAAGGCCCAGGCCAGGCCCAGGCCCAGCGTGGTGTTGAAGTTTAGCGCCGTCTCCAGTCGCTCTGCTGCAGATGCGGCACGACTGGAGACTGGACTACACATGTAGCTAGACTGCTAGAGGCTCGGTTGTAAGAAGCTTTTTTTGGCGGCACAATTGGCGTCAATGTAGCCGTTGGCTCCATGTCCAGTCGTCGATGATAAGCGACCAGACGTGACAGGCGTGCTGTGGTTGGGCTGATAAAGGGCTGGGGCCACTGTTGACAGAGATCGGGGAAGGCAAGGCTCGTGTTGCATCGAGGCCTCCGGTTAAAGAGCCCCGGCCAGCTCCGAGAGGCTCAGAACGGAAGGTTGTGATAGTTGATGCTGATAAGACGCTTCGCAGTCATGGACCCGGAATTGACTTGAGCGCTAATCATCCTATGCGCTATCACGCCTGTTATGCTTAATTAACAAAGTGTCTTTGGATTGAATTTGCAACATGAATTGTGGAATTCTCCATTGAAGTCCGCCATGACAACGATGAATTCCAAACGGCGAATGGACAGGCACTGTAATTTGCTAGCTGTAATTAAGTTGTAGTTTCAGGAAGCGGCATGTGTGTGCCGGCTCTGTTGACGCTATCGAATGACCACATACAGAACCCCTCTCGTGCCGGGGCTCACCTTGCTCGAGAACCGCAACAGAGACCGCAGCCGGCATCTGGGTGTCTTATGACCGCGCAACTGTACCTGAGTTGCGAGGCAGACTGTTCCCAGCTCTTCTACCATCTTTCACCGTTGACGGGATCTCCCAATGGCTGGCGATCTGCAAAGACGAGCAACTACTATCGCTGTGATCACAGCATCATGACTCCCTATTAGAGTCCCCAGTCCCATCCTGTCAATTCACATGAGACGCCAAACCAGCCGGGCCCACCATCCGCATGTGACGGTCGGTCGCTCGGTCCCATTTCCTGGCGCCAGCTTCCCGCCTGCTCGCTTGCAGTCAAAAATTGGGTTTTGCGACCCACGTCTGAGTTCTGACGGCCAGATCCGGTTGCCTTGCCTTCGAACAGAGTCCAGACGAGGACGGCTGTCAGGCATCGACCCCGCTGGTTGAGCCAGGTTCCTGTACCTATCCCACACGTTGGATCTGAATATTTCGTCGCTGGAGTTTCGGCCAACCCTCGCCTAGGATTCAATTATCCTAGGGTTTGGCCAAAACTAGATCAAAATAACAGGTCCGATCCCCTCGAGATCAGTGCAGAGAAAAGCCGCAGAGGGTGGACCTGACAGCACGCTTCATGGATGAACAGGCAGGCGAGTGCCTGTTGTCGCTTGTGCCAAGCGGCTGAAGAAATGTTTGGTGAGGTCAATAGGCTCTGAACACTCATTGTTTCGTCGCAGCGCCAATCGCACCTCCAGGATGGTTCGCCGCAAAGACCGTCGCAATGTCTGCGTGCAGCTCCTTGGCCACGGCCATGGCGAGGGCGTCGCCCAGCGCCAGTGTGACCGTCGTCGATGTCGTCGGCGCCGAGACACCCAGCGCCGCCTTCTCCGGCTCCGGGATGGGCGCGGGCAGAAGCAAGCCGTCCGGGCGGGCTCGCAGAAGCTCGCAGTCCTCAGACCGCCGATGCGACGTCAGCGCGACCAGACGCAACGAGGGGCCGAGATAAGGCACGAGCTGCAGCAGCTCTGGGCTCTTGCCGGAGAAGCTGATGAGAAGGACCGTGTCGTTGGGGCCCAGCAAGCCCAGGTCCCCGTGCAGCGCCTCTGTCGGATGCAGAAAGACAGTCGCTATGCCGAGGCTTTGGAATGTGGCCACCAGCTTCCGCCCTATGTGGCCAGACTTGCCGACGCCTGTCACCACAAGCTTGGCCCCGCTGCGTCGTGATGTGACGATGGCCTCGACAGCGTTGCTAAAGTGTTCCTGCGCCGCTTCGTCCGTGTCGTACAGAGTGGCTAGGTTGCGCAGGGCCACGGCTTCCGCGTCCAGCACGCGCCATCCGTTGGCCAATCGCGCCTTGCGCTGCGCGGCCACGCCGTCGCCATCGTCGAGGCTGAACTCCTCAATGGGCGTGCAAGGCTCCTCGGTCCGTGTCGGCGAGTCTGAAGGTGGTGACGGTGGAGGGACTGCTGGGCGCGCGCTGTCTGTCAGGACGACGACTGCACTCGTCTGAACAGGCACGCGTTGCTTGCCGCAGACGTCGGCCATTGTGCGCGCGTATAGTTCTGTCGCTTTGCACACAAGCAACGGAGAACACCAGGTTGTCCGGGTCGATGCGTGTGGATATGGAAACGAGCAGCTTCAAGCCAGTGTGGCCAGCAGAAATCACTCACACTCGGCAACTCATAAACTAACGGCGCGCCTTGAGCCGGTTCGATCCGCAACGCAAAACAATAGCCAGCATCGCATCCGTAGGGTTTAAGTACTTATTGATTATTTCAGAATGCCTGGTCTATGACCATGCTCGCTCAGGGGCTGACACCGAGCCCTAGGTTGAGCTGCATCTATCGCGGCCATGAATCCCATGTACTCGTCATCGATCAACCCCCTGGGGAGGAGGCATATCTTGCCATGACTTCGTTCGGACCCGGATAGCGCGCCCGTTCTTGCATCCGTCGAGCGAGATATCCGCTCCAAAAAGTGCAAAAAGTGGACACGCTGATGATGCCACCCGGGCCTAGAGTCTAGACTACGGCACGGATAGGTAGGTAATCGTGCTAAATCCGAGTCAACTGCCTGCACGCCGGCCAAGTGATGATGCGACGAGTGAAGAAGCCAAAAGTCAATGTCGGCTTGAACGCCTACGTAGTCAGCAGAGGGATGATACTTCAATTCATGAGGGGTGAGCTGCCTTCAATTGGAACCTCAACTTCCAACAGGCCTGCGCACTACGTAAGTACTATCTTCAAATATAGTTCGAGACTTTCATGGTACCATTGCCTGGTTGGAAGGGCACCACTCTTGCTGTTCGAGAGCTGAGATGTTGGACTCAATGATGGAGGCGTCTTTGACTGATGGCAGAGACGCGCCGTCGAGGAAGCGGTTTGTTGTTAACGAATCTCATACCTGGTAACTGGCAGTTGCTGTTGATCGCCGCAAAGCTACCCAAGGTACCTAAGACATTGTGACGGGCCAAGCCGGTTCACACATCCAGCCATGTTTCTTACTGATACATCATCCCATCTGGTGTTCTACGATGGCCACCAAGTCCCAATTGCACCGTCCAGACATTGATATGTTCTTCAGTGTCCCGTAGAAGACCAATTGCAAATACTGCCAACCTCGCCTTATCACTTGTCGCGCGGCTTGCGTCACAGGCGCGCGCACGGACTCCGCAACGACATCCACTCGATAGTCGCTACTTGTTAGCCTGGAACCACGGCTTCAGATCGGATTCTGAGTTTGCTCGACAAGCAGAATGCATGATTCAGATGGAATCCGGGGCTTGCCGTAGTGACTTGCGTGAAACTGAAACCCCGAGATGTAGACTTGGCAGCGACATTGTCAACGGCAAGCGCATGGACATGGCACGGCGTATCGCTGATGATGAGAATGCGATCAGCGTACGTACACGGTGACATAGCCCCCCCCCCCAAGTTCCCGACAACGGGAGCGCGCCCGAGGGCCCATTTAATTATGATGCTGGAATAATAATACAAAGGCACTGTCGGTTTGGCTCATTGATACTTGGCCTGGGGGACGACTGGAGACTCCAGTCCTCATGCGGATCTCCGTGGTCTGGCTTGCGCGTCCTGTCTGTCCCCGGTTCCAATCCCCTACGGGCACATATCCTGCTTTGCGTGCATCGAGCTGGCGCCGCATCAGATCGAAGCTTTCTCTCCAGCGTTGTGCTAGTTATGCCAACAATTTTTGTGGTGAAGTCGCCCTAGCCAGTTCCTCGTTTCCACACGCTCGGTTCCCTCCTTTGCCTGGCAAATTCACCTCTGTTTCTCCTGTGGTAGGACGGACGACACCTTGGTTGCCCATGCGATGATAAACCCTACATGCAGCTCCAGGGTTGCGCTGGTGCTGGCGCTGACCATGCTGCTGGCGGTACCCCTCTGGCAACTCAGCAGCCATTCGTCCACCGGCTACTACCGCAAGCAGGCCCAAGACCTCTACGACAACGTCTCCTCATACTTCACCCACGAACAAGAGGTCTACAATAACACACTCTACCAGAATGGCGTCGAGCACAGCGTCCATGCGCAGTACAACTTCAGCACCCCGTGCGAGGGCTTCCCCGACACCTCGAACATTATGTTCATCATGAAGACGGGCGCCTCGGAAGCCTTCCAGAAGCTCCCCGTCCATCTGCTCACGACAATGTCCTGCCTGCCAGACTTTCTCATCTTCTCCGATCTTGTAGGTGCATCGAAAAAAAGGGGCTTCCCTTGTCGCAACAGGACCCCGCGAGGCTAACACATACGCAGGAACAGCAGATTGGCAAATACCACCTCCACGATGCCCTCGACCGCGTGAACCCGGCCCTCATGAATCAGCACCCCGAATTCGAACTGTACAAGGCGCAGAAGCGATGCCCCATATCCCAGCAGGACTGCACAGCAGATATAGATGGGGGCTGGAATCTCGACAAGTACAAGTTCCTCAACATGGTCGATCGCGCGTGGGAAAAGCGCCCAGGCATGGACTGGTACGTGTTTGCCGAAGCAGACACCTACATCGTGTGGTCCAACATGGTCGAGTGGCTGCGTGAGAGGGCGCCCAAGGGTCCCCAGTACCTCGGCAGCGTGGCACTGCTCAACGAGTTTCCCTTTGCGCACGGTGGCAGCGGCTACGTGGTCTCGGGCGAGCTCATGCGGAACATGGTCAACAACATTACCAATCTCGCCTCCAAGTACGACACGCGCGCAGGAGACTCATGCTGCGGTGATCTGTTGTTTGCCGAGGCGGTTGCCGAAGCCGGCACCAAGGTGCAACAAGTGCATCCCATGTTCAACGGCGAACGACCGCTGAGCATACCCTACGGCCACGGACAATGGTGCGAACCCATCATCTCGATGCACCACGTGAACCCGGAGGAAGTAAGCATGATCTGGCAGTTTGAGCAGACAAGGAAGAATAAGGTGAGAGCAGCCCGTGCGGACAATGCGCCCGCAAGATGAACTGACCGGCTTGCAGGACACCCTCCTCATCAGGGACCTCTATGAAGCATTCATGGCGCCCCATCTGGCGCAGTTCCGCCGCGATTGGGACAACTTGTCAGATGACACGTGCTTCATCGGCCCCGACGAAGCAGACCAGGAGTACGCCGGCGACATGGAGAGAAGCCGACAACGACTCGAGCGTGACAAGAACCCAGTGGAGAAGGAAGCACACAAATCACCCGCGGCGTGCGCAAAGGTGTGCGAGGCCGACAAGCTCGTGATCCCCGAGGACGAGTACGCGGCGCTCCCCAACGACGTCGACAAGGGCCACTATCTCCGCAAGAAGTACGACCAGCGCATCGCGGAAGACGTCGATGGTGCGTTCCAGAGGGGGCGGACGTGTTTCCAGTGGCGGTATCACCAGGGCGCTTGCTGCACAAGCCAGAGCTTCAAGCTCGGCAAGCCTCGACGGGGCGCCATTGAAGAGGACAGATGGACCAGCGGAGCCTTCGTCAAGGGCATCCATCAGTGGATAGACGCGACAGGAGAATGCGCCGGTCCTAACTGGAAGGAGCCGTTCTGAGTGCGTTTGCTGCAGTGCATACATGAGCGGAGTCAACATCGCAAGTACATCACGGCGTTTGGGACAGCATCTGGGAGGCTAGCAAGCTGGGATGGCTCGTTTGAGTTCAAATTCATTTAAGCATTGTTTGGGCGTTTTGAGATGGGTAGCCTCGATATGAGGTGTAATAGCATATTACAGAACATTCATTACATACCGGCGACATAGGGCAATATCACAAAACTACAATCAACATGTTGGCGAAGCTCCGTGTCTCGCACGTATCCGGTGTCGGCGCTGAACGGCTGGTTGCCTCACCGCATCAATGCAAAGCGCCGAAAGCGGATTGAGTGTCCAAGAATTCCATAACGCCGTTTCTAGTCATCTAACATCTATCATCTATCGTCATATCATGTGCTGCTCCTCTCCAAAGATCACGTCTGAATGGGGAGAGAGAGATGGAAAAAGGCAACCGCCGTCAACGCCCGCCAAACCAGAAAATGCGCTACGCTGTAATCAAGCAAACTTCTTTCCACCGTGGCGGCCGCAGCGGTGGGGATTCTTGGGTGAGCTCAGGTAGCAGTACGGCTTCGCGTCCTCACCGGCAGGCTTGCCAAACGTCTCCCTGATGCTGCAGTACTCCTTGTCCTCGCCCATCCATGACTTGAGGTGCCGGTGGAGCTCGCACCGCGAGACGCCGCATTTGCGACAGTATACCTGGCCCTGGACGCGCATGTGCGCCAGCTCGCTCGCGCTCGTGAGGTCGGTCGTCTCGGTGCGCTTGAGGGAGCCGGCACCGCGCCATGCCCACTCCATGTCGTTGGGGCCTTGGTAGCGAGCGGACAAACGGATCTTGCCGTGCTTCCGACGGTGGATATCGTACAGGGCTGGATGGGCAAGGCCAAAACAAGCGCTATCAATGGGGTCGAGGAAGTCGACAATGTTGTAGTGGAGTTCCGAGGGAAGATCGAGAAGGTGGAGGCGATGTGAAGGCTTGGGGAGGTTCGCCGGCAGAGGCTCCCGGTCCGTGACTGAGTACGACCGGCGAGGCGGCGGGAGCTTTGGTCGCTGCACCAGCTGGACGGAGTCGTCCTCGGTGATTGGCGTGGCCGCGGGCGTGGCTGGCCTCGGGACAACAACGCTGTTCTCCGGAATGGAGGCTTGAGAGTGGAAGTATGCCGCGTGGGGTGTAGACGCTTGATCGGCCTGTGTGCCTGGGTAGTCCAGCATGGTCCAGCCACGGCGTGGTGCCCTCTTGGACCTCTTGGCCAGCAACTCCTTCATACGTCGAGCGTGCTCCTCCCGAGACATGGACTCGTGCCCTCCATGGGTAGTCTTGAAATATTCCGCATTCTCGAATCTCGTGACATGTCCATGGGACATGGGCGAGGCGGGATCGACCAGGACCTGCACCATTGTTGCGGTGTTACCACGTCGAATGTGGTTGACGGTGAAGACTGCCAAGGGCGAGGCGAGTTCGAGTCTGAGGAGGCCTGCGCTTGACAAGGAGCCAAGCGATCGGGAACAGTGGCAGTGAGCAGCGAAGGCTCGGATAGAGGCTCACGATCTTGATGTGAGTGGTGTGTCGTAAAGAGGGCGCAGTTGGTGATGCCTCACTAGCAGCTTCATGAGACGGCAGTGGCAGTAATCGATTTACATAGTAAACAGAAAGAAAAGCAACCGGAGCCAAGACGCGCCGGTGAGGCAGGCCTTTATCCCAGGGCCCACGCAATCTTGCCAAATGACGATGCCGGCTGCGGCCATGGGGAAAATGGAGCCTTTGGACCCATAGTATCGTGAAAAGCCTGCCCACTCCCCTGCGCGCCCTCGCCTAGACCCGAAGAAGCAGCCCACGTTGGCAGAATCATTGTTCAGGTCCGTGCGCTATCAGCCAATATACGTAGTCAGTTTGGTCGTCGCTCGTGTGATGGGCGGTGCGCTGGTGGTGCCTTATTTTCTGCGCGCCTGTGTCGGTTGGCTAAGATGGCTGTTACGACTCGCGTGTCTTTCCCCTGGCCCTAATTACTGAGGGAGAGGAGGCCACCTGGAAACCTGGTGGCAAGGGGTCCTGTGGTAGCTTGGCTCGTTGGCTTGGCCTCCGTTGCTGAATCGTTGAAGATGGAGATGACCCAGTCTTTTTGCACCTGGTAGGGGTCTTTTGGAGCCATTCTTCCGTCGGATATGGCTCGGGCCTGGATTGAAGTCTTTTGTCTTGTGTTCAGACTCTTTCACCACCAGCACATCGGGCAAGCCGAGAGGAGGAGAATCAATATCCAGTCCTTCTCGTTGATGGACTTTGGGCATGCAATTTTGCAGGGCCAGCAGAAACCCTGTGTCGGGGTCGGACGAATGCCCAACAGCTCGTTGCCCCTCGGCGATCATCGGAAGGCCGAGAACGACCGCGTTCGGCACCAATTTTAGTTGCCTTGTCCTGACCACCCGGATAGCATCAGACCTGTAGCGGAGGTGCAGGCCTACATTCTCTCCTCTATTGTGCACTGGACTCGAGCGTCGCTCAGCGCGGCATGAGGAATCCCCATTGTACCCACAAAGCCCGTCATAAGCGGATACGGATCTTCGCATGCGTCTCTGGTCACCCCACCATTACGACATGACCGCGGCCCAGGACCCCTAGATTAGTACATTCTGAGTTGGTGATTGCTGGTTCGCGTGGAGCAAGCGGACTGTCAAGTTGTCAACGTCAGAAGGGGCATTTTCTCCATCTCGGCCTGACTGTTGGACTTTGAGCAGCCGTTGGCGACGCTAGACGTCTGGACGCGTCGTCGAAAGAGGCTGCTGCGTGGTGATCTCGTGCAGCATGTCTGCATGTTCCAGAACGCCACAGAGAGGCTGTATCGACACGGAACCCCCCACGCCCAGCCCATGCACTGTGACCTGATTCAGTGAGGAGCGACCCTGAAGGCAGGGAGATGCGAAGGGGCCCCATGATGCGCCTCACAATGGCAGGTCGTGTGTGATAGCCAAGGACGCACAGTGCAATTGGAGTCGCAAGGCAACAGAAGACGGCGGAAGGAATCTCGTATCGATTGCAGCACCCAAAGGTTCGACCTTGCCCAAATGTGAAGGAACGAAGGGCAGCATGGCCGTTCTTACCAACAACTTTTCAAGCAGGGCCAAGGTAAGGAACGTACAATTCTACAACGCCTGCATGCCTCCAAAGCCGCTCGAGCACCTTCCTTCTACACCATCATCTGCGAGCAACATTTCTTCAAAGGAACGACGAGCTCCGTGAACACGTTTCTTTGACTCACTGCATGTGAAGAACATAGTGCTATCAATAGCCTCAACGTTGATTGTATTCTGCTTCTAGACGAGAGCCTTCCCACAGAACAATCAGAGCATTCAGTCATCATGCCGATTGCGTGGCACTCCCTCCTCCATCGGTGTGAAGATCTCGCGGTAGAGCACCTGAGCCAAGGTGGCCTCGTCAGCGGCACTCTCGCTGTCAAACCTGAATCGAATGCACTTGGATATGGCATCCGTGATGCTTTTCCCAATGTCTGGCCCAAAGTGTGTCGTAAAGCCCCCCGCCGAGCTGGCCAGCCACTGGTTGGCACTGTAGAACAAAGTACTACCCACCGGCTTGCCTTGAACGGTATTGCTGGCCCAAATGGGCGTGTTCTCAATAGGCTGGCCGTGGAAAAGCTCAAGAAGCATCACCCCCAAGAGCAATACTGTCTGTTTCACTGGCCAAGGTTGTGCAGGTGTTTGAGTGTCGGTCGGTGAGTCTCCTGGCTGGAATGATATATACGGACCAGACCACTCGTCTAGATCATAGGGATTCCGTTGCATTAGTACGAAGAGATCGCGTTGGCTGAGACGCCCCATTAGCCAGGGGGTCGTGATGAAGCTCAGTAGTGTGAGCGTAAGACGCAGGCCGAGCTCCATGCGAAAACATCGAGCGTCCATTTGTCGGAGATACTCGTGAATGGACTGCGTCCGGTCTTGGTAGGTTTTCGGTGGAATTTTTGGCATCAGATTCACCTTGTTGTCAGATGGCTGACCCAAGTGTATAAGAACTTGGTCGGGCTTATATTGCCCGAGGGTTCCCTTGATGCTGCAGGCATCGATGACCACAACTTCGTTAGGAGCATGCACAATGTGCTCGTCACAGTCGTCCTTTTGCTCCTCAGCATCTGCAAAGCGAACTCGGTTCTGGACAGCCAGAGGGCTGCTGTTGATCGTAGGTCTTCCCAATGTCAGTGGCGGCCTTGAACATGAGTATCCCACACAAAGGACGATCCGACATATAAATTCACTTACGCATTTGATATCGTTTCAGCTGCAAGTTCATTGGACTTATTCTCGAGGATCAATTCTTGCGGACTGTTGCCCTGTTTCTTCCGACGAGATGATCTTGATCTGCTTGTTGTGCTCTGCCACATGGTCTTAGTGGCCTCGATGAACTTGACTTTGAGCGAATGATGGCTCTTGTCCGGGCGATGTGTAGCCACAATCGCAGCTCCCGGGTCTTTGGCCTGACCATTTTGTGTGTATGGATGCTCTTGGTCGTCTGGGTACTTTGTCGTGCCGTACTGCGCCTTTTCCCTCAGCGCGAGATCCCAGGCGCCGAGTGTGCCCCTTTGTTCCACAGTTTGCGTCGAAACCTGTCTAGAAGGATCCGACTTCACCACAAAGTACGCCTTATCGGTATCATGTTCGAGGATAGTATGGACATGATTCCTGCTGCGATTCGGGAAGCGCTCGTTCTTCTCGTGGTGTAACGTTATGCCCACGCTGTGCGTAGGCTGGCAGGAGCAGCTCCAGCACTCACGAAGTCGTTGATGATATAGTACAGCATGAGATTGAACCTGATCCAAAGGGAAGTATAGCTTCTTGCGTTGCCTCGACTTTACGATCTGTCGTTCATTTTTGAGGAAGGTGTTGAGCTCGTGATTGATAGATGCGATGCGAGCAATACGCTTATTTGCATCCGAAGTGAAGCTGACAACTGCACGTTTGAACTCGGCCTTGATGGTATTTGGTCCGTACAGCTTTTGACATTGTCAGTTTGGCCGTCGCTTGGGATGGAACTCGACAAACCTCGTCCAGGGGCAACAGAGCCTGTAATGCGACGACCGACTGATGCATCGCTCTCAATCTCCGCGTCATAAATGTGTAGTCCTCTTCATCAAACCGTGCCCGCAGACTACTCTGAACATTTGCCTGGTTCCATACTTCGAGGCTTGTTCCTTCGAGCAGGGCTTCAATCTCCGCTTCTGGGAGACTCAACGGTTCGACGAGAAGCCGCAAATTCTGGCGATAGAGTGACTTCTGCGCCTCAATGACGAAAAGAAGATTGTCAAATGTCGCTTCAAAGTCCCACCAGTCATGCATTCTGCCCAGCTCGTCGTTGATGCCTCGCGCTGTCATCAACAGTAACGGGATGGCCCCCAGGACGAGGCCAGCCACCTCAAGTCCGGACATTGTCACACTTGACCAGCAGTGCGCTTGCCCGAGATCTCACGGCGCACAGATCTCGTAAGTATGAAGGTCATTTCGAGCCAGGATTGAGGGGGCAAGTGTTTTGCTGCATGTTGTGCAACATTAGCCGCCGAGCTGCAGCCGCGTCTGCAGGCCGTTGGGAGTTGATGCAGCGTCGCATCCAATCGTTACGATGAACCAGACATGATGAGGGGTGGCACAGATCGTGTTACCTCGGTGTCGTAGTTCGGAGGCGTTTTCTGGATCAAGATACACACAGACGAATTGTTGTGGGAGCCGTAAAAGGGGGATATCTCGGGCCATGGGTCGTTCTGACAATACTAAGGGTCAGCGTGTGCAACAGCTCCGTGCGACAAGTTCGACAAAGTCACAAGAAGCCAGTACTTTCGAAGATTCAGCCCAAGCTTCTCTGGCTGCTTTTGGCCACCTTTGCCGGGTCCTTCCCGACACGCTCTTCGCCTCGCTTACCAGCATATTGCTGGACGAAAGGTCACGATTTCGCCTATGGGCTGGCAAATTTTCCGCTCTGCCGCAAGGGCGTTCCAAGGAGGACATCAGTGCGAGTGAGCCTGGGCAACCCGACCTACAAGATGTCTCGTTGTTCGCTTTGCAGCGCCTGTCTGTGTCTTTGCAGCGAGGTATGTTTCCTGGACGAACATAGGCTATCGAGGCTGTCATACTAATCCAATTTCAGCATCCGAGATAGTGGAACACAAGCGACCTAATAGGTGCAACAACACTCTACAAGATGCATCACCGGCGGCTCTGGCCGAGCTCACATCTGAGATTGTCAAATCGGAGCTACACAACTCGAATCACGAAAAGGGTTTGCTCAGTATGAGATCTACCACAACCGAGCTGGCAGAGGTGCTACTCGGCGCACATTCAGCAATCACCCACCTTCTACAGATATCCTCGCTTGCGTGTTCAAGCCTCAGTGAATATGCGACAGAGCCGGGGATGTCTCGCGGGACTTATGAAGTCGATGGTCGTCCCGACATCACCCACATGACAGACAAATTTCCCCTGCTGAAACAGAGGCCCTGGCTAGCTGAACGACTGGGGAATCTTGTTGCTCAACGGCGAGCCCATATACGTTACCAGCAGAACTATCGGGGCCAAAATAACGCAGACTTTGACGTCCCAGTCTCAGTTATTCACTCAGATGCAGTATCAGTTGCACACAGTGAAGGGATGCCAACAGACTCTGGCTACGGCTCGCAGAGAGCAGCTTCAATACGAACTTTCGACTCGGATGCCACGTCCTTCGCCAGCACTGCCAAGTCTTCAGGTGGCACTGCTGGCCATATCCCAAGCCTGACAAGCATGCGTTTGGATGGGAAAAGGCTGGAGTATAATGTGCAAATAGAATGCCCATACTGCCGGACTCCACAGATCTTCCGAAACAAGCAGATGTGGAAGTAAGTAGTATATCCCCGTTGTACAATGCAAGGCATCGTTGTTGACCAAAGTCACCTCACTTCAGGCAGCACGTTTATAGCGACTTGTCATTCTACGTCTGCACGTTTCCAGAATGCTCGGAGCCCGCTTTTGCCACATCTCATGACTGGTTTCATCATGAGTTGAGCCAACATCGAAAGCAGTGGCAGTGTCATCTTTGCGACGTATGCTGCGTATCTGCGGACAACATGGGGGCTCACTTTGATGCTGACCATCAACGCGATATTTTGGACAGTCAGAGAACTGACCTTGTCGGTCTCTGTGAGATGCCGATCCAACACTTTCCCGACGATTCCTGTCCCTTTTGCGAGAATTGGAACCCTTCGGGCACTCCATATTCTGCCAGCCGCAAGCGATTCCGTTCGCATTTGGGCGGCCATCTGCGAGAAATTGCACGAGAAGCCATACCATTGGCTATCGAGGGACTTGAGGTTGTTGAAGAAGAAGAGGAGGACGATGATAGCAGCTCTTCTGATGAAACCTCATCATCTCTCAGCAGTAGCGATGATGAGCACAGCCAAGGGGATCAGGGGGAGCCAGTAAGCAACCTCGATCCGGGCGACGGAATTTCCCTTGAAAAGGGAAAGAAACCTTCACAGTCTCCCAGTGTTCCAGAGCATGCAACTCGCTTCGTTGGCCAGAAGCCCATGGAAACAATGGACGGAAGCGCGGAAGATTTACATCGGCGGCATGATTTGTCAACTGAGCCACGCATCACAGTCTATGCGCAATCAGCTGAGCAAGCCTCTATGCAGCAGACACAGCAGCACTCTGATGATCAGACTTCCATTTACAGTCAGGTCTCGGAGACTGTAAGCCAGTCACCAGAGGAGACGATGAAACCCGAGCATCAAAACGTGGCCAAGTCGTCTCCTGGCGGAGCCAAAGATAAGGAAGAACCGCCCACTCTGACTCTCAACTTGTACGACCATTACGAGGTCAAGGTAAATGAGGATGGGACCAGTGAGATGGTGGTACATGGCCAGAAACGATAGAAGTATGCCATGACGACGCACCATCATCTCAGTGATTCTTACATATTCCAGTTCGGTAGCGTCTTTTGTCCGTAAATTTTTGCCATATTGCTTTGACTTTTATCGCCTCAAATCGATCTAAGAGGTTCTCTCCCACGGTTTCCTGTCCCACACCACGGCTCGAGTCAGTGTTTGACTTTGCTGCCGCTGCTAATAGAGTCATACAACTGAGCTGAGGGCTCATCGAGACTCTGCTTTTCCACAACATATAGTTCCACAATGCGCGTTCTAGTTGTTTGACCTGAATGGCGCCACAACAGACTTCAAGTGCTTGTGGACGAACGCATATGTGAGTACCTTGTTCTAGAACAATTCGGCGGCATCGGATAGTAGAGTTACTCAAACAGCGCTGAAGTCTTGAGGCTGTTTAGTGTTGCTTATGAAATGACGAGCCTACTACATGTATCAGGGTCGGCTTCTTTGTTCGCCGACTTGCCTTATTTGCTGTGGATTGCGGGAGAAGCCCTCGGGTGACGATCCGTAGCACGATATGGATGGTGATGGTGAGCTTCCCAAGCTACACACAGCCCTTGTCGGCAAAGGCCCAGCTGGCAAGGACAGAGAACCATTCAGGGATGGGGAAGATTTGCTCCACATACAAATCAGTGCAGGCTGAGTCGGTTAATAATTAGATTTTGATCTTCCAGCACACAATTCCAGGTATTCCCTAATATCATGTCCAGCACCCCAGCACAATAACTTTATATGGCAATCCAGATCAGCGTAATAATCACATCTAGACCTTTGCGCTCTCCACCTGGGTACTTGCGCACCCACATGCCGTCCTTCGACTCGTCCCAGTACGCTCCAACAGCATTGTGCATACCCCTGCGGCCAGTGGTAGGGACATTTGACTCCGTGCCCTTGGCATCGGTACCGCCTCGAGGCTTGTTCAGGGCAGACGTGGGCACAAGGTGTTGCACAATGACACTGTTGCAGGCGATCTTGTAGCTAGCACCGGTTGCGCCTTCGGGTGTCGCCTCGGCGACCACGGCTTTCAGCAAGGAGTTCTGTTGAGAGGGGTTAGTGGAAGAACGGTGTGCAACGTTTCCGCGGACTAACGATTATGGTTGAGTTCCAGACGTCGACTTTCGAGTGGTCGTAGTACTCGGCGGGCTCTAGGACCGCGTCGCATACCTTTAGTATGCTGTCAGCTTTTCCATGCTTCTCTCCCTTGCAGCGGCGTCGCAAGTCGTTGTCAGGGTTTGTGAGGTTCGGGACGTACATCGTCAACGATCTGCTTGAGACGCGTTTCGGGAACAGGCTACCCATTCGTCAGCTTGATGTCGCACATTCCCAGGTGCATCGCATACCAGGGGCGCAGAAGTAGTAGTAGCCATGTTGTGCAACGGTGATCGGGTCGTTGTTGGCGGTTTTGGGTGGGAGGAGGTAGTACGAAGAAGTAAACAACCAGTCGCGTGTCAGGGTTGACGACCGGTGAACAGGCTTTAGGTGGTACGGACTACGGAGGGGAATCCCAATCCAGGCGCCTATCTCAGCGATTAACATCTGCAGCACGAAGACAGCCACAACACCACACTTGGGTCAACGATTTGGCCACAAATTCTTCACTATACAATTCCTTCGAACGGCCTCTCTCAATAAATTTAATGTCTCTCAACTCCAACGTGTTTGTGTAGGTGAATTCGCGGGGCACTTTGACAGTACCTGCTAGCACGTGAAAGCAGCCACTGGGAGTGACAGGTAGCTCCCACGTGGGTCAAAAGCTCTCCAAATCCGGGAGGCTGAGAGTGAGTGGGGGCCCCGGTCGCGCGCAGCCATACTACCATCGTCACAGGCCTCTTCACTTTTATCATCTTTTCTTCTCGCAATGGCCTTTGCTCTGTAAAGCTCTCATCATTCTGGACCTTTATCGCTCATCGAAACATACCGCACTGTCGACTGTGCCATCCTGCTGCGCTTCGACCACCCCGAAAGCGACCACCACCAACCTCTCAAGTGCAATCGCACAAAGCGTAACTGCCGAACCAAGCCGCAACGAGGGGTTTAGGACCGCACGACCGCTACAATGTCCTCCCAGCCTCTTCTCCAGACCTCCCAGGGTATGTGTTTGGAACCGATACGTCTCGCTGAAGTCAATTGCTGATAATGTTCCGCCAGGCAAGCGCATTGCGCTCCCGACTCGCGTCGAGCCAAAGGTCTTCTTCGCCAACGAGCGAACTTTCCTGTCGTGGCTTAACTTCACTGTCGTTCTCGGCGCCCTCGCCATCGGCATGCTTAACTTTGGCGACCGCCCGGCCTTCATCTCCGCATTTCTCTTCACCGGCGTCGCCATGTTGACCATGATATATGCGCTGGTCACCTACCACTGGCGAGCAAAGTCTATAAGGATGAGGGGCCAGGCGGGCTTCGACGACCGCTTCGGCCCAACGGTTCTGGCCATCATTTTACTGTTGGCCGTCGTTGTCAACTTTGTGCTGAGGATCATCGACCGATCCAAGAAGGAGAGCAACGGCGAGCTGTAAGTGTCTGGCCCACGGTCATGTAGCGGACAGGCCGGCAAAGCTGCAAGGACGTTGGATCATCTAAATTGTGTCCTAATCTTGGAGGATTATTCTTGGTGACAAGGCTTGGTTTTCTCTGGCGTTTCCGATGGTTGCATTTGGGCAAGGTAGCGTCACATCTCAGTCTAACGACGAACATTCCCAGGGAATGGTGTATAGCTCAACATTGGGGTATCATTCATCATATCATAACTGAATTCGAACGCCGCGGTGCCCATATTGCCAGTCCATTCAGAAGTATCCATCAGACAAACTTCCATCTTCCGGGTCATCATGCTTCAGTAAGCTGTAGCGTCACGTTGGTTTTCCCTTTTAGCTCGGGGACCGGAGACAGCGAGAGAAAGACTCTCATGGACCGGGGTAAGCTCTTCGGCGCTGGCGGAAGAATCGCTTTCTCAAAGCGGCTCTGCATTGTCTCGAAGTAATCATCCTCTGCGTCCCCGTCCCCGTCCTCGTCTTCGTCTTCCAGCACGGTCTTTTCCACAATGTCGGGCTTCTTCACCTTCTGCAAAGCTTCCGGCACCTCGAAAAGCTGATTGTACTGGTACACTGATCTGCCCTGCTCTTTCAAAATCCGCTTGCAATGTTCCGCCACTGTGATGAGCTTGCCAACCTCCGACTGTCGAGCGTGTAGCAAGACGACGCCATTGTCCCGGTCGAGCAGATGCTTATTGGTCGACGCGATTCTTTTTCGTATCTTCGCTGAAGTAATGATTGAGGTTGTGAGGACATTGTATTTCGGTCTAAGCTCCAGGGCGATGCTCTCGTGGACTCGGGAGAGGTCTGCTGGTTGGGACGGGGGCTTCTCTGCACAGTGACGTTTCGGTACGGCTGACGCTTGAGATGACTGTTCGTCTGGCTGTTTGCGCTTCTTTGCGGCGTTGAGAGTTGCGACAGGGGCCATGGCAGCGTCTGGCTGACTGAGGTTATGGACTGCGACATGTGCATCTCCAGGCGTAAAAGTGCATATCGCCATCGCTGATAGCGCCCTTTCTTATCTTATCGCCAGCCGGTACAACAGCCCGACGCGATTGCTCGCCCAACTGCGATCTGATCGTAGCTACGTGGACAATGGGAAGATGTCAAAGAAGATGCCAGAAAATCACCTAGCACAGTTATATGGCACCCAGAGATCATTTCACTGGTTCGTTTGTTGAACCGTTAGTACCAGACACTTGGTAAACCAGTTGGTTGTGCAGGTGCGTGCAGGCCTCATTAAATTTGCGTGTGATGTGAATTGCGAGACTACCGTGTGCAAGCCAACAAGAAAGTAGTATATAGCGTTAGATAGATCCATTACTCCGTAGACTCATCAAAATTATTCATAGACTTTTCTCATCCCAAAGCGCAAAGCAGTCTGATGGTCACTGGACTGCCGTGATAATACTGACGGTTAAGGGTAGGCAGAAAACTGCACCAATCAGGGGATGATAAGTACTCGAGTTCATAATACAGATAACAGAACAACGTTTCAAAGACTGAAGTTCGATGTCTAAAGCATTTACGGATATAGTTCTGCTGATCTTTCAGTGCCTTGACTTTGGGATTTCGAGAGCTTGAACAACAGCTGCCACCTTCTTAACCCAAGCCACCATCGGCTTCTGGACACTCCCCGCTCTGGATCCCGGCTGCAGCAAGCCCACGAGGTCGGGGAATTCGGGTCTGGGCCTGTGAACCGGAGCTAGGGACCGGGCTAAGGCAGTGTGAGGATCAATCTATCATATACCCAGACGGATACAAAGCGCAGAATCCTGACAATATGCAGCAGCTTATCTGTGCAAAAGAAAAGAGCATCTTCGTACAAGCAAACTGGATATCCCACTCGTGCCAAGGTAATTTTTGCTAATCGGCTCAGGCCGCTGGTGGCAGAGTATCGGTGGCCAGCGCCCTGAACTCTATTCGTAAGTATTCTGCGCGAATCGATCGAAACACCACCAACAGATGCAAGGAGGTCGCCGCCGGCGGTCACCCAAGTGGGGCTCAAGCGTAAGCTCCAGGAGCCACCGTGGGAGCTAGAGGCGTGTCGTGTTCGAACCAGAAACACCAAATGATGCCCAAATTGCCGTCACCAGTGCCAGCTCAGAGAGACGTAGCAAAAGCTATTGATCCAGGGTCCGACACTTGTCTCAGCATGTGACGATCAACAAGGCAGGCTCCAGTCGGCCATGAGGCTGTTCAACAAGCACTGGAATGTATCAGATTGGGGGCAACCAGTGGGGGGAACACAAGGTCCAACTGGCGCAGCGACTCAGCACGCCCCTGTTGAGCTCCCTGCATCAGACCAATCCCGGCTCGGACCAACCCTCCCTTGATGGCAACATTCATGCTGGAGGGCTCTAAGGGGCGTGCTGAGCCTATAGGGGGTCATGGGAAGAATAACGGTGGCCTTGCTTCTGTTCTTGCGCACCACATCATCGCATTCGTAACAGGTGCTGACGGCCGCCAGAATCACGACTGGAATTGCGTGCGTTTTCCTCCTTTCTTCTGGGTTCCTTCCCTCTCACAACTTGCGCTCAACCCGCCTTGGGATTTCGCTCTTGCATCACCATTATACTTCACCCCTCGCTTACTTTGTTTAGAACAGAGTAACGAGTCTTTCCTTCCTCCTTCGCACCTTACCATTTTACCTTCCCCTTGTGTGGCATCTGCCCCAGGTACCTGGTACGTTGCGAAGTTCCCAAACGTTCATGCCGCACCGCCCGCATTTTGCCTTTCCCTCAACGTTCCCACATCCAAACGCCTCCCTCCTGGCCTTCGCAACCACCGCGACCGGCCGTTCACTGACACATGATTGCAGCACCAGATCAAGCCAAACCACACACCAACACGTTCACTCGTCGTTGGCATTTTCGCGCTCTGTCGTTCCAAATATTGTGGCACAATCCGTATTTGCTCGGATCTCACCGACTTTGAAAGCTCACTCAGATACCACTCGCTATTCTACCCACCTCACTCGTCCTTCTGCCTGCACTTGGCCATACACCCTCGGAGGCCACCCTGGCAGCAGCCTGTTTGCTTCTCGCGCACCTGCCTGCCCAGACCGACCACAGCCCGAAGACCCACTCTTTTTCGACTTGGACGCCCAGTGCTTCGCCCCCTAGCAGGCAAAGCAAGGTTACGTCAGCAACCTTCTGCTAGCTCTGCCAAGATTTTATGTGGACACCTCGTTAACTGGTCGCATCCCTTGTTCGGTGTCGCATTTGCCCACTTGCATTAGTCGGTCGCTCCATTATTTGTCGCGACGGACAAAACAACCTTACTCGACGCGACGCTCAAATCAACCACGACCGTCGCTCGATCGCCTGCACACACGCTGCCGACCAGCACTTTCAAATGCTACGATTCTTCTCACTCGACCCGAGGAGCAAAGAGAGCGCACCGGCGACTGACTCAATCATTACACTCAAGTCAGAACCTCCTGTCGTCGAGATCCCTCCGAGTGACCCGCCGGCGCCCAAGAGGCGGCGACGGGATAGCTGCGATGACTCACCGAGTATGGAACCGACGATCAAGCGACCGAAGCTGAACGAAGCGATGCGGCAGCAGGTCCACGAGGCGACAAGCAACATCGAGAGAATAGGGGAAGCGGCGGATCTGATTGAGCTTGCATTTCAGTCACAGATTCAACTCAAGCACAAAGAACTGGAGATGATCAACGAAAGCTTGGCAAAGTGTCAAGTCGCGCTCGAGCAACTCCGAAGATGTCACCTCATCCCGTACCCGACTAACTGCCCGACGCCTGAGCAGATGGTGGAAATCAGCAACGGGTCTGGATATGCTTTGCAGGCACCTGGCCGGCCAGTCCCCCGCCATGCTCCTCCATTCGGCGTTGTGGAAGGGCCATACGCGCGTCACTATGCGCAGTGGCTAATTCCCCATCCAAACTTTGATGGGATTCAAGTTGAGCCACTGTCGTCCCAGGATGCTCCGTACTCCAACATGATGGAGGGGCGTTCGACGAGGAACAGTCGCGCAGAGCCCTCATCATCCCTGGTTCGTGGGCGCCAGGTAGATCAGAAAAGGCCAGCTCTTTCTCTGGACAAGCCTCAAGTCAAGGCTCGCGCTGGCCCATGCATTATAACAAAAGCGAACGGCGAGACCGTCAGACTTGAGTGCATCAAGTGTGGGCGCGATAACTTCAATAGCACCCAGGGCTTCATAAATCACTGCAGAATCGCACATCGGTTGGACTTCAAGAGCCATGAAGAGGCAGCGGCAGCTTGCGGTCAGCCTTACGACCCGGCATCAGAAGGAGCGCCCCCGAATGCGCCATCAGCACATGCCCACGAGTCGAGCCAAGTGGATCGGACAGCGGTGCGACGACCGTCATACAAAGTAGCTGCGGAAGTGTCCCGCCAAACAGGCGCAGTCAACGCATTGGCTGGCGGTGAAATGACGCATCAGGAAGCTTGCGCTTCTCTGAGTATGCGGATAGCGACGACTCTGAAGCAGTGGAACATGGACAAGCCTGGCCAGAACCTGCCGAAGTCCTTGCCCAAGGTGAAGCCTGAGACTATGACTGAGTCAACCGACACCGCTCGCGACGCCCCCTATCTGTCGCGTCTCTTACAGAAACGGAGTTTTTCTGGTAATCTGCGTGACCTAATAGCCGATGCAAAGACCAAGCTGTCTGACCAAGATATGGCCCTGGACTTCGAGTCTGAAGACGAAAGCCTGGCGACGCCTGTTGATAACCAGGCTTCTACACATGCTCGCATGCCAGTCGTCAAGCGCGTTCCTGTCCGTGCGACAGATTCCCCAGTTGCAACTTCAAGTCACAAATCGCAGGCTCACGAGCTCTACTCCAAGGGTGTACATCCCAACGGCCTGAATGATTCAGGACCGCAGCATGCCGAGGTGGATGATGACCTAGAGGGACCCTCACTCAGCCCGAATGCTCACATGTCCAACAACGCCCCATCTCTTGTTAGCGACGATGGAGAGTACGACGACTCTGAAGACGCATCATCCATGTGCGGTCACAGCGAGGCTGTTGACACCGAGTCAGTATCGGACGTTGCCGATATTAGCATGGACGAGGACCATGGTCACCGATCGTTGCGTCGGTCCTCAACTGGCATTGCAAGCGCGGTACGCCTTCGCAGACAGGAGCCTAAGCATGTTGCCTTTGTTAGTCCCATGGCGAACACGCGCGACACCAAACGCAAGAGAAACGCTTGACCGGTTCAAGCGCGATGCAACCCCTTTGGCAAAATCGCTGCCAAAGATTGTACAAACCCACCATACATATAATCGACAATCACTCCACTTCGACATCACACCTTACCTACTACTCGCTTTATTCATACATTTATTTTCCCGACCTCGTCCGTGTGGACATCCTCTACCAGGGTCAATCCAACCAGGGGCACTCGGCACGACTAGGTCAACAGTTTTTCCGTGTCAAGAATTTTGGAGACACCGGCGTTCGGGAGGAGTGTAGTTTGTATTTTATTCCATCACTTCTGGGACCTGTATGGCGCAATGGGGAATGAGGGAAGATAGACTGTTTATTGCAGCGCAGGTTAGTCGCAGCCCTCCAGGCAAATTTCGGAGACGGACATGCAAGAGAGCCAGAGTTCAACGCAGGGGAAAGAAGTTATCAGCACTAGGGGCTTTTCTGTACGACGCTTGCCTCTGTTATGTACATACTATATGGAGCAAGAGATGAATGCCAAGAGGCTGCCTCACGAGTACCGCGCACAAAGTGATGCGTCTGAATGGATGAATTACATTAAGTGGTATGTCTGTGAGATATTTTGAACAGGATGATAGTCCACCCGTTTAGATGGCCACGGCGGCAACACCAGCCATTGCAACAAGAACGCTGCCTGCCTTCCAAGCAGCGACATCAGCCGCCGCGTTGCCAGTCTCCCCAGGGATGTCCATGTTAAAGGTCGCAGTGTTTGTGTAGCGGCTCTCAGTCTGGGTCATGGTCGCCTCCTCGGTCGTGGTCTGGCGGGCCACGGTGCTGGCCGGGGTGGCGGTGGTCAGGGTGACCTGGGCGCAGTAAGCCGTCACCTGGTTCCTCGCAGGGGCAGCACGAGTGTCGTCGGGGCAGTTGTTGTAGCAGCTGCAGATTGTTAGAGAGCGTTTACATCACTCGACCATTTCCAGTCACTCACGTCGCGATGGCCTGGTAGGCGTAGCAGAGGCACTCCAGGTCGGTGCTGGCGCAGTTCTCGGCCTACACATGCAACTTAGCATCATGGGGTCTGTTCACTATAAACTCCGGGCACTGACCTTTGGACCTTCGGTCTCGAGGCATCGCTCGAGAATGTAGTCAGCCAGGCACCCATCCGTGCTGACAGCTTTTGACGTGGACTGGGCTGCCACGCCAAGCGTGAGGGCAGCGAGGGCAAGGAAGAACTGCATGTTGAATAAGAGAATGAGGTTGGTTTTGGTTGATGAACGAGTGACTTTTGGACTCTTGTTAACGAGATGTACGGGCGAAGAGAGTTCCTGAGAAGTTCGGTGATGCTGACGGTCTTCTCGCAACAGTCTTATATGGAAAAAAGGGGGCTAGTGCAGTTGCCATGGCTATGTTCATCCCCAAAGGCCCGAGGTTGCTGACGCACGGCGCGATGTCTTATTGACGTCCGGGGATCTGGAACAGTTCTCAGTTCACACACAGCTGCAGTTCAGTCGAGTTTGATTGTGAGTGTGAGCATGGCCATGCAAGTCGTAGACAGCGCCTGGCTGGCACGAACGGGAGGACGCACAATTGCCGGATGAGCCATGCATGTCACGAAGTCCGGGTCTTTCTGAAATTGAGCACAAGGGAGAGGCGTCATATGAGTTGAGCTTTTGCAGAAATTATCACATGGTCGTTTGGGCGTTTGGGTAAGGGGAGGGAGGGAGAGTGAGACAAGCAGTCGGGACATGGGCAGTCCATTTATTGCCCTTGCGTGCTATGAGGCTGTCAGGTCACCCCGATCATTCAAATTGCCGTAAGACCAGTGGCAAAGAAAGTACCTACGGGGATTGGGGTTGTCTTTATTTCGAGTGCACTTGAGAGATACCCCAGTACGAACGAGTCTGTGAATGGGTGGCGGCGCACTTCCAGGCTGGGATGGCGATTGTTCTGCTGGCGTTCAAGTCGCACGCTCACACATGTCATCCCGGCCATCAGTCCAGTTCGGTCTTGTGGATGAGGCCAAAGTCGAATACTCTCAAAATTCGTAGGTGATGGGAAAGGAAATGTGGATGATTTTCGAGGGCAACCAAAATAGCAACACCGTCGTCATGGTGGCCTTCCCCACAGTCTGTCGCCTGCCTGGCCGTTGCCCCTCCAAACCTCCAACATCCCAGGCTGCTTCATCCAGTCACTCGCTTCAAGCAATAACCCGCACCCTTTTCGGTGAGCAAGGTTGATCTTTTGCCTGGCTCGTTCTTCCCTTCCTTTTGTACTCCTCGCTTGAGAACGCAATCATCCACGGCATCACTCACAATGGCTGCGCCCACCATCACCATAGACCGCATCTTTGGAGCTGTCCCGGCTACCACCAGGGGCCAACCCACGCAGCTCTCGGCCGATTCCAAAGGCCAGCGTCTGGCTTACGCTGTAAGACATCTGATTCCATTGCCGTCAGCCCACTTACAAGAACTACTTAGGCTGGCAAATCCATCTTTGTTCGCTCGATCGACAACCCCGCCGACTGCAAAGAGTACACAGGCCACACAGCAGCGACCACCGTCGCCCGCTTCGCACCCAATGGCTTCAAGGTCGCATCTGGCGATGCCTCTGGTATGCTGCATGTCTGGGAACCCGAGACGATTGAGAGCACCCGCGGTGAATACGGCATCATCGCTGGCAGGCTGAACGACATTGCATGGGATGGCGACTCGCAGCGCATCATTGCTGTCGGTGACGGCAAGGAGCAATTCGGTCGCTGCATTACGGCGGACAGCGGAAACTCGGTGGGCGAGATCATAGGGCACTCCAAGTCGGTCAACGCTGTCGCCATGAAGGCGCAACGTCCCTTTAGGGCAGCCACCGTGGGCGATGATGGAAACATGGTCTTCTACCACGGTGCACCCTACAAATTCAACTCAAAGACAGAGTCGCACAAGAGCTTTGCCTTGAGTGCAGCCTACTCGCCCGATGGCTCGATTCTGGTCTCGGCTGGGGCGGACAAGCGGATACAGCTATACGATGGCAAGACAGGGGAGCCTACCAAACAGATCGGCGAGGGGGAACACACAGGCAGCATATTCTCCGTGGCCTGGTCACAGGATGGCAAGAAATTCGCGACTGCCAGCGCAGATCGGACTGTCAAGCTTTGGGACGCTGACGCGGGAACGGTCATCCAGACTTGGACGTTTGGCGATGCGGTCAGAGATCAACAAGTCGGCGTAGTCATCCCGCATGGTCGCACTGATGGTCTGATCATCAGCTTGAACCTCGATGGCGAACTGTCATATCTGACCGAGGGCAAAGAGGCACCGATCAAGATCGTGCAGGGCCACAACAAAGGCGTTACAGCGCTGGGTGGAGGATCAGACGGCTCCTTGTGGTCTGGCAGCTTTGACGGCCGCGTCTGTCATTGGGACGTCAAAACCGGATCATCCACAACAGTCGATGGACAACAGCATAGCAATCAGGTCACTCAATTCGCCAGTGGCGGCGGCAAGACATACAGTGTCGGCTGGGATGACACTCTGCGCACTGTCGACGAAGCAGCCAAGACGTTCTTGGGCGAGTCGACGCCGTTGAACGCTCAACCGAAGGACTCGAGCTTTTCAAATGGAAATCTGTACGTGGCAACAGCCGCCGGGGTGGCCGTATACGCGGGAGGCAAGCTCGCCAAAGAGCATAGCCTGAGTTACACACCTGGCGCCATTGCAGCTTCAGGATCGAATGTGGCTGTTGGTGCTGACAACAACTCGGTCAAGATCTACCAGACAGACTCAAGCGGCAGCCTCCAGGAGACGAAGACTGTCACCAACCCCACCGGCACCATCACAGCATTGGCCTTCTCCCGGGACGGCTCCCATCTTGCGGCTGGTAACAGCGTTGGCAAGATCTATGTCTACAAGTCCGACAGCTGGGAGCTGGCCGTAGACCGCTGGTCGGCACACACTTCGCGCGTGACCTGCATCGACTGGGACACTTCTGGTGCCTACGCAGCGAGTGGCAGCCTGGACACCAATGTCTTCGTGTGGTGCCTGGAAAAGAAGAACCACGGCAAGCGCATCAAGGCGCCCAATGCCCACAAGGATGGCGTGTATGGCATCCGCTGGGTCGAGAGCGGCAAGGTCGCCAGTGCAGGAGGCGATTGCACGGTAAAGATATGGAATGTGCAAAACCTCCCCTGAGGTTCGCAGACCAATTATCTGCATGGTACGAGTAGCTAGACTGCCAGTTCCCGTTCCTGTGTGTTTCCCCAACGCCAAGCGAATATTTATGAGAACATGTGAGCAAGCAATCCATAGAACGTCTACTTTCGAGGCATCTGTTCACCCCATTCCTTACCGTCATTCGCGCTTTTGATGTGCATGTTATTGCATCTCGCTTGATCACAGCGGCTAGCCTTGAGCCAACTGTGATGCCTCTTCCTTGTGCGCCTCCACAACCTCGATGTTCCAGATGCTGGCCGGTTGCTCAGTGGCACCGCGCTCAAGCGAGTGTGGTGGCCATCGAGTTTGGTTCTCCTCCCGTAGCATGTCAATTTTATCGACTGCTTCTTTGAGATGATCAAGTTTCGTGGAGCTGTGAATGGCGTAGCCTTCCTTAGAGAGATGTCTGGCCAATTCGGTCTGGTGGTCATCCAAGAGCGATGTGTTGGGAACAACGATGATGGGCACAGCCAATTTCCATGCATCGAGAATAGTTCCTGTACCTGTATTTGGCATTAACACCATGGAAAATTTTCGCAAGCAGCTGACCAAGTACATACCTGCGTGTGATATGATGAGGCCAACGCCTCTCTTCCCTTCGACTGGTTTGCAGAGCGTCATCTCCTCTCTCATGAGGTTTTTGCTGAGCTTGAACACGTCCACATTCAATTCCTGGGGAATTTGAGACATTTTTGAGTCCAAGTCAGATGTTGCCCAGTCACTATCTGGACCACATTGTATCCTCAAAGACGTGAAGCCACGCGAGGCGAGATGACCCCAGAATACAGGCTCAAGAGCGGCACGAGTGAGATCGGGGAAGCCCACGGTGGCGCCGACCGTGACGAGACAATGCTTCTCCATCGTGCAGATTAGGTCCGCACCTTTGCTTTTACTTTGTAGGCATGGAACGGAATTGGGGAGATGGGCAAGATGATGAAGCTCTGACTCGATGTACGTACCGATTCCCGGTGAGAGAGCTCTGGGGGATCTCGGTGAGGCGGTGGATATCCGGCTAATCTCCACTCTCCCAATTGCCATGCGCCGCCAAATTTTCGAGATTCACGCCTCTCCTGCGCGCGTCTGTCCATCCAGCACAGCCAATTCTACGTCAATCATGGCTTCGGCGTCGGCATCGCATGCTACGCGCCTATGCGTGCTCGCCTGCCGGCAGTCTCCGAGACTGCAGTCGACTCTTCCACACCCGCGACTGCAGCAATTGCAGCGAGGCTCCGTGCCCGCCGCGCGACGAGCGTTTACGGTCACAACTTCGAAATGGGACGATGCGAAACAGCCCCCAAAGGCAGAGGGTGAGGTCTCGGCGCAGAGGGCCACCGAGTCGACGGAGCAGAAGGTTCAGGAGGCTGCCGAAGCTGTGCGGTCGGCAGATGCCAGCTCTGACCCTGCTACCTCGACCCCCTTTGCAACTGCAGCCCCCGAATCTGGCAACATTGAGCTTTTCGGAGAGCAGGTCATGGACGCCACCGCCAAGGAGCACGGATATGCTACATGGGACGCATTCGTGGAGGGAGAGTCGGAGAAGGGCCCTGAGCTGCCTGTACGCCAGAGAGAGTTCGAGAAGGAGTTTATGGCCGTCGTGGAGCCCAAGCCGGACCGGAGAGCATTCTGGTTTGACCCGGAGGATCCCGAGCCCGATACGGAGGAGTTTGACGAGTTTGACGAGGACGACATGACGGTCATGGCACATGCAAAGTTGCAGGAGGTGCAGGAGATGAGGCACTACCAGCGCCTGGCGATCTGGGAGCTGCCCCTGCTCTCGAGTAAGATACCATCACTATATGTGAAAGGGCTATGAACTGATTGCTCCTAGAACTCGCCAAGCCCTTTGAGCCTCCGACGAGCAAGCAGCCCCTACGCTGGCGATACACCACCTACATGGGCGACAACCACCCGGCCGAGAAGAAGGTGGTTGTACAATTCGCGCCCGACGACCTTGGCCTCACCAAGGTCCAGACCGACAAGGTCAAGAAGCTCTGCGGCGTCCGCTACAACCCCGAGACCGAGGTTGTCAGGATGAGTTGCGAGAGCTACCAGAACCAAGCGCAGAACAAGCGCTTCCTCGCCGAGCAGATTGACAAGATCATCGCAGAAGCCAAGAACGGCAAGGATACGTTTGAGGACATTCCTCTCGACACGAGGCACCACAAGTCGACCAACAACAAGGCGCGCTTCCCCAAGGAGTGGCTCATGACCGAGCAGAGGCAGAAGACACTCGAGGAGGAGAGGAAGAAGTTCTTCCAGATCGAGGCGCAACGAGAGGAGACACATCAGGTTGTGGATGGCAAGATTGCGATTGAGAACCACCTCATGGGGAAGCTGAGGCAGGACCAGGCCAGGGAGCAGTCTTTTGCCCCGGTGCGTGCTGCGGCACCGCTGCGGAGATCTCTTGGACCCAAGGACAGGGCGAACAGGACATAAATGCGCGCGGGGCCCGCGGAGAGTTCCCCTTCGGACCCCGCAAAGTGTACACTATTGTTCGAGTAAGCATGGGTGGAGTATGTGTGCTCCAAGATGTGCTTGGGGCTTTCTGTTGTATGTAATTACTATAGACTACCGAAGAGTCCATACAAGTGCCACGCCTTGTGTGAGTAAAATGCCGAGTCGTTACGCATCGGACGCGCAGCTTCAAGAATTCGTCCATGTCCGCCGGCCGGATCAAATGTCGATCCCGCGCCGCGTCTGAGCAGTGAGTGTGAGTGAGTTCGCAAAGGGCAAGTAGCTCGCATGCCTAGACTAAACGAGACATGATATCCTTGCTCGTTGCAGGCCTCGGCAATCTTGGCTCTGGACCCCAACATCTGAGGTGGTGGCGCCATAATAATTGTTAGTCGTTGACTTTCGCCTCCGCATTGTCACGCTGCTTGAGGAACGAAGCTGGGCCGAGGCGCCGTCCTAAAATTGTGGAGATGGAACTCCGGGCCTCCAGGACAAGCTTCACCCATTCATCATCATCTTCCATTCACGTCTGGGGAACTGTACATCTATCGTAATCCTAATCTCCCTTTCCAATTGATCTGAGCACTGTACTATCTCATCAACTTTTGTCCTCAATTAGCACACTGCGATCGACAGGACAGCGCGACTCAGCCTTTGGTATAGCTACATCTGACGGAGCTATCGCGACGACATTCACCACCGGGATAGATAGCTTGACACACCACCTGAAAGCATCGGACACCATGGCATCGCCAACCGGCACAGATCTTCTCATCCCCTTCCAGGAGGCGGCTATCGAAGACATACAGCCTACGTATGACAGACTTCGGGCATCGTACCGTTCGGGAAAGACCAAGAACATTCAGTTCCGTCTCCAGCAGCTGCGCAAGCTCTACTGGGGCCTCACGGACCTCGAATCCGTCATCTTCCAGAGTCTCTGGAAAGATCTCCACAAGTGCCACCATGAGGCTGTCCTCACCGAGGTAGACTGGTGCAAGAATGAGATCCTCTTCTTCGTCAAGAACCTGGAGAAGTTTGCCAAGGATCAGCCCATCGATGATGTCCCGGCCACCTTCTGGGCCATGAAGCACCGCATCCGCTCGGAGCCGTACGGAACTGTCCTTGTCGTAGGAGCCTTCAACTACCCCTTCATGCTATCCGTCCTCCCCCTGCTGGGCGCCATTGCCGCTGGCAACACTGTGCTCGTCAAGCCCTCCGAGCACGCGCCTCACACGGCCATGGCCATCAAGAAGCTCGTGGAGTGTGTCGACCCAGACTGCTATGCCGTCCTCAACGGCGCCCTTCCCGTTTCTCAGGCTGTCCTCGACCTCAAGTTCGACAAGATCGCCTTCACCGGCTCCCGTGCCGTGGGCACCATTGTCGCCAAGAAGGCGGCCGAGACCTTGACGCCCGTTCTGCTGGAGCTCGGAGGCCAGAACCCCGGCTTCGTCACCAAGAATGCAGACGTCAAGCTGGCAGCCCGCCGTCTGCTCTGGGGAAAGTGCAGCAACGCTGGCCAGGTCTGCATCTCACAGAACTACGTCATGGTCGAGCGCTCCGTCCTCAACCAATTCATCGCGGAGCTGAACACACAATACCGCATCTTCTACCCCAATGGCGCTCAGAAGAGCCCCGACTTCTGCCGTATCATCAACCGGCCCAGCTTCGACCGCATCAAGGGCATGCTTGATTCGACCGGCGGCAAGATTGTGCTGGGTGGCCGCACGGATGCGGATGACCTCTACATCGAGCCCACTGTGGTGTTGGTCGATGATATTAACGACAGCATGATTATCCATGAGAGCTTTGGGCCCATCTGGTCCGTCGTGCCGTACGATGACCTCGACAAGGCGATTGAGTTTGCCAACCAAGTCGATTCTACGCCGCTGTCCATGTTTGCGTTTGGCAGCGATGCCGAGACGAAGAAGAGTACGTGCTTGCCAGGATACAGCGGTGGAATTACAAGGACTAACAAGAAGCAGTCATGGACAGTGTCTCCTCGGGTGGCGCGACCATCAACGACTCCTACACCCACGCCTCCCTGACAGTCGCCCCCTTTGGCGGTGTCGGCGCCTCCGGCCAGGGCAACTACCACGGCAAATACTCCTTCAAGGCGTTCAGCCACGAGCGGACCATTGCCAAGGTCCCCGCCTGGGTCGACAAGCTGCTGCGCGTGCGCTACATGCCGTACCAGCGCTCGGATCTGGAGCGATTCCGCAAGATGCAGGCTGGCTCTGTCAACTTTGACCGCCAGGGCAACGTCACCCGCGGTCTCGGCTACTGGATCGCTCTCGTCCTCGGCCTGGGCGGGTCGAGCGCAAAGGGCGCAGCGGTGAGGTGGGGGATCCTGCTCGCGGTTGCTGTGTCCCTTGGGCTAAAGAGGAAAACGCTAGGCCTTTGAACAACCACGCGCCTCCAAAGGTTGTCGAGTCGCGCGAGTAACTATCGCACAGATGTCGTAGGTATGGGGCGCGATGCTTGCGATGATACGCAGTATGTACGGTGAGGACGAATTATATCCCCTCTCTTTTTGATGGATGGTAGGCAAGTTTGCTTTTGGAGTTGATCTTTGTTACTTTCCTCTTTCTACATTTCCCTGAGCCAACACTCGCTTCACGTTAGTGCAAGGTCGCAATCAAAACTCGATTATTTTTTGTTGGAGATGTGTTAGCTGCTCGTGAGCAGGGCGGCCAGCCGTTGCCCAGCCTCGCCACCTAGATATAAGTCATCCTCGGCAGACTCCCTCCCCATGTCGACAGCCTCCTGGTAGCCTCTTGTCACCATGTCCTCGTCAACCCGTAGCCCATTGTCCACCAGGGCCAGAATCACGCTCCGGATGCGCGCAATCTCTCTCATCGTGGCCACGTCGATGCTGTCATTCTGGCTCGAGTACACCTTGCTGCTCACGCTCTCCTCCATCTTGTTGATCCCCGCCGCGTCCGCCGCAAAGTCCACCTCAATGTGCTTGCTGATCCAGATGTAGCCATTCACGCCGAGGAGCACGTCGACCATGCCACCGGCGTTGGCCGTCTCCAGCGTCCACAGCTGCCTCTTGGATCGGACCACACCGCCGCCACCGCCCGTGCCGCTGACGGCGACAAACACACCGTTCCTCAGCTTGCCGTACTTCAAGCTGCGCGTGTGCAGACTGGCTGCGCCGTCCTGGTGGAGCTGCTGCACCTCTGCGACCACCAAGTCGCCCTCTGAGAAGAAACTCCGGATCTGCAGCTCGTCCGTCTCCGTCCTCTTGCGCAGGATGCCGCCAGGCAAGTTGATGGCCGAGATCTGGAGGATGGCGAGTTGCGAGGCGGCGACATCGACGCGCCAGCGCTTGGCCTGCACCTCGACGATGCGACCGACGACAAGGTCACCGATCTCGGGGGTGTATCGAGCTCTGAGAGGGCGGACTGAGAGCAGTTTGTTGGTCTTGGTTAGTGTGCCCGCCAAGGAGGATGTGATGTTTGTCGTCTCTGCAGGAATATAGGTTCCGTGACCACTGCATTTGATTAGTGAATGCTCCGTAGGGACGAAGAGGTGCGTCTGAGGAAACGTACCGCATCCACTGCGCATTGTCAGTGATGACTGTGCCCGGGGTGAGAATCTCATCGATGAGGTCGGCATGGTCTGGCTGGCCGCGCTTCGACGCACGCATGCGAATGTCGCCCTGAACATCGGCGCCGCCGTCAGAGTCCGAGTCTGAATCTTGAGAAGCCGCTGTAGGCAGCCTTGGCGGCGCCGCTGGTTGTGGCTTGTGGATTGTGATGGGCATGGTGTTGTCGGTTTGGCGGGTGAAGAGTTTGCACACCCTGCGGTTGCGCGCGTGAGGCCCTTTGTGAACGTTCCACCAGATGAATCAAGTGCCTGCAGCTCTGGTCGAATTTTATGGCGCTCCTTTGTCTGAAGATCTGGTGCTGGCTGATTGACCAAAAATGTGAATGAGTTTTCGATGGTTGAGGTTGATAAACTGGGCCGGCGCAATGTATGATGGATGAATTCCACGTCTGTGATAATGGGCAACCTTGAACAACACACTTCTACACAATTACCCCAATGCACGATACATCAATGATTCGCACGAATATTTCACAAGGCAACGAAGCAAAAGATCTATTCTTTATTATTTCACCTTTGCGTAGACGCAGCCGCTCGATATCAGCTAGCACAGCAACCCGTTTCGACAGCGGAAAACACGTTAGGTGGGAGAGATGATATGATTTGAGATATGAGCCGCAGTATTGCAGGTACGACGCTCAAATATTGCCACCACCCTCCCCTAGTTTGCAAGACTAAGTTCGAGATACGGGCCCTTGTTGATAGTAGTATTTGTACAACGCCTCCTGAAGAAGCAATATCGTCACGCCCTCGCTAATGCTTGTTCCCCAAACGCCGGAATTGAATATTATACAGCCGGAAAGATCGACTTTCCCTTCTTTGTACACACGATAGAGGTTTCCAAAGTCATGATCTCAATCGACAGGCGCTCTTTGGCCAGAATGTAGGACGCAGCGTTCGAAGTTCTTCATCATGACAGGGTCCACGTATCGTCGATCGCTCGTAGTACGTGCATGTCCTCGTTCGCTCATTTTGTCGCTCGCCAAAGGCCCATGAGGAAGAAGGTGGCGGATATGCCGACTATGCCCGCTTTGCGGCTCCTCATGCCAAACATTGACTTGCTCTGTAGGATCTTGGCCTCTTGCTGTTGAAGCTGCGACATGCCCGAGAAGTAGCTGTAGGCACCGAGACCCATGAAGACACCACTTCCTAGTTATTGTTAGATTACTCGCGTTCAGGGAGGGTCGCGGGAGTCGACTTGCCAACAATCTTGCAGCCAAGACAGTCGTCGCCCCGATCTCGCTTGAGGACATCCTTGAATTTCTCAGGCTGCTCCAGCGAGTGCAGCGTTGGTATCTTGTCCCCAGCCATGTTGTGCAGCAGCTTCTCGAGGCTTTCAATCGGTTGAGACCTACGGACGGACTTGCGTTCGTCGGGATTCAGAGTCCATCGGGACGAATTCCAAGATGCGCGAGTAGATTAGTCATCTGCACTAACATTTAATTCCGTCATGAGCCCCATCGCAACAGCCATGCAGCTCGATTTAGGTTGTGTCGCGTTTCCAGGTACGTACATGTGGGATGGGCACGCATCGACAACGACAACGCCTCGACAGGCGGCGCGCGACATCATGAACGGCGTCATTGAAGCGGTGCATATCTACGACGATAACCGGTGCGTACTGAACACAACAAAATATCTGAAAACGAACTGACACCCGGTAGCAACCCGATCCTTTCTCACACCTACGCAGGCAGGCCCCTCTCCGCGACACAGCTTCTCCCACTCTACCTCGAGCATCAAGCACCGAGACCGAACCTGATCTACCTCTCCAATACGAATCCTCCGACTCTGGTGTTCAGTCTGACCCATGCGAACCAACTTTACCTGGCCACATCATCTGCCGAAATCGAACCATTGCTGGTCCTTGAATTCCTGCACCGAGTGATAGACGCCCTCGAGGACTTTGTTGGCGCACCACTTCTGGCAATCAAGATCGAGCAAAACTACGATGTCGTGGCTCAGCTCCTCACAGAAATGTGCGATGCGGGGACGATCAGCACCACGGAGCCGAATGCCTTGCGAGAAGTTGTAGCGGTGGAAGGGTGGATGGGCAAGCTACTGGGCAGCATCAACCTGCCAGGGTAAGGCAGAGGCACAAGCAACTCTATGTAAGCCACTAGCTGACGTACGACAGCAGCAGCTCGTCGAACCCGAATCTTCCAGCGACCGCAATGTCCTCGCTGAGTTCAGCGCAGACGCCAGCATTGCCGTGGCGCAGATCCAACGTGCGGCACACGTCGAACGAGATGTATGCGGACATTATCGAGACCCTCTCGGTGACACTGGCGCCTTCCGGGAGACCTCTGGCCGCTTTCGCGAATGGAAGCATTGCGTTCACTTCCAAAGTGTCAGGCGTGCCCGACATCACCCTTTCGCTCAACAGTCCTTCAGGGAAACACAACATTGGGGGGATCATGGAGCTGCCAGTCTTCCATCCGTGCGTACGTTTAAACAGATGGAGAGAAAGACCAGGGGAGCTCAGCTTTATTCCACCGGACGGCCGGTTCATTCTGGCGGGCTACGAGGTGGACTTACTGCCCTTCACCAGCGGCAAGACCGGCAACATCAGTGCGAATAACTTGAAACTGCCTGTCTCCTTGGAGGTCAAGACAGGAATGGGTCCCACTGGCGCCGAATTCGAGGTTCGGTTGCAGGCCAACATGATTCCAGGGACTACCGGCTCATCAGCCAACCCGCTGGGAAGAGGCGGTGGCGCAGGGCGACTCGGGGGATCACATCCGGGCACACAGGCTTCGCCTTCCATCGAGGACCTGGCAGTGACAATACCGCTCCCGGCAGACGTCAGGAATCTATCGGACATTCGGCCGAGCAAGGGCGATGCCAGCTTCAACCCGGGTGACAAGGTGCTGGAGTGGCACATCCCGTCCAAGGCGATCTCGGAACCAACGTCGTATTTTGGATTGCGCTGCACTGTTGTCGGTCCTCTTGCGGCTGAGAATGATGATGCGGACGATGACGATGCCAGCACCATGGCCTTCCACAAAGACTTCTCCTACAATGAGCCGTACCAAAGCGAGCCAGCCGCCAGTGGCGGGAATACTGAGAAAACTGCCGTGAACGATGACAAGGACGCGAAAAAGGTGGCACAGAATAAAATCCTCATGCCAAGTTCGGCATCTGTGTCCTTCTCAGTGAAGGGATGGCTGGCGAGTGGCTTGAAGGTGGAGAGTATCATGCTCGACACGAGGAAGAGTAAGGGGTTGGGTGAAGGGGTCAAACCATACAAAGGTGTTAAATACCTGACAGTGAGCAAAGGTGGCGTCGAGATACGATGCTAGCATTCTAAATCAAACCTGCAAAATATTTGAATAATGTGTTGAAAAATAGTTTGCGACTTTGTAACAAGAGGCCGCGGGTAAAGACTTCACGGCGTGGGGAAAGCGCGTTCGGGCACAGGGATCGCCTGCAATGCCCCCCGCAGACGCCAGTCATTGTGCAGCTTTCCCCGGACCGGGACTCAGGTCTTCGACGAACCCTTGAAATCACACAGCTACTTGCACGGCCGACTTAACAGACGGACTGGGCAGCATGAAGGAGCCTGCGTCGGAGCGGTCGTCTTAGCCTTGTTTACAATACAGGCTCTGGCAGCCATGAAGCACATCGCGCCTGGCGTCGCACGGCGCGGTCGCTGCATCCAACCTCGGCTTCCATCGCCCTGCTCATTACGAAGCTGCCCAGCCAGCCAGAGCAGACACACCTCTAGCCAGGCGAGGAGGTCCAAGACGGCCATCTTTTTCCCCGGTAGGACAGCTCACAGGCGACAATTAGGGCGGCTACTGACAGTTTCAAGGCCAAGGAGTGCAGCGCGTTGGCATGCTTACGCCGTGGCTCGAAGCCTTCCCACGAACCGCAAACGAGACCATTGAAGAAATCAACCACCATGTCGGCTACGATCTTGCATCCATCATCCAGAACGGATCCTCACGCCAGCTTACCCTCACCAACCATGCGCAGCCGGCTATCATGGCCACATCGATCCTCATCCTACGCGTTCTCGAAAGGGAGTTCAACTTCACGGTGGCGGACAACTTCGACTACACCCTGGGCCACTCCCTTGGAGAGTTCGCGGCTTTGGTAGCAGGAGGGTACATTGCCTTTGAGGACAGCATCTACCTCGTCAAACAGCGTGCCGAGGCCATGAGCGAAGCTACACGGCGGGTCATCAAGGACCACGGAGGCGAATATGGCATGGTCGCCATCGTCACGGAGCCAGAGTATCTGAAACCTCTCATCAAGGTCATCTACGGCTTCGTCGGGCACTCCAGCGCGGGAAACAAGGGCGAGAGCAGTGAAAGCGTCCCACCCATCGAGCAGGTCCTTATTGCCAATATCAACAGCAAGAACCAGATCGTTCTGAGCGGGTGTATCGAGAGGATCAAGACTCTGGTGGCCCATGTGAGGCAGTTTCTGGGCCATGATCCACGAGCGGTGCGTCTGCACAGTGATTCCCCGTTCCACAGCCCCATCATGAAGCCTGCGGTGGCTGTCGTGCGGGATCTGTTGAACCAGAAGAGTCGAGTGCCAGGCCGGGAATCGGAGGACATGGTCACGTTCCCAGGCCGCATACCCTGCGTGAGCAACGTGACCGGGAGGCCGTTCCGCGACAAGGATAATCTGAAGGACCTCGTGTCGAGGAGTTGTCTCGAAACAGTGCGTTGGTGGGACAGCATCAAGTACCTCGACCAGGAAGAGAGGGTCAGGCGCTGGGTTGGCATCGGGCCTGGCAAGGTGGGGAGGAACCTTGTTGGAAAGGAGGTTGGCATGCGCGGGAAAGACATGGTGAAAGGAGGCGGTGTGTGGGCCATTACCGACCCTGCTGAGATTGAGGATGTGCTCCGCGGGCTTGAAGACACGAATAACGTCATGGATGAGGAGGATGAGGTCCTCTTCAGTGATTGATGGCTGTATTATGGCTGGTAGACAGCTCAGGGGCTGACCTTGGGCGGCTTTCACGATTGCGAGAGGCCGAGAGCACCAACAATGATACCACTGTACCAATGATGTCCATTAAGTGAAATCCGTTCTTTCGCGTCAACAATTGGAAGCCGATGGGATTTGTATTTTAAACTCAACATTCTCGAGTGAATACGTACCTTACCTTGCCTGGTCACTCCCGCGGGTTAACGTGGGTGGCGGGGCAGGATCGCCAGTCTCCCAGCTCCAAAGCTCCAACGTCGACCATCCTCAGCAACTAATCCACAACATCATCCTGCCATGACCACGGCGATACCTTCCATCGCCTGCCTAGGCATCATAGGGCGCAACGTAAATACAGCGGCCCACCGTGTGTAACCTCTAGCTAACATGTTGGGCAGAACAACCCCCTCCACATCAGCATCTTCCCTTCCTACGACCCGCAGTCCAACACCTTCGCACCGCTACGGACACCTCTCGAATTCTCCCTCCTACTCTCCTCGTCGATTGACATTTTCGACCTCCGCACCAAGCACAACGCCATCAACAACACGCCGCTCGCCACAGGCGACTATGGCCTCCTCCACGCCATCGACGACCGCCTCGCGGCGTATGGCTTCGAGACGAACACGGGCGTCCGCATGGTCTGTGTAGTGGACATGCGCGGGCGCCGAGCGGCGGTGGGATCGAGCAGTGTGCGGTCGGGACTACGGGATGCGGAGATGAAGCCCGTCTTCCGGGCGATGCAGAGCGCCTACGTGCGGTTGCTGCAGAACCCCTTCTTCGCACCGGATGAGCATCTGGGCCCTGTGGGCGGCCATGGCGGGCGGCGCATTACGAGTCGAAAGTTTGGAGAGGACATGAAGAGGATAGGTGAAGGCTGGACGCCAGGGGTCACGAATCTATGAGCATTGTGGGGGGAAGGCGGCAAGGTGTCTGGCGTTCCAAGAGGGTATATCCATTGACTTTTAACATGGGCTATTTGCATAAAAATTTATGGTTTCTCGCTCTGTTCCTGCTGCCGTTTCAGATCTTCTACTCGCCACCGCGAGAGGCCGGCCGGCTCTTCAATGTCGACGCTTCGCCCCATGCCCTCGCCTGCACTGGGCTTGGTCATGCTCTCGATCCCCCTCTTGGGCGAGGACAGCGGCCCGCCTTCCCAGTGGCGTGCCTCGACGGGCAAGGGCTGCCACCAGTCGCCGGTGCGTGCATGCCACTGCGCACCGCACAGCTCCCAAAGGCGTGAGATGGCTCGCTTGTAGGCGAACCGCTCATCCTCACCCGTGAAAGCACTCGTGTTACCAAAGTCCACCGGCGTCTTCTGCGAACCAAAGTCGGAGTCCTGATCTGGATCGTACTGAGAAGTCGTTGATGGCGTGTCGTAGTAGGAGACGTTGGGCCTAAAGGGCGAGGTTGTGTCCTGATAGACTTCGGCGATCGTCTCGGAATAGGTAGCATCCTCGTCCAAAATGTTGCCATCGGCATCTTTCCTTGCCAGCCGCCTCCTCTCGGGAAAGAACAAGTTGTCCGGCGGCTGTTCCGCCCGAACGACGAGTTTACAGCGTGCCTCATATAGCGCGTCTAACAACGTGATGAAGCGCCGTGCCTCGTTCTTTTGGAGAATGGTCAGAACAGGAACACGGTCGATGATGAAGGTGTGGTATATCGACGCCATGGTGATATAGTCCGCTGGTCCAAAGGACTCGACCAGGTCATTGAAGCACCAGAATACGCGCCCACTGAAGTGCATGGGTGTATTGACTCTGCGTCCGTACACCACGACTGAAGAGGGTTCCCATGGGATTTCTTCATCTGGCTGCACGCCGGCAGCCGCTTTGATACACCGATCCCAGGTCTCAGAGTCTTCTCCGCTTGCCAGGAAGAAGTGTCGAGGCTTCTTTCTGGTTGCGATCTCTCCTTCGAGGGCTTGGGGTTCGCTGACTGTTCCAACATCGTTTACGATCGGTGGCTGTGCAGCATCTTCGCCATCAGATCGGGCCAGAATTTCGACTTCTTCTCTCCTCCTCCAGTCTCGTGCCCCTTCCATTTGCCAGAAGTCGCAACGTGCTTTGAGAACTTCCAAGAAGTTGGCGAAATCGCTACTGGAGCCAAACAGCTCGCCCGTTGGCCGGGCTGACGTCCCAAAGATTCTGCGAATTAGGCCTCGACTGGGGGCAGGTGTGTAGTCCGCACCAGTGGCCTTTTGTAGTTCCTCGGGCATGCGGTTCGAGGACGCGATCAGAACACCACCAAGCTGAAAAAAAGCTATGAAAAGGTGACTGAGTATCTTGCTTGCTGCTCGGTCCGGCAACTGGAACTCGTCCAGGAATAGGATCGGAGATTCGTCGACGAGCTTCTTCGCCATCCACAGTAACGAATATTCCACTCCATCCTCACCCACTGGGGTCATTTTCCGGTGACCATCGAGTTGAGAAAAGGTATACAGCATAAAGGTATTGAAATGCCATCGTCGCTTTTTCTCGGTGGGTAGACCCTCTGCTAGCAGGTCCAGGAGCATTGATTTACCTGTCCCTACTTCACCCGAGAGAAAGAGCCCTTTGGGCGAGTCGATCTCTATGGCTGTCTCGTGGCTGGAGAGTACCCTCGTCAATGCTGTGCTGTCCCTGCCTTCAGGCGACGTAAGGAGATGCCTGAAGAGAGGGTTCCCCCAGATGGAGTGGTTTCTTCTAGCCAGGACTCCAGTACCATCCTCAGGCTCAGTGGGACTATTTTGCGTGAGTTTGGCAACCTGCCGTAGCCGCTCTCGATATTCCGCTTGCGGTGAGTAGTCCTTAATTCGTAGGTATATCTTGCGGAGGTGAAGCGCGAGGCGATGCTGAGCTGGGTCAGGCGCGTAGAGTCCGGCAGCTACTGCGGTCTGGTATTTGACGAGAGGGTCCGTGATGGTCACGGCCGTCGAATAGAGACGTCTAGACATTGTGAAGCCGTTGTGCCACCCCCTTGTAGAAGTGATCTGGACGTTGCCTCACGCAGAGTCTGCCCTGAACTTGAGCATAATACTCTTATACCGATTGGGTACGTCTCGCAAGACTGCGGGCGTGCATGGATTCACCAGGTATCTGTCTGTATGCCCTGACTTCTTGGCCTAAGATAGGAGAACAAGGGATTGAATAGGTCAGATCACGGCACCAACATGCGAATGGCCGCCGTCAGGTGCGCGGTGAAGTTATCGCAGACTAGAGCTGGCTGCATCGCTGGGATTCATGTCGATGATGCGGTTCACAAGTACTGTACCTTAGCTTCGGTACGTACCCGCCGAGGGAACTTGGAGGCTCAGTGTGGAGAGTGTGCAAGATGACGGGAGCCAATCAAAAGCCGTTGGTTTGGGCGGTCTGTTGCTGTGCAGCAACGGTCCACGTTTTCTGCCGCCGCCGATGCTTTTGTTTTTTTTGTCTGCTCGGCCGGTAGCGCTTGTTATTACTGGGTGGCTAGGCCAGGCCTGGTCAAGGTACGCCGTGGAAAGTGAATGCCAGATGGATCACCAAGCCAGCCATCACCATCATCTCAGCCAATACCTGCTCGACACACCTTCGATCTCTTTCACGCCGTGCAGCACTGCTCAACGAAACCTGCATTCCCGTTGACTGCTGTCATCAGGGCCATCTTTTCTTCGCCTTTGCATCATCTCTTCTTTTGGCATCAAATTCATCGCCAGACCCTTCATCGCGAACTCTTCGTCAAATCGAGATGCCGCTGCGCATCAAATAAATCAAATACTCTCGATTGCATCTGCAACCCAACATACCCGAACCCACGATCGCATCATTTCCGCCATCTTCCAGCAGGTTGTTGGGATCTTCTAGCCTCACATCATTGTTCGTCATGTTCTCCCCATCCAACAAAGATGGCGGCCCAGCCACCGCGACTCGCTCACGCCGTCGACAACGCCCTTTGAGCTCGGAACATGCTGTCGCGCAGCCCAAGGCCAAACGACAAAGGCTGCCCTTGACGGAGCAGACCTATACGAACCCAGAGGCCCGACCACCGCCGCAAAAGCATCACCGCCAATTGCGATCGCGAGAAAGCAGTGCTGCCGTCGAGTCGAAGCAGGTGTCCGAGCCCGTGCCTCATCAGGACATTGAGAACCACCGCGTCACTCAACGTCGAGAGTCTGGCGTGCGTGCGAAGAAACCCAAGCATGGTGATAGAGCTGCTAACAAGGGCGATGGAAGCTTGGTTCTGGTATGACTGACGCACTTGTTGTAGCTGTACCATTTGTTTTGCTAACAAGCACAGACAAGCACCAATGCCTACACGGTCAGCAAGCTGCCCGCTTTGCCGGACAGGATACGCTCGGACTCCAATCGTGCGTGCAATGTATTAATTACTCTGGGTTCGCGATGGCTAATTGTTCATAGTTGAGCTTCAAGGTGAAATCGCCTGCGCTTTCGGCTACGCCCTCACCCTCACCCACACCCATGCCATCGTCTGGCCTTACACATCGACATCGCAATCGCCAGAGACCTTTACCTTCAATCTCCCTTCGAGCTCGAAACATGGCGAACCTCTTCCCGTCGGGTGTCTTGTCTCCCCATCTGCCGCCGCGTCAGAGCCGGGCCTGCTTGTAGTGATGGCTGGAAGTGGGAAGATCGTCTATTGGGAATCGATCTCGAGCGCGGCAACATTCGCGTTCATCAAGAAGGAGCGCACCGGCGTTGAATCAGTCATCTCAGGTATGACACACGGTGAAAAGGTCGACGCGATTACCAATGCCGAATCCGCTGGTTTTGTGTTGACTTTCAACACCGGCCGCCTCGCCTACCTGAATGCGCGCGATGGACACGGCCGACCATCCATTTCCGTGCAATTTCTACGATCCGCCCTTGCACCGTCCGGCAGTGGCTTCTTCGGGAGCATCCGTCGCGCCTTCTCGAACTTGTCTATCCGCGGCGATGTTGCGGCCGTTCGTGCCGATCGGTCGAACAGAGTCGGCGAAAGAAACATTGTCGCCTTGGGCAGCAAAGGCAAGATCCAAGCGTGGAAAATCCACCGTGGAGGTCACAATGAGCCTTTGGGAGACATCGACATGCGCGACCAGATCGTCTCGGCTCTGTACGAGTCTGACCCGAAAAGTGAGGACTATTCAGCGGATTCGTTCGAAGCTCTGGATCTCGTATTCGTGCCCAAGGGTCTCGAGCCAAAGTACCTGCAACTCAGTAAGCTGAGCGACGCCATGGCTTCAGACGACTCTGATGTACAACATTTGCTTCTGCTTGTTGGTCTGAACAACAACCATTCGGCAAGATATGCATTGGTGGAGATCATTCTCACTGCGACTGAGGGCCATACTGGTATGGTCCGCCCGCTCACGTCCTATTCCACACCCATTTCTCATGGGGATGTCGCTCGACCGACCAAACCGAGGCTCTATCTGCCGCGACCAGCGCTTGTGGCTTTTGTCGTCTTTGATCGCGCTGCTGTCATCGCTTCCGTCGCGATACAGCCCGAATCTCCGGAGGCGCAATTGCAGTCGGATAGCCATATCCTTCCGTCGTCATTTGAAGATGTTGTCGATTTCAAAGAAGATAACGCCCACGAGATCCTGGGCTCCGGCTTCGAAGAGCTGCCCCCAGCGTACGCCACCGAAGAGAACCGAAACCAGCGCCACAAGACGAAGAATCCGGCGGCAATGCTGCTTGTGCGTGGCGCTGGTGTGATTCGGCTGGTAACCACGGATATCGACAAGTTTGCGAGCGAAAAGCCGCCGACTGTTACAGCAAAGAGCAAGATGGAGCAGGCAGTGTTCTTTGGTGTGAAGCAGGAAAACCCCTTAGTCTTCGATGCGCGCCAAGAGGTCTCGTTTTCCAATCAGGAGCTCTGCGAAGCTGCCCTTGAAGTGAGCAGTGAGGTTCTGAGCTCCACCACAACTTTCATTGCAACTCTACCAGCCCACTTGGAAGAGAATTTGAGGGCGCGCGCCAACGCCTTGGAACGTCTCATGGACTACCTGCGTACTACCAAAGCCAAACTGGACCGGGCAACACGATGGGGACTTTTGTTTAATGCGGAAAAGATGCACGTGGCCGCCCTCCTTTGGAAACGCCAGGAGGCCTTCACCGCCGAACGGTCTGCCGATGACAAGAAGAGTGTCATTGGTTATATTGTCGAGTTCATCAACGAGAAACACAAGCACCCGCCGCGGCCTGCACTGGGTGAAGTTGACCCAGTCAGGCACTGGTTCATCAACGACATTGACCGCATGGATCTCTTCGTAGCCTGGACATACGAGGTGATCAAGGTGTTGTATCAAGGCAGCATGTTGTCCGACCAACAATTTGCGGTCATGCTCTTTGAGGCCATGCAGGTCCTGACCTGCTCCCACTCCATGGCCACAAGCTTTCGCCAACACAACCTGGCCTTCTACGGACTGTCTGATGAGGAACTTGACCACGGTATCCTGACCCGCGGTTATGAAGGGCTGGGTGAGCCCTGGACTGGCACGTCGTTCGCCGCCAATAGTGCTCGACGTTTGGCTGAGTTAGCGTCCTCTTGGTCCGAGTCGCAGCTCAGGAAGGGACGTTCTGATGCTGATTCGATAGCCAAACCCATCGAACAGAAGCTGCTGCGCAAAATCGTCGGTGCCCTGCCGGACGTGACCGACAGTATGCTCACGGCAGTTCACGAGTTTGCTCGCTTCGCAGAGAGCTCGGGTCATGCCGATCACAGGCTTCGAGGCCAGGAATTCGCAAGTACCTACGGCAAGGACAAGTACGAACGACCGAGGCTACTTGCTCACGTTTTCGACCTGTGGGAGGCAGCGGCGGGATTGACCAAGAAACATAGATCAATGAAGGGGCTGGCCTCGATTCTCCTCGATCACATTGTCCATCTCGAGGCTGTTCTGTCGGAAAATGGCGTCGGTGACGCAGAGAAGCAACGGGCCAAAGCCGTCATTGAGAAGAAGAAGACAGAGATCGGAGCAAACATGGCCCGATTCGGCCACAAATTTGCTTTCCCGCTTTATGATTACCTTGTTGAGGAGCATGGAGCCGGAGCGGTTCTCGATTTTGAGCTGGATACCGCAGGCCTGAGATCTCAGTATCTCAGATCGAAGAATGAGCTTTCCAAAATCACCTGGATAAATGATGTGCAGCAAGACAAAGATGCGGCGCACGCGTATCAGACGCTCTTCAGAGTCGCCCTTGCTGCGGAGCAGCAAGTATGGAACAAGAAGGTCGAGCTTAGCCTAGCACGACTGGCCCTTCTAGCCGACGCCGAGGCGGAGGCGGACAAACCTGACGGTCTCGTTGTACAGACCGATGCCAAGCGCCGCGCCGAGGACATCCAGATGATCAAGGAAGAGCGTGTCGCCGTGCAGATGCAGGAAATGCTCTATGAGCAAATCCTGCCGAGCACCGCGAATGCTATCGATGACGCTGCTGCCCTGAACTTTGCAATGGAGGTGCATGGCAGCAACATACCTCGGAAGCAGAAAGTATTGCGGCAGGTCTTTGAACACGGGTTGGAGAGCCTCCTGAAACACGAGGTTGTCGATCCCATGACACTGATCGATCTCCTAACATTGTTTGCACCAAACCCCGAGCTGGACGACGAAGAATACGCAGACCCCTTCTGGATGGCTCTCCAGGTTGCAGAGTCGTCTTGCCCGGGCGACGTAGCGAATGACGCCAAGCGATTAATCTGGAGGCGCCTGTTGATCCGGGACGATTGGGCGAAGCTAAACAACACGAATCTCAAGAACGACGAGGAAGTCACCGCAAGCTTCATGGGTACCGCTCTATACTCTTGCCTGTACCATTGCATCGTCAAACGTAAGTCCACATTACCTGATCGTCGGGACGCAACTAACGAAATTGCAGACGACGCACGTGAGCCCTTCCAGCCCCCGAGACCTCAGGATGTACTGGGTGTCTTCACGGAGCAGCTTGATAGTCGCTTCGCCAAGTTCGGCGCCGACGACCAGGCCAAGCTCCGCGAGGCTATGAAGCAGGAAGACAAGCTTCTCACAACGGCCATGGAGAAACATCGCCTGCCGGAGTGGTTCCGCACAGTCTTTGACGGGGCCACTACGCAGGTTCGGAATTATATCGACGACCAGACGGCAGCTGGCGCGTTGATGCAGGACGGCGCCGCTTAGTTAGATAAGGAATGATCTCCGAGGGTTCAGAGGGAGTGGCTGTCACAGGAGTTCGGTGTACGCAACGTGGCTTTTGGGAGGGATTCCCTGTATGATAGGCTCTTGTACATGGCTTGCAAGAGACTCGGTCGGGAGATAACGAGGACGGTTGTATATGGCGCAGGTTTCTTTCGTACTTTATCAAAAAGATCGACCGAGGGGAGCGGGATCTCTCGGTGGACTCCCTCTCCACAGAATAACTGGCTTTTCCATCTGTGCATACACGGAGGCTAGGAAATACATGCGGCGCGTGTGCCACAGCAGCAAAATGTTCGCTCAGACTTGTCACTGTGAAAATCCATTTACGTTACAGTGAAGCGCTGGAGTTGCTTAAGCATGATGTTCATCATTTAGTCATGTACATAACCGGTACGCCAACCGCGACTGTCCTATATCCATTTTCCCTCGTAGCGACACTCGTGGCATCCCAACTTTCTCCGCTCCAATGCTTTCTCGAATTCTAGATCCGTCGTAGGGAAGTTGCGACGTAGATATGAAGCGCCCGGAAGACACACAAAGAAACCATGCAATAATTCGTCAGAGAAGAGGAGAGATCCGCTTAGACCTTCATCTTCCTGCGCTTGCCGACCTGGGCCGAGAAACCAGTCTTGATGGCCGTTACACTGCGACGCGAACCGCAGTTGTTGCAGGTGATAAAGTACAGACGGTTCTCGCCCTTGCTGAGCTCTGTGTCGGGCGATTTGCAGGTTTTGCAGGTGACATATTCGACTGGTGGCCAAGTTAGCATCTGGGACCCGAAGGGACGGGGGGGAGGGGAACATACTGATGTATTTTCGCACAACGTTCTCAATCTGCTTCTGTTGGAAACGACCCTTGATGACGAGACGCTTGCTGCCGTCGACGGAACCGTTCGTACCCAACTCAGCAAAGAGGTACGCCGTCACGTGCTCGTCGGTACGCTTCATGCGCTTGCAAATGTCGGCAATGTTGGCAAAGACGGTCTTCCTGTTGCCTTCACGCATGCACTGGGGCGGGGGGATCTTGTAGCTCCTTGTCCCCGAGAGGGCGTGGTCGGGGTTCTTCTGGGCGAGCTGGGAGAAGAAGCGCTGGAGGAGCATGTTGAAGCCGGGGGTCTTGGTCTCGTCGTGGGACCAGATGCCGGTGCCGGCGTCCATGTCGCCCTCGACCTCGGGCTCCTCGGCGGGCTCCTCGGCGTCCTGGACCTCGAGCTGCTTGAGCTTGGCGGTGAACTCGTCGTCATCGGCGCCAGCCTCGGCCTTGACCTTCTTCTTCTTCTTCTTTTTCATGGTGAGGTCGAGACCACCGTCCTCGGCGGGCGCGGCGCCCTCGCCAGCGTCGGCACCATCGTCCTCGGTCTTCTTGACCTTCTTCTTCTTCTTCTTCATGAGGGAGAGGTCGAGGCCATCGTCGTTGGGGGCGGTGGCGGCGTCAGCGTCGGCGGCTTGAGAAATGGGATCAGTAAAGGACTCGAGGGCGGCAGACAGCGGCGGCGTACGAGGCGTGTGGGACTGCGCCGAGTCCTTGGGTTCTTCGGGGGCGCTCATCACGGAGACTGAGCCGTCGGCGTCGACTACGAGTTGTTCGTCTGTGAAGGCGACTGACTTGCGGGATCGGCGTTCAGAGGTGTCCTGCAAACGAGGAGGGGACAATGTTAGTCTGTGTGGAAAGAGGTATAGATTTGTAAGGAAGTTGATGCGTCGTCAGGAGTGTGGGTCGACGAAAAGCAATGTAGACGTCGAAGGCGAGAAATTGTTGGACGGGGGTAGAGAGGCGGTCCGTGGTGGTGACTCAGAATCTGGCTCGGGTACGAGAGGGACTGATGGTGGGGTAAAAATTGTAGCGCAGTCAGGTATAATATGGTGCACCTAAAGCTTAGAGCAGAGGGCTGGAGGAGGGGCAATTGACGACAGACAGTGAGTGAGTTGGGTGAGCGACCAGAGCTCCAGACTGAGGTGGTTGCACTGCAGCATGTACATGCTGTGATAAATAAATACCACTTACTTCTTCAGCCATGATGGCGGTTCTGGGCTTGTCCTGGGCCTGTTGTCTGCAGGGTTTCCTTGCTGTGCTCTCGCACTATTGTTGGCGCGCGCGCAGTGTGTGGTGACGTCTTGGTGATAGTATTTGGGTGCAGTATTGCTGCTTACGCTTAACAGCTGCTGATCGTCGGTCTGGCCCGTTAGGTATGAAGGTCGATGTTGGGGAGTGCGGCGTGTCAAGGGTCTGTTGATTTATAAACCTTTGACAAAATTTCAAGGAGGGAGAAGGATGATTACCAGAGAACCGATCGACGAGGACCTTTAAGGCACAATAAACGCACGCTTGGTCAGTGATGAGTGCGCGGTGCAACTGACAGCGTTGGTGAGGTAGGTACCTTGCCTTCTTAGACTTCAGCGGGGCCAACGCCTGGAGGGCACGTGACCTGGCATCAAGGCAAATCGGCTGGTGGGCCCACCCCTGCTCGCGTCGCTGCATCATCGTGACCCGAGAGACAACTCCCGGCATTCTCAAGCTCGGTTCGTGACGACCGGGATTCGGAGGAGGAAATGTGAAGCGCCCTCCCTTTCAATCATTGCCTCTCATCGTTTTCTCGAATCGCGTCGTTGAGCACCCCAGTCGGCTCCTCAACAGCCTATCCAACGGCCCGTCATGTCCGCGTCTCTCGACGACCTGCGCGATCTCTCCCCAGTCGATGACGAGAAGGACGAGGTCGACTCTCTACCCTCCATTGCCACAAGCGACATCTACTCCGACGCGTCACTGTCGGACTCGGACGCGCAGGAAGAATGGGATCGTAGTCTGGAGCAGCTGCAGCTGATGCTGACCATGATGATCATACCGTTTGTGGGGAAATACTTTGGCCGCAAGTTTGCCTATTGGAGTGCGTGCGACCCCTCGTCATGTCGCGATATCCGCAGAGCATGCTGACACTACTCGCAGGTTGGGGGAAGTACATGCACTGGCTACATGGGGTTGACATCAAGTTCACGAACAAGAAGGCGTTCAAAGCTGCTGGTGCTATGGAAGCTGCATCGAGCTTGTAAAGACGTTCTCAAAGAAGGGTTTCATAACGGCGTGAAGGCATATACAGGAGTCTTTTTGTTTTCGGAATACGGAACAAGACTGTTCATTGATCGTCTTTCCACGTGAAGGGGTGAAGCACCGGCTGACCAGCCAGGATCCGATACATGGCGTCCAACTTTATTGCTGCTCGGAAAGGTTGCACAATGCATAATATTATTAGGTGTATACTGCCCGATATGTAAGTGCCCGGTACGAAAGCAATATTCAAATTCCATGGACGCCTCCCTCCTATACTGATCGCACCTCCTCCAGCCCATAGCCCCATATCATACGTCCATCACACAAGAGCATGTGCACACGCTCCGCCGAGACTCGCCAACCTTTACCAAGGGGTATACTCCATGTCAGCCTCGGCCTTCATTCTCCGCCTCCGCGATAGTCAGCCCTCAGACGCCGCGGACCTGGCTCATGCCCGGCTTGGAGCGGCCGAACGAGCGCCCGCCGAGGAGGCCGCTGGCCTGCTTGAACGTAAAGAAGAGACAGCCAATCAAGGTGGCCCAGAGGAACCACATGAAGACCGTGCTGGCCTGAATCTCACGGCACCTCTTCTCAGTGTCGTTGCTGCCAAACGCAATCCACGATCTTGGCTGGTTGCCATAGTTGCCGCAGTCCACAGCTGTCAGCTTGGCACTGAGGACGATGGCGCTGATGAAGGTGAGGAGCACTGCGAGGATGTCGAGAGGGAAGAGAAGCCAGGGAATGGCCAAGGCGGCGACGATGATGGCGGCGAGACCGACGAGGCAGGCAACCCAGGACCAGGCCGCGACGAACATGGTGAAGTTGATCGCCTTGGTGGCAGAGGAGGCCGCGTTGACGTTGCTGGCCATGACGTTGCCGATGAGAGCAGTGATGAGGAGGGTCCATAGCAGAGCCAGGACCCTGAGTCCGCCATGAAGCCAGCCGCTGTTCATGGTGAAGACGACGGTGTGTTTTCTGTCACGAGAGTTTGAATGGTGCTTGCAGGATGCGCACAGTTCAGTACGAGGTGCTCGTGATCGTGAGTTTGGAGTTTGGGAGAGGTGAACGCACGTCGAGGCGGAAGGGGAGGGGGCTTTTAGTACGTACTTGACTACATGTGACGACGAGTGAGAGGACTGGACCGACTGGAGTCAATGATGCTCACGGAACCCTCGAAATACCAGCTACTCTACCGGACAGTTCGGCAAGTGCTTGCCAGGTCTACGGGATGACCTCACTAGCCTATCATCCCTAAATCGGAAGGCGGATGACGCAGTTTTCGGAAAGACTTGTGCGCATTTGGAGGAGGCAAGCATGCTCACAGTTAGTTAGTCTACCTCTAGTTGACAGCTATCGATGATGCTAGTAGCCTTGGATCCGAACTTAGATGATTGCTTCATTCCAAGTGGACCCTGAATTGCTCGAGCGCGTAAAGTGGTTTTCTCAACTTTTCTGCACGTCGATCGGAAAACCTCCGTACCTTAGGTAGCACGAAAACTGGGGAACCCGCATGATCCCGGCCTGGTTAGTCAGCAGCGCCGCTCTTGCTCAGGCTTTCATCCTCGCTCAAGGATACATTCCCTTCCCTTCTCCATAACAGAACACATTGCAACCTATGAACCACAGCCTACGCCGCCTCGAGTTGGCGCCGTGTAGCATCGACTTTATGCGACATTGGCCACCTCAGGACTCACCTGGCCCCCGGTAACACCCTCCAAGTCTGCAGAGAATATATGGCCTGAACTGGAGGCCGAGCGGTTCTGGACTCTAATAAGGCGATGGCATGTAGCAACGGGGTGATGGCGATGTTGCTGGCTGAGACGGAGACGGTTGTGCGGGAATGGCCATGACTGAAAGTAGGTATGCACCAAGTAACTGTCGGCCATTGGACACTTTGAACCGTGCTCGCTCATCCCGGGACATAGTGCTCGGATGATCAATGACTTTGCCGGGGGAATACAACAAAGGGTCTGCGCTGTCATGAACTGTGTAGTACGTCCACGCCTCGGCAGCATTCGGGAGCCACACGGAGATCTGGTGTTCACTCATCTACTGTCTGGCCATCGAGCGTGATCGTGAAGTTGTATGCGCGGATGATGCCCAGGAATCAAGTCACCATCATCCAGAAGAGGCGTGTCTTGTCGGCGCCCAAATCGGGACAATCAGCTACAGGCTGATATTTGGAAAGGGCGCGGGTCATCATGGCTGGCCACTTCACTTATAGTTGACGAGTCAAATTGTTCATTCTCATCTATCCTCAGGGTGATCCTGTTGACTAGATAGGACGGGCGACAATCCATCTCAGCGCTTTTTGGAGGGGGACCAGGCACTGGTTGTCAGGGGAACCTCATCGCCGACTCTCTGGAAGGTGTTCGTGCCTTGTCCCTCGTCACCTTGTCCATCATTCGTGGAGAAGGATCCAGGGCGTTCCACTGTAACGTTCACATCGAACCTCCTATGGATTCCAGGGGCACTATCTTTCATCGCCTCGGATTCCTTGTCCAACCGCATCGCTTGCGCGCTGGCCTTGTGGGGATTCTTTGGACCTGTGCCCTGGTCCCTATTGCCGAGATTGTGGCCCGTGTGCGTGTGTTGGTCTTGAGAGTACGTGAGGGAGTTGAGCCTGAACTCTGGGTCTTGGTTCTTTGCCAGACGTGTGATCAGAGAGGCCATGGACATTTCAATGTTCAGCTTGACCATGTAGGCGACTGGGTGGAATTGGATATAGACGACCTGGTTCGGGAGTGACATGAGACCAATGAGCATGACCTGCGTGCAACTGTTAGTGGTTGTCCTACTCGAGAGGTCGGCAGCGCGTCACTCACGTCCATGACGATGGAGAGGATCATCAACATGGAATTGAAGCCAACCAGCGGCTTGTACTTGGCCAACCCGTGCTGTTTCAACAGTCGGGTCTTGACGGTTCGTATAAAGAACCAATTGAGGCCTGCGTCGACGAGCAAGATGAGTACTTTGGAGACGCGATCCCAGTAACGGTTGATTGCCACATAACTGCAGTACCCAAGTCAGTAAAAAGTCAAGAGGGTCTGGTCGAGTCACGACCACAGACAGCCACGGAGACTCACGTTTGGCTCACAGGCGGGACGGTGTGTGCTGGGATCCAGATGCAAAAGACGGCAATGTTGATCATGGTGATGGTCACAGCGGTGCCCCATTTCATCCACTGGATTGTTTTCTGGTTCTCGGCGATGACTGCAATCCTGTTGATGATGATCTGCATCAGGAGCTGTATCTCAAAGACCCAGAGGAAGAGGATAAAGAAGAGCACGGGGACCCTGATGAAAAAAGTCAGCCTTCGCCTTGCTCCCAGACAACGCCCGACCTGACATACGTTGGCCCCAAGGTTCCATCCAAGAACAGCCAGCCTATGATACCAATGGCTAGGTTGGCAACGATCTCGCCCCACATCATATAGATGTATGTGCTGCGGAGTGGGTTGCGGTTCCTGCGCGTCTGCTTGATAGCCTCCCAGACCGTCAGGAACCCAAAGCCAAGCGTGAAGCCGGCCGCCAGAGAAGCAACCCTGATGTCGGTTTGGGATGCCATGGCGGAAGGACGATGAACATGAATACAGCCTCCCAGCGTCTTGGAAGGGACGGCGATCTCAACACTTATATCCGTAACGTATGAGACTCCTCTTCATGGTGGCGTCCGGGGCTGGCATCTTTAGTGGCAACCCCAACTGTCAACCTGGCCATGTGTTGAGGTGGTGTTCCGCACCTCAAGTCCTTTCACCTATGAATGCCGAGGCTGCGCTGGAAGGTGGGTTGAGACGCCAGGGGTCGGTCCAGACTCCAACCCCTTCTCAACTGGTAATAGATGTCCCAAGAACATGGACGTACTGTACTCATCGACTATTTGATGGGCATAGCATGCCATGCCAGAACCAAATTACAGGTGCCACAAGCAGCAGCCCAGGGAAGTTTGAACGCGGATACGTCCTGGAAGTCACGCAATTGACGCAATACGACATTGAATGTCCCTTGGCGCATCAAGAGGCTGCAAGAGCAGGTTTGGCCTTGGAGACTTGATTTTCTGGCTAGTTCGTCCCGTCCATGGACCACATCCGAACCAAAAGCCATTTACCAAGCTCGTTCGGTGGGCAGCCACGCCGGGTTGGCGCGCCCCTAGACGGCTCATCGTCGCCGACATTGCCACTGCGTCGTGGCTTGGTGGCTGGTCTCGGACATGTTACATCGGCCACTCTGCCACTCTGTGGAAATGAATAAGAGCCTGCGCATCCTCAGCTGATAGAACGCCCACCAACCCGGAGAGCCTCCCCGTTCCGTGCCGTGTTATATTATGTGTCTGTGAATGTCCCTAGTTGGCGACGTGCATGTTGGGGGAAATCTCCATGTGTGTCTCGGGGATAGTGGTGGTGTGGACTGTGGAGCCGGTGGCTTGATACCAGCACCACTGCCGCTCCGTCTCGTGGACTCCCTCGTGGTTATCAGTGCCAACACTGCCAAGTGGTTACTGTATGCGGAGAGGATGGCCCGTCGCTGCGTTCCCTACCCCTGGGCTAATCAATTTGTGTTACCTAATGAGGCTCAAGTCCCAGGCACAGGCCACGAGGGACTGGGATGAGGGAGCACATTAATCACGACTGCTTTGCGGGGTCTGCTTCCAACGACACCATTGGACTGGTGTTGAAGTAAGCGCGGTGACAGTTCATCTGCTGTTCTTCACTTCAAGCGTGTCCTCCGAACCTCACGTAGAGGTAGCCCGAATAATTCAAGGCGGTCGTTCAATCGTGCGCAGATAATGTGCTTGTAAATCCTGATTGCCATGTGCATAAAATACCACCAGACCTCTTTCGACAGCGAGATCGGCCCTCTCTACCACATCGGAGCATGCGCCCAAAGTACGTTTCCAGAGTCCTATGCAAGTCAGAGTGTGCTTCGCTAGACTGGGACAAGGCGGACTGACTTTTCGAGTGTCCTGGCTCATCAAACCCTGTCCTGTAGAAACTCTCGCAGCTTTCCTGTGAGTGTCATGTGCACACCTCCCCTGATCAACTGGTCTTGGAGGTCTGGCGCTGAACACTGAGGTCCATGAAGGATAGTCTACGGAGATGAGAGGACTGTAGTTGGCATGCAGACCCACTGGAACACCAATGTAGAGATAGGATTGTGCAAAGTCATCTTTGAATGCCTTTCTTCGAATGTGTCGAAGAGTGCAAGGTTACATCCAAGGCTTGCAGTGAAGATCATCCAACAATTCTTGCTGTTCTCGGCATTGACGGCGATCTAGGACTCGTAAGTAGCCTGGCTGCGCTGAACTTGTTCGCGTACACACTGATCTGCCAATGCCTGCCTGCTCTCTGGCACTTATAGCGCGTTAGGTGTACTCCCATATGGGCTCAAAGCACGCAAAGGCCAGTCTCCGCCAGCGGCAGCAAGACTGCTCACTCACTCCATCGTCGCAGGATCAAAGAAATGACGGGAGAAAGCCCAGGCTGATAAGAATGCATGGCACGACTTGGTATGTGTGTCTACTATTCTTTCCTTTGCTGTGTATCATGCTTGGGGGAAAAGACAGCAAATGCAGCATGCCATCAACAACACAGTGCTGTCAGGGGCTTGCGCAAACGTAAGTCATGGGTTGTGGACTATGTTGCTTGCCAGCCCATACTGATGTGAGACGTAGCACTTTTCAGACCCTCAAATAGGATGGAACTTCTTCTCCTTTCTGCGGGGTGCAGTGAAACTGTGGTCAGAGACGTGATGTCCGATGATGGCGCATTGGCCGTATCGGTAGGCAGTGACATGTCGAGGTTATAAATCACTATCCGAATTTCTTTTTCCTAGTCACCAAAACAAAAAGGTCATCAGTTCATTGTAAGTATTATTGCGGGATTCCTACAATCCGACCCATTTCAGGGATTTCTCCCAAAGTTCACCGGCCTTAGCAGTATCATATGCGTGGTGACCATAACCCGGCCCGAAGAAGCCCGACTCAGGATCCCATTCTTTCGCAATTTGGCAATTTTCCAAGTATTTCCCGCCTTGTCCTTCCAGGGCCCTGGCTGTAGCAGCCCAAACACTGGTTGCGGCCCCTTGATCTGGGGTTTTAAAGATTGTTGCCAGATAGGGATCCCCACGAAGCCCCCCCTGAGCGTCATCCGACAGGTGCCGCATTAGTTCAGTGAGGACAGCACCTGGCTGAACACTCCATGCATGAAGATTTTGCTGGCCGTAGCGTCGCTCAATCTCGTTGGCGGTGTATAGGTTGGCTGTCTTCTAGATCCATACGCAGCCAAATCATCGTACCCTTTGTCGAAGTTGATATCGTCAAAGTTGACCTCCCCAAACCGGTGACCCACGGACGATAGGATCACAACCCGGAAGGCGGATGCGGGAGGCGAAATCAGGCGTAGCTCCAGCCAGGAGAGCTGGTCGAAGAAGGTTGAACAAGAGGAAATGCGACAAGTGGTTGGTGCCGAATTGGGTTTCAAATCCATCCTTGGTCCGACCCTCAGGGGGCTGCATCACACCCGCATTGCAGATCAAAATATTCAGACACTCGTTCTTCGAAAGGAACTCGGCTGCGCAAGATCGTACGCTGGCAAAGGATTACAAGTCGAGATGGAGGAGGTGCACCCGGTCACTGTTGACCAGGTCTCCCAACGCAGTCCTCGCCTTATCCAAATGTCGAGCGGTAAGATACAGCGTTATACCCGTTAGAGAGAGAGCTTTGGCGGTCTCTACTCCAACGCCGGCCGAGCAACCAGTGATGAAGGCAACCTTTCCAGATAACTTTCCTTGCAAGCCTTCATTTTCGATGATTTGCTTTGCTGTCGGACGGAGATCCCCAGGACCCTTGGGATTCTCATGAAGTTGGGCGTGCTGGGTGGCCATTGTAATAGAAATGAGACGATTCGATGGTTTGAGGATTAAGAATGCAGACTAGAGTAATGAAGCAGCTGTGGGATGAAAACATTGAGATGGCAAAATTCAAGTGGCCGCTTATATACTTATTTGAACGGTTAGTGATCCCAATGCAGAGGTCACGCGAAGGGGTATATCGTCACAATTGCTCTAATATCCGGTAAATGGGAATTTGTTAACTCCATTTCGTCACAATGTCCCAATCTCCGGTAAATGCGATTTATTGTTCGTCTGCAACGCAGGAGCAGCTCAAGCCACGCAATTAAGTTTGGCAAAAGCCTGACCAGTGGGACAGGACAGGCTAACAGTAGGTAGCGCGTAAGCCAGCTACATGCAAAGTGCCGAATTCCTCCGGGGGTTGGTTTGTTGTACGTAGTCCACGCTATGGTATCCCAGTGTTTTTACATATTGTCGTCGGCAACAGGGGCTATGCGCGTGGCCCTTTGTAATCGCTACCCTCCGCATACGGTCTAAGTAGCCTAGACTTGCTGCCTGCCTCCTCTTTATAGTCCAGCCCCGATAAAAGTGTACTGATGATGCCAGTGGTTGGGCTACAAGGGTAGCTCAGTATTTGAATCTAATTCTGAGCATTGTTTCTACCTCGGAAACGCTGCGGTATGAGCCAGTGCCCACGAGAGGATGCTTGCCTGGAAACATGAGAGGTTCTGTACACGAACCGCTCCACAGAGGCACAGGCTATGAGTCTGTGATGCATCTGGCGGTTGACAGTGGAATGTAGTACATACGTGCACATACTTGACTTTGGGGTAACTTGTAAGGCGATGCAAGGCTGCCAAGGTGCTGTGCGGCGCACGCACAGGTTCTTGAGTCTTCAAGTTGAGTCTTGGCGCATGGACCCTGGTCCCGGAGGGCCTGAGCCCCTGACAATGAGCGACTCCATCGATGCATCCCATCATTGATCGCGATCCTTGCCGAGTCACCTCTTCCTATCCAATCCAAGGTCGCATCCCCCCCGCCATGCCCAAGAAGAGAAAGCTGCCCGTCCCTGTAAGACAAGAGGATCAAGGGGGTGTGCCTGACGAGGTGCTTTTGACATCTGAGTTGAGTGATCTGGCCTACCCTGAATATTCCATGCACAGGCACAATCCCGGCGCTCACAGTAGACATGTACGCAAAAAGAAAAAAGAAAAAAAAAAAGAAAAAATTCAACTGGACTCTGTTCTTCTCCGTCACATTGTTATCTGCATCATTGGAGAAGAAGACGAAGAAAAACACGACACCTCGAATTCAGGAACGTTGGACGAGGCACGTGCCTGACTCGGCATATCTCAATAACATGGATCACTAGCTCGAGTGATCATCAGGAACCCGGGACTTTCCAAGACCGAGGCGTGGCCTGCGTCACTCGATGAAGAATCCAGGTGCATGGTCATGCTGGTCTGATGCAATTGCCTGGCACGATAATTGCGGTTCAAGAAAAGTTACCTCGGCTGATGCGGTGCATCATGAGAAGCCACTGCCACCATAAATTGGCCCTATTATATTACAGGGATTTTTCTCCATCGCTATGATCCCCGTTTCTTGCAAGCACCTGCCGATGCATACGACGGCTATTGACCACATGCTGGCTGCCGATAAAAAAAAAGAAGAAGAAGAAGAAAAATGAGAGCGACTCCAAGGCACACGAGTCAAGTTTCCAGGGGAGAGGGTCGTGAACTTGATTCAAGACAACCTCAGTTGCTAGTCAGTTGCTACAGTATCTAGCTTGGTGAGCTTGCCAAGTACGGAGTAATAGTCAGGGGAGCGTCACGGAAGTTTTATGGCGGGGTCGTGAACTACCTATTCGTAGCGCTAATACCGGCATGATCACCGGAAAAAGTAGGGGACTGGACACTGCCTGACAGGCACGTGAGAGACGCAAGTGCCGCAGCCGTTGCCGGAGCCCCTGGCTCCAGCCGCGACATGAGTTCAGGGCCTTCAGGCTTCAGGTACGCTCTCAGCTCCATGTCTGTACGTATTACCATGTACGTATTGGCCAAACATGGACGGACGACTACTACCGCCGATCGGTATTCATCAGTGACAGCCTGCCAGCTTCGCCGCTAGGGGGCGTGGCAGGGGCGCTAGTGGTGCTGAGTTTGCTCGTCCCCTGAGGGCCCTGACGCTAATGTACCACCCGTCTGGGCCGTCTCGGGGCTTGGGACTGGACTGTTCTGGATTCGACAGTGCTGGCCGAGATTAATAATTAATAGAGAGCATGAACTAAGAACGCCACCAGAGTATCCCCGAGTGATCGTCGTCGACATGGAGTCTGCGGCGTTGTGGGTGTACGGTACATAACCCTACCTGGCCCCATGCGGACCGGCTACGACGAGGTTTCGGGGTCCAGTCCTCTCACGCCAGACACTTGTTGATAACTTGATTGCGCTTGCGTCGCAGACACCCAGTCCAGACCTGACAATGGCAATCCGCAGCCGTGCCGACCAAATCGCCGGCGTGGCGTACACGTTCCTCGTCATGTCGACGATTGCGACGTTGCTGCGAATCTACTGCCGAGCTTGGGTGATCAAGGCCTTTTCACTCGACGACTGGCTCGCCGTGGGCGCTCAGGTATGTCCAGTCCAGTCCAGTCCAGTCCAGTCCAGTCCCTTCAAGGTCCTTACTGACGGGACTCTCCACAGATCCTGTTTATTGTCTTCACGTCGTATGAGCTTACGGGCGTCAGCTACGGCACAGGCCGCCATGTCGCAGATATTGACCCAGAGCACCTTCCCAAGGCGATGCAGGTGAGTGACTCGGAACCCGTCATCAAACATATGAGGCTCCATGCTGATCTTTTGCAAGATGTGGTGGACGTGCGAGCCCCTCTACGTCTTGACCAACATGTTCATCAAGGCGAGCATTGCCCTCTTCCTGCTCCGCATCTGCGTGGATAGGGTGCACAAGATCATCATCTGGACCGTGACGGGCATCACCGAGATCTATAGCTTGTTCTTCTTCCTCCTCTTCATCCTGCAGTGCCGGCCCACCTCGCTCTTCTGGCTCCGCGTCACGGAGAACCCGCCTTCGGGCAGCTGCCTCGATGCCAAGGTCGTCTCCGACGCCTTTTATGGCTACTCGGCCATTAGCTGCCTGACCGACTGGACCTACAGCATCCTGCCCATGTTTGTCGTCTGGAACCTCCAGATGGACAGGAAGGTCAAGCTGTCCGTCGTGCTCATTCTGGCCGCCGGCACCATGTGCGTCTTCTTCCTCGACCGTTCGTCATTGATCTCCTGTTAACACTCTGCAGCGCCTCGGCGGCCACAATTGTACGTTTCCCGTACCTCTACTCGTTGACGGATATCAACGACTTCCTCTACTCGACGTCCGACGTGGCCATCTGGTCCACGGTCGAGACGGGCCTGGGCATCACCGCCGCCGGCTTCGCCACACTCCGACCGCTGCTCCGACGCTTCTTTGGCGGCTCCTCCGCGCACGACACCCCCGGAGACCCCTCGGCCGGCCCGTGGCACCGCACGGGGAGCGGACATCCCAGTGACGCCTACGGCCGCGGCCTCAGCAGCAGGAAGGGCCAGGAGGGCTACGAGCTGCGGGACAACAACCCCAGCGGCAAGGACTACGGGGTCACCACCGTCATCCGGCACGGCGAGCAGTTTGCCGACGTCGACACGGAGAGCCAGAAGAATACCGGCTTGGACGATCTGGACTCGGATCCCCACGAGTGGAGTGGCAGTGACCAGGATCTCACCAACATGGAGCAGAAAAGGCGGGCTGGGCAGGCGTGGAACATTACCGTGGAAAAGTCCGTCGTCCAGACGCGGAACTAATAAACTAGCACTCGCGTAATCAACCAATGGTCCAAAAGCCTCGACTCTTGGATATAAATATTATATAATTACCACTTGACTCAACCGCAAACCACATAATTGCCCGAGGTACGTAGGCGCAAACTTGAGGGCCAGCCACTCCCCACATCGGCGGCATCATGTCGGCTGTGAGTCTGTGACACTGGCGTTCTCTGCCTGGGCGTTCTCTGCCTGGACGGTGAACCGTGAAGGACTGGAGCCTTGGTGGATCCCGGCTGTCATGGAAAAGAATACTCCGTACCTTTGAAAAAGCCACCATCAGCCTCAGCTTCTTCAGCAGAGGCCAGACGCCAGGGGGACATGAGCCTAGTCTAGCGCCCATACTAGTAATAGACAGGGGCACTGTGGGCATAGGCCGGCCCACTGCGCACACATCAAATGACATGGGAATTGATGCGAGAACGGAGCATTTCCGCCGCGACTACGGCTACGTACGGATACCCACCTCGCTGATGGTGGTCAAATCTGTTCCAGTGAGCGAGCAAATGTGATGGGTGCTATCCGCATAGCTTCAGCACGCGGCTAGTCCAGTCCTCATGACTGCCACAACACGCGCACACATGTACGTCGTATCTTCTCTGCGCCGCAGGCCGTGAAATAAAAGATATACGTACCGCAAGGCGACGTTGTGTCCTTCTCAATCGGGGCCCCGCCTCTAGTCCTCCGCGAAATGCAGCTAACTTAAATCAGATTACATGCAGGTTACAGGTATTACAACCCATCATCAGGGATAGACCCGCGACCAGCGAGCATACTTGGCACCATGAAATTGAGGAGCCAAGTATGCATTTGGCCAGCTGAGCGAGCCTGGTAGTTGGCACGCAGCAATTGGCCCCCAACCGCCCCCAAACAGACCGTTGATGAATGCGGATTAAAAACTAGGCTTTCTATTATTGTTTGTTGTCTAGCAGTAGATTGTATTATACCAGCGTATCTTGCTTTTCGCGCAACCACTACCGGCTACGGAGTACCTAAACCCCCCTATATGAGCGGCCGAACTTGGAAGACTTAAATCTTATTTTCTAACACCCTGATAACCTTCAACAAGAGCGCTGTCTATCACATACGACCATACCTAGTGGAAAATACGGGATCCCGTCCGCTCTCCCATAGTCAAGCCGCTAAGGGGCTGATTAGTAGTTGGGTCGGTGACGACCAGCGAATACCGGCTGTTGTATGTTTTTGTCTTCTTTTTGTTCTTCTCCATGCCTCTTCTGTCTGGAGACTGTAAGCAATGAAGAGGCCTCTTTGGGTGACGCAGGTGTTTGCTGCAGGAAAGCCAACTGCAATGCAACCAACCGTGTCAATGGCCCCCAACACTACGTCATGCATGCATGTGCTCGCAAGTCAGCAATACGACTCTGAAGAGAATCATAAAGGAGAGATGCCTCGATTGTCACAAGTGGAGTAATTAGTCTGTTTTGTTCACCTGCTCCCCTCGCGACAATGTTTGCCTCGCCGTGGGTATGGGAGGTCTCGTCTCTCGCCGGTGTCATCGCTACATTCGCAGGGCTCGTAACGCTCTTAGCCATGTTTGACGGCCGACCTATCTTCGACTGGAAGAGTATCACTCTGAACACAATTGTGTCGACGCTATCCTTGATCTTACGCGCATTTCTGCTCTATCCAATTGCCGAATGCGTTGGGCAATGGAAATGGATCTTGTTCAGCCGCAGCAAACGATCCCTCAAAGACTTTGAGCGTATTGACTCGGCGAGTCGAGGGCCACTGGGTTGTCTATGCCTCTCTTGGCAAAGGAATGTGCCGTAAGTTCAAGTTCGGAGTTTCAAGGCGCTCAGAGCTGATCGCACGAAGATGGATACTCCGTCTCGGTGCCGTCGTCTCCGTCCTTGCCCTTGCTGTGGATCCGTTCTCCCAACAGCTCGTTCAAGTCGAGACAAAGGTTGTGAAGATCCAAGAGCAATGGGAGAAAGGCGACCCTGGGATACCTACCTACTCTCCTCGTGCAATGAGTTACAGACGCGGACACTTATCCAAGGCCAACGAAACTTCTCCCGCAAACGAATCATCGGATTCCAAGGTGGTTCACATGGAGGCGCGACCAGCCTTGTCTATGGCAGGGGCCATATTGAAGAGTTTATCGTCATGGGACGGTCTTATCGTGCAAGGGCTTAATTATGATTGCACAGATTCGAAGTGCACTTGGCCGCCGTTCCAGACTCTCGCTGTGTGCTCCCGCTGCCAGAACGTGGCATCGCAGCTTAGACGAGTCGAAAATTTCGGGGACATGTTCAGATACATGGAAGATCTTGGCGACGGAGACATCGAAATTCAACCGGGAAATGCCACAGCAGTGGCTCTCCCCAATGGCCACTTTCTTGCCAATCTGAATGGATGTCTCACAGAAAAGTCTGCTCTGGAAGATGGTTGCAAACTGCCAGGGACAGCAAACGACACAATCGAAGCTCCTAGTAACGTGGCATCGTTTTATGGAACGAGTGACCCAAACCACACAATGACTATGCAAGATCTCGACACCATGATCTGGTCCACGACTGCGCTATACGTGGATGACGAACAACGGAGACGGGGGCATCTTCCGCCCGACTGGGATGGACCGGGCGGAGAACTCGATGACTACTATCGTAACTCCACCGATCCTATCCGGAAAGATACTCAAGCAGATCTAAGCAGATGGCCTTATTCCCCGGTCCAAGCTGAAGAATGCGCATTGTTTTACTGCGTTCAGACTATCGAAGAGACGTACGAGCTGAGCACGCTTTATGACCGCATCACTGAATTGCCAGACTTTACGCGAAAGACCGACTCCTGGCAACCTCGAGCCAAAGGGGACCTCTCACCAGAAAACATCCCGCCAAATCCCAAGAGTCTCGAATTTGACAACAAGTACGCTGCTATGGAAATGACCGACCTCGTGCTTCACTATAACAACAAATCAGCAGAACGGACCGATTTCAATCTGTCCCACGCTGCTATCATGTCGATCAGTGCTTACTTCCAGGAAATATTTCGGATCCCGTGGACGAATGAGTCCGAAGCTTTCGGTCTTGTGAGAGATCGGATCCCTGATGCATCGGTGTTGCCTAATGGCCGTATCAGATCCCATAACTTACATGAGCCGACATCGCTGGAAGGGTTATACACAAAAGAATTCCCATCGATGAGGAACAAGATCAGCAATCTGGCACTTGGCATGACTGTTGAGATGCGCAATGACGCGGGAGATAGCCATTATTACAGTACCGGCACGTCGGGGGTTGATAAACACCAGGACGTTGTGATTGGCTCGACCCATGTCTCAACTGTGATATACAGAGCAGAGTGGTACTGGATCTCGTTGCATGGGGTGATAGTCTCGTTTGGAGTGCTGTTTTGCGTCATGACCATGCTCAGCACGACAACGGGCGCACGAGAGCAAACGGTCTGGAAGAATCACTCTCTTGCCACATTGCGACAGGGTGCAGATATTGGGCAGAGACTCTCGGCTGTTGCTACACTCCGAGATCTCGACAAGGCAGCAACAGACTACAAAGTCACCATACCATCAACTCAATCCGCCAAAGCGCTCTTGCCAGACGAATAGACGGACATCATCAAGCTGCATAATAGTGAAAACATCGCCTTTACGACACTGATTCGGATCTCACTCCGCTGTCTTTGGCTCCAGGCTGGTGGATGTACTGCTCGACGGCTTGGAATTTATCGAAGGATAAAGGTTCGGGAACCTGACGAGCCAAAATCTCCTGCTATAGGTAGTTTATATTGCATTTGTAATGCTTCCCACGTTCGCTTTTTCAACATGTCACCGATTACGACGACACACTGCTCAAAGGCACCTTATTGTGTTTGCTAGGGGAAACCCAACGACATACATACGCATACACCCGTCATCTCAGAACTCAGAAAAGAAAAGGGTGCAATGTTAGGTTCGGCAGCATGACGAAGAATACCACTCTGTTCATTCTGGCATTCCGCGACACCCGCCGCGCCACTAATAGAAAGACCGAGCCGATCAAAGATGGAAGCTGGAGGTGCTTCCATTTGCCTTCCGATGGGTCAAACTTTGTTTCGAAAGAAGAGACAACTTCGGCGATCATGAGTCGCTAAAGATGACAGATCGATCTACTAACACAAGACTCGGGGTCCCTCCCCGAGACCCCGATACTTCTAGAAAACCCATGGAACGTGTTTCATAGGTACGTGAGTTAGGAAATGTTTCTTTCAAGGTTCGGGGTTGGTTCTTGACTAAAAAGACACTGTGACCCGTCATAGACTGCTGTGCCCTGGAGCTGGAACGTTGGCTCAACCGAAAGTCACTTCCAACCATGAAACCCCAAGAAACCGCGTGCGTATGATGCGTCCGTACGAGGGCGATGTGTTGCCACGATGACTAGGGCGTCTTTGAGGGTGTAAAGCAACAAGGGTAGGTTTCCCTCGCTCAGCACAGTCGTGTGAGTCGTGTATCGGGCTTCACGGATGGTGTGAGGGTCCCCTGTCTGTGGGTTAGTTGCGGAAGGCAAACTGCCGCTATCTGAATCCAGGAACGCGACCACTGCAAATTAGAGTTGCACGGTGTTGAGCCGCAATTCCAAAAGCGACAACTCGATGCGGATCATTGGACTCGCAGAAGTTCCCTATGGCTACCATCACCAGTTCCACAGTAGCCTGTTCGCATGATGGAGGAGGGCCTTCCACTTAGACTCTGATGGTTGATCAATGAGCCCACCGGCAATCCGGCTCGCCGGTGCATCACCGTTGCCTCTGTGGAAGACGTTTGTGCCTCCGAACCGCATGAGCGGGAACGGCGCAAACTCCGCCGAGTGTTTGGTTACGGTGGTGCTGTGCAGATGCCCTCTCGCTGGTGTTAGCACTTTGCGTTTGGAATCCGCGATCCGCTGCCGGTCATGGGTGATGGTCTCATTCACGACGGACACGGCGCGTCGGTACAAGGTGGCTGCCGGTCTGCCAATGATGTCGTCGCCGGTGGGCTGATCTATTGCAGATAGCTGGTACCTCTGGCTCGTGCTTCCTGATCCATGACTGCCATCTGGGCCTTGTGTGAATAAGGCATGACCAATCTGTGTAGCACTAAGCGCCGCACCAGACGAGGAGCGTCGCTTGTCCAGAAAGGCTTCCATTCCAGTGGCGAAGGGTGAGTCCATTGTAACGCGAAGGTCCATGCCTTGCTCGAGATAGGCTTCCAACTCTAGCGTATTCGGCCCCTGAGGCGCTTTGTATTCGTATGTGGTGCTTATAGGATAGGCGAAGCGGGATGCTAGTCTTGGGGTCGAGCCATGGTATGCTACACTCGTACCAGTGTAGTGGGCATTGACATGGTGCCAGTAGGCAGAGTTGCGCATTTTGCCGTTGTTGACCATGCTGAATGTCTGCGTCCAATTGGCGGTGTGAGCCTCATCGTGGATGGACGCAACCACACCCTCGACATTGATCTGTCGACCAGCCGACTGTCTGTAGTCTATCGCAGTAGAATCCAGGACATCTACCTCGGAGATCCAGTCTATCTCTGATATCTCCACCTTGGGCGCCTGCGTTGGCTTGAGTTCGGTGTTGCCTAGCCAGGCAAAGATTTTGCCGGATAGAACCCAGTTGGATCCCACATGGGCGAAAACCGGATTCGCCTTGTGGCTGTCATTGACTCCAAACACCTCAAATGAGATGGTGTGTTCGCCGCCATCAGATAGGTACCCCAACCATGGCGTGATGTCCATTTCATACTCCTTCATATCAAAAGCTTGGAGTCCCACCATCGGTCGATGCAAAGGTGGTGCTATGCCTCCAGTGAAGACCACGGGGAAGGGCCAAGCAAGGCCGGCCACCTGGCCGTCAATGTATATGCGAACCTCTCTCATGCTTCCCATCGCGGGCAATCTGGCAGCATTGGAGGATGGAAAGGAATCCGCGGCGCGCTCGGGCACGTTGGACCACCAAAATTCTTCCCCGGCTTGGCCCGTGGCGGCCACAGTCAGGATCGCCCCGCCAATCTTTGGGGGAAGCTTGACGACCGCCGCAGTGCTTGTCCCAGGGAAGACGAAGGTACTGGCCTGGCCTTGCTTACTTCTTTTGGCTGACAGGGGTAGGATATAGTCAGCTGGACGGTGTCTGCGTTGCACGTGGTCGACACCTGCCTCGAAAAATGTCACATCGATGGTCACGTCGTAAAGACCCGTGTAGAGATCGTTGACCAAATTTCCCAGGTCAAAGATGACAGTCTGAGGTTCCCTCCAAAGGGCGTCATATGGCGTCATGTCTTTGAGAAAATGCCAGGCTATACCAGGCTGCGGCGTTGGCTCGGCGGTCGAGGTCCTCCAGACCTCAATGTCTCCAAGCCACAGGGTCGCGAGGCGATCAAATTGGTGGCCTTGCGAGGTGATTGTGACATTGATAAAGGCCTTGTCAAAGTCGCATGCGGGCGGCATGAACTTCCCGACAAATGGCTGGCCATAGCTGTTGCCAAATGTGTGCCTGACCAATTGTTGAGTGCAAGAAGGGCGAATACCGCCCTCGCCTGGCCCTCGCACAACCTGATCTCCTACGGCGAGACCCAGATGCGTTTCAATGGGATGAGTAACCTGGAAACATTCAAGCGTTTCATTGTGCTGCACTGGCCATTGCGGATTTCGTGCTGCGTGCGTGAGAGCCGTGCCGACGCTTTTCTGCGTGTGCTCGGGCGATATTTTGCTACTGTGCACTCCGTGGGCTAACCAGAGCAAGTAGAAGCAAAGTCGACTCTTCATGTCGCTGTGTAAGCACGTCGGCGTGTGATAAGGATCGTCAGCGAAAGAGAGCTCCTAGACCTCCTCGCAAGGCAATGACTAGCCAAGTCAGAAACGTTATTCCAGAAACAGGCGTCCCTGAATTGCGTAAGGTGCTTACCTGGGCAAATTATGTACTTGTAGAGTGAGCTAGAGGTTACGAGAAGTCAGCAACGAGAGGAAGGGGCGTGTTTTCTTGATTGGGCGTCGAAACAACAGCGCACCCGCGTGATATGAAGAAGGGATGCACGAATAATAAAATTGATGCGATACTAGAGTGCAGATGAAGGTATATCGTGGATGTTGACTTGACGTGTAGTAGTTGAACTGACGTCGTTGTTGACAGTCGAGCTGGAAGCCTGGAACAGCATGGGAGTCGGTTGCACGTGACGGGCGCGTCAATGCAGGAGCGAGTTTGGGACCGAGTTTCGAATTGGTACATGCAGTCGGACATGTGTCGTATAACGGATTTCGACGTACAGAAGAAGAAAGTAATAGTATAAGGTATCTATCTACTTGAGAACGCCTCTCAATGCAAGTCATTATCGTAAGTACCGGGCTCCCTTGCCCACTGTTGTAAGTTAGTATGTACGGGAACTTCCTGTTCCATCAGGGTATTATCGTGACCCCAGTAAGTCTAAGGTATCATCAGAATCCAACGCGCACGCCCCCCATATTCCCGAGCCATTCCCGCCTGGAGGCTCGAACCCCGATGCATGGATGAGGGCCCGTACGGTACCCATATGTAGGCGGGCCATAGAATCCCCACCAGCATCGTCGGCACCGTTATTTTTTTTTTTTTTCCAAATCGTGTCATCCGTCCGCCTCGTCGATTCAGCCCCGAGCATGGTCCCAATACCGCCCACGCGCACGCACCGCTGTCACGTTGTTGGTGAAGCGATGCTGGAAGTAGTTGAAGACGGAGAACTCCTCGCGGGTCATAACGTATGTGTTGGGGGCCGCCAGGACCTTGGCCCATATTTGCCCGAGGGCGCTGTCCAGGATTTTGCCAATAGTCGGATCTGAGGCGCCATCTGGGCTCTCGCGGGCAATCTCGAGGGCCTGGACGACCGATGGGTCGCTGGCGTAGGAGACGGACGTGTTGGACGTGGCGCTGGACGCGGTCGAGGCGACTGAGGTGGCCCTCGTCAGGGTTGTGTCGGCGTACACGCGATGAGGCATGGAGCGAGTGCGCTGGGCTTTGTGTTGATAGCTGTGGTGTTGGTGTTGGACCTCGTGAGGGGCGGGGGAGGGGGCCTGGGCGTAGTGATCTTGGCTATGGCTGCGATGTGGGAGGCCAGCTTGACATTGGTGATGTTGCTGCTCGTTGCCGATGTTGTAGTGTGAATGGTGAGGATGCAAGACGAGCATTGTCGGAGGAGAGAGGGGGTCGGGAGCAGACGATGGCGGTGGTGGGTAGGTAGGTGCCCTGGTCACGTATATACTTTGTGCAGCTATACACATACACACAGGCAAGCGAGGAAGGACGTGAGTGAATCAAGCGACAAAGGTGTGTGCAAACGGGCCGGGCGCCTGTCAATCTGTCTGACTGTGTCTTGCAAGCGAGGCGGCAAGGACAGGGATTGTATGCCGGTGGGCTGCGATTTCAGGACTTGGCGGACGATGGCTTGCAGGGTATGTGTGGGGGACAGTGTACTGTATGTGCGGAAGCAGGGGATCATTAATGTGATAGATCGTGCTAAGCGAGACAGAAGTTGATGATTGGGTAGAGCAGCAGACCGAAGACAAGAAAGCAGCGGTTATATACCTGTGATTTCTAGGAGAAGGTTTGGGTGAAACCCGTTGCACAAAACAAACTTTACCCGGCAGTTGACAACACACAAAAGAACTGGTCCCCTGGCCGCTGGCGGAATTTGGAAACAGAGTTTCGTCTAGTATATGCGTAGCGCTGGTCTATTCACGCAAATGACCTGCATCGCCTGCAGAGCAGCTAGTCATGCCAGATTGTCATTAGTCCCGGGAGGTATACGTACCGGTCCATACATGACAGCCAGAGGCACGGGCAAACGCCGCCAGGTTTCATGTCGGGGCCCAGGTGGTCCAGTGACTCCAGTCTTAATCGGAGCATGACCGATGAGCACGGTCGAGCACTAAGTTGAGAACAGAAAAGCGTCGTCCAAGCGGACATTACAATTGTTACCTGATCGTCCTGATGTTAGCCTCAGTGTCCTGTTGTGGGGAGATATTCATTCGTACCACTGAAGTTTGGATCCAAGAACCGGGTTACCAAGCACGTATATACTTTACTTGCTCGGCTAGATAACCATGACAGGACCACGCGAACATATCTGGGGGAGGCTGTGGAATGCGTGCTCAATGTCGTCGGTCATTGAGCGGGATGATGTCCCAAAGCGCTCGCTCTCCCGCTGTTCTAAATCGGGGCCCCAGTTTCACGCGCCGAGAGGGTGGAGTGAATTTAATACCTATACATTTGCCCTTTCCCGGTAGCGTGTGTATGACGTGATGGGAAGAGTCAGACTTCCAATCACCAAACGTCAAAACTATATTGAGTTTGATTACGATGATTCACCTACCTATTTAGCCTTTCAAAGGATGGGCCCACCGTCCACGACACCGTCGCGTTTAGAAATCAGAACTTCAGGGTCCGGCGGCGCACACCCGGCAGCCATGCGCATGGCGGCGATAGTACGCTGGCACGGAATTATTCCTCTGGTGAGGCTAACTGCGTCCCTACAATTACGTATGCGTAATGAATCTGACTCGGATCCTGCCTCAACCCAAATGGTCCCATGTCGGTGACGTCTCCACAATGGGCCTTTCAAGTTGAAGACACGTCCTCACCGAGTCATATAGCGTGCCATGCCGGCAGTGACGTGCCGTTTCGACTGACAGACGCCTCGCTCAGCACGAAGTATTCAATATACGTAGGAACAAAGTTTGGAGGCGCGAACCCACGTTGATCCCCGATGCAGGGATCCTCTTGGGGTCCTTGGAGTGGTCTGGCGGGACTAGCTGGCGAGATCGTCGGACGGGATGCGACCGAGGTAAAAAAAAAAAAAAAAAATTACGGCCCCAGCAAATCAGCATACCCTGCACAAGTTTAAATCGCAGCGACTTACCAAGTAAGGTACCATTCGATCTCCCCCTATGAAACTCAAAGACCCTGATTAGGCGGCAGAAGCGCGCTGAGGGTGTCGAAGGACGGTCAAATTCTATTCAAGTTTGATACAACGAGGAGTACATGTACTTCGGAGACCGTAGCTGCCGGCTGCCCGAAGGTTTGGTCGCGTGTGCGGGCCCCAGAATGTGGGTGAATGACAGAGTGGCTTGAGCCGCTCGCTCGAAAACATCAAGAACAATTCGATGATTGTTCTGGAAGCACAATTCCAGTGTAGCTAGCGACCATCCCCTGGCCTTCATCCTCGCGTGCGCGCACATTGTCAATGGAATTTACGTGCGTCTATTGTCACCCATTTCCGTCTGCCCATAATTTGCCTGCTATGGCTATACGACACCCATCGCTGCTAAGATATTCCGATACGCAAGCATCCAACTGGCACCAGCTACTCACTATCCGATACTAGCACTGCACCAGAAAGGACTGGATACGAGACGCTGCAGACATCAGCGCAACAATACGTAGTACGTAGTCTAGCAGAGTCAAAGTTCTTGGCTTGAACAGGACAAGCTTCAGGGGGCCCACACCAACAATGCTGTCCTCAACCAGCGTTTGAATAGTCCAACTCCTAATTCGTCTGGTCAGCATTCCTGTTGGATCCGCACATACAATGCTTGCCCCAGCCACTCCCAGACACGTGGCTCTACTGTCGTCACTCTTCCTTGGCTTTGGGGATTCGGACGCTGAGAGTCGCACACGCGTGTAAAGTATGGAATGGACTGCGGAACGTTCAGCCTAAGGTCGGCGGAGGATGACCGCCTGCATCGTACTCTATGTATCCCTTCGGACCATTGAAACTTGAGGCTGAAATCCAGCAGGGGGGTTACAAACTGGAGGCTGTACATGTGAGCAAAATCAGATGCCACAGACACGGGCCTGCGACATGAATTAAGCAACGACCAGCACTAGAGCACAAACTAGATTCCGCACATGCAGCAGAAGCAGACAATGAAAAGGCGGTGAGGCTATTGGGGGTGAGGTGAAAAGAAGTCGGCCAGAATTCTGGCTGTTCATGCTCGCCGGGAATTAAGCTTTGATGGTTGCATCGCCTGTTAACATGGTCTTCGGACTGGAGTCCAGCCCCCGGAACGCGATCTGCGTAGTACATCATGGCTGGTGCTACACCCTGCCCCCACTGCCAGGGCCCCGGCCAGGTGACCGACCTACTGCGACCCCTGCCCCAGTCATTACGTCTTATAAGCGCCTCTTGGCAACTTCAATGCAGTACTGGTACTAGGTATTTGTCATTCATTCTCGCCGTGAGCCATAGCCAGAGCTTGTCCACGCAACGTGAACCATGCCGCAAAAGGTCAAGTCAAGAGATTGTGTGCACACGGTCTCAAATCTCAATCAGAAACACAGCTCCTTTCGGGTGTCTTTTCTTTTTTAGGGGTGGAATTGCGGAGCTACGCAAAGTTTGTTTCGTGCGTCTGCGCGACAAATTCGGCTATGGATATAATATCACTCTTCTTCATGTTTGCCGGCCGTTCTACCCTGTCCCAATGGGGAACCAGCAGGTACTAGGTAAGCATGGTCGGCGATTCTCGCTGCCCAACCAGGTATGGTCGCGCTGTGTCATTTTCATGCGCTGTGGTGGTGCTGTGTCGCGCGAATTATCAATGAGTCCGTCAGGATGATAATACCGTAGATGGGTAGCCGGATCGGGCACGCTGTCCGACAGACGGCGCCGTGCTCCGTGCCCGTTGCGCAACGCCTGCAAATGCTCCTACTGGGATACATGGACGATAATTATCACCGCCAGCGACGACACACCTATACTTGCAGTCGTGCTTACTGAGGTACTCTTCCAAGTAGGTACACGGCGCAATTCTCAACCCGTTCTCAGCCCCAAGGCAGCGTTTCACCACGCTCTGCTGTCCGGGGACTGTTTTAAGTAGCCTACCCTACGGTACGGATACTCACTGTCCGACAAGCGACCGAGCTCCACAATCTTGACGCAGTGCAAAATAGAGTTTAATAGGGTGCATTTGCCAAGACAACAGTCGAGCCGTGACCACCACATGGCCGCTGCTCACACGCGCAGGACTGAATTGCTTTCCCAAACCTGTATGCAGCTCCACGGCTGGACGGCCCATGTGTCAAAAGCGGACGGGAGCCAGCCATGCTCCGTATCAATGACTTGGCAGACTGGCACTGTTGGCATCGCATCGCGATCTGCCTCATCGTGACACGTCCCTGTACGTACTTGTAGCAACCGCACACGAGGTCGGAATCACTTCCGCAGGTGTCTTTCCTGAAAAAGCTGCCATCACCCGGCGGGCTCGACCTGACTCATCAGGGACAATGTGCGGTGCTCTTTTTTTGATGATTTCTCTTCAATACTCATTGCGACTGTCTCGCGGCTCTCGCCGGCCAGCAGTGACCCATCCTTTGGGAGACCACCGACTAGCATCCGACCGGACTCGATCGGCGATATCTCCTCCTCCTTCTGACTAGCGGGTTTGCCAGCTCGGCGCTGGACACCACAAGACGTGCCACAACTTCACAAGTACATCAAAATACCCCCGAAAAGAATACTAACTGTAACCAGAGGGTGCAGGGATTTGTTGATGATTGCAACCTCGCCAGCCGAACCGCGGCATACGCAGGCTAATGTGGTGATGACCTGTAACGAATTACCTTACCTTTCCGGCGAAGGAGGGGTGTGCCGCCTCATTGCAGCAGATCATACTCATTTGGTGAATGAGCAGACCGAGCGAGCACACGACCATAAGCGCCGGCCGACTGACAGGCCCCTAAGCGTTCTACGCGTATCCCTCTCATTCGCCAGCAAAGTCGTCGCATTGAACGGCGGCCCGACGGCGGCTGGTATATGTACTATATATGCGACTAGAGAAAGTGTCTTATACTCGAGGGTGATGCTGACGGCAGATTTTCGGAAAGGATATGCATTGCTTCCTACACTAGCGCAACGGCTGGAGCGGCGGCGCGATAGGTGGATTTGGTATTACATTTTACTCAGACAAACTGTAGTGTACAGCACTCCTTCTACATATTTGTGCGCTGTTTGTGGATTCGTTCATACACAGGCCGTGTAGGATGCGATCGGCGGAGATGCTGACTAGATGGGGCAACAGGAGGCTGTTTCGGCCGACCGACGGCTGTCGAATCTGCAACGGCCGCAGTGTCACTGACACGCATCGAACTAGGGCAACAGAAGGCGTTCACGCAGATTTGTTGCCCTTCCGCATGGGTTTGCCAATATTCCAACCCCATGATCGAAGCGTCTTGACCACCTTGGGCGTGATGGCCGCTGTCAGCGGAATGCGCACAAAGAAAAAGCTCTTGTGGATGGCGTAGGCCAGTGCCATCTGCGTCCCTAGACCTACACCGTGTCAGTCAGTCGGCCCGCTCGTGAAATCAACGTCCGTTAGGGCAAAGGGGGGGGTGATGGACGCACTCGCTGCTTCATCATGTCTCTCCTGCGCTTCCTCGACACCCCAACCGACCATCTCGGCCTTTTCGGTGGTCTCTTTGCTCCATAGCCGCTTCATGGTGACCTTGGCGGACTCCCAGTACCCGCGGATCGCTATGCGTACCGGCTCGGGGATAACGCTGGTGATGACTCCGACTACGAAATGCTCGACCCTGGCTGCATTTGGCGGTTAGCTCGGTCACATCGTCTTTCCATCCGTGGCCCAAGGCAGCCCATGGCATACGTACCGACGCGCTCCGTACCAACCGCTTTCACGAGAAGGAAGAAAAAGGGATAGTCAAGGATAGACAGCCCAAAGTATACCGCGACTGCTGCCTTGCCGTATTCCCTCGACAGCTTCTTGAATTTTGCAGACATGGACATGTTCTCAACCTTGCCGTCTCCTGTGTTACGCCGCCACGGCGAGAAGCGGAAGCCTCGCCTTGCCTGGGAATGGAAGGCTGTTCTTCCTGCCGACGGCAACGGGCGCGTCTTCCCTAGCCGAGACGCAGACGACAAGGTCGAAGTTGTCAAGCCTCGCGACGATTGAGCAGACAGGTTCCTCGCCTGGCCTATCCACAGCTGACGCAGCGTATCCTCCCACATCCTCGCCTGCGTCGCTGGGCTAGCTCTCCTCAGTGAGCGAGGCAGCGCTCCCATCCAAGCCTTGAACATTGTGACGGCCGAAGTTTGATCGCTGTGGGGGACGACGGCAGCGGCGGATGAAGTGTCGAAATTGTTGAATCTGTTGCTTCGCTTGGCGTACTACCTAGGTTTGCCCCAGGGTCTGGTTCCCTCTTCAACGATTGCGACGCGGCTGGAGTCTGGAGATAGCGGATTTTCGGGGTCGGCAAACCGGATTGCGTGGCGGCTTAGGCCGTGGTCACGAGATGTTGCAGCAAAACACACTCTCCCGGCACGAGCTTGGGTCCGTATGTTGACAAATTCGTATGATCCTCCGTATGCGTATGCGTACCGTGGCCAGAGCATTCCTCGAGTGAAATGGCGCCCCCTCTGTTCTCAGCGAAGCCGGGAAAAAAGCGTGATGTCAAAATTTCCGAATGCCGTGGTGGCGCGACATTGCAGGCAAGGGCCCGGGTCTCTAAGAGTGGGTCTCGGGGACGACCGTGTCCAATCACGACTGGGCGTTGTTGGCCCAGCGGTTTGGTCGTGACAACCTCACCTCAGGGGTTGTCTTTGTTTTCCTTCCCGTGGACTGCTGTCCTCAGGTAACACTACCTAATATCAAGAAGACTGCGACAGTTTCCCTGCTACTCATGCAATATTGTTCGCGCGGCTAGCAATCGCGCTCTTTGATCTGTCATTCTGTCATTGATATGACTGCCAACACCATGACCATATTGTGACTCAACAAACGACACCTCGCATCTTCAACTGGAGCATGTGTTCTCGGAATGACTTGATCGCAAACGGATAGTTTGTCTGGGGCAATTCGTAGAAGCTGATTCAGGACAGGAGTAGCAGCGAAGTACTTGCACCATCGTGACAAGGCTTGGTGAATGCCACCGACCTGTTCGAATGCTTTCTGGCCGCCACTACCATAGCTCTGAATGACCTCAGATTCCAGCGAAGCTGCCCTCAAACGAGTCCCACAATTTCCCTTGATCTCATGATCCCAAATATCAATGATTACAGGTACAATTACAACTCGGGATGATGAATTGTCCGCCTGACTCGTTCCTTCCCAATAGCAATGGTACATTGCCGGCATTCACTCCATCAAGGTGCCTTCAATTGTGAGAGGTGAATGGCTGCAAGAGCACACAGAGGTAACCGGGCTAAAGTGGCAGACTTCAACCTCTAACAACTGAGCTTCGCCTGATCTCAAGTTGGCCGGCATCGGCCAGTTCCCTCTCCTCGTCTTTGGTGCCATACGCAACAAGCTACTTGATTTTCAGAAACTCGACCGATACCGCTTTCTTTTGATCACCTGGTTTTCGCCCGGCTCTGCCACGTGGGTCTCAACGATTGTGCTTCACATCACGAAGATCACATCTACATCCCATGGATGCGGCCTCGCGCTCTCTATCGTCTGCGCCGTCTTCATGACAGGTCGGCATCGCTCATTTTGCCGGCATCTTTCTTCACCTACACGACACTCTTTTTAGCAACGTGATTATTGCTCCCTGCCGAAACAACTTTGCCATGCTCAAGAATACCATCTTCCGAGATGATGCCTCGCACAGGCCCTCAAAACGAACGTCTGAAACGCAGGATCGATCCAAGGGTGCTTCAAAGTATTTGAGACCGGATTTTCGCCGCGCACTCAGCACCCGGCTACGACTAGCTGGAACTCCGGAAACGAAGAGGGATAGCAGCCGCGGTCGAGTGCCGCCCTCTCCAGCAATCGATCCTTTTCGCATGCATCCGATCAACATGAAGCCATCGCATTTCTTACAATCGACTGCCATTTCTCGCAACAGTGTTGAGGCTATTGCTTCCCGCAGCCAGGGTGTTGAGAATATCGACGACAAAGTCAGCGCCATGTTAGCAGCCGCCCATGTACTGAGGCCAGCCACGGAAGTAGGCCCCTCGCAAGGATTCAAAGTGTCTCGCATCGTCGAAGGGGTATCGCACGCCATGAAGGTCGGAGCGAGATCTACCGAGGCCGGTAGGAATGGTGAGTGATCCAACCTCAACTTGCTCCCTTGTTTCTTACACCTGTACAGTCTCCCTAGATCAACACCTCGCCGCGTCACTCACGAAGCCGATCGAAAAAATGCATCTTGGTTATAAGGGAAATGCCCGCCGCGAAAGGGTTCAGCGTATCGGAGGGGGTAAAAGCAATGTGGCGTTCGCGCCGATACTTATTGACCCATTCTCCACAGAGGAGGGATTTGAGGATGATCTTGATTGCGGTGTTCTTTTCACACCTCCTGAGGGCTGCTCAACACCGCGCCTCTTTGGCCGTGGCAGACCTCCACGCAGGTCGAGACACTCAGAGGACAGCGACGACGTTTTTTCACTTTTCCTCCAATCGAGCATGGACCGCAGCGAGATGGGCTAGAAGCCAGACTCTCCTCAGGTCGAGGGCAACGGAAAGCGTGGGAAGCTGCCTGCAAATACACGTCATCCCGCAGGCGACGACACTCCTAATGATTTCAAACGAGTGAAGAAACATCCATCCCCCGACAAGCTGTTCCTGAAGAGCCTCGAACTAGCGCTCGAGAAATACAACAAGATGAAGGTGGATGGCGCGGCTGAGGACGACCTGGACGAGCTGGCCAGCAACTTCAACTCGCCTACTCGACCACTGGCCGTACGAGACAGCAATCGCATTTTGCATTCGGAGGCTATACCAAGCAAACAATCACGCAATGAAGGCAAGCAAGATCTTCCTAGGAAGCCACATCGGATGCGCCAGCCACACGAACATGACAATTTGCAATATGAAAAAAGACCAATCTGCCTATTCCGACCAAAAGATGCTCAGGCAGATGAGATGGACGAGCTATTCTGAATTTCATTTCTCGGGCGTTCTTCCAACTGCGACTCACGGTACCCTTTAGCCCCATCACACTTTCACTGAACAGAACATGGCATGGCAGGTGGATGAAGACGATGGAATAATCATAATTAATTCGCTATATGGTACAAACGAATCGGAAATTACCCAAAGAAGTATCGACGCAACGAAAACAAGACGCGCGGGTATCTGAACAAGGTGGTAATGGGTATATAAGTCCAGCGCAGAACAACAGCATCATCCATAAAGTCATGTATGTGGTCTTTCGTCCTCATGGATCGTCCATCCGGCAGCGCTATGCATGTGACGCGCGCCTTAGATGAAGCGGCGACGACGGGCGCCGCGGCCGTCCGTACCGTGCATGCGGCGGGTACCAGCAGCCTTCTGGCCGGGACGGTGGGTGAGGCTGCCCTTGAGCTTGAGCATGGCACCACTGATCTTGTCCTTCATGGTAGTGTGACGCTTGTGGTGGGTGACGGGCGCACCACCGCCAATGTGGTTGTGGTGGTGATGGTGGTGGTGGTGGACCTCAGTCTTGCGGGCGTGGTGGCGGGTGGAGGTTGTGGTGGGCGTCGCAGCGCGGCGACGGCGGGAGAAGAGGCCGCGGCGACGGGTGGTAGTCGCGGGGGCGGTAGTGGGAGCGACACGACGACGGCGGGTGGTGAAAGGCATGATGGTATTTGTTGTTGTCTTCCCAAGTGGGTGTTTGTCAAGTGTTGTTGTTTGGTGGTAGTTGAAGTCTTTTCTAAGACTCGTGCTCTGCAAGGTAGGTGTAAAAGTGTGTTGATTTGTGATACTGGATTAGAGAGACAAGCTTTTTATCTCGGAGGGAGACGGTCTACATATACTGTTCTACGGTCCTGCTTCCAGGCTCGAAACCTGGAGTAGGAGACCTGATGACGAGGCCAGGCTGTGTTTGGTATGATGCCATTGCGGCTACAGGTTGTCAAGGCTGTCAAGGGTCCAAGGGTCCAATCTCAGGTAATGGCAGCTGCCGATCATTCAAAGACATGCAGTTCATGATGCTGCGCGTGTCACGCGCTGCGCAATGCTTCCCAGTGTGGCAGCGGAGGATGGGCGTCGTTGGGAAGCAAAACTTGGAAAAAGGGGTTCAAGGGTCCAGCCGTCAGACGTCATAGGCCAGGGTCAGGGTAGCGGGAGTTGACAGGCATGGCGAACGAATCGGGACTAGCGCGGAGTTCAGCAGCGGGGCGGACAGGAATATCGATCATCCGGCCACACTGAGGCTCGCGATCGGTGATGTCATCGTAGAACCACGGTCAAACTTCTCGTGATAATGATCACCGCGAATGACAGCCATGACGGAAATAGAAACGCGTTATCCAAGGCGGAGGCGTTGCGGCTGATCCTTCCAAGCCACTCGAAGGTGCACGCTGCTCGTCTCAAAGACCCAAGCAAGTTCCGGAATGAATTGTCTGGTAAGCGCTGCGCTGACCGGCCAATGTCGCTGCTTGCTCCTATGTCGAAGCTGCCGTGTCGTCACCACAGATGTGTCAGCGAGACGTTGACTCCTCTCCCCGAACGTAGGAGACTTGTTGTACAGAAAAGAGCCCAACGGGCTTCAGTCCATCAAGCCATCTCACTCCCACCAAGGGTCCAAGTCACGAAGCTGCCGCACAATTTTGGCAAACTCACCTGATCAAGTAGAGCATCAGTTTGCCAAACCGTCTGTCGCCTCAGGAGCGTCTGCCTCAATGGCAAAGTGACCAATTTGGTGGTTGACTGACGTGAACCGTAGTTGAAGTACTCTGAAGCTCTGAGCGTGTTCAGACGTACGTCGCATCTTCCAGCTGCCACCTAAGCACGAGGATGAGTAACAAAATACCAGCTCAGATTGCCGCTCGTTGTTTCCTAATGAACCAATCCTTTTAACATGGATCCGAGTCTTCGAATGCGCGTGTTAGCAAATTGCGAGGTCGGTCTTCCAACAGCCTTCCATTCAGTCTTGGCGTTTAGATGCCCGGAGTGTCACGTCCGACGACAACAACGCTCAACGCAGCACTCATTGGGCGTTCAAGTCATCTCGAACCACATTACCGAAAGCTAATTGAAAAATGGAACAGTTGTTGCCCTTGCCGATGCCATTTCGGTGGGTTTGCTGAGTGAGGTGCTCTTGCTCATCGACTGGATCGAACAACTGCAGCATTATGAGATCATAGGGCCTCCATCGCGATCTCAAGGTAATTAAGGCACAAAACCCTTTGCTGGCCATTTGATCTCTGCTCAACTCATACCTTCGCCTTCAACACACTGAGCTACTGATTCTCACATTTCTCAAACCACTCACCAAACACCACACAACCACACACTCTCTCAACATGTCTGGCCAGCTCCCCGACAAGGACATCATCCAGGACCGTGCTGTCCACGGCCTCCCCGTCACCAACGACGAGGTTTCCCACATAGCCTCTGCCGAGTCCGAGCTCACCGGCACTGGCCCCATCAAGGGCGGCAAAGCAGCCACCGCCCAAAGCGTGCACGACAAGCAGCAGAACTTCCTCGAAAAGGCGGGCGATGTTGCTCGCAAGCCGGCGGAGCAGATCACCAAGGAGGATGCCGCCGAGGTGCAGAAGGCCGAGGTGAGTTGACATGTTGATGATTGACAAGACACAAGCTCACAAGGAACAGGCCCGGCTGATCGGAGGCCAGCCTGAGAAGGGCTCCATGTCGGCCAACCTGCAGTCCGCTGCCGACAAGAACCAGCAGTGAGAGAGGAAGAACATTAGAGGAGGAGCTTTTTGGGACGAATCATGATACGGATGCATAGCGCTGCTTACAACTCTAAATTCAATCTCATTGCTGACACACTCTCCTACGATCGTAGGTTCTTCTTGATTGTCTCCAGGTCCTCTGCAGAGAACCCAAGGCCCTTGGTAACATAGCCATCCCAGCTTCCATACTCCTTTTGCAGAGCTGTCTGGAACGCTACCCAATACTCTGCGCGCAAGTCGACAAGGTTCGCGAAACCTGGTGTTTCAATGTCGTCGATACCCAAGCTCATCAAGGCGAAATTGACCAGCTTATCGCGTACAGGCTCCGTGCCCAGCCGCGAGATGAGATAGTCGTAAACGATGTCGTCCTGCGCAGTGCCAGCCAGCTGGTTCAACAGACCAGCCACAAGGCCCGTTCTATCACGGCCAGCTAGCTATGTTAGCAAATCGATGGCCGGACCTCGATCAACATCGCCTTACCAGTGCAGTGAAACAGGAATGGTTCCAGAGGATGATCTCGTACGTGCCACAGAAGCTCGCGTATCACAGGTTTGTAGCTGGACGCAACAGTCATGAGCTGGTCCGCCCACGCCTCGGACCCATCCGCGGCGGCAAAGGCAGCCAGATCAGGGGCTGGATACTTTCCTTCGGTCTCGTACCAGACATTCTCCACGCCTTCCAGCTCGGGATCCGGCGCCGCTTCCCTCTCAGGGCCCCTCCTCAGGTCAAAAATCTTCTTGACATTGGCCTGCAGCCAGGCGAGGGCCTCGGAGTCTTGCGCGGCTTGCGCGAGGGCACCCGTGCGGAAGATACGTCCCGCAGGGATGGCGGAGCCGGGCACCGCGCCGACGTCTCGAAGGTTGAAGAGAGATTTGGAGGGGATGAAGGGAGGGCTTGTGATCAGTGGAAGGAGAGTCTCCTGGGGAATTGCACTGCGGACGTCGCTGGTGGCGAGCGCGAGGATCTCCTCACGGGATGGTGCCATTGTGAGGACTAGAAGTGGGTGCCTCAATGGGACGAGAGGAAGAATACGTAGGTTTCGGACAATTGAGACTATATACACAAAGGAGCCAGTATTTACATGGGGCAAGGGGTCGGGCAGCTACCTCGGTCCCAGATTCTCACTAGCTGTGCTGTACCGCTTTTCTGCGTTATCGGCCCACAGCATCGGTACCACTGTATCACGATTCACGTTTAGCCCTCGTCCCTTGGCGTTGACTTTCCGATAACCTGACTCTCACATTTTTCTACCTCAATACCATCTGCTTGACTTCGTATCACAGTCAGGGAGCCGTCGCGTAGGGCCATGATATTTCTAAGATGGGGCTGGGCCGCCTCTGTCCTCGCCCTCACCGCCTGCCAGACATACGCCCAAGAGGCCGGCACAGAAGACGCTGTCTACGCATACGATAACGTGCTGCCTCATATCGAATACCCATGGGAGGCACAGGAAAGCACTGGCCAGGCCGCACAGCCACACTGCTACAGAAAAGTCTACACCCTGGACCCTGATCTTGGTGAGGCCGAGTGCTTCACTGTTGATCCATATACTGGGATTTTCCTCGATGTGGGCTCGCAGGGTGCGCGCTTCGACCACATACAGAAAGTCAATGCTGTTGCCGTGCCGGGTTTGTGGGATGGTCATGGTCACCTCGCGCAGTATGGCGAGTTCCTACACACAGTGGACCTGTTTGATGTCGACTCGCCGCAGGACCTCCGAGACAGAGTAAAGAAGTACGTCCGAGAACACGGGAGCAAGATTGGCACGGCGGAGAAATGGATCAGGGGCGTTGGCTGGGACCAGGGAGTCATTGGGCGTATGCCCACGGCTGTAAGTCGGCATTATGTTTCTCGTGTGGCTCTTGTGACCTGGCACTGATGGTGTGAAGGACGACTTTGAGCAAGATCCTGAGCTGCAGGGCCTCTACATCATGCTCGACCGCTCAGACGTCCACTGCGCCCTCGTTTCAAACGCTGTGCTCAACCTCCTGCCCCCTGACCTACCCGATGAGATCGAGGGTGGCCTCATCGTCACCGACCCCGGTCGGGGCGTCTTCTGCGACAAGGCCATGGACATCATCACGCCTCTCCGCCCAAAGCCCACACGAACAGACCTGGTTGCAGAGGTAAAGACCGCCATCCAGTCCCTTCACAAGGTAGGCATCGTGGGCATGCACGACGCAGGGGCCCGCCCCAACACCATCCAGCTCTACGAAGAGTTGGCATCATCAGACCCAGACTGGACGCTCAAAGTGTACGCCATGATTGAGTGCGTGGAGCGCAACACGTTCTGCGCGGAGCAGGTGCCCCAGTTCACGAGACCGGACGGGAAACTCAGCGTCCGTTCCGTTAAGCTCTTTGCCGATGGCGCCCTCGGCTCATGGGGCAGCGCCATGCTCGAGCCCTACACCGACAGCCCCAACACCAACGGCAGTCTGCTCCTCTCGCCCGAGGACCTCCGAGACGTCGCTCTCCAATGGGCGCAGGCTGGCTACCAGGTCAACATCCACGCCATCGGCGATTATGCCAATCGCCTCGCCATTGACGCCCTGGAGAATGCCCTCCGACACACCTGTCCTGACACGGAGACGACGGCGCAGCTGCGAGAGTGTCAGATGAGCCTGAAGCGCCATCGCATCGAGCACGCTCAGATCATACACCCAGATGACCAGGTTCGCATGAGAAACCTGGGCATCATCCCGTCGCTGCAGCCTTCCCACGCTGTAGCCGACGCTCCCATTGCCGAGGAGCGCCTCGGAAAGGAGCGTTACGAGAAATACGGCTACCGTCATGGTTCTCTCCGCGCAAACCTCCCCATCATCGGCTCGGATTTCCCCGTGACACCTCCCAGTCCGTTGCGTGATATCCTCGCGGCGGCAAGCTACAACCGCGACCACAACGATGCGGACGGCGAGCGACCGTTTAAGAGGGAGGCGGTGACACAGATGCAAGCACTGGCCGGAATCACGGTGCATCCCGCGACTGGCTCGTTCCTAGAGCACAAGGCGGGCCGGATCCGACCCGGAAATTGGGGTGACTGGGTGGTCATCGACAAGAATGCCTTCAACCAGGAGCTCATTGACGATCCAGATGCGGTCATGGATCAGTTTGATGATAGACATATCCTCGAGACGTGGGTCAATGGCAAGATGGTATATCAGCGGCCCAACGCAGAAGCCGTTGTGCAGGAAGACCGAAAGGCGCCAGAGGCATCCGTCTCGGGGGTATGAGCAAGGGCGAGATATCGTTTTGCAGTGTCATGTAATCACTGTATGGTATTAGCCCCCCTCTAGCAGATAGAGAAGTGCCAGCCACCCCAAACACCTCCTTGTTCTAATGCAAATTACTATCCAAGGCCGTTCATCGTATATGGGGAGCAAGTGCCGTCGAAGAGTTCGACAATAACATATAGCCCCTGAACCTCAAGCAAACTCCAGAGAAACCCCTCTTCCGCTCATTAATTATCATCATCTTCAGCCCGACTTGTCCGCCAGCTTGCTTTCCAACCACTTTGCAAAGCGAACTGTCGGAATGTCGACGAGACGCCAAAAGATGTCCGCGCACCAAATGACCGTGGGTACGCACAAAGATGCCCCCAAGGCAAAGCCAACGTTGTACCAATTTCCATAGGTGCCCGTCCAACCATACACCCACGCCTCCCAGCGATAGCCGATCACATGCATGGCCGGCCCGTGGACGAGGTAGATGGCGTAGGAGATCTTGCCAAAGTACTGCACGACGGCCGTGTTGAATAACTTCTGCCACGGAGGTAGCTGAGACACGGCTAGGATGAAGAGGACGGCACCGGCGCTCTGCCAGTATCGGTACTTGTCCGCTCCCCACCACTCAGGGATCTGTGCTGTCATCCATATCCATCCTGGGGTAATCTCACCCCGCGAGTCGGGCTGGCAAAGCAGATACAGACTGAGTATCCCTAAGGCAGACCAGATGGCAGTCTTGATTTCGGGGTACGTTTTGACTGGCTGTCGTTCCTCCTGCGGCAGAAGAGGTACTTGGCCATGCGCCCCTCGGATCAGATCAACTTCGGCAATAAGCATACCGCACAAAAAGAGCACCAATTCCCATCTCGAATTCCGGTACGTATACCACGTTACGGTCAGCACTGTGGCGAAGCGGTAGAGGGTCCGTAACTGGCTCGTGGCAAAGATGACCAGGAATAGGAACATGGAGCAGCGATACTCGACCGAAATCGTCCACAGGTGAACATCATAGCCTGTGGAAAAAGGGGGTCAGCCGCAGCAAGAAAAGATCCGAGTTCATGAAACCGACCTGTGCTCCCACCATGGGCCGTCCAATCCCAGACGTGGATGAATTGGAACATGTTCCATGCCCAATCCCAAAACTGCTCATACGCACTGGCCCACCGCTCGGGATGAGGCTCAAGGACGTTCTTGTTGTAGTACGAACTCGAGGCAAAGTCGTGCGTTGCATCGTACGCCCCTGCTTGTACCAGCAGAAGAACCATGAATGTCGATATTATGGGCGGTATGAAGAGGCGAAACCAGCGCCGAAAGGTCAGCGAGCCCATTGTACTCGCCAAGCCAGACATGTCGTGGCTTCGAATGAGCTTCAGGGGTCGATAGGAGAGCGCATAGCCACTGATGACGAAGAACACGCACACAGCTGCCGGGCCTTGATACCAGAGGCGGAGAAAGGGCAGCTTGAGAAGGTTGTAGTTTGTCACATCGCAGCCCCAGCCCTCGGCGACGGTGAAGGCCTGGTACGAGTAGTGGCAGAAGTAGACAAAGAGCGCCGCGAGACCGCGGATGCCGTCGAGATATGCTGTCGGGTGCAGCTTGGCGGTTCGGAATTGCTCGCGGGCGTGTCGCCCCTGGAGGAAGATTGGGAGAAGAGAGACAGCAAGGCGGACGAGGATCAGTCGCCAGTGAATAGAGCGGAGGTAGGCCAAGGGTGCTGTAGTGGCAGGGAGACCCCATCGGGGTGTTTTTAGGTCAGTCTCGACATCGACGGAACCACCAGTTTCGCTGTCCGTGTCCGACATGGACTTTTCCGCCAAGAGACCCATGTTCTCTTCGAAAGAGTAGGATGACCGCTCGCTGGTATGGCCATCCATGCTGGGCGATAGAGTGGGTGATAGTTCGCTGTGCTGAACTGGACTAATAGCAGTCACAACTGGCTGTGATATCTACGGCCGGGCAGATTGATCGGGCAGGGCAGCTGCTTTGAAGGAGAGATGCACCATGTGAGTACAATGGCCCCTGAGGCCGCGCGTACGGCAATGACGTGAAGAGTGGAAGAGCAGTAGCAGACAGCCACACGAGGCAGCAAGGAATGCTGAAGCAAGAGGAGCGTAAAACAGATGGAGGTAGGGTAAGACTTTGGACGGGTAAGGCAGTGTGAACAGCAGAGGTAAGAGGAAACGCAGTCTCTGAACCTGCGAGGCCTCGTGAGCTGTGCTATATCGATCTCGTCTGTCAGGGCTCGACTATTTCTGACCTCGCCATACATCCCCCGTTAAAGTGTATATCAGTACTCCTGTTGGGTCTGCCTGTGTGTTCTCCCAAGGTGCCCGAGAGCATGAGGCCCTTGGACCCGGGAGGTAGGTAGAGATGAGACTGGTGCTTGATGTCTCAGGGGTTCACCGGTAGTTACCTGGGCAAAGATGGCTTCCATCTGCTAGACCCGGAATACTGATTCGTGTACATGGAAGCTTGCCTCCCCTTCTTCCCTCCGACTCTCTACCTGGAGTCCAAGTGGTCAACCTGGCATCATGGTAGGTACAGCGATGCCACCGAGGTCTCTTCCCTTTCGAGCTCGATTTTCCTTTTCCCGCCGGGAGAATGTGCAACTCATCATGGGCCAAGAACCGATCGGCAATGAGCATCTCACCTCTTGGCGACGCGACTAGGAATGATACCATCGCCGGCCGAGCAGGCAATGCCATGCTTTCACAAAAGCCCAGCCCAGCGTTGCCATGGGTGTGCAGAAACCCTGCTCAAGTAATCGCGATCTTCAATTCTCTCACCTTTGGATGAGGAATGCGGTTGCTGCCGTAGGAGATTCAAGGCGAGACATATGACGACTGGTGCAGTCTCACATGGCAAATACAGCCACCCAGGTGCGGTCTCTGGTCGAGAAAACCGTCCTGCAAATTCTTCAAAAAGATCGGCGGTTCCTTGGCATGGAACTTCGCTTTGAGGACGCAAGATCTGCATTGTCAGAAGCCCCTGAATCTCCCCTGCATACCTTGCCGACAGTTGCGCATAGTGAAAATGCATCGCAAAATGGTGCACTCGGGAAAAGTCCGATTCAATCGAGACGATCATGTCTTTCCCAGTGACCAATTGCCATTTAATGGCTAGACCTGCCGGAAAAGGTGCCGCGTTATAGTGACCGTTGCAGTCGCTGCTCAGACGTGAAATGTGCTGATTGTATTGCATTGCATTGTAAACGACTCGATTTAGACGATATCATGATGAAGACCAACACCGTTTTTCTATCGCAAATGAGTGGCGTGTAAAATCCAAAGACGTGCTTCGTAACCCGCATCAATCGTGCTGGACCCTTTCCTTTCCTACCCAGTGACACCAAACGCCGTTCCATGCTTCCAAATTTTCATAACGTGCAACCCTGTCTCAGTGCTCGAGCCAGTCCAAGAACTGAGGGGTAAAGTAGCTGACGACAATCGTCGCGCCAGCACGCAGGATGCCCTCCGTCGACTCGAACGCCATCGTCTTCAGGTCAAAGACGCCCGCCTTGGCACCCGCGTGGATCATGGCAAACTCGCCGCTGACCTGGTACGCCGCAACAGGCAGATCCTTGCCGAGGTCCTTGGCATCACTGATGATATCGAGATACTGGCTCGCTGGCTTGACCATGATGATGTCGGCACCCTCGCCAATGTCACGGGTAATGGCACGGCGGGCGAGGCCGCGACCACCGGGGGGCAGCTGGTAGCACTTGCGGTCGCCGAACGAGGGCACGGAGCCCGCCGCGTCGCGGAAGGGACCGTAGAGACATCCGGAGAACTTGGCCGAGTACGACATGAGGACGGTCTTGTGCGCAATGCCCTCCTCGATCAACTTGAGCTTGATGGCGCGGATGCGTCCGTCGTTCATGTCGGAGGGGGCAACGCAGTGTGCGCCGGCCTTGGCGTAGGCCACTGCCACGTCGGAGATGCGGTCGACGGAGAGCTGGTTGTTCAGGCTGCCGTCGTCGCGCAGGATGCCGCAGTGGCCGTGGGAGGTGTACTCGCAGAGGCAGACGTCGGTGCAGATGAAGATCTGGGGGAAGCGACGGCGGATGAGGCGGATGGCGCGGACGACGGGGCCCTCGGGGTCGTCGGCGGCGCTGCCCAGGGCATCCTTGGTGCCGGGCTTCATGGGCACGCCAAAGAGCATGACGGAACGGAGGCCCTTGCGGACGAGGGGCTCGAGGAAGGGCACGAGCTTGTTGACGCTGAGCTGGTGCTGGCCGGGGAGGGAGGGGACGAGGATCATGTCGTCGTCGCCATCGGTGATGAAGAGGGGGTAGATGAGCATGGACTGGTCAGGTTAGCCGTTGCAGCTCGCGACTACTGCTGTGTCTCCCCGTACCTTGGTGAGCTGGCGCTCGGCTTGCCACGAGCGAGCCAGAGGATGGAAGTAGCCACCGTGGAGCTGGCTGGAGATGTCGCCCGATATGCTCACGCTCGTGGCCGAGGTGCTGGCGTAGGACATGGCGCGTGAGATGTGCGATGTGCGATCGTCGACGGTAGAGGCGACTGAAGGAGCACCAGGACGGCGGGGGGCGGGTCCATTACCACCACCGTCGCGGTCGCGGAGGCTCAGGTCTTGGACGAGGCTGGAGAATGACATGTTGGATGGTAGCGAGGGAGATCGAAATGGCTGGAGCGAAGATGGCGGTCTGCCAGTCTAGGTGTAGTTTGAGTGGCGGGAGGGGGGGGGGCTTGTTCTGAGACACCAAAGTCGGACCCGTCGGTTTCGAATGACGGTGTCGGTATTCGAGTGGATGCAGGCAAAAGGAAAGGAAGATGAAGCAAGCGACGGCCGGGGGCGCAATGCGTGGAGGATGGAAGATGGAGGATGGAGGATGGGAATTCCCGTCTGTCGAGAGAAAAAGTTAATTGTGCCACCACCACCACCACCACCACCAACGAAGGAAGGCCAGTCGGCGTCGGTCGGCTTCGCCATGCCTCGGACCCTTTTGTTCGATTCATCAATTCTTGGAGCGGCTTCGGAGTCAACCGCGCCGCATGTTGCCCGACTTCTTTTATTATCCAATCAAATCCACCGATTTGGTCATTGTTGCATATCCTCACCACCTTCGTGTTGGGGTACTTTTCTGTCAATTGAAGTTGGTATCCCAAGCTGTCTTGGCTACTACCTATTAGTAGGCAATATACTTATTACGGGTGGTGCAAATATCGGGCAATACTGATTGCCTGTGAGTATCACTTTACCTGAAGTCCGCACTGGGCTGTAGAGAGACCTGCACCTTAGCATGGTCCTGTCGACAAGGTCATCGCGTCGCCATACTTGACAACAGAGAGCGCGTACATGTACATTGATCTATGCCCTGATACAAACGCAACCATGCCGTTCACTGCTACAATCTATACCCCCCAGTCCCTCAAACGCCCCGGAGCACCGTGTTGTCCCTCTCGCTCAGTGGAATGTACCTCTCACTCAGCGCCTCCGAGACCGTCTTGTTCACCTTGGCTTCTGGCCGCAAGTACCGCTCGTGCAGCGCCTTCTCCACGGCCGTGGTCCCAGGCACGATCTTTCCATCCACTGTAGGCTCAATCTTATCCTCAGCGGCACCAACGGCTGCCTTTGCCTTGTCAGCCAGCTCCATGGCCTTGTCCTTGCCGCTCTCCCACGCCGATGCCAGTGCGCCCCTGGCCTCGACAGCCTTGTCCTCGGCCGCCCACTCGACCTTGGTCGCCGTCTTGTCAAACTTGAGTCGCGCCTCGAGCGCCTTGTTCTCCGCCGCTTCCTCCACGCTCAGCCCCTTGGCCTTGGCATTGCTGTACGCCGCTCGCGCCGCATCGGCCACGCCACCCGTGACATCGGCCGTCTTGACCTTGGCCGTCTCCTTGACCCGTTCGACCTCCTCAGCCGGCGTCTCCCCCGTCACCTTGGTCCATAACCTCGCAGACTCCTTCTCGATGCGCTCCCTCACACCGTCCCAGTCTGTGTTCTGTGCCCAGTGCACTGCGTTCTCAATCTCGTGGTTCCAGCGGTCCTTGGCGACCTCGACCGTATGCGCGCGCTGCTCCGCGGCCACCTCTGACCTCGTCGGCGGCAGCGGTTGGGGGATCGGGTCCACGAGAGACTGGAGGGCCAACGCTTGCGCGCGGAGGGCGGCACCCTGCTGTTCGCGGTTGCGCTGGTGCGTCAGGACGGAGAGGTAGGCCACCGAAAGGGTGAGGGCGACACCGCCGGTCTGCGTGCATATTAGCTACTTTGGCTTGTCCCGATATCCTGGGCGCATCATGGTCACACTTACAAAACCCGTGGTGAAGCCCATGGTGACCGAAAAGTTGGCAGGGAGCGATGCGATGAGGTAATTGTGTGCGGTTCGACCCGGTCTGGGGAAGATTCCAACTCGCTCGCGATCGAAATACTATTTTTCAGTATTCCGGTTCGTTTCAGCTCCCAATTGGCCTGCTGAGTCTGCGCCTGGGGGTTGTAGCGACGGTACAAAAGTTGGGCGGTTGTTCACGGATTGACGTGGCAAGCTTTCGGTACACGAAAAGTTCCGGAAGCTCTGGCCGTTGGCCTACCCGGTACCATACCACACGCCGCCTACGTTGTCCAAGTGAGCAGTACGTGGATTGGCTTGACAGTCAATCCACATCGAAATAAACCTATCCCATATGATAATTGGGGTTTCTGAACTAGTATATACTGGGAGGTTATCTTGGACTGAACATCAGAATGCCAACGATTGCATATCTGTTAGGGATCAAGACTGGACACGACCGTCAAGATGATGAGCGGGAGATGCTACAGGGTATGTAGGATGACACGCTAGTCCAAATACGTACTAGTGGAGCTCGTCGCGAACAAATTCAACCTCTACAATAGTCCACGACCCCTTCATCACGAAACCCGCATCCCTCCCCATCCTCCGATCGAAGAATCCGCCGGACCATTCAGCACAATGGCGGGTGGCACAGTAAAATACAGACACCTCAGTCGAAACTCGTCCGCGCGACAAGCCCTGCTGCGCGGTCTCGTCACCCAGCTCGTCCACCATGAGCACCTCCAGACTACATACGCCAAGGCCAAGGAGGCCCAGCGCGTGGCCGAGAAGCTCATCACCTTGAGCAAGAAGGACAACTCGACGAGCCGGAAATCCGTCGAGGCCATGCTCTACGTGCGTACCCAAGGAGATAGACGAATACTAGCGGGCAGGTCTGACGAAGAACAGGAACCACACTCACACATGTCCAAAGTCTTCGGCGAGCTACGAAACCGCTATCTCACCCGCGAAGGAGGCTACACCCGCGTCGTGCGCACCGAGCCGATCAAGAAGAAGGACGACCAAGCCGAGGCGGCCATTCTCGAATTCGTCGACGGACCCAAAGACTCGCGCTTCATGATGACGGCCAAGACCGTCGCGCGCGACCGTCTCCTCCGCCGCGCCCCGACGTCCGTCACCGCCATCAACGTGAAAAAGGTCACCCAGTTCCGCGGCACGCAGCCCTTTGAGGACATGGTGCAGCGCTTCCTGCAGCGGCACAACGAGGGCAAGACCAGCCTCGTCGACAAGATCCTGCACCAGACACAGTCCGCCAACCGGTCCGTGTCGCCCAGGCCGCCCGCCTTCAAGATCCCGGATACACAGGAGTACGTCTCACGGGCGACGTTGCGGGCGCAGAAGCCTGTCACGCCCCTCGACGGCGAAGGGACGAACTTGGAGGCCGAGGGCGCGCAGGTGGCTGCTGAGGAGAAGCGGAGAACGGCGGCGTGGGCGGAGCAGATTGTGCCCAAATCATTCAGGAAAGGCAAGGGGTCCATGGCGTGAGCATGCGGGGAGAAGGAATGTATCAATAGATGTAAGGGCGAGTTAATGGCCCCATGTACAAAATTATGTACCCGATACAACGAGCTAGTCTTTGGATGTCAGGACAGGCCTATGCAATCGCAGTTGTACATGTCAAAGCAATATGAAATGTCAAGCAATATTCAATGTCGCTGTCCCTACCAATGCCCAGCTACCTATACTCAGACAAAGTCAAACGTATCGCCACGGTCTTGGATCATTTTTCCGACCCTCTTGGAACCCACGATCCGCTCCAGCTTCATGACATCGTACTTGGAGAACATGACCCTGACGCTGCCCTGGCCCGGCTCAATCCTCATATCTTCCTCGCTCTTCCCGAGGTAGCCCCCGGCAATCTCCTTGTAGAAGATGGGGTTGTCTGGCAGGCCGTAGAAGATGACTCTATGAACGCCACGCAGCTGGTACCGGCGGAAGTGGTGGGCTCTCTCCGTGTAGAGGAGCACACGATGCCGGCCGTTGAGGAAGTGTGACCTGGCGCGCGATGCCTCGGGAACATCCGAGTACTCGGATATGGCGCCAAAGCTCAGGCTCAGGACCTCCTGCGCGTTCGCAAAGTAGTTGCGCACGCGCACAAAGTCCAGGTAGGATGGGATGTAGATCAGCGTCCCCGTCGCGTCCTTGGCCCGCTTGACGAGGCCCGGCACGATCGCGCTCGTAAAGTACTTGAACCGGGCATCAGGGTCCTTGTCTGGCGACGGCGCCTGGAACCGCGAGAATGTCTGCTTGGCCTTGACGCCGAGCTGCTGTAGGTTTCCCGGGTACTCCAGCTGCAGCCGCGCCTTGCCCTGCCAGTTCTGGCAGTGGGTTCGGAATAGCTCGGTGAGTTCAGGGGTGTTGAACGCCGACAAGATGACGGTTTGGCGGAAGTATTTGGCCCAATCTTCCAGGTACCAGCTCCGGACACGACTAAAGTCGCAGTCGTGCGCGTCCTTGGGCTGCAGGTTGAGGTGCTCGAAGATGAATTCAATGTGCTCCCAGTTCTGCATCAGGAGGGCTTCGGACTGATCCATGACCACCATCTCGATTGAGCTTAGGAAGTCGTAGTCGACCTTTTTCTTCTCCTCCTCGGAACCGATGGCCATCCGTAGTCCCAGGGGACTCGCAAAGAGTATGTCGGAATTGTAGAACTGCGCAAAGTACTTCATCGTCTTGCGCGTAAACTTGACGCCTAGGCGGAACATGTCGTCGTCGTTGCCTTCGAACAAGTCTCTAAAGTCAATTGGCCGATCCTGGCCAAACGTGTTCTGCTTGTCAATGTAGGACTCGTCGAACCGCTTCCTGTTCTCCTGCTGATCAGGCTCGCACAGATCGCGCAGCACATTGATCATGCGAGCACACGAGTTTCTGGTGGGCAGAAGAAACAGAACCTTTGGGCGTGTGAAGCCTTGGTCGCGGAGGTCGAGCTCCGCATTGTCGCTCTCCTTTGCGAGCTTGTAATTGTTCTTGATGACCTTGTCTCTTGTTCTTTGACTGTCAGCACCTAGGACGATACGTAAGGGAAATAGCAACTTACTTGAAGACGTGATTTAACGCGTGCAGACAGACCATGCGCCGCAACGCTTGTGAGTCCTTGACTGTGCGATCGCAATGCAGGATATCCCGATAGCCGAAAAGCATCGGCGCAATCCCCTGCTCGACCTCGCTCAGGTTGTTCAGGTGTTTCGCCGCGGTCTCCTTGAGTTTCTTCTTCAAGCCATACGGTTCTAGGCTCGTAGCATGCGATGGTATCTCCACGTTGACGTCCGTCCCGGGCTGTTGAAACGTGGCCCTCCAGGGCTTGAACAGAGCCCGCTTTGTTGTCCACTCGCCAGACTTCGCAGCCTTGACAGACGCCGCACTCTTCTCCTCGTCAGGGCGAGCAAAGTGGACGTCGAATGGATCCGTCGCCTCCTCCTCCTCATCAGAAGAGTCATCTTCCAGTGGCTGTTCGTCCATTTCCGGCCCGGCATCTTCTGGCTCATCGACGGCATCTACATCTTGGGCCTTGCCCTCATCTTCGCCTTCGTCGTCATCCTCGTCCTCAGGCGCTTCCATGTCGATGTTTGCCGCCTTTGAGGATGAGTGGTCGAGCTTGCGACGCTTTGCATTCGGAGCATTGTCTTCTGTGAATCCTTGAAGAAGGGCCATGTATGGTCGTACTGGCGCAGCCTCTTCATCGTCATCATCCTCCGACATGTCCTCGTCCACAGAACCAGCAGCGTCTTCATCATTCTCAGACCCAGAAGTTTCGTCTCTTTTCGCAGTCAGTAATTTCATCCAGCGTATGCCTACAGTGAGGTCGACTTACTCGTCTTGCACTTCTAGACGAGCCCCGTCAAAACGACTGTTCGGGCCCCATCGGCTTGTGACTTTTCCCCGGCCTCTGCCTGCACCACGCCCTCGACCTCCCCGTCCACGCGAACCACGAGCTCGGAAGCCACCGCCTCTACCTCGAGGTCCCATAGTGATTTGGCTTGTATAAAGACGCTGAGTTTCTTGCATTTCCTTGACCAGAAGCCAAAAAAAAGTAGAAGCGATTGCTGTACAAAATTCAATAAGTTCTGGGTCTCATAAAGCTCACAGAAAAGTTCACAGGACCCTTGCTCAGGCCAAGGAAGTACTACGTACAGTCGTAGTCAAGCCACATTCTGTGGGGCTGCCTCGACTTTTTCTGCGCCACAGCTCTTATCTTATCTTAGCGCGCACAACCCCCGGGTGGACTTTGCAGGCGCGACGTCGGCACACACAAATTTGCCAACAAGTTTGCTTGGAAAGAGTCGTAACTTCCCGTCGTCGCGAAAAACTGTGGGCCCCAGGCTGCTGGAACGCCCAGGCCCCTCCATCGCAACAAAAGAAGATCCTCTCCATACCGCAAAAACGTCCTCCACACCACTCGACATCACCACCCGAAATCCTCCCTCACAGCCAGCGACTACCACGCTATTGCCCAGCATGGCCGCTGTCACGGAGAGATTCATGCATCTCTCGCGCCCCCTGGGCCCTCAACAGGCTGGGCTCCAGTCGAGCATTGCCCCGCTTGGTGTCAACATCCAGCCTCAGGTACATCATACCCTCGAGTCGATGCTGTGCCGTTCTTCTCTGACCACATTGCACAGGCCATCCTCTCGATTCTCGACCACGCTACCCGACGAGACGTCCGCGATGCGTCCCAGCCTAGCCGCGTCATCGGCGCTCTCGTGGGCACCCGATCCGAGGACGGTACCGAAGTCGAAGTCCGGTCCTGCTTTGGCATCCCGCACACCGAGGAGGAGGACCAGGTCGAGGTCGACGTCGAATACCAGAAGAACATGCTCGCCCTGACCCTCAAGGCCAACCCGCGCGAGGCCCTGCTCGGCTGGTACACCACCTCGCTCGAGCTCAACAGCTTCAGCGCCCTCATCCAGAACTTCTTCGGCAGCCCGGACACCGGCACCTTCCCCCACCCCGCGATTCACCTGACGGTGTCGACCGACCCCAGCACCGCCATCGAGACCCGATGCTACATCTCCGCCCCCGTGGCCGTCAACTCGGAGCGCGCGGCCGAGAGCTGCCTGTTCATGCAGGTCCCCCACAAGATGCTCTACGGCGACGCGGAGCGCTCCGCCCTGGGCGCCATCTCGGCCGCCAAGGACAACGAGAACCGGAACGCCCCTCTCGTCTCGGACATTGAGGCCCTCGGCGCATCCATCGAGCAAACCATCGGCCTCCTCGACCGTGTCAGCGAATGGGTGAACGGCGTGCTGGACGAGGACGAGGAGCCCAACGCGGCGTTGGCTCAGTTCCTCATGAGCACCCTGTCTCTGGCGCCCAAGGTGGACCCGGAGCAGATTGAGCACGACTTCAACAACCACATCCAGGACGTCCTCATGGTCGGCTACCTGGCCAACACCATCCGCACCCAGATCGATCTCTCGCAGAGGTTAGCCACGGCGAATATCCAGATTGGCGAGAAGGAGGGCGAGAACAAGAACGAGGGTGACAAGGACGGTCAGCGCGGCGGTGGCAAGCGTGGCGGCCGAGGAGGCCGTGGTGGAGGCAGGGGAGGTGGTCAACAGCGTGAGCCCCGGGAGCCTCGTGAACCTGCGGAATAGGGCGTCGGCATTTCACGATAGAACGACAAGTGGCGAGTTCAGGCATTCATTGGCATAGTGTTCCTATACTGCTTACTCAGGCGTTGCGGAAGGTCTAAAAGAGAGAAATTCTTTGACCGCTGGGATTTATAGCCAAAAAAATGAAAAAGAAAGATTGTCAAAAAATAAAACTACGCGAGAGACTCGTCATTCATGGAATGATGATTTCATTCTGAACCCCCCCTCGAGCCGATGATGTGTGTGTACCTGCTCTGTGGAATACATTTGCCTTACGGCGTTGCTTGTTCTCAGAATCCGTCTTTTCTTTTTCACATCTGCACCACCCTGATAACGCCGAAATGCTAAAAATGCTTCATGAAAAGCCCTGTCCGCGGCTCATGTTAAGTCCCCCAACACCGTCTGATGCTTTCTAGAATCCATTGGCCGGCTTTTGCGGAAGGCTTGCCGGGTTGCCGTATGTTGGCAGGTGGTTGAAGTTTGGAGGGGGAGGGTGGTGTGCCGGCTGCTGTGAGGGATGCGGTCGTGAGGTATGAGGGAATTGGTTCGAGGATACGTGTTGCAAGGGCATCTGCTGAAGGCCGGGCTGTGTAGGCTGCTGGTATTGGCCATGCGTAGGAGCCATTTGGGCTGGAGTCTGATAGCCGGGGGCCGAGGTGTTGGAAGCCTGCCGTACCATGCCATAGCCCCCGCTGTAGGGTTGCGGAGGCCCTGCCTGGTATGGGAACGAAGGCGCCGTGGACCCTATTTGGGGACTACCGTGGTGTGATGTAGGTGCCGTGAACGGTGGCTGCGGCCCCGGCCCGGGAGCCATTCCTGCGCTTCCCGGCACGAAAGACTGGGTTTTGGGGTTGAAGCTGTGGTTCCGGTTGTAGCTTCCGGGGATAGGATGTTGCGACTTGGGGTCATGAGGATTCATGTGCGCAGGGAGCTGGCCAAAAGCATACGGAATGCTGGGACTGCCTCCTTTTGGCTGGTAGCCCGCAGGTGACGAGGGCGCTGGACCCCAGCCTTGCTGCTGCTGCTGAGGCGTTCCTGGTGTTGATGGGCCGTACAGACTGCCACTGCTCGGAAACCTCTGGGGTTGCGCATGCGGCGGGTACTGTGCCTGCGCCACGGGATAGTTGGGATATCCTTGACCGGTGGGCGCCCCTTGGGGCGTACCAGGCGCCATACCAGGTGCTGCCACTGGCATGCTGGGATATCCCGCAGCATTGGGTGCATAGCCTGGTGCCATGCCGGAGTTGTACAGTTGCTGCATGCTGGCGTGCGATGGTAAGCCCTGACCATAAACAGCGCCCCAGGCTGCCTGTTGCGGAGCCCAGTACGGCGTGTAGTTGTTTCGGGAGTCGAAGCCATCAGAGTCATCACGCCGATGCCTTGCACCACGACGAGCCTTGCCTTGGGCGGTTTTGTTATTGCTGGCCGAGACCGAGCTGGCCCTCGAGACACCATTGTCCTTGTCTGCATCTGGAGGGTGTCAATACTGTACAAAGTCAAAGACCCAGAATGGGACTCACCCTGCGCACTGTCCTCGGCGGATCCGAAGATACGCTCACGCGCTAACTTGTAAATCTCTTCGCGTTCTTCGCGAGTCAATCTAAGATATTAGTATACGGACAAGGTTTACTGTGATAGCTTGACTCCACTCACTTTTGACCAGTCTGTGACTTTTCTTTGCCCTCTTTCGAATCTGTGCCCGATTCCGAAGCTGGCTTGGACGGTGCCGCGCTGCCTGCACCTGTCTCATCCTCTTGGCCTCTGCGCATGATCTTCTTGGGTAGAATCATTGGTGGCGACTCTTCCTTCTCTTCCGCCTTGGGTTCTGGGTTCCAGTTGGCAAGTGAAGTCGGTACTCGACAAAACGGGGTCCGGAAGATGCGCACAGCGTCTTTGCTGGGCTCGTAAGAATGCGTCATGTGGTAGTAGTCGGCCAACTTGTGTGCTAACATCCTGTAGAAGGAATTGCCAGCTACAACGTCTTCAAACGGTTTACTGCGAACATAGTCAGTAGCTGGTGCGGGCAGAAGTGGACCCAACATACTTGGAGTTTTCCACGAAATTGATCAAAAGAGCCTCGACCCTAAGCAGGTAAAGTCTGTCCTTTTGGTCTCTCATGGCGTCAATCAATTTGTCGTCAGGCGCTTGGCGATAGATGACATCGAGTGCGTCAGGAGGCGCCGAGGCACCTGTCAAGGGAGGCAGTACACCGCGCGCCTGCTGCTCAGAAGAGTTGCTGTGAGGTGTGAGAACACCAGGACCCGAGCTGGCTGGCGTGGCCTGCATAAGCCGGCGATCGGGCATGTCGCCTAATTGAATACCCCTAGCGCGAGCCGCAAGATCTGATCCCATGCGTGAACCGGCAAAGATCGATCCCCGGACGGAGAAGACCTCATCGTCGTCACCTGCTGCCATCACACTGGCGCTGTCGTCGGGCCGCAGCGACTCCTTCTCGTCCAGAGCAAAGGTGGTTCCAGAGGTGATACTTTTCCCGTCAAGACTGGGCGGCTTTGTGCCAAGCTCGGAACTAGAATCGGCACGCTGCGAACAGTCTGAAAGAGCGCTCTCTCGGCTCACGATCGCGGGCCTACCCAAGTGCATGTTGCCTGCCCCTTCGTCAACCGACTCCTTGCGTCCTTGGAGGTGCGTGCTGAGCTGAACACCGCCCAGAGACTCTGCTACATTGTCCACGGTCAAAGGTCGTTGCTCGATAGGTCTACCACCCGCGTCCCGACCTCTGCTGCCACTCACGACCACAGGAACGCTGTGTGAGTCAGCGGTCTGACCCGTGGAAGATTGTGTCGACATTGGTGGCCGGTTCTCCTTTGCGTCTCCACTAAGCTGAGGTGTCGAAGTCGAAGCGGGTTCCGCCATTGTGGTAGCTGCTGCCACCTGTTTGTACGTTAGAAACGTGTGGTCGGAAAGAAAGACAGAGGTCATACCCGGGCGAATGACGGCTTATCAGCTTTTGCAGACATTGACAGGCTGAGTTTGATCGAAAACCAAATGATATCCAAGCGCACCAAGGAGCCTGTGTGAGTGTCGTGACCACACCGCGAAAATCCGTGACTGGTTCTGAGAATTTACCGGCACAAGGAATCTCAGGGGAGCGTTATGTAAAAGCCTCTCGGACGAGAAAGAGGGACGGAAAGGCGTGGTCAAATTAGTAGGCGAAAGGAGTTGAAACAGGGCGGAACAACGAAGTCGTGAGCGCGTGGTTCATCGTCGAGACAAATGCTGAATATTATAGGTAGTCATTGAGTCTTCGCAAGTCGTTATGTCGATTATGCTATGGACCTTGTCAGTGGGATGCGAGAGGGCAAATCGAAGCACAATGGTGTAGGCCGTTGCCCAGGCTGTGCCACGAGCCCCAGGAGGGGGTGTAGCGCTTCTGGAAGGGGCACCAAGGCTTTCATGAAAAGCATACCTTTTTCAAGCGCCCATGTCTCAGCCCTGATCGACGATTGCGCACAAAGATGTTGCGGGATGCGAGGTCGACGTGGAGAGTCGATGGTGGGGAGGCGTTCCAGCGCAAGGCGTCCGACAATATGCAAGGAGCTGAAGGTCAATCAATTAGCGGGCCATCGGGCCAGCTCGGACGTGAGACCACAAAGAGATGGACTAGTTCCGGTACCGAGGAGAGGTCGACTTGTAGGGGATGGTACTGAAGCGAGTCCCAACCCAGTTGCTTTTCAGAGTGGGAGAGTTTGGTGTCGGGAACCTTCACGGAATTCAAAAGGTGGTGAATCTAGCGCCGGCAGAACCCACCATCAGCCTCATTCCAGCCCGCCGCCTTGCTGCTGGTTGTGAGCTTAGTAATCACGCCAGACACAAGCTTGGTCACCGGTGGGCAGTGACTGTGAATGAGCACCAACAATTCATTCTCGTCATTTAATGGATCACTGAGTTCCCGTATTATAGGAAAATCTGATTTGGCCAAGCTGCACCAAGGATCAAGGCGCTCCCGCCCTTGTATCCCTTGCAACCAAACTTAACTCTGGTCACGTGACACGTTTAAGGTGCTACCACGTTCTCGGGACGACTCAGACCAGTGATCAGCTTAGCATTTACGTCGACGTCTGCCTCACTTCATCTCGAATTGACATTTCTTACCAAGAATCACAGACTACGCAATAATCGGAAAGAGCCATCAGCACAGTACTCGCCATGTTCGGCTACAGGGGACGCGGGGGGCCTTCACGAGGCACTCCTGCCAGCGTTCAGTGTCAAAAATGTTTAAAACGAGATATGTTCATGATCCGCCCATCTACAAGTACGCACAGCCTGACATGACCAACGCCACTACTCGTACGAGTGCAAGGCATCTGCACAGGAAAGACCTTACGTTTCGCGGCCATCTCGCTCACAGCAGTTGCGAAACCCCAAGCTAGCACCGAAGCTTGAGAGTGACAAGCTTGAAGTGTTGGAGAAAAAGTTTGGCTTCCCGGTACAGATACAAATATTGTTTGGTTCGCTAACAGTGCTACAGAAAAGGCATCGCGGATGAGGAGATTGCAAAGCTGGAGGCTGAAAGGGCGAGAAAGCGTGAGTTGGAGGACCGGGACGATGACATGCTGCGCTCTGCACCCAAGAGGCAACGCTCGCGCTCGGCATCTTCAGAATCTGTCTCGACTATATCAACCAGGAGTTCAAGGAGCCCGCGCCGCAGAAGCCCGTCAGACTCGCGATCCAGATCACCGTCTCCGCGCCGTGGTGAAGGGGTGGAGCATCGGCCCAATCGCAGCATGTCCCCCGTCCCTGGGCGACAGAGACCGTCCTTGAGGGATAGCAGGTCTCCGCCACGGCAGCCCGCGGAGAACTATCGCTCCCGAGATGACTCGCCACCTCGAAGATATGACGGCAACAGGACCTCGCGCCGAGAACGAAGGTTCTCTTCCGTGTCCAAGGGATCCAGAGATTCGCGGCCCCGTCACAGAGATACATCAAGGTCGCCAGATGCCAACAGGCCGCGCCACCGCGGGGACGAACGCGCGTCTGAACCGCAGAGAGATAGTCGGGCTGCTCTCCAGGACCCGGGACAGCCGCGGGAGCGTAGCCTGAGCCCCTTCAGCAAACGTTTAGCATTGACCCGGTCCAGGGCTCCGTGAGGGTAGACGTCGTGCCGGTATAGGTCGTGGGACGGTGCGCGGTGGTGCTGCCTTTGTACGATATGCGCGGGCAATAGTAATTTGGCAAACATGAGTGCTCAAGCGACGTTTTCCGCTTCCGCCTCGGCCTTTTCTCGTCGTTCCTCTTCTTCCTCCTCCTTCTCCCTCATACGTAGTCCCTCTACCAGTGTCACGCCGTCCACTCCAGCCGCTTCCCCGTCCATCTTGTCCTTCTCCAGACCGTTGGTTTTCTTCTTTGCCTGCTGGGCGGCTGCGATCCTCTCACGGACCAAGCGAGCAATGGCGTTGTCTGTCCGTACATTGAGGATCTCCATCTTCTTCTCGAGATCGCGCTTTAAATCCCAATTCGGCTTCTTGGGCTGTAGCTTGAAGAGATCAATCCCCTTGTCGTCCCGTGCCGCTTCTTCTGCGCGCAGACGCGCTTCCTCTTCTAGCTGTGCTGCTTGCTCCTCGAGCGTGGACTTGTCCTCAGCCAATGTTGGCGGTGTCTCGAAACCGAGTTTAGGCCCTCTGGTTTCTGGATCATAGTTGCGCCCGGATAGGTGCAGCGACAACAGGTCTTTTTCGGGAGCTGGCGGCGATGGCGAGCGAGTCGACTCGGGGGCGACAATCTCGTCTGTGGGTTGTTTGCGCTTGAGATTGCGGAGGTTGGCCAGACGAGCTTTGCGATCATCGGCAGCGGCGCTCAGATTCGATTGAGACGACATTGTGGATGCAACAGCTTACAGACTATGATCGCGTGAATAGTCTTGACTTTGGTGGTGTTTCGCTGTTTGGAAAAAGAAGGTGGATCTTCATGTCCAGATGCAAGTGTTTGGGTGCCAAGACGCTAATGGTCAGCGGCTCCACTTCAGTCCGACTGGACTTGAGAACTCAACCTCCGAAATCTTGTCGCGGAACCAACCTTCGTACAGCGACTCCATCTTCGGCCCCCGTGCTTCCATTCATGCAATTCCAGATCTTATGAGGATCTCACCTTGTGGCTGCTTAACTTGAAGCAGTATGACTGCCTCTCTATGCCGCACATGCGCGCGCCGGCTGCCGACACCATCCATCGTTGCTCGCCGTGCCCCAACGATCCTCAACCGCCAGTCCTCCTCTTCCAGCGCCACATACTCGAGCCGCTGGTCTGATGCGGAGGAATTCGCTGCAAAGCAAGAGGCGCTGCAACACGATCCTGAGCAATATCGTATCGAGCATGTCCCTCCACAAGACGAAAGCTTCCTCGAAGAACCGGACGAGAGCGGACTGAAGCGAAACTGGCATCGATTCGCTGCCTCCAACAAGAAAATCGAGGGGACCTGGCGCCAGTTCAGCCCGGATCTCGACCTTCTCCGGGACAACTGGGCAGCACTCAGCCATGACGAGCGCGAGGCGTACTGGACGCCAATGCTGGCGGAGACAGTCAGAGCCGACCCCGGCTCGATTGCCCACGTCCTCGACGCGACGATGAAGCGATGGCCTCCCCAGCAGGAGGTCGCCCAGGCCCTCGACGTCTTTTCCGGCTACCTTTCCCGCTATCGCAAGCAGCACGGAGGAGCTGATGCCACCTGGAAAGACATGAGGGACAAGGGGTACAAGGTTATAATGACAATCCTGGGAGACCTGCCTCCCGAGTTCCAGGCTCTTCCTCAGAGAGTCCTCGGTAAACTGGCTCGCAACTTCACGCCGGAACAAGCCCTGCACTCCTGGGAGGCTCTCAAGAATGCTGGCGTGCGGACGCACCCCAACACTACGCTACACTTTGCCAGCAGCCTCGCTCGACGCGGAGGTGGCGAGACCAGCGCCAAGGCGTTTTATATCCTCAAGGGGCTCGCATTGAAGAACATCAAATTTGACCAGCCTCGGTACGCCAGTGTCATCACCGCTCTGCTCACCAATTCCATGAGCAAGTTTCAAACTCCTCGAGACGCGTCTACGCCAGGCGACGAGTTCCTGCCTTCAAAAGCGGTCGAGTTCTTTGTACAAAGGGGCTACAAACCGAATGTCATCACCCTGACGGCATTCTTCCAGAACCTCATGAGCAGGCACGAATACGACGAGGTCCTGGAGGTCGCCAAGGTGTTTTCGCGTATTGGCGTCCGTTTCGACCGCGTCGCTCTGGGCGTTTTGCGTTTCGCCGCGCTCAAAACCAAGCACAGGGTGGAGAATGTACAGCACATACTGGAGCTCGCCCGGCAGCACACCAAGGATGACTTGTTCGTCACGCAGCAAACATTGAATGCGCTCTACTTCCTAGGGGAGGCCGAGGCCCGTGACGGCCACGCTGAGCACAATGCGTGGTCACCGATGATATTCGATCTCATGCTCGACGTGTACGGCAAGACGTTTGCCATGCAGGAACTTCGTCGCTTCATACCCGACGACAGTCTGCAGCAGAGACTGCGCGATGCGGCCGAGAGGCAACGGCAGGGTCTACAACAGGGCCACCCTGGCCATGCTCTGAAGGGAATGGTAGAGACCCTGTTTGGGTCGAAATCCAGAGCAGAAGACCAATACTCCCCACTCGACGTTGGGAGTCTGAGCTTCATGCTGAGGGGCTATCTTAAGTCCTTGCGCAAAGGCTCGGAGATCGCGCCATTCTACTACCACTTCAAAGGCTGTCTTCATGACCCCAGCAGCCTCGCCTTCAAAATGATCGCAGAGCACGGCCCACTCGTACACAATGCTTTCCTTCAGGTCATGCTGGCCCACGACGTCTTGCTGCGGCCGGCGCTTCAGGTGCTTGCCGACATGCTCAAGACGCCAAAGGCGCTCCCCAACGCGCACACGTACGCCATCCTCCTCGACGGATTGCACAGACTAGGGCGCGTGGACATTGCCGACAAGGTCAAGGCGGTGATGACGGAGGCGGGTGTCAAGCCCAACGCAGCCGTCTTCAACCTGCTGATCAAGCGCTATGCCACCAGCAAGGAGGACTCCAAGGCCATCGCCGCTCTCCGTGAGCTGGGAGAGGCTGGCCTGGTGCCCGACGCGCACACAGCCAAGGCCATTACGCGTCTCGGCGGTGATGTACATGTGAACCGGGCGGCGGACTTGGTGGAGCGGATTCGCCAGCAGAACGATGTCGCCGACGCGGAGCTAGCGCAGGGTCGGGATGAAGCAGAGAAGCTCGTCGAGACGAGAGAGATTTCGAAGCCGACTTTTGTATAGATTATGTAGAGCCACAGACAACAGTGGTCGTGGACCTGTAACTTAGTGGAGACATACAGCTACAAGTCCTGACACAAGGATATTTCATGATACCAGAGTGGCAGGTCCAGAAAGCCCAATAAGTAGCTCGAATTGAGGCATGTCACATTTCATAATTAGGCGCGTGATTGCGGCCCTCGTAGCGCATCATGTCTTCCAACGCGATTGCCAGCGACTCGTGGTGCCCCACGACCTTCACCTCTGCTTACTCCTGTCATCTGCAAACTTGCTCAGCACGAATTCCTCATCCCGAAGCGCTCCTGCAAAATATTCACAAATGTGAAAGATAGCACATGTCAGACATGCCGGACCCGGGTCTCTCGCAGTTCACGACAGTGTTCCGCGCTTCCCAGTCGCGCCGAATCAAGCGCAACAGGCAGCCCGTGTCATGCACCGCCTGTCAGAAGCGCAAGTCGCGATGCGACCGCCGGCAGCCGTGCGCCGCGTGCGAGAAGAGAGGCGACGGGCCAGGCTGTCATTTCGGCCCCGCCGCCTCTGCCGCCGCCGCCGCCGCCGCCAACCTAGGGTCCAACCGCACCGAGGTGCAGAACCGCCTGAGCAAGCTGGAAGCGCTGGTGAAACAGCTCGCCGAGGAGCAGACGGCCGCCAGGAACGGCACGCACGTCCAGGATGGCAATGTCGACGTGCAGCCCTCCCGGACAGAGGACGCGGCGCGGCTGGAGTATCGGGGGCCGACGTCGTGGACCTCGGTGGTCGACAATATCCACGACATACAGAGTGCGCTCGAGGCGGAAGACAACGACCAAGGACCAGAGTCAGATGTCTTGGACGTGACAGACATTGTGTGCGGGTCATCCAGGACGACGATGGATGAGATCTTGCGGGTTCTCCCGCCGCGCACAGATGTCGACAAGCTCAGCTCGGCCTACTTGAATGCCAAGTTCATGTCGATCCCTTTTATCCATCCAGGGCAGTTCCGCCGCCAGTACGACAAGTTCTGGGCCGACCCGGCCTCGATGAGCATGTGCTGGATCAGTATTCTATTCTCAATCATGAGTTGTGGGATCAAAATCGCCCTTGTCAAGACCATATCGCTGTCCTCGGGCGGCCCAGAGAGCCAGGATGCCTTGTTGTACATGAATATGGCAGCCAAATGCCTCGTTACGGGCCAGTACCTCAAAGGAAGCCCGCATTCCGTGGAAGCCCTCATTACGCACGTTCACTCGCGGCACATTCATGGGCAGGACAGTGACGCCACCTTGTGGACGATGTTTGGCACCGTGGTCAGGATGGCGCAGCGCCATGGCTATCATCGAGAAGCACACAAGGTCTCTGCCAAGATAACCCCCTTTGAAGCGGAAATGAGGCGCAGGGTGTGGTTCACCATCATGTCCTACGATCTGCTGTGGTCCATCCAGCAGGGGATGCCGCCAATGATCCACGAGGACACTTGTGACACTGCTCTCCCTTTGAACCTGGCCGATGAAGACTTTGACGAGGACAGCATGGCATTAGTGCCGCGGCCAGCGACAGAGCCACTGCCCATACTGGCCTACATTACCAAGTATCGACTGATGCATATCCTCCGCCCCATTGTACGACACGCACTCGACATCAAACGTGAAACGGCAGCCGACGCGGCAGCGTTGGGCACCGCGCTGGACAAGTGGCACGAGAGTGTCCCGGCGTGCCTCAAGTACAGGCCCATACGCGAGTCGTCCTTCACCGACGCCAGCCACACCATCTATCACAGAAACATGCTCGAGATGACGTACCACACCTCTCGATGCGTGCTGATGAGATCGTTCCTGTCGAGCCGGAGCCAGTCCAGCATCTACACGCATGCCCTTGCGATTTGCCGCACGTCGGCGCTGCAGCTTATTGACATGCAGGTGGACGTGCACCGCGAGACGCAGCCTGGCGGGCGTCTGTACGAGGACCGTTTCATGGTGTCCAGTCTTTCCCTGTTCAGCTTCCTGATAGCAGCCATGATCCTTGTTCTGGAACTGCACGACTGCGACCAGATGCCGTACGTAGCTCCCCCTGCGCACCCCCCGCTTGTGAGTGCTAACAAAGGGCCAGCCAGGAAGAGAGGGCACATCGCACGCAAGTCTTGCGTTCGGCGCAGACGATGTGGGAGACCCGAAGCGACACCTCGGCCGACGCTGCGCATGTCAACAGAATCTTGAAAGCCATGCTGCGCCGTGTAGATTCACAAGACTGGCAGTCAGGGTCGGACACGCTGGGTGAGACGACACCTGCCCAGGAGGAGGTGCCTGAGAAGGCGTCTGAGAGTAATCCGTGGTCTGACGGGGTCCTGCCAACAGATCCCCACGGATTTTTAGAAGGCAGCGTCGAATTTGATGCAATGCTGCCAATGGAGAGCTTCTTCAACGATGTTGAAGGACTGGACTGGGTACGTACTACGTCCCCCCTAACGCTGAACCCATGAAGCTTCTCGAGATATTGACAATGACGGCAGAACTCTATCGACAGCTATCTACGATATGACCCGATGGAGAATTTGACCATGGGAGAGACATTCCCCTAAATGGGTCCTTGAGCAGGAGTTTTTTCCTTAACCCCGTGAGCCATCGATCCCTCCTCGTGGACGTCGGACTTAGCCGTACACATATTACCCGATTGGGAAATATTCAACCCCGTCTCAGCCGCTCCGGACGGACTATCGCCATTAGACTCACGGAGATGTCGCGCGGTGTAATGCATCGATCCAGTCCAGTCCGCGAATACTGTGACAAGATATCCAAGCAGACTGTCAGAATGGTGCAGCCCCAGAGAGTATAAAAGGCCACCGCTGCCTCGCCTAAGACCACCTTCTCAACTCCCTAAGAACCTCCCATTCACAACGACAACAGTTATCACACTCGCCACGAGACCACATCACAACAACCTAGCAACCATGTCTTCGACACCCACCACTCGCCACACCCTCGTCTTCGACACCCCCGAGCAGTCACTCACCCTCAAGTCGGAGCCCATCCAGACCCCCACCGCCCACGGCAGCGCCCTCGTCCGCATCCTCTCCGCCACCACTCGCCCTCACAACAAGGCCAGCTTCGCCGGGAAGCCCGTCCTACCCGTCACGGCCCCCTACGTCCCCGGGAACTCTGCCATCGCACGCATCATCGACGTGGGCCCCGACGCCGTGTCCCTGGAGAAGGGACAGCTCGTCTATGTCAGCGGCTTCATCACCGCGCGAGACGACCACGACAACACCCGGATCCTTCTCGGCTTCTCAGACCTGGGCGCCCCCAAGTCCAAGAAGCTCTTCAAGGCGTGGCCCGGCCTCTGGGCTGATGTCGCCACCGTGCCCCAGGAGAACTGCGTGCCCCTGAACGAGTCCCTCCTCTGCGACACAATGGGCTACACCGTGGGCCAGCTCGAGTACATTGACCGTCTCGCTGTCGCCAACGGGGGTGTCTCGTCCGCCGCTCTCCGCGCCGGTGAGACCGTCATTGTATGCCCTGCCACGGGGCACTTCTCAGGCGCCGTCGTCGAGCTCGCCGCCCAGATCGGCTGCAATGTCGTCGCGCTCACCCGGTCCGCCGCCAAACTCGAGCCTCTCACCGCACGCCACCCCAGGATCACACCCGTCGAACTAAGTGGCGACGTCGACGCGGATGCGAAAGCCATCCGCGCCGCGTGTCCACAGGGCATGGCCGACGCACTGATCGACGTCTCGCCGCACGAGGCCGCGGCCAATCCGTCGCATCTCCACGCTGGCCTGCAAGTGCTTCGTGGCCACAGCCGCGTCGTCTTCCTCGGTGCGATGGACAATGTCAGCATCCCCTACACGAGCATCATGGCGCGCAACGTCACCATCAAGGGTCAGTTCATGTTCACGCGCGAGATGACGGCCGCGCTGGTCAAGATGATCGAGTCTGGCATCGTGAAGCTCGGCAAGGAGGCCGGTCACAATGTACGGGCGTACAAGATGGAGGATTGGCAGCAGGCCATCGCGGAGGCGGAGACGGCGACCCAATGGGGCGAGCAAATTGTGCTCGAGCCTTGAGGGTGCGGAGATGGCCGCGGATATGGGCCTAGATGGCTGGGCCCTTTGGGCTTGGACATGTTGACAACGCGGGTGGCCTAGCTTTTGGGTCGCACGACCACGTGTGACAACAGTGAATGTTGAATCAAGATTTCTGACTGGACAGTATGCGAAGGAACCTGCCACGCCCGCATGCCTTTGACCACCGCGACCTTGTTTGTTATTGTTCCACGCTAGAATTGTTTACCTGGGTATCGTATGTAGCCTTGTCTATAGATGGTAGACCTTCGTCAGGTGTATAATAGCAGCTTCCAGAGCTCGCCCCAACACGAAAGCCCAACCCCCCTTTTTCCGTCCCCAATAAATAACATTGCGCAAAGACATTCCTGACGTTACCCTGCGCTCCTAGTCATGTCCTCATGAAACGTAATACCATCCTCTAACCCTATCCCATAGTACATTCTCAATAGAAGTGTCTAATCCGCCATGGCATCGCCGACCGCAACGTGTGCTGCCAAAGATAGTAATTATGCAGATCAAGACGAGATGCCACGCAAAACCCGAGCCGGATTCCCGGCCACGACAGTGAAAGGAGGGACATCCTGCAGGAGAGAGGGTCAGCACTGGGCCGCGAGTAGATGCGCGAATGGAAAAGAAAATAAACACACCTTGGTGACAACAGAACCGGCCCCAACGGTGCTGCCCTTCCCAACCGAGATGCCCGCGAGGATCGTCACGCCGCCAGCGATCCAGCAGTTATCGCCAATCGTCACGTTCTTGCCAGACTGAGGGCCCTGCCCGCCCTGGCGCCTCTTAGGATCCACTGGCAGTGTCGACGCGTAGATGCTGACGTTGGGCGCGATGACGGTGTTATCGCCAATCTTGACTTCTCCGACATCGTTGATAGTGCAGTTGCGTCCGATGGACACGTAGTTGCCAATGGTGATGTTGTAGCCATAGTCGCAAGTGAAGGGGGTCTCGACAGTCACGGAGCGTCCCACGCGCCCGACATGGGTAATCGGGGAAGTCTCTCCGGGAGAGAGTCGGATGGGATCGCGAGGTTGTAGGATCTCCAGGAAGAGACGCGCTCGTTCTTCGGGCGAAACTCCGTAACTTGGCGGTGTCGTCAGGTTGTTGAACCTCCAGCATGCCGCTGCGCAGCGCTCCCTCTCCAGAACAAGCTCCTTGTCAAAGGGGTAGAAGAGACGACCGATAAGCATCTGCTCCTTTTGTGTGCGCTTCTGCGAGTACCCTGCCTGGGACAGTGCCAGTTGCGCGGCCATCTGAGGGTTCGACGGTGACTGTACTGCTGATGGAGGAGCAGGGCTGCTGTTGCGGTTGGGATGGAGCAGGTTGATCTGAGGTAACTGGCCTCGCGGGCGATCTGGATGGGGAGTCTCAGGCTCGTTCCTGCCCAGTTCGTGGAGCGGAGGCACGCGCTGCTGCTGGTAGTCCTTGCCCATCCTGTCGCTGAACGGCGGAGGTTGCGTGTTCGCGCTGATGGGTGTCGGGAAAGCGTTGGCGGGCGTGTAGGGCATAGCGGACAGCTTGTTATCAGGGCTCGCGACAGACGCGCTCGGGATTGTTGACGTTGTTGGCCGGTCATCATCCGTGACCAGAGGCCGGCCTTGGGGCGGGTCGATCCTGAGGGCCTGACCCCGATAATGCGGGAGGGGCTCCCTTTTGACAGGTTGCTGCTGACCTGCATACGAGCCTTGCTGCGGCATACCGTACGCACCCGGAGGCACATAGGTAGGATCCTTCGACTCCAATGGGACAGTGGGCGACTTGTTTTCGGGTTTCTGCCAGCTCGAGCCCCTTTGGGGAGGATAGCCGGCACAGACAAACGCGCCCTTGACGCAGTTTTGACCTTGTTTACCGATTAGCGAATAATCACCCGGGCATGGCTCATAATTGACTCACATTCAGGCTTCGTCTCATCACACTTCTTCTTCCTCTTCCTACATGTCAAGCAGCCTGTTTTTGTCCGATTGCTGAAGTTGCGCTTGCGTTTCTTAGGATCATGCTGCAGCATGGGATCTTGCCGGGAATCCTGACTATACTGTCCGCTGTAGTACGAGTGGGATGCTTCGTCTGCCTCAGGGCTCGTATTAGGGTAATCGCCCATCTCTGACTGTTCGTGGGTCCTTCGCAGCGCATCACCAAGGTGGTCGTCGCCTTGTCCTGGTCCTGGCGACACGGTGCCAGGTTGCCGACTCTCGTATGACGGCCGTTGTTGGTGGGCAGTCCGGTGCTCGCGGTCGTGTCCTTCTGATGGACCACGGTACCCCTCTCGCTGGGGCGTGCCAAATGGATCACGAGGAGCATAATGTGGCGGCATGGTCGCAGTATCGGGCGTCCGCTCCTGCAATATGTGGTCCTGCCGACGCTCTGCGGAGTCGGAGCGCTTCCTCTTGTGTGAGTCCTGCCTGTCCATGCCATGACCGCTTGTCTGGATGGTAGGACGATCTGAACTCTCTCTCCTCCTCAACCCATCATCTGTGGCATGGAAAGGAGGCGAAGCCTTGCTTGACGGAGCCTCTGCTGCTGCTGAGTTGTCAACTTTGATAGTCGGTGTTTCCGAGATGCTCGGCGAGCCGACGTTGAGGGCCCTGAAGCCAGACATGGCAGAGAAGGCGCCAGAGGCAACTATCGGCGCTCAGCGCCTGATGGAATAGTCCAACTGGGGAAGGTGATGCTGTTGTACGGCGATCGGCGTAGGCTTTTTGACAATTGTCCTGTGCGCCTGGGCTAGCCGCAATGAATAAGTAGCGCAGATGAAGCGCCGTGGCAGCGATGGTGTTGCTGGCGGCCTAAAAGGAGAGTCGAAACCGTGGTTGTCGCCGCAAAGGTAGGCCACAGCAGAGGATTGCCTGGGGCGTTGACCTGCAAATGGACTGCCACGGTATTCAAGGGCAATGTGGTCAACCGATGGCGATGAGGCGCCTGTTATGATATTATGGCTCAGCAACCGAAACAGACCCCCAATCAATCAAGTTTAGGCGGATGCGGGAGCTTGGGAGGCAACGTCCCAAACGAAATTCACCAGGCGGGCGTCAAGTAGGTGGCGCGCGCTTAGGCCAGGTCAATGGTGACGCGCAATTACAGACTGCGGTGCACTGTTACAGACGAATCGTCCAAATTTGAGCTGGGCCTGGTCTGGATCTGGGTCTGAGTCTGAGTCAGGCGTGAGAGGGTGATGTGATGCTGTGCTGAGTTCAAGCCAGCTGAAGCCAGTGTCGTGAGTGAGCTGACGGAGAGTGGTTGAGGAGCGAGCGAATATGCGATGAACGAATGTGCCAACGACGGCAAGGAGGAGTGAAGGTCTGAGCAAGACACAAAAGAGGCTGGCTGGGGTTCGCGGATGGTTTTGGGTGGTGATGATACATCAAAGCGCGGTCCTCGCGGGGCTTGTTGCTTTGCTTGCTCTCGAGCTGCGTTGCCGACGCCGTGTGGGTGAGGTGCGATTAGCAGGGAGGGTTCGAACCGACCACCGTCTCCAGTCCAGTCCGGGTCTTTGATCGAGCTTTCTGTACAGTGATGAATAAATTATGTCGGCAAGGCGGGCTGGGGCTATTAGCGGCGGGTGTCACAGTTACAGCGCCTTGGGGCCTTGTTTGAGCTTTGTGTCGTGTCTGGGTTGAGGCGGGCAGGACTGGAGTCGAGTCGCGCTCGAGGCTGGCGTCAAAGTTCCTCTCAAGCGGTGCCTTGGGGTTGTTTGGCTCAGGTTGCTGCTGGACGGACCCTCGTGAGATTTGTTGGAGGCGGCAAGGCGCTTGGCCGCCGGTGGTGGCTCGAGTTCTCAGGCAGGCGGACGAGAAAGACCCTTGCTCGTGCTTTCCGTTCCGCTAGTTGACGTGAAGCTCCAGCCGGCATCGACTGGAGCTCATGTCGGTTTTCCTCGCACGGAGCGGGGTACATGACAGGGCATCCGCGCGACGGCTAACAGGGCAGCTGCGCTTGTGCAGCTACGGAGTACTTGGGGGCTACCTGCCGCTACATCGACAGCGGCAGCGGTAGCAGCAGTGCGGGTAGTAACATGAAGTACGTACGCGAGCTCTCTACGTACGTATTTACAAAGTAGTAATGAACGATGAAGCTGGAGCTGTTGCCGAACAGATCAATTGAAGCCTGTGCACTTCATTGATTGTCCTTGCTCTTGCTTGTTCTTGCTCGCCTGGCTGCTCGCTTCCTCGGCTGGCGCTTTTCTGGCTTCAGCTTGGGAGGGGAAGGTACATGGACCTTAAGTGTTAGTGCGTAGCAAGGCCAGCCACTTCCAACTATAAAATTGGCCTTAATAGAATGCTAACGAGTAATAACTCAGGTAGGTCGGCGAGTGATGGCGGACTGACAAAGGCCCCGATCTCCAGTCGTTGCTGCGGTCTTCCCAACTCTTCACGTCGATCACCAGGACCAGGACCATCACCAGAACCAACACCACCCACCACCGGACTACGGTTATGGAGATCCAGCCGACATGTTCGACATTCAAGGTCTGCATGTCCCGTGATGCTTGGAGCCTCCAAAGTCTCTTGTCGCAAACCAGGGTGTCGGGCTAACGGCGGTGCCGGCGTTAATGGCGACAAGGGGCGTCTCTGCAGCCAAAGTGCCGCCTCCGTCCAGATTGGCAGATACACGCAGATATCCCGTGCGTCCGCCCGCACCCCTCTCTCGGCGCAGCCAGTTTGTTTGTTCAACTTGACTGAGAATCACAAGTCACTCCCAAAGCCAGGAAGCTTCTCATTATCTCCAGTTCCTAGCTTGGAGTCATGAATTCAGTAGCCAAGCAAGGCGACATGCGCATTCCTAATAGTTGGTCATTCCTAGCGCTGCTGCATCAAGGACCAAGTTACAGTTCACTGCAGTAGGGAGTACGCGCGAGGAGACGTTCCGCCCACAGCCCATCAATACGAAGTTACGAACCTGGGTCTGATCACTACGCAGGTCTTCAATGACGCGCTAGAGAAAGGCCAGAGCCTGAAGATGGACAAATGCTGGACGTCAACGACCGACGTACGTGTACGGTGATGCTCCGTACACCACAGTCACTGCCTTCGCTTCAGCCACACGAATCCCAAAGGGGCCAATGGCAGGTCACGGACAGGGGTGTCAATGCATTGGGTTGCCCTGGTCGCGTCTAAAGCACGAGCTGGCGCCACCCCTGTCAAGCGTGCGGTCCGCGGCTAGGAGAGCCACACCCACGGTCCAACCTCCATCCTGAGCACCTAATTAACGTTAGCAGACTCTTGGGTACCACCGTTTGTTCCACGTACGAAGACACGCAAGACACGCAGTGCGAGCACAGATCAATACGCTACTAATATAGCAATAGATGCCATAGCTACGTACTCTATACGTCTGCGTGTCATAAGACAGCTGAGTCCCAGAGCACCCGACATTACTAGGCAGAGATGCCAGCGGCTGCCGGGGAACTGTCAATATCATTCCCGCATCGGCGACTTTCTAGGGAACCTCCACCGACCGAACAAGATTAATGCAGGTTCATACCGATGGAAAGATGCGGGGAATTCAGCATCGGATGCTTCCCAGCCGGGAAGCGAGGCCATTGCAAAAGTGACGTGTGTTAGATAATCCAAAGGGACGTTTGGGAGCGTTTTGTTAGCTCATGACCACACACGTCCGTCCCCCTGGGAGTCTGGGACTGGAGTCCTGGGACTGATCCTACCCAGCTGGGGCGGGCCGTCGCATTGTCGCGCCTGGGCTACATATACGGATACGGAGCTATTTATTGCAGGCGAATGTTGGCCCGTGTGAAAGAGCACGAGCTTGATCAACAAGACGCCAGGTCAAGACGCCAAGTCACACAGCATGGACATGTTAGCGCTCGCGCTGCCGTCTTAGCGTTTTCCGGCTGAGGCACACCGCCTAGATAAGCCGCCCCCAATCCTCGGATCAAAGCTCGAAACAAGCTGGAGAGCCATGCACTGCTGTATGTTACACAGCAATAACAGCGTACTCTATATCGTGCAAAGATCCTGGCTTCGCATTGCTTCGAATAGAGTGGTAGGCGAGGTGGAGATGTCCGGTCCGCGCGCAACGGCCAGCGCCCCGATTTTGCGGGCAGGTTTAACGCCGATGCCACAGGGGATTTCCAGTCGTTCATGCTGCGCTAGCAGGGCACAGTCGCTGCTTGACGAGACCGCACGGTGCGTCGCTTGTCCTCGTCGACGTTCCGCGGCAATCTACCGACGAGGTACTTGGGCGAGACGCGATCGGCCATGTGCGCTTTTGCCGCCGCCGCCGCAGCAGCAGCGCGAATACGTACAAACTATTTTCGTCCGCGATGCGTTGGGCCGTTTCATCTTCAGCATTGAACATGATCGAATTGACATGTCTTTGTCGAACGATGGGAGCTGCGAGGGCATGCAACCGACTCAACCAAGCAAGCAAGCCCGGCCAACGTCTCATCACTGTGCTTGCTGGAGCGTGGCCCGCGTCGTCACACATAGCACCAATGCAGCATGCCTCGGCGCCAATCGCCCTTGCAACAACCAACCCCTTCCCACTTCCCACGGGAGAATGCCGAAGGGGTAGGTAGGCAGCCTGTACGTAGGGAGAAGAATTCGAGGTGCAGATGGCCATTGCAGCGCAGCAGCGTGATCAACCCATGCCTTTTGGAGGGAGCACTGGACGGCACTTACTCCTGTGGGCCGCATGCCCTGGTCATCGTGATCACGAGAAATGCCTTGCTTGCTACGGCGTTGACCACGTCACGTGGCACCTTGGACGCGAGCACCATTGCCTTTGAGCGCGCTGCAAATGCGAAGACGTTCAAGTGTCATTTCTGGCTCGTCCTCAGCGAGAGAAAGGCAGGCTGAGCCGCCGCGGGTCGTCGCGCTCACATGCGCGCGAACTCATTAGGCGCCAAGCCTAGCTGCAACGGTCGCGATCGAGGACTGCGTCTGTCCGTCAGAGCAAATTGACAGTTTACTAACTACATCCAAAGCCCCAGGTTGGGAGTCTGAAACATATAACGAGCAACCTTGAGCGTAAGAGCGCCTCTATTATTCCAGGAATAGATTTGCTGATGATTTTCCCCGGACCAGGCCTGACCTGCGCCTGGGGGTTGTCCAATGATGCTCAGCGGGTCGAATAGCCGCCCACTAAGCGCCTGGCGCTTCCAACGTCAACGTCATTTACAGCAGCAGCAACGAGAACAACACAACCATCACCACCACCAACCACAGAGCAGAGGCATTCAACCCTGGGCGAATCTTACAGAGAGTGCTCGCTCTCGTCTTGCGGTACCTGGCTATTTTAGGAACCTCATGCGCGTCATGCGAAAGCGACAGCGCAGGGCACGGCGCCAAACTACGTCCAAGATCTCGCCGAAGACGTGTGAGATGTGCATATCTGCAAGGCACACCATGCGCTTCCACGAGCTCCACGCACGCCGGACGCATCTCACGAGCTGGGCGGCAATGTCTCGATCCAGTGCTCAGGGTCCTCTAGCCGCGTACATCTCCCAAGGGGCGGGAGGACGGTGGAGGGGCCCTGCGCTTGTCAAATCCGCATCGTCGTCTTGACGCCCTCAAAGTCCAGCAACGCCCCCTCCTCCCAGCATCTCGGGACTCTGGCAGTCTTCATCGGCGCTACCCAGACCAAGTATTACACGCCATTGGTGGTTCTGCGCGCGCAGCCAACGAGCATGTACCCCAGTGTCGCCGTCCTTCCACCCACCGCCCAGGGGGCCCCCAACAGTCCCTCCCCCTTTGACGACGATGCCGAACACATTGTCCCAGACAGTCCCAGCCAGCAGCAGCACACACACGAGTCCTGCACACGCCCCTCCTCCAAGCGGCAAGTATTTTTAGTCACTGTGGCTATTTCCAGCAGCAGCCGGGGACCCAGCCGCCGATGAGCTGCAGCTTGCTTAAGTCAACGACATGCCTCTCCTGAATATTTATCAGCTGCCCCCTTTCCGCGACGACACCCCCCTAAAACAGGTCTCGAAGCGCTCTGGCAACTCACCTCGGCCCCTCTTCCTTCTTATCTGGACATGCAATGATGCTTGGTAGGCGGTTACCGACTGCTTGCCTCCCCATGGACCCCCGGGTCGTCCGTGACCGCAATATAATCACCACGGGTGACACACATCACGCGAGCGCCTATGGAAAGCGCCCGATGATATCACGCCTTGCGATATAGTTGCACACACACACACATTGCCATGTGAACATGTTCCATGTTTCTCCTATTGCTACATCCCCACACGCTCATGGCCCCTGCCCTGATCATGCAGTGTGCACCACAAGCGTTTCTGATATTAATAGCAACCGCTACTGTCCGACGGATGAGTGGCAGCAACAACGCACTCTCGACACAGATCGGCTCACTTCTTCTGGCGCTTGGCACTTTTGTCGCTCGTCGTGCTCAAGACACTGGCACTGCGCTTGTGCGGTCCTCCGCTGCTCTCTTCAGCGGCCGCTTCTTTGCTCCCCTCGCCTTCCACTGGGTCCTGTGTACCAGGCTCCTCGCCGTTGGGATCAGCCGCCGGTTCCGTCGTTTCTTGTGCCTCGCTCGTGGTGCCGGTCTCGGCGTTGTCCTCTTTGGACGCCGACTCGTCGCCCTTGGTGACTGGCATGTCAGGGTTGGACTTGTCCTGAGCTGGGTCCTCCTCGCCATGATTGGAAGATTCTTTGGCCTCTCGTTCCGCTTTCTTGGCCTGCTCGAGCTTGAGCTCCGTATCCAGCTTGTCCGCCACCTTCCGAGCATCCAGGAGCGCATTGACGGCCGCAAAGAGCTGCTCAAACTGTTGCGTGGTGGCAACCGTGGGCATGACAAGCTTGGGAGGAATGTCCAGCTCGAGCAGGACATTGTTGATCCGCTGTTGCTGCTGATTTGACTTGTGCGTAAACATCTTGTTGATCTTCTCGGACCTGAAAACAGGCCCTGAAGTGAGACGGTCGTGATGTGATACGCCATAGACCTGCTCTTCCTTCTCCGTGAGCTTGGGTCGCTCGGCTTGTTGATTGCCCTTCTTCTTGCCTCCTGTAGGCGTAGATGTCGCGCCCGTCGAGGCCACAGTGCTCTCGCGCCGGCTGCTCTCCTGAGCTTGTGCTTGCGCTTGCGCCTGGGCTTGGGCCTGAGCAGCTGCCGCGGCGGCGGCTGCGTTGGCCGGATGAGCATTGTCCGCGCCCATGAGTGACCTTCGCTTCTTGTTCTTGTCGGCTGCCATGAGCTGTTGTAGCAGGTTCTGCAAGCCCTGGGACGTCTTGATGCTGCTAATGTCCTGCTCGGACTGGGGAAAGTCAAGGCGGTTGTATAGCTCCCGTCGCTCTTCGTTGAAACGCTCGCTCCGCGCTAGTATGCGCTTGACCTCGAGCAGCAGCGACTCTTCTTCGCGCGCTTCTTCCCGTGATCTTTTCAGAGCGTTGAGGGCAAAGTCCTTGCGCGCCTTCTCTTGCTGTGCGTTGAAATGTAACATCATCTCGTGGAGCTCAAACTCGGCTTGTGACATGACATGAATTGGCTTTTGGGCCGCCATCATCTTCGCCGCAATCTCGTAGTATCTCGATTTCAGGTCCTCCATCGAGCGAGCTTCCTGCTTTGGCACAACCGCCTTGCTCTCGTCGCCATCCGCATCCGCCACGCCGTTGGTGGCTGGTGGGTTCCACTCGTACCGGTCCCAGATCAGAGGCCATCGCACGTCAAAGTCGGTCACGAGCTCCATCAGGTAGTCCGTCTCTTCCTTGGACCAGTCGTCGCTCTTGAGGTGTGTCTTGTATTGCTCATCCGTGTACTGTGGTATGCTCGGTCGCACGTTGAACTTTGCAAACGCCGAGTCCTCAATCTCGTCTGGTTTGGGCGTTTCCACAGACGGCACGACACTGTCACCCTCCTGTTTCACCTGCGCTCCGTTCTGCTCCGTCGTCGGTTGCGCGCTTGCGTCTGCATTTGTGCCGTGTTGTTGTTGTTCCTGCTGCTGCAGTCCATGCTGTCCGTCTCGTCTCCTCCAGTGCCGCAACATCAGACTCGGGTCGTCGCGCGCCGAGTTTCGAAACGGCGCAAGGTCCCATCGGGCAGCGGGCTTTCGATTCGCAAGCCGCCGCTTCTTGAAGCTGGACACCTCTGGTACAATCGCAATCGGGTTGTCTCCGCCCAGGCTCTGCACCTCACGCGCTAGGCCTTTGAGATTCGATCGCGGCGCGGACAGGCGCTGTTTCTTGGATGGCCTGTGGCTGCCGCCTGGAGTGCCAGATGCAGAGCTGCTGTCGGGTAGGTTGAGTACATCGCGTAGATCGTTGGAACTCATCGTGGCGGTCGCGCCCGCTCGGGCGAGGTGTGAAGTCTCGTCGCGATAACTGCTCGATTGCGGAGAATTATATCGTATCGGATGGTCCGTATGCATAGAACGACTGGTATTGATGCGCAGCGGGGGGTCCGGTTCGTTGTTTAATCAATTCCGTACCAAAATTCCCATCCTCAACGCGGGTTGCAGGTTGGCGTTCGGAGGGTCACGTGCCGAGCGCCCCCTGACAGGTGGCAGCTTCCATCCCGGCCCATAGCCCACCTGGGGTCGCAACACCAGCCGATCCCCAAGTCACCGACGACGACGCCAATTGTTCTGGACTTGGGACATTCCATCATCAGCTACCCACTGAAATCTGTTCCTCCAGACCCGAGTGCCCAAGATGAGGGTTCTCATCTCGCTCCTGATGCTGGCCTCGGCCGCCCACGCCTTGTACTTCTTCATCGACGCCGCGACCCCCAAATGCTTCTTCGAGGATCTGCCCAAGGACACACTCGTCGTGGGTCACTACGGAGCTGAGGAATGGGACGACAGGTCGAATTCGTGGCAGCAACACGCCGGCATTTCCATCTACATCTCTGTGGACGTGAGTTGATCTCTCTCCCTCGCGCTGGCCGGGGGAGCACGAGCTAACGAACTTGCCAACAGGAGATTTTTGATAACAACCACCGCGTCGTTTCGCAAAAGGGCTCATCATCCGGCCGCTTCCACTTCTCCGCCCATGAGGCCGGCAACCACAAGATCTGCTTCACCCCGAACTCCAGCTCCGGCCGCAGCGGCTGGCTAAGCACCAGCAGCCCGAACGGGGGCATCAAGCTCCAGCTCGATCTTGTCATCGGCGAGACGAACGAGATTGAGAGCAACGACAAGAACAAGCTTCAGGACATTGCCTCGCGCGTAAAGGATCTAAACGCTCGGTTGAAGGACGTAAGAAGGGAGCAGGTCTTCCAGAGGGTAAGCAGCAGCGCCACCAGTCACATGTCCGGCAGCAGCAGCACCACTGACACAGTCCCAGGAACGCGAAGCCGAGTTCAGAGATCAGTCCGAGTCGACCAACAGCCGTGTCATTCGCTGGATCCTGATTCAGCTTGTTGTGATGGGTATCACCTGCGTGTGGCAGCTGTCCAACTTGCGCTCCTTCTTCATCAAGCAAAAGCTCACGTAAAATATGGCTGGATTGTTTTGGGAGTTCTGGTCGGTAAGCGTTGGGGTTCAAAGCATGGTACGGCATGCGCAACCACAGGGTTGGGCGGCTTTTCAATGTAGCAATCATCTGGGGCAAAAATGGGATCGCCGGTTAGGTCACTGGAGGCAGAGCATGAACGAAAAGGGCACTGTATCTGTCTATGAACGCCTTCTTTCATTACAATGTGACAAGCACTGCTCGCAGCCTACTCTGCAGCTCCAATCCTGTGAGAACCAATGTTCACCAAGAACCTGTGTAATCGCTGGAAACCCTCTCCCCTCAAGCAGCAACTGTCCACGTCGCTGCAGTGCTCTCTACTGCATCCCCAACCATGCTGCTCTCCCGCTTCAACGACGTAACGACCTAGGAAACATATTATAAACGATGAGAGAGGTGTAAGATAGAAAGGAGAATAACACCGGAACCGACCCAATGCTGCCAGTATCAACCTGCTGCGCCTTGCTGCGCTACACATCAACCGCTTGGTGTAGGGGTGTCGTGAGGAATGCCAGGCTCCAATGAAAACAAACCCAAACCCAAGGCTTTTCTGTTCGCCAGCTTATACATGCTTTCTTCCTTCCCAGTAGCCGAAGCTCTTAGAATGTGCGCGATTGATGACACCGAGGACAGACAGATGAAAGAACGCTGTATGAGCCGTGAGGTAAGGGGTGAGGACCCCCGCCAAGCTGGGATTCTCCCGGCGAGTGACATAGGACAGGAATCGCCGAGATGATGTGGATGTTGACCAGCGAGGCTCAAGCAGTCATCCTTGCGAGATCTTTTTTCGACTGAGCCTAAGTCTGTGTCACTAACCACAGCAAATTGTTTTCATCAGCTTCTGGAATCCGCTGGGTTGCTGCTGAGCCTCAGCCGGACGAGTGCTAGCCTGTGTTGGCTGCGTAGCCGGAGTTTGCTGCGGGCCCCTCCCCTGAGACAAGTTCTGAGCGCTGTTCTGGAACTGGGCTTGGGTCGAGCCAGCCGGTGTTGCTGCGTCGCCTCGGAGACCCATCGCGCTGCTCCGTTGCGCGGAGATAGCGCCTGGGGCGTTTTGCCGATCTCTCTGCTTCCCCATCTGCTTGATCGGTGACGGAGGTGGGGGTTGCGCGGCGTTTAAACGGCCGACAGTAAGGTTGTGTGCTTGCTGGTGAGAGTTCGTATTCCCGGGACGAATCCCGCTGTGCAGCTCCATTTGAGACGCTCCGGGGCGCGCGTTTGGGTTGTGCAGATGTGCATTGCTGTGCCCCTTGCTGTCCCAGCCCTTTCCCGAATCCTTGGACACCTTCATCCAGTCGTACTCGCCGTCCTCGACTTCGTTGACACCCTTGAGCGCCTGGGTGAAGAGCTCACGTAGGTAGTCGTAGTCGGGGGTGTCCTCGAAGCCCAAGTTGCGAACGTAAGTCAAGTACTTGCAAAACTCATCGGGGAAGCCGTCGCAGAGATCCTTGATCGCGGTGGTCTGCTTCTTCTTTCCAATCTCCTCATACTTCTGCTTGTTGGTGGCAGCCTTGAGACCCTGCCAGGGGAGACCTCCCCGCAGGAAGTACATGAAAACGTGACCCAACGCTTCCAAGTCGTCTCTTCGTGACTGCTCACGTCCCAGATGGGTGTTGATACTCATGTAACGCGCAGTACCAGACAGAGATTTGCGTTCTCTGTAAGGAATGTGCTGCTTCGTCTTCGGGTCGCGGTATTGCTTGGCCATGCCAAAATCCACTACGTGGATAACGTTCGAGGCCTTGGTGCCAGGGCGGCCAATCAGGAAATTGTCGGGCTTGATATCGCGGTAAATCAAGTTCTTTTCGTGGATCGTTTGCACCCTCGACAGCATTTGCTTGGCCACCATGACAACAGTCTTGATCGAAAATCGGCGTCCGCAGTGATCGAAGAGGTCCTCCAAGGACGGTCCGAGAAGGTCAATTACCAGGATGTTGTGAAGACCTTCCTGGCCGAAGTAGTAGACATTCGGAATGCCGGCTACCTTGAAGTCAGTGACCTGATGTCCGGTAGAGTAACGTTTTTTCTTACGGCAGCCGACGAGAATCTTGTATGTTCGGTACTCATCGCGAAGCTGGGGGGCGTCGCTCTTGCGAGGCTCCTAATCCATTCATCAGTACCCATAACAAACGACTTTCGTTGTGGAAGCACCTACAAATTTGATGGCGACTTGCTGGTTATTCAGGAGGTTGGTACCCTCAAAAATAACACCAAAGGAGCCCTCGCCAATCTTCTTCCCAACTCGGTAATGAACGCCGACGACGTTGGAGGAGGAGGATGCCATCTCAGAAGATTATGAGTGATCAGTGATCACTCAAGGCTGGTCGTATGCACGATGTCGGTTGTTTGTGGAAGGTAGAGGTCGACTCGATTCGGAGAAGCGCGCTGGTACCTAAAAGATGAAAGTTGCTGTCAGCGACTTTGATCAAAACTTAAAAGTTCAAGGCGCCCGGTAGACGCAATTAGCTTGAGAATAGGAGCAATCCGACGACAATGAAACAACGCGTCAAGTGTGTTCCCATGAGGAGGCTTGGGCCGAACACAAGTGCAGGCAGGGCGGACAGGCTGCTAAGGCACACCGGACCTTGCTCCACAGCCACACAACGTCTGGTGACTACTGGCTGACCATGAAGGGGCCGTGAGAATCATCGGAGATGTCCTTGCCTGTGCGCATTGCCGATGATGTGTGTATGCCGTTCAACTACGCTCGGTCTGGAAACTGTCGGGCGAACCAGGTGTCGGCGAGAACAGGGGATCCGGCAGGGAAGAATGTAAATTCAGTGGGAGACGCATCGGCAATGCTGTGCACCTAATTCCACGCGACAAATACGATGCACGTCTGAATGTTATTCACGTACCCTCAGGAGATAACCGTTATTGTCAAAGTCTATCGTGGAATTGATGTCGTGGACTCGCGAGAGATGGCTACGGTTCGAGGGATCGATTCGGCACGGCTTGTTTGCTGAATCGGGCGGATGCGATGCTCGTGTGTCGAGGCTGGGGAGAGACCACTTTTGAGTCGGCCACCCAGTCTAATTGTCGACGGGAGCAGAGCGCGATGGCTGAGCCTTGCAAAAGGCGCTTGACGAGGGCGAGTGAGCGGTGCCTGGGGAACAATGAGGGAAGGAGAGGGAAGGAAAGGAGACGATGGGACGGGACGGCAAGGCAAAGGGGAACTGGACGGTGGGACATGAGAGCCTGGCCTCCTCCACTGGCAGCATCTAAACAGGTGGACAGCGGTCTCGAAAAAGCTAGGGTGGGTAGGGGCAGGCCTGGGAGAGCAGACTGTGATTGGTCCGTGACGATTCCGGCCCTCGCCTGGGGCTATTACTCTTGGTTGATGCAGGTGCCAACGCCAACGCTACAGCGGCCCTCTTCCCCTACGCCCACTGACAGACAGACGGACAGACAGACTGGACATACGGTGAGCGAGGTGCACACCACCTGTCAGTAATAAATCCTGTCAGACGCAGCGAAATGCGCGACTTGTTGGTAATTTGAACATGAGCTTCACGATTGCGTCGTCGTGAGTTTCCAATCGCTGTCCTGAGGAACGACACAGCATACCTACAGTTCGAAGGCATTGATAATGTTCGGTTTGATTAGCATGCTGGGACCGGCACGAGTAATTAATTGTCGACCAGGCGCCGTCGAATCCAATGAAAGTGAGGATCGGGTGCGGTCCGGTCTTGGCGCGCTTTGGAGAGCATTTGATCACAGGCAGGTACGCGGCGGCACGTCAGGCACGACACCCGGACCCATAACAAGGAAGGTACTTGTGTCCGCACGTAATTTCTCAGCCATTGCTCGGTATATCGGCCACACCGTTCCTGCCTTGGCGCTCAGGGTCTGGAATCCAGCCCTCTGAGCGCAGACAGAGCAAGATTTAATATTGCTTTCACCATCAACAACTTGCCATTCTGCCGAAACACGAGGAAAAGATTGTGTTGTTGCTCGCGTCTGCGCAGGGCATTACACGACACTATTATGCCAATTATGAGTGGGCGATGCGACTGATCTTAACCTGTTATTCCCAACTGGCGATCCGACTTGTGTTTATTAGCTGTTGGGGCATAGCAGCAGCAAATCACCGAACCCTGGCTCATGGTTTTATTTACGTTCATGCTTTACGAGCTTTCCATTCCCGGTGCCGCCAGTCTGGGAACAAGCCGAGCTTTACCTGAGCCCGCATCTCGGTCCACCAGCGTGTTGTGAGCTCTTGACCAGAACACTGAAGCACGTGACGTTCATTGTGATTGCGGCTGCTGCTGCGTGCGAATCGTCACAGCCAACGGTCCCCCGCATGACGAACAAGAACATACAAGTATATGCCCCCGCCAAGCAAATACCGGATATAGGTGCCAGGCATCTAGAAGGAAGCTCTTATCGTTGACGTAGGCGCAGAGGCATACCTTAGTATTAATAATTCAACGATGCCATCCGCGGGGTATTGGCCCCCTCGATGATTTAAATCACCGCATCAACACTTGCATCACTAATAGGTGGACGGGACGGCAAAAGAGTCCTTTTAACCGCTCGAGCTAGACATATAAAGCCTTCGCCTCCTCTCGGAGAAAGAACGGGTTTCTATCACGACATATTGCCTCGAGTGCCCAGAAGATCCACTAGGAAATCCCCCTCACTACGGCAGCCTTCTTGACAAGACATCCCTTCACAATGACGGGTGCAGACAACGTGCCACCGATGCAGTATCGGTTCCTGGGTCGATCAGGACTTCAAGTCTCTGCCATCTCGCTTGGCGGTTGGCTAACGGCCGGTGGCCATGTTGACGACGGTGCGTTGAGCCCGTCCTTGGAGGCGGAACATCTGCTCTGACAAGTGCACAGAGGGAACCTTTGCCTGCATGAAGGCAGCATACGACTGTGGTATCAACTTCTTCGACTGCGCCGAGGGGTACGCCGATGGCAAGTCTGAGATCGTCATGGGAAAAGCCATTAAACATTTCGGCTGGAAGAGGAACGATCTGGTGGTTTCCACCAAGGTATGTCCCTCGCCCGACTGCAAGCAAGGCGGGCGATGCTGATGAAGTAATAGCTTTACTGGGGAGGCGCATTTGGCGACAACATTGTCAACAACAAAGGTCTTTCGAGGAAGCACGTCCTGGAAGGCATGGCTGCGTCGCTCAAGCGTCTAGATCTCGAATACGTTGATCTTGTTTTCGCCCACCGACCTGATCGTCAGACCCCCATCGAGGAGACAGTCCGTGCTTTCAACCACCTCATCACCACAGGTCAGGCTTTGTACTGGGGTACCTCCGAGTGGAATGCCGACGAGATTGCCCAGGCATGGCGGTACGCCGATAAGCTTGGGCTCATCGGCCCCTTGATGGAGCAGCCTGCATACAACATGCTGAACCGCGAGAAGGTTGAGTTGGAGTACGCTCATCTATACCGCGAGACTGGTCTGGGGCTCACGACGTTTTCTCCGCTGAACAAGGGCCTCCTGACGGGAAAATACAAGAATGGCATCCCCGACGATTCGCGCTTCGCTCAGACTGACGTGCCCTTTATCAAGGACTTCCTGAGCAAGAACCCCAAGGAGAAGTGGGATCCCGTCATCCGCCAGGTCAACTCGCTGGAGCCTATCGCTGAGAAGTTGGGCATCAGCCAGGGCACATTGGCCTTGGCTTGGGTTCTGGCCAACCCGAACGTCAGTTCCGCCATTATTGGAGCCAGCAGGCCTGAGCAGGTGTTCCAGAATGTGAAGGCCCTTGAGGCTGTGGAGAAGTTGACGCCAGAGATTCTGAAGGAGATCGATGAGCTATTGGGGAACAAGCCAGCAGAGATCACGCAGAGGTTCTAGGATTCTAGAGCAAATAATGAACGAGAGTGTCACGGTCAGCAATATATAGACTCATGGTAAAAAGTACGAATACGTGCACTTCTTGATCGTTGTTGTAAGTTACGTTGACCACAGGGAGCTTCCGTAGCAAACAGAGGATCGTCTGCAACGAGGGTAGGTGGTCATTGGTCGGCCCAACTCAATACATGGTCTTAAGCGGTCTACGTAAGCATGATTCCAAGAAATCTGTGACTATCTCTCCTTGCATGTGACCAAATCAATCTGCGGACATTGTTGTTGGGGAAGAGCACATGAATCCGCATACCCGCAAATGCCGCCTGCGACCCGAACGCTTACATCTCACCCATCCGCCGTCTCTCCCACGTTCAAATCCATTACCATATACTTTACCTCATCAGAAACGATTGCCAAAGATGCTCCGCTCAAAGCTAAGAAGTATCGCCCCTCACGCTCAATTTCCTCTCATAGTAAATGGACCCATGATGGGCGTTGTCTCCCCGGCGCTGGCGGCTGAGGTGAGCAAAGCTGGTGGTCTAGGTTAGCCCTCTTTCTGCCCGCTGTCCTGTCACTTCATGCTCACCGTGCTTCCTAGGGTTCGTTGCGTCTGTCCTTGACGTGTCAGCCGGCTCGGCGCAGCTTTCCAAGCTTGAAGAGGACATCAAGGCGTGCCGCGAGCTTCTGAGGAACCATGTCGACCTCACCCCTCGGCTGCCTATCGGCATTAGCTTCCTCACCAGTCACAAGTCCATTGGCTTATTCAAGGAAACTGCATTGCCAATCGTCAGAGCCCATAAGCCACTGGCAGTATGGCTCTTTGCGCCGCAAGAGTCGATCAAGCCACACGCTGAGATCATTGCCGCTCTGAAGGGTCTCGAGACCCCGCCTACAGTGTTCGTTCAAGTCGGCCATCTCACTGCCGCCCGGGAGGCTGTCAGGGACGGTGCAGACGTCGTTGTGTGCCAGGGCAGCGACGCTGGTGGCCATCAATACGTGAGGGGCTCTGGCGTAGTGAGTCTCGTGCCCAGTGTCCGGAGAATGATCGAGAAGGAATTCCCTGACAAGGAAGTGATACTGCTTGCAGCCGGAGGCATCTCCACGGGAGATTCTGTCGCTGCAACTATGGTGATGGGTAGGTGATTCCAACTTGGGGAAGGGCATGTCGTGCTGACAGTCAAGGTACTGCTGGCGCTGTAATGGGCACACGGGTAGGTTCACCAGCTTCCAGAGGAAGGCTCTTCGGCTAACAGTCTTAGTTTACTGTCGCGAACGAATCTTCCTATCCCGAGTTCCGCAAGGAAATGGTACTCAAGACCACAGATGGCGGCACACAAACCTTGAAGTAAGGCCTTTGCCCATTATTGGATCTGTTCGTTGACGCTCATGTCTCAGGTCTTCGTTCAATGACCTCATCAACAACAGTCCTGTCTGGGCGCACATCAGTCATACCTATGATGGTCGCGCTATCATTGGACCTCTTCACGAGAGGTTCATGAGCGGCTCCTCGCTTGAAGAATGCCAGGAGGCGCTACACACAGAGTACACAGAAGATGAGGCAAAAAAGGTCCTCAGCACATGGGCGTAAGTACAGAGGCGCATACGCGACTGGGTCTGAAGCTGACGTGTCCAGTGGTACTGGTGTAGGACTAGTCGAAAAGGCACAGCCAGCTGCCGAGATTGTCCGGGAGGTACGAGAAGAGGCTGTTGAGACTCTGAAGCGAGCGACCGAACTTATTTGATACTCTTGGTTGTGGTTCGGAATAAGGGCACGGGGTTGATGTGACATTCTAGAAGTATTTAGGTATATGCTCACATGTGGCCACTCTACACACCACACCTGCTGGACTGCATCCAATCCACTCCTCTACAACTTCGCCTTGCCCTGGGCCTTCTTGAAGATGGGCTCCAGCTTGGTGGCCTTCATCACGTCGCCCTTGATCTTCAGCTTGCCCGACATGAACAGACGCTGGGCATTGGCCTTGCCGGCGACAAGGTTGGCGAAATCATCCTCGGCGAGAGCCAGTGTGACTGCGCGCCCGTTAGCGTCTCGAAAGAAGTGTCTTGCTGTGCGAGAGACTCACCATTGGGCTTGGTGCCAAGGCCGTTACCGACCTTGCCTGTCTCCTTCAGGTCGATGTGCCAGCTCTCCGTCTCGCCGGACTTGTTCTTCAGTGTGAAAGCGTAGATGCCATTGCCCTGCTTGATGGCGTCCTTGCGGTCGGCGTCGGTAGCGTTCAGGGCCTCGTTGATGGTGTCGAACGCGGCCGAAGCAGGGAACTTGTCTGTCGCGCTGGTCAGTTCCGTCTGGTCGCGCAAAGGTCATACTGTCTGTCTTACCATTCTTGAGGGACATTCTGGCGATTGTGAACTGGCGATAATCAATTTAGAAGGACTGGGTATGGTACAATTGACTTGGATGTGTCGTGGAGGAAATGATCAAGGGCGAAGAGTGGACAATTTGGGGTCCTCTTGTACGATAGCATGTGACGCGAGCCTCGGCGCCAGGCGCATTTTGTGATGGACCGTCCGGCCGTAGCTCGTCATCATGCGCGCGCCGTACCCCGGCCTTACCCCACACCAACAAGTGGTCGACGGTCTTTCTCCAACCTCGGAACTTCCGCACTCATGTTGACTTTGCGAGTCCAACTAGTCCGTGTAAGTACCTCTCGAGGCGAGGGGCAGTATTAGTTCGGAAGGATCGAGATACCAACGAAGCTTGGGGCACTTTCTAACTGATTCTGGCATCTTTTTGATAGTACAGCTGGAAAGCAACCTGGCTAACCAAGGAGATGTAGAAAGTAATACAGCACATTCACAAGCAGTCCATGCACACTGATTTCCTGCTTGTGCGGCAGGTTGTGATGTATCCCCCATTGCGATGAAATGTTTGCCATGTCTTCTACGTGCCCTAGCCACCTGTTGTTACAGCTTTTATACATATGACAAGACAGCTACTCACAAAGTCCACTCAGGAACTGGGAAATCGCGGGTCTGGGGCCACTGCTCGGGTCTGTAACTTGGTCAACATTTGATTCTCCCCGTGAAGAGGTCCACGTACCGTGTCAAAAGCAGCACTGTCATGCGGCGCCTTCTCTCGATGCCATCCTCGGCAGCAGTCAGCCTCAACCAGTCGGAGAGCCAACCTCGCAGCTCCGTCTCGCTTTTGCCTAGGATGTTGATGCCACGCTCGGCGCATGCAATGCGCAGCTCTTCATTGACAAGGTCCATGGGCCCGCCGTCTTTGATGAGGTTCTTGTCGTCGCCCTCCAGGAAGGCCAGACGCAATTTGCCCTTGATTTGCCACATACCCGGCGGCACGATGCGCAACGTCTCCCACATGTCGCCAGACAAGTAAAGCGTCCGCAGGACATGGTTTCGTGCGGCGTACGGGGACAGTTTCGGGTCAAAGACGCCGCCTGGGTATCGCGCATCGAATTCATTGAACACCAACACACGACGCGTTTCCGCCCGTTCCTGGGAATGGAGCACTTGAGACGGTATGCGGCATGTGTAGGGTACCAGCCCGTCAAAGAGCATCACCACCAGCGGCGTGAATTCCCCAATGATAACAACCATCAGCCCGAAGATGGGGAGTCGGACCAGATCATGTCGGTTCCGCCACAGAAGCACCCAATCTGCTCGCGAGAATGTCTTGGGCACAAATTTCGGGTTCCATATTGAGGGTAGGTCGTCCTTTGGTGTGCGCTCGATCTTCGCTTTCACCAGCTTGCGGTTGGCCAGCGTGGCCTTGAGACCCTCCTTGTAGAATGTCACGTACCCCTTGCCGACTTCAAACAGATACTTCCAGTACGACTCGAACTGCTCGCGCGACGGGTTGACCAGTAACGGCGGTCGCGTCGATCGTGGTGGGTTTATGATTTCGTTATGCGCGGCGGGCTTCTTTTCCTGACGAGCGACTGGTTTCCGAACGGGGCGAGCAAGGGTGTGCTTGGCTTGATGTGCAAAATGTATGCGTGGATTAGCATAGATGTGACTCCTTGCGGGCGCGCAGCATCGCCATGGTGCGCGAGCACTCATGTTTCTCAGTATACGGAGTGGTTGGTGATGAACATCCAAACTAACTTCTTGGATTCGAAGCTTCAGAACAGTCGCTGCAGGGGTCTCTAGTATATCCACTTTAGTTACCATTGGTACGCTATGATTGGCTGACATGGTTCAACCCACCCTATGCCAACAGCGAAAAGCCGTCCAAGATCGATTATAGCGTGGCCAGAGAAAACTATGCAGGAGTTAATAACGGACAAAGTCAATTGCTTTTAAGACTGGTGTTTTTTGTTGGTTTGCAGGCGAGTTCTGTGCTTGCGTGGGTGGCCAATATCAGATGTCGACATCCACTCCAAAATTAATTAAACCAGCAAAAAAGTCGAGCGCCAACCGATGCTATCCGTCCTGAAAACTCGACGCCATACACATCTGATATTGTTCAATAGTCCTTATCATACTGTTATCGACCCCAAAAATGGTTATATCTCCCTCTGTCGCCTACTGGGTTTTGACTAACAGCGACAGGTTCACGCCGACGCCTCAAATTTCGCTTCCGGCGTTACTAAAGAAGACGCCTATGAGCAAGTCCTGCTCCAAGCTGAGGGCCTTCTGACTGATCAACGGAACTGGGTAAGCTCAGCCAGATGTGACTGGGTATGATGAGTTGTGCTCACAATAGTCGATAGGTTTGGTAAGATTCCAGGTGAGGCCAGTAAGGACCGGAACCCAGTGGCTAACACGACAAAGCAACTTGGCCAATGTAGCCTCACTACTATGGCATGCATACAAATCTTTGCCAGCTCCAAGTGCTGCAGTCAATTGGGCAGGTAAGCGAGAGAAGTCCCCTGCACGTGAAGAAATACTAAACCATAAGGCTTCTACGTTCTTGACCCCTCTGTGAGCAAGCCACAGCTCATCCTCGGGCCGTTCCAAGGGAAAGTGGCCTGCCAAACCATCCTCTTCGGCCGCGGAGTCTGCGGTACGGCTGCCGAGACGCGGAAGACGCAGCTCGTGAAAGACGTCGAATCGTTCCCGGGTCACATTGCTTGTGATGGCGACAGCAAGAGCGAGATTGTCGTCCCCATTGTGGCCACATCCAAAGACGGACAGGAAAAGGTGGTGGCTATCATCGATATTGACTGTGCCGAACTAGACGGCTTCGACGAGGTCGACCAGAAGCATTTGGAGGAGTTGGCAGCTCTGCTTGCTCGCAGCTGCGACTGGTGAGTCTGGGGTGGCCTGATGACGCGGGCGACTGGAGGAGCAATGTCGTAGTATTTGAGTCCTTAAAGAAAGTTGTCCCGAGACTCGGCAGGCTCATGGTTCAGACCCTAGAGCCGTACCTATAGCAACGGTTCTTGAAGACAAATATTGAACCAGGCGAGTCGGGTGTGGTGAGACCTGACGAAAGCATGTCTCACGGTAATGTCCCTCCGTCTTGGCCAAGAAGTGCTGGAAGTCTGCCCATAATCCAATGTGAACCTGATCGCCGTATTGTATTTCCCGCTATCCGTGTGCTTGTGCTGGACAATGATGCGAGTGCGAGTATCATGCTTGTGTCGCGCACAAATCGGAACTCTGCCAATGCTAATTCGTAACTCGACGGTGGCTGAGTGTCAAGTATAAGTATACGTGCGTGCGTACCTGCATCAGTAGCACATGTCCTAACGTTAGACCGTAGCGAGGTAGTTTCAGGCAAGATGGCTTGAATGCTACACAAGCGTTATCCGTAGACAGATAGGTGCCGACTGAATGGTCTTATTTCTGATCAACATCCAAGACTATCGCGAAGAAAGCCCCCTGGCATCGATCTTGCATTGTGACTCCAGTGGTCGATTTAGACCCCTGTCGGCGACGATGCGGCGGGGCACTGCTCACCCCAGCCTCCGTTTTTCCAGTAAAAAGTGTGGCTGACGTGAATGATTGGTGCACCGCCTTCAACGGTTGCCGCCTCGAGTGCTCGTTAAGCCCCCTATCCCTGTCCAGTCTCTGTTTATCAGTGTATCACCAGCCACCGCCAAGCAGCCCGCGCCCAATTTCTTGGTTCTTCTCGGAAGTTGGGTGCTGAGTCTGCTGACTGCTGGGCTAGGGAGCGAGAGTGGGCAGGTGCGACACGTCCCGGACCTGGGCTTCCCCAACCACGCGTTCAGATGGCTACGCCAACCGGCGGCCGATATTGGCATGCAATGCCATGCAAAACACTCTGCGTCACCTTCTCTTCTCAACCCTTTCCCTTCATTCCTTTCCTCAACCCCATCTTATTATCCTCAAACCACCAGACTTTTTTCGCCTTCATTCTCCGTAGTTGACAATTGCGGTCAACGGATATTGGTCTAGTTTCAATGTTTCGCTGAAGTCGCTCTTTCCATTGTTTACGCTCCTTTCACCCCACCATAGCCCCAGTGCTCACAACAACCGCCCTCGCTCGCAACGCTTCGCCGTCCACCACCCGCAGTCCGCACCTCAGCTGAGCTCAACATTCCCTTGTCCGACCACAGTATTGGCCCAGTATGGCGGCGAAGACGAAACACAATCCGCTCAATGCTCCTCATACCGCGGGCATCTACGCCGACCTGTCCATCGACGGCCCCGACATTGGCACCCTAGTTGCGATTGTCGACCGCGCAAAGAACCTGCCCAACCGGAAGACCATCGGCAAGCAGGATCCCTACTGTGCAGCGCGCTTAGGCAAGGAAGCCAAGAAAACGGCAACGGACATACGAGGCGGACAGACCCCCAAATGGTAAGCTGTGATCGTCAGTATCACATGGACTAGGCTAACAACCGGTGATAGGGACCAAGAGCTACGCTTCAAAGTCCACGAGGGCCCAGACTATCTGCAGCTCAAGATCTCCGTCTTTACAGACGACAAGCGAACAGATTTGATTGGCGAAGCATGGATCGACCTCAAGGACATCATTGTGCCTGGCGGCGGCCAGGGCGATATCTGGCAAACATTGACTTGCAGGCAGAAGTATGCCGGAGAGATCAGACTGGAGATCACGTACTACGACACCAGGCCGAAACCAGAGAAACTCATCGCCAAACCAAGGGCGCAGCAAGCGTCGACAGAGGGAGATAATGGGTCTACAAGGCAGAGGGGCCCCGTGAAGCGACGTCCGTTGCCTTCAGACCCCGTCACTGGCGAGGCGCCGCCGCAACCAGCAGCCGGTGCACCACTCCCTGCGCCAGTTGCACCACCTGTGCAAGCACCCGCATCCGCGCCACCGCCACAAGCGCCTGCTCCAATGGCACCACCGGTCCAAGAACAGTACCATACGCCTCCTCGCGCGCATGCGAAACATGCATCGCACTCGGGGTACGTGACCAATAACTCCCCACTGCAGAGCATTGAGTATCAGACACCACCGTCGGCACCACGGTATCAGCACCCTGATCAGTACGCGCACCATCACTCAGGTTCTCGAGTCGAGCCTCTGCGTCAACCGCAGCGCCAATACGACGAGAGGGACCACAGCCCTCGGGGACAACCTCTACCGGAGCACTACGATTTTTTGCCATCTACTCGAGATGACCATCGGCACCAGCCAGCCCCCGCGGAATATGACCGCCCTCCACCGCCACCGGCGCATCGCTCAGCCTTTCCTGGCGGACATGAGGTGGTGCACAGCCGCAGCTTCGAAGCGCCTGTGCAGAGGGGATCTCCCATGGACATGAGACACGATGTCCTGAGGAACGAGGCTCATCGCCATTCCATTGCCGCTCAGCCTGTCTCTCGCCCAGTCTTCAGACCATACGATTCGGCACCTGCCACCAACGCTATCCAGCCGCCTGCTGCACCGGTTTATGAAGAAGTGCAACCAAGGCATCAGTCTTATGACGCGAGCTACGACACGCATCCGCGCTCGATGCAAGCAACTGTGGAAGACGTGCCCGAATCTCCCAATTACGGTCAAGGATACCGCCGCAGCAGTCGGGCCAGGCCCGAGGACTCCAATTACGACCCTGCATCAAGCCCTGCGCCGCTGAACTTGAGTCGTTCACCCGGGCCCTCGCCTATGCATCAATCCCCCGGCCGTCTAGAGTACGACGATCTACGGTATCAGCCTGCTAGATCGCCTGCGGCGACTCAGGAACTCTCAACGAGTCCGGGAAGAGACCCATATTACCAACCTTCCAGCCAGCCGCCAAGCCAGCAGGCTCAATACCCTCCTTACGATGACGAGTTCTCCCACCATATGCGACGACCCAGCAACAGCGGCTTGTATGAGCCCCCCGCGTCACTGGTTCCAGGTGGTGTAGACCCCAGCCTCGCGTTGGAACTGGCGGATCGTATTCAAGAGGACCGCCGTCAGGATCGACGATACACCACACAAGTGTCGGGGACGCCACCCCGAGGCCGATATGGATCAGAGCCGCCACCGCCTACTCAAGCATACGGTAATGACGTGATGGTCCCTTACGGTTACAGCCATCCTCCACAACCATCTCCCGACCGAAGGCACGGTTCGGATGTTACCTACAGTAACGTCCAAGAGCAACGCATGGTGCACAGGCCCTCGCCTAGTCCGCCTGGAACATCGCACCATGTGATCAAGCGCAAGTCCGTGAGCCCTGCACCCCCACCATCCGACTCAAGGAGGAAGTCGGACGTTCCCTTTGGGCCAGACTCCTTCGACGCGTACAACACGACAATTGACAACTCGCGGGAGGAGGCGGCAGGCCCCGACCCCAATGCGAAGATCGTGATGCACGATGGCAGGGAGGTCGACCCATCGGACCACCTACCGGTAGAGTCATGGGCGCCCGAACCCGAGCCGAAGCCGCACCAAGCCTCACCAGAGCCTCGCGCCCGGCCTGCGCCGAGCGGTGCGCAACCCATGCCCCCCAGCGGCAGGCGTCAGCTCCGGATCGCCGCGCGTCCGGCCCCGCAACCGGCGGCGGCGCCTCCTCACCCGTCGTACGGACCACAGGAGCCCCACACGCCTCCGACGACGACAGGTCGGAACCGTCTGCACAAGAAGACGAGGTCTTCGGCCGCCCATTCTCCCGCCGCCATGGGCTCGAGCCCCTTGGCTCTGATGGAGAACCACCAGGACAGACACAGCCCCTACACGCCCACCCGAGGCTCTCAACGACCGCCTCACCACTACGACTATCCCAATGAGAACCAGTACAGCGCTGGGCCGCCCATCCCAGCCAAGGTGCCTATGCATCCGTCGGGGGGCGCCATGATGAGCGGTGCCAATGGCGCCGACATGGCGCTGATGCATGAGATGCAGAACATTGACCTTGGGACGGGCCGTTCACGCCGACGAGGAGGATATTGATTGATGATGTAATAATGTTTTCATGTGTATCATAATGAGGACCACCAGGAACGGGAAATTGAAGGGGCTGGACTATACACATGCCATGGCGTTGTTTGGATCTATGCATTTTTAGAAACGGGCTATCAGCTGCGCTGGGGCAGGACAACAGCGACACGAGTTAGACGAGCTGATGTAGAGGAACAAATTGAGACCATTTCCAATAAAAAGAAATACAGTCCATCCGACGTGTGTATCCAACTGTAACAGGTCTCCGTGACTACCTTAGTGTACATTCCCTATATCCCATGACTATGTGCCAGCCCACTGATGCTGACCAAGTAAGAGACTGACGCCTGGTATCGTGCGCTCGCTAAACAATGACATGCATTTTTTCCCTTCATCCCCACGCCCTGTGGCCTAATTGGTGACAGCATTACTCAACGACCATCTTGTTCAAAATCTTTTGTATGCCGGCCATGCGACCGGAGCCAGCGTCAATCTGCTCGGCGGTCTTTCGCGCGCGTTCAATCAAGACAGTAAGCACTTTGCGCGTGTACTCAAAGCTGCCCATGTTCTCCATGTACTGCACGGCGTAGCGCTTGACCTGGAGATCGGTGGTCTTTTGCTTGAGGATGTTGATGAGCTGGAGGTTTGTCGGGTCGGCGCGGACGGCGTGGATGACGGGGAAGGAGAACTTGCCCTCGGTGAGGTCCTCGCACATGCCCTTGTTGTTGGAGTACTCCTGGGAGGACAGGTTCATGTAGTCGTCGCGGATCTGGAAGATGAGGCCGATGAGGTTGACGAGGTGGGAGCAGTCAATGTCGGTGCCGGACTCGGCCTGCATGAGCTTGATGCCGAGACGGAACAGGCCGCCCGTCTTGTTGCCGACCATCTCGAGATAGTCCTCCTCAGTGGGGCACGTGAGGGTGTCGCGCCAGAAGAGATCCATGCCCTGGCCTCTGTGCAGGTTGACCAGCTCCTCGGCGAACATGGCGATGGCGTTGGGGTTCTGGAGCTGCTGCAGCTCCTGCAGGGCGGCAAAGTAGATGTAGTTGGCCGAGTTGATGGTCTGAGCGACGCCAAAGATGTTGTGCGCCACGGGGAAACCGCGGCGCAGTTCCGAGTTGTCCTGGACGTCGTCGACGAGCAGACTGGACTCGTGGAGCATGCCGACGACGCGGGTGATGATGGCGAGGCTGGGGGCCGGGACGTCGAGCCAGGCGTTGAAGGAGCCGATGAGCTGGGAGCGAAAGTCCTTGCCGGGATGGGAGATGACATAGTCAAAGGGGCCCCTTACGATGCGCTCCTTGTCGGCGTTCCAGGAACGCTCTGGGCGGAAGTCGAGGTCGTGGTCCATATAGCGAGTGGGATCAGGCGGCGGAGGCGCCGAGGTCGCCGGCTGGATGGGGTGCATGGTTGGAGAGTGGTAGTAGGCCTCGGCGCTGGGGGAGGCGCCAAAGGAGGACGAGTGATGCCTGTGGTGAGGTTTCTGGGCGAGACCGTCAGGAGAATTGCGTCGCCTCTTGAGCTCGGCCACCTCGGCCTGTGCCTGTTTTTGTGCGAGCCAGTCTGCTTCCGCGACGGGCTTGAGGATGGGACGTGGTGTCGTGTAGGAGAGAGAGCTGGCGTAGCTGTGAAGGCCGGAGGAGGAGGTTCGCGGAGGGATGGCGTTGGGTGAGGCCAGCATGTTGGCGGGGGCTGCTGCTGGAGACTTGTTTGGTTTTGATGAAGGAGGACTGGAGGCAGACGCCAATGGGGTCGAGGATGATGGAGGAGGAGAGGATGGAGCCATGGCGAGCGTGGCCAGGGGGCTGGGAGCCTAATATGTGTGTGTCTGTGAAGCTCCAGTCGTCGCGTCCAAGTGTCGGGCGCAAAAGAGTCGAGACGGACGAGCTATGCGAAGCTGTAGTGGGACCCCACCTTCAATGACGCTTGGAGTTGGAGATGAAGTCAGGCATGCAGCAAATGACAGCTTAAGCTACCGTGGAGGAGGACCTGACAGCCCGTTCTGTCTTGCTCTGGTGCCTGTGCCTGACTGGTGTCTCGATGCGCCAACCAACGACTGGCTCAGGATGACGACGACGACGATGGCTTCACGTGGTGTGGATTCCGCCAGCAGAATGCAAGCGTCATGGATCTCGGGGGCATGCGAACAGCGCGGAATTCGGACACAACCAGGTTGTCCGCGCGGAGAATGCGGTAAAACGCGACGAATCTCGACTATCTGCGATGCGATGCGATGGGCTTCAGCCTTCGGTCTCGCACTCGGAGACGCTCAAAGTGCCGGATGTCGCTGTTGATGAACACAGTTGTCGTTGATCTCACGAGGATCGCATGTTACATCATAGATTCGATGAGGGCTTTGGGACGACGACGATGCCAAGCCAGTGCTAGCAAACGTTGGGAGTGAGGTGGGCAGACGGCTAATTCATTACAAGTCAAAGGGAGAAGATTGCTGTTGCTTCTTTTTGAGCTTTAGCTCAGTCGAACTGACATGGCATTCTCGACAAATGCGGTCGGATGCTTCTGGCGATGATGGCATTCGCGCTCGATTCTCCCGATCCGGGGGTGCAGCCACTTTGGGGTTGAGGATCCACCTTTGAGATGCTCGTTGTCGGGACAACAATCAGTTTGCCTTATCGCGATTCCATCATTCAATGCATCGACTTGATCAACATGGCGCGTCGCATTGCGATATCACTCCCTTTCCTCAGGTCCAGCTCCTCCGTCACGATTACCCCCCCAAATGCATTTCTTCTTCGCCCATCTGTATTAACATTCTCCTCCTGCGCTTTGTCGCACCTTTTTTGTTGCCTGCTTCCATCACTCGTCCAACCGACATCACCCACCACCAGCCACCACCACACAATGGAGGCTCTACTCTCCACAGCCTTCGACAACCTGTCTTCCTACGACGGGCCCAAGGTCCGCAAGGGTTTGCGCCAGGTTGAAGGCCTCCTCGCACAGATCTGCCTCTCGACCGACCCGCCCCGGTCAGCGTCGTCGTCGCCCACCAAGAACGGCTCCCCCACCAAGCAGACCGAGGACAACACCAGCAGCAGCGGCAAAGAGAACGAGGCTCCCCGCAAGGACCTCGCAGAGCTCACGCGGGACCCTGCGTTCCGGGAGTTCTTCAAGCTGCAGGAAGGGTTCGAGTGGAACGTTGCATCACGACTGATCAGCACGCTGGATCGCCTGCTGGCTGGTGGAAGCGACGGCCAGAATGATCTGCTCATCCTGAGCGCGCTGGACCTCATCCAGGGGCTACTGCTACTGCACCCCCCCAGCAAGACACTGTTCTCGCGAGAGCAGAATATGAATGTAAGTTTCTCCTTTGTCCCTGGTCTGGTGCACGGGTGCTGACCATCTACAGCTATTGCTCGATCTCCTGGAACCGTACAATTGTCCCGCCATCCAGTCCGCCACGCTCCTGACCCTCGTCACCGCGCTCATCGACACACCGCGAAACACCCGGGCATTCGAAGCGCTAGACGGCCTGCTGACCGTCACCTCGCTCTTCAAGTCGCGCAGCACGGCGCGCGAGGTGAAGCTCAAGCTTGTCGAGTTTCTGTACTTTTACCTCATGCCCGAGACACCCACCATAGCCCGCGCCGGCGCCGGCGCTACACGCGACGTGCTGCAGAGAAGCCCGAGCAAGCTCGCGGGCGCCTTCAACGGAGACTCCCAGAGGAGGGGCAGTCGATTCGACACGGACGCCGTCGGTCTGGAGTTGAGCACGGCGGAGAAGCAAGAACTACTGGGAAGACACCTGAGCAGTGTTGAGGACCTCGTCAAGGACCTGAGGACCTCGGCGCCATTTGGAGGTGTTGTCTCTTGACGGTGATTTCTGGGAGCGCCTTATACTGTTTGCTTGTTCATTTTTTGGGCCTGATGCGATGCTATTTCTGTCACATACTGGCGCTGGAGGATATGTTTTTTGTTGGCATGGTTATCTTTTGCAGGAGTTTGTTTTGCTGCCACGTCGCGCAGATACCAAGTGGCGCGGGATTTTCCTTTCTTTTCATTCAACGCAAGCTGGGCGTCTGGTTCTTGATCGATATGCTGCCCATATAGACTTGTTATTCATTACGAACAATCAATGCTCATCGTCCTTGCGCGGCTTGTAGCCTACCGGTGTGGCCATTATCGACGGTGACCTGGGAGGGGGCGGCTCTGGCTCGTAGGAGCCATAGAGCTCGAACCTCCCATCAATGGTCTCCTCGCCCTCGCGGTGCTGCCCATAGTACGTCGTCGGGCTAACCCCAAACACCGGCGACCGCGTCGCGTCGCTCCTCGTCTCCGAGTCCATCTCCACCGGCGCAGCAATGTCCCCAGGCTCCTGGGGCTGCCTAGGCACTGCGCGCTGGTGTGTCAGGGGCGGTGATGCCGCCTGCGATCCTGGCGTCTGGTCTTGCAGGCCTTCCTCTGTGTAGGGGCCCGCCGCCGGATGGGAGCCAAAGTACTCCTGTGTCGGCCCATGATTGTTGCTGTTGTGTCCAGGTCTGACGGCCGCCGCTGCTGCTGTGGTCTCTGACATGTCCGTGGCATCCCGAGGACCACTGTCGCCCTGAACCGTGCGTGCCCTGCGCTCTCTTCGTTTACGGATACACACCCACGCCAGGACGCCCAGGACGAGAGCCGCGCCGATGACGACGCCAGCGGCTATACCAGCCGTCGCGCCATCCGACAGGCTGCCCCCTTCGTCGTCCCCTTCACCGATGATCTCGATGCCGCTCTGTGAAGGACGACCCGGTGCGCAGTACCCCGTGCCATCGACCGCCGTGCAGCGCTGGTCGTCGTCGCAGCACCCCTGGCCATCCTCGCACTTGTACTGCCGCGTTGTACAGCCTTCCTGGATGGGCGTCAGGATGCGGCTGGCGCTCGGCTTGGCCGTCTCGACGCAGTTGCCCGCGCGGCACTCGGCATCGTACGGGCAGCATTTCCCGCCCTGGTCTTCGGGGCAGAGGTAGCGGCTCGTGGCGGGACACTTGCGTGGACAACAGCCGGCGACGGGGACGGGCGTCGCCTCGCCGTCCGATGCGGTCGTGAGGGCCTGCGTGCGCGTGCAGTACCAGGCGTCGCTGGAGCAGGGCGAGTCGCCGGCGCAGTTGGAGCCGATGGGGCAGCACTTTGGGTCGCCGTCGCGGTTGACGTAGCAGTACCGATCGTTGGCACAGCAGGTGTCCGCATGGCCAATCTCCTCGCACGAATGGCGGTCGTCGCCGCAGGCGTCTGCGCGCGCGCGGAGCACAGGCAGCGAGGCGTCGAGGAGGAAGCGAGGGAGGAGGAGGAGGAGGGCGGCGTCGTTGGGCGACTGATCGGGTGGGATGCGGCGGCGGGCAGCGAGATCCGAGGCAGCGGCCGCCAGGGTCTGTAGGAGCAGCAGGGAGAGGAGGAGCCTAGACGAAGGCGTCGACGATGGGCGTCTCATTATTTTCTTTTGATTCGCGTCGCAACGCGCGCCACGTCCGTGGGTTCAGCGAGGAGCAGACATGGAGATGGGGGGGGGGGGGGGGGGAGCAGAGCAACATGAACAAAGGGCCAGGGACAGTCTGACAGACCTGCATGTGGACAGACAGGCCATGATGAACTGAATGCGATACGGGGGGCCGACCGGTGCGCTCATCTCACCTGCAGCCTGCACGGAGAGGACTGCGATCTGCACTGAGAGGGCTGTGATCCGTGCGACGCAGAGGACGGCTGGTCGGTGTATACGTACCGTATCCGTACACGTTGCCTTTATTGACGGCTATTGTTCGCGCGCTCGTGTAGCGGCTGGCGCACGCACGCAAGAACGCACGTACAACATTTGAGGGTGATGGTGGTGGTCACTGCGCTCGCCTCCATCGAGACCATCCTCCACAGGCTGATCAGGCTCAATGAGTGCGCGGTGGGATGGACCCATGTATGCATGCAGCACGCATGGTGTGTGAGATGCAGACAAAGATGCCCTTTTGGGACTCAAGAAGGGGGGACGATCCTCGTCCGTAGGAAAGGCTGGCTCCTGTTCTCAACTTCCATCATGATGGACGGTTTGCCTGTGTGGTGAGATGATGGATGGCTGTGGCTACATGTATATTTCAATTCCTCACATTGGGCACACTGGAGCTACACAGGAACATGCAAGGATGCCAACTCGCAGCGCACTGCGTGGTGTCTGATACATTCATTGCTTGTGAATTGATCCTCAACTTCTCACCAATGTGGCTCCCCCCTCAACACCAAAGATCTCTCTGACTCCCCTCCTCACGGCCTGCTGACGCCCCTCTCCTGGCAGTACTTGTCAACCTCTTTCCTCAGCGTCTCCCTCTGTCGCATCGCCCCGTCCATGACCGTCTCCGCCACTCGGCCCAGCCCCTTGTCGCCCTTTGTCTTCTCGTAGAGGGTCGCCATCTCCTCCAGCACCGCCTCGAGCTGGTTCGGCAGCCAGGTGACAATGGGGCTGCCACCCGTCGCCGTGGGGTGACTCGTCCTCTTGAGGATGTACTCGCGCGCAAAGCACCAGTGGCGCCAGCGAAAGTCGCGCACCTGGTTGAGGATCTGGATCCACAGGCTCCTCGACTCGCGCAGCAGACTCTCGTCGTCGTTCTCGTCCGTCTCCGACGACGAGGTGTTGTTGTCACCGTCCAGACCGAGAGCAAAGTCCTTGAGCCCCACGGCCTGCGAGCGCTCCTTGACGTACAGCAAAAAGGCCTTGTGGTTCGAGGGGCGGTACTCGCGAAAATCGCTGAGAATCTCCGTCAGGGGCGTCTCGGGCATGGGCACCTGGAGCATGTTGTCCATGAGGGGGACCATGCTGTCGTTGGCGCCACTCTCGCCGCGGAACGAGAGCGGCTTGCCGTCGTTGAGACCCTCGTAAACGACGCCGTCCGGGAACATGCTCTGTGACGTGATGCCAAAGATGAAGGTGCGGAACGACGTGTACGCCATGGGCGACGACTTGGCCCACATGGTCTCCATGACCGCGTTGATCTTCTGCAGCGCGGTCAGAACCGACGTCAGGCCCTCGTTGAACCGCGTCCTCTCGTCCGGGGTCCCGCGCGCGGACGACGTCGCCCCGGCAATGTCGAGGCACTTTGTCACGCCGTCGACGAGGGGGCCCGAGTTCCGGACCATGTCAATATGCACGAGCACGAAGCCCGCCTCGGACGAGGTCGGGTCCAGTCCGTTCTCAAAGGCGCGGATCAGGCGGAGGTTGGAGTACTCCATGCCCTTCTTTGGGTCCTCCAGGCGGTAGTTGTAGAGAGCATAGGAGCCCGCATATTCCATAAAGGGCTTGAAGCCGCAGCTGCATCTTCAGTCAGAACTATGCATGAGGAGGGTGGAAGTAGAGCACGTACATTTCAGCACACCGGGCGATGGGGTGCGAGATGTTGGCAGGCAGAACCTGGCGGCCAAGACCATACGGCTCCCCCTTGACGAAGCGCTGGTGGCAGGGTTCCAGGAGATAGGCCGAGGCGAGGAACGAGTAGTCCCTGTAGAGGGCGTTCATCATGGGCAGGTCGTGGCTGTACTTGTCCATCTCACCCGCCAGGTTGGGGAAGCGGCTGTCGACCTCGTCGCCGAGCGTGCCCTTGGCCAGGAGACCCGGCGTCCCATCGAGGGTGGTGATGGGCATGCGCTGCAGGATGGACTCGAGAGGCTGGAACTCGGTGGGCAGGGTCACGATGGGGTCTGCCCTGGGGAGGAAGCCTCGGGTGGTGGACACCATGAACGCGGGGAGGGAGACATCGTCTGGACGAGTGTCGTGGAGTATGGGGAATGTAGGGGTATTGTCAAGGGAGCCCATGGTGGAGTGTGGTCAGGGTATATGTGTGTGTATATGTGTGTGGTGAGGATAAGGGGCAACAAGGTAAACAAAAGATCGTCTGCCGGATTTCCACTGACAAGAGGCGGGAAAAATTCTCACGGTACTTGTCCGATGATCTCTGCGATGACAAGCGGTTCAGGTTCTCTTCCTCTCCCTCTGGCTTCGCTCGTGCGCCTATATACCCAGGAGGCCGGAACATATTCCGGCCTCTGGGCGGGGGGGCAATTCATAGGGTTGGGGAGGTCTTTGTGTGCCCTGCACGATCATTAGCGGCCACGCAGAGGGCGCACGTCTCGACGATTCCCATTAAGTGATAGAAACGTAAAAGAAACAGCGCCCCAAGCCCCGAGCAGGACATGATGCATCTGGTGATACTGATTGTGTGCCCCTGAGGATGTGTACTCTATGTTTACAAAGCTGAGCCTTTCTTTGACATTTATGGCCGTGGATCGTAAACTAAACCCACCAAGGTGAATCCAGTGATGAAATCCCTCAAAACAGCACATTTGCATCGTGGCCTTTATAATTGTCGAGTGTCAAGAGTAGAGAGGGTGAAGTGCCGCAGGCCTCGCGCGGGTGGGGCGGCACCTCCGATGATGCCCGGCCAAAATGTGGGACTGTGGCCGGAACCGAATTCCGGCCTCGAGCATCACCACCGGCCCCGGAGGTGTCGACGCTCTCTGCTGGTGGACCCAGGATGCCCCGCGGGGTGTGTGGTCACGTTGATTAGGGCTTGAATCAAGAGCGAGTAATGTTCAATTGGAAGCAGCTGTCAAGGTACGCCCCCATGTCTGACGACTATTATGTCCCCCCATCGTTATCATATCAAAGGCAAAATGACTCTTCTCGTTGCGCATCAAGTGAAATAAAAAAGCAGGCTAGGGTCGCACAACAGTCTTGAAGCCTGCGCTCGTAGTCGTGTTGGCGTAGGGGGCGGAGGCCTTGTAGAGCTCCCTAAACGGACTCGCAAGATCCAAGGATGCCGAAGTTGCTGCTGGTGTCGTGACCTGGCTCTCCAGGCTGTCCAACTTGGACGTCGCTGCGGAAGAATTGAGAGGCAGGCTGTTAACAGGAGAAGAAGAGAGCGACTGTTCAGCCTCTATGAATTGGCCGCCAAGGTGGACACTGGGGTCTGGGCGGGCAGCTGCAGAGGTAAATGTCGAGTTGGCCCAGGAAAACGAGGATTTGCTGTCGACTTCTTTAAACTGACCACCAAGACCAAGTCGGATGTTCGCGACCGGGCCTGTGGCAGAGGGTGTGCTGGTTTCCGACTGGCGCATAGCCGCAGACGATGTGGTGGTGGTCTTGGTGGCCGGCCATAGGGTCACTGTCGTTGTGATGGTTCTGGTCATCGTCGTCGTTGAAGTAGAGTCAATGGTAGACACCACTGTCTCAACCATGGACTCTTCCTTGAACACACCGCCGCCGCCCGGAAGGGATTTGCCTGAGAGTGTCAGCAAAGGTATGTTCTGATTGTTTGCGTTCACTAGGGACTTACCAGCCGGACCACCGTCAGCACCTTTGCCATTGTCCTCCTCCTCTGTTTTATCGCCGCCATCCACATTTGCAAAGTTGTTTGTCGAAGCGTCGTCGCTGTTATCTTCGCCTGTCTTGCCTTTAGGGAGCCCCGAAGCGGTAGGCGTGCTGGTCGACAGTCCTTCACCACCGTCAGCGATCTCAGAACTGGGAGTCTTACCGTCCTTAGTTGCGCCGGAGCTTGTCTGGGAATCTTGGCCCCCGACATTGCCAACTCCATCAGAGCCACTGCCTGCATCTTGGGTCTCTTTGATGCTCGCGACTTCCCCCTCGCCATCTTGCCCCATCAAGCCCTCCACTTGGTTCTCTAGATCAACCAGCTTGTCGAGTATGTCCACCAGTTCGCTCTCAGGCACCTCGACCGTGCCATCGTCTGCTGGCTTGGTGTCTCGAACCTCGATCGCCGGGCTTAGAGAGCTTTTGACGAATGCATCCGCAGGGTCTGCAACAAGGGAGGAAGAGCTCTCTGTTTCATCACGACCAAGGATAGGGTGGGCGTCTCGATGGAGAACGGGCGGGTTGGCATTGAGTGATCGCCCTAGGTTGACGGAGATGTTGAGCCCGAGAGCTGGCGCCGAAACGCTGAGAAGATTGCCAAGATTGAGGAGGCTCATTGTCGATTCTGTGTATATGAATGTGGTAAAGAAGAAAAAGATACGAGGTTATGAACAAAGCTCAGTGAACCCCTGCAACAGCAGGACTACGCGCAACTTATACAATGGGCTGCCTCGTTGGCGGGGTGCAATGGCATGCCACTCGGTCTGGGCCAGTTCGTCACAATGTCTCACTTTGCTGAACAGACAGACTTGACAAGCCAATATTGTGTGGATTTTGCATTCCAACTCTTGAACAGTCTCTCGTTGCCCTGACAAATTGAATCTGGAAGGACCTCACAGGAAGTCACTTAGAGCATCCTGCAATGCTGCAGCCTCTTTGATCGGATCCGCCGAGCCCTTCTTCGGCAACCCAACTTTGTTGTGCCAGACAACTCTCATACCAGCATCTGTTGCACCCTGCACATCGCCAGAACTGCCCGCAACAAACAGCACATCGCTCGCCTCCACGCCCATCTTGGACAACAATGCGTGGTACGCTTCTCGCGTCGGCTTGTAGAAGCCGCTCTCCTCGGCGGTCATGGTAGAGTCGAACGTAAAACGACCGTCAGCGCCTGTACTGGCCGCTGCTTCGGCACACTGCGTCGCAATGGTGCCCAGTCTCACGGAACAGTTGGTGACGACGCCGAGCTTGTAGCCCTTGCTCCTGAGCTGCGGCAGGACGCGCGCGACCTCGGGCCAAGCCTTCAGGTTAGCCCAGTCGCGGATGAGGGCGTCGGGTGCCGATGCAGGAAGGCCAACGTCTTGGGCGGCCTGCCGTACGCAGTCCTCATACGGCACGTAGGATCCTCCGGGGAGGCTGAAGGTGAGCTCGAGATAGCGGTGGCGCCATCGTCGACCCTCTTCCGAGGTGCCGGATGGGGTGGACGCGTCCCATAGTGTCCACGAGTCGAGGAGAGCCGTGAGGAGGTCGAAGACGATGGCCTTGGGCTGCCAGTCAGCATGGATGGGGGCGGCCGTAGAAGACATGGTGGTCTGGACTCTGGATGCGTGGGTGGTGAGGTCAGCTTGGGCAAGGACAAGAGTGTAAGCGGGGAATCGTATTTATATGAAGCTGAAAGAAACAACCAGTGATGCCATCGAGCACTCTCGATAGCCGCAAACCGGAACAACAGGCGACGGCTTGGGTCCGTCTGAGTGTCAAGAAGCAAGACTCGGGATGTGTCCCGTTGTTCGAACACATCTGTTAGGGGCTACCTTTTTGACCACCAGAATATGGTGACTCCAAAAGTATGGCGTACCAATTTTGATCGAAAAATGGGGCTGATCCCGACCACTGCTTCTTGACATTCGAAAGGCGTACGTGAGCTGCCTTTAGAGACCCCTGCTCCGGCGCTGATGAGGAGATCTTGTCACGAATTGCGCCTCTCTACTCAGGCTCACGCTGTATCCGTAGGACCGTAGCCTGTACGTACGTCAACGGTCAGACAGGTGTTGTGTGGGCCTAACTAATAATGCTGCGCACTACTCCGTACTCCGTACCGAATGGAGGCTTTGTGCATCGCGTTTACTCTGGATCATCGTGAAGTGTGCTGAGCTGGTGGAAGTGGCATTTGCTGAGAGTTGCAATTCCAATGCAGTGCAATGCAATCCTTTTTCAAAGACTCAAACGAATGGACCAGGGCAAACAACGCTTGACGCAAGGCAAGGGCGACCAACGTTCTCCAGAGGCCAGAGTCTAAAGCAGGGAACAAGGCAAACTGGCGGACAAAGAGCCGGAAGGCGCGATGGCACTGCATCGTCATGCCTCAGGCAGAATGGCAGAAACACAGAATGAAGGCAGGCACGAAAGCGTGCGCGAGGCACAAGGCATGCACAACTCGAGTGCTAGGCCTATCCGGGCAAGATCGGGACTGCATAACTCAATCCCGGCTGGGGATGCGCGTGCCCGTGCAGCCTTTTGGCGCAGCGCGCACTCCGTAGGCAGGCACTGGCAGGACTGGAGAGGCAGAAACAAGCCCAACCTTTTCCACCCACCGCACCGCGGGACTTCGTTCCCATTGATTGTGCGCTCAAAATGAGGATGAGCCTGAGACCACCATGGCCTCGCCGCCAACCCAAAATGATGCCCCCGTCATCAATCCCCTTCGCTCCCTCCATTCCCTGAATTCCCCTGCCCCCATCACCATCACCATCATCACCCTCACCCATCACCACCAGACTCATTGCCCATCGCCCTTTTCTACGAGAAAGGCCACGAGTACCCACCCCTGGATCTACGGAGACAGAACACCAATACTTCGCATCGCGCACTTGGTCAGTCACTTTGCTCGACTCAGTCACTAGCCGGCTTGGCCAGCAGAGCCACCTCTGCCCGCCCGACCCAACCCTACTACGTACAACATTCCGCAGTATCCGTCAGCTTGCCATCGTCGTCAGCATCTTCACTTTCCCCTAACCCATCTCGACGAGGACTCCATTGTCGACTTTTTTCTCCACGTACCATGGCCCCGTCTACTAAACCAGCCGACGGTCGGCGGAAATCCAGCGGCAAGACGCTCGTCGTCACGCTGAGGGTCAATGCCGACAAGCTACGCGACATTCTACCCGCCAGCGACACGACGACGCCCGCTGCCGACGAGGCCAAGCCGTCCCCGGCCTCGTCCACCGACAGCAAGCCACTCCAGCCTGTCGAGATTGACTCGAACACCGCGACACCCCAGCCTGATGGCACGCCTCAGCCTGGCGCCATGGGCCCTCCTGGCGACGGCCCCAAGAAGAAGGGTGTGAAGCGTGCTGCGCAGGCCAATGGCGACTCAATGTCACAGAAGCAAAAGGGCAAGCCGGGCCCCAAGAAGAAGCCGCGTCTGTACGTGCCATCCCCTCCTGCTGCATGCTCTTCTAGATATGCTAACATGATTTCACAGTGAGGATGGAACCATCGACCACGCTGCCAAACCTGCCGCGCACAAGCTCGGCCCCAAGGCCAACCAGGGCGCCATCAACGCCGGTCTACGCGCCCTCGACCGCTCCGGCAAGCCGTGCCGCCGGTGGCAAAAGGGTGGCTTCAAGCTCAAGAGCTTCACCGGCGTCATGTGGGAGATTCCTCGCTGGGAGGCGCCCCCCAAGAAAGCCCCCGAGTCGACGACGGAAGACTCCGCCGCCGCCTCGGCGGCCGACAGCAGCATCAAAGAGAACAAGGAGAACGCTGCCGGCGAGACGAGTGCTGCCAACAGCAACAGCGGCGTCGATGCCGAGATGCCCAGCGCGCCCCCGAGCAACCACGCCTCGTCGCCGGCGCCCATGGCCATCACGGCGGCCTCCTAGAACGGGGCTTCCGCGCAGGCCTCTGCTGCCTTGCAGACATATCATCGTTGAATTTTCTACAGGAGTTGAGTCAGGCTCCGACTCCATGTTCATACTACATCACGCTCTTACTTTGGAGCATTTTGACGCTTCCAGATTATGGTTGCTGGCGTTCAGGATTGGTTGCGGCGGACTACGCATCTCGCATTACACGCAAGGAGTTTCGGTTGTCAGGCATGCTAGATTATCAGTGTAACAATGTCGGGTAATAGATGGATGGATGGATGGGTGGGAGGGCGTGGGACGCTCGTTCATAGCCTTGGTGGCAAGTCGCAGTCAAAGCAATCTTGGAAGAGCATTTTCATTCAGTGCATTGTGCTACATGGTTCGGGTGTTCGCGGCAACCTATGTCACCTGTGATGTTTCCAGTCTTCTTCCCATGCTCCATTATGGAGGCGTGATGCTGTCCTCGTGATGTAGGCGGTGGGTCTCCCCCTCTGTTGAGGCGGCTCACCATGGTGGCACTGACGAGGCTTGGCTGAGAATCACTGAGGCCATGATCTGGGCCATTGACCTGCTCTGCGCGGAGTCAGTAAACTTTGGCTTGCTTAGTACATCTTTTGGCTTTCGTCACGGGCTATCAGTCGTCGACCAAGTCAACGACCCACTAAGCCGAATTCGGCCACCCTGAAGGTTTCATCCCCACGGCCGATGCGGTAATCGCGGCGGGTCCTACCAGGTAACGCTCGTCAGTGCTAGAGCTGCTGCTGCTGCTGTACCCTTTCCCTTTGCACTCTAGTTACGATACGTTGGCGATGAGGCCTGGTCTTACTGTCGCTTGCACTTTCCCACTATACTCGCACGCTGTTTCACGTCCAGTCGAACGGAGCTTCCGAAGCGCTCAGGCCGAGTGCTGCGACCGTGACTGGCCGACACTGGGGTAGCTCCTCCATCAACAACCACCACCACCACCACCACCACCTCCACCACTCGCAGCTCGAGCGCTGAGACTGGAGCTCCCAAACACACAAGATTCATCATGGACTACAGCTCGCATCCCCTCCACCGTCCGGACAACTCGCCGCCGCGACGAAGGCGAGGAGTACACCGTCGCCCCCTCGACGACATCCTTAACCCTACCCTATCCGACGATGACGATCGGTGGTTCACCCCACAGTACCTCGAGCACTCGCCCTACGTGCAACGCCTGGAACGAGACCACATGAGGCGGCAGGAGGCGAAGACGGCCAAGGCCTCGGGCACGATGGGGGATGACGATGATCCGTCGTTACCGCCTGGCTCCCATCGGGGCATGGCCCACACGATCGTGGAGCGGCCCTCGCCCACGCCCAGCGACGACGAGGCACTCGAACCACTGCCCACCCGCTGGGGCAAAAGTGCCTATTCCGGCCTGTCGATCAAGTACTGTAACGAGGTTCGCTATTCCTCGGCCAAGCCGCCCGGCGAGGAGAGGAGTCGTCAGGACGGACTGGAAGCGGCCGCCATACGGGCCAACCACCCCATATCGCCCCAATGCGGCATCTATTATTTCGAGATTACCATCTTAGAAACGAAGCAGGACGATGCATCCATTGGCATGGGCGTCTGCACGAGCAAGGCCGCCATGTCGCGTCCCGTCGGATGGGAACCAGAGTCCTTTGGCTACCACGGTGACGACGGCAGGGTCTTTTGTGCCCAGACGGTGGGTAAGAGATACTCGGAGGGCTATAACATGAACGACGTCATTGGATGTGGTGTTGATTTCTTGACCAACTGCATCTTCTTTACCAAGAACGGCATCAACCTGGGACCGGCTTTTCACGACATGATCAAGCCCCACTGGCGGCTGTTCCCTGCGGTCAGCATGAAGCGTAATGGGGAGAGGATCCTCGCAAACTTTGGCGAGAGGCCATTTGTGTACGATATCGAGTCCATGGTGCATGGGATGCGGAGCAAGATCTGGAGATCCATCCGGAGGACGGACACCAAGGGGCTTAAGAATACAACGTTAGAGACGGTCTTGGTGCAGAGCCTGGTGATGCAGTTCCTCCTGACGGAAGGCCACGTGGACACGGCCACTGCGTTCTGGGAAGAAATGAAAGGGCGGGACTCGGTCTCGAGTCCGGAGGTTGCCAACGCCGCCGATCGAGGGCTCGAGCATAAGGGAGACGCCACCCAACGGCAGCGCATCCGCAAAGCCGTCCTCGAGGGGGACATGGACAGCGTCTTCCGGTACACGCGGCAGTACTACCCGACCCTGTTGGAGGAGAGCAACATGGTCATGTACAAGCTGCGGTGCCGCAAGTTCATTGAGCTCATTCGAAAATCGGCGGAAATCAAGAGGGCGATCGCCGTGGCTCGACAGGCCAAGACGCTCCAGGACGTCGACCCGGGCGACATGGATATCGACAATGGCCACGGGGGCGCCGAGCTCGTGAGCGAGGACGACCAGATCCAGTCTACGAAGCTGATGGACCTCGAGGCGGAGACCATCGTGTATGGTAGGGAGCTGCATAAGGACTACGCGAACGACCCCATGTACGAGGAGAGCAACCGTAAGTCGGATATCTGGTCGCTGCTGGCGTACAACAACCCGCTCGACGAGCCACATCTGCAGCACCTGGTGGGCCTAGACGGCCGCACGGTGGTGGCAGAAGAGCTCAACGAAGCTATCCTGAGTGAGTCTTGGTGTCGTCTGGTGGCCATCTTGAGTACTAACGACGGGGTAGTGCATCAGGGCAAGTCGTCCCACGCTGCGATTGAGAATGTGTATTCGCAGACGAGCGTGCTGCTGGACGAAGCGCGTCGAGGAGGAGGCGAAGGTGCCTTTGTCTCGGTCAACGACATTCTTGAAAACATTAATTTGGGACCGAGCCCGAATTAGCCAAACAGTTAGTTGGGTGGGTGACTGCGTCATGGGCCAGATCATGGACAGACATAGCATGGGAAACGGTGTCGAGGCGTATGGCGACGGAGCACACTTTTGTTTTTGTTTTCGACTTCCTTCTTTCTTTCTGATTGGATTAATGGCTCATTGGTATGTGGTGCATCGGGCTCGTTTCTTAGTTTAGGCGCCGTTCACTGGCGCGCTGGATCGCTCGGACGACTGCGTAGTCAATGGACGAGGATTATTATGTATTGGTATCACTGGCGATTATACCATATACAGTTACACATGGCTGGCATCCATAGGCCAGATCCCCAAAGGCGGCTCATGACACCTTTTCACCAACGTGACCCCAGCACCGCTGGTACAGGCGCTCCCGATGCCTGACCAGGTTCCCAAACTCCTGCAGAACCTCCTCCATGGCGCCGTCGTCCCACTCAAGGCTGCCGACGAGCCAGGTGTACGCAAAAACTTCTGCGTCAAACAGGCCTACGACGTCGCCAAAGAACCAGTCATCCTCGCCCAGCAGCGTGCTCAGCGCCTCGAGGGCCTCTCTGTACGACGAGAGGAGGTCGAGGGGGCTGATGAGGGCTGTGCGTGTGGTCTTGAGGATCTCGGCCGAGGCGGCCTGCGTGAGGGTCGTGGAGGTCGGGATGGCGATGAGGGGGTTGCTGGGGAGGTAGAGATGTGCGAGGAGCGTGGCGTTTCGAGGGTTGAGGTACAAGGCGTAAAGCTATGTGAGTTAGTCTAGCACCCTATGTTTAAAGAGGAAAACGTACCCATGCTGGCCGGACGGCATTGTCCAGCAATGCGCGGTAGGCCTGTATCCTGGCGTCCTTGACGGTGGGGAGGTTGCCTCGCGCCCGTGCGAGGTCAAAGATCTTGCCGCCGGAAAGGACCTGGCCCGTCTCGGTGAGGAGGAAGGGCAGGGCGCCCGAGGGGGAGGCGTGGTTGTTGGAGGGCTCGACGTGGACGTGGACGCCGGCTATGCGCAGGGCGGCCTGCGCCTTGAGACAGGAGGGGTTGTAGCTCGGCCGTCCGTCGTCGGCATTGTCTGTGAAGATGTAGAGGCGCGGTATCGAGGAGGAGGATGTGGACGGCGGGGCGCGATGGGGGAGGGCGTTGGGCGGGAGGGTCTGCAGGGGGAAGGCGTTGAAGAGGCGGCGGAGAGGCTGGGGGATGGCGAGGAGCCGTGGGGTCGGCGGGGTGGAGGACGTGGTGGCCATGGTGAGGGGCTGTCTGGCTCTTATATCGGGCCTGGAGGTGAGGTCAAGTGGGATGCGATCACGGCGCGCGTCGAGACGCGGCGTTCGTTGGAGGATGGGAATTCTGCGACTTGGACGTCGGTCGGGGTTCGGGAAGGTGTCGGGCCGATGGGTCGCTAGCGGCGGGATTACTCCGGCTTTAAGAGGCCATTAGAGTGGGCTGTCTTGGGGACTCTGACAATACGTCGTATGCATCACAGAGTCTAGCACGTGCCAATACACACTGAACAGTAGTAGAAATTCATTGAGACGATTATGGACAAGGTGCTTCAATCGTCCGAGGGGATGTGAGGCCACTTTGTGAGCTCGCAAGTGTTGCGACAAGAAGAGCAGCGATTCAGGGTCCTGGGGGCTCACTGCTGCACCGGGTAAATGCACCAGGCAGCTCCACTAAAAAGGCAGGCAGACAGAGTCCAGACAGGCAGGCAGTCAAGTCAAAGTCAAAGATAAGCAGTGCCAGGCGGTTCCGAGATTGCCCGTCAAGACGACTCGTCGCCAAGGCGCGCGTTGGAGATGATTACAGCCTGGACGGAGAAGACGGACAAAACACCGAGGGCGTATGTGGGGTTCGCTCGTGTCGGTGCAGTCTTGGACGAGGTGTCAGATGTCTTGGGCTCTCCATGGAGAAATGTTGCCGAGGCTCACAGTCGAAGATGATGCTGTCCGTATCATGGTCGAGACTCGAGAACGCCATCACAGCAGAATGGGGATGGCAGCGACCCAGCAGCCCCCTTGCAAAGCTCGTCGGGGTTCGAGCCTACGGATAATAGAGGTTGTGGTGATGATGCGGTGGATCTGCGATAACCCACTTGTCGGAGAGAATGACATGCGACCTGCTTGGCGACATTTCGGTCGTTCTCAGTGTTAGTGTTTTCCCGTCACAATCGCATCGTGGGTCTGCTGGATACGTGAGGTTTTGCAAGCGCCTATCTCGGCAGTTGTGTTGGGATGATTATTAGTACTAGTAGATTACCTTGATTCTCGTCGTTGATTTTCTCTCTCTCGCCAACCTTCACTCCAACAACGCCATCCTGCACCCCCGACCAACTCGCAACCTCCTTCGCGCGGCTAATCATCACCACCTGGCACCACCACCTTGGCTGACATACCGTTACCATACTTTACCTAGCCGCCCCCACGTTCCAAGACAACCCATCATCCTCGGTCCAGCAATTCCTGGGCCCAGGCTTCCACATTCTTGCTGCTCTGCCCACTGCAGAGTCTCGGACGGATCCTTTGACGTAGTGAATCCGCACTTCCCCAGACATCGGGATCCAGCGGGGAATCGACACGCGGGCGGGCGAACGACTCGATTGCATCTGGTGCGCCCACACGACTATCTGGGACACTGCAGAGACACGGAAGAGCAAGCTACTGCGTACAAGTACATACTTGCACCCACCGTCCCGACGCACACGCACGCACGCACGCGCGCTGTCTTTGGAACTCTCCTCTTTTTTTCTCGTGGAGGACTTGTCGCAGACTGGGCATTCCCTCGTTTGACCAAACACTATTCATCCTCACACGCCAGGCAGCTTGCCATTCTTCAGTTGCGTCTGACGTCGGCCACACTGTCGCTACACGATAGAGAAGCAAACCCACCACACAACACACATCACACACACCACACAATGAACGCCCCATCCACAAACCAGACCTCGGGGTCCTCGTCCGCCTCGACGACGCACCAGCACACGAGCCCGTCGCAGCAGCCCGTCGCGGCCGTGGCTCCGACACAGCAAGGCGCCCCCGGGTCGACGGACCCCCTCCTCCAAGACTTTACGCTCCTGGCCGAGGCGGCGAAGCGAGCGCAGGTGGCCGTCATGGTGCGCGACTTTGAGGACTGCGCGCTGTGAGGGCAAGTCGGGTGATGCGACGTGACCTTTTCGCCGTCGAGAGGGAGAGGGAGAGATTGAGCGTTGGATTTTCCCGGGTCTTCTTATCATCATCTGGCTGGCGTACAGGAAGGAGCATAGGGCATGGGACATGTCGATTGATTTATATGGTCGTTTGGGCAGCATGGGAGGATGGCTTATTATTCTTTTCTTCTTCCATGTTCTTTTCATGGGCGCTAGATACCCCCATCAATACGCACAGACTTCCCCCCCCCCCCCCCCCTTTACGCCCCTACATCTTGGACACGAGTGACAGCCCGCCGTCGAGGCGGATAACAGCACCGTTGACGAAGCCGCCGGCGCGACTGGCGAGGAAGAGCGAGGCGCCAGCGACGTCTTCGGGGGCGCCGATGCGGCCGAGGGGGTTCTGCTCGCGGATGGCGTCGCCCATGGTCTCGAGGGTGGCCTTCATCATGCGTGTCTCAAACGGCCCGCAGGCGAGGACGTTGCTGGTGACGCCCCGGGGCCCGAGCTCGCGGGCGAGGTGGCGGGACAGGTGGTGCAGGCCGGCCTTGGAGGCCGAGTAGGCAAAGGAGGAGAGGGCGGGGACGCGGAGGCCGTCAATGGAGCCAATGTGGATGACGCGCGCCGGGTCGCCGCTGCCGGGGCGGGCGGCCTTTTCGAGCAGCGGCAGGGTGAGCTGGGTGAGGGTGAAGGCGCGGTGGAGGTTGAGGGTGAGGACCTTGGACCAGGCCTCGTCCGGGTACGAGTCAATGTCGGCGCCCCAGGTGGCGCCGGCGTTGTTGACGAGGACGTGGATGCCGTTGGGTTCGCGCTGGGCGACGGCGTCGACGAGGCGGCGGCACTCGTCGAGGCTCTGGAGGTTGGCGGGGAGGCCGACGGGCGTGTGGCGCGGGTTGCTGGCGGACAGGGCCTTGACGGCGGCGGTGATGGCGGCGGCGTCGCGGCCGGTGAGGTAGACCTTTGCGTGGTTGGCGACGAAGCCCTGGGCGATCATGGCGCCGATGCCCTTGGCGCCGCCCGTGACGAGGACGACCTTGTCGGCGACGTCAAAGAGCTGTGAGGTGTCCATGTTTGGGGTAGGTGCTGGCAATGGGTGTTGCTGAGGAGGTGATGACGAGGTGAGAGAGGGAGAGTCGATAGATGGTGATGGTGATGGTGATGGTGATGGTGATGGTGATGGAGTCGTGGTAAAGCAATTGGACCTCGGCTCATGAAATGGGGTGCGCACAGTAGTACATCTAGCACCACCCTGTCGATTCACCATCAGGGCGCCTTCGCAGCGGCCATGCCATAGTATGAGCAAGAAATATAATGACTTTCTGGTCTAATTAGATATTCAATCCCATTGTCACCGCAGACAATCGAGTCCAGCCTGTCTGTCGCGTGCCATCCCATCTCGGCACTTTGCGGAGCCGCCTCGATCGACCCCACGCACGTCATGTCTGTCTGTCTGTCTGTCTGTCTGTCTCCCCACCACCACCACCTCCTCCATCCTCCTACACGCCAAATAGCAGATCAATTCCATCATAGACAGCTTCAGATACCCCAGCATGTCCCAGCCCGAGCAGCTCGGCCCCCTGGCCTCCGCCTTCAAGGACCTCCCCGCCGACGCCCACCCCAAGCAATGGAACGCCTTCTACGAGCAAGCCACCCACCCCTGGGACCGCGCCGGTCCCTCCCTCGCCCTCAAGGACCTCCTCCTCCAGCGTCCCGACCTCGTCCCGCCGCCTAGCCCCGGCGCCACCGCCCTCGTCCCCGGCTGCGGCCTCGGCCACGACGTCCTCCTCCTCGCCAGCCTGGGCTACGACGCCTGGGGCCTGGACGTGAGCGAGACAGGCCTCGCCATGGCCCGACAGAACGAACAGGACCAACAAAACAAGGGCTACGACCAGTATCCCGTGCGTGAGGGCCACGAGCGGGGGCAAGTGCACTGGGTCCAGGCTGACTTCTTCGCCGACGACTGGACCAAGGGCGTGGGCACGGACGGCACCGGCACCGGCACCTTTGACCTCGTCTTTGACTACACCTTTCTCTGCGCCCTGCCGCTCGACCTTCGGCCACGCTGGGCCAAGCAGGTCACCCACCTCCTCGCACCCCGGGGCCGCCTTGTCTGCCTCGAGTTCCCTGTGGGCAAGCCGCATCGCGACATCGGCCCGCCCTGGGGTCTGAATCCAGAAGTCTACGAGGCGCTGCTCGCCACGCCGGGTGAGCCGCTACACTACGACGCCCAGGGCGACGGCACCGTCGTCAGCGCCCCGAGCCCCAAGCCCAGGGATGACGCGCTGCATCGGCTGAGTCTCATCAAGCCCCTGCGGACGCACAAGGCCGGGTACTACGAGGACGGCACGGTGCGGGACTTTGTGTCTGTCTGGTCGCGGTAGATGGGATAGAATAGAAAAAATAAAGATACGTAGGACTATCCTCTCCTGCGCAGCGAGTTGTAGTGCTCGCCCAGCCCGTACCCGTGCCGGTAGTACGCCAGCCACAGCACCCGCCCGCCGTCGTCGCCCTCGCGCTCGCCAATCTTCTCCGTCCGCCCGTCCTGCACGACGCGGATCTCGACATTGTACCGCCGCGCGAGCGCCATGAGCTCCAGCTGCCCGCCCCACTCGGCCGTGTCCCGGATCTGCGCCGCGTACGTGTCCAGGTCGCCCTCGAGAAAGGGCGCAAAGTCGTCTGCGTGCGCGAGCATGTACGCCGCCGCCGCGCGCCGCACCGTCTTGTAGGGCTCCTCCTTGTCTGTCTCCTTGTCTGTCTCCTTGTCTGTCTCCTTGTCTGTCTCCTTGTCTGTCTCCTTGTCGTGACTGTCCGACAGCGGCACGCCCGCCTGCGCCAGCTGGTCCGCCACCGCGCTGAACAGGCAGTGCCCGTCCGGCGCAACCTCCTTCTCCGCCAGGTCGTACGTCGCAAACATCTTGTCCATGTACTCGCTCTCGCGCGCCCGGTCGTCCGTCATGGTCGACGCCTCCTCCTCGGCCCGCGCGGCGGCCGCCTCCTGCTCTGCCGCCCGCCTGGCCAGCCGCTCCCGCTGTCTGTTTCGCTTCTTGCCGTGCAGGGCGTCGTCTGCGTTGGAGGGGGTGGCCTTGTGTCCATTCGTGGTGTCTTTAGGGCTGCTGCCGCCGAGGTGCAGCTTGTGCACGGCCTTTTCCAGCTTCTCCTCGACCTTGTTCTCCATCCTCTCCACGCGGCTCGGGGCCTCCTCGTTGTCGGGCGACATTGATTCCTCAGAAGAAGGCGCCTGTAGCGTCGCGAGCTCCTCGCCCTGCCGCTGCCGCATGTCACGCTCCATCCCCTCGCACTCGTCATTGACCCCCTTGCGCGTCTTCTTGCTCGCGTTCTTCTTCTTGGACGTGATCCGGCCCTGCAGCTCCTTGGCCTCGCGACGGTGGCGCGCCTGCATCTGCTCGACCGTCTCGCCGGGCGCGTCCATGGTGGCGGCGGGTGTGGATGGTGAAAGAGTCAATGTTGAGAGGGCTGCGCCTCCGGGGAAGGGTGTAGGTTCAACTTTTTGGCTTGGTCGTGGGAACTTGGAGTTGGAGTTGGAGGGGCAGCAATCAATCAGGCGGGCAGCAAGAATGACGCATGTGGGGACGTCAAGTCAAGGGTCTGTCTGTCTCTCGAGTCCTCCTCTTCAACAGACAACACAAACAACAGCAGACACATTTGTCTAACTCTCCTCCTATACAGCTATCCTCACAAGTGCCCTACATAGCTACAAGAATGCGACCCCGAGGTCAGCCCTCTAAGAATTATACACCCCTTCTCTGCTCTAACTAGAACCCTCGGAAAGGATCATCCCTAAAGTAGTCCTCCTCTCCCGCCGTCCTGCTCCCCGTGTACCGATCGTCCGACGCCCGCCCGTACCCCCAGCTGTCCTTGGCCCGGCTGCTGCGCCGGCTCTGCCTCCGCCTCACCTCCCGACTCCGCCGCCGCATCACCGGCCGGAACTCGTCCTCCTCGTCCGGGTGCTCACTAAACTGCTGCAGCGAGAGCGGGCTGATAAACGCCTCCATCCGCACCGTCCCGATCGCGTCAAAGAAGTTGCCCGGCCGCGACGACGCCTCTGACGTCCTTTGCGACGCCGTCTGGCTCATCCCCCAGCCCGTGTTCCCGGACCCCTGCGACTGGTTGTAGTAGTCGGACGACCCCGCCGTGTTGATGCTGTCTCCCGCCGTGCTGCTCGTCGGGTTGTGCCCGCTCCCCGTGCTCGTCGGCCCCGAGAAGCCACGGAACGACAGAGGTGGCCCCCCTAGTCCCCCCGTGTTGCTCCTCTTCCTGCCGTGCGCCGGGGGCGGTCCGCGGTCGTGGAAGCGTGGGATGAAGGGCGGCTCTGCGGCATCCTCCGACTGCTCGCGCGTGTGGTTGCTCGACACGGCGCCCATCGCGTACTCGGGGATCCCGAAGCTCGTCGTCGCATCGTCCGCTTGAGAGGCCGGTGCGCTGGGCAAGCTTGGTATGCTCGGCACCGCCGCTGCCTTGGCCGGCATCGTCCTGCCCTTGGCCAGCCGGATCGAGTCTCGTATGCCGCCCCTCTTGATCTTGGTCGCTGGCGGTGGCGGCGGCGCGTAGTCTGGCATCGGCTGTGGCTTCAGATGGTGCTGCTGCTCCGGCGCGTGCACAATCTCCGGTACCGCTTGCTGCGAGTGCGCCAGGAACGACAACGCCGTGAGCCACACATAGTGCCGCTCCGCCGACGTGGCCGTGAACTTGAGCGCCCGCTGCGGTGTCAGGATCAGGATCGACCGGTTGAACACTGTCCCCGTCTCGCCCTTGGGCACGGGGTTCTCATCCTTGACGTCCAGCACCGACTGGATGACCACTAGTTGCTCTTGTTAGCACACACATCCCCTCGCGCACATCTTCTCTCTCGCACTTACGTTTGCGTCCCGTCTTGCCCATCAAGGCGCTGCCCGATGCTGGCTGCTTGCTACTCCACAGGATCGAGCGCTCATACGGCGCCAGCCAAACCCACCTCTTGTGGCGGTCGTTGCCCACGTCGTCCTTCCCACCCGACTCGGGCACGGTAAAGGACTTTCTGCGCCGCACATACTTGAACATCCACTCGCCAATCATGGTCTGCGCAATGGCGTCCACAACACCCGTCGTCTGCCCGGCGCTCACCACCGACGCCGGGTCCGTGATGTTGGTCTGCAGCGTGTTCTGCGTCTGCTGTGTGTTCGTCGTCCTCTCCGTGTTCGTCGATGGCTGGTACTTGTGCCGTCGGTACGCGCTGCTGCTGCCGCGCCCACGATGCCGCGGCGTCGTAATGTCGTTCCGCGGCAGCGGGGGCAGCCCTGGGCTCTCCGGCGCTTCCGTCGACGGAGAGAGCGGCGGCGGCGAACGGCTGCCCTGCCTGTGTCGCTGGTGACGAGGGAGCGCGGCCGCCGAGCGCGTCTTGCGAATATTGTTGGTCCGGTACGCCCCCGTCCGCGGCGGCCGCCTCCACCCATCCAGCCGCGTGGGCGACCTCTGGCCCTCGCTCGTCGGGGCGCTTGCGCTGATCTTCCTCGATGTCGTTCGCTGCGGTATGGGAAAGGGCGGGTTGCGGGCCTCAGGGAGGCTGGGGCTCCTCGAGCGGCTCCCATGCGTTGCGATCCCGCTCTGGATCATGGCTGCCTTGCGCATGACGCTGGCGCGGTTCCCGGGTCCTGGCAGGATCGTCGCTGCTGGCTTCTCGTACCTCGCGGGCGACTTGCCCGGCCGCTGCTCCCCCTCCTTGTCCGCCAGGCTGAACGAGTTGTACACATGCGTGCCCAGGGGCTTCATGCTGTTCAGCGTGCTTCGGTTGCTCCGCCTCTTGGACGCGGGTGACGTGGTCCCCATCTCCGAGGGGCTCTGGCGGCCAGCCTTGCTGGAGATGGACTGAGGTCGTGGCGCGGTGAGGGCCGTCCTGTACTCCGTGTCACTCACATCGTCGTCCTCAAAGTCCTCCTCTTCGGAGCTCGCCGTGTCAAACCCGGCAAAGAGGCTGCTGAACCTGTGCGGTCGCTTGATGGGCGCGTCCTTCTCGGCGGACAGCGGCCCGTCGTCGTTGTTCCCGGGGTATGCATCGTGAAGCTCGTCATGGTCAGGCGAGAACAGCGGTGACGAGGGAATCTGCATCTGGGGTGTGTCCTGCACTCGGCGAGGGTTCCGTGGTGGCAGGTTCCCCGGCACCGGTGTGAAGCTCTTGTCCATGTCTGCGCCCGTGGGAGCTGGCTTGGGTGAGCTCGGCCTGGACGAGATGTGAGAGGGCTGCAGGTGAGCCGGCAGGCGAGCAATTCGCTTGTCCACCTGTATGCCCTCCGTCTGCACACCTGCATCACTGCTGTCCGCCGGGGAGGCCAGAATATTCACTTGGCAGCCAAAGTGCTTGAAGTGCGGCGGCAACCTTGGCTCCTTGGGGGTTGTCGGCCGGCTGGTCGGTGGTTGGATGCTGATGCTCGGGATCAGTGGCGGTTCAGGCGAGGGCGAGGGCGACAGGCGACCCTTGTCGACGGCTGGCGCCTCTTCCGTTTGCGTGGATGAGGTCGCCATGGTCGGAAGCCTGATTTCGGGGGGCGGGGTTTCAGCTCGAGTCGTGGGCGTCCTGGGAGGGCTCAGCGGCTCCTCGACAGTCTGCGAAGACGAGGATACCATGGCCTCGACCTTGAGCGCGGGCACTGCAGGCGAGCTGATCTGAGTGCGTTTCCTTCTCGAATTCGCTTCAATCTCCGACCCTGATGACGCTGATGAAGCAGGCGGCGAGTCGCCTTCCAGACTCATCTTGGCCTCGGTGATGGCTGTCTCGGGCGTTATTGCACTCATCCTTGGCGACGGAGGCGGCGTGAACTGAACCCCAGTGTCGACATACGATACTGGAGGAGCTGCGGGGGCACTCTCCTCATCTTCGCCTTCCAGAGCCTCGAGAACGGCCTGGTTCATAAAGAGTTTCCCCCGGCCACTGGCCGGCCTCTTCAGGCTCTCCAGGCTCTGGTTCCTGCGGTGCGTCCTGCTCGCTACACTATCTCGGCTGAAGGTGCGCGTGTGTCGGTGACTCGTGCGACGAGACTGTACGCTTTCGCGGCCGCCGTGCTCACTGAAGTCGTCATCCTCCTCGTCGAAATCAAGCTCATCGGCCAGCGTCGCGCCGCCAGCCTTGCCTGATGCGGTGCGGGCATGCGTCATGGAGAAGCGGATGCTGTTTGTCATGCTCATCGATCGCATACTGGCCCCATCATTCTCCTTGGCGCTTTCCTCCGCCTCGCTGTCATGGCCTTGCGCTGTGTTCTGCGCAGCGCCATTGACATTGGCAGCCTGAAACGCGGCGACCTCTTCCAGCACCAATTTGAGTCGGCTCTCTGCAATGTGGACTTTGCGCTCAAACTTCCGCCGCTCCTCGTCCCAGGTATCCTTGTCGCGCGCCCAGAGCTCGTGGACCCTCTCCGAATTGTCTTCCTCGCTGCGCAGCTTCTTTTGCAGGGCCTCCAATCGCTTCTTCACGTCGGCGGATGCCTCGACCGCCTCGTCTCTCTCGCGTGACAGCTCCCCTAGCGCAGATGATGTGCCTCCTTCCAGAAGCGCCAGCTGCCGCTTAAGTGACTTGTTTTCCTTGTTCGCAGCGCTGAATCGCGTCTGGACGTCCTCCTGCTGTTCCTTGGAGGTTGTCAGGATGCCCTCCAGGCTCTCGATCACCTTGGTCTTCTCCTCCTGGTCTCTCCGCAGCGCCAGAATCTCCGATACCAGGTTCGCATGCAGTGTGGGCGTGAACCTTCGAGGATCCAGGATGCTGACGGTCTCGTCCGTAGTGATGTCCCGAGATGCCCGCTTCGCCAACCGCTCCTTCCGTTCGCTGTGCATCGGCGGCGGCGAAGGCCCCTTGGGAGGAGGTGTCACTGACCTGCGTGACATGTTGGCCTTCCCAGCTGGAGTATCTTCAGGTGTTGGTAGAGATGTCGCCGCCTGCTCGCTTGAATCCTTGTCGTCCTGTGTCCAGCCAGACATGACAACCTTTAGATACCCGCCGATCGGATGGGTATTGCCAGAAGATCACTATGTCAGATGTGGTCGAAAGATGCACCGAGCCACATGCATGTTTCAGCCGAGAGGCCTCAGCGCAGTCAACGTTTGTTCTGCCTGGTAATGCTCAGACCGTCTGCCTCCTATCTCCAATTCACAGTGTGGAATTGCAGCAGTCTATTCCGACAATGCTTCTCCTCTCAGGCTCCCTGAAGTAGTGATTCCGATGACGGGTTTCAAGGCGTCGTTCTCCGTTATATGGGTATCGTTCGTCAGGCGCTCGTAGTTGATATAAGTAGTGAAAGGCAATGCTGTGCAGGCGGTATAGAGTGAGTCAACGAGTTTGATATTTTTTTCACTGAAACTGTCAGTCTGAATGTTTCCTTCCATGAAGCCTGTGTTGGACGATCCGTTCCGCGCCAGCACTTACAAGATACGCAAAGACGGGACGCTGCCGCCGCAAGTGTGGATATAGACAGGAAGCTCTTGTTCTTGATGTGCGGAAGTCAAAATGCCAGAAGAAAAAAAACGCAGAAAGAGGGACAGGAGAAGAATGACAGTCAATTCGCACAAGACGCGACTCTGAACAAGAAGCAATCGGCAAGGGAAAGAAATGCGCAGAAGACAAGTTCGGGGAGATGATGGGCTCCAGGTCTTGGGTGATCAACAGCAACGGCCGCGCGCGAAAAGCAGGCAAGTGGAGAGGGCCAGCCATCCAGCCGAACCAGGCCAGGGGTCGTAATAACTGTGACCCCTGCCCGGCCTATCCTTCGTTTCTGCTTGGTGCTGCCGTCCGGTACGGAGTACGTGAGCTCCAGTATCGTCTCCATCGGGCCGGACGATGAGGAACCGTTCGTTCAAGCTCTCATGCCAGATTTATTATGCATGATGGCGGCCGATCAATCGACCAACGGCTTCCTTGAGTCACCCGAGCAATTGACGGACTGATGAGTGGACGACTGGAGCTGGACTCGAGCTCCCAACGAACGGGAGGAGCACAGAGCATGGGTCGGATATTGAGCCACCTGCCGGAGCGGGAGACGTTCCGTTAGTTTTTTAGAATGAAAGGGTCAGAGGCGCAACCAACAAGAAAAAGAGGCGTTTTGACAGCCACGGTGCAGAGGGCAAAGGTGAGGAGGAATTGGGCTCGGTCAGAAAGCCTTCGCCAACCATCTCTCCATTGCCTGCAGGGCACCTACCTTGATTGGGTACCTGCCTGCTGGGATCGGACTCAGAAATGGAGGCAGGAAGCTGCTGGATGCCCGAGTTAGGTGACATGAAGTGGGTGACAGTGGGTGACAGTGGGTGATGGACAGCCCGTCTAGGTAATCAAGACGCTGTCCAGGCTCTATAGTAGGGGACGAGGCGGGGCTGAGGGCGCACACATCCAGCTTGATTGGGACTGGACTCCAGTCCAGCCCAGTCGCTGTGGACCTACAGGGAGCTCAGGTGCCACCAGCCAATTGGGGGACGGCCGGATGATCCCTGTGCCTGCAATTTCATGTGCCCCTTTGAACCTCGTCACCTTTCATCACCTCATCTCGCTGAGACGGGCACTCGAGTCGCTGGCCACCAACAGAGTCGACAGATGTTCATTGCTCGTGCCTGTCTGGCCTCCAAGATATCACTACTGATATGAAGGGCCACCACGCTCTTATCTCTGCATGAACACTTACGGATACGCTGCGCAATGTGGATACTACGATAGGCAAACCTCTGCGAGGTTACGGAGTACATGCTGTATCATGCACCCCAGATGCACAACGATCACGCACCGCAAGCGCAGTCAGTGCGTCGACTATCCTCCATTTATTGCAACAAGTTAATAAATTTCCAAGTAAGAGGAATGCAACTCATCAATCAATCGTCCTTCTGGCCTTGGAACTGCCGCCAACTGCCAGCGCTCGTAATTAGGCACTAGGCAGACGCAAGTGATAAATTAGTCTGGCCGCGAAAGCATAACATACATGCAATATAAACCACGCCAACGTTGTGCATTTCATCGTCTTTAAATTACTTGCAGACGTCCTCATTAGTCCTCCGTATCTTCTTTTTCAACAACGGTGTAGCCAGGATTCCTGCCCATCTGTTCATGCCACCGGCAGCACCGCAGCGCCTCATCTCTCGGGCTCCAAGGAAGTCAGTGCCTGCATCATCATCGCCCTGGCCTCGTGAGTCCGATCCTCGGGCTGCGAACTCGGTACCAGAATTTCCCAGCCAGGAGGAGCCCAGAGAAACAAACACCTCGGTTTCTACAGTGCCCCGTCCCACCAAACGGCAACTCCCCACGGGTATCTCGGGCGCCGTCAGCGCCACCGTGATGAATCCGTCCAGACGGACTCGATTAGCGTAGGCACTTGCCGGCGGGGCGCTGGGGCCTGAAGATTATAGGGCCCACGACAAGCAGGAGAACGGCTAGCTTTCCACGCCGGTGTGTCAAGCAACGCCTCCAGCAGAAGCAAAGCTCGCAAGCACAATCCAGTCCCACATGTCATCATCGCGCCCTTCACCTTCGCCATCAGATGCGTACAAGACGTACAATTACCGAGCGTGTAAGCAAAGTACTGTAGTAACTGATCAAAAGATTGTGCAAACAGAAATTGAAGCAATCGAGACGTGGAATCATAAAGTCGTCCAAGATCATCGTGTTCCTTGCCTAGGGTAGGCCCTGTGAACCCTTGGACTTGCCAGGCAGCATGTTCCCCGCCGTGACTTATAGGTTGGCAAGAACATCAACTTATTACGAGTGCACCGTGCCTTCTTCAAAAATGAAAGGCACGGGGTATTTCACATGTCATTCTAGGTATGAAATGTGACTGAGTCATCGAATACCTAGGCAAGTCATCCTAATAATCAACCGAATGCCGACCTGGCCGTAGCCGGCTCAAGTCTATTAGAGCCCCTCATCCATAACAAAGACTCTAACCTGGACAGCATCTGATACTTGATCACCAGACCACTTCCCAGTCCAAACATCATGTCACCCTCCCTCATTCATCCACTGTCGTCCATCAAGGCGCTCACATTCGACGTCTTTGGCACCGTCGTCAACTGGCGCCTCTCCGTCGTCGACGAACTCAGCCTCCGGGCCCATCGCAAACTCAACAGCCTACCGGATGACGCGCCCCTCAGAGACCGCCTGTCGCCGATGGACTGGTCGCACTTCGCACAGCAATGGCGGGACACGTACGGCCGCTTCACAAAGGGCTACGACCCGGAGCGGGATACCTGGAAGTCCGTGGACCAGCACCATCGCGACAGCCTCGTGGAGCTACTGAGAGAGTATCGCCTCGAGGACCTGTACACGGATGCGGAGATTACGTCTCTGAGCCTGGTATGGCACAGGCTCACGCCGTGGGATGACTCGTCTGCCGGGATCCAGACGCTCAATAGTCAACACATCATCACCTCCACACTGTCCAATGGCAACACGTCGCTCCTGCAGGATCTCGCCGACTTTGGCTCGCTGCCGTTCCAGCATCTGCTGTCGGCAGAGATTTTCAAGGCATACAAGCCCAACCCGGCTACCTATCGGGGTGCAGCCCGAGCGCTTGGGGTCGACATTGGTGAGGTGGCCATGGTGGCGGCGCATCTCAACGACCTCAAGGCCGCCAGGGACTGTGGCATGAAGACTATCTATGTGCAGAGGGCACAAGAAGAGGCATGGAGCGAGGATGATGAGAGATACAAGGACGCCAAGAACTGGGTGGACATGTGGGTTTCACAAGACGAGGGTGGCTTCGAGGAGGTCGCGCGGCGCCTGTCAGAGGTGAGGTGATGTGTGCAGTACATTGTCGAAAACGTCCCGTCAGAATAAGCTCGCTGTATTCGGGATGAGGCGTGCAGTAACATACTCTATATATTCTCCAGCGCCTTGTCCATTGCCTTCCGCCACTTCTGGGCATTCCTCCTCAACGCCCAAATGCCTAGAAATCCAGCGACCAGGCAGAACAGCGAGATGATTGTAAACACCCAGCCCACACCCATAGCGTTGATCCAGGGGTTGGCAACGACGGTCCCCACACACGAGAGAATGTTGCGCACAAAGTTGTTGACGGCCACGCCGGCCGAGCTCTTCTTGCGCACAAACTCGGTGAGCATGGTAGTGGCAGCGGCCTGTCCTTGTCAGCGAGCACGTCCATAGGGTGTGAGGAAAGCCACTTACAAACACAAGCATGGATGATACACCGAAAAAGTACAAAAAGACGGAGGGCACCGCCCAGTGTATCCCGTACCGCAGCGTCCAGCCGAATCCCAGTAGCGACAAGGGGTACACAGAGTTGGCAATCCACATGTTCTCCCGCATCCTATCCTCGGGCAAAAGTATGAGCTTTCCCTTGTCGTCGTACCGGTTGGCCTTCTTGGCTTCCCTCGTCATGATTTTGTCGATCCACTTGCCGCCAAAGAAGGAGGCCGTGATGTAGCCCAAGCCTGGCGGGGCGTACAGAAAGCCCACGATGAGCTGCCTGTAGTTGTACGGGGCACTGGTGAATTCGCGCTGGATCGAAATGTTGCCGACGAACAGAGCGCCAAAGGCAATGGCGGCGACGAGCACGGTGATCAAGACGGGCGGGAAGCGCAGAAACAGGAGGACGCTCAGCGGGTCGATGAAGAAGCGCTTCAGCGCGGCCGTCAGCTTGCGCGTCTTGACCTTGGCCGATACCATCGAGCTTGTCCGTTCCAGTGTCGCCGGTGGCGGGGAGGCCGGCTCCTCCCGTTTCCTGGGCAGCGTCTCGGGCAAGCAGAAGAACAAGAGGAGGAAGCAGCACAGCCCGTAGATGGCGAGGAACCACATTGTCGACTGCCAACCGAGCTCTTGCGCCAAAACACCGCCAAAGATGGGCGCGAGGAGGGGCCCCAGCAGAGGACCGAGGTAGAACAGACTCATGGCTTTGCCTCGCTCAAAGGACTCCCAGATGTCGGCGATTGTGCCTGCACCGACAGCCTGCACGCTGGCCGAGGCTCCGCCCGTGCAGAGGCGGAAGACAATGAGCATGGTCATGTTGTCGCTCACGGCGCAGAGGATGGCGAAGACGACAAAGAGGGAGAAGGAGGTGAGGTAGATGGTCCGACGGCCAAACTGCTCGGAGAAGGAGGACCACCAGAGCGGGAAGATGGACATGGCCAGCATGTACAGGGCCACTGACATGTTGGCGACGGTTTGTGTCGTCCCAAGATCCTTGGATAGAGATGGCAAGGCGGCTGCAGGGTCTGGTTAGCTTCACAAGTCCAAGGGCAATAGGTATTGGAGGAGAACCGCACGATAGAAGATGGACGAGCCCATGGGGGCGCCTGCCGTGGCCATGGCGATAGCCGCCGTGATGGTCCATTTGGTCGAGTTCTTGTAGTCGTAAGGGGACTCGACCTCGGGGATCAGGGCGAATCGTCCAAACAAGCCCCTCCGCTTGGCCCGGGGCACGACGATGGCCACCCGGGACCGTAGTGAGGAGGCGTGGGACCGAGTTCGGCAGGGCTCGCACTGGTTTTCGCAGGCAAAAATGCCGTCGCCCGATGGCTCGCCAAAGGTTGCGGCCGTGATCAGGTCGTTCTGATGGGCGACATTGGTGTTATCTTGCTGGACGAGTTTCTCGTGATTGGATGCGGTGTCCTCTTCTTCTTCTTCGTCGTCGTCGTGATGTGAAGAATGGGAGCCATGCGACAGAGGTCGCTCGATGTCTGAGCTGCGGCGAGCATGGCCCTTTTCTGGATCAGGAGCAGCACTCATGGTGATTGTCTCGAGGAATTTCAAATTTCAGCTTGCGCTGGAGCCGATCGCATCTCAGAGGGTGAGCGTGGTGAATGAGCGGACGAACGAGCGCATGGGCATATACGTCGCGGAATATTGTCAGATATTCAAGGGCTGACAATGTCGCAAAATAGCAAGGCCAGTCCAAAGTCTCTATAATGGCGAGAGGGCGAGAGTTCCCATCTTCCTTCCACAGCTTCTCAAAGTTCAGCACCTGACTGTATGTAACCTTTGAGTGGCCATGGAGTGGAGCCTGTTCCTGGGACTTTGGATAGCCGAACAGCCACTCCGATTTGGCTCAGCAGCGCAACCGGACTTCAAAACTGGCATTGTTGGTCGTTGTCCAGCTCATCGCCTGAACTCACTGCCTGCCCGTAAAGGTTCTCGCGAAATCCGGGGTTGCCAGCGGCCACACCCGGATATAACGGCAGCAGCCTCGTGCGAACTGCGAAACGTACGCACGAAGAAGAAAAGCCCATGGTATCGGCGGGCAGAACCCCAGATACGTGGGTTACCGACGTCGGAACGCCATCTACAGCACGTAGAGGAGCCCCGCCGCTCTTGGCTTGAGCAGCATGTGTTCCACCTTACAGAAGTGGTAGTATGCGATGACAAGCGCAAGTTTGACGCCTGCTTCGACAAGACCCTTGATTTCACCTGCAAGGTCTATTAGAAGTCTCTGCCGTTTTCTCGTGCTGCTTATTAATGAATGTGACAACGACACTGGGCTGTAGCAAGGGTACTGTCACGCAGGAAGGCAAGTAAATGCTTCAGTCGACATCTCCTATACTTACACGCCCATTTAGTATAATGCTGGAAGGACGCCATCCTGCGTGAAATGACCTGCTCTCGCCTCGTATCGTCCTGTTCACCGTATGCTTGGTGGTTGTCGGAGGACAAGGTCAGCGGAGAGGAAGGGCTAGGAGGCGCCTAGAAAAGCGGTTTCTAGATAGTCATGTGTCCCCTAGTACGCAATCGGAGCAAGTCACCTACTCTAATCGTAAGATTGGGGTCGAGAGTAGTGACTGGCATCACAGCCTCTCAGCTGCAAAGTTAGCTGAGCCCTTCTAATGAAGTTCGAGACACCGTGTGGTGCTTGTGCACATAGTACAAGTGAATCCATGTACACGCAACCTGCATCCACGCGCTTCGAGTCCCCAATTCGAATGAGGCATGGTTGAGCGGACTGAGCCGAGCCTGAGCAATAGTGGCGAGAGCGCTAACCCGAAAAGTCCTGCGCTATTGGTGGTGTCGATTCCAAGTTCGAACCGAGGACTTCACGAAGCCGACAGTCGGATCGGAGCAAGGCCGACAGGCGGGGGTCCCGTTGCCGACAAAAGTGATGACGCCCGAGATCAAGTGTAGAAATCGTGAGGGCACACCAGCGCGATGCAAGAGGCATCTACCATGTTTCTTTCGTCCGGTCGATCGAGGATTGTACTCTGGTTGTCCACAAGGCCCTTCTAGACATTGAATCTTCGAGTGGCCGTCCCGATAGATAGAGATCCTGGTAATCGGAAAAGGAGTATGCTCAGGGGACTCAAAGCCTCAGGGGCGTACCGAACCTTGCAGCGCCTAGGCGTACACACGTGAGACTGATGCGTAGAACGCCTCCTGCAAATCAGGCAAAAAGGTCGCGACTAACGGTATGTCTTGGGCTTCTCGACTCTGTAAATGGGAGCGCATAGCTTCGAGGTCCTCTCTTCAGCTCGGCATGATGCAGAAAGGGGCCTATGCGGCAGCGCCTGTGATTGTGCCTTGCCGAATTCGTGTAGGACTTGTCAAGCCAGCGTAGAACAGGTACACGGTTGACTCGACTCGCAACAGGGTCCGCTTGGCTGTCATGATCTGCTTCTGTTTTGACACGCCAGCCAGTATAACGTTGGGTCTCGTTATACGCGTCTGTCCAGGTAGCCCATAGCCACGCTGGAGGGCATGTAGTTCTCCGTGGACGCTTTGGAGAAGGCTGGCCCGGTGGTCCTGCGATTGGAGGTTTGGAAGGATCTCCAAGTTGTCCATAACCCCCACTGAGAGCTTGCTTCAGGATTACAAGTCGGGCTCAATATGGAGATTCATGAAGCACTCACAATCTTCTCGTAACCCGGCCCAGGTGCGTCGGACCAAGCAGATCATCATGTTCCACACTACCTCCCCCACGCAAAGACTTCTGCCCATTCTGTTGAATGGGCGGCCTGCAAGATAGTTGACTTGCTGAAGTCTTCAGGTGGTCTGTCTTGTCCTAGACCAAGTAAGCGAGGCCCTTTGAGCTTTCTCCGTCACATAGCAATGGACAAAAGCGGCGTATTCGTCGACACAAGGCACTGTTGCTGAGCACCCATTTGGGAACGCAACCCACTCGTGTGCTGAGTGAGATCACCAGAAAGCGGTCATGTCGATGTATCCGTAGCCTTGAGCGAGCCATGTAACCCCCACGCGGGAGACTTTGCAACGCCACCCACCCACAGAATTAGCTGTATGCATCCCATGCCGTCGCGATAGAATTTGATGTCCCATATAGGCAGGTCGACCTACCACCTTTTTGGTTTGACATCTTTCTAGAAACCTGGCTGGTCTTAGCACGTGTCTGATGTAACAGGTCTTCCGTCCAAGATGACGGCAGGCTGACTATCACTGGAACCAGAGGCTCTCTTGCTGACGGCATGGGTAGTCCCGTCATATACCGCGGCGGTGGCCGTCGAACACCACGTCGCGCGAGATTCGATCGTCAGCAGCGTTGAAGGATTTCAGCAAGCGCCGATGCGGATGCTAATGGGCACTGCTCCCGTTGACCGGTGGCCCATCTCACTTGGACTCACTAGAGACTTCGCCCACTGCATGTGGCCTTTGCGAAGCCGAAGCCCAAAGCGCAATGTAAGCTGCCGCCAAGGTGACTGACCGAAGCTGAGGTTACCGTGGGGCCAACAAGTTTCCGATCAAGACATCGAGTGGTTCGGCAGCTGGTCCGGGCCTGGAGAGGCGTCCCACGCTACACAGCATTCTGCAATATAATAACCATGCCACTGGGGGCCACTTGGTTTGGCGAGACCGTCGACAGATGATGTGTCCACACTGTTTTCGCTGAACTTCATAGGCCGCTGCTCCTGCCCAGGGCGTTATGTATTTGGCCAATAATGCCACAATACATAGTAGCATTGAGGCTCAACCACGTACATCAGCTGACGCTCTATCTGCGCCGAGTCTGAGCCACTGACGTCCCATCATCCATGGACAGGCTACAGTGCCATTCCGACTGTGATAGTTCCGGGGGTCGGGTATCAATGGGCTCGGCCAAAGTCCTGGTGCAGACCAAAGATAGATTTTGCGCTTGACCTTTGTGCAACAGAGTCAGACTGGCCCTGTCCAGTCGTCAAACTTCTCGGAGTCCTGAATCTGAGTGACTTTCTCGTTGGGCTGAATCGCCGACCGAGACCAGGTGAGGTTTCCCCACCATTTATTTGTGGATAGGTATGAGCCGAGACGACTAGACTAGAGCTGTGAGCTTCACCGACCGGGTTTAGCCACGTGCATATACGCGGCTGTGGATGCTGGCCTCCAGTCGGCGTCGCGCAACGACTCGTGTCTCCCATGGGCCATCACAAATCGTCTGCATTGGGCCATGAGTAAGTTGAAAATGCCCAGGGTGCAACACGACGACGATCCGTCAGCTGTGCGCTCACATGTCGTACGAGGTGGAATTGAGGCCGAGTCGGCAACTCCTCGAGGGTCCGCAGCGACATGTAGTACAAGTACACGAATTGTCGCTCTGGGCCTCTGGGCAGCCTGGCTTGCGACAGCAATTGTGGCGCGAGCATGCATACCTCGACATGTATTTACGCAGCGACTCCTCGAAAGAGCAAGGCAGTGAGTGGATACGTAGATTAGCGGACGACAGGGGCACTTTGGACCGTGGTTGGCCTTGGAAAGTCGCAGGCCATGAGGCGTCGTGTGCGAACACAAGCTCTGTGGTTCGCTTCGCCTCACATCGCATAGCATTGCATGACATGGCATGGCAGGGCATGACAGACATCGTCGTCACAGAGGGTGTGCAGGTCTGATGCGAGATGGTGCAGAGGATCTGGCGAGGTGACATGCGGCAAATGCGCCTCGGATGGAAGGGAAGGTCTATCATGTTCTGTCTGCACTTTGTGGCCTCTCGAGAAGAGAGGAGAGACAATTGTTGAAGCTGCCCGCGTTGATGATGGATCCATAGCATTGGATGGAAAACTTTGGGCGACATGGTCTCGCCTGCCGTTATTGGCTGGCGGAACCAAGCTCTCTTGGCACCCATGGAAGGATCCATCCAATGCCTGCGGCAGGCTTTTGCCGCCAAGGGACCTACAGAACAGCCAGCACCGTAGCTAGCAATGACAGCTCTGGGATAGAGCGACATGGACCCCGCCACCCACTGTTGAGCCACTAGAGTTTCTTCTGCTTGCAGGTGCGTTTCCAGTCAGATCGCGCGGTGATTGGCCCGTCCCGCTGGGCACGCATTGTCGAGCGGACCCGGCGGGACCACTCTAGGCTACCTGATCCCCTATTGACCCTTCTATACGCACTAAATAGGCACAAGTCGCTAGGTTCCAGTCCAGTCCAGTCCAGTCGTTGCTGGTTCCGGGACGGCCACTTTCCAGTCCTCACCACCAGTCAACATAAGTCAGTGGGAGACGGACCAGGTCCATTTCCCACCACCACATTCTCTCGTTACTTGCCCATCCTGGCTGGCTACCTTACCTGAAGTACCCTCCCTCCCTACCTCAGGCTTTACCCAACCTCTACCCCCCCTTACATTGGCGGGTGCTGCCTTTGAGTTCGTTTGCTGCTTGCTTAGTCCGTTCTGCTTCCTCCTCCTCCATCATCATCATCCCGCCTTGCTTGTCTAATAAATTCTTGTGCTCCGCCGAGGTCAGGATATCTTGTTCGATTGGGGACTGTTCGCAGCAACCGTCAATCGACTCGAGTCAGCCAGCTTGCCAGCCAGCTGCCCCCTCGTCTGTCAAGAACCCCATCTGAGCCAGGACCGACCCCTTGGTGCAATTTCCTGGCACATACGTCGATACGAAAGCTACAGTGTCACTGTGCTCGTCTCGCTTTCGAAGTACCTCCTCACGTCCGCCTACGCCTGTCTCGCTTAACTCGCTGAATCCATCCCGACCTCAACCGCTCCCTCTCAACCGCCCACGATGGCGGGACGTATGGTGCTGTACAAGCTCGTAGTCCTCGGCGACGGTGGCGTTGGCAAAACAGCCTTGACAATCCAGTTGTGTATGCAGCACTTCATCGAGACCGTGAGTTCGCCTTGAAAGCTCCCCCACCACCCAGGGTCGGAAGAGGTCTCGCCCGGCGGCCCCCTCCCGTTTCTGCGCTTCGACCACTTGCTGGCCTGTGACAATGGCGAACCCGGGCTAACCAACTGTGCTCCCATTCTAGTATGATCCGACAATCGAAGACTCGTACCGGAAGCAGGTCGTAATCGACGGGCAATCATGCATGCTCGAAGTGCTGGATACGGCAGGGCAAGAGGAGTACACGGCGCTCCGAGACCAGTGGATTCGCGACGGTGAGGGCTTCGTCCTGGTCTACAGCATCTCGTCACGGTCATCATTTGGGCGCATCAAGCGCTTCCATCACCAGATCCAGCGCGTAAAGGAATCCGTCGCCTCGTCTCCGTCATATCCTGGCTCCCCCTTGGCTGTCGCCGCCCCGGGCTCAGGTGCGCCTCCACCGATCATGCTTGTGGGCAACAAAAGCGACAGGGTGACAGAGCGAGAGGTGTCCACGCAGGAGGGACATGCACTGGCCCGCGAGCTTGGCTGCGAGTTTGTCGAGGCCTCTGCCAAAAACTGCATAAACGTGGAGAAGGCGTTCTATGACGTGGTCCGGATCATCCGTCGATTGCGACAGCAGTCGTCGCGTCCCTCTGGCACCTCTGGCCGTGGCCCAAAGTCTGGCAGTGGCAGCGGCGGCGGTGTGCGTGGCGAACCCAAACGCGGAAAGAAGGACAAGCTCAAGTGTGTGCTATTATGAGCGATCCGAAGCTCGACTGCTGCACCCTCGGGCGCTGGCCCCCCTTCTTTGGAGACGACTGATTAGCTTGGGATGTCGTTGGCGAATGGCGCAAGGTCAAAAGAAGCATTTCAGGGCGCTTAATCATTTTCACGACGAATTATTTAACGAAGCATCAAAACAATACCGCGAAAGACGTCAACCAACACTGGGGGGGGGGGGGGGGGGGGGGGGGGGGGGGGGGGGGGGGGGGGGGGGGGGGGGGGGGGGGGGGGGGGGGGGGGCGGGGGGGGGGGGGGGGGGGGGGGGGGGGGGGGGGGGGGGGGGGGGGGGGGGGGGGGGGGGGGGGGGGGGGGGGGGGGGGGGGGGGGGGGGGGGG